CGGCGCTGCACGATGCCCATGAGAACCGTGTTTTGCTCATCGGGTTCGCATGCTCCGCGGTTGCACATTGTGACACTCAGCATGGGAGAGCTCTGGTGGACGTGGCTGTCGTCGATCATGACATCGTGGATGCATGTCTTTCTCTTCTTGCCGTGCCAAGTCTTTCCTGGCTTCGCCGTCGGTGGGTATGGTTCTTCAACAGCCGATTCCTGGTCATCAACTGCGACGATGGGCTCGACGGGCTCGTCGGCGGATTTCCAACGGAATAATTGTCCCGGCTCCACCATCATCAGAAGCTCCGAGTCTGGACTAAAGGGCGACTGAGCTAGCGCCCAGTTCTTCTCACGCTGGTATCGAGGATGATCCTCTTGGCCTGGTTCTGGTTCGCGAGCGAGGAGTGTTGGTTCGGCGAAGCGGATTGAGGGTAAACGGGATGAAAAGTCGGAACCCAGGACTTGTTCGAGCTCGGGGAGGGCAGCGCGCACGTCAATGAGGAACTGACCTTGACACATGGTCTCATCGTCGACTTGGTGAGTGAAAATGAGAAGAGGTTCGCCAGCGCGTGTCCAGAACAGCTTCATGTCTTCTGGGCCGACGTACTTATCCATGTCGGGCTGTCTCTTGCAGTGATGCTCAGGTCCACCAAAGTCTTCCAAGAGCATTGTAGACCATTCACCGGTTCTGATGACGGGTCGGTCAAGGAAATTGGTGGTGAGGTTCGCAAAGGTGGCGACTTGACGGGCGACTTTGTACTTTTTGCCGTTGATTTCCTTTGCGACATGGGTTGTGCGCGCAATGACGAGGAAGTCATGAGTGATATTAGTGTCACGAGGGAGTTCGAGTATCGTTGGATTGAAGAGCTCGTGTCCAGTCTTTCTCGCATCAATCTTGTTATAAAAGCCCATGTTGTTCCGTAGACTGGTCAAGAGATGGTAGTCGACATATGGTTTATCCTCAGCATCGTCGCCGCGGTCGAGGCGGAGATCGTAGTAGTCATCTTGAGTATTAGATTGGTCCTTCTTCTTATCGTCATCGTCCTTGTGTTGCGGTCGTCGATGGAAAGGCTCCTCTGGTGATGTCTTCTTTGGTGGTTTGGAGCGGTCGGGATCTTCAGGTGGGGGAGGTTGCTCCTCGTAAAAGAGGGGCCGTTCTTGGGTTGGTGTGAATGAGAGACCGTCTGATATTTTGACGTGAAATATTGCTGTGAGAAGAATGCAGAATGACAAGATGGCCACAAACGTTAGCACGCCGCGCAGCAAGTGGTTGTGAGACCGCATGGTGGTATCATGAAGCCGCTGTGATGATGAATGAGATGAAGGACAAAGTCAAGCGGCCATAGCTCGAATGATATACGAGAGAGACAGTCGCACGAACCCACATCGTATTCCGTTTCGTCATAGCTAAGTTAACACCCACCAAACTTAGGTAGACCGTAGGTCAAGGCTCTAGTGGAGGTCGAGGTCAAGGTTCTGGGTCAAGGTTGTTTAGACGCCGCGTGGTCAGAGACTCAAGCTTTCGCCAAGCATGTCATGTCAGTCAGTTCTAGGTCCCCTCTCCCTGTAGTCTATCCCTTGTACCGTACCATCCGATCTAACCGTGGGCTCCGCACTTCTCGGCCCTCCTACTGGATCTACCGTAAAAACGTGAAACCCCTCTCTATCTCGCCCTCTGTTTAATCTGAAACATGATTCATACCGTAAAACAACTGCGACAGCATTTCTGCGTCAACTAACCAGTTAATTAATTATCCTTGCGTCAATCAGTGGCGGTTGGTCAAACGGTAGCCGTTGGAATGCAAGCCCAGCTCCAGCATCAAGGTGCTCAAAACAGAAGCGCGCCCAGTAGAAGAACGCCATTGCAACGTGCCAAAAACATTCCCAGACGCCACAAAAAAAAGGTTTGGTACAGTCCAAGTACCCTGATTGAATTCCAGATCCACTCAGCCATTCAAGCCGCGCAAGCTCTAATCACTTTCTTTCGACACGGCGATCCGCGGGGACCCCCCATGCAATCAATTATAAACTGCCGACTTGCCGTGGGAAAATCGGAATTCTTGTCATATATACTGCTACTGTAAGGAGTAAACAGCCCCTTTGATTGCGTGGAACAAAATGTCGCACAATACGGCTGGTGAGACGTAGCCTTGAAACCTGGCAGAGGTAATAGATTGGACGGGGGCTGAGTTTCTGTGAGTAATGTGATATGGAAGCAATGCAATGCGCCTATTTTTCTTGGCGACACACGATTTGTGACATGGACGTACGTGACGAAGGGTCGGACAAAACATTTGCGCCTGTATCTTGCTGGCTTGCGCCGCATTGGAGATGTACAATATGTGGAAATACGTGCAAAAAATGCCTCAATTCTTATCTCAGGTATTGGCAGAACGCCTCTCATTTCACGAATTGATAGCCTAGATTAGCTGCAACGTTGGCAACGGCGTTGGCTCCGTCACTTTCAGATACGGACTTGATCGTGCCACTTGAACGCTAGCCACCGTTGACTATTGACGATGGCTTCGGCTATTGCCCGTTCCAGAATGACAGCCGCTTCAAGATCACTATGTCCTAAGAAATCATGCTCAGCCTTCAATGATGCACTCACGACATCCAACACTCTGTTGTTCTCCAAATCTGACAGACCGGGGATTCCCTCATGCAGCACCTGTCAACGTCGCAACCGGACATTTTGAACACGATAAAGTCAGCGCTAGTATCTTTCCAGCAGAATCGGCTATCCCGTTGCGGTTGCAAGCTTTTCTGAAGGTTTTGCTTAGGGTCTTGGCAAAAAACGAGACTGGGACCAGGGTGAGCTTTATTTTTATTTTTATTTTTATTTTTATTTTTATTCCGCTTAGCATTTGTGACTTGCAGTGTCATAAGGCGGAATACGAGAGAGCATGGGTTGTTTCCGTGGTGTTCTGACTGACTGTCAGCAGTTCGTATACGAGCATCACGAGTTGAAAACGGGCGATTCACTGACGAGATATCCAATCTGGGGAAGAACTCGCTTGCAGTATCCGGGTGAAAGGATTCCGCTGAATTGTACTGAACTATGATCAGATCATCACATCACATCATCAAATGATAGTGAGGATGACGGACAAAAAGCATGAATGGGGGAAAAAAGAAGCGTATAAAGGTGGGTTTGAACCACCTATCTTGGACGAACAGGGAATCGAACCCTGGACCACTCCCAGTAGGACATCTCTTGTAAGAGAACATGCTAAGGGAGTATTATACCACTAAACCATTCGCCCGCAACGACTTATGATTGGATGAGAGCATTGAGGCAATTCCAGAACTTGTAGAGCGTTTCCGGTGGAACGCCGTTGTACGCAGCGCTTTCATATCATTCACTTTCGTGGCAGGAGCAAGAAGGAGAGTTTAATCCAATCTCTTTTATATAAACTTTTTCACGGGTCGCTGACCTTATGAGGTGCTGTCGGGGAACAGGAAAACAAAGAATCTGGCTCTCTTAGCAGTTTAGGGTAGGCTCTTCAGAATCAATTCGGTCTGTCGAGTCGATATATCATTTTGGCAGTATTAAAATACGCTTCATACTCAATATCATCCTCCGTATCGTCCAAATCGTAATGATAATGGCCTCCAGAATTTTTCCCATCTGTAGCGTAGCAATGTGTATGCTCAATCCGCAAACCCATCCTTCCCTCAGGGTCAACTGAATGTAGCACCGACAAACAAAGCATCGATGCATCAAAGTCGTGGAAGGTCAACCAACTATCAACATCTTTGCGATTATTAAACGGCAAGTCTTTCTCGGCTGGGAAGTCGGGCATAATATGGTATTTTGCCTTGCCTTTCTTGACCAAAAAGAGTCCACCGAGACTGACAGTCTGCGAGTCGCCGCATGTTTGATGGAGACCTTTTCGGATACACTCCGCAAAACTTCGTTCAGAGCCGGTCCTCTTTCTAGCTGTGATCTTGATCACCGGCCCCGGACTGCCTGAGGAACCGAACAAATTGATCATCAAGGCGCAGTCCAAAGAAGGACTCTTATCGACATGGACAGCGCTTGTCTCCTTGTCGACCTTTGCATAACGACTCTCATTCTTGACGTTTTCAAAGCTGCCTTGCCAGCCAATATTCGGCGCAAGTTCACAGTTCTGTCCGATAACGCGATGAGGTCCGGCTCCAGCACCGAGTAATCCCCCCTTCGCAGGATCCATGTCCATAGCCTCCGCAAGCTCAATCATGGACCAAACGCAATGCATCTTTGGGCGCGGGAACAAATTCGGTTGGCCTCCTACATCTGCTATCTTTTCATCTCCTGATAACCCCTCGGTAGCTAGATGATAGGGTGCTTGCCGAAGATCCGGGCAGGGCACGACACTCACTGTGGAGTGCTCATAATTGGCTGCCAAGGGGGCTTGAAGTTTGGCTGCCAGTTCCTCCAAGCTAGGCGGAGATAAAGGGTACTTTTCGATGCGCATGGTTAACCTTGTGGGTTATGTTGATCTGCATAAATATGAAATGACGCTTCGGGATAGGCGACATCACAGCCTCACAGAACAAGGCGGGGTCCGCCCGCAGAGGATAAACTCAAAATCGGGTCCAAGTAAAAAGACAATCTCAAAGTGAGTAAAGTATTACGCGTTTCTAACTTTATTCCTTTACCCATTCATCAATGCACGTGGAATAGATGGAAGGATCGGAGGTAATAAAGAACAAAAAATGCAAAAATGAAAGCCTCGCTAACGCTCGCAATCGAATATAGGAACAGCCCGATGCGGGGGTCGAACCCGCAACCTTGAGACGCGTACTCGTAAGAGTCTCACTACCGATTGAGCTAACCGGGCGTGGCTCTTGATGATGTCTGATCGACTTTCAGAATGGGGACTATGCAGTCAAAGCTCGATTAGAGCGACATCTACGGACCAGACCAGCTTTAACACACACGTTACAGCGGAACTCATAAGAGTACGGTAGTAATCTCGTTATTCCTTCTTATTTGCAGACGAAAAAGCTAGCCTGACATGCCTAAATCTGGTTGGTGCTGGTCGCCCAAACGGCCTCAGCCTCATCATCCTCACCCTTGTACAAGACAACATTTCCATCATCCTGCACAACGAGATAGACCTCATCGCCCTGACCGGAGGTATCGGAAGCCCAAACTGCCTCGTCGTCATGGGTACTAAGTAGCTGGTCAGCTCCTGTAGTAGCTTCTCATGGTTGAGATACTTACTACAAGACAAAGTTGCCATCATCTTGAAGATGGATGCCCTTGATGTCGTCACGCTGGTCTTCTGTGTTCTGCCACACAAATTCGCCTTCCCAGTAGATGGCGATCTTGCCGTCTTCTTGCATTCTGAATTCGTTGCTGCCGCTGTCGCTGGTGAGGCTGTCACCTGGGTACAGCCAGTTGTCGTTGTCGAGTCTGCCCATTGTGAAGGTAGTTGAGGGTAGAGAGGCTGGTAGGGAGAGGAGAAGAAGAAGCGAGCAAGTGTGATGATGTGAGCTGCTTTGAATATTTCCAGAGCACAGAATGGCATCTTTATATACAACTCATCCTCGTCTAACCCCGCACTCTCCTTCTCTTTCATTCTTTGAGGCTGTGTTCCGATCCGAAACATGCATATGTGCCAAGATTCAAAGTCGGATGATGAAGTTATCTTCACGAGAGGCCTCACAAGCGCCAACAGCACTACAATATGGAGGATTCGGCTATCTGATCACTCCCGCCCGCATTTTACCGCCTTGGCCTCCCGCATATTATGGGGTAAATCCAGGCCAAGAACGGAAACGGCATCTTTACTCTCGGCGGTTATGCACGTTTCAGTCTGGGCGAAATAAACAAGAGGCTTGGGTTACGAGACGATGTCCCTTATTGCGCCACGTCGCCTGCATATTTTAGATCATCGCCCTCCTTCGGATTTACTGGTAGTTGGAGAGTCTTAGCACTGGCATGTGAGTGGACCGGGATACTCGGCTTGCGCGTACGGCATGTCCAATGCTTGGTTGGCTTGGCGCTTACATACCTACATCAAGGCGCAGGTTGCTTTATGGCTCATGCAACTATTTGACATGGTTTTATATGATGATCTCCTCTTCCTTATGTTTCGGATGATCTGATCTTCGATGCTTATGAGCATATAGTGTTCAAGATACATTCTCACTATCGTTTCAGTGAATATACCTCCTCTAGGATACATATGATGACTCTGTCTATCACTTCTGTCAACAAGAGCCCTGATACTTGTGAGAGCACGAAACGATACCTTGAGGTACTGCAAAAATGACATCAACTGCGCACAAAGACCTTGTTCTGACAGTGGCATTATATTTCTTAACCATGTTTCATTGTCGAACAAAGTCGACTTGTGAGGCGCGGGAGAGCCACATCCTTTCATCTAACAGCGAGGTGCCTTAGCTTGGACACTGCATATTCTCACAGTTTCCGGCATGTGACCACTAGCTGGTACTGGCTACGCGAAGCCACTCATCTATCGCCGCAAGAGCCCGCCGAGGCAGTCCCTTATAGCTCCTCTCATCATACGTCTCGTTTAGTGTCCGACGCAGCATCTTTGCCTTTCTCAAAATGATCCTACTCGCACTATAGGGGCTATTTGCTTCCACAAACCTCTTTGCTTTCTCTTCAGCCTGCCGCCTTCTTTCCCGGACATCATCGCGCTCTGCTCCCTCTACAAGGCAAAGCTGACACCGACATTCGAAGTTCCATGTCCTCCGAATGTTTGCCTTTCTTGCTTCATAGCCAGTCGACTCATCATAGCTATGGGTGATCTCTCCACCAGCTGCAATTCTTCTTATGGCGCGAAAGATGATGAGATCGCCAACGAAATCCTTCTTTGCATTGGGAATACAAGAGTGGTTGATGTACGATGCCCGTATCCAAAGACCAGTACTGGCGTTGCTGACATCTTCGTCTTCGGTTTGCTGACCCAAGCTAAAGGCGTTGCGTTGGATGATATCGTGTACCTGAAACGTGTCGATTACAGGTGAACCGTCAACTTGTTGCAATTTCCTCCCAAGTCCATGGTAGTCTCCATGTAGACTGAGGAATCTCTCGACCTGAGATGGATTGTTGAGCAGCTTCTTAACAGCAGCTTTATGCAGACCCGTGGGAAAGACCTTGATAATAGCGTCTTCTCGAAGGTCACACGCCAGCGCCGTGAACGTTTCAGCCTCGTGACTCCAGGCCGCACAAAACTCCTTCTCACACAGGATGATCTCGTTTGTTTCGATATATCGGGTTGCAAAAAGACCACGACCAGCTCCAGGGCTGTTTTTGATCTCCGTTGCACCGTAATACGAGGCTGCATCGGGCCTGCCTCCCGTCTTGGATAGATTGCCCACAATTTTCCCCATGTTGTATGTACCCTCAGCCTCCTCTCGCAGTCTTGCATCGACTCTTCGTAAGTGTAGCTTGGGCTGCTGGTCATCTGGTTGGAATTTCCCTTGCTGCTCGAAGTAGCATCGAGCTTTGAGAAACTCGCCCTGAGAGTATGCAGCGAGTCCTGCACGATTGTAGGCCTTCGCGTCAAGAGACCTCAGATCTTTAGTCTCACCACGAGTCAAGGAGTCTAAAGCATCCGATGTTGCTTCATCAAATCTCTCAAGTTGAAGGTTGACATGAGCTCGGTTACGGTACAGGTCTTTGCGTACAGTTTCGCAACCTTGGTCCCTCTTCGAAAGCTTCAGACCTTCCGTATACCAAAAATGAGCTTCGGCATAGTTCTTCTTCTTCAGAAGTGCGTCGTTTCCCTTCCTCTTGTACTCGCCTGGAGACACGAGGTCTGGTCGTCTAGAGTATTGTTCACTGTCCCGCCACGATTCTGGATTCTCGGAGATTGCGGTAACTATTAGGTCTGATGGATGATCTATCCGAATTGTGCGATCTCCTTGGGCACCGAGAGTGTAGTATGGCTCTTTGATCACCAGATCAGAAGCTATCTCCAAAGTATTCTCGCAAAACTGTAATGTATGCAGAAAGACCTCCAGTCGCTCCACCTCGCCAGACGACTGGTCTTTGACGACGGCCCAGGAGGATGCCTGGAGTATGGAAATGGGTGAGACACGGCGCAAGGAAAGGTAGAAGCCCCGGTGGTGCGTTTCAATTCTCAGGTCCTTGATGGTCATTGGTTGTAGATCCGCAAGTTTGGCTGTGCTGGGTAGGTATTGCTTTCCTACACCGTAAGCTACCATCGTCTCTCGAGTTTTCCTTGGAGCACAAAGCCCGAAGGCTGCAGAAGATATCTCTTGCATAAGAGACGTAGAGATAGCCTGTTCGATTAAGAATTTGGGATCTGGAGGCTCCCTCGACTGGCCTGTTTGTTCTTCTTGTAGCCTTGCAATATCCTTGATTGTGCGTTGGATACGCTCCGACTCTTCTGGAGACATGAAGATGGTATTATTCGCCATCGTGGTAAAGATGTAAAGTTTTTGGGATTGAAGAACCCCTTTGATGTAAGATTCGCGAGTGATGTTGTATGCGGGCTATACTTAGCATGCTGGGCAAGATAAACTATAGTCCTTTACTAGGTGATCGGAGGATCCAATCCTTTTGGGATTGATCTTGATTGAGATAGCTCCGTATTGAGTGATTCATGCCGAGACATTCTGTAAGGTCAGCACTAGTTGCCGATTTGTCTCTAAATGTAACTAGTACCATGTTATCTCGCGGCACACAGCGGTAAAATGGACACCTTTAACGATGTTGGTTGTTTACTGAACTGGACTTTGCGTCGAAGGGGTTTCACCGATTGGTGCTGAACCAGTCAGAAACGGAGAATCCGAAATATCCACTGAGATGAAGACTTTATGACCGAAAAGAATCTCGAGCCGACCGTGTCCTTGATAAGCTCTTTGTTCCATGACTCTAAAGGATCAGGTCTGACTGTGCCGGCGGAGATGGGCCAATGGCAAGACTCCTTTTCCGAGCGCACCAATGAAGATGCTGGATGTTTAATGAAACGAAACCTCTCCTCAGATCCTAGTATTGAAGCAGCATCAATTTAATTAGGCAAAGGTCCATCGTCTACATGATGAATTCTTTCTAATCTTGGATTTTCTCCATACTTGCATTGATCCTGGTTGTGGGAAGGGTACTACTTCAAGTCTGGCGATATTGAATCGATCCTTCACCGACATTGCCGATCGTGTTTGGTGAGATTATGTGCCATTTTCTAATTATAATTGCATCTTACCAAGAGACTCCTATACAAAAAGTCGAGTCCGACCATTATATACCTTGTCAAGCACCATTCAGTTCTCAGCAACCTGTCCAGTGGGGAGCATTATGGCACGGTCGAGGGCATATGGTAATCCACGGTGACGTCCTCGAATCATCATCAGACATATGACTGCTTTTCCAAAGGTTCCAAACATGCCGCATAGTGAGGTGCTCACTGTCGGGTACCCAAGACTCAGCCCAACATTTCCGCTGGCAAGGGGTTAGCTCCTGTCTCTCAAATCGATCCCCACCCAAGTAGCACTTACTATGCCGAGGTAACCTCGAATAGGACTGAAAATACCGAGAAAGCCTAAGACTATTGTCAGATCATATACTTGCCATGACCCTCAGAAGTGTACTTACAGGATCATTGACATCTGCAATCCTTTTAGACTCAGAGATACATATACAAAAGGTTCCCAAGAAGATATACCAAAGGTCGAAGCCAAGCTGGTTCTTCATATGCGTCAAGAGATAAGTCTTGCTATGCTTCTCGTCTAGGGACTTCTCTTCTTCCCACAGACCAAGGGACTTTTCCTCATAAGCATTTGAAGCGCGAATACTGATCGCAATGGGAAAAACGGCAATGTACATCATGATCAGTAAGCTGAGCTGCACAGCGGGACTGACGTTGGCAAGATTGAAGCTAGCGGTACCAGTATGGCGCGCTGATGCAGCCTGGAAGATAGCGGCTGGGATGCGCTGAGAAAGCGGAAGTGAGGAAACTTCAGGGTTGGAAAGGTCCAGAACTATTATGAGAAGAATGTCGAGGAAGTTGAGAGCGGAGATGATACCGAAGAGGATCCACGTCGGACCGCTAGGGAAGAGCAACGTGTAGCACCGACGAGGATAAGTGAGCAGGAATGAGAGGGACTCTTGTGTCGGGGAGGACTTTGGTACCAGCTTTGACATGATCCAAATGCTCAGGCGCAAAAAGACCGGATAGAGTGTGTTTCCAGCAAATGCGAGGAAGCTCATCAGGATCATGGGCCACTTGGCAGTGCGAAAAGAGATCATGGAGTCCGGTGTGAGAGTAAAACCTAGGTTATCATACATTGTCTGAGCAGAGTAGATGCCCCTGTGTGAAGAGTCCGGTCAGTGAATTTGTAATGCGCAGATCTCTGGGCACTCACCACCAAGTCTTATCCTGCGCACTTGCCTGTAGGACATCCGCATATTGCTTATCAGCAGTATGTATCCAGCCGACGAGACAAACCGCACCAAAGATATGAAGACCAAAGAAGTAAACTGGAGGTGTTTTAGCTATCATGGACTCCTTGCCAGCTTAGTATAGGGGTACCTACCCACGACGATCTTCAGCAACAGCTTCAGACTCCTATACTCAATACCACCGAGAATCTCTCGATCGTGTGATGTAAGGTTCTTGAACTGCGAGTTCCGTCCGAGGGTAGCTTGGCGTGAGAGGAATGGGACGTCGTTGATGGCAGGCTGTCGGTTCGAGTCCGAAGAGACGGGGCACGGCTGGGGTGCTGTCTGTGATCCCAGAACTAGGAAAGAAGCTGCTACGCCGGCGACTCGGTCCATGGAGCGGGAAGCTGTGACTTTGAGGCCATCGTCGGTGCTGAAGCGTCGCCGACGACGCATGGATGAGCTTCCGTCAGTCTGAATTCTATTGGGTACAGGTTTGATTGCATCATCTATGGCCGATCAGTATGGGAACAGAGATTTTGCGGTCGAGTCTCTCACCATCATCACTGTCTTCTGGATTTCGCGCGGCTTCATGGTTTCTGGGAGCGATTGGATACCCTGGGTTGATCTGTCAGTACTCATCGAAGACGTGCAAGAGTAACGTACCACGTTCGCGAGCTCGCGGTCCAGGGATGTAAAGGGCAGCGTCTTCCTTGTGTCTTTCGGTGGATGGATCGAAGGTGATGGTCATGGTACGGGTCACTGGCCTGTCTTCATTTGCAACTGTCGGATCCTCTTGGATGGGGTCCCCTGTCGCTTTAGCCTTACCATTCGTTCCATCAGTCGGTTCGGCAGAGTTTTCAGTTGTGTCAGCAAGGACCTTTGGCTCTTGATGAGCAGTCTCAATGTCGACATCGGTTGTGCCAGTGCTGTTGTCGAGCATTTGGGGAGCTGCAGGGAGAAGTAATGAGTATGGGGTGACGATAGATTCATTTGCAAATTACTCACCAAGACGCTTCAGATGCCTCTTGAACCAAAAGAGGCGCACGATAACTACAACGATATTTATGAAGCTCAGATTGGTCAAGATAGGAATCAAGTAAATGTAGAGCTGCTGGTATGTCTTGAGAGCCTTGACGTCGATACTACCAAACAAGTCAGGAATGGTCACAAGAAAGAGTGCGCAACGCACGTGTTCAAGCCGGACTCGGTGGACGCACTGGCACCAAAGAACCAAGCATCGATGGCGGGCATGTTTCCGTAAGGGTACAGGATAGGCAGGGCTATCAAACCCATGAAGATGATGTACGCATCTAGCGGCAAACCAAAGATTAGCTATCACATGGCAGAGGCTGCACGCGGAAGTGGGTGGCATCACAGTGTAATGTGAGAAAGTTGATCGGCGGGCGCAGCATGTTGGGCAAGATGAGCGACTAAGTTAAGGCACAGTCGTTCGTGGTCCGGAATAAGGTTACGGTTGCAAAGGTGAGAAGGGAAAGAAAAGCGCTCTAGATATTTTATACTGAGCAATTTGTTGCCCTGCCCCCTTCGGCATGCCTGAAACAGTCAAGCTACTAGACAAGTGCTGTGGGGTCACACAAGATGTATTTATGCTTATGACAATGCTGCAAGGAGAGGCCGTTGGTAGACATCCCCAGGCTGTTGGATTGGATACTATACAGCTTTACAGCCAAGGTGACCACCAACGCAAGTACGCATAACTAGACGTAGAACAACGCCCATTATACTCATGATCAGTCTGTTGAAGACAAAGACATATCCAAAAAATTGACAAGCCAAAAGGAGGCCTCAAGTTCGGATGACATGTCTGCGGGCGTTGAGATCATCATGAAGGATCAAAAAGCTTGATTCTGTTTAGCACCAACCGGAGCTCAAGACCGCCCTCCGCGTCTTAGCCTCATTTCTCGGGGCGTCGGACTCGCCTCCGCCGCCTGGTGGGGCAAGACAATTCCTCAGCGGGTGATGAGATTGAGGTACCGGTATCTAGATATCTACGCCCTTATCCAATCGAACGCGGCAAGCATTTTACAGGGTAAACACCACTCCATATTTCATCTCGGGGCACACCCTGCAGCTCGATATGAGTGAAAGACCCTTTGGGTATTTTCAGATTATCTGAACGTGCTGCAGTTCGTGTACTCATCATAATGGGCTTTCCCCTTCATGTTGTACTGAACAAAGAAAACTTCTTTCCTCATACAATTCTCGATACTTCTTGAGAGAAGCAAGATCTTATGCAATGCAAACTTAGGCTCTAGGAAACAGCTATTCTTACGTATGCTATAGACGTTGTCCAATGCTCATTCCATGCTCAAACGCAAATGGCCTCCCATCAATGATATGTTCTTCTCTATAATAGTCCGAATAGAACTCTCAAGAAGCCTCTGCCTTGCGACCATAGACGTAGCGAACAGTCATGTAAGCATGGACCTTTTTGTTTTTGAGGAACTTGCGCATCTCCATGAGGAAGACTTGATACTCGTCCTCAGGCCACTGAAGAATGGTCTTCCAGAGGAGGAGGGTGTAGCCTGAAGCCTGTCAGTAATGAAAGAGGGATGATAGGTCTGGTGACGTACCTTCGAGATCGTTCTCGAGAGTCGCACGGACGTAGTTACCGACCTGAGCGAGTTCAGGGTCACGGGGCCAGCCACCAATAGGGAACTAAACCATCAGCCTTGCTAAGCGATTCTCTTAGAGCAACTCACCTTGTACTCAATGCTCTTGATGTCAGTGAACCCAGCAGCCTGGATGCCCTTCTCCTGCAAATCACCCTCCTGCACGAAGAACGGGCTCCCAAGCGCAGCGCCACCCTCAGTGAAAAGCTTCGCCCAGAGCTTCAAGCAGTCAAGGTCATCAGTGGTTCCATCATCACTGCGAATATGGACGTCTGCTTCGGCGGACTGGATCCAGCCGTCGGGGGCACAGCAGCGGTAAGCTTCCTTGAAGAGGGAAGACCAGTCTTTGATAGCGCCAAAGAGATAGCGGATGTGGATAAAGTCAAAGGTGTTATCGTCCCATGTCCAGCGGAGGGTGGCGTCGTCGATCTCGAACTTGACGTTGGGGGGAACCCAGCTGGGAATGGTGAGTGAGATGATAGGGTAGGAAAGGGGACGGCGTACTTGGGTTGAATGGGTGAGAGGTCAGAGCCGATGACTTCAGCCTCGGGGTATTCGTCTGCAAAGTCACTGAATGGTGAGCCGGCATCGTGGTGAAGGGTTCAAATGTCTTACATTGCCCAGATACCTGTACCTGATTAGCCAAGTCAACGTACAATATGCATGCAAGTCTCACCTGTTCCGGTTCCTACATCGAGGACTTTCTAATGGGTGTGAGCATGTCACAAGACCAACAATGCATGCACTCACCTGCACGTTGTCCTTGATAGGGGCAAGGAAGAGCTTTCCACTGAGAAGCTGCGTCAAAGCGTGATGGCTAACGAATGTCAGCAAGGTTCAGTCCTGTGAGGTGTCGCATACTTGATGTCAATGGACGCAGACTGCTGCTCATCGTTGGGAGTAAAGTACTCAGTAGGATGTCTGTCACTGTGAAACGTTCGACCCTGAATAGTGCGGTACTCAAGGATGCTGGAGGTGATGGAGGCAGTGGAGCTCGCCCTGCAGAACGGTCAGCAACGGTGAGGTAGTATCAGCAAGGGTCCCATACGCATCATCACCAACAGCCGAGTCGGTCTCACTCTCATCACCATCCTAGCAAGCATCAGCAACGGGCCGGAATACGTATCTCTATACGAAAAGTGCTTTAAACTCACCTGTGGATCAGCAGCGGGAACTAACTCAGGCTGCGGCGCTGGAGCTGACTCAACGGCCGACGCTAGATCGGACCGAGCCGTAGCAGGAGGAGCAGCAGCTGCTGCAGGAGAAGAGGGCTGTTCAGACATTCTGCAGTGCGTGACTAACAGTATCTGCAAGGGCTGGGTTATGTCTCTGCTGGGTGTCTTTCTGCGTGTGATGGTGGAATTCGATGTTGACCAACAGCGAAAAAGGGGATTGAGGGGAACTCTTGGGAAGCGAGGCGCGTTTCGTTCGGTGATACGATAAAGAAACTGGTTTTGGTGGGGCTGGCATGCAGTTTAGAACGAATGCGGTTTGGGCGTGTTTGCTTCTGGGGAGCCAATGGAATTGTCGATGGGCAGTCAGTCGAGAAAAGAGGCTGTCAGCCGATGCTGAACACTCGATAAAAGGAGAGACCAAAAAGAACGAGAAAGAAGACGGTACGATGTCGAGATCATTTGAAAAAATTGAAAAAGTCGAGATCGTACAGACCTTGAGAAACAACACGGATAAAAGAGGCATGCCCACCAATCTTATCGCTTATCTTCCAGACCAGCCAATCAGCAAGCAGCAGGCCACTGTATCCATGACCATACCAGACCAGTACCAGGTCCCAAGTCAAACATATCAAAATCCATTATTAGGCATTCAAAATAATCATTAACTATTAGGTAAAAAGGTCACCGGCCACGTCATTACAAGTCTTGTTACCACAGTTGAATTGGGAGACTAGTTCTGCTTCTGCATGTATTGCAGCCCGCCTACGACCTTGACTTGGTCGGCATCTATCCTTCTCAATCAAGTAACTTATCTGATTCCAATTCCATTTGTTGGCGTTTGTTTTTCTGATACAAGGAAGGCGTTTGAGTGTATCGGACGAGAGCAGCGTTCCCTTGACCCCAGCATGTTTTTGTTTGATGCAGCTGGATATGGTAGTTCGAACCACTTCGAGTGGGAGCCATAGTCTTTCGAGAGACATCCTCAAGTTGGCTCCTGACCTGCCCGTTCAAACTACCCCGGCTTGGACAACCTGCTCATAAAGAGCATCGCCAAGTGTCTCCTTCAGTGGCTGGAGCCACTTGCCCTCCCCGTTGTCCGATATGACCTGCTGGAGCTTGACGATTTCCAAAATCGTCATAAAAATTATGCCCGCGTTTCGTTGTGTTTCGAGAAACGTTCCCAAATGCGCAAGTACCTCGTGCAGCTTTCCAACTCCAATGTGCCTAGGGACAGCTTCGCCGTTCTCATCGGTTGCAATTCCGACGAGGGTCTTGTCCGCCTCAACAAGCGTCTTCCGAAAATCTTCGATGACTTGGTACATTAATTCGTTAGCAGTGTCTTCGTTCATCTGATATTACCACCAGTACTCACCAGGGAATTCACTTGGATCGTGAACCCCAACAACCCGGGCCATGATAGAGGGTGCCTAACCCACCACGTCAAGCTCCGGGCGGATGAGGATACTCATGTCCTCGTTCACATCCTGCTGCAACTCCACAATTTCCTTAAGGTCGCCGACCACCTCTCGGTAGGCATCGTTGACAGTATCGAGCACTTGGAATACGTTTGGCTCGTCCTCGCTTCTGAGCGCTTCTAGGGCGGTGAGACACTCCACCCACGCCTCGTGGGTGAAGTCACCCCTAGTCTCGATTTCTCCGATGATGACTTCGAGATGGGCGGGCGGCAGGGGGATGGCAGGGCGGTCCTCAATGTTCAGAGGCCGCTGAGGCTTATGCTCTTGGCAAATGATTGAAAGGAACGTGCCAGAAAGGCCGTGGAGAAAGTCCATGTTTGCTGTTTCTTGGAGATTCCGAGGATCGAGGTAGCGGTACGTGAATATAACGATCAAAAGGAAACAGGATAAAAAGTTAACGGGTGGATCAGAAGTAGAAGTTGTGAAAATAAGAGAGGGAGGATGCAGCATCAACTTTTAGTTGCAAAATATAGTAGGTCAGGAACAGCAGAATAAATAGGGCTAAATACCATACCCTAAGTTGCTGTACAAAACATAAGCCCTGTTGCCTTAGGCCCCTAGTGTAGGGACCTTGCATTTTTGTGCAGGCCTTTGGCATAGTGGTTTGGTTTGACACAAGTCTAATATATTAATATTAACTACTATGACTTTAAATTAATTATTTATCTTTACGTAAATGGTTACTGGTCACTTTATTGCACAGTCTTGTAGTGTCTTCTGAGCCTTGAGACTTGTCTTGGCTTCATGTGAATTGATTAATGTACTCCTGCTTGTCTATACTTGACTTGAGTGGAGGCTGTCGCGCGGCTCAAAATGATGGTCTTAAAATTGACTTTGATCTCAGCTCTCATCTTCATCCTGGATCGATTGCGACATTATTTGGCTTTTATTCCTAATGCGTCTACCCTTGTCGTTGTTGACATAAAAAAAAGATGACCCCTTTGCGCACAGCCAGGAGCCAAGGCATCCTTCTTTGTGAATTGAACTCCTCCTCATCCCCTCAGAGGACAATAAACGTCCAGGGCGGCAGGCACATATCCCATCCCAGACGATGGAGCAATTATAATTATCATCGGAATCAAGCAAATATCCCCCCGCAGCAACAGGACTACAAGTTGAAAGGAGAAACAATTAGCAAAATGAGCTGCGAAACAGGGTTCGAAGTGCTTACATCTTCTTCCAAGAGCCACCAGCAGCGCACCGACTGTTGTGTCGAGATGCGGTACCACCGATCAAGCAACATCAACCTCCGAGATCTGCTGGCACAGAGCCTCTCCGAGAATAACCTCGAGTGGCTGCAGCCACTTGCCCTCGCCTTGCTCCTCCACAAGATGTTGTGCTTTGATGATCTCCAAAACCATCGGAAGGACGACGTCTGCGTTGTTCTGAGTCGCGAAGAAGGCATCTAGCTGAGGGAGTACCCCTTCGAAAAGTTTCCCGACCCCCTCGAACCTCTCGATAGGCTCGCCCTGTTCGTCTTTTCCTCTTCCGAGGAGGATCTCGTCCGCCTTGATCAGGTCGTTGCGAAACGTGCGGATGACTTGGTGCATTAATTCGTTAGTGAGACTTTTCCAACTGTTGTGTTTCCGCCTTTGCTCACCATCTTGTTCGCCTCCCATGATCCGAGTCATGGTGCGAGGCGCCTAGCCTCGCACATCTGACTCAGGTCGAAGCAGGATGGTGATATCCTTCTTGGCCTCGTCACTGAGACTCGATATCTCTCTGAGATCAGTGACGACCTCTTGGAATGCGTCCTCCATCGCGTCGAGGACTGGGAAAACTCCTGGTTCGGCGTCACCGTCGTCTTTCACTGCCTCCAGTGTGGCCAGGCATTTCCCCCATGCCTCGTGGGTGAAGTGCCCCCTGGTGCGAAGAATCTCGATGATACCATCGAGATTGGCGGCCGGAATGGGGATTTTTGGTCGATCTTCAGTATGAAGGGGACGCTGGGGCCTGTAGTCGGTGCACATAATTTTGTGTAGTAGCATGCCTGACATGCTATCTAGAAAAGACATCGTGTGCGTGTTACTCTGAGAGGTTAGAGAAGGAATAACGAAAGATTTGAGAAGGACTTACTTGAGCACTGGAGAACGTTCGACTTCTAAGGTGACGCTTTGGTTTGTTTTCGTGGATGGTGAAAAATAAAATCTTTGTGATGTGTGAGTGAAGGAAGTGGTGAAGGTTGCAAAAACACGAGAGAGGTGGGATGCGGCACTGACCTTTTGTTACTAAACATGGTGGGGCATGAATAGCCAGATAGATGGGGCTAAATATCTGCCAGGTGCATTAGTTCCTCCTGAATTGTATCAGTGTGAAAGATGGGTGCAGCCCATTGCACCTGTCGAGGTAAAACAGGGGCATTAAATCTTTGTTCCACTTCATTTTTGTTCATTATACAGCTGACATGTTTAAGTAAACCATAAAGAACAACCCTCAAGAAATGAACCAATCCTCTACTCTTGTTCATGACATTGTTCTCTCTTCGAGTGGCACTACCTCGTCAATTCGCCAGATACATAGCCAGAAGATCCCAATAGCCGACAGAAGCACAATCATTCATACACCACATATCGCTGCAACACCATATCCCAGTATCTTCGCACCGAGCGAAACGTCTTTGAACATTCCAACCAAGAAGGACGATAATACCAGACACCCGAATACAAAGAACCCAGTATTGATCGTAAACAGCAGCTTTCCTCGAAAATCATCTCTATAACGTGAATCTCGAACACTGATTTTACTGTCTACCTCATTCACAACAGCCGCGAGACTCAACAAGATCATGATGATGAGGACAATAGCCGCGAGTAGCACCACCACACCGAAGAAGTCGTACAGCAGTGTCCCGAGATCTTTGAATCTTGTTTGCATACTGAGGACGCCAGCGGCAAGAGATAGGGGAAGGAAGATTGTGGCTAGGAGCGCGAGTTGCTGAACGCCCCTTGTCTGGTTGATATCCCGGTCTAGTTCGAGGTATTTGAGGTCATGATCTAGTTGATCTGAGAAGTTTTGGATTCTTTCATTCGCCTCTCGACAGAGTCCTCGTAGTTCCATCTCAATGGCCAGAAACTTATTAGCATGAGATAGCGAGTCGACAACTGGAGACGATGCTCTCACTACGTCGATCAGGGATTCCGTGGTACTGATTAGCTTACGGCCCATTTCTCCCAGATCTCGATACTCGTAGGAACGCTGGGTGATAGTCCTTAGGTTCCATCACCAGAGCTCCACGGAGCCGGTGTCTGTGTTTGCATCTTCTGCATCTTCTTTCTCATATTCTTCCAAAGCGGCGAGGAATTCAAAAAGCAGTCTGAGACATGCGTGGTGGAACTAAAGGAGAAAGAGCTTCTTCCAGTTATGCTTCGATCGAACGGTAATGTAATCTGAATCCATTAGCTTTATAAATTTGCTTATCCGCCTTGCAGAATGGAAGTCTGGCAGAGCTCCGCTAAAGCTCTTTGGAGCATATGTGCTGCATTCGATTACCACTGATATTGTTAATATCCACCCATAAACCACGACAGGGACTTACCGCGTCTCTCTTGGCCTTCCTCAAATACCTTGATATACCTCCTGACTTTAGTGGGGAGCGCAGTCTTATATACGGTAACATGATGCCATGCGTCCGAGTTGGCTTGTTCCCACTGCGTAGAAAGCTCCGCAAACCCGGTGGCAAGAGGAAATATGTCCTCAGAGCCATGGGATCCTTCTTCTATAAGCTCCAGCCGTATGTTATCGCCCTGTGAAGGGTCGTCATGCATCGTCTCGCCTGCGTTCTCCTGAGTGTTTCCATCTCCCCATAAGAACTTCCAACGGGTTTCTCCCTCAAGCGCAATGAACCAGCCTCCATGGAATCTCGTCCCGTGGGGGCCGAGGCGGACACTGTCCTTCCATTTTTTCCTGTCAAGGAATCCTTCTCTCTCTTTCACGTAGCTGCGAACTAACAAAGCAGCTTTGAGGAGCGGGAAGATACGGAATGCAAGAGAGACAGTAGCGGAAAAATCAGCGAGATAGTCCATCGTTTGATATCAGGTTGCTGGGCTTTTGGTATATCGTTCTCACATGGATGATAAGTCTATGAGGGGAGTACGGTGCGGGGTTTCGAAATTGCGTGAGGCTGAAAGCTGCCCAGAAGTTGAACCAATCGCCATTCAGGAGACACTGCAATGACCTGTTATTCTTGTTTGCTCAAAGGTGGCATTGAAACAAGTAAATGGCTGGAAAGCCCTCTACCAGGATCAACCCAAAGCACGCGTGGCTACAGACTTACATCACAAAAGAGATCTATCCAAGGCTTTTATTGGACAACTAAAAACCCTATCGGCTACTCTTGGGCCTTCTGTCCCATCCAAAAGTAGTACTTCTCATAAGAATGAATATTGACATCATTCAAATCCTTTCTCGCATCAGCCAGGAAGACCTCTATCTCTTCCGGCTCCAAGACCTTGCGCAGGGGCTTGGCCGCCATAGCACCAAACATGTCGCTGACAGCGGTCTTGAGGTACAAACCAATGAGGCGAAGCTTCTTGTCCTACCGAGAGTCAGCTTATTCGTATCAACTGTTTGGGGTACTTACCTTTGCCCATGTTCCGATGGGGACTTTAAGGACTTTGCAGGATACGTTGGTGAAGCCAGCTTTCTCAAGGGGTTCACGCAAGTTCTCGCCCGCGCGAAACTTCATGCCGAAGCTGGCTACGGCTTGCTCAGCGGTGTCGAAGAATTTGGCGAGAGGGGCGTCGGGGGCTAGAGAGCCGTCGTCGCAGTTGGCGCGGGCGTCGAGTTCTTGGATTTCGATCCAGGCTCCAGGTTTCATGTGACTGCGACATGTGAGATGGGAATGCAGATGGGGAGATAGGTGAACGTACTCGTGTGCTTGACGCAGAACCTTGACTTCGTCTTTCAGCCAGGGGCTGATGCAACGCATGTGCACAAAGTCAAAGTCGCCGCCGTGCATCCACTCGTCTTCGATGTCGTCGACGAGGAACTTGAGATTCGGGGGGACCCATGAAGGTTGGATGGGACTGAGATCGACTCCAACCACAGATGCGCTGGGGAACTTATCGGCGACTTGGATAGTGAGTTTTGAGATCCTACGAAAGAGCGGTCGGACCTACCGTCAATGGCCCAGATACCAGTGCCGGTTGCGAGATCAATAATCTTCTGGGGGTTTTCCACGATGGGCGAGAAGAACAGGTTGCCACTTGAAATGTCAGTCCCTCGGTCTCTGCATAATTCAATGGCTGTTCCTACTTCGTGAGCTCTAGCATCATGGCGTGCTTCATATCGTCGCGGTTCTGCTCGGCATCGTCATTAGGGATCGGATACCTGTCCATGTTAGTGATCCACCACGACGTGCTCTTCCAGGTCGCTCACGTTCCATGGCGATATTGATGATACTATCCCAAATCAGCACATTTCTCCCCTCGCCAAGCCGTTTTACTCACCCGTCTTCCATTCTCAAAAGCATGCTGATAAATACTCGTGTTCAGACTCGTCGAACTAGACGACAAAGTCGCCGAGTCGAAGTCCGACGTCACAAACTCATCCTCCACCTCCGCCCGCTCATGCGCGGCAATAGGTTCAATGGGTTCTTGCGTGGTAGTCACTGGTTCCGCCATGATCAAAGAGTTGAACTTTTAGCGTTGTTACCCGAATGTTCCGCGGCGGGAAGCGTGGTAATTTTGAGAAAAGGTGGACTCGGGTGATTTTCAAGCCCCGCATCCATCGCGTGGAAAATGGCGCAGGACCCTTGAAGATAACATCGGAGATTTTTGCACAGTGGGACGTGTGATGTATTCAGGCTGATTAAGGAAAGTAACTGCATTTTCATTTCATGAGCTCATTTTCTATCTTCTACTTTAGGTATCAAACATAAGAAACATTGCGTTGCAAAGAAAAGGAAAGATTGCAAACCACAATCAGGCATACTCGATAGTGAATTCCATGCTCTGCCCTGGCACGCATCTTGTTCCAGGCGCAACAGCCATCGCGACCGACCAAACCCCTGAAGCGCATCGCTGGAAGGCAGTTCCTGTCTTGATGCAGTTCCAGTAACCCTCGGGCTTGCAAGCTGTACCGGGGGTGATGATACCGGCGGCGGGTTTTGTCGGCGCGGGCTTGATCGATGTCGTGGTGCTTGTCTTTCGGGTTGTCGACTTGAGGGTCGTCTTGGTGGTTGAAGGAGAAGGAACAGTGATGAAAACGCCGCCAGGGCTGTAAAACATGTTAGCAAGATGAAGCAAAGAAAGCAAACCACTTACACTGTAGACTTCACTGGTGGCTTAGTCGTAGTCGGCTTCTTTGTAGTAGTTGTCTTTGTCGGAGAAGGAGAGGCAGATGGAAGCTGAACTCCTGGCCCAGCAGCACACTTACCGACCGGCGGTCTAGTGTTGGTCGAGGTGAGGTCAACATTAGGTCCCGGGTTAGGAAACATGAGGTCAACCATCTCAGTAGTTCCGCATCCATTTCCGACATTGGCGACAAACATAGCAGGTCGGTTCTTGAGCGCTGTCTTTGGTGTTCCACTTCCAGCCTTGACCGTGATAGCCGCGCAGTTCATGTACATCTCGCGGTTTCCAATCCTGTTAAACCAAGTCCAAGCGAAAAGAGCCTCTCCAGCTGGTGTGTCAACTGGAAGAGTAAACTGAAAGTTCGAAGTCGGCGCCTTGGGGCAGTTTCCAATCCACGACTGGATAACGACCCAAGTCTTGCCGCGATCAAAAGAGAGTGAGACCTGGCAACTGCCGCCTCCGTGGTCTGCACCGCCAGCGATGCTGATACTGTACGACTTGCCAGCCTGCCACGTAGCGGTAGGTGCACCTGCAGCGGTGCCATAAAGAGAGTTGTATCCCTTGCAGGGAAAGTTGCTGCCGTCGGCGTTGAGAGGCGAGGTCATACTGTAGTCGATGTCCTGGCCGGCGTAGGGGTTGTATTTACTTTTGAAGGGGGGAGGATATGTCATCTCCATATGGGCTTGGGCTAGACCAGCTAGACCGAGCGCTGTAGCAAAGGCGTTGAAGAGCTTCATGATGATAAGGAGAGTAGGTGTATTGAAGGGGTAAAGAAGAAAGGGAAAAGCCAAGAGGCTGTTGTTATGTATGTAGAAGAATGTGTGATGAGAAGGAATCGATGGGGAAACGGTGAGGCTTTCGATTAGTTTTATACATTTTTTAGGACGTGCAATATTGGTTTTGACGTGCCAAGGTTAAGAGGCCAGTCGAGAACTAGGGAGGATTGCGGGTTCGTGTTAGTGCCGCGGGCTAGAACGTGCCCTCTCCAAGGGAGGTGAAGGGAGAGACAAAACCAGCCGCAACAAAACTTCAGCGTGCATCACTGTCGTATAGTAAGTTATTCAGTGTGTTATTTAGTGGAAGCACAAGTTTCAGAGTGGTTGGGAACTGGTCATATCCTGCATGATTGAGACACGGTGATGGGTGAGCTTGCATCACGGGGGAGAAAGGGGGGAGAAAGGAATGAGACTTTGTGACACCATGAGTTGTTCAGAATGGCTGGCAATCAGTTTTTTTACGCTTTTAAACTTGGAATTGGATAATGGGTAGTATCGTGAGGCTCTGATATTACGTAGTTGGAGTGGTGTTTTGCTGGCGAACACATTGATTCAGATGGCTGGATGTAAGACATGCGTCAGTGACAATGGCCGCCAGGGCTAGGAATACCACGGAATGACCGCAGGGCCCTTTCTGCAGTGTCTCAGAACAGCAGAAAAACATTCACGGTCAATTGAGATATCGATTGTAGGGTAGCGCAAGTGCTGCGTGATCAAGGGCCTTTGGCCTAGAACAATTGGAGCGATCGCAGAGCAGATTGTGCGATGACCAGTCACTGTGTTCACTAGCTTTCCAGAGCAAATTCACCGTTGAGCTATCAATACCGAACCATACCAAAAACATCAGTTGCCATTGATATCTTAACTGGTCTAAAAGTTCTCAACGGAAAGAAATTTAATTAGGCCAAAGCTCTGCCGTTAACCGTTACGCCATCCAACGATCTGTTCCTGCATACCCCAAGCGCCACGCGTTACCAAAAAAATAGATAAAGCAAGGTCCCGTCCCTGAAAATCGCATTCCTCAAATCCCGGTTTTGGTAAAAGATCGGAATTCTGCTGTGGTTGGACAGTTGCGTAGCGTGCTTGACAGGAATGTGAATGATATTAAAGCGGGCGGAATCTTCACTGGTTTCGGAATTCGCCACGGCGAGGATTGGTCTGGACGGGTTGGAATTTATGGTGAGGGACATGTGATTGATTTCTTTTTATAGATCTTTTGTGTTTCGTCTCAGTGAGGTTCGGGGCACGCCGTCAAAGACTGTCTCGGGCGCGGCGCTTGGTGTAGCAACCCCAGAAAGTCCTAGACAATGGCCAAGTTCGCAAACAAAGGCGATGAGCTTTTACACCAAAGCGTTACCGGTTGATATTAAATGCGATTAATATTGCTTATTACAATCTTGATTTCTTTATTGAGCGCGGGCTTTGCGGAATATCGGCACACCAACGACGTCAATGACTCTGTAACTGGGGCAGATCCCCGAAGCACAAATTAGTCAGCCCGAGTTGATGCCTTAAAATGCTTCAATAAACCGTTACATCGCTCGATAAACAAGATGCGCGACCGTATTCCCACCACTAGAAGTTAATTCAAGATCCGTTGTGGGTATTGATTTGAGCTGGTGACGATTTTATCATCGATTCTTGGCGTCACTACGGTCTCCGCCTGAGATTTCTAGAATGCGACCTACATAGGTACACAATCGTCATCGCACGCATCAAGTTTATAACGATGTCGCGAAACCAGGAAAATTCGTCTTAAAAATCTTGTTTTTTTCCCTCATTGTTTTACCAGCACCATTTCAAAATGCAGCCAGATATTCCTCACCGACAAACCCACGAACAGGCTCCAGATGAGTGGAAACTAGAGCAAGGTCTCGAGCCCGCTCGTCTCGGCATCCGTAACCAGAGCAGCATCCAGATCAACACAGAGCCCCATCGGCTCAACCCAAGTGACAACGAAGAACTGAAGGGTTCCGATATCCCCGAGGACCCGGATCTCGACGTTCAAGATGAGCGGCCCGGTTGGAAAGGTTATGTTGAGTGGGAAGACTACCCAGAGAAGAAAGCCAAGGCTCATCAGCGCTTCTCACGCTTCACTTTTCCCCCTCCGCCTGAGTTTCAGTTAGAGCCCCTTCCAGCAACTAACCCTGTTCTTGAGGGCAAGAGATGGAAGTTGTGGCATAAAGCTATTGGGGGAGTTCTGGATCAGGTGCCGCAGATCAGTTGGGAGACTGTTCTCAAGGTGAATTGCCCTTTGAGCGAATAGAGATTAGGCTTTAACTAACTGCCGCAGGAAAAACACCCAGAAATGCTTCATCTTCTCGAGTTCCCTTATAACGGAGAAGCGCCCAAGAGCCTCCTGACCAATGACTACATCATGCCAAACGAGCTTCATTTCGTCCGGAATCACGGTGGCATTCCCGACATCGAACCAAGTGCCTACGACATCCGTCTCGATGGACTCATCAACGACCCCAAGACGCTTACACTTGCAGACTTGCAAAACGAATCCCTCTTTCCAAGAGTGAGCAAAGTCGTGACCATTCAGTGCAGCGGTACTCGTCGCTTCGAGCAAATCGTCGAGTATCCAGGCGAAGGCGACGAAATGATCAACGCCCCCTGGGCTGAAGGCGCTATAGGCACAGCGAAGTGGACAGGCGTCAGTCTGAAGAAAGTCATCAAGTACTGCGGCGGTCTGAAAGATGGCGCCAAGCATCTTGAACTCTACGGCGCGGACACGTATTTCAAAGGAGGCCAGTGCATGAACTACGTCGTGTCGGTGCCGTGGTCAAAGGTCAAGGCGAACGAGGTCATGTTGGCTTGGGAGATGAACGACAAGCCGCTGCCAAAGATTCATGGTTTCCCGTTGAGAGCTGTTGTTTTTGGGTATATTGGGGCAAGGAGTTGCAAGTGGCTTTATCGGATCAAGGCGATTGACAAACCGAGTCTTGCGCCGGTACAGAGCAGGGAGTATCTGTACTTCCAGCAACAGACTGGCAAGCATAACCAGCTTCCAACCAGTAAGTTTCACTTTCTTCACTCCTTAAATCAGATGCTGACTGTTTCGTAGTGGGTATTCAGATCCAGGAGATGCCGGTGAGCAGCGCCATCATGTCTCCTTGGAACAAGGAAGTTGTGGTCCACGATGGCGAGATCGAAGTCAAAGGCAAGTCCCCCACTGCGAGTTCCCGAGAAGCTACTGACTCTTCAAGGCTGGGCATACTCAGGCGGAGGCCGCTGGCCCGAACGCGTAGAAATCTCTTCTGACGGCGGCTACGTATGGTACGCCGTGCCCATCGAGAACCTCTCTCCCAAGCACAAGTTCGCCTGGCGCACCTTCACTGGCAAAGTCCCGTGCGACCACGAAGGTTGGACTGAACTCGTTGTTCGCTGCTGGGACAATAGCCTGAACACGCAACCAATGGAGGTTCGGCACAGCTGGAATTGGAGTCTGCATGTGACTAGCAGCTGTCATAGAGTCAAGATTTATAGTGTGAATGCAAAGAGGGAAGCTACGAGGAAGAGATTGAAGGAGTTCGATGAGCATGGGCAGGGGTTTACGCCTATTACTAGACCGACGGAGTTTGTGCCTATGAGTTTGGAGGAGTATGAGAAGGAAGTTGCGAATGTCGAGCCAAGGGATGTTGAGGATTAGATTATATCATCGATCTAGAATTTAGATCGCTCAAAGTCCAATGTCGGCCATGATATGCTAGTCAAGGAGCAGACTGTCCTTTTAAGTTCCATTTACAAAATCAATGTTTATAAACTCAACTGTTCGGCCCCAGCGAGTTCGAGTCTCTCGCAAGACGATGCAGTTCGTCTTGCAGGCGAAGAGCCGGATTATCACGTCAATAATATCTACCACTCTGTTGAGAGAGGTGAATATCCCACATGGACTATGTATCTTCGGGTCATGAATCACAAAGAGGCAGAGACTTACAAGTGGAACATCTTCGACATCGCCAAAAGTCTGGCCTCGCAAGAACTTCCATGATATCGAACAAGCAACCTTCTCGCCTTCAACGCTCATTTCTGGCATCGCTCCTTCACCTGATATCATTCTGCATGCGAGAATATTCAGCTATACTGATGCTGCACACTATCGTGTTGGTCCAAACTACCAGCAACTTCTATGCAATCGACCTCTGGACGCCTGCTCACGATACTAGAGTGACGTACCAATGCGTCTTGACGGAAACTACGGTTCGGATCCCGATTATGGTACGTGGTCTCTTATAGCTTGAGCTTGAGAGGAAATGCTAATACATACTGTTTGCTCCTCTTTCCGAAAGGTTAAAAGTAGCCCTACCTACGTCGTACGCAGCGAATGGGTTGGTAAACTTCAGGCCTACTCCTTCCAGGTCAAACAAGAAGACTGGGAACAGCCGCGTAATTTGTGGAAGATCCTCGAGGATACTGGGGATGATGAAGTCTTTCTGAACAACCTGTCTGGTCACGTCAACAAAGCACTTCCTGAAGTTCAGGAGGCAAAGGTTCGCCACTTACGAGGTGTATCAATGTGACAGGTATGTGGGCCTCTGTTAATGGAGAGATATAAAGGAGGCTTGAGGAAACGTTGAAGGAGTTGACTGAGGATTTTGACCGTTCCAAGGCACCGCCAAGCCAGACTGTGCTGACGTTGAGGCGCAAGTGATGCGTCCTAGAGAAGAAATGTTGTCCAACTAATACAAGAATGCCTTGTTGAGGCTATGGCATCGCGCTGTTCCAACATGCAGTGGGGAGCGTAGCTGCTGCTCTTATCTCAGGTCACACGAAGTGTTATGGAACGCCATGTTCACCGGAGCCGGGCGTATTTCATAGAGGGAACAAACTGTACTGGGGCTGGATGCCTTGCCAACCGTTCTGTGTAACCCATGAACCCTAAGAATAGATGCAATAGCGTGTCCCGAAGATGGTTCCACGCCCAGTTAGCAGCCTGTTCCTGCTGTGTTCCATGAATTGCCACGATCACATTCCGTCACTCTCGTATTCACCTGCAGGTCAGATTACGAAGGTCCGAAGCTGAGCCAAATGCTGAGTCGGGTATACAGCCCGTGCGTATCAGCCTGACCTGGCATCCTGAAAGCCACGACCCGCAGCCACAAGCTTACCAAAATGTGATTTAAATTTTCTTCTAGGTCTTGATCATACCTACGCGGCTACCCATGGTCCATGTAGATCTTTCCTCTTCAGCTCTCCCACCAGGTTGAGATCCGTTCAAGATGGAGGATGATGTCTCTCGTCCACTGGAATCTGTCCAGAGAAAACACCTCAGATCAGTATCAACCTGGTCTCCATCCGAAGCTAGCTCGATCCAGCATTCTCCATTATTCCATTGTTCATCTCCTCCAGTCTGGCAGGGTACAACTACTAGCAAAACTAGTCTTCTGAGTGCGAATCAAGAACCCAACGAATCAACCACATCTACCGGCTCTCACTGCTCCTCAACTTGGTCAAACATTCTCAGGAGCCGATGGCTCATGGTCGCATGCCTCGCCTTCGGTATCGCAGCGGCTGTTGGTCACGACACGCTCAACAAGCAACTTTCCGGTAAAGAAGCAAAGAATCAGATCTGGTGGCTTCGTCTCGGGCAGTCTCTTGCCTTTGTATCAAAAGCAAACTCTGCTATTGCAGTCTCGCTAGCTTACCAACAGATCGCTTGGACGTCCGTCGCTCATCGGAACTTCTCCGTGCATGCAGTTGATTCGCTCTTTGGTGCGGCACACAACGCCATCGAACTCCTCAACGCCGAAGCATGGAAGAAGTCATGGTTTGTAATGCTTCTTGCTCTTTACATGTGGATATCGCCACTCGTGGTGATCTTCACCTCAGCAACTCTGAACGTCGACAACCAGGTGGATAGGGCATGCCATAATGTCCGGACCCTCAACTTCAACCACGAGGCGAAAAAGAAGTGGACTCACAGGAGAAAGGCAGAGGGCGATGAGATACTACAAGGTGGCAGAGTGTCATGGTACAACGATACCTTACCAGATGAGGATGGCCCTGATGTCTTTGACTTTTGGATTAGCCCAAGTGCTTACCTTGAAGAGATTGCATCCAGAGTCCTGACAGGGGGGCAGGCACTGCAGCGAGACGAAGTCGCTGATGAGATCTGCGGAGAAGGATATGATTGCTCAACGGTTATCTACTTCACTGGCCCAGGATATAAGTGTGAGCAACTCGCCAACGGCACCAACTCGACGGTTAAGCAATTCAACGACAGGGATACTCCGTTCAACATGAGCAGGATGATTCCTGAAGGTTGGAATACTTACAACTGTGTTGCCGACGAGGGAGACTACGCAGAAAACCAGATTGAGCACGAGAGATACTTCAATCGACCATTGCAGTCCCTTCCATTCCCTGAGAATCTTGGTGCTTTCAGGACAGAGCCCATCATATGGCTAGGCTATGTTACTGTCGACGACGTGCTGGTCAGGCACGCTGAAAATAGCAGCCAGAAAGGATGGGACACTGACTTCACACCAATTATTTCGGCTTGCGAGCACTGGCAGGTTGATTACACTGTAAACCTGACATACACGCGGGGCTTCCAGTCGTACAACGTTACGAATCGGGAGTATCGGCGCAAGGTCATCAATACAACATACGTGGACGACTCAGCTGACGACGGAACGTTGGACAAGACTGTCGCGGAACCACAAGAGAACTACGTGTACCCCAAAGATTGGAAAAATTATCAACGCATTGCAGCGTTTCACTCACTCGGGCTGAAATTACGACAATTACTGCATGGAGGCTTGTCGCTTCCCGATAGAGGGAAGAGTACCGAGATCATGACGTCGAAGTTGGTTGGACGGCATGAGTTTCTGCCTGTCCCTAATTTTGAGAACCAGATACAGAGGTTGTATGAGAATTTGCTCATTTCGCTGCTGTCGGACACGCAGTTGCTTATGGTGTCATGGGCAGCGAATCCAGATGAACCGTCGGGGACCAGACCTTTGAAGAACGGGACGGAGTATCCTTGCATCAGAAGAACAACGGCGGGATTTTTCTTCTATCGGAGAAAGACTCTTGTTAGTGTATATGCTGTTTCGTTTGTCATTGTAGCTGTGGGCGTAGCGTACGGGATGCAGGCTATGAGGCAAGATGGAGTTGAGGAGTTGCGGGAGGTTACTTTCTCGTCAATTGCAGTCGCGTCGAAGAGCGTGAACTTGAAAGGTCGTAGAAGAGATCATGAGATCAGAGCTTGGCTGGTTGAGGACGAGCATGAGGGTAGAGTGTACGAGTTCAGGGATGAGGAAGCGATGGAACGTAAGAGCAGTGCTGGCGCCAGGGAGGGTGTCTGATATTGGGTACTTCCGCCAGCCACATGCATCAAAGAACATTGCTTGAAATTGGGATTCAATAATGTGCGGACAAAGGGATGGACGTGGCAGTTGATGGGAATGAAACATGGTATATATCTACAGCGAGTCTAATCTCTCAACAACTTATTTGCCCTTTGTTTAATCTCCTTGCTAAACCGAAAGTTTATCGGACTCTCACTCCCAACAAACACAAACCCATCATACAGCGCACATCCAACCACAGACCCTATCAACGTCGCTGCCCATGGCCCGTAGAACCACCATCCGCTATGAAACACATTCGACCCGCGGTATCCGACCGCATACGCAACGACTCTCGGCCCAAAATCAGAAGCAGGGTTCAGCGCAGATCCAATGTTATAGCCGAGAGTGAACTTGAGGGTAGTCACCAGAAAGCCGAGCACCAGAGCATGCATACCAGCACCGGGCGGGTTGTTCTGATCATCACCTAGTGCGAAGACTGCGATCATCATGATGGCGCTACCGACGACTTGGTTGAAGAACGCTGATTGGAGAGATACCCATTCTCGAGGTGTTGAGAAGAACGTTTTTGACATGCCGTCCATTTCGGGATCGACGTAGTGGATTGAGTCGGCGTAGATGCCGTACGCGAGTGCTCCGGCGACGATGCTGGCGATGAATTGGGCAAGGATGTAGATGAAACACTGCCGCCATGGAAAACCACGGAATAGAGACAGAGAAATGGAAATGGCCGGGTTCATGTGTGCGCCTGACACGCCGCCGCCGAGATAAATGCCAAACATCCATGCGAAACCCCATGCCCAACAAGAAGTCTCGTAAGTTCCATAAGATTGTGACTGCTTTGCCGAGAGATTCACAGACAGAGTACCAGTGAGGCCTAGAAAGATGGCAACAGAAGTAGCAAGGAACTCAGCAAGTGGCTCAGGGTGCTTCGCTCGTATCCTAGCCCACCAGTTCCTCATCTCGTTCGGATCCGTCTCACCAGCTTCAACCTCCGGCTTCTCCTGCTGACCCAAAGGTTCACTGTCAATTTTATAATCTGGCTGATTGTTGCTCTGCTGATGGGAAGCGACTCTCGATGCAGAGTCGCGATGTGAAGGTGTTGCTGCGGGCGTGGCCTCACCCGGGATGTAGTCAAATACCGGCTGCCCTGCATTGTTGCGCTTTTCGTTGTGCGCGACTCCAGCTGCTGTTGTTCGACTCTGCTGGTTTTGCATGTCGCGTGATGCGATACTGGTTTGAGTGTGCATTCGGTATGGTTGACCTGAAGTGGTGCGCGAGACATAGCCTGCGGGAGTATCTTCAGATTCCTCTTTTACGATGGCCATTTCCTCATCAACCTTTCCATCTGGTCTGATCGGTTTCACCACCTTGCGGCGAACACGGTGGGGAAGAGGTTTTCCAAGACTGAAGATAGGCTTCTTGCCTGCCTCGCCGAACCAAGGGTTCTCCTCATAGTAGCCCTCTTCGGCAGGGGCATATGTCTGATATTGGGATGCATGTTGTTGTACTGTAGGGCGCGTTGTACTGTGCCCGCTGGACATTCTTGTAAAGCGTCTTGAGCTGATCGGTCGCTTACTCATTCGCGACATGAAACTGGATGGCAATCCATGAAGTCCACGCCGTCTTGAGTGTGTCGACTTTGCATAATCAGGTTGTCCTGTTTCCCTGTCGGAGATGGTGCTGGGGATTCTGCTCGCGACGTTCCCGAGATGCACCTGTCCCGGCGTTGAGGGCGTCGCAGGTTTCGAGAAATAATCGTGATTCTGTTCTTGGTGCCCAGTCATGGTAAGCGCTCAAATTCGGTAGGTTCTTGCTTATTTCCACTGTAAAACCTGGATTTCGAGCTTTTATATGATTCAGGTACAAGTGAGGCAACTGTTATAATAATGACGTTTGTCCTCCACTCTAACGTCAACCGGAGGTTTCTCTCCAAGTGTGGACTCTTGAGCCGCACTGTTTCGCCGCTCAAATCTCTTAATTGCGGGCCTGTAAACCGCGTAAATTGGGTCGCGATCTCGAGATCGAGCATGTTGCCCCTTTGAGGGTTTGATGTTCCTGGATATTTCTGTTCTGGGAACCATGTTTGACCGAATGGGGTGCTCAATGCTACGTGTTCCATGACTCTTCCTTGGAGGCAAGGATGAAAATTTGGATTATTCTTGGTCGGAATTTCTAAGATAAGGGTATTTGTGGATCGTTTTATTACCTTGTTGCGTGTTTGTGTTGGGTTTTCTCGAATATTCTTGTTTTGTATCCTTGGCTTCTCACCGCATGCTACATCTATTCTTGGCGTTATGCATCGTGATAGTTAGCCCCAGGCTTTTGTTTGAGAAGATATCGTGGTCTCCAGTCCTGGAAACATCGATATTTACAAGCCAGTCCACCACAATTCTCACTCAAAGACAGCTGCCTTGCTGCGTCAGATCAACATCAAAGCATCTGGTACCGTACAATCTAGGAACTTAATGATGGAGATATGAGGAGCCTTGAAGACCAGGGAGATACTCCTTGTGCGAAGAGAATCCTGGAGGGAAGATGGTTCAAAGGGAGGTAGTCTTGCCTCTCACGCAAACTCGGCACTGTATCAGTTTGAATAGTTGTCGCCGCAACTACCGGCCATTTCTTCAGTTAGATCCCTTTTATTGATTTCTTAAACTGCTGTAATTCTTTTTCGTGATTTAGCTTTGAAAAGTGAAGAATATCTGCAATTACTTATGTCGTTCTTGTCTTGAACCTCATTTCCGACATAACAAGTCTAGGCTAGAATTAATCCTCCCAGTTTCAAAGATGCAAGAGCTAAAGCAATAACGGTAGAATTTATTTCTCTATTCTTATTAAAGATTCCAGCTATAAGTCTCAACCGCAAGAAAGGGGGGCGGCATGGTATTGTTCTCTGTTCTTGGTGCCTCCTGACAGTAACAGTGTTCTCAAAGAATAATAAAGGAAGTGTAGCGAAGAGTGTCTGTTCGTCATAAACCATAATCTCATAATAAGTTATGAGAAATTGCTCTCCGGTACCCCTATGAACAGTCAAGAGTGTCTAAACCAAGCCTTCATAACTCGCCAATGGATGTTCATCCGGGGGTTGTAACATGGTTGGTCAAGCCCATTGCCTGACCAAATCTAAACTATCTATTAACACAGTATATGCTCGCCATTACTCCAGTACCTAGATGTCCTTATGCTCTCAATTGCCACTGTGGTCGACTTCGCATTGTTAATACAGGATAGCAATTATGCTAATTTATACTAGGGCTCTTAAACACTCCAGGTTATATACCGAATTCGGAACACCAAGTTCATCTGGTAGGGATATTTCATTAAAAAAAAGAATCAAGAACCCAAAACAAGAACATTTGGGCGGAAGAGCAAAAGGAAAGGTCTCGGAGGGAGTCGAACCCTCGCTGGCGGAATCAGAATCCGCAGTCATAACCGTTAGACCACGAAACCTGTGTTTTAATTGGTGCAGGTTCCAGGCGCAAACTCAATTCCTTAGCGTTCTCAGCACCCGACAGCGCACGGCTTTACTGATCTGCCTGCACTGTACGAACCAACTCGCTTGCAACCATCTCGTTGTTGTCGTTTTGTGGTGCGTGACACGCCGGCACGCACGCTTACCATAGGGGATGTCTTTCCTGAGAATTGGGTGTCTTCTTTTTTCTCCAGTGCGAAAGGTCAAGGCTACATCCCTGCCGTGCAGAATATTACAGAGCAGGGGTGCAAGCTTTGTTTTGGCGGCATTGGTTCTGTCACCTCACAGGGGGGAATTGGGTTGGAGATGCGCGACCGCGCTGGTAATGTGTCCCGCTTCAGCATATAGGCTGGCACTCCAGCATCACTGTCACATGCGACCATAGGTAGTGGAAAATACGGGATCCCGTCTGCTCTCCCATAGTCAAGCCACTAACCGGCGGATTAGTAGTTGGGTCGGTGACGACCAGCGAATCCCCGCTGTTGTATGTAAGTTTTTGCTAAACTTTAACCCGCCTTTATATCATATCGTGCGTGTTGCATCCATCGCTATGCGCCAGAAACAAGTGGTGGATACGTCGCTTCGCGATGGATGCACCAAGCGCGGTATGATATCAAGGTAGATTAAAGTTTTTTTTTCGTTTATATAATTAAGTATTTGTTTTAGTCACTGCTCTGAGGAAGTGGCAGTTGGAACTGAGGTAAGGCGTTGTTTTGGTGTTGACTGTTGAGGTTGTGAGACTTGACAGTAACCCGAGGTCAGAATAGGATGCTGCTATTGTGTATTCAATTGGCATATATTCCGAAAGCTTATTATAACTTTGTCGCAGAACTGTGATTTGTACATACACTAATCGTAGCGGTCTATATGCTCTTGTGCAGCAGTATTGTAGATACTGAGGCACTTGGAGTAGTTTGAAAATACAAAGCCTTAGACTCTCAAACCCATAAGTAAGTCCAAGTTGCACTGCTGAAATTTCTCCTCGCTAGCTACAACCTAACATGCTTTCACATAGTCTCCGTCCGCTCACTCAGGATCATCATCCAACAGCTCCTTCACCCTCCCCAACGCCTCCTTCTGAACATCCTCAACCGACTGATCAACACTAACAATCAAAACATCACTCTCATCCTCCGTCGGCCTCTCCAAAGCCTCAAACTGGCTATGCACAAGCGCAGATCCCGCAAAATGCCCCTTCCTCGCAGCAGCACGCTTCGTGAGCACTTCCTCCGGTGCATCAAGATGTAAGAAGTGCACACGCAAATCCCCAGCTTTGTCAGAACCTTCACGTAGCATGTCGCGGTATTGGCGCTTGAGTGCTGAGCAGGTAACGACGAGGTGTTCTGTTCCTGGGCCGATGGGATGGTGCGTGGCGTGTTCATGGAGAGCTTGCAGCCAGCCGTAGCGGTCCTCGTCGGTGAGGGGTTGGCCGTGGCTCATTTTCTCGATGTTGGTTTTTGGGTGGAACTGTGAGACTGTTAGTAAGTTGTAGAGAAGATGGGAGGGCACAGACATCATCGCCTTCGACGAATTTGAGATTGAGCTTCTCTGCTATGAATTTGGCGACTGATGTCTTGCCAGATGCTGTCGGACCTGAGACGAAGAGGATCCATCGATGGTCTTTTGGGACAGGCTTTGCTTCTGGTTTCTTAAGATCACTCATTTTGTAGATTTCTGGAGGTTGGGGGTAATTTGAGCGTCAAGCTAGAAGTTGCTGTTACGTTGTCACATTGTTCGAGACGCTAGAGACAGTGAGCGATAACTTGTCAGTGACAAGTTTAGCGTTGAACTGACTTGACGTCATAGTGATCCCCGGTTTTGCTAGAGACCGTTGATTCACTACGCGTGCCATCCAATTTTCTTGCGTTTCGATCAGTTTCTATACTAATTCCTCCACGGCATGTAAACCGCCAACATGATAACTTCAGTCCACAATCGTATTCACAATGCAGGTGTAGGGTAGGACAACCATTCTGAAACATCACTTGGCCCTCCCTCGTTGATCGACATTGTCATCGCGGACCATCAATGGACCCGAATCAGACATTTCCAATCTCCATAATTCTCTGTCCCTTTTCCCATTTTTTAGTACGGGGTCCGAGATACCCGATAACACCATCAGTCCACGACCCTCAAGAAACATCACTATGCACCAAGACACCAAGTTCACAACGTGCACCTCACCAGGCTTGTAGCTGAAACGAGCTGGGCAACGCGATCATATCGCGAAACATCCACTGTATTCCTTCTATGCTCATGCTTACCGAATGTCGCAATGCCCAGGCCGGGCTCGGGTAGCTGGTGAAGCAACCAGTCTGACATGCCTCTACAATCGGAAAAAACCACTGATAGCACTGTTTCAGGTCAGATTCTAGACGATTGATAACAACCGCCCATATCCTTGTCCTTGATGGAGAAAAAAGGAGCGTCGAACATTTCTGGGTCACGGACGTAGGTGGGGAGGAGAAATTAGCCCATTTTGTTAGCATATCTATCAATATACGTAAAAACTACTAACAAGAGTCTAGATCCTGGCATTTATTTATCTGATTACCAATGCTTCGAGGCATTTATTACTCTAGATGCTAAGAACGAGTGTTGGCCTTTGCGCTGGATAAGAATGGACAAGATGGGTAATTGCGTTTTTAAGAGCGGCCAAGAGCTGGATCAATCAGCCTTATAGTCTGGGAATACAATTGGATGGGGGGTTTCGTGCTATGACACGGCGTTTATCTCCGTTAACCCGCTATGATCCTTCGTGTTGCTTGGGATTCAAAGCTTAGCATTCCAAGAGAAATGAGCTGTGCCGATCCTTCGCCAAGCAAAACTCAGTCTGAATCACGAATGCAACCAACAGCCATGTGAACAACAACAAAGCAGAAACAGCCACTGCTGATCAATTCCACATGCCTTCTCTAGGGTAGCGTCACGTCACGTCCGACATCGTCATCGAATTGCGCCCTTGCATATGGCGCGCCCTGCCACAATGGCGGGCATTGCCCGAACCAATAGTAAAAGCAAAGTTGTTCTAGAAGACCAGCTAGCGCCGCTTGAGAAAATTTCTGGAAGGTGGTAGGAAGAAAAAACTCGACTTGTGTGGCTGCGGACCCGAGGTTGCAGGCTCGGTAAGCCCGACATGATGCGAGCGACGGAGAATACGGGACATTATTTTCTCAAGGAGGGAGCAGACTTTTCTGTGTTGGGTAGGTCGTTCGTTCGGACTGGTGAGGCAATAAACCTGGGTTTAAGGGGCGATCATTTTAGTTCACTTCTAATACAAGCTTAACCTGTACACGGTCTAGCCAGATTTTTATCCTATTCCCAGTTTCACGATTCAAGCTTCATCAAGATCCAAGAGAGGTAGAGGACTCCGTAGTGATCCGAAGATCTTGGCCGTCACGACGGTTCGCAATGGAGACCAACTCCATATTCCCCATGGGGCGCTGTTTATCACTGACAATCGCCAAGAAAACATGTGGTCAACGTTATTATGTATCAAGTGGTTTCTTTTACGTACAAACGCCGTTGGGTCTAGAAGTGCGTGCGTTGCGTTGAGGCATGACTCCACTGGTAGGGGGATGGGAAACATGTGGTGATGATGGGTGTTCATAGCTTTTATGGGTTTGCTCAAGGATGGTCAGATAAACATGAACTGAGCTTTACTCGCTGACAAGGAGGAGATATAATGTTGTAATACTTGTTGGTAGTGATACTGATTATCATGATGGTGATGTTGATCCCCTTTCTGCGGCCGTAAGAACTGGACTCAGCGAACGAGTCTCGGGCCGACCGCAGCCTCAAGTGGAGACGGCGTCAAGTGCCGAAATCTGCCTGCACAATCTCCCATGTCAAGCCGAGCCAAGCAGCAGCAGCAGCAGCGGATATGGCGTCAAAGACTTGGAGTAACCTGAGCCTTCTCCGCACCGAGCAAATCACCCTCTCCCTCCAAAACTTGGGGAAAAATCACCCAACACTGCCATCATACCACAACCACGTTTCTCTCCTCTGTCTGTTACGTACAAAAAACATCCCTTGCCACCCGGGGCCCCGAGATTTCACCCCAGGAACAAACAGTCCTTGTCCACGAGATTATGAAGGAAGCTTTTAGTTGGAGTCGTGAAAGTTGGAGCGAGAATAGCCGCGGGCTGATTTGGAGAAGCGGAACCGCTAACCTGACTATGTCTAGTGCGCCTTGACAAAAGGGGAAAAGTGTGGACAAACTCTGCAGAAAAATTTGACGAGGGACGGTATTTCTCGGCTGAAAAAGAGGAAGAGTCAACGATTGACCCGTTCGAGATAAGCTACAAACTCGGCCCGCTCAGCATACTCTACTCTGCCCCCATGGGGCCTCGTCCGTGAACAAAGAACTCACTCCCCTATCTCTTACGTTATCCACTGGGATCCATAAACGGAGATGCGAGTCAGTTCGGGGTAGAGCAGATCAAATGTTCCAACGAAAGTCTTTTACGTAGTTGTGTGGGAACAGAAATACCTACCCCAGATGAGAATGGGGCTCATCTAGATATATAAGCGTGCCCCAGACTCTCCAGTCCTCGGGTTCCCCTTCTCTTTTGTCTATCCATCTTGTGTTCAACTTGTGAAAGGAAGGGAAGAACTGCGATCATGAGCCATTACGATTCGGAGAATCAGGCCCCTGAGCCTACCAAGCATCACGGTGAAGAAGCCGGCGTCACCAACGATGCTGTCTTTGGAACAATCACCGAAGATGGTCCCAACTACCGAAACGTACGTCACTTGGCACATACAACACCAGAAGACACAGCTAATGGGAGCAGGTTGGTTGGCTCGGAACTTCAGTTCTGATGATGAAGTCCCAAATCGGTCTCGGCGTCCTCTCCATCCCCGCCTCCTTCGACGCCCTCGGCCTCATCCCCGGCATCATCTGCATGCTGTGTATCGCCGTCATCACAACGTGGTCAGACTACATCGTCGGACGGTTCAAGCAGCGACATCCAGAAGTCTACGGCATCGATGACGCAGCTGGTCTTGTGTTTGGACGCTTTGGAAAGGAGTTTTACGGTATCTCGTACTCGCTTCTTACGATTTGCATTGCGGGATCTGCCATGCTTGGTATTTCAATCGCGTTGAACAGCTTGAGTATGCACGGTACTTGCACTGCTGTCTTTGTGGCTGTTGCGTGTATTGTCGCGTTTGTTACCGCCTCGATTCGAACCCTTGATAAAGTCAGTTGGCTTGCTTGGGTTGGTCTCGTCACCCTGATCACATCCAGTAAGTCTCATTATCAACTCCATCAGAAACATCCCTAACAAACTGCAGTTTTCGTCGTCACCGTCGCTGTCGGTGTTCAGGACCGCCCCGACCTTGCCCCCAAGGATGGTGTTTGGAAGTCCGATTACAAGCTCTTCAACACCCCCACCTTCGCTGAGGCCATGTCTGCCATCGCCGCTTTCATCTTCGCCTACTGCGGAACTCCCGTCTTCTTCCCTATCGCGGCTGAGATGCGAGAGCCCAAGCACTACAAGAAGGCTTTGATCCTTTGCCAGAGCGTCGTCACTGTTGTTTACATCGTGGTCGGCATTGTTGTCTACTACTACTGCGGTACCTACGTTGCTTCTCCTGCTCTTGGATCTGCTGGAAAGACCATCAAGAAGATCAGCTACGGTCTGGCTCTGCCTGGTCTCATTGTTTCTGCTACACTCTACACTCACGTAAGCTGATCTACCTCACTGTATAATGATGATTGATACTGACAACGCAAAGGTTCCCGCCAAATACGCTTTCGTTCGCCTCCTCCGAGGCTCCAAGCATCTCACCGCCAACAGCTTCACCCACTGGGCTGTCTGGCTCAGCTGCACCTTTGGCATGGCCATCATTGCCTACGTTATCGCCTCCGGTATCCCCGTCTTCGGCGGTCTCGTCTCTCTTGTCGGCGCCCTTCTCGGAACACTGCAGTGCATGCAGCTCTTTGGCTGCCTCTGGCTCTATGACCACTGGGCTGAGGGCAAGGACAAGTCCCAGCGCACTACCAAGTGGACCATGATGGTCGGCTGGTGTATCTTTGTCATTGTTCTTGGTACCTTCCTTATGGTTGGTGGTACTTATGGTTCCATCAAGGGTATTATCGACTCATACAACGTGAGCGGCGGTTCTGCTGCTTGGTCTTGTGCCGATAACTCCAACTCTTCCTAAAGGGCACATGGAGGATAGATGTTTCGATGTAGTTATAGATGATTTATAGATGTTAAATGCAAGCGTTGATAGAGTTCAAATAATGGCCAGCCGCGTCTCGTGAATGCATGAACAGTCCTTTCCAAGTCACTCTCAAAGTCACGGAGACCAGACAGTAACCCCTTTACGGTTTGGCCACTCACAGCTTCTCCTTCAATGAATTCACTCTCCACTCCCCCTTCAAATCTTTCTCAATCCTCTCAAACACACCTGGTCCTTGCTTCCCCAAGCCTGTCCCCACCGCCACGGCATAAGCTCCAACGCTCCTCATCCTTCGATAACCGTCCCCGTCACGTACTCCACCGACCCCGATGATCTTTACATGACTCAGTTCCGGGACTTGGTCGAGCATCTTTCTCAACGTCGACACGTTACCTAGTGCAAGCGGATGAAGTGGCGGACCGGCCATGCCACCAACACCAGTACCAGGCAATTGGGGTTCTAGCTTGTTGTTCTCAAGAACAAGGCACGACCCGAGAGTGTTGGCGGCGGTGATGAAGCTGAGGGACGACGCAGTTGGAAGCAAGGTCTCAATCAAGGTTGCGAACTGTCCGTGGTGGGTATAAGGCGGTGTCTTGATACCAACAGGCAAAGAAGGACTCTGTGGAAGCAGATCAAGATATTTCTTGAGAGCAGCGCCCCCATACGCAGGCGGTGGAGCGCCAGGGATGTTCGGACAACTCAAGTTGACCTCCATGGCCAGAGGGAACGGAAGGGCCTTCGACGCAGCCTCGATACGAGCATAGCTCTGTTGTATGTCCTCAGGTGAGCCGGTGACACTGACGATGAAAGTCTTTCGCAGTCCAGGAAGGCGACCAGCAATCTCTGACAAGAAGCCGAGATACCCATCGAGCGTGATGGGACTGTAGCCCAGGTTATTCAAGCTTGCCATTGCATCTCCTGTGTGGCCCTTGGGTGGAACCTGGTTGGAAGAAGTGCCCTGGTCTGGGGTTGCAGTGGCAGGGTTGAAGAAGAGGTATTGGTGCTGCTCATGTTTGTGGCCGAAGCCATTGATAAGCGATGTGCGGGTCGTGATAGCGCCTGTTGAAGGGGATGAAGCGATTGCCAGAAGATCGTTAATGTCGGTGGCCCATGGGGTTGCCGAGTTTAGCAAAGGCGGGCTAATCGCCAATTCTGGTGGCGCCATAGTTGTAACTTTGAACAGGAAGCGGTTGAGGAATGAAGTTGAAGTCCAAGTCGAAGCCAATAGTGAGGGGCTGGTGTTGATAAGAAGCGCATTATGTAATCACGAGACAGGCCTTTCTCAATATGGCACTTGGTGAGGTCGCCAACTCAGTTCGCCCATGTTTGCTGGACATCAAGTGTAAGTGACTCTTGAATTTGTATTTTTTACTAAAATCTTCACAGCTCATCATTACCCTGAGCCTCCCACGCTCGCTGCGCCTTGAATTGTTCCGGAAACCACTTCGGCGTCTTGCCCTCAGTCATCATATTAACCAGCGCCTCAGCACTCCTATAAGCCCATGCCATTCCGTGCCCATTCATACAAACAATAGCCCACAGTCCATCCTCAGCCGGAACCTCGCCAACTAGAGGAAACCCATCCGGTGTCTCACATACAATACCCGTCCAGTCCTGGAGAACCTTCGTCGAGCCGCCCCAGTTCTCGTACCCGTAGACCGTACGGGCTGCGCCATGAAGGACATAGGCGATTTGCTCGTTGATAGCGGTATCATCGGTGATGTAGCGTTCGCGCGTGGGAGACATTTGGGTTGAGCCGCCGATTACAACACTGCCTTCGTTTTTGGCACCTGGGGGCTGAGCGGCGATGTAGACGTTGCCGCTGTGGAGATCAGGAACGCTGTTGCTTCGTCGGAAGACTTTGTTATCAGTCGTGTTGGCGGAGGGCGTTACGGCAGAGACTTGGTTGCGGACAGGCATGGTGAAATTGGTGCTTGCGATGCCGGGGTGAAGAGCAGGCGTGAAGCCATTGGTAGCGAGGACGACTTGCTTGCTCTTGACGGTTCCTCGATTCGTCTTGACTTCCCATCTCGCTCCAGCCTTAGTCTTCCTGCCGAGCTGGTTGAGACTTAGCGCCATGGTGTTTGTTTGTAGATTGAGACCCTTCTCAAGGCTGTACTCAAGCATCCCGCAAACGGTATGGTATGGATTCTGAGTATGGGCTTTGAAGGTCACAGCACCAACGATCTCAGGCCATCCCCAGTAGTCGCGAGCCTCCTGGCCCTTCCAGATAGTCCTCTTGTTCTTGGGAACGTCATTGGGTCGGCGCTTCTCAAGATCGTGCTGAAACTCAATTGACTCAACGGCTGTCTTGAACGAATCATCAGTCCAGTACAAACTGGCGGTCTCGACGTCTGTGAAATCGCTTGAAACGTTGTGTGAGCGGACAAAATCGCGCACGTCGTCGACACAGTCCTGCTCCATGTTGGCGATTCGAAGAGCATCGTCTTCGCCATATGTCTCGACCCATGCCTTCACGCCATTGTAGTCACCAGGCTTGCAATGACCTCCGTTACGGCCAGTCGCGCCTGAAGCCGCAGTTCGCGCTTCAATCATCAGAATCGATAGGCTTGAGTCGCGGTCCAACAGCTTGTGTGCAGTAGCAGCACCTGAGATACCGGAACCAATGATGACATAGTCAAAGGTCTTCTCTGTCGGCAGATCCTTGGTGGTGCGGAGGTTGGCGATGCGGTGAGGAGGATCTTGCCAGTACGACTTTGTCGCGTTCGGCAGAGGCAATCCAGGAATCTTGAGAGGGGACTCATCAGGCGTGTCGCTTCGCGAGGAGTGAGGATGCGCGACGGCGAGAGAATTGACACCTGAAGCCAGAAGGATGCTGGCTGTTATCACCTGAGACAAAGAGGACCTCATGATCGATGATTGACTTGACCGCCGAGAACCTTGAAGGAGGAAAAAAGGTAAAGAAGCCTCGCTGTCGATCTTTTATACCGAGTCAGCGCGACGAGAAAGATCCGGACTTCAATTGTAGAGCCGCTCCAAGATTCGCTCAACAATCATGGAGAAACACGACCGCCCGATAAGCGTCGGTTCCGTATACTCAATCAGGAAGGATATGATCGAGGTTCCCCGAATTTGAGTGGGATCGGCGGTTGTCGTGCGGGGTTCACATCCTGGTTACTGCAACGTTAGTATCACGGTCACTACCTTATTTCCCTCACAATGGTACGATTAGAAGATTGGGTTCATGGACTTATCCTTTTATTAAACTAAATATCAATGAACTCTAAACTCCCGAGTGGAAAGCCAGCGTCTGCCATTGGGCTACGCGAAAACACCAAAGCTCTCAAGAAAACAACCCAAAGCGGAAACACTTAGAGACCCATAGCATCTGCAGCAGATGGATTCGCGACTCTGAGAGCAGACTTGACCTCTTCGATAGGGACGAACCACTTATCCTGCTCCTTAATCTCCCACCATCGTCGGTTGTCGCCACGCTCAATGATCAGTCGTCGCCAGATCTCGAGGGCCTCATCGCGGAACTTCTTGCCAGGCTCACTCTGTAACTCGGGAATCTTGATGTCAGCCGTATACTTCATCCATTCAACTCGAGGGTCAAAACGGTCGTTGATGATGAATTGATGGCGTCGTGGGCCAAGCTCTTCAGTCAGCTTATCACATTCTGTTTTGTAAGAATCGGAAGCGAGGCATGACACAGCACTGAAGAGCTTGAATAAACCTTCATTCTCGCTATCTTCGCCATGGTGAAGGCGGCCAGTGAATGGAAGCATCTCTTGGATCTCGGTGACCGCCTCGGCGAGATTGTTCAGGGCCTCTCTTTCAATCGCATCGGTACAGTACTCGTTCGACAGCAAATAAGCCTTGATTTTGTAGACTTCAGCAATACCCTCGGGGTAGTCAAATCCTTTGAGTCTCTCGCCATAGCCAGTGAAAGGACCAAACTTTCGGCCGTAGAACTGGGTGTGAATACCGGCGACGATCCACTCCATGTTTGACACAGCACGATGTGTTCCTCGAGGCAGATCAGAGCCGAAACGTCTCCAGAGCTTGCTCCTAGCGGTTAGTGGTCCTTCGCTGACTGGTCGGTACATGAGAAAGTTCTCAAGGAGAGAGCTGGGGCAGTAGGATTGCATTGCAAGCTCGACTGCGTTGTCGGGTCCCGTCTCTGGATGACCTTGGGCGCCAAAGCGATCTTGGTAGAGATCAATTACACCACCATTCTTGCACAGCATCCCAATCATGTGAGAGATACCATCGCGGAACTCGTCAGCGAACAGTGCATCTGAGGTCCATTTGATCCATTCAACCAAATGGTCGATAGGAGGTCGTGGAGAAGGGTCTGAAGCTGAAGCCCCAACAGCCTGGAGTGTTTGATGCAATAGCAACTTCAACATATTCAGGGCAGCTTTGGTATCCTCTTCAGATTTATATCGCCCCGCAAATTCGGCAATGGCTGACTCTTCCCCGCGGCTTGAGTCTCGAGTCTGCGTGGAAATCCACAGAGAAGAAGGCTGGAAACCAAACTTGAAGTACCCTTTAAGCGTGAAAGGGAACTGTCCCTTGCGAAGTACGCTTTTCAAGATCTCTGACTCGTCTCGAGGATCTGAAAGGAACAAGGGACGAGTGCCGAGGACTTCGTTCATGATCTCTTCCATATCAGCTCCATCGAAAGAGGCCTTATTCAAAAACAAAATAAGAAGATGCTCTGGGAGGAAGAGAAGGGGAGACTTTCCATCTATCTCGAAAGAGTGCGACATTGTTCTTGATTTCGAAGTGGAAATGATTCGGTAATTCCTGTGTTTGTTTGTGTGGGAATGGTAATGAGTTGATGGATGTTGGTAATTCGGGTAGATCTGGGAGAGCCGCAACGGCCTTATATAGGCTGAAAACGTGGGGGAGGATTTGGTGTCTAAAGCGCTCGCTTGATAACTTGATCGTGTTCCAAAACTGTTCAGATGTGCACCAGTCATATTCAGTGGGTTTGGCTGAACAAAGAGACTGTCAAGGATTAGCGAGATACTCACGTGGACAATTGCAACGAACAATGGAAACAGGCTCCGCACCAAATTTATAGAACAGGCTGCGAGGTTCCAAGAGCGAGATCATGTTGGACGTCGCGCGACGCAAATCATGCCGTTGTTCTTCTGCTGGGGTTCAACAGCAACACACGAGAATCTGGATCTAAGGCTCACCTTGAACTTTCCAAGTTGATCGTACACTCATAATGTTGATCTCGTGTTCAACCCAGATTTTGATGAGAGAACGTGAGAGTCACCTGCCACTGGTTGCCATAGTCCCGAGACAATGATTGGCTTGGGCCCTTGTGAGACTCTCCCACCTCGAACATCTGACTTTGTAACTCGCCAGGAAGTAATCTGTTCAAGCTAATTGTCTCTGGACCTCATTGAGCGGCGGCCTGGTCGAGGTTGTTGTGTTATGCCGGCGTAGTTGTAGGGAACTCCATAGGGGTAATGCTGCAAGCCAGAGCGGCGGTTGATAGATAGAACGTCGGAGTGTCAAATAGCTCACACCCGTCTGATGACGGGTTTGGAGTCAATGTATAGTGCGCGAAGTCGGAGACCGGTCCAAGAGGGCTATGTTGGTCATTAGGAGTGATTGCTGCAGGTCCCAGCGGTCGACAAGGCGACAAGGCAAGATGGTGGAGCTGGGATGGGGCCACATGACAGTACCTAAGGTAAAGAGTGCGGTGGACTCAACTTGCTTAAGGTACCGAGAGAAGGCAACCGCCCCCTAAAAGGCATGCCACTTGTTGGGCCCTTCCCATCCCAGATCATGTCCTCCCTTCCTCGTCGTTTTTCCTTGCGTCATTCCTCCGCTTCTCCAGGCGCGTGCTACAACAACCTCACATTGTCTGCTTCATCTCATCCGCTCAAGCATCCTCAACAATCATCAAACATGACCAGTCATCCCAAAGCATTGTCCACTCCCTCACCGAGCCATCAGCTGAGTGCCAAAAGCACAATCACATGCGCCCCTCACTCAGACATTCAGTTCTACTCCCGCGAACCCTTCATCTGTCCTTCCAGTCAAGATACAGCAGACTTGTAGCCATCAACATTGTTGTCTGCCACCGCGCCCCCTCAAAGTCAGCCTCATCGAAGCACGGCCACTCTTGTGAAGTTAGATCGAGATCCAAGTCCCTTGTTGGACCGCCGATTCGAAGGCCAACAGCCCGAATCTACTGCGTTAGGAACAGCAACACGACCAAAGCTTTGTGAAAAGGCGAAAAGCGGCCAGGTCCAGCGAGCTTCAGCGGAGATGAACAACCAAAGACTCCATCAGATCCAGAAACACAGGCCGGTGAGATACTTTCAACCGTACCTACAAGATACTCAGAGCGTGGATCACTTGATCCAATCGATCAAGCAAACGTAGTGCGTACAATCAATAGGTTAACACCAATTGACAGAGACATTTGCGCCCCGGCGCCTGAGGTTTACAAAATACGCACTTTCAGAAGATTACACAAAGGCGCTCAATTTCTCACGATTCTCTTCGGCGATGCTTGAATTGAGAAAACTTCAGAACTACACTCAGTGTCCGAGCTGTATTATAATGGCTATCCACCCCCTTCCTGAAAGACCGCCGAGCCAAGACTCAGGGCCACTCCTCTGATGCCGATTGTCAAATACCTCGATCGTCGAAGAGCTTTTTCAGACTATACAAGTCACGACCAGTTCGACCCAAGGGTGCAATTGAGCCACGTATTTTGACAGGGAGGTATAGCAATCGTCCAGCTTTCTTCAGCCTTTGGCGAAGTCTGCTGAGTCGGGGCCAGTCCTGCTCATGGGTGCGGCTGAGCCTAGGAGAGATTGAGAACGCTATTGAACACGGTTTGAATGAGCAAAAGAATGCCGCATGTCCAACTTCGACTGAGCGTCGGGCCAGTGTTGTTGAGTCAGTATCCAGCTTCGACTGAGCATTTTCGCCAGTCTTGCTGAGTTCTTCTCAGGGGATGACCACACTTGGCTCGATGGAGGAATGGTTATGAGGTCTGGCTCGCACAACCTCCACGTGGTGTTGCCGGAGACCTGATCCGATGGACTTCAGGTAACGTGGGAGACGCAATCCAAAATGGGAGGGGGCCATGATCGATGCCACCACAAATTGATCGGTGTTACAAAATTGTCACTATTTGCTAAGTGCCCTTTTAGTCGCAACCCCTGGCTCCGAGAATCTCTCCTCTGACAAAACGATCCAGTCTCGACCGAAGTGTTCCGATGCAACTCCAACTCCCCAATCATACCACGACAAGAATAAGGCGTCAGGATAAATGAGAAGGATGGATGGAAGTCGCTTTGGTCGCCGATTGGTAACTTTGATCGCGGGAGGTTGTGTTTGGGTAGCGGTGGACCTGTTGAGCTGAAGTTTGTGCACATCCTCTTCCATATACCGTGGGTATTGACCTCCCATAGTACAGGATCTGATGACAGGATTCATGTGGCTCTAGAAAGTATTGGAGACACGTAGGCATGGAAAACCGCATGGATGCGAAAGACACAGACGAGAGGACACCCGAAGAAACAAACAAGGACAGAAACAATTGCAACTTGGAAGTTTGGCGACCTAGTGCAGCTAGAGCTCTGAGAAGAGGAAGGACTCTTCGGCTTTGTGGAATGGATTCGAGATAAGAATCGGATACTCTCTGGCTGAAACTGAGGTGATATTGTCAATCTTTTAATCGTGAATATCCCGTGCTACAAAACTCGCTGAATGTTTTGAACTTCCCATCGCTTGCCCTAGTCCTCACTACATATGCACCAACCCATATCCTTGCATTTTATATTGCAGCTTCTTGTACGAGGCCTTATTGCCTGGAGACACAAGAAACCTAACCGCATGTGTAACCGCAAACTGTTGATAGGCTGTCCTGAAGTTGATCTGGTAGTCACGGCTGCGATCATTCAGAGGTGCGATGGGCCAGAAGATCCCAAATCACTGTGAATCGAAATGCATACCGAGCTTTTTGGAAAAGGCCAGCGAACTTAGATGTATACTGTTAGCCTTTCTGTGAACAACATGGCCCCAACAAATATAGGCATACTCTGCACCACAATACTGTAGCATGGGAGTTAAAACTTCTTGCAACTACTTTGCGTCAGTTACCCAGTAGTAGGGCCACATTACGTCTTCTTCGCATGGACTGTACGCACTGTATTCCCGTTTTTGCCAGCAGGCGCAAAAACGTAGGTCCATCCTGAGCCAATTTTGCAAGTGTGAGTGTTCCTTGCAACTCGTCTCGTCTTCTTACGGGCCTTCAGAAAGCCTCTATTTGTCAATTATACGGACTTATCCAGCTCATGGCGTGAGTCTCGAAGACATGGAGATCGAGATCAGTTGAAACGCGATGGTATATCTTGATCTTGGTGGACGCCGGTGTATTGCATACCACGGTTGCGCGGTGTGAATGGAAATCTAGCAGCGTGGTAAGTTTGAATACATAGATCGACACGCAGCATGGTAAAGGGGTGAACAGTAGGTACCTGTGAGGTAAATTCCCATTAAGATCTCGGGTTGAGCACAATCAGGGGTATTGAACTTGGGTCCAGGGGCAACGTGAAAACAAGGCTCATCAAGATTCCTTTTGTTTCGTACATTTACCCGGCTCCGGTAACAGGATGATCAGCCAATAGAATCCGGTAGAAACTGTTGATAACAGTTTGGCCTTGGGACCTTATGTCGCATCATAAAACGGTTCTCCCAGGTTGAATGCGAAGCATCGCAAAGGACTTCGTCATGGCACTGGCCAGTCCATAATACGCCTCGCCACCCTGTTCATAGGCTTTTGACTGCAGCAGCTTTGGTCATGGTGAATCAGTGGTTCCATGAGATGATTGGTTGAGACGTTTGCGAACGTGCATCTTGTGTTACTGACTGTCACTCCCGTTGCCACTGGCGCTGGCACTGGATTCCCACTGTGAGTTGGACTGATCGATTCACTAGCAAACGTAAGCCCCATGTTTTTGTCTACAAAGGCCAGGTCTTCGCTTCCAACTCTTTTCCCTTCTTCATCCCTCAAGCCTTCTGTAAAAACATTTAATCTTGCTTTTCAAGTTCTATCCAGAAAAGTATACAACCGCCCTCAGGTATGCTACTCTACCGTCATTAAATAACATGTCTAACGCACTGTAGTGACCATGGCGGAGTCCTCAGTCGGTACTTTTCCCACCCAAGATCTTCAGAGCACCCCAACTGCTACAGAAACTTTCTCAACCTTTAAACCTTTCCCACGCTTACCCACGAAGTTACGACTCGAAATCTGGAAGTCAGCCTGCCTGCCTTAATCGTCGAGAATCGAGAGGGACCTTCACTACGTCGCGGTGGACGTCGTAGACACTCAAGGTTTCAGGATAAAAGACTACAAACATCCTGTCACTGGTGACCCAAACCTCGAGGGCCACGACTACGACTATGAAGGCATTGGGTATGTCACTATGAGAGCCCTGGAGAGCCCATGGGGTGAACCCGCCAATTCACTATCTCCTGTCAAGCACGTTAACAAGTCAGCCTATCTCTGGGACGCAGGTCTTTGGCTGGCCTGCAAAGAATCCCGTGAAGTGGTATCAAAGCATCTAAATTTGAAGGAATGGCTTGCGTGTCGACAACAGCCCCTCCCAAGAGGCGAGTCCGCATGGTACGACAAATCTTTCCCCTCGGCTATTGTTCTTCAGAACAAGAGCGAGAAACGGTGCCCGTTAGTGAAGCCGTATAGTGATATGTTCTGCATTGACACCTCCAATCTCGAATCAGTCCCTGCGTGTTCTCTCGACATGATGCTGTTGGCCCCTTTCTTTGGCACCAAGAAGTTCACAGTTATTGGAAGTTGGAACATTGCTTTCAAGTTCGACCGCAGCTGGAACGCCAGCTTTCCTTCTAGCTGGTCCGATTTGATGAAACGAGAAGACTCTATGCGAAGCCGGCTAGCGACGTCCCTCTATTACCAGGAGATGGCGGTTTCTACTACACCATCCCTTTGGCTCATCGACGATGACGTTCACTGGGTTGCACGATATCGCCAGAGGTGTTCCACTGTGTGGCGCGACCTTGAACACGAATATGTCGAGATCGACTGGGATGAAACTCGCAGCAACATGGTTGATGGAACTCAGGGTGCTGTAACCGATTTCCTGGTTGCCCTTGAACAACTTGCTAACAATGACCCTTACTTCTACGGCTTGGTCTTTCTATTAGTCAGACTTCTTGTTCGAAGAGAGAATCAGCTGCCGGGGTTTATTGACGAAGGCGTTCAGAGTAGCGATGAAGATGGAGAGGATAGTGACGACGGAAGTAACGACGGAAGTGACGACGGAAGCGATGATGAGAATGATGGGGCCAACACCAGTGGGGAAGGAGAAGAGTAAATTGAGGTTGCTAAGGACCAGGAACATGGATATCAGAGGAAGTCATGTACTTGGGTCTTATTCCAGTGAGCAACGGGAACAGCGTATTTGGTCGGAAAGTTGAAGGGGGTGTTCTGTACTCTATGGTAGTAGTGCACCAGATGTGATGAGATAGAGCAAGTACCCAAGAGCAGAGTAATGAATTTTGGCTTTCAAATCCTACGCAATGGGGTGTCGGACTCTTCTTTGCTAGTCGTGCCATGTAACATCTACGGATGATACGGTTCTAGCACTAACATTTTGTGAGCATTTTACCAAAAGCAGAGACAATATTAAATATTGATATCAGCTTCAGTCGTCGAAGTTATTCAAGAACATAAAAGAGGCAACCCCGAAAGGAGGATGTTCATTTCATAGATCCTCAATTTTCAAGACGGTTGGAGGCCCTCATTTCTAAAGTGCTCGATATCAAGCACGACCTTGCTTCCTCCAAACTTTTCAGAACCCCAAGTCAGAATCATCATCATCCTCCTTCTCATCCTCATGAGGTCCTCGTCCTGTACAAAGATCAATTTGCATATCCCGATGAGCAAGGAACTTGATATTTCTTGATATGTGAGACTCTAGGTTAAAAGTCCCGGCCACGCCAAGATTATCGAGACTATTTGTAAACGATCTGACGCTTTCAAAGACTCCATCGAAATCATGGGTCCTACGACAGTGGCGGCATGAAAAGTACTCGGAGACCGAGACATATTCTGTATCGCAATCATGGAATGGTTTTAGGGGATGATCAGGGTCAATTGTCCATTGACCATTCTTCACTATGATCCAAATCTTAGGCGTAGTTGAACTATTGAGATATCTGTTGTAAAGGAAACGTGAGAGACATCCACGGGCCGAGGTCTCTGACATGAGATCAAGGTAGCGTTTCGGGAGGTCTTTGTTCCAAGATTTGTCAAACTCAAATGCAATGTTTTGGATATTCGTGGTCCATAATTGTTGTGAGGTGAAGTCTGGAATCTTGATTTGCCAGATTCCCATATGGTTGTCGGGTGTATTCCAGGTCTTTGACTTGATGCAAAAGATATCTTTAGCCGGGCAAACAGGAGCATGCCAAACTCCTCCAATCTCGCGGACAGGTAGCATTGCAGGCGGAACAGACATATCTCCATAGCGATAGTGATTCCAGTATCGTGATACAACATACCGTGACTCTTTGCAGGTTGTCAATAGCGCGTGAACCAAGCAGGCCGAGTGATCATCTCCGTCAACAGCATCCGCCGTGGATTTGTGATAGGCCAAGATGGTAGTATCGTCAGCACTGGGATCCAAATCAATGTAATGCATCCCAATTCCACGGAGACTGTAGAGATCATAGGAAAGACATGCTGCATCCCATATTTGGATCCGAAGCTCAGCGGGCAGTTTAGGGAACGGATGAAAAGAGCAGGTCATGTTGGTAAGGTGTGCGCGATTTTGAGAGGGCGTAGTCTCGTCTGGCAAGACGATCTTTGACTTGATAAAAGACGAGTCTTGTGAGGTTGAGTGGATTCCGGGGAAGATTCTTCAAGAACGAGGAGTGAAACAGAGGGAGGAAAGGCAGCCTCTTTATAGGTAATCGAAAACCTTGGACTTTGGTGAGAGGCATGATTAGTGACTCAATACCGAAAGCTTCACCAATATCTTACTTATTTATGGCGAATTATTGAAGCTTTGAGTTCTGTAGGTAAAATAATAAGTTTTACTTGTACAACTTGACAAACCTCCTCACCGCGGATTACCTTCAGTTCTTGAAACTTTAAATACTGGATCTCTAGTCTCAATGTCAGAGGCAGCGCTCTGTCTTTCACCAATAGGACTTAGGAGTTTGATCTGTCGTATTACTCAACAGTCTGGCGGGCAAGCTCTCGCCTATCAACGACTGTTCGTTCTGGCCGACAGGGACGGTCGTCAGTTCAATACTGGTCATTCAAATGACAGCGGCCATTTCAAGGATGTAGTCTGCTGGTTCTACCAAACCTTATGTCCAGTTCCTCGGAGACCGAGAAGAGCCGCCGTTGATGGGCAGTAAAACAACAACACTCCTGCGACTGATAATAAGGCGGAGTAATTCATTCCCGCTTGAAACACTGCTTCATCACAGGCCATCAATAAAAGCGTTCACGATCGCCGCCTATCTACCATCATTAAGGTCGGATTTATCCCTGTTCATCACATGCATCACCGTAGCATTGGTCAGGTAAGATCCCGCCTTACGTAGCATCTCGACCGATTGACCAAACTCAAAAACTGATTCCTCAGCATTCTCGCAATCGGATATACAAAATCTGACATATTTCCGGCGCTCATCGCGATAATCTCCCATCTCGGATCTGGAATCTGCATTAATAATGGTAAAAATGCTGTGGTGGAGATCTGACAGCGTTGGTTGCAGCTCTATTGGCTCGGAAGTACGGATCCTCGGATATACACAATCTTTCGGACTTGCTCGCCGCTTTTTATAACTATACCATCTCGTCATCCCTTGATAATAATGTTCTAGACAGATCAAACTTGAGCATTATCGATAATGGTGATTGAAATAGAAAAAGGTAAGTTACTGCGCGGCTTGGGATTGTGATGGGGGCTAATGTGTGCAGAGCAAGGCGGCTTTATGCCCGATCCCGAGAGGGACGCGCCGTCGGATAACAACACGCTCACAGGACCCGACGAGGAAGCCATCACAAGAACAAAGTCCAGCGTCTCAATAGCTGAGACATTCTCGCTCCTGCACGAAATCCTCTTCGTGGCCATCATCTGCATGGCGCAGTTCATGACACAAGCCGCGCTCGGAAACTGCCTCAACATCATCCACATCATTGGCGACTCATTCAACCTCACTAATCCCGCGGAGCTAAGCTGGCTCATCGCCGGGTTCTCCCTCACCGTCGGAACCTTCATCCTCTTCTCCGGCCGTCTCGGCGACATCTTTGGCTACAAACGCCTCTTCATCATTGGTTTCGTCTGGTTCGCTGTTTGGTCTATGGTCTGCGGGCTGGCAAACTACTCTAACCATGTTCTCTTCATCTTTGCGCGAGTGTTTCAGGGTATTGGGCCTGCGCTCGTGATGCCGAATGGTCTGGCTATCCTGGGCGCTTCGTACAAGCCTGGTGGTCGGAAGGCTGTTGCGTTTGCGCTCTTTGGAGCTTGCGCACCTGGTGGTTGTGTTTTCGGAGCTTTGTTCGCTGGGCTTTTTGTTCATGGGGATCCTTCTTGGTGGCCTTGGACCTACTACTCTTTCGCGCTCGGACTGGCCTTCATTGCGCTTATGGCGTACTTTATCATCCCCGATCCTCCCCACAAGCTTTCGTCCGCCGATATGAGCTGGGGAGACATCCTTAGCCAGCTTGATCTTCTCGGCGCCATCACTGGTATCACTGCCCTCGTCCTCTTCAACTTTGCCTGGAACCAAGCCCCCATCGACGGCTGGGACAAGCCATATGTCTTCGTCCTTCTCATTGTTGGAGTGCTCCTTGTTCCTGTCTTTTTCTACGTCGAATTGCGCGTGGCGTCGCATCCTGTCATCCCTTTCGATGCTCTGACTAGCGACGTCGCCTACATTCTGGGCTGCATCGTCTGCGGCTGGGCCACTTTTGGTATCTGGGTGTACTACACTTGGCAGTTCTTCCAGATGCTTCGTGGAGCATCACCGCTTCTCACGAGTGCTTGGATGAGTCCAGTTGCTATCTCTGGAGCTTGCGCCGCACTGATCACCGCATGGCTTCTTCATGTGTCGCACCCTGCTTTTGTCATGCTCGTCGCCCTCACAGCGTTCACGACTGGTACAATTTTAATGATGACTGCACCTGTAGAGCAATCTTACTGGTATCAGTCTTTCTTTGGCCTTGTTATCATGACCTTCGGTATGGACATGTCGTTCCCCGCCGCGACTCTGATCCTGTCCAACTCTGTGAAGCGAGAGCACCAAGGCATTGCAGCCAGCTTGGTTAGTACGATCGTGAACTACAGTATCAGTCTGGGTCTCGGATTTGCAGCTACAGTGGAGGTGAACGTGACAAATGGTGGAGAGTCGAAGCACGAGCTGTTGATTGGTTATCGGTCTGCCTTTTACATGGCTGTTGGTTTCTCCGGGCTGGGACTCGGCATCAGCATTATCTACTTCCTCAAAACAAAGTGGTATCAGAGGAGGGGGAAGCAATGAAGAGGGGAGTCATAGAATGGCGGTATTATGGGCGCTAGGGAAATTGATAGATTATGACTTTATAGACACGGCTTACAGCCTCATGATAGAATTCATTTCAGATCAAGGAAGCTTATTAGACGAACCATTGGTCGCCATGGTGCCACATTGCCAACGGGTATACCTCATTCTGTTGTTCACGGAATCTGGCTGGTCACGCTGTGTCATGGTTCAGACTCGGGTGGCGGCAAATGGATTGATCCCTGCAACGGTCACGCATTCTATCTCGTTCATCTCAACGACGAATGCTCCCCTGTATATCAACGCGTTTTGTTCGAATAATATGTGATGAGTAACTCACCCGCTCCCGACTGCATGCGAGACCCTGCTAAATGGTGTCGTCATAACTAGGGCTGATGGCCTCCCGAATGCGAAGTGGACCCCGACATACGAGCCAATCACAACATTCTCGATCGCCAGCCGTTGCTGGCTGTGGAATCAATCGGCGCTACTCCGTAGGACAAAATCCCCTGAACACGTCGTTTTGCGAATGCGATAATCGAGTGCGTAATGCAATCATTTCTCCGAGTGCTATTATCGTTTTTACTCTGTATTATCATTGTGTTGGTGATTAGATGCGCCGCCAATGTTCGCACCGCCAGTGTTATTGTGCAAACGTACGGATAGTGGGATATTCAGGCAATCCCTGGACTGACAGTGGAAATGGGCTGGTTTGTCCGGAACATTGGAGGAATGGCAGAACTTACGAGTAGGTAATCTAAATATATGATCATTTCGAGACGAAATAGCTTCTATGAACGAGTCAGTCTCGTTTTTATCTCATCTTATCGCATTTCGATCTTGGTCGATCGCCAACTCAAGCTTTCCCAGAGACACACTAATCCCCTTTTGGCAACCGACTCGCATGGATCCGAGTGCGAAGACACAGGCACTAGCGCCTATTCAATAAGACTGCAGCCTCAAAACAATGCGAGATGCGAGATTGAGCAGTGGCACAATAATATATATATCTGTGCTCAGTCGCTTCAAGAACATCTTCCCCCATCAATACATAAACACTCAACCAACTAGCATTCTTATACCCGCCAACACTCTTATCCTTCAGCAACTTTACCTGCGCACCAAAACAAGAACCAAAACAACAAAAACATGCCTACTCAGCGCTTTAGAGCAATCATCGTCGGAGGTGGGCCAGTCGGCCTCACAGCCGCTCATGCCCTCTCACGCGCCAACATTGACTTCATTCTTCTTGAACGTCGATCAAGTGCAGTCATTGACGCCGGCTCCAATCTCGTCCTCAACCCCATGGGCCTGCGCGCTCTGGATCAGCTTGGTCTCGCTGCTCCTCTTGAGCAAGTCAGCTCTCCTCTTGGTCTGATCAACCGCCAAGACCACCAGGGCAACGATATCGGAGATGCGTACTGGTTCATCCTGTTTAACAAACTGTGAGTTTTACCCCCTTCTCCTGGGATACCCGTAGCTAACGAGCCCAGACTTGGAACATTTCCTCGAGTAGTCAGCCGCCACGACCTCACCAAAGTCCTCTACGACTCTTTCACTCCTGTCCAGAAGAGCCAGATCCTTACCGACAAGAAAGTCGCCGACATCATCCCCAGCGAAACCGGCGTTCAAGTCTCCTGCGACGATGGAACATCTTACGAGGGATCCATCGTCATCGGGGCAGATGGCGCTCACAGTTTCGTCCGCAACAAGATGCGATCTCTTGCCGAACACGCAGGCTCTGGTGATGTCAACGACGAGAAACCCTTCCTGACCACATTCCGAGCTCTCTGGCTGCGTCTGCCTACCAAGTACGCGGGCATCGAGCCTGGCACCACCTGTGAGACTCACGGTCCTGGCGCGGCCACACAGCTCTTTGCCGGTGAGGATTCTTCCGTCATGGGTCTCTATGAGAAGTTGGATGCGTCTACTCAGGATCGTATCCGATACACTGAGCAGGATCAAGTCAATCTTGTTGAGCGATGGGGACACATCCCTCTTGCGCCTGGCGGCAAACTTACCCTCAAAGAGGCCTTCAATGCTCGCACTCAGTCTGGCCTCGTGAGTCTCGAAGAAGGCGTCGTCAACCATTGGAGCTGGGGCGGTCGTGTCGTTCTCGCAGGTGACTCAGCACACAAGTTCACCCCCAGCACGGGCTCAGGTTGCAACAACGGCCTTATCGACGTCGTCGCCCTGGTCAACCAGCTCTACGCTCTTCGCCAGAAGTCCCCCACCCCAACCCATGCTCAACTCGCCACGGCCTTCCAGTCGTACCAAGCTTCGCGCATGGATCCGGTTGTTGAAGCTTGCCGTGGCTCGGGTCAAGCGACTGCCAGCGCCACTTGGCAGACTGGTGTATTCAAGTTCATTGACAAGCACATCATTGGCATCACCGCCATTCAGAACATGCTGTTCGGACTGGGTGCACCCAAGATGGCCAAGTCGCCCAAGTTGACTTTCATCAAAGGACCGGAGAGACATGTTGGCAAGATCGCTTGGACAGAGCCTCAGGAGAACAAGGTTTACTGATAGACTGGCAATTCGGGATAGTCGCTCGAGCTTGTATTTGTAACTGCTTTTAGATGAGTTAGCGAAGCGTGCTAGACGATAGACGATAGACTTGAGGATCAATCTCATACATTCAATAGAATGCGATAACAAAATTGTGTGAACAATGTAACATATTGGCATCCCCAAAGCGAGAATCAAAGGTCCAGATCTAGGCTCGTTAGCTTGAACCCCAAGCTGTCAAGATAGAAGTCCATAGGCGACATCACAGATTCGTCATCTGTACTTTGCATACTGCTTGTCAGGCGTGCCCATGCGCCGTCGAATGTTATCGAATGCTAATGTGAGATGGAGGTTTACGTTGGCACAAAGAATGAAAATTAGTCAAGGGCGCAAACGTTAAGGATCAAGAATGCCAACGGCTCGGGACGACGCCTCCAATAACGTCGTTGACTCGGCAGATTGATTAATCTGACTGAGTTAAGGCAGTAACTGATCCAGCACCATCGCCACTATAAAATGGCGTGATCTGTTAGTGTTACAGCACGCTCGACAGCCCCGCAAACGTCATCGGCACAACCGAGCTTACAAATTTCATGACGATGACAAATAAATGACAGTGGGATACTAACAAATAAAAGACGGAGTTTTTACGCAAGATTCCGAATTGAACTGCCGGTAATTGGTTATAAGATACTGTACAGCCGTAGATCAATTCGATTTCCCCATCTTCAAATCTTAAATCTGCATGTCACGACTTCTAAGAACAAGACCCATTCTCAAACAGCTCGTCAACCCTGCTCAACTCAGACCTTTCCACTTCACAACCGCCAAAATGACAACCGGACTCTTCAACTACATCGATCCGACATCGAGTCTCGACGACAACGGAAATAGAGTCAAGCCTTGGGCTAAAGTCGACGTTGACCAAACTTCTTTTGAGCGCAGCCAGCACAAGCGCGACGTTGTGGACATTCGCAGCGCCGCTAGCATTACCGCCTTCGGTGTAGATGTTTCTGGCTTCGATGTCTTCAAGTCTCCCGCTAAGGAATCAGAGTTCACCGACGATGCGGCTGTGAGGAATGGTTACTACGGCGAAGTTGAAGCGCTGCTCAAAGAGAGGATTCCTGAGATCAAAAAGGTTGTTATCTTCGATCATACTATCCGCAGGAGGGAGAAGTCGAGTCCAAGACAGCCTGTGCAACAAGTCCATGTTGACCAAACCCCCGGCGCTGCTGAAGCTCGCGTGAGACGACACACCGATCCTTCAGAGACAGAAGAGCTTCTCAAGGGACGATACCAAATCATCAACGTCTGGCGACCCATCGGACATCCGGCAACAGACTTCCCCCTCGCAGTCGTCGACTATCGCACCACAAAGCCTGAAGACATGATCAAAGTTGATCTTCTGTACCCCAAGCGCGAGGACAACGACGACGATGACCGCGGAAAGGAAGTCCTTCCTGATGCTTCGACGCTTCGCTCAACGGAAGGTTATCAAGTCAAGGGCGAGACATATTCTGTTGCGCCGAATGACGGACACAAGTTTTACTACGCCAAGGACATGACGCCTGAAGAGGTCATGTTGATCAAGTGCTTTGATTCAAAGAGTGAGGTTCATGAGGGGGGTCAGCATGGTTTGGCGGGATATACGCCTCATACTGCGTTCGTTGACCCTGCTACGCCGGCGGATGCGAAGGGACGTCAGAGCATTGAAGTTAGGTGTTTGGTATTTTACTAGAAGTAGCGGGTGGTTAGGAATCTCGCGTTCCGGTGGCTCAGACATACTACGTGGCTTTATTTATTAATGACTATCATGAGATCTTTTACTAAACTGTGGCTCAAGTCAACTACATCATTGACGGCATTCACGTTGGTCACGAGTAAAATATGAAAGGGATGTCTTGCCTCGAGAAGATCTGACTTTCTTGCTTATCGTACTAGGTGCCAAGTACAAAGCGACCCATGAATTCCAGACCTTAATGCTCACTTTTCTTGTACATTCCGTGTCTCAATCTCTAGTCCGTAGCAGGTTCTTGCCTCACTCTCCTCGTAGACGTGCTTAGTTGGTCGTGATTCGTTGGTCGTGATCAGGGAGCCAATTCGTCGAAACCGTCCAAGATCCAAAAGCCTTCCCCTTCTCCCCACTGGCTTCGCTAATCCTGAAGTTTAGATGCTTCTTTGCCGTCCTCCCCGTCTTCACCTTCATGCTCAATTTCACGGTCGTTGCCGTCGTCCAATACATCCAATTCGTCAACTCGTTCTTCGATTTGATCTCCAGCGGGTTCCTCCTCATGGCGAACGAGAACTTTGACATACTCAGACAAATCAAAACCTGGAACATGATGACACAAAGTACATATTTCGTCGTCGGTGCAGTCCCTGCAATACGAAAGGGTCTGAAGCTTCTAAACACAGAAGAGAAATCTTAGCATGGCTGAAGCCTCTGCAGGCTTAGCCGGGTAGAAGCCGAACCAGTCATTTGTAACTTCCACGTACGCACCGTCGCAATCATAGAAGATTACATCGTCTTTCACCCGCCAATATGGCCCCCAACGAGCAGCCTTGTTGAGCAGATAGATCCATGGCGCATTGCCATCTCCCCACATGCAGGTTTGAGCCCAAGTGGCGAAAAGACCTTGAGGTGAATCTTCCTCTCTGAGTTCTTTCCAGGTGAGAGGGAATTCGTCGTTCCAACTGGTGTCAAACTCAAGGACAAGATTGAATGAGTGTCGGAGAACAATCTTTTTGCCATTGGGACACGGAACATGAAGGCGAGAAGCCTCGAGGGTGAGTGGCAACAGGGATCTCTTGGGGTCTTTGATGCAAAATAGGTCTCGGGTGGGCATGACCATAAATCGCTCTGCATGCTCTTGGTTGCGGAAAAGGAGACAGGTAGGAAGAAAGGGCTCGCGCTTATGAACTGAGCCTTCATGATCTGGTCGCTTCTCATTCAGTTCCGCATGAAGATCCCGCTCGGAGGGGTATGGTTGGCAAGCCTGATTGAGGCCCTCATCTAATTTGAGGGGGTCAATGTATTTTTCCTGAGTACCGCGCCAGATTTCCAGTCGGAAGTGCGTGGAAATAACCTCTCTCGATTCTCTGCAGGCCTTCCAGAGACCACCGTCCCACATATAGGCTGATCTGTTTGCGCATCCGACAACCTGCTGCTCATTGGCCGAGGTCTGGAAATGAGGATGAAGGGCCTCCACCTCCATTGATGTCATTGAGACTACCACGGCATCCCCAGATATCTCGTCAATGTTTTTCAGATCAATGTAGTGTAGGCCGCGGTGGTTGGCTGCGTAAGGGAAACAAGCTGCCTTCCAGATCTTCAGTCGAAGCTCTGGTGCGAGGTTCGGGAATAGGTGGAAGGCCGTTGGGCACATTTCTTTGGCACACAGGGCTGGCATGTCTTCGGTTTGCTTCGGCCCAGCACCGTCATCAGGATCTTTGACGACCGTGGGTTGTGGCATGATAGCTGTACACCGTTAGACTTATGATATGAATGCCATGATCGTTCGGTATTTTTCTCACCAGTGCACTTTCTGAGTCTTGATAGAGTAATTCAGAGGATATGGCGAAATTAAAATGGGCTGGAGGGAGAATGTCGAAAGTCTGAAGTTGGAAGTTGGAAGTTTGAGGAGTGGTGGAGGGCAAAGAGGAGAGTCTCAAGGAGTGAAGGCTCTTGGTGAACAATACCACGTGATACATTTGCTTCTGGCAGTGGCAACGCCTATAGTAGCTGTGGCAGCGGCCAGTGCTTTCTGTTGAGATGTACGTGCCTGAGGCCCAGACATCCCTTTGTATGTAGCCTGCCCACTTGGGGCCCCAGCTATAGTAGCTAGCTAAATCACCGATACACACCTCTTGCCCTATATCCCTCAACACTTTCTAAGCGGCGAGGTGACTATCTGAGGAACAAGGTAGGGCGATGCCAGTGCCAGAGTTACACATGACTACAGCCATTGAACAAGTAACCTCCAAGTTACATGTTCTGATATAAGCTCTGAGTCACTAGTCTGAACTACAAACAACTTATCCAACTGGATACTTCAATGCCTGGAAAGCCAGCATCAAGAGAAGGAAACGTTCGCCTACCAGCCCCAAGGCCCTTTGGTACTCTCACAAAAAGGTCAATGTGAATAACTGCGAAGGAGAAGATGGAAGACTGGTTGTAAAACATATCAAGCAGGGCCAACGTGAATAAAACAAAATCTTTTGGATACTTCGTGACTCAGATTATCTCAATGGGATGTTCATATAGTTACGAAACCTGGGCCAGACTTAATGAACTGACTTGAGATTCATTGGTCATCGTGAAAGCTTATGGGTAAAAGCTTATATCGCGGGGGGGGGGGGAAAAAAAAAAAAAAAAAAAAAAAATGTAGTTGTCTGTGTTCGCAGCCTAAAGCTTAACCTTATAGGCCGCAGTCATCCCATAGAACTGACTTGAACTATCATGAACATTCACTGGATACTGCGTCGTTAGTTCATGACGCTATGTCAATCCACCAACATTCCATCGTCAAAAGAATGACTTAAGGGATAAGCATTTGACATGTTGAGCAGTGCTTGGCTCTGTTGGTGTTGTTGGAAAGAGTCATTGGCTCTCCACAAACACCACTCACTGCCCGTGAACCGATCGAATGCCAAGTCCTCGAAGTGAATTGAACCTGAAAACAGTTCTCATGTTTGATTGGCTTATGTCGCCTCAGGCAAACAACCCTTGTGTCACTGTTATACTACTGCTCTGCCACTGCAAAATGTGAACAGACAGCAGTCCCATGCCCTTACTTTCAACACGAATGACCCACATCATATCCTTTTCTTTTCTTCTTCTTTTGCTCACCTTCAGTCTCTACTTTCATTCTACACCACCTCCGGCACAACCTTTTCTCCAAAATCTTCATCCAAACCTTTATCGCAAGACACAAGATGTCTTCGGCTACCTTCCACCCGTTTCCGCGCCTCCCAACTGAACTCCAACTCCAGATTTGGAAAGAGGCATGTGCTTTGTCTGTCATCCCTGGACGTGATTCTTTTGAGCAGGGCGGGTTGCACTATGTCAACGTTGACACAGTCAAGGTCGGTGGGAGAAATCGACTTGCCCTTAGGGTCCTCGACAAAATACAGGATCCCAACGGCGATGAGCAAACCCCTAACAACAATCGCTCAGCCCACATGTGGGATGGCGGCCTCTGGTGGGCTTGCAAGCTCTCTAGCGAATTCATCACCGAAAAGACAAATTCCAAGTGGCTTCGGCTTCCTGACTACAGTCAGGACTGTTTTGGACGTCCTGCAACCCTCACAAGTCGAAACATCGACGAAGGACGAGGGTACAAGGTTTTCCCACGGCGAGACATATTCTGCATCAGGACAACAGACTGGAAATCCTTGCCGCAGCACTTCGAAGATTGCGAAACCGGTCTCCCATCTTTTGATCATCTCTCCTCTTCTATCGTTCTGAACTGCACACTTGCTATTGAGTTTGATTCCAGTTGGATCGTTGATCTCCCCGAGACACTGGAAGAACTAAAAGCCGAAAACTCAGCTCGTGGTCTCGTGGCAACATGGATGGAGAGCGTAGCCAGCGGGTGGGTCAAAACGCCTCGGCTCTGTCTAATAGACAAGGGCACACTTTTCGTTACAAAGGGACGCAACTACGCCAATATCTATCACGACTGCGACGGCGAGTACGTCGATATGCGTTTCGAGTGGTGCAATGATGCCATCTCTACATTTATAGAGGCTTTAGATAACTTCCTCCCCTACGAGAACTATGGTGACCTATACGAGAAGAACAACCCCAACAGTTGGGTCGAAGATCTCCATATGTGGAACGACTTCTTCGTCTTCCAGGAGATCCGGGTCCTCGCGCGTCATAAACACGCAGATCATGAAGAAGTAAGCTGGACAGCGGTCTGCAACGACCTCTCTGACGATCATGAAAGGGGCTCGGAAAAGGCTTTATCAGCTTATGGTAGGGTTTACGACCTGGAGTATGATGATGATGTCGGATACTGCGTTGGAAGTTTTGGAAATTCCAACAATTGGTTTTCTTTCGAGATCGATGGAAACGGGATGGACGGCGAAAGAGAACGCGTGGAGTACATCAAGTACTTGAAGTTGGACTTGGAAAAAATGGAAACGGAAGTACGTGATGAGTAGGCAGCGCGTTTGACTTGGCAGCAGATGGATCAAGCAGGAGAGCAGCTTAAATGCATGAGCTACCTTAATGGATAGAGTCAGTTCACAAGGATTGAAACCGATCTCAGGGAGTAAGAAAATTCGAGATTTCAAAAACTGGATACTTAGATAAACTTAGTAAAGATCCCCTAAACTTAGGTTAGTTTACCTAAATATTCTCGTCCCTCAGGGCCACAATCTTGAGTTTTCTTGCCTCCCCTACTCCGTAGACTGGTGATGAGTCCCAATGTGTCAAATGCTCATGGCTACCCTATATCGTCATGGCGGACTCGAGCCCACATTTCATGGTTCTGCCGTTCCAGACCGTTTTTGCCACTCCAGTTGGTCCCTTCCCGTCGTCAATTCCCCCACGTAAATTTCCATCCCCACCAACTCTTCTTATCCATTATCGAGCCATCATGGCCAAGACAAAGTCCAAGAAGCGCAAACAAGCGCAAGCTCAAGCTCAAGCTCAATCCGACAATCCTCGAAAGGTCGCAAAGACCACTTCCCCTTCGATCCCGACGCCTCCTCCCGATGGCACGACCACGCACTTCGAGCCCAAGAACCTCCATACCGTTGTATCCGAAGAAGAGCTTGAGATTACCATCGACACTCTCAATTCGCTTGCTCAATACCCTGGGTTGATCAAGTCAAAGCTGTGCAAGGACCTGAGAGTTGCTGTCTACGATTTCAGACAAGCTTGCACGACTGGTGTGAACAATGCGGCCGGCGCGAACCTCACGGCGCAGGTCACTGCTGCTCTGGCCGACCGGAAATACACCGAAGCTCGAATTCTTCTCGCGGAGATGAAGATTCGTGGTGAGCAGCCTAAGCTTGGTGCTCTTTGTCGATGGGTTCGAGATCTTGACGTCATCAGTGGTCTGTCAACGATTCCCGATCAACAAGGGCTTGTCAAGCGTTCTGAGAGGGAAGAGACACTCATCAAGGTCATTGATGCGGTGCTCCGAGTTTGTGGCCACGAGGATCGAAACCCTAATGCAATCATCCAACCTTCATCAATTGCTCTCCAAGAGATCTGGGACCTTCGCCCTGATACTCCAACCGAGCAAGTCTACGCCTCGGTCCTCGATGGGAGTCTCGTTGCTTCTGCGCCCGAGTCTCTCAAGAAGAATATTCGCATCATCGAGACAACACCCGGCCCCGAGCGCAAGCCGCCGAACCATCACGACGCTATACTTTACGCCTCGACACCCGAGGCTATTCCTCTGTCGACAACACCCCCGCCCACAACACATCGACCGCATCCTGTCGTGCAGGGTCTCAGTGTCGCCACCAATGTTCTCTACCCGGAAGAGTGCAAGGCTATCATTGCCGCGGGTGAATACGTCAATTTTGTGCCTGATGCGCCCCTTCGAGAAGATGGGGACATCAGTATTCTGGCTCACAACTTTTACTGGGTTGTCGACAAGACGTTCCACGACACGCTATGGTCGCGCATTCAACCATTTGTGCCTGTTTCAATGAACGGGCGCCTGGCTCGCGGCATCAACCGCCGCTTCCGAGTGTATCGGTAGTAAGTTCACAGATCCTTGACTCTAATCCCACCCACCACTAACGCATGGCAGTGTCCCAGGAGCAGAGTACCGAGCACACATCGACGGCGCGTGGCCCCCGAGCGGCATCACGAAGGACGACAAATACGTATACGACGACTCGCCGGCCGAGAAGAAACAGAGCTCGTTGTTTACCTTCTTGATCTATCTCAATCAAGATTTTGAGGGTGGCGAAACCACATACTTCCTCCCGGCTGCACGAGAAGGAATTCTAAATGCATACCCTGTTCGTCCAGTCATGGGCGGCGCGGCTATCTTCCCTCATGGCGAGATCAACGCGACATTGCATGAAGGTACCGGCGTGCGAAAGGGAGCGAAATACGTGATCCGAACCGAGATTGAGTACGATGTCGAACCGACAGAAGAAGTCAAGATCTGAGTGCAACGCAAGGTTTCAGGTACAAACAAATTGGATACATGAACGGCTGGACCGGGGAAAAGTATTGTTACGCTATTTACGTCTAATGAACACCATTGATCTACTCTGTCGTTGTAGTCTCACCTTCAGTTGGCTTGCGCCCCCAAACAATACGTTGCAGGTAGTAGGCGTGCGCCGGCTTCTTGGACTTCAATTCCCTCCTCAGCTGGGCACAGTACAGATGGACCTGTTCCTGAGTCCATCCCTCAAGAAGCGTAGCCATGAACGAGATGTGTCCCTCTACATCGGATAGAATGCTCATATTCGTGAACCTTCCAATCTCCTTGAGTCGCTCATCCTGCGGCCAGTCGCCAACAGGAACCTTGATCGTCTTGGACTGGATATCCACGAAGCCAGCGGCTTTCAGACCCTTCTCCTGCAGATTATCTGGGAGTGGAGTGAACACGCGACCGAGCTTCTTGCCGCCTTCGTGGAAGAACTTGCCCCATTCCGCGATTGCGCTGCCAGGTTTGAGACTGTCGTCGTCGCTGCGGCCCATGGGATCACCTTCGTGGGTTTCGATCCACCCACCGGGCTTGGTCACTTGGTATGCGCGCTCGTACAAGGCGTACCAGTCGGGCACGCTGCCGTAGAGGAAACGGAGGTGGACGAAGTCGGCGGAGTTGGGAGGGAATGTCCAGTCGAGGGTGAAGTCTTCGATCTCGAACTTGACGTTTGGAGGAACCCAACTAGAGGCTGTTAGATCGTGCTGCTGTAGTTGGGGCGGGACTCACGTTGGCTGGATGGGCGAGATGTCTGTGCCGATGACTTCCGCCTCGGGGAACTCATCGCCAAAGTCCATGGCCCAGATTCCAGTGCCGGTTCCGATATCGAGTACTTTGCTGGGCTCTTTGACCGGAGCGAGGAAGAGTTTGCCGTCCATGATCAGGGTCGAAGTATGGTGGATAATGTCCAGGGCCTCAGAGGCCTGGTCGTCGTTCGATGCCCAGTACTGAGCATCGCCTCGCTCGGCGTGGTACGTTCGCCCGTTGATGGTTCGGTACTCGAGAATGCTAGAGTTGATACTGGCGGTAGAACTAGCGGTGTCGTCACCAATCGCAGAGTCGGCATCTGAGTCCTCCGTAGCTTCAGTGTTCTAATCGAGTCAATCAACAAGTCCCCATCCGTGTGATGATCAGGTATCGTACCTCCCAGTGCGTTGGGGCCAGCATGTCCTGCGAGACAACATTCTCCCCCTGCGTAACTTCAGCTGCAGCGCTCATCTTGTGTTTTCTTGACAAGAACAGAGTTGAAGAAGGAGAAGAGAAAAAATGAAGCTGCTTCACCCCTCTTTGCTTGGCCCCAGCTTGCATTGCATGGTGCGTGCTACGGTATCATCAGTTTGTAGTTTCAAGGGTTCTGGGCGCTAGGGACCGGGGAGAAGTGGATGTGGTCCACTTGGCGAAGGGTTTTTGAGCGGGAATGGGAATTGGCCCGCGCGAGGTTTCATGCAAATGTCTTGGGAGAGGATCATGACCTGATTTTGTCAGTCGCTAAAATGCACACTGGCGCCCATCTCTCAACACTATGACCTTTCAAAGAACAAAGAGAAATGCTTGGTCTGCATACCATTCTATTGTTAAAACTGCTAGAGATCACGGTGTACCAGTACATATATGGCTTTAGGTCGAATCGCCATTGAGACGTCCTCAGTCCTCGGCGTGGTTACCCCGGTCCCTATGACATCTTGGCATCGACTTGAGATTCACATAAAAGTTAGTCAACAATACAATTAACAAGATACTCATTCAATTCTCCAATAAAAAGCCAAGGTCAACTAAAAAATATGTTCCAGTATCTATTTACTTGAGTCTATCCCCATGCAAGTGACCGCTTAATTCCAGGCCAACGCCCAGCAGCCCATGCACTTGCGTGGACTCAACTCTAAAGTACTAAAATCAATCCGAAAGATCACCTTCTTTCATAGTCTCACTAAATCGCCGACCATGGTGAATGAACGACTGATCAACAACAAGCTCCGGAACAACATGACCATAACGATCAAACCAGTCATCGCCCCCCACGTACTTCCATGCAACGACAAACCCATACTGAGAAGCGACTACCTTGTCAAAGTCAATATCCAACTGCTCGAGACGAGGCTCAATTTCAGGTACCTCCTTCTTGAAGGCGTCAGCCACGAACTCATGATCATCACGCAGCTGTTCGCGAGTCATGGTAATTACCTCCAGCTTAGGGACATCCCCCCAAGAAGGAGACCTGTTGGCAGAGGGGTCCACTGGATGGGGGAACCACCAGTCTCCCGAACGGGTAAAGAGAAGCAAGCTCATACCTGGTGGACACGGCATCTGCATTGATACACAGTCGTTATACTCTTCCACAGCTGCCGATGCCATTTTGTCTGTGACTGGCAACTGCAGGTATCTCTGATACGCATCAATTTGTTGCTTTGCCCAGCGATTGCTGGAATTATCAAAGTTGACCGCTAGATCCCTGAACTGCTGCTTAAGCTCATCGTTAGTGATAAACCTCCCAGGTAGATGCAGTTCGGGACGAGGTGGCTCGCTGACGACTTCCTCTTCCTTGATAAATTATTCTTCAATGATAGACTTCTCTACCTTGATCCACTCCTCTTCCTTGATAGACTGATCTTCCTTCACAGACTGAAGACTAGCCATAGCATCGTCTTGAGCACGATCCCGCAACTCATCGACAATGAGATCCTTGAATGCCTGTCCGAGGCTCATGAAGAAGTCATAAGCATCGAACGGGATGAAGCACATCTCAGTGAAAGGAATGTCAAATCTGAGATCCGTCATCATCTCCCTGCGCTTTTCTGTTGTCATCCTAGGCTGTTGCTTCTCGGCCCGTCCAATCTTCTGAAGTTCCTCGTCAATACAAAACTGGATCAATACCTCGATTTCTGCCATTCGCCAATAAAACTGGAATTCGTCCAGTCGATCCCTGCTCTCTACAATACAATCATAGGACAAGCTGCGGATGTCTTCCATAATAGCCCCGCAGTGAATGCCAAGCTGTCTTGTCGTAGAATTGTCCAAGTTATTCGCAAGATCGATAATACGAAGTCTGAGGCTCTGTAGACGACCTTGCATCGCTAGATGCTTGACTTCTTTCCAGTCTGGATCCATATTGATGGTTAGTAATAGACCTGATTGTAATATTCGTCTGGGAAAGGGATTCGAAGATCGGCGATGATGATTTCAAGGTTGTGACGTTGCGGCTGAGTAGTTGATAGTGCGGTAAAAAGTTTTGGATGATATCAATACACGCAAGTGTCGATATTTAAAGGTCTGGGACTACTGAGTGGACCGGCCGTTGTTCAGGAGTTAGCATGTATCGTCTTTGTTCCCGTGGAGCATTATTTGCATTGAACAGCCGTAAAATACAGATCGTGACCCTATGGCGGAGCTGGGTAAGTGAACTACGGACTGCTTCCAGGTCACAACATGAACAATAGATCAAACATGGTTTCTATCTGTTCTGAACATGATGAGAGTCTTAGAGGGTTACAGAACAAAGGGTCAAAAGATTGAGAAACCCAGCAAAAGAGGACCCTGTAGAAGCTTCCATTATTCGGAGGTGACAGGGCGCAAATAAGTCGCCTTTGTGCAGAACTTGTCACTTTGCCCAGTATGGCACAAGAACGTTCTTTCCCCTTGACCCAGAGGTTAGCATCACTTCGAATGTCAGATCTTCATACGAATAGTTTTGCCTGAGGCCACAGACTAAAGAGAGGGAATGTAAATAGCTGCATTGTGATTTGATATGTCCGACAGAGAAGAATGTTCCTGTTGCGGATCTCGACTAAGCTCATCTATGTGAAACGGTTGAGGCTGAATGGATGAGAGGCATAATTGCTAAAACACACCAGAATCAAATCATTATTACTGGGGTAGAGCAACTCAGATGGGCACAAGAGTAGGTTTCGTGAATGTGTCTCCTACAATGGGCCAAGATCCCATCTGCTGCTAACTGAAAAGGCCACCTCAACGCATACGCTGCATGAGTTGCTTTCCTCCTTAGTCGTACAAATCTTCCTACATCGAATGGTCCAAGCACTGATCTTCCTGATGTTGAGTGAGCCAGATACACACAGATAGATCATGATGGACATACTGTTACCACAAAGGAGCAATGTCTCCTAGACCGATAGATCCTCTCCGGGTGCGTGTTCAGGTAACCCAATACTAGCATTTCTTCAAGATGTCGGTCAACGGTACTGGGAGCCGACAAGTGCCTCCACAGCACGGCCGCCAAAGGTCTCGAATGGTTCGAACGAAACCTTGGTTACCATGATGGTGGGGAAAATCAAGTCGCTCAAGGACCGGGTAGGAGAGTTGAGGCACTCCATGAGTTGGGAAGGGACGTCCGCTTTGTACACGTAGGCGTTTTCCTGCTCATCCTTGTTGGTGGCGAGCAAACGGACCTGGAAGTTGCTGTGTTAGTGAGAGTGCTATCAGTGGGGGAGGATTTGTCAACTTACGAGATACGGGCGAGGCTGTCTTGTGGCATCAGATCGCCACTGGATCTGAGCCAAGCTCAAGATCACACAGACAAGATAAGGGTCCTTGACCCACTCTACAGGGGTGACTCTGGCGAGTCTTCTGTCGTAGAGTCGCTGGACTGGAAGGTTCTCGATACCCGGGGGGCCAGCCCGAGCAGTGAACCGCGCCTCACGGCCCTCTTCCGCATCGTAGCAGTAGTAGCCTACGATAGGCTCCGGATACGGGACATTGATATGTCCGGCAATACGGAAAGCACTACACTGTGGTACATGGACAAGTCTTCCACCGTAGTGGAACGCCGCCGTGACACTATCAAAGGTTAGTCAAAGCGAGGCTGTCGAAGTACATGTAACATACAGAACATATTCCAAAACATTCGTTCTTCTAAATAATGAACGCACGTAGTGATGCTTCATGTTTTCGACTGGTGTTGTCGCCAGGCGGGTAGCGTAGTATGTTAGTCTACCATCTTGTTGGGGATAATTGCCTTGGGTGTCGTTGGCAGCTTCAACCTTCATGAATGCGCATCCCAGCAACTCGAGATGGTGAGCTGTCCAATGGAGAGGAGATACCTGAAACCATGGATACTTCACGCTCAGTTCATGGAGGGACTCGTTCACGGAACCTGGCATGATGGTGGTGGTGGCGATAATCGTATAGTAATCGTGAGAGAGGTTGTGACGTTTGGCAAAGATGTAGGGCGATAAGGAGCTGTGTGCAGAGATGAGAGGATGAAACACATGGAAATGGATGAGGGAGGAAGAGAAGAGAAGGGAGAAGATTGGAGCAGGTGAGGGCTGCTGATACTAGAGGGATCTTGCCAGTGTTGACTTGAGCATGCATGGACTGGCACTGGCAGTACGGTGGCAGAATACGGGACCAGTTACCACTGCACCAAGGCCAGGCGGGCCCTGCGTGAGGGAACAATAGCCAGTAGATCGAGCCGTTTGCTCAGCAAATTTGGAGGCTTGCCTGGAGCTTGGCCACTGGCTCGATCAAGAACTTACGAAGAAAGAACTACGCAGTGTTGGTGTTAAAAACATCTTCAACCAACCCGAGTTACGCAGTCGACCGTTCAACCAAGGTATTCGTATTGTCCACTTCGTTGACCGTGTCAAGTACACTTATTGACATTTTTCACTATCTTACAATCACAGGGTCAGCTAATACTCGTGGACAATGAGAACAGTCTGGACATGTTCCGCTGTGCCAGTGGAGCATGTGGCTAGCCTGCATATGAGCCATTCACCCCTCTTGTTCTTCCTCCTTTGTCAATCTTTCATCCTCAGCGAATAAGAACGACACCACTTCTATTGTTCTTGAAAGTGGAAACGATACGGATCAGAAGATACTTCGGTACCATGAAACTTTTATGCTTTCTGGGAAAGCCTGGGAAGCCAGTGAAAAGAGGTATTGCCAACAAACTTTGTTTTCGAAACTTTATCTGACAATCTTTTATCGTAGGCCTCTTGAGTCACACCGTGGAAAATTACTAGACCAGCTTCCATATATTACGAACAAGCCCCTAACCAACTAGGCGTTGGACTGTACATCTCGATACCTACTGCTCACTCCATCTCGACCCATCAATCACTTCGCTTTCCTCAACAGCTACGCAAGATGCATCAGGATATGAAGCGTAAGGCTCCGGACCAGGCTTCAACCAAGACGTAAGTTTCACGAAACCTTCACCCAAAACCCAAGCTGACAACCACGTAGTATCGCAGGATCCGATCTCTTCACCTTTGTCGTCGGCGGCCACGCAGCCGAGTATACCATACATTCCGCACTGGTCGCAAAACAGTCACCCGTCTTGAACGTACTGGTCAACGGACCTTTCAAGGAAGCCTTGGAACGCCGAGTCCGATGGGCTGATCTCGAAGAAAGCATCTTTCTCAGCTTTTGGGAGTTTGCGTACACCGGCAACTACACAAACCCCATCCAAGAAGATGAGGGAAAGGAAGAATCGGATCCAACCAATGAAGAACTGAGCCACTGGGGCAAGGCTTGGGCGTACTACGTCCGCCATGACCCAGGATTCTCGGGCCCTAATAGCCGCAATGCACCTGGACTCAACGGCCTGTGGCAAGACTTTGTTGACAAACACGCCCCTATCCCTCGGCCGTCTAATGAAGGTAACATCAGTGCAGATACACTGCTGCATCATGCCCAAGTCTGTGTCTTTGCAGATCGATACTGTATTGACAGGTTGATGGACGTTTCTCTCGGGAAGTTGTTCCTCGCGCTGGAGGCGACGATCCCTTGGGGTGACTCTTGGGATGCTGTGATGGAGCTCCTTATTTTGGTATCTGGCAAGATGGTACCAGTGAGACTGCGGGAGATTGTGGCGGAGTACATTCTGACTCAGGCCGAGCTGTTCAAGAATGAGGAGGTGTTTCAGGACTTTATGTGCGATCACAACGGTCCGATGCGGGAACTGTTGAGTCCGATGTTTGTAACGGGAGAAGGTCTGTGATTATCATCTGATGGCATATGTCCCATCTTTGGAGTTGGAGGCCGACGATCTTCAAGTTACCTAGCATTCTAGAGGCGTCTGTCGGTGGCTGGGAGGCCTACCAACATTGGTGGCGTCAATGACTCAACAGAAGGCTTCTGGGAGTTTGTACTATTGGAGGAAGGACTATCAGGGGACTGAGGCTTGCATATTTCCCGACCACCTCTTTTATTTGCATGGGAGCGGCAGGAGTAGCATATAAACCACTTTTGTGTCCGCCAAGTTCGTAGTTAATCCCACATCTTGTATCAACACCTCAGAGCAGCACCTTTCATTCCCCTTTAAGATGATTCCTCTCGAGGATAGACTCCGTATGCAGAAGTACGATGATTCTCATGTCTCATGCAATGCAGGACTTGCTAACTCTGTACAGAGCACGCGAGAGTGGCGAGTTCACTGACTTCGCCTTCGTGTGCGAAGGGCAGACGATTAAAGTCCACAAGATCATCGTCTGCGGCCAGTCGACGGTCTTTCAAAGAGCATGCACTGGGAAGTTCAAGGTACCGCTTTCTATCAAATGTGCCCCCGTGCTCGCTGACGAGGCCTAGGAAGCTTCCTCCGGGATATATGATATGAACGACCATCCTCTAGATGTCGTAAATAGAATGGTTGACTACCTCTACACTGGAACTTATGAGATTCCAGATGGCGCTGACTTGTTGACACATGCCTCCATGTTCACATTGGCCGACAAGTACAGGATTATGGGGCTGCAAGCGCTCGCGAGCAAGAAATATTTGGAATGCCTTGACGAAAGCTGCAACTATCACGACTTCACCAGTTCCATCTCGGAAGTTTACAAACTCCCCAAGGAAACATCCAAGACACTTCGGGCCGGAGCTCTAGCCATGGCTAGAGGAACCTTGGGAACCGCGCTCGGCGCAACCGAACTAGGAATGGCCATTGACGAATTCCTGTACGACTGCCCGGAGTTTGCGCGAGACCTCCTCAGCCTCTCTCTAAGATTTTCAAGAATGGGTACCTGTTCTAACTCGAGTTGCGAATCTCGAAGCGCGGTTCCCATTGAGATTCTGCAGTGTCGATGCGAGAAATGCGGCAAGGGGGGTGCCAGCGCCGGACTTAGTCTCCGTTCTTGGTGTAAGGTTTTGGAATATGAGTTAGATATGGATGAGGAAGATGTTAAATTGGGCAAAACTGTGAGTTACGACTGGTGGCCTTCAGAAAGAGAGAATGAACGAAAGCCTGCATGGACAGGATTATTGTAAGAGTCTAGACCAAACAATAAATGAAATGCTCACCTTGCCTCACGGTTGGCCTGATGAGTCGGTCACTTTTAATCACATTCAACGCCTATGCTCTCAATAATAAGCCAGTGACTGGAAGATTGAAGGATGCTTATTCGAAATTTGAGATAGAGTTCTCCCAATTGGAGCTTTCTAAATTTATGGTCAAAGTTGGATGGAGCCATTTTACTGGGAATGATGGGGATGAATGCTGCCTATAAGGTTAAGCTTTAGACTGCGAACACAGATAATGAATGACAACACCATTTCTTTTTTCCCGATATACTACTGGGAATGGGTGACCCAATGATCCCGCCAATGAATGGTTAAACTTTACTACATAATCAAATATCGTGTTCTCATTCACCACCCGTGATCGCAGCCTGAAGTTTAACCAGAACCTCGTAGGCAGCAGTCAACTACATGGCATATAATCAGTCTTCCCAGAAGTAGAGTTAGATTTAAGAAAGTCTATCAAGAAACAACCTTCTTCATCTCTCTTATAAATACCCGACACCGTCCTTCCTCCCCAGGCAGAAAGACTCAGCACCTCTCATACCTCAAACCCACCATCAATCCATCCAGCGTTAAACAATACAACAACAACAACAACAACCATCAATCCATCATGCACATCGAGGAACGGAAGCTCATGCACAAGTATGTTGTTTAAAAATTCCTTCCAAGCTCAACTAACATCTCCCAGGGCCCAAAAAGTTGGGCAGTTCACTGACTTCGCTTTTCTCTGCAACGGCACAAAGATTCCCGTGCACAAAGTCATAGTCTGTGCACAATCCAAAGCTTTCTATGCCGCTTGTGCTAGTGGTTTCCAGGTAAGGAAATGGAAGTCAAGCTATAGTGACAATATACTGATCCTTCCGCAGGAAGCCACATCTGGAGTCTACGACTTGAGCGATTACCCCCTGGAATTTGTCGAGTTGATGGTCAACTACCTCTACGTCGGGTACTACGAAGATTCGAATCGAGATGCGCCCAAGCTGCCCCTTTCGACGCACCTGATGATGATGCTCTTGGCAGAAGAGTATCTCATCCAGGGCCTTAAATCGGAGGCGAAGTCTTCGTATATTCGCCGACTCAAGCAGAAGGATGTCCAAATGGAAGACTTTCTCCAATCGCTTCCGGATCTTTATCAACTGCCAGTAGCGGTCTCCAGGGACGTTATCGATGCGGCCGTCGCCCACACGATGGAGGCTGTGCTGCCTTGCATATGCAGTAATGCAAACATGAGAGTGGTCGACCAGATATTTGACGCTAGCCATGAGTTCCTGAAGGAGATGATGATGTCCATCATGAGTACACCTCTACGATCGAGATGCAGCGATTGCAGCAAACAGGATAACCCAGCAAACAGCTCACAGGAATCACAACGTTCTAGTCAAACACATGTTCCTAGTGCTGGAAGTCTTTTTGCACCCAGCCCTGGAATAAATACACCTAGTACTGGCAGTCTCTCTACATCTAGGTCTGGAACAAATCCTCGTCCTGCTGATGGTCTTTTTAAGACTACAACAAATGCTCCTAATACCGGCAGTCTCTTTGCATCCAGCTCTAGGACAAATCCTCCCCCTGCTGGCGGTCTTTTTAGGTCTGCAACAAATGCCCCTAGTGCTGGTAGTCTCTTTGCATCCAGCTCTGGAACAAATCCTCCTCCTGCTGGCTGTCTCTTCGGGTCTAGCTCTGGAACAAATGTTTCTAGTCCTGTCGATCTTTCTACACAGAGACTTGCAACAAGTGTTTATAATGCTACCAGTGCTGCTTTGCAAAAACGCCTTGAATAATTGTTTCCAGTGCTGTCAGTGTCTTGGCACCTATCAGGGTTGTTAGCCCTTTTGCTGGAAGATATATCCGTTTGAACACATCTTGATCTCTTCCTTTGGCGGTTTGCAGCAAGATTTATTATTTATCATAAAGGCTGCTAAATAAAAGATTATATTAGGAAAGAAATATTGTGTTCTTATTTATTACTTGTGTTTAAACCCTAAAGGTTAAGCTTATAGGCAGCCGTTATCCTTATAATTAATCTTTGTATATTTAGGCTATGTATTAGTATCAAGTGTTATTGAAATGGCTTGTTAAATGCAATAACGTGAGTAATTCAAGTGAAGAGAAGTTATCCGGAGCTCCTTTACATCATAAAGCTCCTATATCTTGGCTATATTAGAATAAACTGGGGTACCAATGTTTCGGAAATTCTGGCGATCAATCATGTAAAGACGCAACTGGAATCCCTAAATCCCCGTTAATGCCAAGTATTGATAAACATGGGCTTTATCGTGCTGCTTGTAGAGATAGGGATGCTAATTTGCTCAGATTACCAGTAGTATTGCTCTTGGAGCTGGCTCGTAATTCATGGAAAGAGGGGAACTCACAGATGCAGGTACTGAAATACACAGAAGTCTCAAACAGTCTCTTTGGCCGATAAGCTCTCATTTATAAGTTATCTTAGATACTGCACAAAGTAGGTTATAGAGAGCAGATACTATTGGAACAACTGCCTGCTGCTCCAGCTAAACCGACCTTATGCCGGAGCTGTAAAAGAAGCTCGGAAACCTGAAACAACACGAATATTCAGATCTTAGCTTTTCGTAGTAAGATATAATTTCAAAGAATCTTTGTAATGGATAAATAAACAGATGAATTATATTCTACTCTATCTTATAAGCTTTAGTAAAACAAAAGTCTGTTTTCTTACGAGTTCCATCTCGACCAGGAAGTCGAGGAGGCCTTATATGTACACCGTGACATGGGTTAAAAAATAAACTAATTAGGTAGCCAAGAGCCTAAATATAATTAAATATATAGTTCTTGAGAATAGACATTTTCTGGAGATATACTTCTGCAGCATAACACTGTTTAAAAAAAACCCTTTACTAATACGGACATAAATACCACACTCTCATTCATTTATCTATGAAATCAAACTTGACACTTTGTATAGTCCTACATCACATCCAGAAATCACCGGAGCTGGATTAGAAATGGACGACGAAAGTGAAAATTTCCGAGAGGGCCTCTGGCAGTAAGATTTCCTATTGAGTATCCTCTACCAGAACAGTTTACTAATTCTTGCCTAAAGAACCAGACATAACCAGGAATTTACAGACTTTACCTTTATCTGTGGAGCTGCCCAATTCCCAGTCCACAAGGTCATCGTCTGCAGTCAATCAAAGGTCTTTCATGCAGCATGCACCGGGGCTTTCAAGGTTGGTTTGCCTTTGATACTCATGGGCGTATCTAACATTGCGCAGGAATCCTCCACGAACGAGTTCGATCTGTCAGAGTCATCTGTAGATCATGTAACATGGCTGATTGATTTCCTTTACAAAGGAGCATACGGTGTAGAATCCTCGAAAGATTCCACTCTCGCCGACCACATTTACATGTTCGCGATGGGTGACATGTACGGCATTGAGCCACTTGCTCAATATGCAGCAGAGCAGTTCCGTACCGGAATTTCCGACACTCTAAAGTTGCAAGATATTCTCCCTTTGATCCCTAAGGTCTATAACTTGAGCCCAGAGCATCGACGAGAGCTGCGCGAGCAGGTGGTCGGTTTCATGAGGTCCCCATTCCATGGGAATAAGGAGGGAAACGATGCAAGAGAATGGTATGATGACATGGCTGAACAGTGTCCCGACTTCATCAAGGATCTGCTTTTGAGTTTCTTCGACGGGTCTGGTTGGAGCATCTATGATGATCAATGACCAAAACGATGTCAGAGAAACGCAAGTAAGGGCAAAAACTTTGAAAAGGAAGATGCTTAGTTGCTTGTAAGTTTGACTTGGTAACAAAATTATGGCAAATAAATCAAGTCGTGTTCAAAAATAATACTTCAGGACCGAGCGTGGATCGAACACGCGACCTAGGGATCTGCAATCCCTCGCTCGTACCACTGAGCTAGTACCACTGAGCTATCGATCCATCGATCCTTGCTGATGAGCAGTGTATGCTCGTTGGATGAGGGTAGCGGGAGAAAGTGACACATTATGTTAGAATGTAGTGAATGCGCAGTCAGATCAACTCATGATTACTTCAACATAAAGATTGATCGAGTAATTGAAGCCATTCGTGAACTCTCTCTCTGTTTGGCATCTTGCCGTCGCAAAACACGGGCCAACTCTGACCCGTCTTATCAGAAGTTGCGATAAGCTGGATAGGCTGCTATGATACTCCGTAAATTCAACTGATTGACGCGCTGCCCTGGTCTCCAGATTCGTCGGAAAACCACAAAAATGTGCTGTGAGCTTCCTTATCAAGACTAGAGCTGCTCCTCGACGGACTGAGATGCAGTGGAAGCGGGGTAAGAGATAAGTTGAGACAGGACCTTTTGCAGGGCCTTTTGCGACTTACCCTGGTGAGCTCGTTGTCGTCATTTCCGCGAGGATTACTAACCATTGCCGGCCAGAGTTTCACCGTCTGACAATTCATAACCGTTTTCAATCCCGACTCAACGTCTTCATGAAGAAGAATCACAACAATGAGCTTCCTAAAGACGGCATTGCTTCTAGCGGGGGCTTCCCTTGGAGCTTTTGCCTCACAGATACCGCTCAAGGACACTGAGTCACCGCAAGCCTCCATGTTCCAAGTTCACCAAAGCTCGCTATTTCCAGAACATACGATCCGCATCAGAGAACAGGTTGACAACTCCATATGCGACGCTCGCGTAAAGCAGTACACCGGCTGGCTCGATGTCGGCAACCAGCATCTTTTCTTCTGGTACTTTGAGAGCAAGAATGCACCGAAAACAGACCCTCTCGTGCTTTGGCTAACTGGAGGCCCTGGCGGCTCATCGATGCTGGGATTGCTTCAAGAACTTGGTCCATGTCTGATCAATGAGCACGGTAATGGAACAGTTCACAACCCTTATGGATGGAACGAGAATGCGAACTATATCTTTGTCGACCAGCCTGCCAGCGTTGGCTTCTCGTACTTGGATGACGGCGAGCCGATTCCGTCAAATTCTTTCGTCGCTGCAGAGAGTATGCATAAGTTCTTACTGCTCTTCGTGAGCCAAGTATTCCCGCATCTTGCCGACAGACCCTTCCATATCTCGGGAGAGAGTTACGGAGTAAGCAACACGGCATTCCCTGTTATGCGACGTGACTGACTCTCTAGGGCCACTATATCCCTGTCTTAGGAGCGACTATCGTTACACAGAACAGTCTCTACCCTAAGCGACCTCAAGTCAACCTGGAGTCAGTTCTTATCGGCAACGGTTACGTCTCCCCTCTGGACACGCACTTCGGATACTGGGAGACACTCTGCACCACGAACCCGGGTGTCGAAAAGCCTGTTTTCAACAGCACACGCTGTGACATTATGGCCGCAAACCTTCCACGATGCCTCGACCTCGCGCGGGTATGTTATGAACATCCCGACCATGCTATCTGTGGCGCTGCTGGTAAAGTTTGCTGGGATGGAGTCATCAGTTGGTATGATGGAGAATCCGGTACGGGCGGCAACAGGAACAGATTCGACATCACTAGGCCCTGCGAGTCCGGAGATGATCTGTGCTATAAGGAAGCAGGGCTCATTGAGAAGTACCTCAACACCCCCAAGGTTTTCGATGCCTTGGGCGTACCCAGCGCAGTGACGAACTACTCCATTTACGCAATGGATGTAGAAGTCGCATTCAGCCAGGGATATGACCAAGAAATCAGCACCCAGTCACAGATTCTATACTTGCTCAATCACGATATCGACGTGCTAATGTACCAAGGCAACTTCGACCTGGCATGTAATACCGCTGGTAACTTGAGATGGAGCAACAGTATGCCTTGGAAAGGACAGCCGGAATACGTTGCGCAACGACAGAGGTCCTGGGGTGCTGGGGGCGATGAGTTTGGATGGTACAAGGAGGTCAAGATTAAGATGGGAGATACCGATAAGAAAACTACCTTTGCTTTTGTTACTGTTGATGGAGCTGGCCATATGGTAAGTGCTTCGATGTTCATGAAGACATGATGCTAACAAGCCATGACAGGTTCCTCAGGACAAGCCGAAAGAGGGTCTGGAATTGGTGAACAGATGGCTGAAGAAGCGAACTTTCAACAAATGAATAAACCTTGGATTGACATGGGGAATGCCCCATGAATGGAATGTCTGAGGGTAGTGATCTTAGTTGAGTACCTGGAGTTGCAAGATATTTGATCGGTGCAGAGTGGAAGAGCCTTTTGCAATACCTATGGGTACCAAGTTTGCCAAAGAACAGTTATCAAGCTTTCAAGACGTGCCCAGCCTCTTTCCGTTATTTCCAGTCATTATCAAAGAGACACGGGTTGAAAGGAATCGATCCCTTCACTTGTCGCTGAGTACTTGAATGGTAGCCAACCTTAGTACTCGTGCGGTATGAGCACATCCATTCCCATCGTGCCAAGTCTTGATGTACTGTGTTCAGCCTGGATCTATGACCGGCCTGGAGTTTATCTGGTGGCTTACGATTACCTTTCAACTAGTGAATGCTTGTTAAGGAAACGGCACTATCGAGGGTCTCGTTAACCGAAGTCCTCAATGATAGATGGTCGCACGAAGTTCTTTCCTAGTTTCAACGGAGCGTCTTACATGGTAGGAAAGAGTGAGATGAAATTCATTCTTACGTGATGTTAAGAGATGTTCTTTGACTACGAAAAAAAGGACTACGCTGACAGTAAGACAACAGAAATCACAGCGGCATCGGAGAGGGACTTGACCTACTTGATTTTCTGACCACATTGCTGACAGACTAATGCCGCTGTTTTGCACGTGTCTCCTTCAGCTTTCATTTAACGTAAGCTTCGCATTCTTCAAGAGATAATTACAAGCAGCGCCTCATCAGCTTTCTCAGCATCATTGATGTTCAGCTCCAGAAACTTGACTAATCCGAGTTACGCGATCATCCCACGTTCTGAGGCAACTGCAGATGTACAGAGTAAGCAATGCTACATTACATCGAGCTCAAGTTGGGGGCATGTGACACTGAGGCTCAGAGCCGGGTGGAGCAAAAACCTGCCAATTATGCATATGGATGGTGACATTTGTGCTGATCATCTATGACGGGGTTGAAATTCCGATAGCTGAGTTAAGATTCACTTTTGACCAATTTATTACTCAAAAGCGGGATAAAGTGTATAATGCACCCTTCGCCTACAAGCTCAAGAGCTGCCGCTGCATCTTGACTGGCTTTGGCCAGTCAAGATCTAATTAGACGGTTGAATAATGGTGTAAAAATAGGCTTGTTCCAAGGTTAGTTCCGGATCATGTTCTCAAAGCCATCAGGTGCGCGACCCAAAGCCTCGTATCGATAGCATCATGTCTTAATTCTCTACACCCTCATCCGCCTCCGCCATTCTCGAGTCCCGAGGTCTCTTGTACTACCCAAAACTATTCGGACGGAGCATTATCATTTTCTGGTTACTCATGTCAGAATTGGATTGGGCTGTGCAATTCGTTATTTTTAAGCTTAGCTAAAGTAATGGGCCGAAGCCATCGGCGGGCTGAGCTTATTCTTGGCTTGGCTGCAGTCCGTCATAGAACGTTCCGGCTTAGTGAGATTCGAGAGCCTGCCGCAAAGCTGAACTTTTGGGCTTGAAGCTTGCACTTCTGGGACCAACACATTACGCAACAATGGATGCAACTTTTACAATCGGATCAGCGAAGGATACGAGAAGGACGAGTCCTCCCATCCTCCATTCCTCAAGCCAAGACCAGACTGACAACGCAGACCTCGTGAGGAAGGGCGGTAGCACAGGTGACCTCTACGTCTTTCAGCCCCAGAGCCCAGTTTCTCGGGTATGACAGTTGTAACCTGCGGGGTAAAACTGGTCTTGGGGGCTGATCCCTCCACCCACGATCGAGGCCTCAGCCCTGACACTTTGGGGATAGCTTCGAAGTGCGCAGCAGCTAGCGCTGATCTTAACCTGGCGTGATCCAGGCGCAGCAGCTCCCAAGTTCTCGTGGAAGCTCGGGGCACCCGAAAATAGCAACCATTTACTAATTGACGTAGGGCATGACATGAACTCTTGTCGGCCGTCGAGGTCCAGCTCAGCCTTACCAGAGACTGAGTTTGAGTGTTGCAGTCTGGTATCCCGCTATGGCGTCAGCCACCACCATCTGCTGGAGGTAAGCCCACGATCTGGGCAATGCTGCCAAAGTTTGAAGTAAGTGGTATTCAATTGTGTATATAAACAACGTTTGATTCCCGCCATTCCATCTAATTCTATCATTCTCATCATCATCTCATCTACAACAATCGCAACAACCTTCGCTACAATACCGTCGCTTCCACTATTACTACAGCTTCAATCGCTTCTACTACAATTTTCTTAACAACCCTTCTTTACATATAAACTTTCATCTCTCAAAATGCGCTACTCATTCACTCTTCTCGCCTTTGCCGCTACGGCTCTGGCACTCCCCACTGCAAAGCCCACCGATGACGGTTCATGGGCCCCTGGTATGTTCCTCCGATTCCATCATCCAGTCCCATACTAACAGCATCAGGTAAATATGAGGGCGGTGATACCGGAAAGGACGACGGCAAGTGGGCTCCTGGTAAGTCTTCACAATGTCTCCAACAAGTCGCCATACTAAACATTACTAGGCAAATATGAGGGCCCCGGCACCGGTTTTGACGACGGCCAATACCACCCTGGCAAGGACGGCAAGAAGGCCAAGCGCTACGATGACGGTAGCTGGCATGAGGGCAAATATGAGGGCAAGCCAGGAACCAAGTACGACGATGGCAAGTGGTATCCCGGCAAATACCCCGGCGGCAAGGAGAAGCGCAACGACGACGGATCCTGGCACGAGGGGAAGTATGAAGGTGGCAAGACTGGCTACGATGACGGCAAATGGTATCCAGGAAAGTACCCTGGCGGAAAGGCCAAGCGCAACGACGATGGTAGCTGGCATCCCGGCAAGTATGAGGGAAAGCCAGGAACTAAGTACGATGATGGAAAGTGGTATCCCGGAAAGTACCCCGGTGGCAAGGAGAAGCGTGATGATGATGGAAGCTGGCATGAGGGCAAATACGAGGGCGGCGACACTGGCCTTGACGATGGCAAGTGGGAAGAGGGTAAGTCACACATTTTTAAGCTACAAGAGCCTCAAGACTAACAAGTTCAAGGCAAATATGAGGGCCCCGGCACTGGCTTCGATGATGGCCAATACCACGGTGACAAGGCCAAGCGCAATGACGATGGCAGCTGGCACGAGGGAAAATATGAGGGCGGCAAGACTGGCTACGATGATGGAAAGTGGTACCCTGGAAAGTATCCTGGCAAGGAGTAAAAGTGTTGTTAAACATCTAGATGGGTTTTGGAGTTTGGGACTGGGTTACAGGGTTGAGCATTTGCATATTTCTGGCATCAGACATTCTTTTCTCTTCTTCTGAAAGGCCTCAACTAGCCTGCATTACATATTATTCACATAGGACACTCCTTTTAATTATATTTACAATTTGGACTTTATCAAACTGCCAGTATCCGCTCATTGACAACTCCATGACATGTGCTTTCCATCAACGCTCCCGGACTAACTTGTAAACTAGATATTTCCCAGGCAATGGTTGTATGCAGTTTTTTCTTTCTTTTCGTTCGTTTTTGCAAGGTGGTGTAGTCCTTAGTAACCCCGTCTTATCAGTGAAGGATCTGCACGACAGGGATCTGTTCATCCATTATCCAACTCGAGCCCCTCATTTACTCTGCTTACCAACATCTTCACCAACAATAATGGCAGAACTCGTCATACTCGAACGGCCATCATCACAACACGTCTACCATCAAGATGGCGATAACGAAACCAGTCATAATGACCACGAAAGCGTTGTCGAGGGCCATGCTGCGGAGTCAAGTGAACGACCGGACCAAGAGTACCCGACGGGCATCAGACTCTGGCTGACCATACTCTCTGTGGTGTCAATCCTCGTCCTCGCCAGCATAGACATGAACATAGTCGCCACAGCCGTGCCAGCTATCACCGATCACTTCCACACGGTAGCCCACGTTGGCTGGTACTCATCCGCCTTCAGACTCAGCGTCTGTGCTTTCCAATTCATCTTTGGGAAAGCCTACAAGCTCTTCTCCGTCAAACGCATCTTCCTCATGTCCAACGCCATCTCTATCGTTGGATCTGTGCTTTCAGGCGCTGCTGTTTCGTCAACAATGCTTGTTGTTGGAAGAGCTGTCGCTGGACTGGGATCTGCAGGTCTATTCGCTGGCTCGTTCATCATCATCGTTCAAGCGACGTCTCTTCGTCGACGACCTATTTTCCTTGGGGTTTTGGGGGCTGCTGAGGGTCTTGCTACCATCGCTGCGCCGTTGCTTGGTGGTGCGCTTCAAACACTTAGCTGGAGATGGTGTTTCTACATCAGCGCGCCCACTGGTGCTCTTACTCTTCTTCTTACCATGCTCTGCTTGTCGGATGATCAGAAGTCTAGTGGAGTTACTGAGTTGTCGTTTAAAGAGAAGGCTGCTCAGCTTGACCTCATTAGCAACATGTTGCTGCTCCCGGCGTTCACGAGCCTTTTTCTTGCTCTCTCATGGGCGGGTACTGTGTACCCATGGAGCAGCGGCCAGGTTTTTGGACCTCTGGTTGCATTCGCTGTTCTCCTTGCAGTGTTTGTCTGGAATCAAATCCGCCGAGGCGACGCCGCTGCACTCCCGCCCCGCATCATGAAGCATCGCTGCGTAATAGCCGGTTTTATCTTCATATTCTGCGTCAACAGCACTGGCGTAGTGCTTGAGTACTATTTGCCAGCCTACTATCAGCTCGTTCGTGGATACACGCCCGTCAAGAGCGGCTACATGATGTTGCCTATCATAATCGCGGCAACAGCCGGCTCACTCATCCACGGAGCGGGGACAAGCGCATTCGGTTACTACACGCCTTTCATGCTCTTCGCATCCATCATCATGCCAATCGCTGCAGGGCTTATCACTACGTTCAAGATTGATACCAGTTTCGAGAAGCTTATTGCGTACTCGGCGCTCTCAGGTCTGGCCTATGGCATTGGGTTTATCGGCCCTCAAACAGCTGTACAGACTGTCCTCCCAGCTGAAGATGTCCGGCTTGGTCTATCCATCATGTTGTTCGCTCAATCTTTCGGCCCTGCTGTATCTGTTCCGATTGCCCAGGTGCTCTTCACAAACCGACTCTCTGATAACCTTCATGGTATCGTACCGGGTCTGAATGGGACGCATATCAGCAACAGTGGCCTTTCTGAGATAGTGAACAATGTGCCAGAATCTGCGACAAGAGAGGTTCTAATTGCCATCGATAAAAGTCTCGGGCAGACATGGTATCTTGTAACTGGGCTGGCTTCAGTCGCGATAGTTGGAAGTCTGATGACGGAATGGAGGTCAGTCAAGGAGAAACGCGAATAAATTGAGATTCGGGTCTTCTGGCGGCTCATCAGCCTTGGCTAGAACGCAAGACTGCCATCAGTTGTTTACCCTCGCCAGTTCCGGAAGGCTGAAGACTCAAAAACACTCAAAATCCTACGTGTTGTCTTTGGGGGCGAACAACAATATAAAGAATTACAGTCAATAGCTCATGGTGTAATTATGCCATTCGAGGAAGCTTTGACTATGATTGCCGACAGATATGCCACACGCCAAGAAGATCACATATATGGCATTCTTGGAATTACAGAAGGAGGGAATACTATCAAGATTGAGTATGGGGATCAACAAAATCCTGTCCCCTGGCGAACAATGCTCGGCAAATTGCAGCAGGCCGGAATGATTACTGAATGCCAGCTTGCTTCGCCGACCGTAAACAGAGAGCCCGGGCTAAGTTGGTTACCGGACTGCGGTACTGAGTACGGACCTTTCACAAACACGGAACGTCTCGTTTGCCTCATCACTCGCCCACAACTTTCATTTTCGGGCCTAAGAGTAGCCGTCAAAGGAGCAGTCTTCCAATGGGAAGATATCAAAACTCAAGAGTGGCCCTCGCTGAATATCCACGGCATGGATTGTCGGATTGTCCGCGGATACATTCGATTTCCTGAGGTCCCAGGACTAGTTGTTAAGGCAGTTGGGACGTCGGGCCTAAGTTTCACCACGAACAGATTGCGTGGTACTCATGTAATGCTATGTGAGGGTTTAAGATCTCACAGTTCACATCACGCGCCTTACACGTCCAAAGGTGCTGTTCTCTCCGTATCTTGGTTGTTATTTTTGTCATTGGAATACAAATAAAAGTTTAAGCCGCAAAGTGCCTTTGTGACTGGTCTGGAATGTGATTTGGTGTGACAAGACATTCCACTGGTCGAAGACAGTTGTTGCAGAAAGTTACAGGATATCTGGCGGTTCCAGTGGGTGTTGCTTAATGAATCCCTGCGGTCTTTGTCTATTGAGTTTCGGCTTACTGAGTCACCCCTCTATCCACCTTCCGAACAGTGATTCATGCCTCATGCTTGAAATGATCTAGGTGTGAAGTGCTCCGTATGATGATATAGTCAAGCTCAATTCAGCGTCGAAGCCATGCTGCCACTGTAAGAACAAGGGGAGTGGAGATTGAACAGCAGTGCTGGGCACTGGTTAGGAACTCTGAGCCCCTTCTGCCCCCACCTCGACCTTGTTTCATCCGGCCAACTTTCTCACCATTCTCCTCTTTTCTCCCTTCTGCACCACTGGGACCAAGGCGCCTCCATCCCCTCATCGAAACGCGGGCTGCACTCCTGTTCCTTACCTTATTGCGGGCCAGACATTCTCGTACGCTCACCTGCCCTTTTATCTTGAATCAAAGTGAGTCGCGAAGTGCGGCACCGAGATGACAATCCTCTGCTGCTACACTATCAAAGTACCTGTACTGACGGCAATACTAAGATCTCAAGAGAACGACTTTCTCTTCAAGACCTTACCACCAGAACCAAGGCCGCAACAATGGCCAACGAACCCGACGAATCTTCTGCATCTACAGTGAACGGCAGCTCCTCTACTGCAATGTATGCCATATTCAACAACGTTCTCCAGTGTCATCAGCGCTCTAAACCTGAAGTTGATGGACGCTACTTCGTGACACTTCTCCTGGAACCCCGTCTCTTCGAGGATTTCCGCCCGTTGCTCGATCATCTCTTCCACCACTACGACTACAACATCAGCGGTGGAATCATAACTACCAGAATGGCACCCAACACTAACATTCATGACGACTATGCTACTGAGCTCGGGCTCTTGTTTCGCAAGCTGATCGATGACTTTCTGAACATGGAACCCTACTATGCCAGAATCAGCGCCTACCAAAGCCGACAGTCCAAGGTCAGTGAGCATGGCAGGCGTTGGGAACATCTCGGCGGCATGAGGGTTCGCTTGAAAGACCCTCTCGCCAAGAAACCAGGCCTTGTCTTCCTTGTCGGCTATTCTCAAAACGAAGATACCCTTGAGAAGATCGCCAAAGACTACATCGTTGAGACCAAGGGCGCTGTCACTTCAGTAGTCTGCTTCGACATCAAGGGTAACCATGGTCATTCATCCGTGTCCTTCTGGAGAGCGAGATAGAATCTCGCATCGGAGACTGTTGAAGCAGTTTGCGACCTTGAACCAGCGGTAGATTTCACTTTCACCTCACAGTGCAGATTCGAAGGCTAACTTACTCTTGACAGATGTTCCAACATTCTGACGGTAAACCGGTCATTGGAGACAAGCTTCTCGAACTCCGACTCGCCGACATTCTGATGGAAAAGGATACGGACGAGTGCCCGCTCCGGCCGATTTGCTTTTACCTCCACCAGCTCAGCTTCTTTCTCGACATGGCAAAGGCTTAGCCCGAAGGAGGATCACCGTCCTTTCTCCAGCAGACGTTGACGAGACTTTACTACCAAGGTCCCGTAGGGGGAAGGGATGAAAATTGAGGGTGAACAGAGTATTGAAGGACAGAAGGGAATGTTATACAGTTGGCACTTTGGCCATAGAGACACGGCCAAGGAGGATTCTGCAAATAAAGTCACTGATTCATATCTTGAGATTATTGGCGAGACCTATGAGCCGAGACTGGTTGTTTCAACATATCACCACATCGTTGTCACAGTAGAGAGGAACAGCTTGCAAGGACCATCATATTCCTGCACCAGGGCACGAGGTCTGAGATATTTAAATAACCAGGCCACTTGTTTCTGTATCTAGAGGATCTTTCGATCTATCAGCAATTACCTAGCAAAAGGTCTATGCAAAACGTCACATGGCTCCCAAGTGTTTTCCAGATTGCTTTTTTGTGGTCTTTGTGACTGATCAGCATTGCCTCAGGCTCAGAACCTAGCACATATCCCCTGTAAGTTTCGAGCGGCGGCTTCTTTTCCTCTGCTCCACTGTTTCGGCTTCCTGGTGTAGAGAACAGTTTTGAGCCCAACACCCAGGTTGGGATCCATATTCTTTGGGACGTTCCAGGGTAGCTACGGATCTTGATACCTACGGGAACATCTCGTAGCAAGACGCAGCTGATTCGCGCCACTTGGATTTTTATTATCATGGTTAGGCCAGTCCGTTGCTCCGTCAGTCGCCTGCGTTAGAGACGAACCCAAGACTGGATAGTCAAGTGGGAGCTTAGTTTCATCGTTAGCAGCAGAAATAGAGTGAGTCACACCGTTGCGATGTCTTTCGGCTACGTCCTTAGTTCACAGCCTATCACTGAACAAGATGAACTCTTGGCTCAACTTGGTTACCAGGATTAACTGAACTCTTAGTCTCTTAGCTACGTTCAACGCCACCATTTTTGTAGGTCAGGGGTTTTTGGCACTAGCGGGGCAGAGCTAAAACGTTGGGGTCTTGAATAGCTGGTGAAAGAAAGGACATAAAATGATTTGTCGCATTTCCCTCCATTAGCTGAACCCCATCAGGAGATTAAAATTGAATCAGCGGCATGCTGACGTTGCTGTCAAATTGGAAATCAGGATCAAAATTCTCTTGCAGGATTCGATAGTGTGAAATTCTTCTACGTTCTCGCGATAGCCAAGTTTGCCTTTTTCTTCAGTCTACTCTACAACCGCAGGCACAGATAGATAGCTTTGTGCGCTGCAGCAGTTTACTCTTGCGTTAGAAGCTCCATGGATGCTTTTGGTCATTCGTATTCTCGTGAGGCGTCTATTCATGACTTTTTGGAGCTTGGCAACGCCCAGTCAGTGTCAGTTTAGACCTGTCGGGCATATATGACATGTCTTTTCTTTCCCATTCCCACAACCACTCCGGGCTTTTCAGCTGCCATAATGCCAGCACTGCTGTACTGGCGTATATCTGTGCTCTTAGTTTTCTGTCCTCCCAATATTTGAGATGTGAGTGACCTAAATGTGAGCCGTACTCTTCCAACTAAAGGACACCACTGCCTTTTAATCACCTCCATTCCCCTCCATTTCCCAGATGCGAAAAGCGCGGTATTCTTTCCATCTGGCTTCCACCAAAGCTTCCATGGCCTACTAGGTCTCATGTCCTAAGCACATTCAATCCAGTTCCTCTGACCAGATCTCTGGTACCTGGTTAGTCGCTATGGCATCTCAAATCCGCCATCTCGACTCAGTGGTCCAAAGCGACACTCCTGTTGGCAGCTCCCAAGCCGTAAATGACAGTTCTCCCACAGCTTCCCCTCAGAGAGACATGAACAACTCCCCGTCGTCTCTTCCGATCCCCTCTGGTCAATCTCCAACCCGCGTCCGTGAGACTCCTGGAGGCTCACCCCATGGGCAGAATCTAGGCCATCGGCGACGATCTACTACAACCATCGGAGTTCGTCTCGCCGCTCCCCGGCGGAGATTTCCTGTCATCAACTCCCGACGCGACTCACAGCGGTCTGTTGATATAACCCCAAACCGAGTAGTTCGTCGACAGCGCCGCATGCGTACACTTGGAAACTATCGACGATCCGGAAGCTTCCTACAATACATCTCGTCTGTTGAGGATCTCAGTCGATCACTTGCTGGCGTGCAGCAGACTGGCCCGCCGGAGCGTGGGAATAGGCAGCCCCTTGCGAGCTATCCTTCGCGATTGCTTCGCATCAGAGGAAACCGCCGGGTTCAAGTCTGGAGAAGTTACCTAGACCCAGTCCCAGGCTTTGGTCCCGACGTGATCGGTCAATCGATTCATACACCCAGGCCTCGTCCATCTCACCCACCGACCAGCGAGGTAACTCCCTCGCCTCCGGAACCAATGCTAGAACCTTCTCGTCTGAGCATGGATTCTCTGGGCAGTACGGATAGCCGCGTCACTGAGCATGACACTCAGCCTGCTGTCCGCCCGAACCGCCCCCGTCGGCCAGGACACGTATTGTATTGCGACTGCGTTATTTGCGATCAGCTGAATGAGCCTTTTAGCCCTTAGTGTGGTTAGACACTCTGGATGTAACGGTATTGGATATGGGTTACTGGACTGAACCTACACCGGACGTTTTAAGGCTAGAAGTAGTACTAAGTTCTATATACTGGTTTAAGCTCTTAGCCATAAGCCTTAACTATAAATAGCATATCTGGCTAATAACTTAAATATTATACTATAATAACTAACTAATTACTATAGCTAAAGGCTAATATTATAAAAAACTAAAAAATAACTTATTTACTTATTATTATAGGTTATAAAAAGGTATTTTTAATCTATTTTTTAAATAATTAAATATAAAATAATAATAAAGTAAAATAGTAATATACTTACTTAAATAAAAGCTTATCTATATAGTATATTTAAATAAATTCTAATAATAGTATATTAATAAACTTTCCTTTAATTTTATTAATCTTAAAAATTATTAAAAGACTTTTAAAAATGAAAATAGCTTAAAAAGGATTAAAGCTATAATGTAACGGTCACACCTAACCACTACGCCACAGGGCAAAAGATCGGGCTATAACTGCTATTGTAGCAATTACAGTGGTGTGTACAGCTGCTTATAGAAGCCTTACAGCGCTGTTACGGGCACGAATCGTAACATATAAGTAAAGAAGTAAGAAGTTTTTAAGATTATTAATACTAAAGAATATAAAAAGCTTATAAATAACCTTATTAAGTAACTAGTTATTTTTAGTACTTATACTTTTACTTATATTATTAAAAAACTTCCTTAAAAAACTAAGAAAGCTATTAGGTAAGAAAAAAAGGCACTAAAAGCCCTTTTTTATAATAAAGTTAAAGCTAAGAAAATAATAAAGTTAATTAAAAGAAAAAACTAAAATTAAATTAAGTCTTTAATTAAGCTATAGCTAGTAATTTATTTAAATAAATAACTTCTTATAAGTATAGTATATAGCTATTAGATTTATTAAGAAATACTAATATATAAAAAAAGCTTAACCTAAAAAAAGTTTTATAATAATATATATATTAGTATAATTAGGGCTAAGAAGAAGGTTAGACTAGAAGAAGGTTTAGGGCAATCGGAAGGTAGTAGCAGAGTTAAGTTTATAAGTCAATCATAAGGTTAGAAAATACACTTCAACTTTAACACAATGCTAGAAGTGGTACTGCGGAGTGGCCGCGGTATTTACAAGAGTATAGACATGCTTTTTATATTTGTTGACGTTGGCATCGAAAGCTTCGCACTTGTATCTCGGTGTCTTCAGGAAGTAGCTGCTTTTCATTGAAAGACCTGGTGCTGGTAGGATTTACTCATGTAAGCAACAGGAAGTGAACTTAGATAGGAACAAATCATCACGCAGGAGGAGTCACTGCTTATATGTTGCTTCTGGCAATATATGATTGCCGTTCACAAGAAGTCGCTATTGATGAATCCAGGCTACAAGTATCTAATGTCGATAGCATAGATTTTCCGGTGCTAGAGATACTACTGTTGACAAGAGAGAAATACTATAGGGAAGAGTACGTTAACGGGTATCAGTTCCAAACATACGTTCTGGCAGCCACCTCAAGGCTCGAAGTATTGTCGTCTTTGGTGTTGATCCTGATGCTCGGGGAACATAGTAGCATAGAATTCAGTCCATCCACCCATTCTGACCCGCAGAAGATTATACTTTTCCGGATCTTTCACCGCCTCTTCATAGGTCTTCACGTTTGCACAAGTAAGAGTGATCAGGTTTCCGCCAACTGTTCCCTGTGCGTAGCGCTTGACGAACTTCTTCAAGTCTTCAAGCGGAAAGGCTTCATCGATGTTCATGTCTACAGGCGACGCGTTCGAAAGCCCGTACGTCACAGCGTCGGATTTATAGCTCTCCATGGCTTGGTATATATTCCTGAAGGCAGGATTGGGAGGGAGGTCTTGTGCTGCTGGGACAGGAGAAAGGTCAGATGCAATGGGCATGCCATTACGGCGACCGTCGGCTGAGGCACCGCAGGGCGCGCCGTCGCCGACATAACCTTCAAAAGTGCCGATGCCAGGAGTGATGACGAACTTTATGTCATGGCCAGGGTGGTTTTTAGCAATCCCTTCCTTCTGAGAGTCCAGAGCTGGAGACTTGAACTTATCGACACAAAGTCTTACGAGATTCTCAGTGAGCCAGTCTCCAAGGCGGTTGACCTCCTCGTCACCACTCCCCCATTTCGGCAACGCGAGCGCCATAGCTCTCAGCTGTTGGTATCGCACGCCATACTGGGCCGCACTAGCAGCGCCAAGGTGACGATCCTGGAAAGGTTCAATCATGTTGAAACCCCAGTCATTGATGAGACAGTCGACAAGTTCAGGAAGCGTAGTCATTGCAGTGTCTTCATCGTACACTAGCTTCTGTATAGCAAACAGCGAGTCAATAGTATTGGAGACCCCAATACATAGTGGTGCCATGATGTGAAAGCGAGCACCGCCATCGGTCAGGTCGATGCCTTTCTCAACACATCCGTCAATCAAGACAGACAGAAGAGGACTTGGGCATATATCAGCGAGGTTCCCGTAGTTCTCCAACATGACATTATAGCACTGAATAACAAGCCATTCCAGTTGTTCCAGGAAGATGTCTTGGAGCTGCTTGAACGTCTTGATCTTGTGCGCCGGTAGTGATCGAAAGGTTTGCTTCAGCCCACGAAGACTCTCGGGCCCAGCAGCACCATAGGTCGCTCCTTGGTTGATGGTTTGTTCCAGAGCAAGCATAGGCTGAACATTGTTGAAGGTGAACTCTGATGCTCCCGCGAACATGGGTTCGTAGCAGCCATCAGCAGCATAGTTCCTTGACCAAGCTGTGCTGACAAGGTTGGGATCCGAATCCCTTAAGCCCTTGCAGAGTTTGTCGTCATTATAGAGAATTGGCTGTGCACCTCCAGCGAGGATTGCTTTGGCAGCTTCATCCAGATACTCTTCGGGTATGTCCTTGTAAACACGGAGTGACAGAGTAGGGGCATTGACGGGTATACGCCGCGAAGCCTTGAGACACAACATGGTGACCTCATTGGCGCCGCCTTCTGGGGTATCACTATCTGTCGCCTTGTAACCGCCGACGGTGACTTGCTGGACCCATTGATTGATGCCACCCCCCTGGGGAAAGTTACCGCCCACGCCACAGACAGCTGTAGTTCCATATGATACGTAATCGTAGATAAAGGCACGATTGACGAAGGCGTTCTCTCCAATCTTCAGCCAGAGACAGTCCACAATCTCTTGGGCACGACCCAAAGAGATACTGTCCTTCTCCAAGAATGGCCAAAGTATCTGGTCCAGACGGCCCAGTGCAGTCAATTCGCCGACGAGATGCAGGCAACAGTGCATGGAAAAGACCAGCTGCACTGCATCTTGGAAGTCTCTCGGTGGATGATCGACGAGATGTGCCAATCGCTTGGAGACATCTTCCATGTTGGCCTTGTCATCTTCATTCGAGGCGTGAGCAGCTGCTTTTTGTGCCAAGATTGTCCAGTTGCGCAGGTAGCCTTGCACTCCTTTGATAGACAAGAGAGCGGAACGGAAGAAGGACTTCTGCTTGGCATTGATAGCATTGTCAGCTTTGGCTTGTAGCTCGCCGTGGAGTTTGCCCAAGCCCTTTTGAACGAGGCGCTCATAGTCTGGAACTACATGGCCCATGGCTGACCACTCATTGAGTGAACCTTTGAGCCAAGCATTCATGGTCTCCTCCTTCGACAAGTATGGGATAACCTCTTTTCCGCGGCCCAGAGTAAAATCCGGAATAACGCCAACGATGAGCTCTTTGGGATCAATACGAAGCAAGCTGTTGAAACGAGCTGTTTTGGACTCTGGGTCCGAGAGTGACAGCGTGAGTGTCTTGAGATTTGCGAGACCTTTACGGACTGGGACAGGCTCACTCATGACCTTGGCTTTGTCCTCCTTGGTGTCATAGAAGTGAGTCAGCTCAGGAAGTCTCGGGAAGTTCTGCTTATCCATCCAGCCATCGCGCCAATGGGAGAATGTCCTTCCAAGCAAGCTCAGGAGCCGATCGTTGGGAGGATCACCACCTATGTAGTGACCTTGAGACATCTGATGAAGGTAGTCCTGGGAGTTGTAAAACAGATAACCATTGGGGCTTCTAACGTCCCAGTGAGAATCTTCCATTACATCGTTGAGGCTCGTCACAGCAGGGACATCCAGTTCCTTTGCAGCAGGAACATACCAGTAACCACCGCTATGAGCCTTGACGACATCCATCAATCTATCAAGTGGATTTTCTGGCTCATGGCCCAACAGATGTTTGAGAATGTGCTCGAAGCGGGGCTGTTCATTGCAAAACGCAACAAACATAAGTCCCTTCTCACGGCCAGCGTGACCTCCACTGTTACCAAACGACAGTGCTTGACGCAGAATCTTTCGCTGGTCTTGGTTCTTGTCTCTGATGTGAGCTCGATGAATATGCGAGTGAGTCGCATGCTGGGGCAGGGAAGCGCCATCTGGATTGCGACCAACCATCTCATCCTCAGTATCTCCACTTTGAGTGGCAATGCGAGGCCAGTCAAAGGTGAACTTTTGAGTAAAGGCAAAGCTAGCACCACGATACTCTTCTGGGCTGTTGATGAGAACATCTTCAGCCAGGCTGACGGGATCGTTAGGATTGGTGATGCCATCAACATAACGCCCGCCGCCAACGCGGATATCCTTTCGTTTGCCGGCCACGACCTTGTCAATGGTCATGGAGATGGCCTCAAGGCGTTTCTCAACTTTGTTCACAATCTCGGCCGCTAGATCCTTGGATGTGGCCTTGATATAAAGGACAACATCGCCGCCCGTATTGCGGAACTTGATTTTGCGGTCAAGAATCTCTGTGTGAATTGGTATGTCGCGTCCAGTCCACGAGCCCCAAAGTTTGGGGCAAAAGGCAGCCACAAGGCCGCACTTGGTGTAATTGGTTGCAACATCTTGTGCAAGGCTTCGCACAATGTCGAGAATTGCGTTTTTGGTCTCTTCATCGTGGCTTTTGAGACGAATAGTCAGAACTTGACCAAAGGAGGTTGGCAGAGGTAAGCCACGCTGGGCGCCAAATAGAGTCTCGTTGATACCCATGACTGGTAATGTAATATTTCTTACAGATAACAAGAGGTAGCCATAGATGTAAGGATAGTTTGTGCTGATAATCAGCTACTGCTTTTCTTCTTATGAATCTACACAGCTTGAACGGCTCAATTATCCGGAGTCAAACGATACGGCATCACTTAGCATGCAATATTATGCAGGGTGCTCTTCTGGGTCGTTCAGCTAGCCACGGAGTACACACTATCCACTGATGTGCTTTTAAACTCGACAGAAGGCCACTAGTTCGCTGACAACTGGCACAGGTGCTATTGGTTACCCCATGCTTTGCCAAGCATGATGTGAGGGGAAATCCTACTGTGTATACCAGTTCTACGCTAACTAACAGCGTTCAAATCAAGAGAAGGGTATAGATACAATTAATATAGCGCTGAGATACCAAGTACGACAATGAAACGGTTCCAGATGAAGTATAGGTTCATGTCGTGCATAAGCCGAGCTGAAACAACGACTGTCATCACTGACCTGGTCATCCGCAACTGGTTCAACGCGAACATGTATGTCTCACAACTGAGGGGAAACGAAGCGGTGTGATAAAAGCCAACTTTCCAACTCGTCACAGACAAATCATGCAATAGAGATGTCCAACTGTGTCTTGTATTGAGGCAGGTAAACCGGCACGATTGAGGTCCGAACCGATATATGACGTGGAGGCTTCTGACTATTGAACGCAAAGATGAGAGACATGCCGCGGACCGCTGATCTTCCGAGCGGCATACCTGGGATTATCAATCAGGACGAGTTCTTCTAGCATTCAGTCCTTGCCATATCCTTCCCGCTCTTCCCCGTCACTTATTTCTAGCCAGTCACTGGAGCCCGAATACCGAGTGCGATTCAAGTTCATGACTGGCTGAGTTTATGTGATCATGCTTCTAGCCACAGATTTGAGCATATCTAGGCATGTATGGCAATGCTGGGTGTTGAGTTTGATCATAGCCATTACCTGGTATTCGTTCTTGAACTTTCCCTAAACGAAGTTTTGATCATGACCAGCGGATCGGGGAGCAGGAAACGTGAAGCCAGAAGGTCATGGTGTCTCAGCAACGTGGCTGAAAGCCATCTTTTCATCTGACTATCCACGACGGATGGCTTCCATGCCCGACAATAGGAATGCTAGCCATGACCGAGTTTGCCTTGCCGGTTCTCGTCGGCATCTATTGCTTAGAATCTAAGGTACCAAAAGATTTCTCTTGTGAGAAATGACTTCCATCGTACTCGGTTGATCTGTGGGACGAGCAGATCCCAGTGAGAAGCCTTAGCCCGTACTTAGATGGGGTATGCCAAAGTTAACAAGGGCCTCCTTTCCCTTCTGGCACTTTGTGACGCACAGCAACTTCATTGAAGAAACCATCTTATTGCCCTCTAACACCCCTGAAAAAAAGGAGTATATTCAGCAGTCACCCTGTTGCAGGAGATTCGTGCGTACCACAAAGCCAACTGGTTGCCGGAGCATTGAGCAACAAGCGACACGACCAATGGTGGCAAGTCGTCCCAGATTAAACTTTTGCATGCATGCATGCATTCACGACAGTTCAAGCATAAACTTGCATCTATCTATTCTTCGATAGGTCCATCAACGGTAGAGTTTGTGTCAAAAAGCTTGGTGACACCCTGTGCCCGTACCACGCAAGATGCAAGTCAAACAAAAACAGCAAAAATCTTAATCCCAGCCAAGCAAGCTCATGTGCAAGTCGAAACAAGAGGAATTTGCAGCAATTGCGACACTTGAATCAGCGTCCATCACATTAATCGTCGTGTCGAGGCTCAGCAGTTTACCAGTTCGACCATCCAGGACAGAGTGACAGCAGGAACAGGAGGTACCTGTCACATGCTTCCGCGCCAGCCCCACTAACGCGCGCCCACCAAACCTTGGTGCGAAATTGTTAACGTGAATTGGACACGATTTTGCAGCAGCGCAACAGACTTTGCGACGTGGCGTACTCAAAAATGAGTTTCAGAAGTTGGTTGTAAGTATAAAAAGGAAGACAGGCGCTTGCTCGTCATTGTTGCAGTCTCAGAGCGCGACCTAAGACAATACTTTGTTCAGTCATTTCAATCTGATCCTTCGTCTGTTTGCTCTCATCACTGACTGCTGTTGGTAAGTGTTGACCATTTGCAATTTAAGTACCCTTCTTATCTTCATGTTACTGGGCAGGTGGGGGAATGGTGTTGTCGTTCCTTCCCTTCCTGTTGTTGCTTTGCGCGTGGCGGAGTTGACGCTCCGGGTTATCACGTGTAATCACCTTTTGGCGAGAATATCAGCCACTGCACCGTCTACGAGAACGCCACGCCAAGAGCATGCTTTCAGTTTGACAATCGGATAATTCGTGTCTCGTGAGCTCATTCGGCTCGTTCTCCTTGTCTTGCGGCCCTTTACCATTTGTTCGCAAACAGCAATAAAGATATATGTGAGAAAGCAACTAATGGAAATCAGGAAACGATGCAATCGAATAGCATCTTGCATTGAGAAGAGGTTCGAACTCGGGGGGACGTATCTTTCTGATCCAAAGATACTGTCAATTACAAAGTGCTCTGGTGTCAAAGTGAACAATGATGATACTGTATTACCTACGCGACTCTCGATGGCTTATGTCTTGAGAAATGCCAAGGTTTCAGTCTGAGTTTGGGGACACCTTTGCAGAGCTGCAAAGTTGCGACGTGGCACGGCATGAATAACGCAGGCATCGCACTTATTTCTAGATTAAAAAGCATGTTTGTCATTTAGAATTCGTTGTGGCCAAAAGCCAAAGCTTATCCCGCCCTGTCTTCCAGGTATAAAGGGCGTCACCGCCCACGGCAGACTTAGAATATTTCTCATCATCAGTGAACTCCCTCGTTGAATGTCGTTATTTATTTTAAGGTCTGACCAGCCTGACTCGTTAGTTTTCTTTCGATGTCCCAAAGTTCACGGGGACTGTTGTGGACTGGGAGCCAAACCACGGATGAACCGTTTTGATCCTTCGACGTCACGGGCAGTGATGCTGCTGTCGTACCCGCATCATCCTCAGTTTGTGAGATCTGGGTGGTGCGAACGGTTCAGTCTGAGCTCGGATTTATCTTTTTTGGGAACTGGGGGCACAGACAAACCATCATGTTCGTCATGCAGGGTCTCGATGACCCTGAAGTACAGTTATCTGTTCTTTTCCATCCAGAACGATGATGATATTATCTCGCCCTCAAGTTAGTTACTCGACACCCAGTGTGTTGGGGTGAGGAGCGCTTGAATCTGAGTTCAACATAAGATTTTTTTTATAAGAATTTGCCTATCACTACCATGGAACAGAAGACCAAGTGGTGCTTCATGTATCCTCCAAAGTTGGAGCTGGACATGATCAGAGTGTCTTTGCTGTGAATATACCACGCACATTTGTCGCGATCCTTCATGGCCTCTACGTCTACAAATCCTTTTCAATCATTTACCACGCAAAGTCTCTATTTTCTCCGATTTACCATTCAATTGCGGTAGGTAAGGTGGATAGATCTTTAACAATGTGTAATCGAGTCGTCTATCGAGTCGTCTATCGCGTCCCCATCACTAGCTGGTATTGTATGACGTCCTTCTTCTGGAAACCAATCCAGTTCTCCAAATTGCGACAACTTTCAACATTCGACACACCAACGTTACACTTTTTTAGACATGTATTATCGTGAAAGCCATCCAGATCGAAGACTTCAACGCGCCCTGCACCGTCTCCGGCATTGACAAGCCTTAGGGTTAGGGCAGCACTACCGTTCACTGGGTTACATGAGCCAGCTGGAGTTGTTGTTGCGGTCAGATCTGAGGTTCTAGGGTTTGCGGAAGGTGATCGAGTTGGTTGTCTCAACTTTGACAGCTACTGCGGTAGGATATCAGCTCATGCGGAGATGGATATCCTGATATGATGACAGGTAAGTGTCCCGGCTGCAAGGCAGGGAGGCTGATATACTGTGACAGCCCACTGATGAAAAGAATCACGACTGATGGGGCATGGGCAGAGTACATGGCAGCGCAAGACCAGCAGCCATGTTATCATAACCAGTAAAACACTTACTATTCTCAGCGACACTCAATTTACTGTCAAACTCCCAGACTCACTCGACTTCCCCACTGCAGCCTGTATGATGTGTGCTGGCATCACCATGTATGGAGGCATCAACAGAACTCAAGTCCATCTGGTGGCTCTATTGATATCGTAGGCATCGGTGGACTTGATCATATTGGAACTCAAGTTGCCAAAGCAATGGTGTCACGGAACCATGGTACCCCTGGGTCAGCCTGAGAAGGGCATTACCTTGTCTCATCAGAACGCCATATTCCGTGATATCAAACTGATCGGTTCTCTTGCCGCGGACACTGATGCGATTGAGGAGCTCTTGGAATTTGTCGTGAAGCATGATATTCAAGTCAAAATCGGGGAATGGAAGCCTGATGATGCTGAGAAGATGAGACAGGAATATTCGTCTGGTAAGAACAGCGGTAAGAACGCTAGAGTATTCTAGCTCAATCTAAGAAGATGTCTTGGCCATCTTGGAAGGCTTTCAGTATAACTTCAGATTGATAAAAGAAAATATCGTCTTGTCGTTCGCCACCTGTATTCGCAGCCTGAATCTTCACCTCAAAGGCGGTAGTCAACCGCATTCAATCCGATCACGAGGCGCCATTCAATCCCATCATGAGCCGATCAATGTCAAAGCGCAAACGTTGAACAAACTAAGCTTCAACAGATCTCCATCATGCCAGATAAGCTCATGATCCCAGATGCGACCCCTAAAAGTCAACCCATTAGCTCCGAACACGAACACGTCGATCATTTCATACGCGCATCGCAATTAAACATCCAATCTTTTTCGCATTCACTCGGCTCTTTTTTTCGCGAATCATCTCGGAACCCCGCGGGCGGCGTGATGGTCCCATACGTGAGTCGATGATCACCTTATTTGACGACCACAAATCCTTGAGATAAATTTATCGTTTAAATGACTTGCTTTTCCATTTTATTTCCGAAATCATATAAATCTGTATTCCGCACAAGTTTGTCTTCAACTCTGCATCAATTAGGAAAAGTCGATATGGCAGCAAAACTACGCTCAAAACGATGTCAAGAACAAACTTCCGTAAAGCAATGGCTTATCGATAACCAACTGGGTAAATACAAACCATCCCACTCGGCACCCGTTTCGTTTCCACAATACTGACTTTCCTAGGCATATGCCTCGGTATTCTAGCGCCTCTGCTCATCGCGCAATGCAACGGTCTTACACGTCCCCTCACCGCCAAACTCACGTCGCTCTCGTACCGAGACGAATTCACGGGGGAGTATGGCGTCGGGTTCGATGACAATTACCTCGTGACAGTTCTGATCGTGGTGTTGACGGGTCTGCGGGATGCTACTATGCGCTTCGTTCTGGACCCGTTGGCGGCCGCCTGGGGACTGGGGAGGGCTAGATCCATGCGGTTCAAGGAACAGGCTTGGATGGTGGTTTACTATGCCACCTGTTGGTCTGTTGGCACGGTATGATTGAGCTCTCCGCCAATTAGATGGGGGTTTTAACTAATGTCGGCAGTACATCTATGCGTCTTCGTCGTATTGGTTGGATCTACAGGCTATGTGGACGAATTGGCCGAATCGCGAAATATCAGGGTTGATGAAGATTTACATGCTTGCGCAATTGGCATTTTGGCTCCAGCAGATGATTGTCATCAATATCGAGAAGCGTCGCAAGGACCACTGGCAGATGCTCTCTCACCACGTCGTTACAATTGCTCTGGTGTACTGCTCGTATCGATATGGCCTCACCCGCGTCGGCAATGTCGTCCTCATCCTCATGGACTTTAACGATCTAGTTTTCTCGATCGCGAAGTGCCTGAAGTACATGAAGTTACAGTCTTTGTGCGATTTCATGTTCGGCGCGTTCGTTGTAAGCTGGGTGCTGTGCCGCCATACTGCGTTCCCGATGGTATGCTGGTCTGTTTACGCGCATAGTCTAGCCATCACCGGGCCGAACTGCTTCGTTGGCTCAGGAGAGAACATCATTGGTCCTCAAGAGGTTCCGGCAGATAGCTATTTCTATCTGCTCGAACCATTGATCTACACCAATGGGAGGATATGCTACGACTACACTATCAAGACACTGTTCCTGAGCGGACTTCTGTTTCTAGAGGCACTTATGCTTGTATGGTTCGTCATGATTGTCAAGTTGGTCATTCGAGTTCTTCGTGGTGGAAATGCAGAAGATACGCGCAGTGACATCGAAGAAGAGGAATACGAGGAGGGCCTGCCGATCAAGATTGAGGTTGATGCCGAGAAACTCCAATTTCCGAAGAAATATCCCTCCGGGGTGAGAGGCACGTCTTCCGTCTTTCAGTCAGCAAGGGTAACGAATATTTCAAAGGATAGAAAAGGCGGTTTGGATAGAATCGGGTGCGAACAGAGGATATCACGATAAGCGACGTCTTAATTAGGATAGATCAGGTACTGAGAGAAGCGTATACCCTGGAGCTAGATGCGGGACATAGCGTGCAGACTAATGTTTAATACTAATGATGGAAACGCTAATGAACGACGTACGATGAGCATGGCTATATCGCAGTGATTTTATGATGCTGCCGACGATGCCGAAGAGACGAACAGCTGTCGGACCGAAAATATATCGATTCCTCAAGTACCGCAGCGTTATGCCGAATGCCATGATCGCTATCCCGCGACTATTCCTCAATTGAGGGTATTCTGGTCATGTCACTTCCCCTCAGAGCATCTAAACTCTACAGTTTAGGGTAAGGCCCAACCCGTCCGTCATACGACTGCAACGCGTCCTGGCTCCATGTCAAGCTGTATACTCGCCGCTATCCGTACTCAAGCCAAAACCATCGTGAGACGAGCGAATCGCAGCAAAGGCCATTGACGAGAACTGTAAACTTTGAAGACATTCAGAACGCTTCCAATGACCGGAAAAAGCTTAGCGCTCAGTGATTCCAAGGTCAGCGTCAACAGTGGCGAAGCGAGCGCTATAACCCCTGCTCCCCTGCCTTGGCGTGATGATGGATGTTTCTCCCCCCGCACGATTGCCTGATTTACTCCGCATGATTCCAAATCAATTTTCTGGACCTGCACGATTACGGTATGTCCATTCACGGCACTGCTCAAAAAGGAAGAGAGACAGACAGACATCCATGGAAAGCTTCAAAGATCCTATGAAGTGGCAGGCAATAGTAATGCAGGTACCCAAATGCGCGCAGAGCTAATAATAGAGTTCCTGCTAAGGTCGGTTAAGAAATCGCACGAATTAATTCACCGTTTTGTGGCTAGGATCGTGATTCTGTGTCTATGCAAGGTCGCGGCTCTATTGCGAAAGTTGCATCGCTACAGCTACGCCATGTCGATGCAGAAGAGAAGAGGAACTTGCGTCTTTGCAGCTTCTTCTTCGAGAGGGGAAAACCGTTGAATCCCACTGATAAATGGTTGACAAAGGCCTGGGATCAGGGATGGGGACGGCCGGGCGAAATTGCCACTGTAGCGAGGACCAATGGGCTCGCAAAGCGGGATGTGACATTCTAGATAGAGTTGCCGCTGCATGAAACCCCATGAATTCATTGTGATATTGGATGGTTTAGAGGATCGATCACAAGGGAATTGCTACGCTGGATCAGAATCAGACCATTTGACCTGCGGGATTTGTGAAGCCAAGGCGTTGGCTGCAGAAGGGCATTGCTATTATTAGCAAAAAAATGTCTTGGTAGAATGAGTATGCAGATTTTAATTTGCTTTGTTGGTGATGACTTGTTAAGAATTGTATGGCCCAAATGTTCGGGTACATGGATCGACCGGACCCAGAATGCGACCGCAGTTTGTGACTGCGTATGCTTATTTTTCTGGTCTGTTGTGATGATAAATGAGCCAAGCAACAAGCTGTGCGAATCAAAGCACGAATAGCTTCTTACTGCTGACGACTGAGCGGCAGGGATGGAATTTAGCTTATTGTCAGCAAAGCCCGAGTCCTGGGCTGCGGTCAGATAATTTGCAGACAAGAGAAATACAGTACATTACACCAAAAGTCATCTGCATTCGAATGCAAAATACGGGGTTGTACAGCAGACGAGGCCAGCCCGATTTGTCTCGGGTTACTACGTACTGCACTGTAATCGGGAACTTGGGAAGAGCCCGAGGTGACAGTGTGACACTGCACCCGAAGGTGTTTGTTTGCCTCTGAGGAGTGTGTGAGGAGGACCTTTACTCCGGCCCGCGCTCACGGCATTGATCGTTTACCTAGCTAATCTGTTTCACAATATTCCGATTGGTTGCGGTACGGCAGGGTGAGCAAGAGTGGGTAGTCGGATCATATGTGGGATAATCACCTCTTGGCAGGGCGAGTAGAGAATCGCTCTGCCCAATCCATCTCCAGCAGAGACAGCTTAATCAGCTTCTACTGAAAATTATAAAGAAAAGAGCATGCATAAGTTCAACTCCTCAAGGGTAAATGATAAACTCTAAACCATGTGTTTCACTGCTCTTCTCCAAAAGTTTATATTAAGCTACCACCTTCTCAGTATGGACCAAGTCTCACGTAAACCAATAGCAGTCCTGTGATTTACCATCCCTGTCGGCAGTTGGTGCGTGTGATTCAATTGGCATTGCCGCTTATCAGGGATCTTTGTTTTTTTACGCCCTAGCTGCTAAGTCAACCCAAGATTTTTGCTCCGTCTCCACAGGAGCAGAATCCACGGACGAGACATCTGATTCCAGTATCGTCACCGCCTATCACTATCTGGGAAACAAGCAGGAGGGGCCAGTGACGTTGGTGTGGATTACACTGCTTAGAAGAGGCAAGAAAAGGCTGGGTTTATCCTTGTGATACCGCAGTCACTGTTAAACCCTGGCCTGACCTTGATCCATGCGTCAATGGCTAGACTAAGATGCACTGTAACTGAGCCTCGATTGCTAATCCCAGCGTCTGACCTGTGGCATAAGGCCCTATACCACTGACACTGCCGACTTGGCGCTGTAGCAGCCCCTGTAGATCGTCACTGTAACCTTCTTCTTTTTGCCTCTCGACTACGGGTACAAAACCAAACATAAATCCGCCCGTTTTTCTAGTCCGTTCGTCTGTCAGCTTCACACCTCACAGCACAGCACATATTCCCAGCCATGCATGTACAATCACTTCTGCTGGCTTCTGGCCTTGTGCCTCTGGCCGCTAGCCAGGGCTGCCCTTTTGCCAAGCGCGCCACAGACACTAACCTTGTTCCCCCGAGAGAAATCCCCGAGGACTTTGGCATCTGCCGCGTCGCTAGCAACCAGGCTGGTGGCGGTACTCGATCCAGGGACTTTTGGCCTTGTGCTCTGAGATTGGATGTCTTGAGGCAGTTCTCGCCTCAGTATAACCCATTGGGTGCTGACTTCGACTACACCGAGGCCTTCAAGTCTCTGGACTGTGAGTATCACTGATTCTGGGATTGAGGACTATTCACTGATTTTATTTATAGTTGCTGCTTTGAAGAAGGATCTCAACGCACTTCTCACTGAATCTCAGGATTGGTGGCCTGCTGACCATGGCAACTATGGTGGTCTCTTCATTCGTATGTCATGGCACAGCGCTGGTACATACCGCGCAATGGATGGCCGAGGTGGCTCCGGAATGGTGAGTCATGAACTCAATGTCATATCCTCGAGTGTTTTGCTGACATGTGCAGGGTCAACAACGATTCGCTCCTCTCGACAGCTGGCCCGACAACCAGAACCTGGACAAGGCCCGTCGTCTGCTTTGTACGTTACACAAACCGTCACACAAACCCCCAAATCTAACAAATCATAGGGCCCATCAAGCAAAAGTATGGCAGCAAGATCTCATGGGCTGACCTGATCGTCCTCGCCGGCAACGTCGCCCTCGAGCACAGCGGCTTCGAGACCCTCGGTTTTGCCGGTGGTCGTGCTGACACATGGGAGGCCGATGAGTCCATCTACTGGGGTGCCGAGTCCACCTTTGTCCCCAAGGGTAACGATGTTCGCTACAACGGTAGCACAGACATTTACGAGCGTGCCGATAAGCTCGAGAAGCCTCTTGGTGCTACGCACTTCGGTCTCATCTACGTCAACCCCGAGGGTCCTGATGGAAGCTCTGATCCTAAGGCTTCTGCTCTTGATATCCGTACTGCTTTTGGCCGTATGGGTATGGACGATGAGGAGACTGCTGCTCTCATCATTGGTGGCCACACCCTTGGCAAGACTCACGGTGCTGTTCCTGCTAAGAACATTGGCCCTGAGCCCATGGCTGCTGACCTTGGAGAGATGGGTCTTGGCTGGCACAACAGTGTCAACGAGGGTAACGGCCCTGACCAGATGACCAGCGGTCTTGAGGTTATCTGGTCCACTACTCCCACCAAGTATGTCCCCTCTCTGCATCTCATTCTCATTCTTACTAACAAATTCCAGGTGGAGCAACCACTTCCTCAAGTCTCTTCTCGGCAACAACTGGACCCTCGTCGAGAGCCCTGCAGGCCACAAGCAATGGGAGGCTCTCAACGGCAAGCTCGAGTACCCCGACCCCTTCGTCAAGGGCAAGTTCCGCCGCCCCACTATGCTCACCAGCGATCTCGCCCTCATCAACGACCCCTCGTACCTCAAGATCTGCAAGCGCTGGCACGACAACCCCAAGGAGATGAACGCTGCTTTTGCTCGCGCCTGGTACAAGCTCCTCCACCGTGATCTCGGCCCTATTTCTCGCTATCTCGGCCCCGAGGTTGCGAAGGAGAAGTTCATCTGGCAGGATCCTCTCCCTGAGCGAAAGGGCGATATCATTGGCGAGGCTGAGATTTCTAGCCTCAAGTCCACTATCCTCTCCACTGCTGGCCTTGATGTTTCTAAGCTTGTTTCTACTGCTTGGAACTCTGCTTCTACTTTCCGTGGAACTGACAAGCGTGGCGGTGCCAACGGTGCTCGTATTGCCCTTGAGCCTCAGGTCAACTGGGCTAGCAACAACCCCAAGCAGCTCAAGCAGGTTCTTTCTGCCCTGAAGAAGATTCAGAAGGACTTCAACGCCAAGTCCGGCTCCAAGAAGGTCTCTCTCGCTGATCTGATTATCCTCGGCGGTGTTGCTGCTATTGAGAAGGCTGCCCAGGCTGCTGGCTTCAAGGACGTCGAGGTCCCTTTCACTCCTGGCCGTGTTGACGCAACGCAGAACCAGACTGATCTCGTTCAGTTCGGTTACCTTGAGCCTCTTGCTGATGGTTTCCGTAACTACGGACATGGCACTGCCCGTGCTCGCACTGAGGAGATCCTCGTTGACCGTGCTGCTCTTCTTACACTTACTCCTCCCGAGATGACCGTCCTCGTCGGTGGCCTCCGTGCCTTGAACGCTAACTACGACGGTTCCTCCAACGGTATTCTCACCGACAAGAAGGGCCAGCTCACCAACGACTTCTTCGTCAACCTTCTGTCGCCCGCCTACTCATGGGCCAAGAAAGACAGCCAGGGCGAGCTCTGGACTGGTACTGACCGCTCCACCAAGTCCGTCAAGTGGACTGCTACCCGCGCTGATCTAGTCTTCGGATCTCACGCTGAGCTGCGTGCTATCTCTGAGGTCTACGGTAGCGCTGATGCAAAGGAGAAGTTTGTGAAGGATTTCATTTCTGCGTGGACCAAGGTCATGAACCTGGACCGCTTTGATGTCAAGACTGAGAAATAGACTAAGTAGTAGAGCTGTTTCAGTCGCCTTTGACACTTTTTTCTCCATTTACATATTTCTCCATTATATAGTTCATTGATTAACTGTTCAAACCGCTTTAATGTGCAACATTGTGAACACCAGAATTCTTCATCCTCTGGTATGTACGTCCCTGCTAGACTGGCATAAGCTAACCAGCACGTGACTGAGGCCATCTCGTCTCAATCTCACCAACCCCGCAGTTCTCTACCCATTCCGCTGATTACACATCCTACGACACGCAGAATGGGACAACTGCTGGACCTCCCCGATGAGATACTCACTTATATCTGCATCTCGATAAGCGATTCGGATCGTGTAGGTCTCTTCCAAGTCATACATGCCAACAAGAGACTACACAAAATTGCCTCGCCTCTTCTCGTACGCCATTGGCCGCTTCATTGGGGGAGATTGAGCCGCCGTGCACATGCTCGCTTTGCAGTGCATCTTGTTCGAAATCCTCACCTACAGAGGAATGTCAAATCAATTGTCTTTGAAGACCTGGTCCCTTTCGAAGAAGATTCATTCAGGGCTAGTCCTGGTGAGTTTGATGATCTTGCTGTACCAGCACATCAGCTCTTTCCAGATGAACCGAGCTGGTGCGAAGGATTGATCCGGGCATGCATAGACCCTGTAGCAGTGCTTCTCTTAGCTTTATGTACCAGAATCGAGAGCCTGGACCTCACGATCTCGTGCTCTGATCTAGAGTCAAGAATGTTGGTGATGGAACTCGTGTCTTTGTCTCTCAAGCGTAGTGGTCCTCGACGACCACTAGGGAACCTTCAGCTCGGTATGCTCAGATGGGAAGACAATGACGGCCCGGGGCACATTCAGTATGCGGCACCATTCTTTCACCTTCAAAAACTCAAAACTCTTGCTCTCTCAGCATTGTCTGACAAGATACCGCTTAAAAACATTTTCCACGAGGAGGATCTGAAAGAAGGGTCGAAACTGGGCTTGGATCCTGACATCTACCAGACGCGGTTCCCTAATCGGACTTCGCCTATCGAGGAATTGATCCTAGCAGCCGCTTGCCTCACAAGCCAGGGACTGCTCACAGTTGTCAGCTCTTGCAAAGGACTAAAGAAGCTCGCCTTTACTTGCCAAGACCTTGACCTACATATCGATGAACATAACAGTGTTCTGCTCAAACAGGCGTTGCTGCTCCACGCAGCAACCTTGGAGGAGCTCGCGTTCGATCTTGAAGATCATTTCCTTGAGGACAATGATGGGAGCTTAGAAGGCGAGCCTCATATTGGTCTCAATTGTTTAAAAGACTGTTTTCAACAGATGGAGAAGCTCAAGCGCCTCACTATGGATATTCATGCTCTGTACTTCTTCGACGACCCACTGAGCGATAAAATGCTGGATTGTCTACCGAGATCACTTGAGTATCTTGGCCTCGAGTGCGAACTTGCAACTGATCAGCCAGAAGTTCTGAGGTATATCGAAATACTTTGCCCGGTTCTGGAGGCTTGCGGGCCAGGGAACCGTTTTTGTGCGCTGAAAACTCTCGAGTTATGTTTGTCTGTGAATGGTGGAGCAGATGCGAGCCTATACGACCCGCTCAAAGAGCTAGCGCGGGAGAAGGGTATCGAATTTGTAGTTACTCGCGAAGCCCAGGGATGGGGTACTGCTTGGGAGGCAATGGGTGTTATGCCTGTCCCAAACCCCCCTTTAGCCGTGGCTGACAGCAATTTCGACTACTATGAATCTAGTCTCTCACCCTCAGATGATTCCGGAGATGGAAGCTTAGGTTTTGAGTAATCTTATTATTAATTCGGAGGTTGAATCATATCACAAGGATAATCAGGGGCACGTATGCGTAGGTGTTGTTTGCTAAAGGCCTGAAATACCCTGCAACTGTCTGCTGAACGTGCTTGATCAATAACATATCGCAAATTCACGATGCCTTTCTATTCAGCGACATATATTCAGATAAGGCCTAACAAACTGTGAACTTTTCCCAGCCTAACTGACACTAAATGGAACTGATCATTGACTCGGCATAATACCTTTAAGAAGTTCTAAGTTCTGTCCGCTGATTTATAAGAAGGTTCTGAAACAGCGGAGCTTTTCATCGAGCCCACTTCTACTATTTCTTTATAACTCTTGTAGAAGATGTAGACGGAAAAGCCAGTAGTAGAACAGGCTTACAAAAATTGTAATATTTAGTCCTTATCCTTCATGTGAAGGTTCTCCTGCTCCAGAGCCTGCTCATCATCCGCCGCAAACTTGCTTCGATGTCTCAATCTTGATCCACACCTCAAGAATAAGAATGGCGTGAACGCAAACAGACTCGCCACCGCGGCCAAGATGCTCGTTGCAACATTGCTACCCAACCCCGTATACATCTGGTGAGTGAAGAGAGGAAACACCGCTGCTGTCAGTGTGCGCGTCAAGCTGATGGCACTGACAGCACTGGCAGCACATTCACCGTAGCTGTCAGTGGCGTATCCAAAAAGCACGTAACTAAAATCATTGGCACTGAATCCGATCATCACCAGACCAATCATGCTGACAGGCCATGGAACATTCGTGACCCGCGGTGGAATCGTCCAGGCGAAGAGCCATAGACCGATAGCAAGAGATGGAGCTGCGATGGCGAACGAGGCGATTTTGCTCTCGGGGAGGATGCGCCTGTGGGTTCTGCGGTACTTCTTGTATATTTGAGCGTCGTATATCCGGGGAAGGATATTGAGCACCTCGCCAATTGCAATGGCGAGGAATGCGAGACAGGAGCTGTTCTGCGAAAAGTTGAATGGTGGCGCGGTGTAGACGATGGTCAATGATTCTGTCAAGCCGTAGATGAGACCGAATGCGATAGCGCATAGTACGGCGCAGAAGAAGACCAGGGGATCCATGACAAGGAACTGCAAGGGTCGGAAGAGAGCGTTCTGCACAAAGCTGGACAGTGTAAACTTTTCTCCGTCTTCATTGCTAGACTTGATATCTTCGATTCCAGTCTCTTCCCGTACTTCTTTGACAATCTTGTCGAGTAATTGGTTTGCATTTGACTCCTTCGTGAAGATGCATGCAAAAGCTGTGGCACCCATGACGATTGTAGAGATGTAGTATACCCAGCGCCTAGTTCAATGTCAGTCCAGAAAACATCCAGATGACTTGTAGACTCACCAGCCTATGCTCGAGGTGATGTATGTAGAGTAAATAGGGCCTAATGCCAGCCCCAGCATACCAAGGATGGTATAGATGTAGACGACCCAGATCCTATGCTCAGCGTTGTACATGTCGTCAAAGTTGCCAAAAGCGACAGTTGCAGGGATCGCCGCAGCCACGCCCTGGAAGAATCGACCAAAGTAAACGCCGATTATTGACGGCACCGCGGCCACTATAGCTGAAGAGATGCAGAAAAGTGCTGCTGCAAGGATATATATGGTTCGTCGTCCGAATACCTCTGAGATGGGTGAGCAGAATATGCTACCTATGGTTTGACCCAGCAAGTATCTGTTTTCGAATCAGCAATAGGATTGGCATACTGACTAGTCTCGAAACTTACATGGTGACGAAGACGAAATAAGCCATCGTTCTGCTGACACCATACTCCTCTCGTGCTGAGTCTGCAGTAGCCGTCTGGAACATTGTTAGCAGAGATATATCCGTAGCAGTTACCAAACTGACCCCAGAGGAGCTGATTGCCGTCATGTACATCTCCAACCAGCATATAAGAGCCGCAGTATATGTCTTGGTTCCGAAGCTCCAGTTCCGGGGATGTTGGTCCGCATCATCATCCCAGCATATGCGATTGTCGCTGTCGATATGAACTCCTTTGCCTTGCACAGCATCTTCAAGTGAGCCCTTGTTTTTCATTGTACTTTCCCGAGACTTCTGCGTAGATGGTTGAGAACTAATCATAAATTGACTAATCTGGCACAATCTGCGGCAAAAAGGACCCTGTCAAGAATCCCTGAAGTCTGAGAATCTTCAGCATGTATCTTGAGAGGTCGCAGGAAAGAAGGTCAAAGGGACAGCCTAGATAGGGGGCATATCAGAACCCTTGCATCGGGTCCCCAGCCGATCGATATGGCGGGCCGTAGCCGGATTAGTGATCGATCAGCTGTGTAGGCATCATCTATATCTACCCGTCCCTAAGTGCTTACATCCAATCATGAACGGTAGATGACGTCCAAGACTTTGGTTATTCGAAAACTACACGATAGCTTAGTGTAATATATTTTTAAGACGAGTAGAAAACAGCCGAGGCCTTTTGCAGATTGCCGTTTGCGCGTGTAAGCTCGAATTAAACATTTTAGAAGATCAATGACGCGCCGTCAAATATCAGCATCACCACTTGTCCTTTTTGAGACCCTTTGTGGAACCACAGAAAGCGTGGGGAAAGATGCATACCTAGCATTTCTTTCATTCTTCTCTAAACTATCTTGTATTGAATAGGTTTAAAGCTACCGCCATTAGACTTGCCGGCCGAACAGGCAGTAATCGCAACAATAAGGTCCATCTCCGCGATAAAGTCGATGTGGTCACCAGCTTTACTGATAGGCGGCTCCACTGTGAACTTCCCCGTTTTTCCGTCTACAGGCACATTCATGAAGCAATTGAATGCGCAAGGAATGCGATCTGGCGCGATGCCATGTTTGCCTAGTGCAAGGGAGAGATTGCCGAAACAGCCGTGATGTGGCTCTTTGTCGCCGTAAATGATGCGGAAGGTATCTTTGGAACACGGCGTAAGCAGAAAGTCGTGACGTCCGCAAGTGTCTTCGACTATTTTGAGCATGACATTGCTGCGGTTTGAGTACAGCGGGTGGTTGGTTGTTAGGTATATGGTGTCTGCATAGTCAAATGTGCGGCCGTTGGATATGACCTCGTCTGTGTCGTGTCGGTTGAATGCCACAAGGTCGGAGACTTGACCGCCTTTTGGATCGATCACAGTCAAGCGTTGGCCCTTGTTGACGAAGAAAGAGGTTCCTGTGCGCGGCGCAAGTTCGATGATGCCATCGGGTAATTGGCTAGTATCCTCCATTCCGGGAGTTCGGCAGGGGCTGTGATCGGTGAAGTATGGTAAATTAAACCTTTAAATGGTAAATATGGTGAGGCACGGGATGGCCATTGTGCTACGAGGTATTCCATGACTTTGTAGTGTTCAGCATCTCGAGGGTCGGCCGATTACCGTAACATTTCGTGATATTCATCACGGGTAGTTTTGCTTTACTGCAAGCCTCACATCATTAGACATGAAAGCTATGCCTAATATACAATGGCTTTGCAGCTTTCCTTTCACCTAGCTTGGATTATTTACTGGATCCTGGTCGATCATCCGAGTGAACTAACGTATAACGGCTGATATGCATACTAGCTGTGACGGATATTACGAGATCTCACGGTAATGTTGATCAGATGGTGACAGCAGCATTCCGTTGTCGATGATGCGACGATCAAGGGGCATGACCTCAGCGGCTCATGCTTTCATATCCACATTTCCCCAGACTCAATCTGTCATCCCGGTAGCGCTAGCATTGATCGCTAAACAATCTGGGGGAGCCCATAGACGACGCATACACCATTATGCAATAAAAGCTACGGCAAAACGGTCTATACCCTGATTAGATCATTAGCTGAAAAGTTTATCCTGGCTATTCTTTCTATTGATAGACCCGACAGCCGATGCTTACATTGCGCGCTTTGCCTCGTCTCACCAGGCTGCACTCTACAGCCGATATATCGGAGGAAACGTTCCGGCAGGGATAAATGTGTGCATCATCGCTTGGCGCATACATCATTTTTATTTCATTAGTCCTACCCCTCACTACACAATGTCGGCAATAGCCATGACGCTATCAGGGGTTCCATGCTACGGATCCTTCCCAGGAGTCTGACAGCTCGATCGAAGACTAGCTGCCGATCCTAGCGCTCGAATTCACGTCAATGACATTCGGCTCATACTTTGTCCTGTTGGTGCTATGCATGGTTTCACGTTGCCAATGTGACATTACATATAAGTTGAGCCTATGTCCACTGAAAATTGATCCTGAAATTGTTGTCCAGACATACCTTTCTTTGAACATATGACGTGTATTTCCACGTACTCTTAACCTTTCCTCATCATGCAGCTTGCATTCAATGCCGTCATCTTGTTCATTGCCGTTATGGTAGTGACTAGGCTAATACAATTTCGAAAAGCCTCTATCAATCAGCTCGTAAAGAAGTTGAGATATCTCACGAATGGCTCCAAACTCAGGACACCAGTGTCGATACAGGAGGAAGCCGCCTTATACACCCATGGCGTTAATGAAACCCGATTATTTCCATTAGCAGAACTGTTGACGAGGTGAGTAACTTGCTCATCGGGTATACTTGCAAGACTGACAAGTCATTAGAAATGAGGTTGAGACTCGGTTCGACAAGGATACTTGGCAAGGCCTTGCGTATCAAGATTTCAAAAGCACAATATTAGCTAAGGGAAGCGGCATGAAGACCTTTCCTTGCGTATACGCCACCATGGGATATCGATCAGACGACCATCGCTATGTATTCCTCGAGTCAGACAACCCATCCGAGCCTCGTAACGTACGCAAGGTAGCTCTAGCTCTGAGCGAGTATCTTCACATATCGACTGCTTTGGGTCCCAACACATCCCTCGTCATCATTGGCGCCCCCTCTGAAAATCAGCGTACCGTCGAAGAGCATAACCGGACATTCTGGGACATGCTTCGAGGCCTTCGAATCTGTGATCCAAGACCTTGGCCAGAGGACATCCCGCAAGACACAGAGGATGCTAAGTGGACTTTTTGCTTCAATGGAGAGCCCGTTTTTCCGGTCATGTTAACGCCGGCACACCAAAAACGCTGGAGTAGACATATGAGTGTGCCTGTAATCGCCCTGCAGCCGAAGTGGGTGCTGGATAATCTGCTCGGAACTCCTGAGAAGCGAAAATCTGCACAGAGCAAAGTTCGCAATCTGTTGCAGAAGTATGATACGATAGGCGTCAGTCCAGATCTGACCGCTTACGGTGCAGTTGGCACTAGCGAGGCCCGCCAGCTATGTCTACAGGACAAGAACGAATCGGTCCAATGCCCATACCGCAACTTTGATAGCTAAAATGATAAAGCTACAATAGAAGATAATAGATTTCATTTCATTCCATAATAATGCACCTGTGGCCGAGGAGCCTACATCAGTTCATTGACAGACTGAAGAAGCTGTTCGGCGTTAGTATTATCGATGCGTTAGATAACTTCTTGCACTTTATGCGTGGCTACGGCTGGAATGGTCAATCATGCAAAGCAGAAATGACCCAGTTCGACAAGGCTCCGTGATGGAGTAAAGTTTATTGCTGGCAGGACCCAACTATGAGCAAGGCTTGAAGTGAAAGATTACCTTCCCGTCGCTGACTTATGATGAATAGGCTTTCATTGCGAATCGGACCTAGTTACTATTAAAATATGTTGTGACATATGGTGGGTCGATGTGATTTACCTCTTTAGCCGTGTTATAGTTAAACATCCATTTATCAAAAGGCAGAGTGTTGAATGGTGCATTGCCGTCGCCTTCCCCCATCGGCAACGTTTTCTGCTCGTCTGTCAACTCAGACCCCGGCGGTTTGCCAGAGTTGTACAACTTGTAATTCCACGTTGAGCCATTCTGAAGCCTAGTCACTCGAGGAATGCGAATCATCTCCCACGTCTCGATTATCTTCGGCACGTTCCCACTGCTCTTTGAGAACAGTATAGACAACGCATCTATATCCTCCACAATAGAGCTGAATCCTTCTGCCAAGTTCGGAAGCATCGCATGCGCAGAATCTCCAAGAAGAACCAGCCTCCGCTTCGGACTCGACCACGTATCCAAAGGTTCCAGTCTAGCTAGGCGCCAACGGGAGCAGCTCTGCACCATGTTTGCCAGAGCAACGACGGTGGGATTGAACGACGAGACGAAGCTCTTGACTACTTCACTGTCGTCAGTTGCATCGAAAAGCTTCTGTTCGCTGGCTTCGCTGTCTGCAGCACCGTGTTGAATCGAGAACATAATGTTGAACAGGCTTCGATGGTGATTGTACTTGCCAATGGCATAACCGCCGTGGCCAGCCCACATGATTCCATTCTCTGACTCGGGCTCTTGACAAAGGGATTTGGTTCTCTCGTCGTTAGCGAGCATACCGGCTGGAATCTCAGTTGGATAATGTGTCGAAGGCGCCCGGATCACAGTGAGGCGGGATGGGTCGACATTAGTAAGAATCTGAGATCGCAGACGAGAGGATATCCCATCGGCTGCCAAGATCAAATCTGCTGTGATTCTGTTGCCAGCCTTGCACGTTGCATACGCAGCTTGGTCATACTCTTCAACTGTGACAATCTCATTGCCAAAGTGCACCTTGGCTCCGGCTTCGCATGCCTCATCATATAGAACGGTCTGCAATGCTTGGCGGTCAGTGGACCACTCCGGAAACTCTGAGTAAATCCCAGGATTGAGAGTATGCAACAACTCATTCGTGTTGCCATTACGCGTCTCGTGCTCTTTGATCGGGGCAGTCACAGCTTCAAAGGCTTCGCGCATCTGCCATCGGTAAAAACATCTCACGCCATTTGATCTGACAAAAATGGCTCCGCTCGCGGTGGATAACGATTGCGATCTTTCGAATAGATCGACTTTGTGGCCGTCACGTGCTAATCGACATGCTGCAGCGAGACCTCCTAAGCCTCCGCCGGCAATGACGATACGTTGCTTCTTCGTATCCATGATACTGGCAGATCTTCCCAAGGCCGACTTGTGTAGTAAAAAGTTGGGTTTGAGTGCCTCCCCGGTTGACATTCAGAAGCCTCTTATAAAGTGGCTTGAATTGCCTCGTACTCGTGTCACGCCGCATTAAATGTCGCTCCGCGATTACTGGATCAAAGCAATCTCACCTAAGATATAGCGGCGTCGCACATTGATCATAAGCAACGATAAGCACTAGATGTCATCGACTCGGAGCGTTGGGGGGAGATCATCCGAGATATCCGCAGAACAAGTTGACTTACGTAGAAAAGGTTGATATATGTCTAAGCTGTCGCAATATAAACAATAGTAAAAAATAGTTCGATGCTCGTAGTCTAAATAAATGCATTGGGGACAGAAGCACAATTTTCCAAACATTCTAGGGCCCCGGTCGTTCATTCTTGATATCCAGACATAAACCCAAGGATACCAACCATACTCCAATAGATGCCAATTCGTAGAGTTATTACATTCGCTCTTCCATATCTATCATTACATCATCGTTCGTTTCGTCGGGAGTGGGAAGGCCGTCTTGAGCGATTCACGCCAGAAAGCCGATTATGCAGAGGCTGATTTCTATTGCCCTAGGTATGAAGTTAGGTTTCGGAATAGGTCGTTATGGCATAAGACACTTGTAACTTACGTCGAAACACAGGCCAACACCAGTGCGGCGAGGAACAAAGGCTCTGATGGCTCTGTATCGTCGTCAAGAGCGTTGCCTCCAGGCCACCAATCTCTGAACCATCCAAAGCAAGCAAGGCAAGCAATTGATCCAAGGGTAATGAAGCAATGGATAACGAGGCTGAAAGACGGGTGAATGGTTGGGAGAGTCCTGGTCACTAAGCAGACAAGCTCTACTAATACCCAGCAGAGAGTCGTGATGAACTGACTGTTTAGTCCATGTCTTAATAAAGATTGATGATAGACTTACTGCAGGTCCCAGTATCCCAATAGCGACGGCGGTCCTTGATGAAGGAATAGCTGAAACCACGATGCCAGCGATCGAAACAGAGAGAGCTAAGACGCGCAGCGCCAGCCCGAGATTCCGGAACCTCGGTGGCTTCTGTGGCTGCAAAATAATGGTTTTGGGATCGTCTTCCAAGTCCATGTTTATTGATAGTTTCGATAAGATAAGTAACAAAACATAGCTGACCTTCAACAAAGGCCTTTCATGGTAGCGATGCCATCACGCCTCTTTATGGGTTTGACAATGGCAAGATAGGCTGACGTAGAATACGTAAAAATGTCACAAGACACGGGCGAAAGATTGCACCGCTGCACCCAACGACTGATTTCCCAACATTTCCATATTAAAAATTTTATAATGACATGCCACTTTTTTTAGCCTCATGACGCAAGTGTCACTGACACGTGAAGACGGAGCGCAAGGCTGGCTAAAGCCCGTTGGCTTTTTTATCTCTGGAGCCACGTGGGTATTCGCCGATAAGGACAAATTAAGATCTACCTTGATCTTGGCTGTTTTGAACCATGGCTCAAGGTATTTACTAACAGATGTTGATATGCAGGGACCCGCAAATGTTAAATCGTCCATAGAGATAAACTCCGTTTTGATAGAGATGTCGGAATTGGGTTTAGCTTGCGAGACATGCCATGATCTGACTGGGTCTTGGGGATTATGACTAACGATAGCTTCATGGCCGTCACATGTTTGAAAAAATTGAAATGACTGCCTATTACGCAATTTGGCTCAATTAAGTTTTTGATAAGGCCACGGAGGCTCGGGAGAACTGTCACCGGGGTGCGAGGACACCGCGGATCGGGGAGATTCGTGGATGGCTTGTCACTCCGTCGGAGCATTTTGGAGCTGAGCTTACCCAGCGGCAGATTAGGGCTTTATAACTACCGGTCTTAACTCCCGGCGTCCCAGCTGAACCATACGAAAGCTTGGCGAGCCAGCAAAGCGAGAGCGTGGGTCCGTCGGTCATTCTTAAGTTGACTTACACCATTGAAAGTGAGCTGGCCCTATTCCCCAACCATTACGAACTACAGCATATAAGTAACTGACCCCAAGCTGCCATATAACATTTCACTTCTGCAGAATCTGGATATAGCTGTCGGGGATTCAGATTACAGTATAGGTCCATGACCTACGGTGGTCTGTTAACCAAGTCTGGTCCGCGATTGCAGTGGGTCCAAGACTACAAGAATTTTAACTGCTACGTTACTTATTTCTATCCAATAATTCGGAAATAAGTTTCGAAATCCTATCACTCGTCTAATCCCTCGGTCAGTACGCGGTTAAAGTTGTGCTAAGGCTCCAAAACGAACGCCGCCTTAGTACCCACTAAAACATAATGTGATATTGATACTACTATTATACGAACTTCGATCAAGAGTCAGTCAGATAACTAAATTCTTGTTTATAATAGGTAACAGTCCACTATGTCCAAGTAATCATGGGTCAGGCTGGTCAAGCACGTGATATTGTTGCCTGATTCGCGTCTTACACCTCCAGACTAGCGCGAAACAATGTCTTCCATCATTCCATCAATCTCATGAGAAAAGATCGCCATGACTCGCCTCAAAGATATCCCGAACGAGATCCTCACGAGTATCTTCACACATCTCTCTGACATCAACCACTCCAGCATCTTCAACGTCACTCTCGTCAACAAACATTTCAATCAGCTCGCCAGTCCTCTTCGCGTTCGTCACTGGAGCGATGAAGGCTTCTACGGCTACTACGACGGCGATTCACCATGTCCGCCAATTTCAAGACTAGCGCTCGAACTCTTACGCCATCCTGAATATCGTCTACAAGTCAAGACTCTATCGTTCTCATACTTCCAAAGTAGCCAGGACCGCGACGCGGCTCGCGTCCCCATGAAACTCGAAAATCTCCAAATGCTCGCCTGGGCAGCTGAAGAAGTTGTTCCGACACTCGCCGAGTCAACATATATATGTGCCCGCATCCTCGAGGACAACGACGACGCCATTGCTGTTCTTGTCCTGGCATGGGCGACGAACTTGAGGAGCCTCAGCGTGACGATTCCAGACTTTGATCCAACGCCAGGGTATGATGAAGGACCTCTTGTTCTGCGCTTTGCAAAACAACTAGCTCTTCGTTTTGAGAGCAGAGACCTCAAACCAAGTGCACCGCTGCCGCTTTCCAAGCTTCGAGAACTCGAGTTTCGGCACGAGAGTATCGAAAGTATTGTTGGGCTCAAGTATCTGACCCCGTTTCTCTATCTGCCCAATCTCAAGAACCTCAAGACATATAGACTTGGTGATCAAGAGTACAACGATCTTGAGGAAAGCGTTCAAAATTATATCAAAGACAAATACTGCATGCCGTTTCCGAAGGGTACCTCATCTATTGAGTCTATAACTATCAAAGAGACTACTTTATCGAGTGCTGGACTCTCAGATCTTCTTGGATCTTGTAGCAGCTTGAGATATTTCTACCTTCACTTCTCATTCGACCTCGAGGACAATAAGCGGAACTGGACTACACTAGCTAACAGCCTGGTTCATCAAGCAGCATCTCTGGAGGAGTTGGATCTGTGTGTTGATAACTGTGATGTTGAGTGGGTAGGAGATACTGTTGACGACGGGACAGACATTTCTAAGCCCATCGATTTCAAAGATTGCTACCAGCAACTCACTAGCCTCAAAAGCCTCAGGGTTCCTATGCCTCAACTATCTGGTCACTATCTGTGGTCGCGGTTAGGATCTCTAGGGGCCAGCCCTGTGCGGTTACCGGAATCTATCCAACATCTCAGGCTTTTGGACATCAACTTGTGGTCTAACGCACGACGCCTTTCCGAACATGAAATCTCACCCTTCTTGGACTTTGTTGTTAATCTCCTCAGGGAGACGGGACGACAAGGGCGATTGAGAAATCTTCAGACACTGGATTGTACCAAAGCACTTTGGGACGACCCAAAGAGAGAAAGGATACAAGAAATCAAGGATCTGGCAGAAGAGCGCGGGATCAATATTCTCCTTGACGCACGGAAACATGATAGGCATGGGCGAGATCTTGGTGCATGAGTGCAAATAAATTACAGATCAGATTCGTAATCTAAATTCTATATACATCTTAAAAGCTGAGAACCAAGTCCTTCAACTTCTGGAAGTTAGGGGTTCCATACCCAGTGGTAGGGTCCCATCCAGCTGTCGCGTTCCATCGAGCACCAGGAACAAGACCAGATCCAGCGGGCTCTGGCTGTCCAGACTGGGTGTTGTTACCATCACATCCAATAGCATAGCCACCGGTGATGTCAGTCAGAACCTTGGGTCCATGCTTGTAGATAAGAGGGTTCAACCAGCCCAAGCTCTTCTTGCCAGCCTTGAAGCGAGCATCGTTCAACAGACCAACGATGGCAGCCCAAACAGGAGCAGCAGCGCTGGTGCCTCCGCTTCCAGCCTGCTTACCATTGTAGATAACCTCGTAGTCGGGAGCAACACTGTGTCCAGCAACATCAGGGAAACCTCGGCCCTCCCAGTTGGTATAAGGACCGTAGTACTTCTTGGTCTCCTTGGAGACAGTCTTCATGTACTTCTTGATGGCCTTGTCCTGGTAGCTGGGTCGGGGGAAGTACTTGCTGAAACCACCGGAGGATCCCTCCCAGGCGATCTCGGGGGTGACGTCGACGGTGCCGCCAACGGAGGTGAGGTAGGGGCACGTGGCGGGGAAGATGGCGTTGAACTCGACGGTCTTGTAGTCAGGAGCAAGGCAGCCGGAACCGACACCAATGTCACCGGAGGAGAAAATGACACTGATGCCTCGGAGACCGAGAAGACCGATCATGTTGCATGTGAGTTCAGCATACTCACGAGGGACGCTCTGTTACAGAGTTAGATGGCACTTTTATTAGGAACTGGGTGATAGAACTTACGTCTTCTTCATCACCGTAGGAAGTGGAGATGACGGCAGGGAGATGCTTCTGTCCCAAGAGGTAACGGAAGAAAGGCACGTAAGGCTCGTTCTGGTTGTCCTTCTCGGTGGGCTGATCGATGTTGGGAACGAAGGGTCTGCGCACGTTAGTAACTCTGAACCTGACACAGCATGGATGAAACTCACGGTGAACCTCCAGTGATGTACTGCTTGAAAGGAAGAGGGTGAGCAATTCCAACAATGTTCTCAGCATCGAGGTTAGCCTCTCCGTAGTTTTTGTGCGCAGTGTTCTGATCATCAGTGCCGTTATTGATCAGAATAGTGGTGTAGTTCTGCTTAGGAATGCCGAACAGCTCCTCAAACTTGAAGACATCAGAGTAGATAGCAGCCTGGCCGAGAAAGCTGCTGAAACCAATCTCACTTCCAGACTCGGCATCAGGAGTGTAGTCGCCAATGTTGTACATCTGCTTGAGGCAAGAGGGAGTAATGCTTGTTTGGCAAGACGCATCAACGGTGCTCTTGGAGGGAGAGACCTTGCGCTCTTGGAGAGTGCGCGATGGGTGAGGCACGGGGTTGAACGCAACGGTGCCACCGAAGTTGGTGCTAGGATCAACGAATTGAACGTGGCCAGCGACATCATCAGGAATGGAGTAAGACAGCGTTCTCAGCTTCGTCTGACCATCCTTGGTGTAGTACTGATAGTCACCTCCAAGAAGCGTATTGGCCTTGTCAACATCAGCAGCAAAGTCAATGAAGGCACCGTTGACCTTGTAGTGCTTGATGCCCTTTGACTTGAGCCACTTGGTCACACTAGCCACCGCCTCGCTGGAGGGAGAGAAAGTGCTGGTCAGCTCATCGTGGGACAGCCAGTTGCCGTAGTTGGCGCTGTCGGGGCTGGAGAGGTCAAGAAGCTTTGATTCAAGCTGATCCACGTTTTGCAGGGTCAGCGCAAGACTGAAGACGTGCTGCGTGTTGGAAGCGACTTTGGCGGTTTTCTGGACTTGCCAGCCTTGAGGCGCTTCGGCGTGGTGAGAGAAGGACTTGCCAAATGCTGAGGGGAGCGCCGATAAGGCGAGGACGAGGTTTTGGGAGGAAATATACATGGTGACGTAGACACCTAGCAGAACAAAAGAATGACTTGACAAGACCAGAGACTGGATGGCAGATAAAATTGTGATGTCTGTGAATTTGGCTCATTTATCTACATATTCTGTTCTTATCACTTATCACGAATCTACCAAGTTCACGCGCCTCTGGATAACACGGCAAAGAAATGGATAAGTCGAATCACAAAAGGACTCAGTGTTGGACAAAAGGCCTCCGGGGTTCTTGGCGCCGAGCTTCTCGATTGGGGGCATTTTCCGTATCCCGTATGCAGATCATGATGCGATTAGTCCGATATGGGAAGTTACTCAGGGGAACGCTGTGGGGTCACGCACGGATAACGGCATTCACTATCTTATCTGTGAGGGAATGTTTGTTAGTTCTGGTGGACTTTTTGTTGGAGGGATCACGCGATACGGAGGACAAAAGTGCGTGCGTTGTGTTGTGGAATGGGACGGGGATGGAAGGTTACATGTAAGGAAATACGGAAATGGTGAGTGAGATTGAGTTCGAGGTTATTGGGCATTGAGTTTGCGGAATTAGTCATGCCTACGGATATTCCGTAGGGGATACATGCCAAGCGCATCGGCGGGAAGGATTGCTTCTGGAATAATGCCGTTGATGGTCTACTGGAAATAACCGGGTTTAAATGGTGCCAAGAAATTCAGCACATGAATCTGTGAGTGTGCCTCGCTGGAACGCGGGTTATGTCCTCCGCACGACGTTGATTGAGGTTAAGAGCTTTCCCCATCATATTGTACGACAATCAATATTTAAGTCCTTTTATGATGATTAATGAACAATAAAATTTGATTCTATCATTTATTTCCGCAGACTGAAATGTCTGATCATATACCGCCGAGATAAAGATACCAAGTCATTTACAATTCATCTGCTCTAGGTTATCCTGCTTCACAGAACAGTCAGGTCCAGGTACCATACACGCTAACCCTTCTCAGTAAGTTACATCAAATCTCCCACTTCACCAATCACATCACTTGCTTTCGAAGCGGTCAAAATGGCAGTCAACCAATGTCAGCACCCAATCTCAACCACTCAACGCCTCTCGCCAAGACACAATGAATGCCAAGGAGACTGCCGCAGCCAATCCAGGCTCAGAGACAGAGGCAACCACCTACTTCAAAGTCCTCAGCCTCGTCATTCTCCCCTTCATCGTGACATACCTCTTCACTTCCTTCGGCAACAAGGGCTATCAGCATGGCCAAAGCGCACGAGAGCCTCCGAGGGTTCCGTACTGGATTCCCTACGTAGGTAACACAATTGGCTTCGCTTTCGATACTGAGCGCTTCTTATCGTCTATTCTGTAAGTTCTCCCCGGGCCGATAAGTCTTGGCCTCCACTGATCTCCGCCAAGATCCAAATTCGGCAAAGTCCCGCTTCGTATCTTTGTAGGTGCAGAGCCTATGTACTTTATTCCTCATGGCCAGCCTATCATTGAGGTCTTCAAGGCATCGCGGCATTTGACTACCAAGTCTCTTGGTGTCATAACTGTTCGCGATGCGTTTGGCGTACCAGAGTGTGATATGCCGATCTATGTTGATGACGATTCTGAATATGGACATGTTGACCCATCAAAGAGATTTGACTTTGTCCAGCATCGTGATTTACATGCTCTTTTGACAGGAGGACCACTGAACTCCATGGTTGCAAAGTTTGTCAAGATCTATTCCGATATTATCGAGCAAGATACCAGGTTGAAAGAGGACGAGTGGACCGAGGTCGATGATCTTTACGAGTGGCTCAAAAACAATCTTCTCCGGGCTGCAATAACTGCTTTGTGCGGCGACAAGTTTCTTGAAATCTCGCCGACCTTTCTCGAAGACTTTTGGGTGTTTGACTATCACCTCCCCAACCTCTTGAAGCGGATGCCACGGTGGCTGGTTCCAAAAAGCTACGCGGCCAGAGACAAGTGCCATCAGAGCGTGCTACGGTATCATGAATACGGAAAGCGGAAGTTTGACTTTCTTGATGAAGAAGGCGTCGTCAAGAAGGACTGGACACCAGACTATGGAGCAAGGGTGATGAGTGCTAGGCAGAAGATGTTTCAGAGCGTTGGAATGACCCCCGAGGGCGGCGCTGCTCTTGACCTGGGGCTTATGTGGGCGTAGGTCAAGTACTAATAACTTGTGAGCTCGACTGACGACTTGTAGAACAAATGCTAATGCCATTCCCGCCGGAATGTGGATCCTACTTGATATATTGCTCGACAAGGACCTAAAGAACAGAGTGATGGCCGAAATGCAACCTTCTTTCATCGACGATTCTCTATCTTTCGATATTGATAAGCTCTGCTCCGGACCCCTGATCAATTCCATCTATCTCGAGACGTTACGTCTCCGTGTTGCTTCACCGGTTGGACGAACACCAATTATCCCCGATCTAAAGATGGGAAGATGGAAATTCAAGCAAGGCGTCGGCATGCTATCTTCATCCTGGGTCGGCGGCCACGATCCTGATTTCTGGAACACTGGATATGTACAGCCTGGCGGAATTGAAGAGCACCCCGTTGAATCATTCTGGGCAGAGCGGTTCCTGGTCTACGAGAATGATGCAGGCAGTGGTCCTGTTCGACCAACTGCTCTTGCGGAAAAGCCCACAAAGCGTACCCCAGAGGACGATCGTAAAGCACGGCCGACAATTGATGGAACGCAAGGTTACTGGTATCCTTACGGAGGCGGGACAAGAATGTGCCCTGGTCGATTCTTCGCCAAACAGGAACTCATAGCTGCTGTGGCGGTCGCTCTGCGTGCTTTTGACATCGAACTTGTTGACCCCGAAGCGGCGAGTAAGGTCAGGCCGAATATGGATTACTTTCCGTTTGGAACTATCCCACCCAAGGGTAAGGTAGCTGCTCGGATTAGGAGGCGAAAGTTGTGATATAGCTAGGTTGGCTTTGGGTTGCAGTAAATTTAGGCCAGATACGACATCATATTCTTGGATCTGACTATCAGCCCTTCAAGATCGGCGATGAAGCCTCTTCACCAGGCTTAACGACTGAACTCTAGAGCGACAACCTAGACCGTCTTTCTTGGAAAACCACCGACGAGGAAGGGACTGGGAACATTGACTCTCCTGGATTACTGCATCTCATTTATATAAATCTACTGTTAATTATCTTGTTAATCTGTTGTTTGGCGTGGCGACATACTCAATCAAGGTATCTTGACCAGAATGCATCTCCTCCGAAAGCTCGACAAAGACCAACTAGGAAATCATTGAAAATATCTTGAGTCGAACGACAGGCTACGAGTGTACCACTATCGTTTTTGGGGCCATCTTACGAGCATATATGGGCATTTTAGACGGTGTAGTCCTAGGTATACTGAATACAAACATCGAATCGTCAACAAATGGTATCACTCTATCTGCACTAAGCCAAATCCACTTCTCCATTGACTCCAAGACTTTACTGTTTATCCTCAGCTCGGCACCCCAACTGCTCCAAAGTTGATACTCCCAGTACTACCCAACTCATTCAACCAACCCTCCACATCAGAGCTCACACCAAGAGCAAACTCCTCCTCAACAACCCCAACCTGCCACGTATTCGTCACCACCAAATCCCCGCCCTGAGCAGAAATGACACTGAACGTCAACGCCGACCCAAATGTCGGCGCAGTCTGAGTGAAAGTCGCACTCTCAATAGCCCAGCTACCCTCAGTTTTACCCTGTATAACACCAAGATTACTTATCTCCCATGAATACGACCGCGTTTTGCCATGGTCCTTGACGAAAGACTGCCAGTCCTTCACAAACTTGGCCAGTCCAATATGATCATTCTTGGTACCCAAGTCCAGCTTGGCAGATAGACCGTCCCGTATCGCTTTCGCGCACGACCAGACCGTCGTTTCTAGATTTGCGCTCATATTTGGCTTGGTTTGAGCCTCGTTGATCTGTTCCCGAACCTTGGCAACGAGTTCCTCATCAAACGTAAACGGCCAGTATGCCACGCTATTGATGGCAGTCTTGTTCATGTCGATGCTCGGATGGCCCGGCTTCTGAAACTGTCTCAGACAAACAGGTGTACCGCATAGGAACGCAGAAGCCTTGATCTCCGCCAGCCTCGTTGCCATCGATACCGCAATGAGCGAGTGCATCAGTCCTGTCAAAGTCGTGCCGTGTTCACGACACGCGCCAAGTACAGGCTTTAGTGCCTTTTTCGTGACTTTCGTGGCCACCATGCTCGTAGTGGAAGGTTCTGTAGGTATTGGTGCCCATGTCGCCATGTGAGGTAGTTCTTTCGCCTTCATCGAGGCGATAATATCCCTCCCGAACTCACCAACGATGAAATGCAGGGAGACAGGTAGTTTGATCAAGTGGTGTAATGGAGGCGTGAGTTCCGTGTTCGGGACCTCGAAGATGCGGTCTCTGAGAATCACGGCGTCGTCGTCTGGTGTGTTGAGACAAGCAAAGAGGCTGTCTTGGAAGACCTTTCCGCTCTTCCCATCTGCCGCGGTATGCTCCCAAGCAAAGACAATATCAATAAAGTTGGACTCGGCTGGCCTGAGTACAGTCGCTCTCCACCCGGGTTGGGTCTCGAGATTGGTATAGGGCTCATTGACTTGCCATTCCAAGATAGCATGAAGAACTGATTCGTACTCATCTTGATCAGAGACCGTCCGCCATTCTATGTGATTATTCAAGTCGATCTGATCAAGTCGTACCCAGTACTGCTTCTTAGAATCCGCATTGATTCGCCCAACCGTGAACAGCGGATGCCTGAGAATAGCACGGGCGAAGGCATTCTCAACAATGACTTGGAATGCTGCAGCATCCGAGGTAAGGAGTGCTTCGGGAATGCGATAACGACATGATATTGCACAGCCAATGATTGCACCTAACGAATAATGAGCGGCTTGGAGGTGTTCACTGCAAGATGTTAGCTCTACTACTAAGACTGCGGGATGAGGTAGTACTCACACAGGGCTGAGCTTCCGCAAGACCTTGTCCCTGTCGTTTAAACTCCTGACGCTCTTCTTGCTACGAAGGCGGTCGATCATGTTTGACGACATGCTGTAGCTGTAACCCTCGGCTGCAGGAAGAAAGTTAAAGTCTGTACGGAGCAGCGAGTTAAGCTCTTTAACTATAAAGCTTTAGAAGCATGGACATGACAATTTTATAGTAAAGTTTATTAAAATAGAATAGTCTCCCACTGTCAGATGGTGACACGCTCGGTTGGCTTCAAGGTGAACTGACAGGGTTGTTTAGCCAATCAGCTAGTCCTGTTCCGTTGGTCGTCGTGGCCCTTGTTCGTGACGGTGACGCTAGCGCGGTCATGATTGGGTTGATTCATTCTGTCGGGCGTCCGCGGGCACAAGGTCCAGTCGCGTTTCGGCACCTTTGATTGAGGCTCAGGGCGTCGCTTTACCCTACAAGGCTACTGTACGCATCGTTCGCACTCGGATAAAGTTGCCTAGAGTGTTTCAGGGGTTTGCTCGATCAGTTCATCTGAACATTTCGTATTACCAGAGCTGATTGGTGGACCCAAGCTTCCGTCATTGACCTGGTTGATAGTCTGGCCAGACCATAATACAGCTCAACTACGAAGATCAAGACGCGTCCGATTGCAAGTCATGTTCTTGTCCCTGAAAGTAAGTAGATGTGTCAATGTTGAGGCTGGCGTTGACTTTGGTAGGGGTAGGACCTCTGCTTGAAATACCGGCCGCCGCAGACCCGCGGGCCGGCTCCGATCACTAGCGTCAGCCGTACAAGGTTTAAGCACGAATGATATAAACTGACAAGAAGCCGCACATGGGGACAGGCCCTGTTCTCTCAAGCTCAAAGATTGATGCTCAACGCTTCATGCCCAGTCGGAGACTTCCCCGTGGCAGCATATACTGTCAGTGATCATGCCCATGTACACAGTCGCTTGTTCAAGTCGGATCCACTGACGTTACAGTGTCTGCATATAAAGTGACATCGAAATTTTGAGCATAGCATACAGAGCTCATGAAACTCTAAGCTCTCTGTGCTTTGAGCGTAATAGAAGTTGTTTTGTTCAAATTGTCCTTCATATGTAGATCGAGCAGTATACTGGCCTAGAAGTAAAGAAGAAATCGTTGAGGAGAAGAAGCAGAAGGAAGAGTAGGCCACGATATACCGAACATTAACGTGACAGAAGACAGGTATTAGGAAGAATGGAATGGTTGGTTCCTTAGTATAGGAATCGCCTGATGTATTATCCGGCGGTGGCAGAAAGTGAATCGCGGGCATAGACTTTTAACTCTAGGAGTCACGAACAGTCAGCATTTCGGACATTCATTGCAATGGCAATACGTGAGTATGTGCCAATGCGCAATTGTGATTGAAGTCCCTCCCTCAGTCCGTAGAAAGTGAACGCCATTTTGGTGTACATAAAACACATGACTGTCCACCGATTGACGCTTCATCGAACATCAATCCGCAAGGACAATACACGAATTCCCACGAGAAGAAACAACACCCTGGCGGCTTACCAACATACAGTGATCATGTGCCGACCGAATGAGACTATCAGGATATGCCGTTGCAAATATAAGGAGACGGAAAAGCGATGGGAACGTTGCCACCTAGCCAACCAGCTCAGATTAGAAAACAAAGACTTGGGTACTTGCCCTCATCTCAAGAAGGCCAAACGTACATTGCAGGGATATAAGTGCATGGAATGCCAATATGCAGACTTGGAGAGAGAGAAACACTGAGGACTCGACCAGAGCGGTATGCGGCAAGTAAAGGCGCAGGGTTTGCCAAGTGCCGGAAGTCTCGCTGTTTACAAAGAGGTACTTTCAAAAAACAAAGAATCGCCAGGTTTAATAAAGACCTTTCATCTCTCAACGCCTGCAAGATCTACATGACCTAATATTTCGCGATTAACGTGACTTACAAAGCATTAAGGGTAAGCTTATTTAAAAAGGATAGCCCGTCGGTAAGCATATACAGGCCACGAGGGCCGCGGATTAGAAAAGGAGTTTCACTATGAAACGTGAACACACAGGTCTGATTTAATGTTCTTAGCTTGTGTGAGTTGGTTCGATGGGCTAAGTACAGTGAGTGATGCTTCGGTCACCCGAACTGTCAACACGATTAATGCAGCTACCGTACCTTAACAGCAGTGAAGCAAGCCTGAAAGGCAGTGATTGAAAGAATTAATTAATGTATTACTTGCGTCATATTCACAAGAGTATTACTTTAATTCAAGACATTTAGTGGCTCATATCTTAGATCTCAAGAAAGTATGCTATGGAACATCTGAATTTATTTGCGATTCACTTGTTTGTAATGTCTTAGTAGTGCAGCAACTGTTTAGCAGATGCTCAACTACGCAATCCCGCCTCATCTCACGAGTACATCCAGCCTTGGAGTTGGGACACCGCACACGCAAGCATCTAATCACATCCATAACGTCCCTAGCAAGCCGTATTCTGTTTGCCTGGATCCTCCTTCTGTCCAGGGGACAGTACTGACATGTCCTGTGATGTCTTTGTATACACTCCAGACAGAATAGATGTCCGCAGGGTGTGATGATCGGAGTCACAAAAATTCCGATACATATCGGACAGACGAGCCGATCCTTGATATCGCTCGTGTATTCAAGGCTGCCAAAGTCTACAAGATTGATTACATCTTGTTGTGTTATACAGTGGCGCTTTGCCTCACGAGAAACAAGAGACTCCACAGGCCATTCCACAGTAGCTGGTTGAGCTGGATATGTCAGCTGCGGGGTGCGGTTGCCACGTTTATTTTCTTTTCTCCTTACAAATTGGTCCCCAGTGAACGGTTGTGTTCTCGGCAGCGCTGAATATGTCGTGAATCAAGAAGTTGGTGTTACGCCGAGGCCTTTGCTGTTGGTGACCTGGCATATCTGCCTACTGGACGCGCCGAATAAATGAGGGGAAGATAAATCGTCATTTGAAGAATGCCATGTGGTATAATCGGTGTGTCATGGATTTTGGGACGGAAATGTGAAAATTGGATTTGATCTTATGGACGGATTCGGGGATCGGCAGGGTCACATGTACCATGCCCATGTTGGAAAAAGAGAGTCAGGGTATGTGGGGATCTATCTATCACCGAAACGACCCCGGGTTACATCATTATGAGCGCTGCATTACAGCCATAATCTGTCATCTGTTTCGGGTATGATCAACTTGTTTTATTTCCTCCGAAGCTGCCAACTTCCGTTAAGCATGCTATACAAGTAGATTACAGCGTGAACAAGAACGGAGCTGGCTATTGTTCCAAAGCAGCACCAGTTAGCTCGACCGTTAATTCCGATTTTATATTTAAGAACAAGAAACGCCTGTATCTATGCCTCTGATGCTTAGGTTGTACTCTAGTGTTACAGTGCGAACTAAGGTACGTACGTTGTCGCTTATTCCCGCAGCCAACTGCAAAGCTTAGCGATTTTGAACCCTAAAAACCTGCTGGTCTAATGCGTGAAGTGAACAGGAAGTCTGCGGAGCAATAATTATTGGCTGCTTCAGATTGACACCAGGACTATCCGTACGTCCGTACGCTACCTTAATGCGGATGGCGCCAAGCCAAATATGCCCCACTAAGGCCAGGGGCCTCGACCTGTAATATCCGTCGTTCCTCTCCGAGACGGGCGCATGTACAGTATCTCTCTCTCTCCTCATTTACATAAACCTAGAGACACACGCGCATGTTGCACACATGGAGGTGACATCATACAAGACGAGTTAGGTTTGTGGAAGTACGGTTACTGGACCCTGCCGATACCTCGATAACCGCCGTCAAATAGATAAACACTGCTCGATTCCCAGATCTCTCTCCGTCCCTCAAGATCGTCACACAATTCACATAATGTGCCATTCCCCCTTAGCAACCACTATGCCATTTCCCTCTCCATTGAGTGAGCCAATTGATGCGACTATTCGATGTACACGCCCTCGTTGTCAGCAACGACGTGCATCCCGCACACGAGCTAAATCCTCATCCACATCTCCCCCAAGAAGATCAAAACATGACCGTTCACGCTTAAAGGTAAAGTACATTCACCAAACCTATATACCTATACTTACTATGCCAGTGCACCGATCGATTATCGGAATGCGTTGGACATCCACTCGGCAATGTCACTGTATTCCAGACATCAGCCATAGCGTCGGCCTTGACGAATGAGACCGAATCCCCTCATGGCAAATGCCATACCGACGCGCCATGCTATATACCTGGAGACCATGAATCATTGCATAGCAAGCTACACACAGACAAGGCTATGTGCAAGCCAACAGGTCTGGGAGTCTCGTACAAGAAGCCTAGACCCCAAAGCCATTCGCCAAAGCACCAACACCACCAACGACAGAATCTGCGGCTTTGGGAGATGAAACTTTCCCAGCCGATCAACAACAGGTCATGCACGTCCTGCCAGACTGAGAACACACCGCGATGGCGCCAGGGTCCGGCAGGACCCCGAACGCTGTGTAATTTCTGCGGTCTAATATATGCGAAGCGACAACAGAAACATGCCGATGCACCATCTAGTCACTGCTTGAGCTCTGACTAGCCTTCCCAAGCGCCCAGAAAAAGTTTCCGCTTAATAATGACCTCCCGGCGACTGCTCACGACTAATTGAACGCTTTGGCTTAGGCCGGTTTGTTTATGATATCACTAGGGAGCAAAAAGCGAAAAGCGAAGCAATGGAAAAAGGAATTTCAGGTTTCTTTACAAATATGAGTTCTCAAAAGGCGACAATGTAATACATCAAGGTCAAACGCCAAGTGCTGTGCCTGTGAAGTGATTGTGTTGCATGTCTCGAATTTAGGCACCAACCCAAAGGTAAACCGCATTACAGAGCGTTACATATTCAAGGGTTTAGGGGTCCGAGGGTCCATGGCATCTCGGGGTCTCAGCAAAAGACACTAGACAGGGATACACGGAGTGTAGTCCCTGTCAACCAACCAGACGAGCAGTAGAAAGCGGAGAGGCCCCGACGGAACTCCCCATCTCCTTTTCGAATGCATGAGTTGAGAATGACGAAATGGCTTTTTTTTGTGGCTTACTTTGTCTTAGCCTGGCAGCGGGAAAGAAATTCCGGATTCTCTTCCTTGGGCAACACTGTACGTAAGAAGGTAGCGCTGCGTGCGGAACAGGCCATATTTCTAGTCTACGGTGCAGCGTTTGTTTTTGGATAGCCAAATTATCCACTAAGAAAAAGAACCTCGGCGGTAAAAAAAAAAAAAAAAACGGCTTGTGATTACCCGGCCTGAATGCCATTCGTAAGGTCAATCGATGATTGAGGGAAGATTGCCACTAACATCGAGTGGCATTTCCATCGGTTGACCATGGGCATGATCGGTGAAACGGGCGAGAGCACCCAGAAGCTCCCAGGGACATAATGTTCTAGACCGTCAAAGACCTTGGGATCTAAAACTCTTTGTCTATCCTTTCTGGTATAGTGCATCTCCGTCAGCGGCCAATAATCTCTTGTCGTGTCCCCTCTTAGCTTCGCGTCGCGGTGGCGACACAGAGGCCCAACGTTAATGGGCGGGGGCTTTATCGTTGATCCTTTTTACCTGGGCTTCCTCCCCAAGCTTGATAATACATACCCATCGTCAGGCGACAGAAAATGCCGGATGCCAGGGATGCACCAATGTCTGAGGACAGGCGCGAGAACGAGACCTCGAGGTACGTTTTGTCAGAGAAACCATATGCTGCTGTCTGAAATGAGCTACTCACCATGGTTCCACAGATACGATGAGTTGCTACGCGCAACGTGTAGGCCCTTCAGTCAGATCAGCGCTACCAAACCCGAAAAGTCACCAGATTCCGTCCTCACTAGTCTCGCTCAGTTAGCAACTTGTCAGACCAACACTGAGCGCTCATTTGTATCTCTATTCGATGAGGTGAGGCAGTACATAGTCGCCGAAGCAACACCCTCCACGTCGCTACTAAACAGCTCATCCAACGGCGACGATGATCTCTTGCTCTGCGGGACGTACATCCCCCGTGCCGACGGGGCCTGTCACTATGCTTTACGCGCTACAGAGGAGGCTCTGAATGCATCTTCCTCGCAAGAGCTGCCGGTAATCGTTGTTCAAGACTTGGCTGTAGACCCGAGATTTGCTGCGAGTCCAAATTGTCGTCCAGGCAGCTTCGCCAGGTTCTACGCCTCTGTACCAATACGGTCTCCTCGGGGCATCAACATCGGTGTCTTGTGCGTCATGAGCTCTACGCCTGGCGGTGACTGGGAAGATAAACACTCAAATTTCATGCGAGGATTGTCGCAGACAATCATGGATCATCTCGAGGGTAACCGAATCAAGCATTCACTAAAACGCAGCATGGCGATGAGCCTTGGGCTCCAGAGATTCACTGAGAGGGGGTTGAACTCACCAGTTCAGAAATCGCCTCTTAGCTCGGAACTTCATCCAAACGAAACCCCAACGCAACGCGATATTGACACTATCTCCTCCACACAATCTGTTCCCTTGGAGAACCCGAAAAACCAACACAAGGATCACACGTCCTCGAATCCATTTCTCATCGCCGCCACCATCGTCAAAGAAGCTCTCCCTGCTGATGACTGCGCCTTTTTCAGCGGAGACTCTCTGGACCTTCATTTGGTCCGCTCACCAGAAACAGAAACTCAGTACGACTTCTCCCTCGATGCCTCTTGCCTAAGTCCAGGCGTCTACAGCAGTGCAAGCGCCGATGATACTCCCACTGCCGCCAAATTCCAACCCTCCTGTCAATTGCTTGGATCCTCCAATACCCTCGGCTCCACAGAGGACGCCAACAACATTTCACAAGTATTTCTATCCCACATGCTTCAACAATATCCGGAAGGCTACATATTCGATTTTGATACACAAGGGTCATTCACTCATGATATGAAACCCGTTGCTCCAGCAGCAGAAGAACAACCGTCATCGCCGATCGCCTTTTCGAGAAACGAACAACATAGCTACGAACAACGGGAACTGCAAAGGGCTTTCAACGGAGCCCGATATGTAGCATTCATACCTATTTGGGACCCTCTGAAGGGCATGATTTCCATCGGCGGCTTTGCGTGGTCAAAAGCACCACGGCGTGAATCCGACAGAGACAGCGAACTGCCGTTCTTCAGGGCCCTCGGAATATTGGCAGCATCCGAGGCATTCCAAATAGAAACACTGGCAGCCGACAAGGCCAAGTCAGACGTTCTGGGCTCGATATCTCACGAACTGCGCTCTCCACTTCACGGAATCACGCTTGGCCTTGAACTGCTAAACGACTCTGGCTTAGGTGCGGCACAGCAAAACATAGCTCACTTGATCGGCACATGCTGCCGTACTCTCCTTGACACAACAGAACATCTGCTCGATTTCACGAAGGTGAATCAATTAGGGCGGTCAGATACGATAATCGACGACCGCTCAGAGAAATCCACGACCAGCACTGCGCCCTCAAACCGGGAGCAGATCATGGATAAAACTGTTCATCTGGACCAGATTGCTGAGGATGTAGTAGAGAGCGTTTATGCCGGTCATAGCTACCAGAATGCGTCGATCGCCCACATCTTCAGCCCTTCCAACAGCCGAACGAGTGCCTACGTCAGCGCTATTCGACGAATGGACTCTATAGAGGCCGCAGAGGCAAAAGCCATCGACCAGAGAAACCGGCAAGAGGATGGCGTCGTTTCCGTGTTTTTACTCTACGATCCAACGATGTCCTGGAGCTTCCAAACGCGGGCCGGTGCGATCCGCCGAATTATTATGAACCTATTTGGAAACTCACTCAAGTACACGTCTCAAGGCTTCATCAAGATCACAATGACTCAATCGCAACCAGAAGATGCAAGAAGTGGAGAACGCATGATTGAATTGGTGGTTGAAGATACGGGTCGAGGAATCAGTGAAGACTTTCTTCGCAATAACATCTTCAAGCCATTCTCCCAAGAGGACCAACTATCTACCGGGACGGGGCTGGGGCTCAGTTTCGTGCAGAGGATGACATACCAGCTTGGCGGCACAATATCCATCAGTAGCCAAGTCGACGTTGGCACCAAAGTCACAGTGTCGATACCCATGCTGCAAGGCACAAGCTCACGGTCTGAAATCGGGCTCTACACACAAAGCACATGCCACGGTCTTCGAGCTAGACTCACCGATCTGCCTCCAAGTCACGGCGTCGCTCTTCAGCATGAGTCTATGACTTTCCAAGCCTTGATGAAAGAGCTATGCTTTGAACATCTAGGTATGGTATCAGACGCGCTATCAGAGATGGAGCGACTAGCTCCAGATGTGGTTGTCGTTCAGGACAGCTCAACGAACAATATTTCAGAACTAGCGCCGTCGTGGCCCGACGCCCCAGTGCTGGTGGTTTGTAACAACGCACTTGTTGTTCAAAGGTACGAGTCAGCGCACGTATCAACTGGACACAGGAGATTATGTGACTACGTTGCACAACCGTGAGTCACCTCGCTTCAAACAGCACCCCTTGTCACTAACACAATATAAGCCTCACTCCGAACAAGCTAGAAAGAGCGGTCTCCAGAGTTGTCACCCTCTGGGCCGAAACAGAAGACAGTCCACACACCGGAGGAACAATACCACTGCCCACACCCGCAGACACGGTATCATGTAGTCAACCACCGACCCCCGCCATAGAGAGCCCCCTGGGCGGCCTCGTCCCAGCCCAAGACTACTTCCAGACCCCACAGTTCCTCCTGGTAGAAGATAACCCCATAAACCTCAAGATGCTAACTCATTTCATGAGGAAGCTCCAAAAACCGTACCGTACAGCAGTAAACGGGCAGGAAGCGGTGAATGTGTATAAGGAGATGCCGGGGCAGTTCAAATGTGTACTCATGGACATATCGATGCCTGTAATGGACGGCTTAGAAGCTACGCGTCAAATACGAGCGTTTGAGCGATACAGCGGAATAGCTACATCCAAGATCTTGGCTATCACGGGGCTTGGGTCTGAGAGTACGCGGGAGGAAGCAACCAGAAGTGGTGTTGATGTTTTTATCACGAAGCCTGTCAAGTTGCGCGAGCTTGAAGTAGTTATTAATAGTTGAGGTGGTGATTTGAGAGACAGGTATCATTTATAGGAATTTGGCTGGACTAATTTGACTAGAGAGCGGCGGGCAAGAGACGACTGTTGATACCAGTGCCTTGCAAGGACTCGGGACCGAGCACATGGGGCTGAGATAAATGACTGCAAGGATCGCAGGAATACAAGGCTTTAACTGTGTAATGAAACCCTAGCCGTGTTGTAGATATAGCTTGTCTTTCCGTAAGGCCTTACAGATATAATGCATATTCTATTACGCAGGCTAGCTCATATAGATATCATACTAATATTTATAAGTAATCGATAGAAGAACTGCAAGTAAGGGGCAGAGTTTCCCATGTGAAAGATAGCTTCCTATTACCAGAGACATACCCCTAAGTCACACAAGGGCTCATAACCCTTGATGCCAGTCCATTCTAACTCACAGGTCAAAGTATGTGTAACGAAGTCTCAAGGGTCAGCTTGATCACTGAAACATGGACCTGCAAGCTCCTTTAACTGAAGCCATCCTCCGTTGAGCATATTTCGTTCTTAGGGCACACAGAAAAGAAATTACAAACTACATTGACAGGGGAAACATAGTTCTGATCCTGTGACTCAGGAAATCATAAGCCTCTTACGATGGTAGCTCAAGCCATGCTGATCGATGACCTTGCAAACAGCATACCGCTGGAAATCTGAACATACTTGACCGATAAGCAGACCTCTATCAAGCTATCTATAGAGATGCTGATGCTTACGCTTAAGCCGGTTCATTTGACTGGTATGGAATTTCAACACACTCCTAGAGGATACTGAACAAGCCAGATGCAATGTGCGACCCAGAGAGGTAGAAGACAAGCTAGACGACAGGGCCAAAAACAGCACCCGTACCAAAGTCCTCAACGTCCCCTACAGAATCAATGTTGTGTGTATCAATAGATGAAAACTTTGAAGTTACGGTGAAGTGGAAGTTCAATTCCGACATCTCTAGTACGGAATCACGATGTCAAAACAACCCGGCAGTGATAACCCCACCGTAGTACCTTGTCGGCAGTTGCTCCAGAGGATACACGAATTCCCACATGCTATCTATGATATCAAGAAGCAGGACGGGTATCTTTAGTACAACATCGGTAGAAAGTACCACTGAAGTCTGCTGAGGTGACCAAAGACGTGGTCCGTCAAGACCGCCGGGGGGAGACAGGATTCCGAGTGCTGCGAGGATACTGGAGATGGGGCGTGTGTGTATCATGTTGTTATAGTTATTTGTAAGTGGTGGATTCAATTACTTCCAAGGAGAGCTACAGAGACTATCTCTCCGTGCTCTTGAGTCCCAACCGCGGTGCATTCTGTCACATACGATCATACCTGCAGTAGAATACGGGATCCCGTCCGCTCTCCCATAGTCAAGCCTGCAAGGGGCGGATTAGTAGTTGGGTCGGTGACGACCAGCGAATCCCCGCTGTTGTATGTTTTTTGCCTTTTTTGTGATTTGATCTGCCTTATCTTTTGCTTGTCCTGTTGGTTGTTTAGGATGTCTGTTGCGGCTGACTGATGATTTGGCTATTGGGTTGGTTGTGGAGTCGAACTCAGCGCGAGGCAAACTGCGTCGAAGAGACAGGCAGGGACTTGTTTGTGAAAAACGTTGAATGGAATGTAAAATCTGAGATGAAATGATGTGGCCTTCTCTGTGCCTGTTTGGTTGTAAGGTTTTCCTGGTGAGGTCAAGTGAACGACCACCGATGAAGGACCCCCTCTCTCAACCGGATGGAACATTTCACCGTGTCGCCACAGCCCATTAATTGTTTACTTGTCTAAGCTTGAAGTGCGCCCCATACAAAGTCACGGGGAATCGTAGATGAATCAAGAGTTGGTTCAATCAATTGAAGTTGGCGAACCTTACCCTCGCTACAAGGAGTGCCGGACATGACATATCCTAGATGTCTTTCTTGTCCAAAGCCAACGTATACCGCCAAGTAACTCAAGCAAAATGCATATAGTCCTCGTCGTTCTGTCTTCCTTTCTTGCAGTGTCCGTTCTTGCATCCCTCGCAGTAATCTTCTTCGTGAGGCGCCCTGGACTTGTCAGAGTATATGGGTCTCTCGACCTCAACTCCATTCCACTTCTTGATACGGTACGTGACTCTGTCGATATAAGTCTCTTCTTTGAGCTTCGGCTTGCTCAGGTTGTTGCATTCGACGCATCGCTGGTGGTACACGCGGACATTGTAGCGGTTGCGGGAGTACTCGCGGATCGTGATGGCAACGACCATGCTCTTCCAGCCACGAGAGTCACATTTGTCGTTGTGGCATACGAACCGCCCGATGATGTTGGTGTCGTAAGTGCGGATAGTGCCAATATCCTCGTCCTTTTCGAAGAAGGTATAGTCGAGCTGATCTTCTTCAAGTTTGTCGGCGACTTGGTCGTGGAGATCAGGGAACATGGACCACGAGCGCGGCGGCTTCTTTGCTCTCTTGCCTGGCATGATGGATCAATCGCTGGTTGTTTCTGGGTTGCGAGTTAGTTAGCACTCATGTCGCTTAGAAGATAAAGCTATACCGCGCGACTTACCTAGTACCAGTTGTCGTATTGAGATCGCCAGTAAGGTTGAGATGAGAAGTGAAGGAGGAGAATCTTGAGAGGGGGGAGAGAGGGGGAAGAGGAGAGAGGAGATGGAAAGGGAAAGGGAGGGGCACTGCACCTTGCATAAATGACGAAAGAGTAAACACCATGCACTGCCGCGCATCTGTTTGCCAGTGCCAACGCTAATCGCGGATACTTCCTACTGGCAAACAGTTGCAGCTCGGAAGAACTCGAAGCGCCACGTACTACTTATCATCGACTCTCTGAGCGACCAAGTACTGCCTTGAAAAGCTCCCCGGTTAAACCATCATTAACTCAAGTGACATTCTAGTAAGTACTGTTTGTCCCTAAACACGATTGGCAAAGAGCCCTTTTAAGAACTGCTTCTACTAGACACTGTTTGTTTCGAACTAGCAGCGCCTATTGGTGATTCAAGTTGTTGCGGTCGGCCTCCCGCGTCGACCATCCCCCTTCGACCACGTAACACGACTCTGGAAAGCGCAAACATACAGGGTTGCAGGAAGCATTTAGTTACTGATGTTCATTCGTTAATTTTCTCACCTTCTTCCCCTTTGTATTGTGTCTCGCCGTTACTTCGTGTGTAGGATGTCCAACTTCGTAACCCTTTTCCCCGTTCAGTCAAGGAACAGTAATGATCGCGCCAAGCAACCTTACAAGATCGGAAACCCTTGTCGGAAAACATTGGCTTCTAATTTTGCTTGGAACGATTTTGAACTTCTTGTTTAGGAAACCTGGCCGTCAGGATCACTTCACAGTCTCGGGGAATGTTAGGGCCTCAAGGGCTGTTTCAACTGCCGGTTTTGCTGGAAGCCACTGCTATATAGAAGTCTCTTTGGATATTAATTTTGAGAAGAATCTACAGCACAAATTTCATAGACATAGCCATTTATCCCATGGACGTGTAGACGATCTGAACAGTATGGCCATAGTATTGCGATCCCCAATCAGCTCCTGGCTCGACACAATCTTTCTCATCGAGATAAGGCTTTTGGGCACAAGATCTGGCCAGATCACAAGCAGCCAAAGTAGGTGAGCTGTCAAGAGTAGCGCTTACTTATTAGTCCCCGCTGATGCCTGCTCAGCCCTGCAACGAATTCATAAAACGCACAGCTTCCCCCACGACAAAACAATACTCCATCCTAAAAGGCGCAACACTCTCCAGCAGCCAAGAAAAGCAACATGGGCGCCACAATCTCGCGGTTCTGGGCCCCGTCCCCAATCACAGTTGGCTTGATAGGTCTTCGTTCAGCAGGAAAAACAACCATCGTGAATAAATTAAGCGGCAACTCAGAGTCGGTGACGCCATCGTCGAGAGTGGGTCTCCTTTTGTCGGCAATTGAAGTTATAATACTGACATCAACAGCTGTCGAGATCACTCGCGTGTTTCAGGGAAACCAAGAGTTCAAACTCTTCGACTACGCTGGAAATCCGCACTGGAGACCTTGCTGGAGAAGTTTCATGTCCAGACTACAGGCCGTTGTGTTTGTGATCGACAGCGCAGACAGGGATACTCTACAGGAAGCAAAAATGGAATTAGTTTGGTTGTTGAAAGAAGATATGCTTGAGCAACAGCCGTTTTTGGTACTTGCTAACAAGCAGGACGATCCGGTGAGAGAAGCATCCTGACAGGTGTCATCTTGTGAGCTGACGTGTGACAGAAAGCCATGAGCGTCGCAGAATTGACTGAATATATCGATATACAGCAATATCTTTACAGACCATCGAAATGCGTCAGTACTAGCCTTACATCGCACTTACAAGCTGATGCTAACGCGTAATTTACAGCGCGTTCAGCCTACGAGCGCCTTGACCGGGGAAGGGTTGGCTACTGGTCTAGAATGGGTACAAAACGTCTTGAGAAACCATCGCAACTGATACATCTCACTTAGATAGTGTTACTGAGGATATTCCTTCAGTCTCATCATTCAGAGAACCACGATGCTTGATAACGCGTTGTTCATACGCGACCGCGTTCGCTCCGGAACCACATTTGTCCGGGCCTGTCAGATGCATTAGTCAACCAGTTTCGAAGATCAGCCCACCAAATGCCGCTGATGCCGACAAGCCTCACAACACAAAAGCTTGTTTACAGTGTATCATTGATCGCCATTGACGTCGCAAAAATGGCCGAGCACCCTTCATTCACTCTCGCAGGTCTCCGTAAGTCACCCTACGGCCCCTCACTGTGATCTCTACCCCAATTGACCACCTGTGCACAGTGGCCGCTGGCGGTACAGCTGGCTACATCCGAACTCGCTCAACTCCTTCTCTCGTCGCTGGTGTCGGTCTTGGTGTCTCATACGCTTACGCTGGTACGTGCTCCTCTCCCTCGCCTGATCTCACGACTCACAAGGCGCAGGCTATCTCCTCAAGAACAACAAGGACTACGGATCTGAGCTTGCTCTCGCCAATAGTGTCCTCTTGACCGGTTCCGCTGTGCCTAGAATCATCAAGACTGGTGGCCGAGCTCCTGTGCCTCTTCTTCTTGGTGCTGTGGGTGGACTCGCGACGTATTACTACCAGAAGAAGTTCCGTGAGTTTCGCTACGGTGTATAAGAACGCTGAGAGTTGGTGGATCGATGGAGGAATGGCAAAAGAACAATGGCTCAATGTAAAGTACTGTACGATATAGATAATCTATTCACTGGGATTACGTAGTCATGTAATATCCAAGAGACGATTGAACGTTGGCACAGAACAGAATTCATAATGCCCGCTGTGAATGTTGAGCAATGTGACTCGGAATTACTAACAGACTGCTCCGATACACTCCGTAAGCTCCGGAGTGATCAAGGGCCTGTGCAACATGGGTATCACATCCTCATCCTTTAGGTAGAGCTTCGCCTGACCATGTTACTCATAATCCCAAGAGCGTGCGTTCAGATGGCTACGACCCCCTTCAGGGAGCAAGAAAACATCAGACCTTGATGCAGGGTGTCAAAATAAACGTGGCAGTAAGTCCAATAAGTTGAGGCTAAACTTGCCCCAGTAATTTTATCGCTCATGATTAGGGTCTCGAGTTTTCTTTCCTTCCTGGCCCCAGCTAGCCAAAAATAGCTCAATAGTTCTCAGGACTCACACTAACCCAAACAAGAAGTTGTAAGTCTTGGCATTTCACCTCAGCTTAGTAACTCAGTAAAGGTTCTTCTCTCCGGTAACTCGACTTCCTTGCTTTATATCTCATGAATCATAAGAGCGTTACAAAGAAACAAAAAATGCCGCGAGACTTTCAATTTGTCACAGTCTCTAACCCAGCTGAGCCTATCCCCCAGCATGTCCTGAGCTTAACTCACTCCCATGCAGTTCGCCAAAGACATGCCAAGGAGAGAAGACTACGAATGCAGAAACACCAGGAAGACATGGCTAGAAACGCGGAGAGTACTTCTTTGAACAGGGTTCTTGGGTATAGCCGTGATCCATTTGCCGCTCTTCCGAAACAACTCTTGTCTCATGAGACCTTCCTTCTCGACCATTGTATGTTCATCCCTTCGTTCATAGCTATCCGCTAACGGCACTTTAAAGACATCCGTGTCGTCGTTCCATATAACGTCAAGACATGTCGTCTTTTCAACCAGATGAACGATCATGTAGGGCATGTAATGCGTGATTGGGTCGGGCTCGCCATTACAGACAGTGATCTTCTCTGCTCCATAATCCTCCTCGGCGCATGCCGTCACATTCTCAGCAACAATCCAAACTCCGGGTTAATGGAAGCCGCACTACAGTACAAGTACAATGGCCTCAAAGCACTACGCCATGCCGTTAGTGGCGCCTCACCGACTCTTGGCGCGGTGACTATTGCAAAAGCATGTGCTATGGCTTTAGATGAGGTAAGGTTCTTTGTGCTGCGTAGAAGTTTTGGCTGATATTTCAGTAGGTTAGCTTTGGTGAAGCTGTTGTTGCGAGACAGCATATTCAGGGTGTGTTTGCCATGATAGAAGCTGCGGGGGGTTCGCAGTGCCTTGATGGGACGGGACTGCTGAAGCGCATGTATCTTAGATTCCTTGAGATGCGAGAGAGTCCAGGGCTTCGGTTACCAAAGGGTATTGATTACTCCAGCCACTGCTGGTGAGGCACAATAGAGCATATGATTCAATTCCTTGCGTAAGCTTATGTCCGTAATACATATAATCACAAGATGTACCTTTCTCTTTAATTCGTAATGTTATAAGTGTATAAGTGTCCACTTTGCCAAGCCTTATGACTTCCTTTTTAGGTAGAGAGTACCGAAACTTAGAATTTGACAGCAACACATATTCGTTCAGGCCATTCACAGGATCATTTCTATTCTTTCGGCTTCGGTGAGACGGTTTCCCTCATTATGAAGCATCTTTTGGTTTGTAAACTCGAGTGATGAGCCATGACATTCGACGATGAGTTTTGTCCCTCGTCGACTCTTGGAAAGCTATATATATCCATACGCTACTTGACCTCTTCCATCTCAAGCTCGTAGCTCACATAACCTTCTCATATTCAGTACATCAGTATTTCACCATGTCTTCACCTCCAACTGCCATCCCCACCGGCTCATGGGTCCTTGTCACCGGCGCTACAGGCTTTGTCGCCAGCCACGTCACCCGTCAACTTCTCCAGCGCGGCTACAAAGTCCGAGGCACAGTCCGTGACCAAACCAAAGCCCAGTGGCTCATAGATGATCACTTCAAGTCTTATGCCGACAGTGGCTCCTATGAGCTGGTCACTGTTCCTGACTTGTCGGCTGCTGGAGCTTTTGACGAGGCAGTAAAAGGTGTCTCGGCCGTCGCTCACATCGCAAGTGTCCTCGACTTTGATCCCAACCCCAACAACGTCGTTCCCCAGACTGTCGCAGGAGTAACCTCTGTCCTGGAAAGTGCATCCAAAGAATCTTCTGTTACGCGCTTTGCATTTACCAGCTCCATCGTCGCAGCTGTCTTCCCTACAGCTGACAAAGACGGTGTCGTCGACCGCAATTCATGGAATGAGTTCGCTGTCAAAGAGGCCTGGGCTCCGCCGCCTTACGAACCTTCGCGTGCAATGCTTGTGTACGCTGCAAGCAAGGTCGCAGCAGAACAAGCGCTGTGGAAATACGTCGACGAGAACAAGCCTCGCTTTGTGACCAATGTCGTCAGCCCATCTGGTATCTTGGGCGAGCCGCTGCACGAGAGACATGCCACTTCATACGGAAACTGGATCTATTCTCTCTTTATCGAGAAGAGGGAGATGATTGACACGTTCCAAACTGGTAGGTCCCATTCATCAGCCAAATCCCCAACTATAAACTGATATTCAACTACTAAGCTTTTTTTGTTGATGTCCAAGATGTTGCCCTTGTCCACGTCGCTGCCATTCTTGATCCCAAAGTCAAGGATGCGCGTCTTCAGACGTGGGGCCACAAAGCTCACTGGAACGATTTCTTGCCCATTCTGCGAGAGCTTCGACCGCAGAGGGAATTCATCCCTGACTATCCTGACAAATTTTACCTCAAGCTCTCGACTGATCAATCTGAGTCTGTCGCTCTCTTGAGGAAGTGGGCTAGTCAAGATGGTTGGAAGCCGCTTAGACAGACTATTACTGAGGCCATCGAGAACCCCTACTGGAAGACTGAGTAGAGTCTGAAGAGATACCGTGTATGTGCTTTAGGAAATGTACTTTCACACCAGACACAAACTTAGAATAGGTAAAGAAGTGTCCAGGGTTTCGACCGATCTTCAATGCTCGCGTGCGACTGTGAACAACTGTTCATCGTATGAAGGAAAGCAATATCTCAATGAGCGGAGTTTAGAGAGAACTAAGCTATTGAATAGTTCCTCTGGATAAATAAAAACTAAGAGCAGGATATTCTTATAGTCATAGCACGAAGTGTTGGCATGAAGTGTCCATCAAGGTAGCCTGAGCAAAGAATCCAATATCTGCTATCGGGTAGGCTGACAGGGCGACAGAATAAGACAGTCACTAACGCTAACTTCTTGACGGAAAAACTGGCCAAAAGTGCTGAAGATGGTCATAGCACTAACGTACTTTACGGCTTATTATATACAACCAAGCTCGCATCAACCACAAGGGTACCGAGCGCATTGCGTCATCGATGATACAGTGCCATTGGGATCAATTAAACTCTACGGAGTACTGAGGCTAGAGAGGGATTTACCGATTACTCTAGAACCTTATCCATACTACAAGATGAAAGCTTCCAAAGCATTGGGTCAGTTCTTCATCTGTCATCACATCAATTGCATTTGCACATGTTCTTTTGACCAAGTTGCAAATCGGGCATGCGAATCGTTGAATTGAAACCCCGCATTTGACAATGGAGCTAACGATGCCAACGCACAAACGAACGCACGAGCGCGCAACGGGCAGCGCCATTACTGGCAAGGAAGCCGATGGACTCTGCTGATGGTGTAGACTAGTCCAAGGTTCTGGTTCTCAGCCTTGGCTTCTCCACGCCCCGTTTTGTCGCCTGTCTCTCAACAGTGGCTTCACTCATCTACATCACCATATCAATTGATATCACCAAGACAAACATTCAAAACCACCGCCCAGCAACAGTCCAGGAGGCATTCATCCACCAAAATATCACAAGACACATCCCCCATCCAACGTCATCCTCGGAAACAATAATAAGCCCTTCCCTCCGTCGGACTCTGCCCCAACCCTTGCCTCAACCCCGCAACTGCAACGGAAAACCGGACCAATCTTACGGACTCTAGCTCCTCTAATTGGTCACGTCGGACAAGCTAATTCGTCCAGCCACCAAACACTCAGCGTCATGATTGCCAAGCTAGGCTGTGAACTATCGAAATGGCATCTCCCAAGCCTTTTCCCAAACCATGTTTTTCTCTGGGGGGCACGGTTGGCGGAAGCCTCGGCTCAGCGGCATACGTAATGTGATGTGGAATTGAGTTAAAAAGACTGTAGCCCGCCATTGCTTGGAGGTTTAGACTGGCGGTCAATTACATCATACTTCCCAATGGCTCTTCATCGTGCCCTCACTGTCTTGCTAGGCCTTGCCGCTGCTGCTCAAGGCCATGTTTACAAGCGAGCTGTTTCTTCTGAACCTCTTCCACCCAGTCAAGATCCATGGTACACAGCTCCAGAAGGCTATGAGAATAGGGAGCCCGGCACTGTTCTTCGTCTACGCCCTGCACCGGGCAATTTGACCCGCATCACTGGAAACAGCTCCGCGACGTATAATATTCTGTACCGCACCACAGACAGCCAGTACAAGCCGACATGGGCCGTCACGACGCTCTTTGTGCCTAAGCTTGGGGCCAACAGCAGTGCTGCAACGCTGTTCAACCAGAGCGCTCTGCTTTCGTACCAAGTTCCCTACGATTCAGCAGATGTGGATGCTAGCCCCAGTTACGCAGTTTACTCCGCAGCTGGTGTCAGCAGTCTCGAGCTTTTCAACGCTGCTCTAGGTCTTGGCGTGTTTCTCAGCGTTCCTGACTACGAAGGTCCCCTTGCGTCGTTCACTGCAGGTGTCATATCCGGCCATGCAACTCTTGACTCAATTCGTGCTATTCTCTCTCTTGGTCTTGGTCTGAACACGACGAACCCCCGCGTTGCGCTGTGGGGATACTCTGGTGGCGCATTGGCGAGTGAATGGGCTTCTGAACTTGCTGTGCAATATGCACCTGACCTTCAAGACACAGTCGTTGGTGCTGCACTTGGTGGCTTGACACCTAATGTCACTGCTGTCTTGAATGCCATTTCCGGCAAAGACGCTGCTGGCCTTGCACCAAGCTCTATCCTCGGTTTGACTAGTCAGTATCCTGACGTGCAGAAGTACGTCCTCTCGCAGTTGAAGACGTCTGGAAAAAACAACAAGACTGCCTTCCTAGCTGCGGAGAACTACACCCTCGCTGAATCAGGCGCTAAATTTGCGGGAGTCGATATCTTCGATTTCTTCAAGGACGGCGACAAATTATTCCGCGACCCTCGTGTTCAGCGCATCATCAACCGCGATGGAATAATGGGCTACCACGGCGTTCCCCAATGGCCCATCTTTGCGTACCAGGGCGTACACGATGAGATCAGCCCCATTACCAACACAGATAAGCTCATTGAGCGATACTGCGGTGTCGGAGCTAATATCTTGTATCAACGAAACACTGTTGGCACGCATTCACAGAACTTTGCGCTTAATGCTGCTGCGGCAATTCAGTGGTTGGCTACTGTTTTGACTGGACAGTATGATAAGGCATACAAGACAGAGGGATGTACTGTCCAGAATGTCACAAGGAATAGTACTGCTCTTCCGTTGAGGAAGAGAGCTATGCCTATGAGGGTTTATGATTTGTGGTGATGGGCTATGACAAGTTAAGATGTTCGGATCTGTTGTTGATATGACGGAGTTCTGGCGTGAGATGAATTGGATGCTCTACATAATATCGTATCACATTCAATCAGTATATATTAATACTACTTTTAGTGTGGAACTTTCCATGCTGCCAGCGAGTACTGTGAACAGGCCGCCTTATGGCGAAGAACTAATGGCTCTGTCATAATTTTGATAATGACCCTTGCCAGGCATACAACACCACAACAACCACAAGAACCGCAAGATAAGGCCCCAGGACCCCTATCGAATCCCTTATGATCTTCGCCATAAGCCGTTCCACATTCTCATCAAAATGTTTCCGATCATTAACTCTTGGAAACTCAACATCTGGTACATCCTTTCCCAGGAACTCACAAAGCGGTTCCCATCCATCACCAAGCGAATATTCCAGTCGTCTGTCCTCCGGCACAGCGTCCCGAACCATCCTATAGAAAGCCTCATAGCTATTTCTCGCAATATCGGGCGTAATGGCCGCCACAGTGTACTCATTCACAGAGAAGAAACCAGCGAAGATCTTTCTCATGGCATGGAAAGCCCGAAAGCGCAAAACGTGCCAGCATAAGAACTTCTGAAGCCAAGTTGCCTCAAAGATAGTGATCAACATTTGAGAGTGGAAGGACGGCCACCAGTCTTCAAACTTGCGCTGGACAATGACCACTTTTGCATCGGGATACGCCTTGATGAGCTCCAAAGTAAAAGTCGACGCTACGTCAGTGGCCACATCATAGGCACCCCATAGACTATGCCATTCTTCCCTTGTGAATGGGGGACGTTGAATCTTGTGGGTGTAGTCCGGGAGATGGAGGAGGTGAGGAAAGGTAGCTTCCGCTGCTTGCTCGAGCTTCCCCCAGGGTTCCTGACATTCGTTGTGTAGAGCGTGATGGGCTTTGTAGCCTAGGATACGGTATGCTGTTGCCATGGAAGCGGTTCCTGTGCGGTAAAAACCTGCGTGAATGATTTTTATGCCGTCTTTTGACGGGTTGTCTTTCTCGGTGAGGGACGCTTTGTTGGTAAATGACCCTTTCTTAGTAAGGGACACTTCCTTAGTAAGGGACACTTTCTCGGTCAGGGACGCCATTTCGACCTGTGAAAAGGATGGAGTTGAAGCCGAGTAATACAAAGAGCGGAAGCAATGATGAGCCTAGTGGGTGAACACTGAAGACTACAGCGTGGCGCTAACTAAGGAGTGTAGTCAACAAGCAGTTGGGTGTATGCAAAATCATGAGTAAGCAATGGATTCTTGAACAGACTTCGAAAATCTCACTTCCGTAGGAACGTGTCCTCGTCCGAATCTCCCTTTATATACCTCTTGGTCCCTCCCCTTTGCAATGCCCTGAGGCTTGCTGTAAGATTTATTAGTTATCGTGGAGGCTTACGGGTAAAAGACTATATAGGGGGAAAAAGACATCGTGTTGTCATTCACTACCCGTATTCGCAGCCTCAAGCTTAATCTTATGGCCACAGTCATCCCCATGATCCCCCGATACTTCAGCTACTGACTTACAAACCCCATTTGAATGAAGACGTGTCCTCAAGAGTTGTATACCGTTTCCTAATGTCGTTCCCCGCGATGTGTATCACACTGGGTCTGTTCCCATTACAAACAAAGCTTTCGGCCTATCATGTAAGGTTTCAATGTCATTTCCCATCTCGTTGCCGTAGCAGTAGCAATTCATTCTTACTAGAATACTGGGAGAGGCTTTATGTATAATAGTAGTCTGAAATATACAGAGTAGTATTCGATATACTGATAATGGCTAGTCTGCTCTGTTTCTGATGATGTTGCACGGATATAAACAGCATCCGTAGTACGAGCCGAAGAGGCGTTGATCACACGATGTCTTGATTCTATAAGTCAAACGCCTTTAAAAATGCTCAAAACCCATTGGTTGAATATCCTCGTATAAACTGTTCCACGAAATCGCTGTTTGAATGTTTAGCGCCACATCACTTATCACGAGCTGGGACCGCCAGGTGAAGGACAAGGAATCTCAACATGACAAGTAACTACATGCAACTGTACCGTTCTAATTCATTATTTAGGTAAGAGCTAAGAACCAAAAATGCATATCTGAAGTAATATTTATCCTTGAACATGAGGTAGTAGGATCTTGAGGCACCGTGATAAGGTTCAGAGGCTTCAGCCCCGAGGGCACAAAGGTGAAGAACAACAATAAACACAGATGGGCGCCCTCACTGTTACATAATATTTGCCTTTTCGCTGGAAAGCTAGATATCCTGATGACTGACTCCAGAGGTGTATAAATAAGTGCTCCCTGCTTCTCTTCTGTCAAGATGATCTGGCTCAAAGCACAGATCTCGACGCACAGGGCTTGAGATACATAAGATCTTGGCCGGGCTTGATTCCAGTACAATATGAGAATGGACATACGTTCTATACCTGATTATTTACGATTCTCTTTGCGATAAGAAATAGAGGGGATGTTGAATGGTGTTCTCAGGTTGATGGAAGAACGAGACATTAGATCCGATTGACTTCTGGGGCTGCTAGTGGCGTTAACCCAACATCTCGCTTATGATCGCTTTACTATCTCCTCCAGTCTCATCGGCTCAATTCAATGCACCTATCAAGGTCTTTACGGATACTGCAGTGCGATATTCCACTGCAGTCCCACGTCCATGGTTCCCCACGCTACCCCAAGTGGGTAAGCCACGCCGTTCTCACAAATGCTCCCATTGGCTCATTTGAGATCACGACAGAGGCTACTAACATGGCGACATATTAACTTCTCATCTCAAAACAAACCCTTCACCAAAATCATGATGTCATGGAAGCGATAAAGTGCCGGCAGTGGTTCATTCTACGCGTCAACGTCATGTTTGGGTCGTTTGGGGAAAATGCTCCGTTCGATGCATCTAGATTGTGCATCCATCAGTGTACTCTATCTCCCCGTGCATCGCTCTTAATTGTAGAAAGGGTAACAGTTGATGCAGATCTTATCTGGGGTACTTTTGATCAGGTAGTATTCTCCGCGGTTGTGGAAGTACCAGTATCAGCGTTGCATCGAAATGACAAGTTGAAATGGATGAAACCTCATGAAGATCCGGACAAGGGACGTATGGTGCAATATTACTAGAGGGGGACACCATTCTCAACCCATTAGCATACTTAATGGACATGTCCCACAAAGATTTGAAGCTTCTGACACTCTGTTCCATCGAATCTCGAGGCGCGATTCTACACGATGGCCGCAGACCTGAAGAACGATTCGCCGCCGGACCTTAGCGATGAGGCTGGCACCATCGACTCGAGCTCGCCAATAAATGAGAAGGCACTGCTCCGCAAACTTGACTTGAAGCTTTTACCAGCAGTCGGAATCTTGTATCTGCTGTCGTTCTTGGACCGCAGCAATGGTATGGACGATTGCAAGAGAACGGCGTGATATCAAGCTGACATAAACGGACAGTTGGCAATGCCCGTATCGAGGGAATGATTGATGATCTCCATATGTGTAAGATCAGCAGATCCCTTTTTGCCAGGAAACTGGATTTTAACATTTGACAGCGGGTAATGAGTATCTCACTGGCTTGACGCTATACTTTATCGGTTATGTCCTCTTCGAGGTTCGTTGCTCATTACTGTCTCCGTGTATGCATCTGACAGTCCCAGATCCCCTGCAACATTATTCTCAAGCGAACTACACCCCGGCTTTGGCTGCCAACGCTCACTGTGGCCTGGGGTATTGTGGCGACTCTTCTCGGTATCGTGCAGAACAAGACGGGTTTCTTCATCGCTCGATTCTTCCTGGGTGTGACTGAGAGCGGATTGTTTCCTGGTGGGTTCACTCGTAAGGGCTGCTATCTGGAATGGTCGTATTGATGAGGAGTAGGTGTCGTGTACTATTTCTCGATGTGGTACAAACGTCGTGAGCGACAATATCGTATTTCGCTCTTTTTCAGCGCTGCATCACTAGCTGGAGCGTTTGGTGGCATCTTGGCATATGTAAGTCAATTTGCTTCATCCATGAAGCTGTACTGATGAGAGCAGGGCATTGGTAAGATGGCAGGAGTCGTCTGGGATAATGGTTGGCGATGGATCTTCATCTTGGTGAGCCGTTACGCCAACATTCCCCAGGCCGAGCTAACGATAAGCAGGAAGGTATCGCGACAGTAATAGTCGCCGTCGCGGCATACTGGTTCATCGAGAACTATCCCGACACATCAAAGTTCCTCACAAAATCGGAGCGCTCCTTCATCCATGAGCGCCTGCATGCAGACAGTGATGCCATTCGCGAAGAGAAGTTTAGCTGGGCTGCTGTTCGCGAGGCTTTCAGCGACCCAAGCTGCTGGCTCTACGGTCTGGGCTTTCACACCATGAGTCTACCACTGTACACTCTTTCGCTTTTTTTGGTAAGTCACCATTGTCTCGAATTAGAAGTCTTACTAACGGCATTAGCCCACCATTATCAAGGACCTTGGATACAAAGCAGCGGTCGCGCAGCTGCTGACAATCCCGCCATACGCTGTCGCATTCCTCACAACTCTCGGTGTTGCCATTGCCTCTGAGAAACTCGCCAAGCGCGCTGTCTTCATCGCCGGCTCAGCTGGCGTCGCAGCAATTGGCTACATCATCCTTCTCGCCAACACGAACCCCACCGCGAGACCAGGAGTATCATACGTCGGTACGTTCTTCGCTGCAGCCGGAATCTACCCCGCCACTGCTCTCGTCCTCAGCTGGCCCGCCATAAACGTATCTGGACAGACGAAGCGTGCTATTGCGAATGCTATGCAGATTAGTATTGGAAACCTTGGTGCGGTCATGGGGACACAGCTGTATCGATCTGGAGATGGGCCGCGATTTGTGGTTGGGCACTCCATGGCGTTGGGGTATCTTGTTGCTAATATTGTGGTTGTGAGTATACTTGGCTGGAGGTTGAAGAAGCAGAACGATGCTCGGGCGGCGGTGAGTGAGGAGATTAAGCACGTTGGAGAGGTGGAGGACTGGAGAGGTGACACTGATCCCCGTTGGAGGTTTGAGTATTAATTCTAGCTGAGAGGCAGGATAATAACTTGGAACATGGCGGCTGTTGGCTTCAAGAAGGGTTCATGGCTGTAATAATGACCAGACAAAAAGTATGCGAATTGACAGTACCAAATACCAACAACTATTAGTCGACTATAGTAATACCTCCTCTGCACCGAGCCACTTGTTCCACAGACTCTGCTACAGACTTGACGTTGCCCTCGCTCGAAGGCTAGCCCCAACCTTCCACAACAACAACGGCGCAGCCAACTCAAGCGCCAACTCGGCAAACGCCATAGCACTGTTACCCCATCCATACCCAAGAGCTGCATACATCTTTGGCGTGAAAAGCGGAAACAGGAAAGCAGCCAAGCTGCGAGGAAACTGCTCCGCCGCGATAGCGCTCGACGTATGATCCGGATAAGCATCGATCATGTACGCTTGTAACGGCATACCGGAGATCTGCATACCGAAACAGGTAATGAACATGGCTACATCGACCCATGCCCAATGAACTCTGAACTCAGCGCACCAGCCGTAGATGATGAAGCCAATAGGCGCGATGAATGCACCCATTGCCATGAGGGGGACTCTGTTCTCTGGCAAATGCTGACCATTGCGACGCTCGGTTCTGCGAAACCAGTAGTCCATCAATGGAGCACCGACTTGTGATGCTGCAAGTTCACCCAGTGCACAAGAGATATAGTGTAGACCACTTATCTCAACAGATTGCCCATATTGCGCGGTCCAAACCTCTGCGAAACTTGAGAGGACGATGTATAAAAGACCATAGCCGATAGCAGAGATAACAGCTGCGACTTGGATGATGGGATGGAAGGCGAGAAGACGAAGAGGACGGGTCATCGCTTGGGTCAGGACCTTTCTCAAAGTATGTCCCTCTTGCGTGCGCTCAGTGTAGGTGTAATACGGCTGGCCCGTCTCCTTGCGCAATTTCTTAGCCCGCTTCTTCAGAATTGCGGGCGCATATGTCTCGCGGAACGTGGTGAATGAGATAGTAGCCATTGCGACTTGGAACATGGAAGTAGACCAAAACATCCATCGCCAAGAAACCCGATCAGTCATGAAGCCTCCAATGACGGGGCCTCAAGTAAGGGTTAGTAACGTGATGCTCATAGGAATCTGGGTTAGACTTACCGGTTGCGGCGCCGATGAGAGGAATGACAGAATACCATCCAAGGGACTTTCCACGCTGGTCAGGACGCCAGATATCGCCTAGAACACCACCTCCAAGAGCATAAACAGCACTTGCGCCAAAACCAGCGAGGAACCGGGTGCCGATAAGCATCTCTTTCGAGTTAGCGAACCCGCACGCGAGATTCCATACAAGGAACCAAATATTGGAGACGTGAAGAATTGTCTTGCGTCCATAGACCTCAGACAGGGGACCAATGACAAGAGGGCCAAAGGCAGTTGCCAAAAGGTATATGCTCAGTGCCATGACGGATTGAGTCGCTGTCATGTCGAGGTCTTTGGCGATGACGGAGAGGGCGGGTGCCATTACTGTTGACACGAGGATGCGGTTGAAGCCTGTGATGGACAGGACGTTTGTCACAGCCCATTTTCGCTTTTCGGGCCAGTTCTTGGGGTTATCGCTGTCGAGTTCATTGAAAGCGACGAGGTATGGATCTGCTCGGGTACTGTTGAGTACACCAAGCTCAGTGTCAAGAACAGGTTCTTTCACGTCTGTAGTCATCTTCAGAATAGCATGAGCATGTTCGATTGAAGATGAGTTACCCACGAAAAGGTACTTATACCCCGCACCACACGCAAAGTTCACGGTCGGAGGCCAATTCCCCCTACGATGGTAGTGCTTACGGCGATAGCGGAGGTATCGGTCGTGATGTCTGGCTATCAGATCCTGCTTATCAGATCGGCAAATTAGCGGCGTTATGTCCATCACCAAGCGAGCCAATGTGAGAGAAAGTGGCTTGCTCAAACCTTGCAAATGTTGGGGTTGAATGACTCAACGTGAGAAGGATTTGGGGCCAAGGACAAAAGAACCCGACTGATCCGAGACAAAGCAGTCATGCTACTGAAATTGGCAGGTCAAAGAGATTCACGATTTTATACCATCGGAATACCTTGAATCTCTCTGAGGTCATACCATATTAACCCAGAAGATAATATTAAATTAGAGAGAAGTATTATTCACTCTATTTTCAATCTAGTATTCGGCCTTTTTATTCTTAATTCCGTCACTCGGAGGCTGAGATCGCAAACTCCATAGGCTTCGACATCGCCGATTTCATGAACGGACTTCTCGCTCTTATCTCCTTACCCCAGATAAACACTCCAATAGGCGCAGCCGCCAACACCAACGAGATGAATCCCAACAGCGAACTAGCCCAGTGAAAGCCCAAGTTCGTATACATACTGCTCGAAGCAAGCGGCAAAAACGCAACGCCCAAGTTCTCGCCCAACACTGTAGCTCCAATAGCGCTCCCGGCATAGTTGCTATAAGCATCAATTAGATAGTTCGCGATGCTCACAACAACAGCCTCGGTGCCAAGTCCAACGAGCATAAGCCCAATCGCAGGCCCGATCCAGTGCACTGAGGAATAGCTCGTCCAAGCGTAGACAAACATTCCGCCTGTGACGCCAATGAAACCTCCGATGACGGCAGCGTAGAGTCGAGCTTCGGGGATGGGTGTACCTGGGGCTTCTTTGTTGCGAGACGCAGAAGCGTAGTACCAATTGTTTGTCAAGACACAGAGACCAAAGCCGAGAATCTCTCCGATGACGATGGCAGCTTGGACGTAGCCGGCTTCAATGGCGTTCCATCCGTACAGAGCAGTGAAGACTTGCTCAACAGATTGGGTGAAAACGTAAATCACTCCCAAGCTGAAGGCAGTCCAGACAGTGGAGATGAACACAACCGACTCAGTGCAAAGCATGTAAACTGGTCGCTGAATACTCGTCCAGATATCGTGAAGAATCGACTTCGACTCAAGTTCCTTCTGGCTGTAGGCGCTCTTGCCTTGCTTCCTCAATTTCTTCGCTCTGGCAGTCAATATCGCTGATCCACGCGTCTCAGGCATCGCCAGGATGAAAATCGGGAAGAAAACGCCCGTCCAGATGAGTTCGATGTAGCCAATCCATCGCCAGGGCAGATACTGAAAAATAGCAGCACCAATAACGGGTCCAAGGCTGCTGGCGTTCAGGTATATCATGATATACAACCCAGTTGGAATTGTTCGAGCTCGATCTGTGGAGAAGACATTGCCAATAATGCCGGCTACAGCATTCGCGAGAATAGTACAGCATCCACCGCTGAAGAAGCGAGTGATGATCAAAGTCGCGTAGTTAGGCGCTACCCCGACAGGAATAAGAAAACACAGAAAGACGGTGTACACCACGAGAAACACAAGTCTCATGCCGAAATCTTCCATGATCGGAAGCAACACCAGCGAAAAGAGTGCACCGCCCAGTCCCCACGAGGCAACTGGCCAGTATGAATGCGGAAAGTTCTCATCGCTAACATTGAAGTCTTGGCCGATGGCTTCATGTGCTGTCGTGATGATTGTCCCGTTCATCATTGAGATGAAGGTCGCGAAGAGACCAAGACCGACGGCGAACCATTTCTTCTTGCGGGACCAGTTGTACGGGTTTCCTGGGTCGTTTGGGCCATTCCACTGGACGATCATCGGTTGGTCTATCTCAAATCAGCATTTCATCTCACCTTTGACAGTCCCCTCTGAATGCAACATACCTGACGACTCATTGCTACGAGCAAACTCAGACCTCTCTGCTTCAGCAAACATATCTCTCAGTCGATTCGCCAAGTGAAAACACCTTGGCAAGATCTCTTGGCTCAGAATATTTGCAGATTTAGAAATGCCAAGTGAACAGCCAAGAGATGGAGATTCTGGGGAATGCTTCTTATGACTTTATCTTTAGTCCAAGTCTGGTTCTCCACCGAAAATTCTTCCTAATTCCGGACCCATAGAATCGATCTTGTTACCTCATATTAATTCAACAGAGCCAATGAAGGCATCTCGGCTACAAAGAGTTCGCGGTTGCGCTAGCCTAGAAAGCGGCAAAGTTTGGAAGCTAGAGACGTCGCTGTGAATTGCCATTGTAGGTAATCCTCCACGGTGCTTGTAATCTTATAACAATCGAGTACCTGTGAGATTGATTCGTATCTGCTATAGGATGAGTTTCTCGAGCTGCAAGAATTCTTTTTTGCTTCTTGGAGAAACGAGGTCTCATCGGACAGTGCTAATCGTTTCATATAAGGTCGGTTGACTTATCAATACTACCGTGGATCATTATGCCATGTGACTGTCATAATTCTTCCAAACTCCTCATACAGTTGGTCGAAATGTGTGAGAGCCGCTTGATACTGGTACAGCCATGGACTGGGGCTTTGGTCATCATCATGCCGACTATTTTCCGATGGTCTGAAATACCTCAGCTGTCAGCTGGATTCAACCCCGCTTCTGAGGTCAAGCTGATGCACAACTGGTGTAATAAATTTGCCAAGAAACTCGAACCTTGAGCAAGGCCAAGTCAATTTCTGTGGCCTTGTGGACAGTTCCAACTTGTGCAAGGGCAATCATGTGGCTTATCAATACAACGGCGATCACTCTGGAGGACAAAAACATATCATCAACTCCATATGCAATTCTGTCGCATACTTGGGGTGAAGATGAGGTCACATTCGAAGACATGATGAAGGGCCGGGAAAAGGGCAAGAAAGGCTATGTCAAGATCATACACACTTGCAGATTAGCCAAAGAGAGGGGGATTGCATACGTCTGGGTCGATACTTGCTGCGTTGATAAGAGGAGTAGTGCAGAGCTGGCCGAAGCTATAAACTCTATGTTCAACTGGTACAGGCTCTCAAAAGTTTGCTTTGCTTATCTCGAGGATCTGAACGTCCATCGTGGTCCACAGGATGACGAGCTCGACGGCCTATCTTCTTGTCGATGGTTTACCCGGGGCTGGACATTGCAGGAGCTGATTGCCTCGCGGGACCTCGAATTCTATGACAGCATGTGGAAGTACCGGGGAACAAAAGCAAAGCTACAAACAAAGATCTCAGAAATCACCGGCATTGACATTGCGGTTCTGGAAAACAACGCTATCCTGGAGACAATACCTGTTGCAAAGCGCATGTCATGGGCAGCGAATCGAGAGACCACGAGAATAGAGGATCTCGCATACTGCCTCCTAGGAATTTTCGGTGTCAACATGCCAATGCTGTATGGGGAAGGAACAAAAGCTTTTGGCAGGCTTCAAGAAGAGATCATCAAAGAGACAACTGACCTCTCTATATTTGCATGGAAAGTAAATTCGACTGGGGGATTTCGCGGCATTCTCGCTCGATCTCCCTCCGAGTTCGCACACTGTCGAAATCTGCGACGCGCACCGACAATGAGATACGGCTATGAATACAGCATGACGAACAAAGGGCTTAGAATGGAGACATACCTAGGCGCGAGTAAGGATGAGGAGTATTTATTGAACCTTGCGTGCATGATACCGAATGATCGTGGCGAAGCAGCAAGGATTGGAGTTTATCTTACCAAGACGGCTGATGGCTTTGTCCGCAGCCGTCCTTCCGAGCTGTTCGAAACACAGGATTCACTACTCTGGGCAGGTCCACGCCATAAGATTTTCATTCGCAAGCACGTCACATCTTTTGGATCCGAGAACTTAAGGACGCTTCTTGACATGAACCTCGGAGCCAATTTCAACATCCGTCCTGGAATCCAACTTGCTTCCTTTGCCGCGAAACCAGCAGATCTCTGGGACACTTTACGTCAAGAATTCGTCACAGATAATAGTAAAAAGTTCACTGGCTTTCTCAACTTTCAGCTGACCGACACTGGCAAATCTTTCGTTTCTCCTCGAATTTATGTTGTCTGCGGCTTGTCCGTACATTCCACCTCTGGGAACCTAAAGCCGTGGATGGGTATCTACAGCTCTGCGGAAAAGAGGAGACACGGGAAGATAATAGAGTGTGTTGATGGGTATTACGATTCTTACGGGGAGGAACACTACCTGCATCAGCTGCGGGACTGCGTGCTCGGTACTGGAAATGATCTCCCGCAAGAAATCAGCCTGCCTTCCAGTGATGCAGCGCATAGACTCCACCTCTCTCTCGGGGTTATCCAGCGATCTCCAGGTTGTTTGTACACTATCGCAGTAAATGTTACAAACATGGGATGACCCGCAAGTTTGCCTCACTTCCTCGACGTCACGATATCTTAGATCTAGTCTTGGTGAATTTAATCTCTTTCTAGCGACCAAGCGCAAAAGGGGGTCCCTAGCGAAAGACATTAATGATTACTGATAAATATCCTACTTCGATAGCCCTGGTCGAGTGTTGAATGAAGCTCACCTAATATTGAAAGCTGCACGAATGGCAGAAGGATCGAGCATAGCCCTCGAATCAGCCCAGTGAGACGGGCAAGCCAGAGATGGGGAGATGAGGCGCTGTTGCGATTGGCCTTCTGGCAAACATCCTTGTGAATGGCGGAGCGACATAGCCAACATAACTTAGCCATGTGGTTCCGTATCTGCAAGGTTGTCCAAATCCTTTCGGCATTTGGGGGCCATAATTTCACCAGAACGGCAACACCCTTGCGATCCTTGTGGTGATGACAGTTTTCGCTGGTTATTGCTAGGCAGAAAAGCTTGAACTGAGAAACAATGCTGTTTATTGGCCATGCAAGTGATGAGGTGGACGCAAGTAAGCCTGCAGTAGGAAATAAGTGTGATGCAGTAAGACGGAATTAACAGGGGTGACGGATGGGCTGACCCGTTCTGATTTCTCTCATCCTTGGTCAATTCCTTTTATCCTTCGCCATAATCTTGACCTGAGGATCTCGTCTCAATTCTTTAATCCTCCACAGACATACCGCGTGCGAAGAGCGCCATGCCGAGCGCACGAACAAATTTAGGTCCTTTCACAACAGAGTGGAGGTACCCTGATCGATGTACCGTGCCAGTCACCGATTGCTCGACATGAAGGCGTAGTTGTTAGCTAGATGTGTTATTTACAGTTGCGGCTTGTGGCTGAGAGCTTAAATCAGCAGACAGAACTTAGGCAAGGTCAGACGTGCGGGAACAACCAAGATAACACGGTAGGCCAATATTTCCTTAACGCGTCGAAGTTAATCTGACAGAAGCCCGTAGCAAGGCGTGCTCGACGATACAGACTGTTGGCCACCACGAAAGTCATCCATATCCGCTGGAAATGCTGTGAATGGCTGAGGCTTCTACTCTCCCGCGTTCGAGTGCCCTCAGGGCTACGAAAAAGCGTGTACCGCCACGGGTCCTGAGACGGGAAACTTCAATTTTCAGTTCTCGATACAAGATGACGAGAGGGTGATAGGATGCTGTCCATCGTAAGAACGGTTCGTAAATGTTATTTTACTCAGTGACTTACTGTAGTAGTGGCTATACTTGCGCGCAACCCGGCGGTCCACAAACATGCACAACCATAGCTTCTAGGGGATCATTACAAGTCGCATCATGCTCGAAGCAACAGACTGTCCTCAACTGGCTCACCCTCCCAGCAACAGTGACAGATGAAACCAGCACAGTGTCTCTAGACGGGATAACCATCTTCGCACCAATGATCCAGCTCAACTATCACGAAAAGGATTTGTCTTTGTCGTCTGGATCGACAAGACATACAAAAACAGTGTCAGCTCCAGCAGAGACTGGTACGGATGAATCGTTCTCATACTCATCTTCGGGCGGAGGACTATCGACAGGTGCTAAAGCTGGTATTGGAGCTGTCGTTGGGGTAGTCGGGCTTGCGATTATTGGAGCGGCGTTTTATCTTTGGAGAAGAAGAAAGAGGGCTGCACCGCCGGTAGCTGAGTTGGAGACGAAGGAGGATACAGAGAATGCGGGATCGGTCTTGACTTATGGGTCACCGCCGCCGCAGTATCCTCCTGTTGAACTGGATGCGACGAATTCGAGACATGAGATGTGAGTGATGTATATTTGGACAGGAGATTGAGAGTGTCCAAGATAGGAGGTAATTTGGAAACATGGGAAGAGGACCGGATAATTCATTCAACATTCTCATGGAAGCGGTAGCATTTTCATATTCAAGCCGAGCTCATAATATATCTCTCGAACCTCAACAAGATCGTGAACCATTGTCACTCGAAGGACGGAGCGGTAGCCCACTGTAAAGTATAACTCAAGACCACTAAAGTCTCTTCAGGAACAGTTCGCAATTCCGGCGCCCTGAGGGCTGCACCCATTTCCTTGGCTTCGGCAAGGGTTACTCTGAACACGCAATGAATATTAGCAGTGGAAAGGAGAAGCAAGGATAGAAGAACACATACCGCCGAACAAGCATCCCAGTTGCCCGTGACTCCGTCGATGCAGCGGCCGTTATCGCCAGCACCTCTAGGAAGCTCGCAGTTCTGTGAACGTGTTAAGAGATGTACCATCTTGTGAAAGGCGAATACTTACCCACCAAGCAAGGGCTACTGGAAGGAAGAAGAGGAATTTCAGTCTCATTGTGTATTTAGTAGATATGGAGTGATATAGTATGGGATGGTGAGAAGAAAGAAGAGACGGGTACAGCTATGACGGGACCAAGAGCTTTTTATGGACCTTTTACTATAGAACCCTGTTTGCTCGTAGTCCCTGCTCAGCGGAGCTGAATCTCGTATGGAGCAGCTAGCCCCAACCTCATTTTATAGGTACAGCTTGGCACCTGTCACCGGCAACTCGGGATATCGGCTGGTGGAGATGCTATTGGGAGTGCTGAATTGGCAGGGGCTTACTTCTAGACCAGGGCATTTTGCTTTCCAAGATACACATATCATCAAACTGTCGAAGCTATGTGGCACTAAAGATATGTAGCATACAAAAGGCATATGCTGGCTCTCTTTAGCACGATCTTCCGAGGTCTAAAGCTCGGGTGGTTTCCAGCTGACACACAAGTATATAGAAGCAATGACACCGCAAGGACCGATTTGAACTTCCCGAAGCTCAAGTCATCCATAGACAACGTAATCAATACCAAGAGCTTTATATTAGTATATCCACCTTGGTCCTGCATCATTCATGAGTTCAGTTGTCGTGGTGGGTTTTAAGCCTTGTATATCTGCTTACATTACCCAAGATGGGTCAAGCTTGTTGAGTAACGACAGACCGTAACTTGTTTAACTGGGTATTGTGGGTCATTAGCAAGGTACCTAGAAAGCTTGCATGGCAATACGCATGCGTAATTGACGGATTTATCAGGTGAGAATAAGGTTTGTCGCTAGTATGGTATAATATCTGACCGACCCGCAACTACTAGGAGTACGAGAATGGGTCTTTAAAATAACTGCTATATGAATATTGTGTCTAGCTACAGACCAGCTAAGCCTCTAACCTCTATATATCTTCAAGTGCAGGTCGCAAGTCCCGATCCAAGGTCAGTACATGGGTTTCCATTACCTGTGCAAGGGCTACTCTTCAATTCGGAGAAGCGTTAGCAAAGGGCAAAGAACAGGAAAGTAGCTACGTACCTCGGCACAAGAATCGAATGTTCCACTGCCATCGGAGCAACGCCCGTAATCGCCAGTACCAGCAGGAGTGGTGCAGGTCTGTTAGAAATGTCAGATATTTATTACAGCTCGGAGCAGTATAGATTACCCAAGAAGCAGCCAGAACCGCGGGAAGGAAGGCAAGGAAATACAGCTTCATCTTGGGTTTGGTGTATATACGCTGAGATATGAGAAGATTGATTCAAAGTGTGAGCCGGAATAAATTCGAGGGGACCAAGACTGACTTGTATATTTGTCTTGAGAACTCAAATTCGATACAACCTTGGTGAAGTTGTATCTTGGATGGGGCAACTGGTTTCACCGTGAACTTTATAAGCCCAAGTTCGGCACCTAATACCGGTAGCTAGCAAAAATGTTCAATATAACCTGGCTTTAACCTACAGTCAGCCTTTTTCCGCGGATGGTATATATCATATCTCCGGTGTAGATGGCAACCTGGTACAGGTAGGATAACCTATGACAAGGTAGCTAGATACGTGCTGCAGGGCTGTCGAGGTTCTAACTGATCATGAACGTTAGCTGTTAGTACCCACGTAATAAGGTTAGCCACTTCAAGATCGGTGTAGAGTCATGCTTCTATCTAATATTAGGAGAACCCGTGTATCATAAAATTGCCATCTTGGTTCTCCGTAGACTACCCAACCAGTCGTCGTACTGGATTTACACTTTTTACTCTGCACATAACCTTGGAACAGCTTATCGTGAGTTAGAACCCTTGCATAATAGCATATCCGCATACGTGATGCACTGACATGTCACTAGACAGGGGGTACGACATCAAATGGAGTCGGTATTATGGGGAGCGGCAGTGCGAATAACCACCCGGCAACAATAGCCGATGGTAATTTAAACCGCCAATACCACCTGGTGTCCGGAGGCATGTTACCCTGAAGTTATGTTATAGGCTATTATGGCAATAGAAACTTGAGGTGGCTGGAGCAGACTCTCTTGAATCAAGAGAAGGAGTCAGAAATTCTAGTAGAAGCGAGGGCTAGATCGTGTTCCAGGCCACGGTGGCAGACGAATGAAGCTTTCTCCACATATACACCACTCGTGTTCATGATGATCCTGGAGAAATGTCCATCTACATGAATGATCTCATGTCCCGTTCTAGACATCTTAGTAGCATGGACCTTTTCTTGTTCATCAAAGCAACCATTTGGAATTACTGGTTTGGGTAAAGGTTCGTGAGGAACCTCAATAAGTTGGATAGGGGAATTTAGGTATTCACCAGACAAAACAAATCATCTACTTCTGTCAAAATAGTCATGAGATATGCAAGCAAAAGGAGGGGAAAGACGACTGTGATAAGACTGAGAGTTTAAAAGAGGCTTCAGCCGCAAGATGCAAGTGTCAAGAACACCAATAAATAGATACGGGTAATATATTTATTATCGCCTAAGATCTCACTTTGGACTGGTGAAAACACGTCGGAATTTTGGTTGTCAGTGCGGTGGATACCCCTGGAAATGATCGGTTTACCCGATTCCATCGCGCCATATAGCACTAAGAACTCTCTGGGATCCTTGTGGCTCTCGTGGCTTTAACGCTTTGCCACTACCTAGAATCTGAGAGAATTTGGTCGCTCTCCGAGACTCTAATGGCCCAATTTATTAACTGCTATCATGCCTTATTGTTGACTTTCTAGCTACTGAGAATGGTGAATCGACGAGGTCTATCGAGGGACAAGTAGGTACTCACCTTGTGCAGGGCGTCAGAGAAATCTCCAATCGCTACGGCTCGTTGGAGGCCGCACTGCCAGTGGCGATATGGGCTCTGAAGGAACACCCCTCGAAGAGGTCGGCTTCAGCGATTCGTTTCACCCTAGCAAGCGTAGTAGATGAGACTTGGAGGCTGTCAAGCAGTGGTCACGTCATCAAGGTCAATGTTGCCCATAGATATACATCTGAACGGGGCGGTGTACACTGATGTTGAAGAGCATGTGCCGAGAAGCCGTCTAGCGCCCAAGATTCGAGTCTGAGTTTTGGACATGTCCCTATCAAGATTGCTCATTGGGCTTCCAACTACGACACTATGGCAGAGGCATACTAAGCACCTTGAAAAGGAGCGCGTTCGGGGCTGTGACGTCTTCCGTGGTATCCATAAGCTAGAATCAGTAGAGCAAGTAGTGGACTTAGAACGGCTGCAAGCTTATACCACGGCCATGACGGGCGACCGACTAAAGTAGAAGCTGGTATGAGCGCCCACAAGACAGTGTGATCAGCGTCTCGTCGGCCGACAAGGGTACGATGTGAGATATCTAGGCACAATTGAGATAGAAGAACTCCAAAGAGGCAGCCATCGGCGTTATGTGTCAAATATGGATAAAACTGAAGCGCCACCAGTGGATGGCCTTGCGCCTTGAATACGGACGACCCCGTAAGGCTAGGAGGCCTAATGCACGCTCGGTGGTTATGGCGGAATAGTTGCGCGTGGAAGGGGTAGCCAAGACTGGCCCTCATACTTGATGCACTCTGCTCTGTAATCCGCGTATCCCTCACTACGCTGGGATGTTGGATTCACTACGTGATAAGAACAGAATATTATAGAGACCTACTCCATCTGATCTGGCTGGGAGCTTGAACCAGCCCAGAGAACTTGGCTCCTTTTGGTATTTCACTACGGCTTCCCTGCAACATGGAACAATATCGAGTCTACAAGGAATATGCGGTTGTTCAGTGGTGTGGCGTCTCTTCCGCGGATACAGGGGAAGGTAGATAGCCTAGCCAGGGACGATGCTTGGCAACCTTGATGAATCTGGGGCGACTGACGTGATGCCTCTTTCCGCGCTAAGGGGGGGAATAAAACATACAACTGGATTTAGCGGTAGATAGGTATTTCTCGCCCCGAGGGCCGTGCCTGTCATCTCCCCATGTAGTTCCACTATGCTTGATGTGTCGCAATGCATGCCTAATACGTGTTAGATTGTTTTATAAAAACGCTTATTCAAGGTTCGGTGAGATCAATGCTTGATTCCGATAGGGACGATTCCTTGCGCAATATCGCGGTGTTGTCATTTGTATCAGTAGCCTGAAGCTGGACCTTACGGACAGCGAGGTTATCTATATACTCTTCCGAAGCACCATCTCAACTGTTTATGACTTCAGCGCAGGACTCGTTGTGCTTTCTCTGATCATAGATTGTACAGGTATGCGTGCTGAAAGTCATGGACAAGGAGCGAAACGGAACGTGTGTGAGGCGCGTGCTGTAAGCATCAGTGGCGGTTCAACTCAAAATAACACTCTTATAAATCAGTTCAGGCAGTATACCAACTGCCTAACACAATTGCCCAAACGGAACATCCTGCAGCCTGAATCAGCTGGAGACGATAGCTTATCTCATTGATACATACGAGATCGACGAGTGTCTTGTTATACGAACTTAGCCAGTAGTAATCTGCACCGAAGTTCCAAATCCACTTTCCAGCCGCAGCTTCCGGATAGCCTGGCCATAGAAACCTCACCCAACTACACGTGAGCGGAAGTTCGGCAGATGCGGAGGATTTCTACCGTTAATTGCCCACAAACCAGTAGGAATAGTGAAAAGTGGCTGCAGGCTAGCCCTACACTAAGATAATCTGGCGGATCAATTCCGCCTCGCTGGTCGCCTTACGAATCGCCACTAGCTATTCCCGAAGGACTGCAGAAGCGTATACTGGCACAGCCCAGGTATGTATGCCGTTCCCCCTTTTCTCTGGTCGGTGTTATTCTGTAGAGACGAAGAAAAGGTGGGAAACCTTGGTTTGTCAACGGCGATTCCTGGATTGGGCTATGATCTTCATTGCTTAAGTTCTCTGCATCGATCCAACACTTGCTTATAGTTTCGGTGTCCGGGTTCAATAGGTTATAAAGCCTGCGTCTTGGCCACTGACCGTCACACCAGTTCACTATCCGCTACACCTCTACTCCTTTCCAATGGACAGCTTCCGAAACATTGTATCAAACATCAGTGATCTTGCTGACAAAATGTCGTTTCCTCGTGCTAATAAACTATCTCTGATGGTTCGAAAGAACGGCAAGTATCTACTATGCACATATGCCTTCTCCGGCTGACGCAAACAAGTCCGTGATCAGTTTGAGGAAGAGAAGCCGAATCTAGAAGTCAAGCTCTCGAAGGCCCTCCTCGGCGTTCCCTGGACGATCGATGTTGATCCCTTGTCGATTTATCCTTATGCAGAGTCCTCGTATGCCAAGAACAGCTTTGGAAGTATGCTTAACGAGTACGTGTGCTAAAGCTAACTTTCTGTCTACCCCTTCATGCTGATAACTTCCTAGGTATATTTCTCGAGCTACCACCTCCCTTGACTGGTCTCAGGAGTCTATCAAGTCCAACGTCAATACCCTTGCCTCCGCTCACGTCCTGACCATTGAAGTCGACCCTTCCGCGACCTTCAAATACTGTTCTTGCGATATCAAGGACGAAAAGCTCCGAATCCTCGTCTCTCCCACCGGTCTAGGCTCAAACATAAGCGAAGCTGTCGCTGACAACAACCTGAAGAAGGCTCTCAATGATGCTTCTATCAGTGGCGGAAACAAGCTTAGCTTCGTTGCTGAGGAGGGACTGGCCAAGTACTGGTATCCGAACAAGGGCGAGATCGAAGTCAAGGTGGCCAAGATCCTTGGTCAACCTGTCAAGCTCGACCCTCGGCTGGAAGAGAACTACGCAGCGCTCAAAGCCGAGAGCGAGAAGCCGGGCACGACACTTATAAAGCACTGGGAGAACAACGTTGGCAATTCCGTTCACGGTTACTTCAACGGACTTGTCTCGCAGTTAGAGTGGCAGAAGTTTCCGGGTGATGACATGCTTCAAGAGGGGTTCTTTGATGTTGTCAGCAAAGCCGAAATTGCCCTTCGTACTGTGAGTGCACTGAAGAAAGGCAAATATAACGAATCTGTTGTTGAAGATGGTGTTCTCTACCTTCAGGTAAGTGGGCTTAGAATAATACTTGCGATGGTTACTGATCCGTTCAACAGATAACTCCTGGCAAGTGAGCTACTAATGTCCAAGACGCTGGCGCCAATATTTCGGATCTCTTGTAGATATAGAGTGTGATACAATTGAGATGAATACACATTTTGGCCATTCAGCTCTCCCGTAACTAGCTGGTGGTGGTGTACAATTGCGAGATTGATCCAACTGATAAATTATCTAGACCATCAGAGAACTTTTGACATTGATGTTGTGAGAGTGATTGATGTAAAGGACACATTTATCTTGGGAGTGATCTATTGACTTGCTTGAAAAACCGGTAATACCAGTCTCTTGTGTTGTGTTAGCTGGGGAGCGGCAAGATACTCTTTGTGTCAGTGATGCAGAGCACACCAAAACAGAGCTGGAGATCAGACGCCAATGCGTCCCCCAATTGGCCATCGCAAGTCTTCAGGAGGAGCATCAAATGGCTACGGCGCTTGTATGGGCTACGAGTCGGGCCACGGGGTAGTTTCTTTATGCCACTGGGTAAGTAAAGGTCGGGGTTTTTTGCCCCGTGGCTTGGAGGAATTACCCCATGATCCGACTGCAAGCCGCTTTTATGAGTTAAGCTCGATTAGTGAACTCTGTTTCGGCTCCTTTTGCCGGCACTTGGCCACATGTTTCTGACAACATGCACAAATGCTTATCTAAGTGACCGCTCTTTTCTTTCCTTACACTATATACACTCCCATGTCTGACGAAGCCGCATATCGATCAAACAACACAAGCTAAATCGAGGATGGATCGTCCATGCAACCAAGTCAAGTGGGCTCAATAAATTCTCGCTCAAACAGACAAAATAAGCTCTTGGAATCGCCGAATAGATCATTTGCTTGACACGAGCTATATCCAAGCTTATCTCATATATCATTACAGGCGCTTCAGCTTCAGTCCATATGTAAAAGCTTCTGAGTCTGCCTCGCTTTCTTCCATCTTAGCGCCCTATACACGATCGTCCAAACACTAAGCAGTACCAGCACCGTCATTACCCCTCCAACGGCTCAGAATATCCATTGCCCTTGTTTCATATCTCTGATATCGCTCGTGTTCATTCCCATGTAACTTGTTGCAAAGGAGAGCGGGAGGAAGACAACAGTGACGAAAGTAAAGACGTAGATAGCGACACTTTGGTCTTCGGCTTTGATCTTGATGAATAAAGCAGCTTGATTGGTCCATTAGTATCATGTCTGATGCTTAAGATGTTGGAAAGTACCTGTAACTTCAATCGCTCAGTAGTATTTTGTAACTTTTCGATATCATAGGCCAACTTTCTGTGTCTGAGCTGGGATTTCTTTTGTAATGAGTTAAAGATCTGAGTTGCTCGTTCATGTTCTGAGTCTTCCTTCCTAATACCCGGCGATGTATGAGTCTCTGCCGATTCTGACTCTTTTAATTTGCCTGCTTTGGCCGACGTGGAGCTCACTGTCGCCTTTGCGAGACTTTGAGCTATATGTGAGACGACCTGCATCTGGCTATGTAGGATCTCCTTGAGAATCCGCAGTTCGTCTGATATAGCGGAGATTTGGTAGACCTGTGATTGAGACACAGAGTCACAAACAAGCCATTCCTGAAGAAGTGATAAGTATGTCTATCTGTAATTACTGGAAATAGGTGAATATGTGTAGAGACTTACGAGCCGCGCTATTCTACCAGCAAGAATCTCCGTGACATCCTGTGAGGTTATGGAAAGCCGGGTGGGTGTTGATATTGTACACATACGAAACAGACAGGCCAGGAATAGGTTATCTCCAAAGCTCTGTATACTTCTTAACATGTCTTTATTCTCGTCATCTCTGGTAGCCCGGAGCTCTGACTGTGCGGTGCCATGGTGCCTGTTAAGATTTGCAATGGCTGCCGCCAATTCATCTTCGAGATCTTGAAGTGTCTCTGGTCTGTTTCTTTCCAAATAAGGCCTGTATAAGACTTCAGTCGTGGCTGATGTTGCTTTATAGTCGTGGCGGATGTAATTGACTACTCTCCTCCACATACTAAGTCGGTCCAGCTGGAAAATATCTCGGTCTGGACTGAGATGGAAGTTCATGGTGAACCGAATGGCGATAAGCCACAAATCACGTACAGCTTGCGCAACCTCTTCAGAGGCCTCTGCCTGGCCCCTTGTCGTTCTTTCAACCTCGACCCAATGTTGCATGTGCTCGTCGAGGGCGCTCAGATTTCGAAGTGGCTCTCCATCATAGCGTCCCGGCGAAAAGCCAAGGACCGTCCTCAGTGGACTGAAGTACCATTCCTCCCCCGCGTTCGTCCTCGTCTCCTTCGAACGGGTGGTTATGTTAGAAACTCTCAACAGATGTGAACTCATTCTCGAAGCTTATCTTGACGGATCGAGAAAGCACTTCGAAGAACGAACCGATCCTTATAATGTCCGAGGAATCGATCCCAAAAACATATTTCCCCACCTTTCGAAACAGTTGGTCTAGCATCCAGCCTCCAGGCACGACAGCAGAAAGTATTTGACCAACGATTCCGAAAAAGACCATGAGATCCACCACTACTAGGCCCTTTTTTGAACTGACTAGATCTGCGTATCGCTCTTGGGGCAGGTTTCCGTTATTTTGGAAATATTCGGAAATTGCGATTCGCGGGACCTCTGTCCAAGGCTCGCTATAATGTGTCCCTGGACTTAATATTGGCCAGATACTATCTGCCTCAAGCCACGAGACGGTAATGAGATTTTCTGGAAATATGATAAGTATGTGGTAAGATATATGACACCAACATACTGCTATCCAATGCCAAACACCACACCACTTCGACGCATGGAGAACGAACACCATCAAGGATCGAAGCAAGGCCAAAATCGGGTTTCTGAATAGAGTCATTGTGTATTCCAAACTTATAATGATACTGAAGTAGAGACTTGACATGGTATGTGTTCTCGGAGAATCTTAGACGACGCAGCTTGGCCAAATCGATCGTTGGTATGGAGACAAAGGCCGGGAGATCGGACTTGGCTTGTTCCAAGTGAGGTATCCCCAGCATATTCTCAGCCTGATCTTCATCATAAAGAGGCACGAAGACCGTTCGAAGGTTCGGGCCTTGTGGGCTCTTGATCTCCTGCCGTCTCTGAACTCTTCAAAGCCTAGAGAGAATCTTGTCCTGGTCAATGGGGCTGTAGTCAAGGAGGAGGTCATGGACCATATCCTAAGGACAGTCAACTATACGCTCAGACAACTCCAGATCTAACTTGCCATAAATAAGCCGAAGGTAAAATAAGTATCTGACATATGGCTGCTGCAGATTAGCATGGCCCTCAATCTTAACCTGATACTGTTGTCATACATCCACCTGCAAGCATAGACTGCTGAGTCCTCGGGTTGTAGCCGTGTTTTCCAGGTAGTGCTTGCATAACAATTGTTGGCCATGTTCACTGCCTCTTCGCTTTCATCTTGATCCTTGACATCGAAATCCATGACTGTGGTACTGATTTCACGAGCTCTATGTGGCTCATGCGGAGCTGGATTGGGATCAGTGCCAACCATGACGTGGTATAGGCTAGAGCTGTGACTGCAACTCGGTAGATCTCCCAAATTGACTCTTTGGGCTCTATTAAATGCTTGACTGGATTGAGAGTTTCGAGAGGAGATGACGATGGGTTAGATATGGAATGCTGGGAGTCGGGACAATGTTAGATGATACTTCTGACGTAGATATGCATGCAGGTTTCAGCTGGGCGTAAATACTACAAACTCATTGGGTCAGAGAGAATGAGGCCTTCCACCACTGTATGGGTGAGATTAGGGTTACAAAATACGCATATATGATCGGATGCATCAAAGCAGAAAGACTCGGGCTGGTTAAATCTGTAGCTGCGTGGCTAATTTAGCCAAGAAATCTTTTCACATTCTTGAGTTTAGATGAAAACAGTAGATGCTGCTGCCACACTGCTCTAAGTAGATGCGCTTAGAAGAGGAGCGTGGCTTCGATGGAGATCATGGGACATAAAGTATATACTACGTATCAACTATGTGATTGTAGAGAAACGAACACTTCTAATCATAGAGCTTGGGACCCGAAGCCCCCAGAGTAACGTAGAATAACTTGGTCTGTCCAGTGATGATCATCCTTCCCTTACCAGCAAACTGGAAGTTAGCGGCAACAGTTCCAGTGTAGATCTTGCCGATGAGCTTGCCAGAAGGGTTCCAGACATGGACACCATCGCCGCAGCCAGCATAAACGCGGCCCTTGGAATCAGTATGAACACCTGAAAGGGTCAGTACATTACATCGCAGGGGAGCTGATGAGACCTACCATCAGGGATGAAAGATGAGACGTAGGCAAACGTCTTGCGGTTCTGGAGAGTACCGTCCTGGTTCACATCGAAGGAGTAAACCGAGGCGGGTGAAGAGAGGTTGCGGCCGTAGAAACCGAGAGCGATGCCAGTGTCGGTAACATAGACCTTCTTACCGTCGGGACCAAAGCCAATACCTGATGTGGATTAGTTGCATGTTTTCTGCCATTCAATTGAACACGTACCATTGGGAAGGGTAAAGTCATCGGCGACGACAGTGACAGCGCCAGTCTCAAAGTTGTAACGATAGACTTGGTTTCGCAGACCAGGAACGGGACGGAAGTCTTGGAGATATCCGTAGAGGGTATCGGTGAAGTACAAGTCACCGTTCCTGGGGTTGATGCCGACGTCGTTGAGTGAGTTGAACTGGCGGCCGAAGTAATTGTTGAGAAGGGCTGTTTAGCGTTAGCTTCGAACATTGCTTCTGACTGTGACTGGGGCTTACTGGTGGTGTTGTAAGGAGGGAGAGGGTTCATCAGGTACAGAGCGGAGGGAACATCGTCGCCTTGACCCTCGCCAGCGAAGATGATGTTGCCCTTGTAGTAAGTGCCGCCTGAGGCAGAGAGTTAGCCATCTTTCAGGACGCATCACTAGCTCAACATACCATTGGGGTTGATGACTTGAGGGTTCGAGTCAACGACAGTGACCTTGACCTCATCCTTCTTGCCCTTGCGGACCTCGTCGGCCTCCTTGAGGGAAATCTTCTGAATGATGGAAGACTTGTTCAAGCCAGTGCCAGCAGCAGGAGCGCCAGCATTCTGGACAAAGAAAACCTCTTCAGTAGGAGGATACCATACGACAGCCTCATGGAAGATTGGATCGGTATCCGACGTTGCGATGAGGGTCAAAGAGGGATCCTTTCCAATGACATCGTAAAATTCGTCATCGTAGACATGAAATGGCTTCGCTTCAAGAGACTCCTCAGTCACACCAGGCCAAGTAAACACCTACTCATAACCGTTAGTAACAATCGGCAACGAGGCTGCAGTGACATACCAAAGAGTCATTGGCCACTGCAGGAGGGGGCACATCCTTCAAGACATTGAACGACTTTTGGTCAATGATCTGAGCCGTGGAAGGAAGCTTAGCAGCCACGGCGCCCAAAACGGGGACGAGAACCCCCGCAGCAAGTACAGAAATGGGAGAAGGCATGACGAATGAGTGCTTGGTGTGACAGGTGCTGTAATGGATGGATGGAGCTGCGTGAGACACTTTTAATATGCGCAATGAACCAGTCGCCGCGAACTCATCATCTCCGCCTGAAATGACAGCGACGAGGCATTAACGAGGGTTGTCTCGGCGTTGCACTCCAAGAACGTGCAAGATCTGCAGCGTTAAGCTTAAGCTAGCGGGGGCCGCCTGGTTACGCGGATCAATCAGCGCTTCGGCACTGGGGATCGGGGTAGTAGAATGTGGGGAGATTAGCATGTTTAGAGTTTCTAGCCGACAGGAAAAGAAAGGAAAGCAGATGTTGGTCCGTCGAGCAGGGGAGGAATAACTTACGATTGAGTGAGTTCTAGATTGACTCCGGGATCTCGACGTGTCTTCCGGACAGGGCTGATCGGAAGAATGGAAGGAAATGCCCTGGAAGAATCGGTATGAACCCTGCTTACAGGGGCTAGGGAATCAATGTCGAACTGAACCAACGACCAACATCAACGCAACCTCCTGTAACCTGCAGCCACGCCACAACTACATAATGTGGTTCCAGTTCCTTGGCAGCGGCACATCTCTCAACAATATGGGTTTTTTTATTAATCACCGACCGAAAGTGCCGCTGAATAACGGACACGAGTGTATGGGAAAGCACTGCGATTGGAGGTCTTTTAGACACCAGCTGAGATTGTGGCTTGCGCTTTGAAAGAGTCCCTGCTGTGAACATTACGACTTGCTCAATCGAGTAGGTGTGAAATTCTGGTGTGACGCACTTGGGCGGCAGATGGCGAAGGAACTTTCCGAGACGATGCGTGAGCGAATTGACGATCTTTTCACTCTGGAGAAACAAATGTCAGATCTCAGGATTCATCTCATCTTTACCACTGCGTTGGTAGCGATACCCTTGGTATTTTACTTCTTCTTTACAGCAGCAGAATGACGATCACAGTACACCTGTCGTGTCCGCCCATGTAGTGATGCACTGTACCCCTTCGACAGCTGAGGCAGGGATATTGACCAACATGCAGAAAAATAGAGTTTGAGTTTGATTAGCCAAAACTGCCAACCTTGAACCTTATCAAAGCAAAAGATCCGGCTACGAAATGGGCTTAGCATGGAATTATCAGTTGCGTGATATGGAAGGAGGAAACTGGATGGTGAGACCGCCACTGGAGGGAGACAAGAAGCACGTTGAGAAAAGATGGTGTTGAGCCTTTTACTTAAGACCTTTGCAGCCAACAAATTGTTGTTGGTTCTGTCATTTTCAAATCCCAGCTACTGCTGAAGTAGTGTATCGCTTCCTTTTACTCCATTACATACACTCATTTTATTCCCCGTCTGCCGATCGATCTCTGTCCCCGTCCCATCACCGCCCCGAAATGACATGGCCGACAACACCAAAAACGGCGCCGTCGCAATCGTCATCTGCGTCTTCATCAGCATCGCCTTCTACAATGTCCTCGAGCTCAACGCCTACATCTTCGGCAGCTTCAAAAGGCGAAGTGGGCTTTACTTCTGGAGTTTAGTCATCGCGACTTGGGGTATTGCATTCAATGGAACCGGATACCTCATCCTACACCTGTCGCTGTCGGCGCAGACGTATCTCTACTCGACGCTTATACTTATTGGGTGGTGTACTATGATTACGGGTCAGTCTGTTGTTTTGTACTCGAGGTTGCACATTGTTATGCATAACCAGAAGAGGTTGAGGATGGTTTCGTATATGATCATCTTCAATGCGACCTGGTTACATCTCCCTGTAATCATCCTTGTTTACGGTGTCGGGTCGTCGAACCCGGAGCCCTTCCAAAAGCCATACGAGGTCTTTGAGAAGATCCAGCTTAGCGTCTTCTTTGTGCAAGAGCTCATCATCTCGGGTCTCTACGTCTGGGAAACAAGCAAGCGTCTCAGACTAGAGAAGAGTGTCGGCAACACCAAAACACGCATGGTACTGAACCATCTCCTCATCGTCAACGTCCTCGTCATCCTCCTCGACGTTTCCATCCTTGCCCTCGAATTCGCGAACCTCTTCGACATACAGACCGCGTGGAAGCCACTCGTATACAGCGTCAAGCTCAAGCTCGAGTTCAGCATCCTCAATCGTCTCGTCGAGCTTACCCGCGGAAGGAACGAGAGCTCTTATGGTCGCAGTCACAATGCCACGCATCATGATGATGTAGGCTTGGAGACATTGAATCGCGACCGACGGAAACATACTGGGCCCCAGGGAACAATTACGGGAGATTATGAGGTTCGTGTTGGGAAAGGTGAAGAGAGTCATCGCGTCTTTGGCAATGAGTCGAGTCTGGTCAAGACAACCGAGATAACAGTCCATAGCGAGCGGTATCCGGGTCATGGTGTACATGATAGAGGTAGTTTGGAGGGAGAGGGATCGAGTGATTTGCAGCATGTACCGAGAGGGAGTGCATCTTCGGCATCTTCTGAAGTACAGTTCGCCAAGTACGGCAACTAAGATACCATAATTATACAGCGTTTGTCACCTACAGTACCATTGTCGGAGTATGAAGCCATTGAATTGGTGTGATTTCTAATCGAACGTGACAAGGATTTTCAGCAAACCATCTTAGGGCGGCAATCAGAATATTTCTCCTGACGCCTTATACATTTCCCCCTGATTCTTAAGCATACCGAAGTGGCTGATATCAGCCATCCAATTGCTCAACGCGGGGGAGTAATGTCGTTGAAGCCCGGAGATATCGGGTAATCCAAATGGCTCACATCATCCAGCCAATCGCAAACTACAAACTCTAAACTAGACTCATTGAAACTCGGTACTACTCTCTTGCCGTGCAATAGTATGCAGCTTCAACCGTGGCTCTGGCTGACGATAACGCTTGAGCTGTTCCGTACTACCCTGAACCGGCCCAAGTTCATTACCGAGAGGTGGAGCCCCATGACCAAGCCAGGACTAACACTGGCTCCATGATTAACTGGAGAATTGTTGGAGGCCAAAGAATTATAAAAGGTTATGGGAAGTATATCTATAGGATTCTATATACCAAACTCATCACATCTTCAGAATTTTACCAATCAAGCACAACAATATCTCCTCCATGTCTCGCTACGCCCAAGCTCATATAAACCCCCAAGGTCCCGGTGACGCCAGACCTACAGCACTCCAGATCGTCGAAGATGAAGGCCTTCTCAACAAACTCACTGATAAGTTAGTGCTCATTACAGGCGGTAATCAAGGCGTTGGCCTCGAAACCGCCCGAGCCCTCCACGCAGCCGGAGCAACGGTTTACATCACCGCAAGATCTCCAGAGAAGATCGAGCAGGGCATTAACGACATCATTTCATGGCCGGAGGCAAAGTCAGAGGCACCTGTATACGGAATCGAACTGAAGCTTGATTCGTTCAAGTCCGTTCGAGCCGCTGCTCAAAACTTCCTTGCCAAAGTTGACAAGCTGAACGTTCTCATCCTCAACGCAGGAGTCATGGCTACTCCTGAGGGCAGAACTGAAGATGGTTTCGAGACCCAATTTGGAACAAACCATCTTGGGCACTTCCTTCTGTTCCAACTTCTCAAGCCAGCTCTTCTAGCCGCTACTTCCCCTACTTTCCAATCTCGTGTCATCTCACTTGCGTCAAAGGGTCATCGCTTTGGTGGTATACGCTGGGATGACTATAACTTCGAGAAAGAGGCTTACAACCCCTGGCTCGCGTATGCTCAGTCCAAAACAGCGAATATTTACTTCGCAACTGAGCTTGATAGGCGATACGCAGATCAAGGCATTCACGGCTTGTCAGTGCATCCTGGGTATATACTTACCAACTTGGGTAAGCATGTTGACCTGAACACGCTTGACCTAGATGGACCTATCAAGAATTTCATGAGGAACAAAGCTCAAGGTGCTGCTACGACTGTGTATGCTGCAGTTAGTAAGGACTGGGAGGGCCGTGGAGGGAAGTATCTGGCTGATTTTGTGGAGGAGAGACTGGCGAGGCCGGGGTCAGAGCCGACGTCGCCTGAACTAGGATATGCTACGTGGATTTATGATGAGGAAGCTGAAAGAAAGCTCTGGGAGCTGTCGGAGAGGCTTGTTGAATTGCATAATTCCTTGGAGTAACAAGCAACACTTGGGAAGACACTCAATCGCTGTAGTGCAGTACCCGCTTGATGCTTGAACTGGTAGAGGTGGTGGTCAGAACTTTTAAAGCCTTACTAGAAAAGCTGGAAGACATCAAGATTCATCTGTTGTAGTGATAGTATTAGATGTTGAGTGATAGCCACCTTGAGCAAGAGCTACAATGGTGCTGATGATTCTTCGTCACCTGAAGGTAGTTGACGCGGTTCTTGCAAGGACTTCTGAAACAATTTGTAGCATAGAAATCCGAGTGGCATTAGAAGTCGCTGTGTCTTCTGTCACGTGCCGGTGTCAAATGACTGAACCTCGGTACAACACTCGGGAAGGTGTTCACGAGGAACTGTTTACGCCTCAATTGGGCATTAAACAGACCTCTTTGGTATTGTAGATCAGGTTTTGGGACGGATTTGGTAGCAATTGCCAAGATTGATGTGGAGAAGAGTTGCCTTACCCTCCTGCATGTAGCAATATTTGGTTCTGTTAAGAGATACCTACTTGATGCGGCTAGCCTAGACCCAAGCAATAGATAACAACAAAATGGAGGAGATCTGCTTGATCAAATGGAAATCCTGCTCCCGTTGTGCATGTATGAATTGTTTCCCATTCAGGGCAGCTTACAATTCTTATCGTCAATTGTCTTGTGGCTAAATCTGTCAGATATTGTTCTAGCACACAGATCGAGGCGTTCCAATCATCACTAGCATGCTTTCCGCCGCTGTAGCGATATGGCTTTTGGCCGTATCGGGCACCGAGATCCCAAGAGTTCTAGCGCAAGATGCAAAGAGCTGGTACGAGACTCATCCAAATATGGCCCGGATCAAGCATGTGAACCAGGATACTCACCAGATCATTGACGAGTATGGAAGAACTAGGTTCTTCCACGGAACGAATGTTGTCATGAAAGAGGAACCGTGGTACAGGCCCTTTGAGTGGACTCCAGGTGTCTCCTCATTCGGCGAACGAGATGTTCAGAATATGCATGACTTGGGGCTCAATATTGTCCGTCTTGGTCACAGCTGGGCAGGTGCTGAGCCAGTTCGCGGCGAATACAACCAGACCTTCTTAGATATCATGAAGGAACAGACAAAACTGGCAGAAGAACGTGGTATCTATGTGCTGGTGGATGTGCATCAAGATGTACTGGCTAAACAACTTTGCGGTCATGGGGTACCTGACGTGAGTAACGAAAATATCCTTCAGTCTTACATCAAATAACATCAAGTTAGTGGTTTGTCAAAAAGGATTGGATCACAGGATTCAGAAGGTTCCCGTTTCCTCAGAAGATCAAGCCATTTACCACGGATGTCGATGGCTTTCCTTCACCTCAATCCCAGTGCAATACCATCGATTGGTCCTTGAGCTACTTATCCGTGGCTGTTGGAAATGCCTTTGGTAGACTTTACAACAACTTTGATAGGCTTGGAGACTCATTCGCTGCTTACTGGAAGAAACTGGCCTCGGAGTATGTGGACACCACTAATGTCGTGGGGTACAATCTCCTCAACGAACCCTGGGTTGGCGACACATACGCCGATCCAACACTCCTCGTACCAGGAGTTGCTGACCGCAAGAATTTGGAAGGCCTTTGGAACCGAGCAACGGAACAAATCCGTGCTGTTGACAATGATACCCTGATCTGGTTTGAGGGCGCTACCTTCGACGTTCTTTCTGGATTCAATAACGTACCTCTCGGTGACGGGTCCAAGACAGTGCATTCATTCCACTACTACAACCCCCCGCAACTGGGCCCACTAAAGGATACACTCTACAACCGACACAAGGACAATGTTCGACTCAAGACTGCTGGTGTACTTACAGAGTTAACGTTCTGGATGGGCGATGATAAGCAGATGGCTGGCCTAGCGGAAGCCATGGCGGCAACCGACGCGAGCATGGTGTCTTGGATAGGATGGGCATATGAGAACCTGTATAACGGGACATCGGGAAAGCCATATCCAGAGCTACAGAAACACTACAGTCGTGCGTATCCAGCTGCGATCGCCGGGACACCTACTTCATTTGGCTTTGATGCGACTTCGGGGGTTTTCAAGCTGAACTTCACAAGTGACCCGAACATTGGTGCACCGACCGAGATCATTCTACCTACTTATACTTTTCCGAACGGGTACGAGATCCGAGTTCTACCTAGTGGAAGCCTGTTGCAACACAAGCCCAACGAACACATCTTGGCCCTGTTTACGTCGAGCTCCCTTAAGATGCCCATGGAGATATCTATAGAGGTGATCAAAAAAATAGTTGAAGGGTAGCCTGGATATCAGTGAAAGGGAGTGTTGGTACAGTATCCACATAATGCGTTTAGAATCTCTGTATATGTACAGAATTATTGTTCTATTGTATTACAACTTAGCCTCCCTAACTCCGTGTCGCGCATCACAAACTAAATGAAGAACTCATAACGATGCTGAAGGCTAACCAAAACGAGCGCGATAGTATGACCAGCTTTTCCTGGCCCCATGATGTATGAGGAGATCCATAATAGCCTTGTTGCGATTCCTCGCAGCTATCATCAAGCAGTTTGCGCCATCCTTATCCTCTGACTCAATATTGGCTCCTATCTGCAGCAGAAGCGTCACCACAGCTTTGCGGTTACCTCTTACAGAATGCACCAGTGCCGTGTCGCCTTCATAATCCATAGCCTCGATGGCGGCACCCTCTTCAAGCAAGATTTCCACAACGGCTTCATGGCCTGCTTTTGCCGCCTCAATAAGAGCTGCGGGTGCATAACGAGAGGCGCGGTCGAAGCAAGCACCACGCTCGAGCAGGGCCTTGACAGTTTCTGTGTGACCCCGGCGCGCAGCCATGCTAAGCGGTGTGTCACCATTGTCGGCACTTGCGTTGGAGTCGGCACCAGCGTCAATTAGCTCTTTAACCACGTCTGCATGGCCGCCATTCGCAGCACCCATCAGTGGTGTTTCGCCCCTTTTGTTAAACGTATCAACTGTAGTGTTTGGAATCCGTAAAACTGCCACCGTATCTACGTGCCCCTTTTGTGAAGCTAGGGCTATCGACGTATTGCCCTCGACATCGCTCGCCGTGACATCCGCATCTTGTAGAATCAATAGAAAGCAAACTCGCGCTTGATTCCGCTCAGCAGCTGCCATTAGAGGAGTATAATTCGCGTTATCAATTGCTTCGATGTTGGCCCCATTCTCAATCAGTACCGTGACCGTGGTCACATGTCCCTCCCCAGCAGCCAGAATCAGCGGTGTCCGTCCGAGATCGTCTCTCTCCTCAATATCCACACCATTTTGCTCCAGCAATTGTGCTGTTAGATTATGGAGACCAAGTTGTGCAGCTCTATGCAGTGACGGATCCGATACTCGATTAGTTCCGTCGACGCGGGCGTTAGCTTCAAGCAACAGCCTTTCCACCTTATCGTGGCCTTTGATCTGGGCTACACGAAGTGCTTCATAGCCTGAATACTCGTTTGTATTGAAGTTGGCTCCATGATGGATCAGAAGCTTGATGACGGATTCCGACCCAGCTTCTGCGGCCCAAATAAGCGGGGTGTAGTGGCCTTCGTCCGCTTGTTCGATATTGGCACCATGCTTTAGTAAAAGCTCCAACACATCACCAGAACCACTGTGGGCAGCCAAGATAAGTGGTGTATATCCAAATTCATTGGTTGCTTCGACATTCGCTCCCCTATCAAGCAATAGCCTCGTAACACCATAATGGTTCTTGCTTACCGAAAAGTGCAGAGGGGTAAAATCGATGAAGCTGCCTCTTGCCTCGATATCAGCACCCTTTTCCAGTAAAGTCTCTGCAACATCCGTAAGCCCATTCATTGCTGCTTCTTGAAGTGGTGTGTGCCCGTTTTTGCTTGTTCCAGTGACGGCACCATCTTGACACGGAATACGGGCCGGCTCCACGTTGTCGTTGGTACACGAATGGTTCAATGGCGTACTACGATTTATGTCTGGGGAATGAAAAGCAACTGCAAGGTCCAGGGGGATACTGGTTATGTCGATATTTCCAACTTGAGTATAGTGATGGAGCTGCTGCAAAAGTCTGACATCAAGGTCGGCTTCTTGGCTAGATGGTCCAATGACAATGCCCTGTCTTCGATCTCGGGGCTTTGTTAAGATATCTTGATTATGGAAATCACCAGCCCATCGTTGTGACGCCGTCTGTGAGGCCAACGTCGAGATCTCTGTTGTAAGCCCCTCGGCGCCGCGAAAAGAACTCTGCCTGGAAGAAATTGTAGACGGCCTTTGAAGGTCAGGACTCAGCGTTCTGATCGAGGATTATGGGTATCAAGTCATACCTGCTGTGTGAACCAGACGTTGGAACTTCTGGCAGCCACCGGTGAATCCATAAATGTTGCTTTGCCTCTGCTGCCCCAAGTCTCTCACCTGGACGTGATTTTAATAAATTACAGACGAAGCCCTGGGCACTTTCAGTGACTTGGCAGTGTTCTAGGGCAAGAGCAAGCTCATCTGAGCTATGACTATACTGCAATATTGCAAGCTGATTTTTGAACGGCAGGGTTTTCGTTAGGATAAAGAAAGTCGTTATCCCGAGGGCCCAAATGTCTGCCATTCGATAATCTTTGGTCAAGAGTCTCTGAGAATCAGAGTGAAGTAGCTCGGGAGCCATATACAATGGGGTACCGGAAGCCAGTGTTGTTCCAGTTGTATCTGAGACCAGCCTTCTACTGATTCCGAAGTCGGCTAGCTTAACCCACCATGGGCCTGGAGCGATCTCCAGTGGAGATCTATATATCAGGATGTTCTTCTATCAAGTTAGGTCTCACAGCCAAGATATCATTCTCAGACGCACCTGGGGTTTTATGTCACGATGTGCAAACCCCTCTTCATGCATGATGGCAACACCGGAGAGGACTTGGCTCGTGATGTGACTGCATTCTTCTTCTGTGAGACGTGGATGATCGCGGACATAGACGTATAGATCCCCCTCAGGAAAGTAATCCATAGCTATGTACAGCTTATTTGAAGTCGCATACCATCCGAGAGACTTGACGAAATACTGAGAGTACTAAAATCTGTCAGAAAGCTATATCGAGCAGCCTTGCTATAGCAGTGAAAGTAACTGATGATATATATACCTTTTCATGAGAGAACTTCACTATGCATTCGAGCTCTCGTCTGTAGCGTCGTTTAGAGTGGTTACTCTCTAGTCGAATTCGTTTGACAGCGCGTTGAGTAAAGCTTCGGCTACCATTGGTGCATGTTTGCAAAACAACGTTCCCTTGGCCACCGTGGCCAAGAGTACGAACTTTCTTCCAATTTTCTTGACGATAAGGGGCTGAAGGAGGCGCATCAGGATCACGATGATAGTGAATAGTGAAGACACCCTCGTAACGCGTGGTTAGTTGGTAGTCATGAACGAGGTCTGAAAGCGATCCATCCATGTTGGCACTCGTGGAATGTGATAGTACGCGAATATCACGCGATTGGTCGAATAGATAATCTAGAAATCGAACTCTCAGTCAAGAAAGCGAAACTGAATTCAATCAGCCGTTGTTGTTGGAGAGGGGAAGGTCAGCCTGCAGTCACTCAGCCGCAGAGCCTGACTTTCAGGCTTCAGCTTCGCTTCGGAGCGCTTATAGCTTTTTCCGCCTGCAGCATAGCCTACAGTAGTGGCACACTATTGATTATTAAAAACCGCGTGAGAGACTCCTGATGACGTCAAGACGCATAATAAATCAAGCAAAGTAAACTTTCGATTATTCATCCCATGTCTACAGACTACTATCAAAAACAAAGCGCGCCTACTGGATTCATGATCTTTTCGACATATTGCGACCCAACCTCGGCTCCTCCCTGATAATCAAAGTCTTGGGGGTCACCGAAGCCTATGTTACCCTCGTCCAGACACGTCAAGCAGGTCTCAACCACCGTGCTGTACATATCGCCCATGCACATTCTCAGCTCGGTACGACTGAAGTGTATCAACTGCTCTTTGATAGCTTGTGGGCCTAGTTCCGACAGACGTCCTTCACTATTAGTGAACACTGGTGATAACGTGGGAGTAGCACCGTGAGGTTCAACAAGTGATCGCCAGAGGCCAATTTCCAAGAGACAAACACCAAGACTGTATATATCGTGTTGCATAACAAACTTCACAGTCTTATCCCCAATGCGTGTAGGGTGCTGATACACCAGACTTCTTTCCTTGGTCTTGGAAGTGTTTGTCGGAGCGTCAGCATACCGAAAAAGTTGAAATCCAACGAGGCACACAAGCATTTGCACATGCTCTTCGTTTGGAGACTCTAGGATGAGTATAGTCTCCGGAGTGATATTCTTATGAACAAATTCGTATAAATGAACGTAATAGACTGCTGTGACAAGCTGCCTCGCGATTTTGAGTCTAGTGGTGAGTGAGTTGGTAGGACCAGAGAGGAGAAGTTCCCTGCAGCTCCGGACCCTGGAATACCCGTCAGGGACGCTAAAGACAAACTTTAGGGACGGCTCCCTGGCAGGTTGAACAACTCCTTTGCATTTCAAGGTCCCGAAAGTTGAAGGGTTCGAGTCTCGGAGACGTGATGCAAGCTCCCGAGCATCTCTCAATGCAACCGTATCCCGAGAAACCGTATCAATGATGAAGTATTTATTCTCCTTCAGCTTGACTGCAAGCTCGGCCTCACAATTTGGGATCACTTGCATCTCAAGGTTCTCGAGTACCTTTTCTGCTAGCTTCACAGTCTCGCTGTTGTTGAAGGCTTCGCGAAATTTCAAGCCCTCGCGAGCTGGCTCGCCTCGGTCTCGTGGGTTGGTTAGAGTAGCCCTTTTCAACACATTTTCAGTGTTAGTCGGGCCGGTTTTTATAATCTGGAACCACGATGGCTCAAACCGCTTCTGCCAAGACTCAAGATCGGTAACGGTGCTTTCGAGGGATTCTCGTAGGTTAAGGAAACGCAGAGCCCTGTATCCTCTTGAGCTACCATGCTTATCGGGCTTGGAGATGACAACTGTCGCAGCTTCAAGCTTAGACTGCAAGATGCGTAATATGTGCGACTGTAGCTCCCGTTGATCCTCGGTCATGCTACCCTCGAGTTCTCTGACGATCTCTAGCTGGCTGGCAATTCGAGACCAGCAAACCTGGATTCTTACTGACAGCTCGTGGGCTAATGCATCAGCCTGACCATAGTCCTTGTAGGCTTTGATAAGATATTTCCCGAACCTAGAACTGTTAAAAAGTACTGCGAGTGCCGACAGGCGGTATTCTTACTTTATACAGACGTCGACTGTGCCAGCAACGCCGGCAATACCCAGAGCCAGTTCAGCCATTGTATCTCGGTCAAGGTGAAAAGGCTTTTGTTCGAATCATCAGCAGTTTTGCTTCCGAGTCCGTGACGAGTCGCCTGACACTCTAACTTGGGCGTTCCCCCGGGCTGATTCTGCCATCCGCCAAGATATTTTCAAGCTCGCCCGCATGGGGCGCAGGGTTTTCAGCTCGTGGTCAGTGGTGAGACCTATGTACCATAAATATGTTAGTCTGATGGCTCTGATAGGGCGGTGAGACGCCCAACAACGCCATTGCGGGGGTTATGCACCTCCATCACAATCAGGCTGGCGGTTGAAGCCCATCCATTGGTATATCAAGCATGAGGGCTCGACATAGCCCCCAAGTTTGTTAGGTTCCGCTCAAAACTTCAGAAGACACGTATCTGTGTCACATAAGACGTCAGTCGACATCCTTGGCTTAACGCACATCTAGTGGATGGTCTTATCACAGCCTAAGTTTTTGTGTGTGACAGAGACTACGAGGATCCTGGCACTAAAATATTGATTGCAATGAAAAAGGTTCTCGAATTGAAGTGCACCCTAGCTTAGTGTTTCCTAATTTTGTCGAGCAACAGCAAATGGATTGGCGGTAAAAGTACCATTTGGATCCGCTGCCGCCCTGACCTTGCCGATACTCTGATACTTGGCCTCATCTTCATAATAAGTCTTCCAAACCTCAGGCTTGGCCATATCCCAGTCACCCCAGGAGCCCCAAAGAACACGTCTGTCGGTCTTGCTGAAGCAGCTGCTGGCACCAATCATGACGCTGTCGTTCTTTGTTTGCCAGTCATTTGCAAGCTTTCGCGACAGTTCATAGTTTGGCTGATCGCTGTTCAGGTACCAACAGTCCACGGTCTGGAGAACGGTCGAATCCCTCCAACTGTAGGCGGCTCCATTGTTGCGGTTGTTGTAGAACATTGAATTCTGTCCTCCAAAGCACTGGATCTGGGCTGAGAGCTTACAGTTATCGTAGAGTGGATTGTCCACCGGCTTCTCGTTCGCATCATCCAACTTCTCCGTAGGATCGCAGATCTTTTTGAGTCTTCCGACAAGTTTGTCAACCCAACCATCTTTACCGAGAGTCTTTGAGTTGGTAGCGTAGGTTCGTTTGACGTACGGAAGCGGGAACTCTCTTCGCTTGGGGAACAACCAGTGTCCCACCATATCAGACATGTCTGCGGAAATTTCATCGAATTGAATGCAACCAAGAAGCAAATCGTCCAACTCTCGGAATTGCTGGAACCACGCATCGACACTTGCGTCATATTTCTGCTGATCGCCAACGGGGCACCATTGTGCGTAAAGGACGATCAGAGGGGGCAGTCTACCCTTTAACAAAGCTTTAACAGGACCGTCTAAAAACACATCGACTGCTTTTTGAAGGGTCTTCCAGTTTTTATCATCTTTGAGAGCAGGAAACAACTTGACAATGTCGAACTCGGTGCTTAGAACATTGACACAAAGGTCGAATCCACGGGATGCTGTTCCCTTATCAGACATCTCAGCAACGACGTTCAAGAGAGTCTTAAGCCTATCTTCATTGAAGATCCAAGCACCTTTGATTCCATGTGGTCCATGGAACGTCTTGGGCTTTGCGCTGTTGGGAGTCTTGATTGTATTTTCGATTCCCATGTAGCTCTTGGCCTTCAACGCTGAGATAGTGTAGTGGGTAACGACGCCAAAGTTTCCTGGGCTGCCACCGCGAATAGCATTGAAAAGCTCAGCATTGTGATCCTGGTTGACGTGTAGGACCTCGCCTTTGTGGTCAATCAATCGAATATCGACGATGTAATCACCAAGGAGCCCGAAGCTTCGACCAAGCTGGCCATACCCGCCGGTCTGGCCATGACCACCGAGGCATACATAAGCGCATTGTCCCGTGGGAGCAAATAGCTTGTGGCTGGTCAGGTAGGCCAGGAAGTCCTGTAGCTGATTGCTGACACCGGCGAAGACGAGGACTCTGTCATCAGCGACAGTAATCTTGGGCTTATCCAAGACGTTCACGTCGATGATTTTCAAGTCTTTGTACGTGTTGCTCAGATCAAGCTGCACGTTCTTGTCTCCACAAGAAGACGCGCCACTGTACTGGTGGCCGCCGCTCTTGATGGCGATGCCGACTTTGTTTTCAACGGCATATTTGATAACAGCCTTGACGTCGTTATCATCCTTTGGTCTGAAGATGTGGGCCGGATTCAGGTCGTGAAGTGGTTTCCCGTTTGGATCAAGTACATCGACGTACGATGAAGTCGCATACTGCTCATTGAAGAACTTGTAGTCGCCTTTTTCGTAGTCGCTACCTTCACGGGAGTATTGCATCCCAATGAAGCCGTTGACTTGGGCGGAGGCCATGGTTCTGAAAAGTGTAGAAGGATGTTTAGATGATTATGGGATGAGAGGGATATTGAGTGATGAGACTAATTGAGAAATTGGATCGGCGAGCTTGTTGTTATATATGCTTTCTGGTGCGTGAAAAAGAGGTAAACACATAGGCAGTCGCCACCGGCAAATGAGCTATCAATTATGAAGACGGCAGCAACGCAATTGTCCTTTCGTTGATGTCAGCTCGTGAAGTGAGACATGGCGTTATGCGGAGGTGATCTCGACTGGTCCAGCTGCATGATTATTGAAGTTTGCAATGGTTCTCGGCCATTCTTTGCTTCTCAGCCAGCCACATAGTATCCCGAATCTGGATTTTCAGCCAGCCAAAACATATATACCCAAGACAGAGAGGGGCTGAGAATGCCGGCTGAACAGAAAAAGGAAAGCACTTTGTCAAGCCGTTTCTCTTTGCCCACTCTGGCTGCTCACCGCCAGTAGGTCGTAATGGGCTCGGCAGTGATCTTCAGCCGACTCGTATGAAGGAGCAAGAATGTTTATCATCACACGGGGACTTTGATAGGATATGCGAAGGTTCAACGATGGAAATGGCCCCTTTAGCTGGGATGTCAGTTCCGAGGGCTCATTGTCCCGCTCCCGTGAAAAGCGCACTGACAATTTTACTCGCCTACCTAATTGAGCAATGTAAATCTCAGGTCTCGTGCAACTCGAGTCTAGAACCTTGGCCTCAAAATAGGTTAGTGGTCGTATTTCTTGTCTGGTAGATTCTGGAATCAAGCATATGTGCCTCTTGACGGCGGTCAAATTGGTGGGTGCTTCGTTTGGCGCGCCTACCCCAAGTGCAACCCAACAAACTGTCGCCTGTCTACGAAGTGCACACAGCATCATGTCTCGCGGATAGACGCCGGCATACTGACATCTTGGGGCTAGGCCTGAGCATTGTTTTTGTGCGCTTTTACGAACATATCTATTGATGATAGGGAAAGGCATATCACTGGCCTGCCTGTTCAAGTTCACGAACAGCAAGATGAGATACCCTAGCAGTATGTGTTCTTCAGTAGTTATTTCTCCTGGATTACTTGGGCGCTCTAAGATGGTCCATAAATGTCAATAGAGTCGGCCGCCTTCTACACTACTGCTTTAATCTATTTGCATAGAACCAAAGGCCAATCTTAACCCTCTCACTCATATAACGACCTCAAACAAACATAATGTCGGCTATCTTACCCCGTAAGAAGACCTAACCAAGAAGCAGTTCATCCGCCCGGCTCTTCGTTATTGCACATACCTCCAATATCTTGAGCTCCGCGACCCTCAACCACGCCAAAGACCTCTGGCTAAAAACACAAGCGCGCCAGAAAGACGTCCCCAAGATCAACCAAAGGTTCAGTTCTCCTGGTGACGACGTAAAGTGATTTGAGATCACTAGCATTCCGAACTCTTGGTTGCTAGATGTTCAATTTCGGGTTGATCTTGTCGCTGCTGTTCACATGAAAGGTTATTTGGAGCGCAATGACCAGTATGTGCAGGGTGTTCTAGAGAGTTTAGTTCTTGGCTATATTCTCGACAAGGCATAGGTTAGTGATGTGTTATTGGAGCTTGAAGTAAACTCTCAACTTCAGTTGGAGGCTACATGAGATGGGCCTTGATGCACGATAAGCGTAGAATCGCCAAAGCAGTTAACTGGTCTCACAAAGCATACTAAACAAAGAGAAAATTTAGTATCTACCAGCAACAAGGACCTTCATGATTGCGCCTTCAAAGGGTACAGCATGTTCGTAGAAAAGACAATAAAAATAATTTTCTGGCTTGTTCAGTTTCCCATGTTCTCACAACAACAGCCATAGAAGAGCCCGTTCATTATTACACAGAAAGTTCAAGATACGTTTTCAGCTTAGAAAGAAGGATTATAAATATATAGTCAAGTATAATTATTTCCAAATAATAGTCTTATCGCCTAGTCATTAAGCATCCAACCATACCGCACCATTACAACCCACTTCAAGCATTCCACAAAATGTCCGACTGTTCCAAGCCACCTGCTCGAAGTGCTTCAAGAACTCAACTTTACGTCGTGGTGAACCAATTTTCATCCCACGAGCAACAAGACCTGCCTCCTGACAATGGGTTCTTTGACACTCGTGACCTCTGGAGCATCGCTTTGCAGCACCCAAATCACTGGGTAGTGGAACAGGGTCTCCTTGTCGATGGTAATCCCTGCCGAAAGGTGACAGGGGATCGGGAGAGTATAGAGCATCCAGAGCGACAGCTACTGTATTTTGAGGTGGCCAACCTAAGCAAGCTCAGGTAGATGATGTGAATCACATCATCAGTTCTACTGACCCTGAGGTCGCGTATGACACTTTGGAGTGCAACCGCAATTGGGTTCTTCATATCTTCCAAAAGTTGGTAGTTGGTTGTATATTGAACTATAAGAAGGCTGAAACTATTTTTTCCGCCCTCGAGATGAGCTGTGCAGACATCCAAATTCTGGTACAGACATCGTAGGTAGGCAGAAGGACTGCGGTTCTGGATGAACGAACTCTGTCTAGTAAATATTTATGGCTCTTCTTTATACACTTTTTTATCAGTACTGCTTTCAAATAGTTACTTTTGCGCATTAGCCAGATTATTGTTGGCCACATGGTTAAACTTTAGTTTGCTAACGCAAAAAACAAATGCATACTGTTGTTGTTTTCCAGAATATAACCTTTTACGCAAAACCTTTGCACAATGACTCATAAATGTGCTCAGAAAAATCTTCGTCTGTCTATAAACTTCTGCATGCTGAACATAAGCTCTGAGTTACATGTCTCAATTACGAATAGTATATATAGAATGCTATTTAGACATTAATCCCACGATATCTGGCCAATGCGACGGCGCAAAAGTGAAGACTTTAGAAAGCTTGGTTCTCATGGCATAGACCAGCGTGTCTATAATAGACCGGACGTTCGCACGATCAGAATCGTAGAACAGTAGCAGATTCTTCGTCCGTTCACATATCTTTGTATAACACGAGACACTTTGAAGAACAACCTGATCGTCCACTTTCAACACAATCACATCATCTTCTTACATCTTTTCATCGGACAGTCAGACTACTTTCTTTCTCGAATTATTCACTGACCACATTATCATCTTACATCTTCTTTTGGACAGTCAAACTGCACTCTCTCTCGCATTACTCACGGATCACATTCACGTACTTCTTCAGACAGACCAGCAAGATGTCGGACTGTACACAGATCCCTTGTAACATGGAGACCAACACTCCCCAGGCCAAACTCTACATCGCCATCAATTCCTCTCTGGACTTCAATCCCAAGATCGACTATCAGGTACCCAGCCGCTGGATGCTTGCTGTCTTTCACCCAGTCCTCAAAAAGTGGCTCACCGCTCAAGGTCGTCAGAATGATGCTCGCTACGCCCTGATCAAGGGTGGAGCTCCCCCCAATCACTCCAAGTTCTTTAAAGTTGCCAAAATTCCGGTCACTGAACTTGCTGCTCTCGAAGCTCAAATTCGTTCTGTGCTTCCCGGGGAGAATCCACTGGGCGAGTCGGTGTATAATCGCCAGTATGTGCATGATGTCCTGAAGAGTCTGGTTCGCAGTGGGATTATTAGGGAGAAACAGGGTCGGGATACTTTTCTTGCGGCTGAGGCTTTTGCATTTCAGTCGAGCGCAATCTAAGTCGATGGAAATATTGGTGTTCTGTGGAAGCTGCTGGCGGAGTCGTTGTCTTGTCCCGTGTACATCAACCTGGCATTTTGTCATTTCTTCCTTGTATAGCGACAGCATATTATTCTTGTTTTGCTACGCTCGCTATAAATAAAGAGTGCACAAACATTCGTTCAATCTTGCAATTCGTGATATGCTAAAGCTTTATTGCATCTTGATACACCCACCACTTGCACTAACAACAGATCCAGTAATCCATCTTCCATCATTCCCGCAAAGCATTCCTACAACATCAGCCACGTCCTCGGGCTGTCCAAACTTGGGTATACTCTGCAAGGGAAAGAATTCATCCTGAAAGGTCTTGACCACCTCCGGTCCACAATCCATAACAGCGTCAGTTTCCGTCAAACCTGCGGTGACAGCATTTGCAGTAGTCCCCGCCATGAATGCGTATCGCTCATCCTTTCCACCAAAAGCCTGTGACCATGTTCGATACAATGACTCGCCAGCCGATTTTCCAGCGGCGTACATGAGTTGGTCGGCCCATGGGAGGCGTGAGCGGACTGAGGATATGTAGATGATACGGCTGTTGGGCTGGAAGAGCTTTCGGCGGACGAGCTCTTCGACGATTTGAACTGGGGCTTGGATGTTGCCTAGAAGGCTTCTTTGGATCTCTTCTGTAGTCATCTGGCCGATAACTCCAGGCATCGGGTCACCAGCTGAGTTGACGAGGATATCAACGCGACTAGCAAAGGACTTTTCAAGGGCATCGGCAATTGTTTTGGGACAGTCGGGGGAGAAGACATCAGCTATGATTCCTTTGATCTGTTGGCCTGCTGGACGCTCCCTAGATGTAGCTTTGTAGACGCGCTCGGTGATTTCATCGTTCAAGCTTGTTGATAAGGCTTCGACTCCCTTGTCACTGACGCAGGTACCCAGGATAGAGCATCCTCGCGATGCACCACTTATTACTGCGACTTTGCTGATGAGATCAAGCTCTCTGGGAGGCGAGGTTCTTTGTGCCATTTCGGTGGGGTTTGGCTGCTTGATATTGAGCTGAGATGAGGCTGGAACCTGTGTGAGGGTCCTTGGCGAGGGCTTTGTTTGTTGTAGAAAGGATCACGGGCGTGTCACTTCCTGATTCAAGATTTTTGAAGAGCAATGCCTCTTTTATTCAGCAGTCACGACCGATATGACTCACGTTCTTCGGTGGCGCGATGCGGGGTTTGGTGTTTCCTCCTGGACATGACTGTCCTGTCCCTTCATTGGCTCAAACTGCCCTGGAGATCACCATTGTTACGCAGATCGTCAGGGCTGGGCTGCAGGATGAGTCTTCTTGGTTCCAGGCAGAGACGTAGGCCTCTTCAAACCATCAAAGAAGGTCTCTATCATGGCTTGATTATTTTCAGCGATTTACTGTTCTTCGAGACTTGAGTGAACCTTGGTGTAGATGACTACTCGTTCCAAATTGGGTTAGCAGGACATATCGTGCTAAACCGCAGAGCGCCAGCTGCATGCAACCTTATACCTTATTCAACGACATTTGTGGTCATCATGCTCGGCCTGAATAAAGAATGGCGATATATCAATTTCCTTGGACGTCGATATGGAATCACCCTGTAAGCAGATAGCCGTGGAGAGTCATGGAATTGACAGTAATGAGATACCGTCTCAAATACAACAAAGGTTCGAAGATGAGACATTGTGCCTTTGGAGGCACAATAAAGACCTTGTGACTTCTTTGACAGAGCAGGAAATGCCTAAAGTCTAGGCGAGTGTTACATTGTTGGCTGCCCACGTTCCCGGATCCGAGAACGGAGGATGACATTCCGAACTCAAATTTAACCGGTGATTCCATCGACGACCTGGCAAGCGAGATCCGAAACACCGGTACTCTATGCTTCAATACGCTTCCAATTACTTAGTCTGGAAAAAGCCGAGATTAAGAGGATGTACCATAGCATCGGCAGAAAGCCGCTCGACTAAATAATGGCTATCATGTATGACGATGGAGGCTTACGATGAGAGGCAACTCACGCGTGTCCCTGTATCTGGCTATCGAGAGGAACAACCATGTCTCTGCAATTCATCCATCTGTAGAACGTTGTGGGTTGTCATCTTCCAGATTCCCCAGCATCATTTCCCTTTTTGGGCCATCGGAACTTGACGGCGTTGTCAGTTGACGCATCGAGACCACTCAATCTATAACGGGGCTATAATGGAGGATCATCATACCGTTCCCATTGGGCGACACTCAAACTGCCATCAGGAACGTGATCACTCACAAGTCCGTGCCGTTCGACCCGCAGCATTCTTTTATATCTCGCTCCTAAACCTGCATTACCTCCTTCGGCCAGTCTCAACCAGCATCATCTCGAGACATAACCATGAAAATCGCTACTTCACTTGCCGCGGCCGTGGCCTTGGTGCAGAGCACCTCTGCTCATTACATCTTCCAGCAGCTTAGTGTTGGGTCGACCAAATATCCTGTTTTTCAGTACATTCGACAGAACACGAACTACAACTCTCCTGTCACTGGTATGTCTTGATCTCCTGCCCAGTAAGAGCGTTCATGGAGTAGTCTACTAACAGCTATGTCAAACTAGACCTGGCTTCTAACGACCTTCGATGCAATGTCGGCACCTCGGGAACCAACACCCAGACTGTGGGTGTCAAGGCTGGCGACTCGATCACTTTCACCCTCGACACTGCCGTCTACCACCAAGGACCGATCTCGGTGTACATGTCCAAAGCCCCTAGCTCTGCCTCTTCGTACGATGGAAGCGGTGGCTGGTTCAAGATCAAGGACTGGGGTATGCTGCCGCCAATCAACTCAACGGAAGGACGACTAACAACACATGAACAGGCCCTACCTTCAGTGGCAGTACCTCAACCTGGCCTATGTACCGTAAGTCATTATTCCGTGTTGAAGCTCTCCGTCCGTAAGCTGACATTGTAAACTGTCTAGTAAGCTACACTTTCAACCTTCCCACTTGCATTGCCAATGGTGAATATCTTCTTCGCATCCAGAGTCTGGGCATTCACAACCCTTGGCCTGCGGGTATTCCTCAGGTAATACACTCGTAGGGGAAGTCTCACTTATACAGAAACTAACGTCAGAAATTACAGTTCTACATCAGCTGCGCCCAGATCAGTGTTACTGGTGGAGGCAGCACTGTTCCCAGTAACCAGGTCAAAATTCCTGGTGCTTTCAAGGATACCGACCCTGGATACACCGCCAACGTAAGACAGTATCACCAATGTGATAGTGAAGCTTATTAACGCTTGGTCTCCCAGATATACTCCAACTTCAATAGCTACACCATTCCTGGACCTGCAGTGGTATGTGAAACAACGAACTCTCCCAGACGATGTTGTGATATCTAACTTTAACTCAAGTTCTCTTGCAACGGTGCCCCTGGCGGTGACGGTGGCGGCAGCGACCCCACTACTACTCTACAGACCTCTACCCGAGCGTCGTCTACACAGGTTCCTCCCGTGTCGACTCAACCATCTGGCCAGGTAAGTCACATATCCATAAGTGTCCACTGCTACATATAATTAGTAATTACTAACTTAATACAGTGCGCTCTCCTATGGGCTCAGTGTGGTGGAAATACCTGGACCGGTCCAAAGTGCTGCGCCACTGGAACGTGCAAGGCGCTCAACGACTTCTACTCTCAGTGCACCACTTAAGATCCTGTATCAAGTCAAGAGTGTATGACGAGCCTTACTGGCTAGATTCCGTGAAGCGGCGATCAGAGAAACCATTCCATGTATATACCTTCAATAGCTATCTTGAGAAACGTGTAAGACACTATACTGTTGAGACCCCTTTCTGCTTAAGCCAGAAATAGCTACTCATTAACAATTCGTGACTCCCCAGGCAAAAACAGGTTGGCCAAACTTGTGATCCCAGTTTTCCTTAGATGACCAATCTCCTGTTCAGCGGCACATGGAGCAGCAGCGTACAGCCTCAGAACACGATTGGACTTCTTGGTGTTACCCCAGACCATCTAACATGAAGTTAATCAACCAATAGACACTCGACAGGTCCAGTAAGAAAAACGTACATGATCGCCCTTGGTATAAGTCGGGATGCTTGTGCAGCCTTTGTTCTTTGAACCAGAATAGGACCCTTCAAAACCAGAGCCTCTTGGACAGTCGAACTGCATGGTCCACGCATTCGCAGACGCGATAAGTGCCAAGACACTAAGTGTGAACTTCATTTTCGCAAAGTGAGGTAGACTTCTTTAAGGTTGCAAGTTTAATGATATGCTTAAGTTTTTGCTTTCCACGATATTATGCTCAATACTTATAGAGCCAAGTGGTGTAATCTGTACGCCGTCTTTTGAGGATTTTCGCCCCCACTTTGGACTGTAAATAGTTCTGCAGTGATACTTTTTCTGTGCCTCTAGACTAGTCCGGCACGATGTTACACATCTCTCGATATTGCTGGCGGTTTGTAGACCCCTAATCCTAGTAACTGGCTGACCGACTGGTGGAAGAGCTATTACCCCGCCTTGAATCTACTTGAATCCAGACTGCGGCTGAAGTTGTTGGTCCCCAATCAGTACCGCTGCTTACGCGTTTCCTTTTCTCACCAAGCTTCATTTTCATATTTACAGATTCAATCCAGCTCAAGAACATCTCAAAAACCACAGGCATAACACGATAGCCGAGATAAAATTATGATTTGACTGGCTATCAATACATCGCTATCATGTCGGCCAACGCACCGGAGTACCAGCACTTCGTCCCGCAGTTCATCCTGAGGAACTTCGGCCATCCTTTCAGCTGCCCTAAGGCCCGCACGAAAGGCTTGAAATGTACGAAGCACCATCACGAAAAAGGAAAATACCCCGGCGACCCAGTTGTGAACTGCCTGGAACTTTTGCCCCAAGATTACAAGATTGAGGAGCTTCCTATCCGACGAGTGTGCGGCCTGGATGACATGTACACCGACCAGTCACCTCAAGCAACGTTTCCTCGCGAACTGGAGAAAAAGTTCAGCAAGCTGGAGGGCCAGACGAGTGTCGTGATTCGCAAGATAATTGGTGCTCACCAACGTGGAGAAGAAAATGTCAAAATTACTAGAACACAGCAAACAGTACTGCGCAAGTTTGTCTATCTACTGAATCAACGAGGCTCGGGCTTCTTCAAGACATACAACTGCAACAGCATCGATGACTACAAAAAGAATGACCGGGATCTTCTGAAAGAGTTTATGGACCGAAATGGAATTCAACGACCGTTGGATGTTTGGTTACAGGGCTTGAGTTCTATCATTGACCTCGATATGGGCCTGGCAGCAAATTGGCAACAAACCCTCAAGTCAACCGTCTATTATGGCCTATTTTGCCATTTCAGGGAACACATCACTGAATTCTGGATGTCCTTCTGCACCCCTTCCAGCGAGGATCAAGAGTTCATTCTCTCTGACACAGGAAGTCATGTCTACGAAGGACCAACTATCGACTTTCAGGACAAGACAACAGGAGAGTTCCTACGCCAGGGACCCCGCTTTCACCTCTTTGCGCCCATCTCCCCACAATTGATGATCGTTCTGAGAAGTAAACATCTACCAGAGCCCCACGAGGATAAAAGTCCTGAGGTAAAGGCTGAGCGTCAGCTTTGGCGACAGATTGAGATCGACTCGATCTATGGCACAGAAACAAAATCCATATTAGAAACCCTGCCCGTTCACAAGGCTATCAACAGCTACTCCACCTTGGTGAATGGAGTACTGAGAAAGCGGCCGGGTTGGGATGGACAGCTTCGTCAGACTGATACCTTCTCATTCCCTTTCTTCGAAATCTCCACGCACCATGCACGCATTATGAACGGTCTTCTTTTGGACCACGCTTTTCATGGTCGGACAATCATCTTCAACAAGAAGGCTACATTCTTCGATCTGTTAGAATGGTTCTTGACGGAACCTTGTGAGGTTGGCAAAAGGCTGGGCGGAGAACACCACGCGGAGCAGATGAGGTATCTCTCGCAGTTGACGGCTTTGATGCACGCCCAAGGGCGAAATGTCTCACTTTGTATCACAAATAACCATGTCAGCAACCATCTTGACATGGAAGGTTATAAAACCCAGAACAATGCTGCCGCACGGTGGCTTGAGGGCCTTGACAAGAAAGATGCCAGTGAGGGAGCTGTCAAACAGAAACAACCACAAAGTCCTGATGCCGAGATCGATGCGGTTCAAGATACTTCAGCGGGTCTCCAAGATCAGCCCAAGAATGAGAAGAGCACTATCGAGGGACAGCCAACTGACCATGGTCTGACGTTGAAACACGAAGAGGAATTGAGCCAAGCCGAACTCACATCTCTCCATGCTTCCGAATTCTCAACACAGTTCCAGTCAGCAAATTCCCAGAGGGCCCATGAACAACTAGTAATGACGGTAGGGGTCGTAATTTTTCTCGCAGCGTTGACTTTTATGATTCCATTTCTGGCTAAGTGGTCAGATCGATTTTCGCAGGCCTGTTTTGGGATCAGGTTTTATGAGCTTCTGGGATTTACTATTCGCACCGTGATATATATACTTCGGTGGCTACTTTGCCTTTTGGGAATCTTGTTTGGAATTTGCTGGTACCTGGTCTCCCACGCAAACAGGTAGAAATGACAGATGAACAAAATGTTGGATTTGCTGTGTATAAAACGGATCAAAGTGTGCTATAAAGGACGTTTTGGATCTGAGTTCACAAATCCGTGGAGATGAATTGGGATTTGCAAAAAATAGAAGCAGCAGAGCGAGAAATCGCGTACTTCCTTTCGCAGCTTTTGAGTTGTCAGTTCTTCAGGTTGTGATTTGACCCAATGAATTTACGCTGGTAGTCAGATTTGATAAGTTCTCATGTAACCAATGTCGACTCAGTGGAAAGTGCAGCCTACAACAACATACCTCTGTGAGCTCCATGTCTTGATACCCCAAGTTCACATCCTGCTTGATCGTTTGATTGGCTCTCGGCTACGGCATCGTTTAGTGCACCATCTTCAACTCCACCAGCTGAAAAGATGGAACAGCTCGCGCTAAGATGGATCCTCCCGCCCTCCACTTCACGCCGAGGTTCATCTCAGATTCAGCATATGACATTGAAGTAGGTTTCAAGAAGCGAGCCTAGAACAATCCGCAAGGATGGAATAAATAGCTTGTTTAACGACAGAGTGAACGGAAAAACAGCTTATCTGGTTGTTGGTCCTAACTCAATGCCCACCAACGACATTCAGACTAGTCTCACCAATAGAGTTTCACCTTCTCCATAGAGACGTCATAGTCAAGTCTTACTCAGACCAAGTTCCAACCTCTAGCTCCCGGCCTCAGCGGCTCAAATTGCCATTTGTTTCTTCCAAAAAGGCCTCACTGACTGACCTCAATTCCTTTCAACACGCGTCAATTGCGGTGATGAACAATGCCTTCTTCAGACGAAGCTTCAGCCCACCAAAATGAATCCGCCCAAGCGCGTCCAAAACGAAAACTCCCGCCATGGCTGGACCACTTCAACGCCCACGACATGAAGATCTTTCTTCGATGCTGGATCGCAATATGGGTTATGATGCTCCTCATCTTCATCCACCCCAGTCTCGTCGAAATCGGCCAAGCGACATTCCTCGGCGCAATTCTCCTCTTCGCTGTACCGCCTGCTAGTATCTTGTTCATCTATCTCCTCGCCGCGTTTTCGCTGCTGCTGGGAATGTGCCTTGCCTGGTGTTGGGGTCTGTTGACGATGAAGGCAGCGCTAGCGACGCGCTCTGATGCTGAGACGCAGGCTAAGCTTGAGGCGCTGCAGCAGCAGGTTGGGGAGATTGCGAAGACGACGGGACAGACGCCGGCGTGGGAGGCGCAGATTTTGATCCATGAGGGTTTTATGCTTGATGCCAGAGTCACGGCTGTGTATTTCAGTATGGGCTGTTTGTTCATCTACGTCTTGGCTCGGCTGCGATGCGCGAACCCGAAGCTTGTCCTCATGCAGATCTTTGGAACGATTGTCACCGATATCTTTATCCTTTTTGGCCCGACACTCCCAGCGTTTCAAGGCGACCTTGCAGCGATCCTCGTCAAGCCTGGAGCCATCGGCATCGGTCTGGGCTTAGCATGCTGCCTGCTTCTCTTCCCCCAGTCAACATCGTACATGGTTCTCGGTCAGATTGAGAAGCTAGTCCGCATGTCTAATTCAGCTCTTTCTGCGACCAAGAGGCGATTTGCTGATGAGGCCGTTCCGCTTGCGGAGCTTCAAGGGAGCAGGGCTATTATGATCGCTGTCTTTAAGGCCGGACAGCCAGCCCTCGCGTTTCTTCCGATTGACTTTTCTCGTGGTCGATGGAACGCAGATGATGTCAGAGGTTTGCACCAGCGGGCGCGCAAAGTCATGTTTTCCAGTCTGTATCTTTTGGATTTCCAGATTGCCCAGGTTCGAGGGAAGCAGAAGGAGGAGGAACATATCAAAGCTCAAGAAGATGGACGAATCGGACCTGCGACAGACAAAGAGAAATACGAGATTGGGCAACATCATCGACATGAAAACGCCACGATCCTGAGTGCTTTCCAAAGACCAGAAGGCTCTGAAATACGCTCTAGAACGAGGAATACGCTTCGGGATACCACATCAGACCTGCTGGACATCGGACCGCAAGCCATTAACCTCGCGGCCGATTATATCCATGCCATTAATTCCTGCCGGTGGATGGGAAAACCTTCGCCTGTACAGTGGGAGGAGCTGAATCGAAAACTTCACGATACTTTGGCAAGATCACGGCAGGCGAGGGAGGCATGCGTCATCAACACAACAAAAGGTGTTCTCGAGGCTCACGCAGAATTGTTCGACGAGAATGGCCACCTCAAACCAGTGGAGGGAACTGATCGACCATTCCTGCCAAGCATGGTGATTGCCATGGTCATCGAGGAACGGATTCTGAACATGGCCATTGCGACAGAGAAGCTCCTAGAATACATACTCCACCTCTCGGAAAAGCGAACCAGCCACCGTATTTGGGTTCCATCACAGCTGCAATATGCTCTGGCCTGGATATTCCATGGACAGATCTCTTTTCCAGGCTACGATATCTCAACAGAGGAGGATCCAGATCAAATGATGGACGGCGAGTCTTTCGATGAGCAAACTAAGGAGACCAAACGAAGGCTAGATATCAGCCGCGGATACAAAGGCTCTTCTGCGCAGAGAAGTAAAATTGGTCGAGTATTCATCGCGACGTACAACTGGCTGGTCAATCCGTCTGGCATGTATGCGCTGAGAATGGTAGCGGTTACCATTGCAACGTCAATACCGGCAGTGCTTCCCAGTACAGCTGGTTTCTTCTACCGAGAGAAGGGTATCTGGGCCGTTATCAGTGCTCAGACTGTTTTACTCGTGTATCTGGCGGATTTTACGTTTTCGCTTATCGCGCGTACGATTGGAACTATTGTCGGAGGAGTCATGGGCATGGTGGCTTGGTACATTGGTGCTGGAAGTGGTGTTGGCAATCCATATGGTATGGCAGCTTCAACAGGCGTCATGATCATTCCCATGCTCTGGTGGCGCCTCTATCTTCCCCCCTCATTCGCATTTGCTACAATCATGGGCGGGGCCACGTTCTGTCTCGTTCTCGGCTTCAGCTGGGATCACGACCATATCGTCCAGTATGGTCTTCCCGGTAAAGGCTACGAAGCATTCTGGAAGCGAGTCGTCACTGTCTTGATCGGTTTCGTCGCTGCGTTCGTCGTGCAATTATTCCCGAGTCCACCATCCGGAACGACGCACGTCTGCAAGATTCTCGCAAACTCGGTGCGAAGTCTGTCAGATCACTACGCTCTTCTGATTTCCCACTGGGGTCGGACGGATAGAAATCATGCCTTGGGTGCAGTCGCAGAGCATGTCTCGATCGAAGTTGCAGAAATATTACTGGCCGTGAGTCCTTCCATCGCATTGCTGAAAGGCGAATTGAGCTTCGGGCCCTTCGACCAAAAGGTTCTTTCGCAAACGAAGGAGCAGCTACAGTATATGAACCAAGCCCTCGGCGGTCTTCTCAACCTCGCATCTACACTACCACAAGAGATGCAAGACCGTCTTATTCGCGTTGCGAACATCCTCGATGAGCGATCCATTGGAGATGTCATGGCTGTGCTCGGCATCATCGAACAGTCTCTACGAACAGGCTCACCTCTACCTGAACGACTACCTGCACCACTTGTTCGACGCGCCATTGATTCATTCTATGCTTCGAAAAGCGAAGTCCTGTTAACAACAACCTTAGTCGCAGATGAAGATCACCGACGATACTGCGTCGCCGTAACGCTGTATCTCAAGTTTCTGGGAAGCATTGATGATTTACTGATTGTTCTGAAAACAGCGCTAGGAGAGAGGCATATCATTTATCAGTGGGACGATGTCAAGGATATCGCATAAGTCGTCAGACCAATAACACTGCTGTTAGACCGAGCTTTAGGTGCATGGATCAGATTGGACCACAATTAGCCGAATATTTGACATTGATCAGTTATCGTATGAAGTGGAAAGCAGTCGTGATTTCAGCCTCGAGGTCGTCGTCCAATTATTATCAAGGCGTGCCGAGCTCCAGGTTAAAATCTCACAAGCCAAGTCGGTTGGTGGCGCATCGGGCTCCACTACGAGCTGAGACTATTGATGCGTTAGGCATTGACCCAACACAAGTAGAAGCACTAAAATACAGTGAGTAATTGTGCTGTGTTTTATGTCACTCTACCTTGGTCATGAGAAATTGTATCGTTACGCCAAGCTTGTGATGGGAAATGGCCGATGACAGGCAACCATGAGTCTCATGAGAGTATTTTAATTCATTTAGGTCCTTGTCTTGGTCAAACTCAAGACTGTTCTTCATCGATCTAAGCATGGCCACTCTCGATACTCTACCCGTTGAACTTGTCGCAAAAGTCGTAAGCCATCTGTTACCTCAAGATGTCAAAGCCTTGAGCTGCGTCAGTTGGTTCATGCGGCATGCCGTTATTGGAGACCTCTTCCGAACTCTTATTATTCGCTGTCCGCTGGCGTCTACCCAAGTTCTGGAGGAGGTCATCCACAAGTATCAAGACTTTATCTCTACAGTCCACTTGCATGTCTCCTTTCAACCCAACATGGAGGAAAAGCCCCACGACGGTCCAATGCCCAGCGTATGGGGGCCGATTCCAACAGACACACTCGAGAAAATCACCCGAGGCGATCTCCTCAGCAACGTCAGTTCTTTCGTCCTCAACTTCACTGGGGCACAATTTAAGTACGATGGCTGGTGGGGCAAACCAGCAACTTGGCCAGATCCAAACATGGCCCAGGACATTTTTAACAGTGGGGAGAACTGGGATCAGACACTGCAACAAGAACGCGACATTATATGGCGCGCTCAATACAACGAATTCATGCGAGCCGTCTCAATGAACCAAACCATTACTAGCCTCAAGATAAAAGACCTTATTCCCAGGAACGCTTCCGCATGGGAAACGCCAGAGTGGGCGTCTTTCCTGGGAAGGCTGCAGGTTTTAGAGATTGGTGTCTTTGGCGGCGATGATGGCGATTGTTTGCACACCAATCTCGGGTTCATAGAGTTTATCGGAAGTTTGCCGCACTTTATCATGAGGCATGCGCGAAATGTCCGGCATCTTACTCTCGAAGCGAGCCCTGATGGTTTATTTGGAGGGGCATCTGCCAACTACAGCATCCCTCTGCCCTTGAAGGAAGATCACCTCCCCTTCCTCCACTCACTCACGCTCAAGAATATCATGATCGGACCTGATCTGATAGAGTTTCTCACCGGTCGAGTCGATTGCTTTGAGGAGGTTGAACTACATGACTGCATGTGCGATGGGCCTGTGCCTGAATACGGACCAGATTGGGACCTAGAACCTGTGACTTGGGCTGATCTGTGGAGAGCCATCCGGGAGAGAAACATGCGGCTTTTCAAGGTGTCTGTCGTGCAAATCAAAACACCTCCGCTTCTATGGCAGGAGGGTGATAGCGAGGAGGATGAGGCCAGTGAGGATTCTATCGCGGCTGCGAGGATTCGAAAGATGCTGGAAGAGGATGGAAGTCTGGTGTTGTGGAGATATGCTAGGGTTGATTACAAGTATGGTTGGATTGTGGAACTTTCGGATGATAATGTCAAGTATTTTGAAGACGGTGAAGATCAGCGGGAATATGTGAAGCTTTTGAAGGTGTTGGAGGAGAGGAAGCAGCAGCAAAGGTGATGGAAGAAACGGTGAAGAGCCACTCAATTGGCAACTTATCTGACTGAGTATTAAAGACTGGTGTACTAAGTATGGCAAGCAAATACGTGTTTATCTACTTAGCAATGGTGTTAGATTGTGTTGAATATCTCACTCAGCTATGATTTTATCCCCATTCTTGGCCAAATACTTGACCAATTCCAAGTAGCAATCTGGATCAGGCTTGCCGACCTTGACGGACTCGGCGGTCTCTGCTAAAATACAGAGATTTGAAGTGCTTAATTAACTAAATAAGAATATTACGTACAGTTCGATAAAGTGAACTAGGGAATTCATTGCCGCAAAAATAAACAAGTGCTTCTTCACCTGCGGTGACACCAAAAGGGTCTGGCCGGGGATTGAACCCGGGACCTCTCGCAAGCTAAGCTATAGGGTTTTCCCTAAGCGAGAATCATACCACTAGACCACCAGAAGTTTGATAAAAGTAAGTTTCAAAATTCACTCTATGATTGAATCGCGACTTCGGTGGGACTGTCTTCCATGGATGGTCGTCGCAGTCACCGGACGCCAAGGCTCGGATCTGCTCCTTTGAAAGGAGCTCCAATTTTGTCTTATCTAAACGCACTTCATTTTTCCCGTCTAGATAAGCGTATCGCACCCCCTCGTCACTGGAATTTCCTTCATGCTGACAACCCTTAGCGAGAGTTGCTTTATGTTTCTGCGCATACTGCTTTCTCAAACATTACTATTAAATTATAACGAACTCTTCGGATCGTTCCGCAACTTTGTGTCTCTCAGAAAATATCCGGATAATGGGGTTCAAGGTTCATCAATAGCCATGTCGGTGTAAGTCCATTGGGTCCAGCGTTTAAAACACCAAACTCTGTTCCTATCAATAGTGAAACACTCACCATTTCATGCGCTGCCCTACAGGGCATCATCCCCGGCGTTGATCAAATCTAGACCTTTTTATTGGTTGTCTTTAGTGGATGCCCTGTAAATCTCGCTACGGCGAGCCTAGCTCAATTAAGGTTAATCCACTATATGATTGGGCTTCTGCCTGGCTAGTCCCCTATTGCTATTCCCATTCTGTTCCCTCTCCTTTCCCAAGTTTTCCCTTCTTCAACATCTCATCGTTCATTCATTCGCTCATTTTCAGCCACAAAATACTTTCACTTCATACACTCACTATCAATATTCAACATGTCTTCTGCTCTCGTAACCTCTCTCCCCATCTTTGCCGATGCTGGCTCGTCGATGACTCTTGTCGCCGAAGTCCTCGGCGCAGACGCGGATCACACCACATACGTTCTGAACTGCCCCTACGTTGACCCCGAGAGCGAGGAGTTCCAGACCATGGACGACTGCGGTGTGTACAACAACACCTACATCATCGGACCATACATGAGCAAGACTCTCCCTCCCGGTGCTGCTAGCACAGGCGACTTTGACCTCTTCGTCACCATGCCCGGCGACGCAGAAGATGACTGGAAGTTCTCCATCCACTGCGAGATGTCGCGTACCATCGCTACGAAGTGCACCACTATCAACATTGGCGGCAACAACGACGGCCACCCTACCGCGACTATCACCAACACTGAAGATCTTGAGGAGTACGGATTTAGAACATTCGACTACGGTGCTGTTTCCATCACTGCTGGTCAGGAACTGCTCGACGCTAAACACGCGAGCGCCACTGCGACTGCTAGCGACGCCACCAAGACTAAGGCTTCGGGGAGCGATGCTAGTGGATCTGAGACTTCTAGTGAGGCTACACCTGCTAACACATCTGGTGGATCGTCTTCTTTCGCGCGTGTGTTTGGTGTTCTGTCTCTGGCTGGCGTCGCTGCTGCCCTCATCATGTGAGATGCCGGCTCGGAACAACTGTCTTGATATAGTTCTTGTATGATTATCAGTAATGAGGGCTTGGGGTTGGAGACGATAAGTCTCGTAATGCGCAGGATTGAGCATGATATTTATACTTTATGCAATCAACATAAATAAATTAAGCTTTTACCTCAACAGGTGGTTGGAGGAGATCCGTGGAGCCAGTTTAACTTTGAACCTGTCTGCTTGAGTTTCCCAGGCAACTACAGTCATTGAACCACAACTTGCTCAAACCAGACTGCACGCTGAGCCCTCATGGCATGAGCAAACATAACTTCAAAGTGATGTCGGTATGTGAGCAAAAAGATATTTTTGAACTTACATTTTATAGCAAGACTTGAATGTGATGACACTCTTCATTGTGGATCATGAAGAGAAGCCGGGGGGCGTCGATGTGTGAGTCGATGTTAAATCATGGCATGAGGGTGTAAACATCAGAAGTGAGTAGGATTGAGCATAATGGAAGAGTAAAGAGCCTCTTCGTGTCTGGTCCCTGCTTTGGGTTAGTTTTAGTGAAAGTAAAATGTCGTCGGGACGCCTGATCTAGCTTCGATACAGTATTTAGTTTATCTAATCTTACTTATTTCTTTATTTTATTTCTTTAATAATTATTTTAATTCTCTTATACAGCTTTTAGTATCTTTAATATAGAATTCTAATGTTAAATCCAAATTACTCCTAGACTTATTAAAGCTATTTAGTTACTGACTACAGCTACAATAAATACCCAGGTGCCTTAAAAACTGCAGCTCAAGATTAGTCGGCAGCGAAATATTTTAACTTCTCTCCAACGAAACCATGAATAACCACGGAAAATTAAAAATAAAATAAAAAGTTTTTAATACCCCATTTATTGTACGTCGCATCGTGAAAGCTCAAACCATTTTCCCATGCATAAAAGACTCTTAAACCCCTCCACAAATATCTTCTTTCTTTAGGCTGTGGTTCACACAAACTACCCCAAAGATGTCTTCAGTTACTCTATCACCGAGCCTCAAGGACCCATTTTCAAATTTTCCTGTCGAGATCCGAGAAACGATCATATCCTGCTTGGGACATCGACAAACAGTCCTCGACTTATGCCAAGCATCGCCGATTATCAATCTTGATCGCAAAACAAACAATTTGCTAATCCGATGGGACTCTTTGCACAACAAGTTTGACCGCATTGACGAGTTGGCATTGCAGTCCGCAATGATGTGGTTGATCTGCTCAAGAGATGGAGCGTTCTATCATAGGTACGGAAACTGTGTTATCGTCGATCTCCTGGACTCGCCTTATACGCAAGTTCCCGATCCGTTGTTCACAACTCGACGATTCTTGATGATCAATAAGCTTGAGGATTTATGCCAGAGAGTGATACCAAATCTGAGCATGGGTGTGTCGGTTATGGATAGATACGCTCGGAAATACGATCGGACGGAGTGGGTCACGTTTGGGGCAACATTCACTTCAGTCTCCTTTTGTCTTACGAAATCCGTGGGACCTTTGGAGATTTGTTCTTCCACTCGATTTGTTGGATGATTGGGGCCAGGACGGGAAGTCTGATTCGGCGCCAGATGATAATGGGTGTATAGCGACGTTGTGGTTCCGAATGAGGGATAGAGACATGAGTTTGCCCCTTCCATGTACTCTGTTGTTAAGTTCCGGCCACACGAATACTTCATCTGGAGGAGGATGAGTAATTTGAGCTTCTAGGACAGGAGGAGTTGAACTAAAGACGGCGATTGATTGAGATCAGGTTCAATGCTTCTGTAACAATGAGAAATGTTCTTGGGCTAGACGCTTGCGTGCATTGGAGACTAGCAGTGAATACTGACTAAGGGACAGTCCGTCATCAACTCCAGCATTATAGCAAGGAATTAAACAATTGCTAATGGAAACTCTTGTTCTTTGAGAGGTTTCTGATAAAGATCTCTTGTTTAGTTCCCAACTTTCCGTCTGTTTACACAAAAGAAAATTATGATCTTTGAAGAGTAAAACAATTTCACTAAGGTCTTGGCTTTATGGTCATAGCTATTTGAAATGAGATCTGTAAGACGTCCGTACCGCGGTAGATCGTCAGTTGGTTGGAGATGCTTTAATTTTTATGTAATAATCTCTTAAAGCTGCTGTGCTATCGCTGTATAATATTCGAACCATTATCTTTGTTTATATCTATGTATTTCGTAGGAAGAGCTGTCGATTTTGGCGACCTACCAAAGCAACTCATTGGACTGACGGCGGGGTCGTTACTCATCTGCATCTTCAGAGGCATCAAAATATAGCTACAAAATTATTCGGAAAAGCGGTTTGATTCATAAATAGGAAAACTCCTCTTTCTTGACCCAATTAAATGAAAAGTCTGGAGACGTCATCAGACGTCATTACCCTAAAGACTTGGCTCTCGGCGATTTCTCTATTTAGTCGGTGCGGTAGCCGACGCCAAGCCAACACCAATTCAGCTAAGTCCGCAGCCCTGCCGCTTTAGCCTCAAAAGACCGAGTTTGGCATGATCTTAGCCAGGAATGAGGCACAGACCCCTGTAGGATGCCTAAAACCGTTCCATCTTTATCCCAGAGCTGGCCAACGGGAGCCTAGATCATGCCTGATTAAAATTAGACCATCCAAAATGACCGAAATATAAACGGCCCATTCCGGTCCCTGACAGTTCCCTCTTGTCTCTTGACGCCATTTACTCTTTTTTGCTTTGCCATGGCGAGGCTCAATTTATTACACGCCGCTCTTTTTTTCTGGGTGGCTCTGGTGGCTGCCCAGTCTGTTAAGCTCGATCGACTTACGCACCAGGGTTGCTTTCAGGGAAGACAGCCATTGCATTTTGCTTTTGCTGGATCTTCGCGAACGGAGAAACACCTCAGAGAATGCTTGAAGACCTGTGAACGGAAAGGTCAACCTCTGGTCGCGTTCGGTACCGATCACTGCTTCTGCTCTGATGATGTACCTCTCGACATCCCCAGTCTGGACAACGACCGCTGCAATGTGAACTGTCAGAATGGCTTGAACGATAACTGCATCAGGGTACCGGAGGGCAGTGTCTCCAAGGGAGAAATGCTCTTCAATGTCTTCAAGATTGGTCCGAGACAATTCAACGGACCAAAGCGGTACGCAAAGGGCCACGGCAAGCTTGGCAAGATCACCGCTCAGGGCTGCTACGACGTAAAGGCTCGACCTTCGTCTCCCGAGCACATCAGAATCGTCAATTATGAGACTCGCCTAGAGTGCGCCAGGTTTTGTGCTGCGGAGGGAAAGCCTCTTGCTTTGATTGGCGCCGCTTGCTACTGCGTCAAATCATACCCTCGATTCGACTTGGCCGCTCAACTTCGGAAGTGTTATCTACCCTGTTTCAGCGATGAAGATGAGACATGCCGGCGCCCATACACATATATGCCACCTTACCAACGCAAAAATCTCGAGCGCGACTACATTTCAGTCTACGACACTGGCCTAGGTGTAGATGTTGAGATCGATCCAAGTTGGCCGACCGACGAAGAGGAGGATGAGATACCCAAGGCGTTCGAGATGTCCAAGGTATCCAGGGAGGCACCAGAGACATCAGAGGCATCCAAGGAAACAGCTTCTGAGCCCTCCGACATGGACCAACCTCCAAAACAGCCATGCCATAAGGCAGAATACCCGTCGCCTCTGTCACACTATTTCAAGGACAACAATCCTGCAAAGTGCCACCACTTCTGTTTCCAAGGAGGTTGGAAGTATATCTTCACCCGAGGAGGTTTCTGCGAATGTTACGACACATACCCCAGCAAGAAGTCGGAGTTACCAGAGAGCATGTGCAACCTTCAATGCCCTGGAAACAGTTTATACCGCCTGCAAATGCCTACACCGTGTACGACCTTGGAACATCAGGTAAACTGCCTGACGACACAAAGCCACCGAGACAGGCAGAGCAATGTTTTGAAGAACTTCCCAGAAAGGCAGAACTAATAAGCGTCAGCGAGATCAACAAACCCCGCGAGGTTTGCATCAACAAGTGCAGAAGCGCAGGAAAGCCTGTTGCCTTTGTTTTCAGCTTCGTTTGTTACTGCGCTGACGTATATCCTCGCGCTGTAGTCACACAAGACCGTCGCAACTGCAATACCCCCTGCGAGGGCGAGGCTGAATACTCGTGCGGAGGTCTTGAAGGCACCAAAGCATTCTTTTCTGCCTACAGAACAGGTCACTTGGGCGCGGAATACAGCATCGGGAACGAAGAGGATATGTCAGAGCTTCTTCAACTCCCCTACATGGAACCGCTTCTTGGTCAAGCAACATCCCACGGCTGCTACGCCCCATATGACCGCTTTCTGAGGTTGTTTCTGTGCGTTGTCTATCGTTATGACTAGGCAGACTTCGCGGAGACACCGAAGACTGGCCTGTTAATGATGCCGATCTTCGAAGCTTCTAGTTACTATTGACGCGTTATTGTACCATACTATGCCCAGAATGTGTACCATTTCTGGCTTGGTCGTGCTATCATGAGACGCCAAGGCATCTAATTCAGTGTTTGTTATCATTGTCCTCTAAATATAGTTTCATTTTTCTACTATCTTCTCTATTAGTAAATCGTCGAGACGCTCATGATTAATTCTGATGACTGGCCCTTTCCGCATTCAAATCATCATAGCATTCTGTTAATTATTGCTAGGGCTTTGAAGTAGATGGAAGAACTGACTGAGGTCAGTTATTCTCAATATCACCTGCTAATAAGTATTTGCATTGTTACTAATATTTGAGGGTTTGCCTTTTATGTGAGTTTGGATACAGTGTTCTTTGATATCAGTAAGCCTTTCTGTGTAATTTAGCTACTCAACCTCCTAAAATAGGTCTTGGGAATTTGTAAATTCTACAAAGAGTTCACATATGTAGTTCCCTTGGTGTGTATGGAGTCTTTCTCTTTTTGGCAATTGCCAAGGGGGCTGAATTGTAAGCTAAAGCCCCACTCCTTTGCAGCTCAGGGGTCGCTCAGTCTAAAGCAGCGACTGCTCAGGTTAGCAAGTGAGACAGGAAATAGTATAAGCCCATATTCACACTCTGTATTAAGCTTTTTTATATAAACCTTTCACAGTCTGTCACTGATTTGGAAGTTAGATTAACTAGTGCCAACGTTAATCCCCTTATAGTTTCCCCTGGCCGGGGAACGTCGCCCCAAACAAGGCTTCCCACCACCATGGGCGAGAACGTCCACAGCTGAACTGAACATGGCTAGCTGTTTCAGTTGTGCATGAACTTATCACTTATGGGATTCAAACGATTCCCGTCATCAAGGAGATTAGTATGCAAGTAGACTTATCAGATGCGGGGATGAAGGGGAGGGTCCAGGGGAGCAAGAAGCAGTGACAGAATTACGCACGATTCACTGGCAAGGGTTGTGAGGTTACTTCGTCCTCCATTTCCCTCTTCAACTCTACTCATCAAGATGCCTCCAGCTTTGCCTCTATCGATAGAGAACAGTACATTGTATTACCCCTCAAGACGAATCAAGGCAGTCTGCTTAAGTGAACCTTTCGTGGCTCTCCGTGTTACTCATCCCTCAAAGGCAAGGACCAGGTGAAGGACTGTAAATACACAGTACGACCAGAACTATCCATGCTTTCATTCGTCAGAGTGAAATCCTGATCTAACAAGCTTTCATTCTGTGATCTTTAGTATCTCACCCCCTCACGCTTGGAAACTCTCCCATACTATAAGATACCAAGTTTCTTTCTCAGTCTTCCTTTCTTTATTCTTCTCACTTAACCGCATTCGACAAACCTGTCTAACTTTCGACAGCTCACACCTGACACAGCAATAAACAACAAAAGGTAATACTCCTTCCTACCCTAACATTCTCCACTCATCATATCCAGCTACAATGAGAACCAACGAGCAAGGTGAAAAGATTGCCTGTTCCAGGTGCCGCGTGGGGCACCGAACATCTACGTGTGTCGACACCCCAAGACATCAAGGTAAACACAAGCCCTCCCTCAAGCATGCACCAACGCTAACAGACTTTATAGATGACGTGCAGGTGATCCCCTCACCTGGTCGTCCAGAAGGGTCCAGGACAGACCCAGCCAGGGCCGCTGTGCAGCGGGAAAAGAGGAGACTCCGGCAAAAAAAGGCGCCGGAGGAGGAACAAGGTGTTGCGGGGCTTCAACAAGAGTCACGCGCCTTTCCTCCTCAACGCGCAGTTTCTACACCTGTGCCGGGGAGCTATGCTGCTAGATTCCCGGGGTTCCCTATGGCCGGGGACCAGAATCCAGGGGGCCTTGTAAAGCCTCAAGCTCCTGTCCCTTCCCGGCGATATAGTGCCCCTCCTGATCCCCTTTCTTTTGGCTTACCTGAGCCCGCCCAGCGTCCCTGGGAGCAGCCAGTTTATCCTGGTATGGACTACCGCTCTACCTCTCATACTCTCGCTGCTCCTGCTCCTGTTTCTGTCCCTTCTGCCCCCGGTTTCCCTGTTACTGCTCCTGACCATGCTGCTTCTGCTGTCCCCTCTGGGATGGACGGGTTCTCGTATGTGAGGGTAAGGATGCCCATACAGGCCCCAGGTCCCCATGGCCCTGCTCCTCTGCTGGGCTCTGATGTCACTGAGAATCCTTTACACATCAGTCCCCAACATCCCATCCATTCCCTTGGTCCCACTGCTCTCCGTCTACCCCACCATGCCTCTTCTGCCCCGGTTTCTTAACCAGTCGTGGCCAACCAGTTCAATGCTATGGAGCAGAACTTTTTGGTCAATGACCAGGTCACGGGGTTTCCGCAAGTTAGCATGGTAGTGCAGGCTGGCCAAGGGGGCAGCATGATGAAGCAGGTCATTCCTGGAAACCCCATGGAAGCTAGGTATATGGTCTCTTCTGTCGCCTCTGCCCCATTCCCGGGCATATTTTCCTTCGACGAAGGCCTTGGGGGGAACAAACCTTGGGCCATGCCTAACACTGGGCAGATTGGCCAGCCCATTCCAGCGGCCCGCAGTGGTGTCCCAGCTTCAGGCTCACAAATTCCCTCTGCGCCAAGAGCCTTCCTTGGTCACCTGACTTGGGAGAACTCCCTCAACACGGGTGTTGCCAGGCCTGGGACTCTGGCTGATCAGGAGGTGTCGGCTTCTTCTGGCCAAGATTCTTGGCTTGATTCTGCACTCCCTGCTAACGACCCCATAGCAGGTGGATACCAGTACGGCCCCGGAGGAGGGTATGGTTTTCCTGCCGAAACACCTGCTGCCTTCCCTCCTTTCTCCCTTAATTTTATGTAAGGACTAGGAGAAGCAGAACCTGGGTTACTGGCTGGCAGACATACTGTCTTGGAATCTTTGGCCAGAGGAGCAGCTAGGAAGAGGAGTAGAATGGTGGATCGAGTCAGCCTACTTGTCCTTTGAAGGATCATGAGGTGAGAGCTCATGGAAGGATGGATCATTGGGAAAGGGGCCAGGTATAGGTCAAATGGGAAGTCCCAGAATCACATGTAAGATTCAACGCTGGACTTCACTTGTGCCACCTCTGGCCAATTGAAGACGTGGCCCGGCGACACAGGAGGGTTGTTAACTGGAACTATTGGGACTGATTAGGGAACTAACTCAGCCAGAGTCAGAAGTGGCTACGAAAGGGGACTATCAAGGAAGCTGGGAATGAAGCAGACCAAAAGGTCGTCAAGTTCACTTCAATGTTGGCGAAAGGCACATGCTGACAACAAGATTCACTCCAAGGTGGTCCCTCAACGAGTTTGTCTTATCATTTACGGAGGAGCCTCGATCTGAAGTCAGTACAGTGAGAAGGAGGATATATCAACATGTTTATTTGGTTTGCATGGCATCGTGGATGGATGAAAAGATACCCCTGGAAGAAGTCGGATCTCATCGAGTTGTCACCATGAATGAGAAGTGGTTTGGAGTCATGCTAGAATGAGATTTACATTTGAAAAGTACCACAAGTCATTTGGTTGTTATTGGTTACTATACTTTCGGCATTATATAATATAGCTGTCCCTTGTGAGTTTTGAACAGCACCGATTCCAAAGTTAGTCGAAAATGCTCAGCCACTCATTCGTCCGCGTCTGCATTCACGTTTCTGCCTGAACTTTCACCACTCAGGCATCCATCAATTTGCTCCAACCCAAGTTACACACGCCACAGCCGCTATTGCAGCCAAAGCACCCAAGATCAACATTTGTAGCCCTTCGATCATCCACGAACGCACTGACGCGTCTCCCGTTTGTAGGATGTAGCTCTTGCCAGCTCCAAAGGCAAACAATACCAAGAGACAGAGACATGAGCTCCATTGGAGACCGAGGCCAACTGTGCTGGTAAAGAAGTAGGGAAATAAGGGAATGATGCCGCCGATGGTGTAGCCTAGCGATATCGAGAGGCCAGATATGATTGGTGACTGAGGCGTCGATTGTGAGGGTGATATGTCGTCTTTTAACGAATTTAGACGCGATACCATGCGTTGTAGATCTGATGGTTCTTGTTGAATTGTGTTGAGGATTGTCGTGACTGTTGAACTTGGGAGGTCTAAAGGCTCGAGATGTTGTCGCACCAACTCCTCCGCTTGCATCTGCATCTTCTCGGATTGCTCAACCATGTAGTCGCTTTCGCTATTCCTCTCATGGCTCTCTCTTGAGTCCTCCAAATCTTTGGACTTGGGCTCGCAAGGCGCGCATTCGTCTCGTGCTGCGAGATATCCTCCGATCCCCATGCTGATGCTGCCTGCGCATAGCTCTGCTAATCCACCAGTAATGACAGTATCCGTCTTTCCAAGAGAGCTGAGCCCAGCCGTGAGGGCAAAAGGTACTGTAAGTCCATCCGAGAAACCTAGCGTAAATTCGGATAGAAAGCGTTTGAATGCTGGACTTTGCGATGACTTCATTTTGAACGACGCTGCTTATCTCCAGATTTCGAGGTTACAAACGAAGATGTAAGAAGGAAGAAAGTCTCAAAAGAGCAAAATCATAAGTCCTCCACACCTCCCACGTGCCTTCCTATTCCATCCCATAATGCATCTCATCGGTGACAAGACAGGATAGCTCACGGCATGATATTGCCGACCCCAGCGGAAAACTATCCCGCAAGCGAAGTGATCTACATCGCACATGGTGAAACGCCGCCATCTTACAGGTCGGCCACGCGCTAGCGACCGCTGACCAAAGTGCGCTATTTGATTCGTCTGCCCCTGGGAGATGGTGTGTCCTAGTGCAAAAGATCCCTGGAGCGAGAAAGGCTAATGGATGGATCGTTCGGCCCGTTGACTTGGCGATCTGGCATGTGCTTGGCAGATGAACCACGAATTTATTGAAATGTTATTGAAAAAACAGTGTTGAGAATCTTAGAGGTCAAGCTTGAGTCTAATTGGCTATTTATTCTATCTAGACTGATATCATAGAATTGATGCTATTTACATTGTCCTGATGACACCGAGTATCTATACAGCAATCTAGGTAGACTTGACAGGCTCATAACCCTTAGGAGGGTTAAGTCCATCGTTAACCTCAATAGTATCCTTGTAGTAAGTAGGATTCTTGCTCTTCTTCCACTCCTTACGAATAGCCTCAAAGACCTTTCGTCCAGAGAAACTATGCTCAAGATCCAAGTTGGGCGCAACATACTCCTTGTTTCCGCCATTGGTGTTGAAAGGACCAGCATACGAAGCGTTCCAGAAGTAGCTGTCCAGCTTATGAGACTTCCACTTTCGGATCTTGTCGCCCGTCTTTTGCGCAACCAGCTTGAAGACGTTGGCGCCTACGTCCCAGCGGCCGAGGGTGTCGAGGCCCCAGTTCGCGGAGACGGTGGCGATCTCGGAGTAGTGGTTGTAGAAGCTGTTGTCGCTGGTTCCGACGAGGTGCTTGGGGACTGCGTCACCGAGAAGGATGCCGAGAATGTGGTTTTGACGAGCGTAGGTCTCGTTCTCATCCCATGTAACGAGAACAAGAGTGTTTTGCATAAAGTTCTTGTCCTTGAGAAGGGGCTCGAGGAAAGTACGTGCCCACTGGCCAGCAACAGTAACGGAAGTGTCGTGTCCGTCAGAAGTCATGTTAGGGGTGATGAACATCCACTGAGGAAGCTTGTTCTCCTTGAGATCCTTGTGGAAAACAGACTTCTCGGTATCGACGAGCGAGAGGTTCTTGATCTGAGAAAGGCGCTGCTCAGAGGTAGCGATGCTATCGTGGAGAACAGCGGGGTTGTGCTTGCGAACGTAGTCATTCTTGCCGTTCTGGTGGTTCACCCAGGCAAAACCCTCAAAGCCAGAGTAGGGCATGTCCTCTTGGTACAGACCCCAAGAGATACCGCGGTGCTCGAGGAGATCAATCACAGTAGAGACGTTGCTGGGGTTGCGGTTGAAGTCATCGTTCTGCATGCCAAAGTAATCTCCTGCGATGGCGGCCATGTAGTTTGGCTCAGAGGGATGGGTCACTCCGAAGTAGTTCTCGAGAGTGATACCCTTCTTGCGGAGCCAGGTGAAGTTGGCTAAGGCTGTCAGTCTTCATCTTTTGATCAATTGATGAGGGGAAACTTACGGTCACCGAAAGCCTTCTCGTAGTTCTCATTCTCAAAGTAGATAATGGCAATGCGATCAAATGCCTTGCCTTTCACCTTGGAAGTAGGACTGCTAGTCTTGGCAGTCGCAGCAGCAGCAGCGACCTCAGCGGTGCCAGTGGCAGTGTAGCTAGTCGCCCAGCCAGTCTCAACCTTGTGCTGCTTATGCTCCTTGGGAGGCTCATAAGAGTGGCCGAGGGCCAGACCAGCGACGGCCAAGATGGTAGCAGTTTGGAAGAGCATAACGATTGAATTCAAACACAAACTTGAACTTGAGCTAAAGATCGACGCTCAATTGGCAGCAGCGTTATTGGGTTTCATATAGGAATGCCGATCAAACTGCACGGATATCGTGCCGTGCGTTTCTCCACCGTCGGTCAACGCAACGTCGTTGGTGTAAATCATATTGAACTTTTGCAATAATCCTGGGTAGAATGTAACGCCAATGGACTGCATGGGCAGGGCACGTGTGAGTGTCTTTAGGGGCTCAGAAGGGTTCTGCTCGCGTGCCGACTCTTCCGGTTCCTCGGGTTCAACGTCACGCTAAGATGATCCCTGCTTGGGTGGGTGGAGTAAGTATGCACTGAGGGTTCATCTTGGAGCTGGAGTTTGTTCTTTTGAACGAACGACATGACAACGTGGGCTTTTTCTTCCATTTGTTGTGTGAATTATGGATGAGATCAAGTCGCCTTGGGTGAAGGAGGATGAGAGAGATGGTGAGGGGACGTGGTTCCTTGGTGATGAGGCTGCTTTGAAGTCAGAGCAAGCGGTTGAGAGAGCTTCGTGGAAGACCAAAACACCAAAAAGCAAGGGCTTGACAATATTCATCGCTGTCGCTTGTCTTGTTTCAATTCTGCTCCTGGCCGCAGTCACTCTCAACCTTCAGGTCCGACCATCAACACACAAAGAAGCGCATCCAAAACCCCCTCAACCAAGCAAACAAGCTCCAACGCCAGAGACAATCAAACACCAAGAACCCATCCCCTCAGCACCTCAACTCCGCGATACAAAAGAATACATCCTCTCATCATCATGGCACCTCAACTCCTCTCCAACAACAAGAGAATATTTCTGGACCATCAACGACGCCGTTCTCAACCCCGATGGCGTCTACAGGCCAATGATTCTCATCAACAATCAATATCCCGGCCCTCTCGTTGAGTGCAACGAAGGCGACACTGTCATCGTTCATGTTGAAAATAAGGCTGTCAATGCGACTGCGATTCATTTCCACGGCATGTTTCAGAACGGCACGAATAATATGGATGGAACTGTTGGCATTACTCAATGCGCCATCGCGCCAAACTCAAACTATACTTATAAATTTGATGTCAAGGGTCAGCATGGTACGTATTGGTATCATGCGCATCATAGCGCTCAGGCATCAGATGGATTACTTGGACCTATGGTTGTTCACTCCAAGAAGGAAAAGGACCTGCAGAAAATGGACTACGCGACTGATAGAGTTGTTATGGTTCAGGATCATTACCATAACTTGACATCGGAGCTTTTGATGGAATATCTTGCGCCAGATCAGGAGAACAATGAGCCGGTACCGGATAATGGTCTTATCAATGGGCGAAATGTTCGCGATTGTGCGGACTTTAAGGGTTGGGCGTGCAATACTACGGATCTTGCTTTACCGATGATTGATCTTGAAGCTGGGAAGCGTCACAGGCTTCGCATCATCAACGTCGGCGCCTTTGCAGAATTCCAGATCCAATTCGACGAGCATCCCTTCTACGTCACAGAAGTCGATGGCACAGACGTCCATCCTGAGCCAATCCATCGAGTAAACGTCCTTCCAGCACAGCGGTACAGCGTTGTGCTCGAGACAAATGTCACAACAGCTTCGACATTCTGGATGAGGGCTAGGATGGTGACGCACTGCTTCAAGAACAAGAATGAACGTCTTCAGTCTGAAACGAGAGCCATCATCCGATATACCGGTAAGGGTAAGACAGCTTCTGAAGAGCCAAAGAGCAAGGAATGGCCTGATGCGATCGAAGTCATCTGTCGAGATCTGAATACCACTGCTCTTCGACCAGTTGAAGTTGTATCGCCACCCCCAGCAGACCAAGTCATCGTTCTTCGCGCAAATTTTGAGATAGGAGATTGGCGCTTGGCGAGGGGGTTCTTCAATGAGTCAACTTGGCATGCTAACGCAACGCATCCATCTTTACATCGGTTCCTCGACAGTGGATTACAGAGCACGTCTGTGAAGAACCCCATCGCCATCAATGAGAATGTCTTTGAACGCCAAAAGGAATTTGTGCTAGAAACAAGCGGTGTCCGAACAATAGACATCTCCATCAACAACTTCGACGACGGAGCTCATCCCTTCCATCTCCACGGACATAAATTCTTCGTCCTTCTGCAAGGCCGAGATGGCTATCCGCCCAGCGCAGCGGATCTCCCGAAATACCTAGAGTCACACGGCCTTTTGGAAAACCCACTGAGGAGAGATACACTTACTGTCGAGGGATATGCTTGGGCTGTTATCCGTGTTGTGCTGGATAATCCGGGTTTATGGGCATTTCATTGCCATAATACGTGGCATGCTGAGTCTGGAATGTTGATGCAGATGTTGGTGAGGCCGGAGGTTATGAAGAATTGGAAGGTTGGTGGGGAGGAGAGGGGGTTGTGTAGTAGGGATGGTGTTATGAAGGGGATGAGGCCGGATGATAGTATCTGGTTTGGACAATTTAGGTAGGGGTATGAGGGGGGGGTTAGACCTTTTGTAGCATATGGCGTTTAGGTCTCGGTATTTTTAATTGGATAAAGTTTTTTTCTAACAGTCGAGTAGCTTTCTTTTGGTCACGACCAAGCTACTGATAGCACTACACTCTAAGTGACAACGGTGAAAAGACATGGCAATATGAATATAACGATGTTAGACTGTTCCCTTCCTGTTGATATTTATTAGATGAAAAGACTCGAAGTCATTTTCTAAGACATGAGCTTCTTTGCGGCGTAAGAGATACTGAACTACTCGATGTCAACAAGCAGTCGCTTAGAGCTCGATCTGTGCCTACGAATAAGACAGTTTTGAACGTGGCATCTTAGGAGCTTCTGTTGACTCACCTATTGATACTATAAATGATATTCAGCCATTCTCTCAAGTTTTGTCTCCAATCTATCTAGAATTGCGCCTTTGATATCGCATTTGCAATCGCATATTCACAGAGCGAAACCGGAACAGACAAGCCTCCTCCACAGTAACAAATAAATGTCAAATTTTGAAAACCGAAGGGGTTCTCGAATTCCTTGAGCCCCGCTTTGAATACACCTGGGTTTGATTGAAGTGAAAGTCGGCAAGTGACGCGGTCTTTACAATCTTACACTACAAGCCATCGCAGTAGTCGACAATACAGCAATCTTGAACTTGCAATAAGTATCATTCGCGACGGTATACTTCTCCAATTAATTTCTTTCGAAATGTGTTATCAAAATTAATCCTTCAATGACGGATCCGTGGGCCTTGTCTCCGAAGACCCGAGCATCACTCCAATCTCAAAACAGCCTCGGAGGACCAACCTCCGATCCCCACACAATGCCACGATTCGACTCCAGAAACACGGCAATGTCTCCTTACTTTACCAGGCTGGTATATGCCACTTAGTCGCACTTTTAAAATTGGTCATGTGCCCGTGATGTCCATAGCGCGGAGTCACGTCTTCCGTGGTCAGTTACGGATCGGTTCAGTGACAATTCCCGGATGGAGAAGCCTTCCGGATACTCAAGATGACTGTTCAATGGACTATCCGAGGCTTGGCGGGTGAAAACTCCGGAGAATGCTACGGATCGCGGGCCGTTAGTTGGCTTTTTGCGGGAAGATTGACAGTTTGCTCATCTTAGTGACGCCAGTTATGGTTCGACGGATGTCGAGCAACAAATTCCGACATCGTCGAAAGATATACTCCCGATATGGCTAAGAACCAATTTCCTACCCCTGGTAAGTCAGATATAAAAGATTCATGAATCCCGCAACTCATCAAACTCCTCAGTTGACAAGTGCATTCAAATCAACCAGCATCATGAAGTCCCTCCTCGCTCTCAGCCTCTTCACCGGCCTTTCAGTCGCCCAAAGCGGCGCCTGGGCCCAATGCGGTGGAAACGGCTGGACTGGCTCAAAGACCTGCGTCTCCGGCTACAAGTGCAGCGTCATCAATGAGTGGTACAGCCAGTGCATCCCCGGCACTGCTGAGGAGCCTACTACTACCCTCAAGACCACTACTGGTGGCGGTAGCACACCTACTGGTACACCTGGAAACGGAAAGTTTCTCTGGTTTGGTACTAATGAGGCGGGTGGTGAGTTTGGCGAGGGCAATTTGCCTGGAACTTGGGGAAAGGACTTCATCTTTCCTGATCCCTCTGCCGTTGATGTAAGTCAGAAACAATGGAATGGAGAAAAGATTACTGACATGGTGTAGACTCTTATCTCTCAGGGCTACAACGCCTTCCGCGTTCAGCTTCGCATGGAGCGCGCAAACCCCAGCTCCATGACCGGGCCCTTTGACACCGCTTACATGAAGAACCTCACCACAATCGTGGACCACATCACCGGCAAGGGCGCCAACGTCATTCTCGACCCTCACAACTACGGCCGCTACTTCAACAAGATCATCACTTCCACTTCTGACTTCCAGACCTGGTGGAAGAACTTTGCTACCCAGTTCAAGAGCAACAGCAAGATCATCTTTGACACTAACAATGAGTACAATACGATGGATCAGACTCTTGTTCTGAACTTGAACCAGGCCGCCATCAACGGTATTCGTGATGCTGGCGCTACTCAGACTATCTTTGTTGAGGGTAACCAGTGGTCTGGTGCTTGGTCTTGGCCTGATGTCAACGACAACATGAAGGTATGCATTCCCCCTCTTTCTGTATTGATCCCCGTAGCTAATATCACCAGGCTCTCACCGACCCTCTTGACAAGATCGTGTACGAGATGCACCAGTACCTCGACTCTGATAGCTCCGGAACTTCACCCAACTGTGTCTCTACCACCATTGGAGTCGAGCGCCTCAAGGCTGCCACCGAGTGGTTGAGGAAGAACAAGAAGATCGGCATGATCGGTGAAGTCGCTGGCGGTCCTAACGACACCTGCAAGACTGCTGTCAAGAACATGCTGGACTATCTCAAGGAGAACTCTGATGTTTGGAAGGGTGTCACCTGGTGGGCTGCTGGTCCTTGGTGGGCGGACTACATGTTCAGCTTTGAGCCTCCCAGCGGTACTGGTTATTCGTACTACAACTCTCTTCTCAAGACTTATATCTAAGGAGAGATGCTAAAATACGACGGAGAGAGAGATTGGGAGGCAACTATGTTCGGGTGTTGGTCAGTTAGGCTGGGCAGATAACGAGAGCTTTGAATTCTTTTACAAGGCACCGATATGGATTCCCATTTATGGATGTTCCTGGCAGTCTTCACACAATACATGATATACCAAAGTTTCTTATTCTATTTTCTGGTGTAAAACGACATTTTGTGCAATTAACCCCTTTCCTGCGTCTTTGTATCGTTCTGTCGTCTTCGGAGTCATGAAAACTCATTCTGTATCTCCTGACGCTTTACATACTTCGAACTATACTCTGTGAATAGTTCATAGCCCGGCCGAATATGGACTCCTTCCGCCAATATGCAATCAAGACTCTTGGGGCAAAGTCGTATTAGATTCCAGCTCTTATCTGCGGCCACATGTAGATCCTCTAAATGTAATACTTCCAAGTCGTACACTAAGACGGTATCATGTGACGAACAGCCAAAACTAATCCAGGATCGAACAAACCTCGACAGCGAAAGCATCCGTTGTCTGGTTTTGTGGGCCGATGCAGACTAGTGTAGGGTAGCGAACTTAGATGCCAATTGAGTTCTCCGCTTCCAGCAAGCAAGGTCCTACCTTTAATGGTTTCGTGGTCTAACGGTTATGACTGCGGATTCTGATTCCGCCAGCGAGGGTTCGACTCCCTCCGAGACCTTTCTTTTGCACTTCCCACATATTATTGCAATGATCTCATTTTTATTACTTGCATTTTAATTGTTTCGCCAAGGGCTCTTGTTTCTGGTAGCCAGGTAAATAGTGACTGATTGTGTATTGTATAATGATGGTATCAGAAAATCATGCGCCTCGCTGGAATACTTTGCTGTGATATGTACAGTGAATGTAACTCCAATCCATGCCTCATCTATGCCAACTCATGTCTCTGATGCTGGCCAGACGATAACTCAACAGGTCTTTGCTCATGCATCATCTCAGCCGCCAGCGAAGCATTGTTCTTCTCAGCTGAGTAAACAGAGCTGTATGCCGGGTTCGGCGACACAGCCATGGGAGAACTGTCGGGTGTTCCGGGAGAGTCTGGTGAGCCGGTGCCGGCGACTTGATAATTGCGCTTGTTGCGGCGCCAGAAGAAGAATGCTGTGAGTGCGAGTGCGACGACGCCTAGGGTAATGCCGACGGATATGCCTGCGACTGCGCCGGTTGAGAGACCACTGCTGCCACTGCCACCGTCGTTGCTCTCACTACTTGTGTTGCTGGGGTCACTGGTTGAGTTTGAAGTAGCAGTGGTAGCTGTTGAGTCGGACCCTGTTGTGCCAGCCGTAGCGGTGCTTTCACCCGTCGACTCAGGCGGCTATGACTTCGGTCAGCACGGTGGTCACGTATGTTGCAGTTGATTGGCTTACCGCAGTGTACACCGTAGAGTACATCTCATTATTAACCTGCCCAACACTACTCATTAACCAATGCTGCCGCGGTTGTTCCCCCTCAAGGTCAGAGCTCAAGATAACCGGTCCATTAGGAATACAATCCAAGTTCCACTTCGTGCCGTTCTTGACATTCGTCAATCGATATGTATCAGAGTCCCATAGCGAGATATCCCATTGTTGCATTTCGCTGTCTTCAATGGGCATCAAGCACGGCCTTGTACGGAGTTTCTCGTTGATTACTTCCGGCCGGTAGCATACGGATAATTGTTTCTTGACGGTCGTGTCAGAGCATCGGATTTGGTAGCGGCCGGGCTCGTTTCCTATCTTTTGCTACACGGTGTCAGCGTCTATTCTCATGTCGCGAGTGGGGAAGCATACAAACTGCCAGTATGACTGCTTATTGGCGTCCCAGACTCTCAAATCGCCTCCTGGCGCGGTAGGCTGAAGCATGGACTTCAAGGCCCCATCATTGTCGTCAACAGCCAACTCGGACAACTGATACCAGACGTTGGAGTCGATGTCAGTCGCAGGCTTGAGGTCCGACATGATAGCGAGTGGAGTCGAAAGAGTAAACAAATTGTACACGGGAAAGAAATTTCAAGCTTGAATTAAAGTTGAGAAGAGAAAGAAAGGAGGATCAGAAGGAAACCGGTTGATGGGTAGGGCTGAGCTGGTAGTCTTGCCAATGAGGACGGCATCTTGGCGGCTTACTGTGGGTATAATCTCGTTAGGGATGGGAAGAGGCCGATGATTGGGTAGGATCTGAGACGATCGGTGACATGTTTGTTGATCAATGGATGCTGAGTGGACTGTGATGTTCGGATGTCAGCCTTCTCCGTCGGACTCGGACTTGTCATGCCTCTGCGCCACGTCAATTCCATCACTTTAGATATGTCTTTGAAGTGCCGATATGATAATTCACTATCTACTTCCCAAAAATAATTGTAATTTTGACTGCTGTTCTCTTTAAATGGCCCCCTCGGCAGCCTCAAAAGAGGATCAGCGATCATCCACAATGACTGTATCAAAAACCGAGCGGACCAATCAGCACGATGATCTTCCATGCATGTAAGACGCGATCACATCCTTTATTTCCCGACGCGTCTAATAATGGAACACAATAAGTAATCAACCTACCAATTATCCGTATAGATCTTGCGACTCTTCCTACTCACGTGTCTGTCTGCCTTGTCGATCGTTGTAAGCTTAAATGCAAACGGAATCTAACGTGTTTTTCATGCCTTAGGCTCTCGCCTTGGCAAGTTTCAGCCACTGCCGCAAGATACGGGAATAAGACCGCCAATGTCTCGAATCGTGCTTCACCATGATTGTGGAATTTCGCGCTGCAATTCCGCGCTGTACCCAAGCTATTGGGTTGGCGACCGAGCCTCGGCTCGTGGCAGGTGGAGCCGGATACAGTGGTCTCGATGCGTCTGAAGCCGCCGAAGTCCGCTTCCGCTATCATGAAGATACGGAGGAGACTTGATAGAGCAATGAGTTCGCGATGTTTCGACTATAGATGCCGTGATATTATGTGATATATGACTGATGGAAATAGAACGTCTTTTCCTATCTGCGGATGTGGCGTGCTGCTTTTGGTGTTTGATCCGAGGTTGATTCCCACGTCGAGCATGAGTGTTCGATGGTCTCTGTTGCTGTCAGGGCAGATACACAGTAGTTACATTCTGGACAATAATGCATCGAGAGACAAGATGAGTCATCCCACTTGTTTGTTCTTGTCATAAGTGGTAAATTTCAAGGGGTTTCGATTGTTTCTCAAGGTAGGGTCAAGATAACCGTTGAAGCTTTAAGCGAAAAATACCCTAGAGTTTGGTGACAGAAGTGTCGTTATGCGCTACAACGCTCAAATTAGTATTGTGTGCAATGAGCTTCGTCCCAAGATATAGTGAGACATATACTGGAGACTTGATGCTCGTAAAAGTGCCCCGTCAATTAGTTGATACTCGTCTAATCATTGGGTCGAACTTGCGAGGTCCGGATGTCTCCCATTTTCAGTTATGACCCACTATCGTCAATCTGCGATGAGGTTAATCCCAAATCTTCTTATCATCGAGCCTCGGCATCTTTTTTCATATTCGAGAACATCGTCGAGTTGACTCGCTAGAATACGCTCTCCGCATCCCAAAGAGGTGACGTGCTACTCGACCCTATTGGCGTATCACAACCCCAGCAAGTTCACCGCCTCTGCTTCACCTCACCCTCACCATCCTCACCTTACAGTTTCACCCTCATTCCGCAGCGCGCAAAATGACAAAAAATGTAACAACCACCACCTCAAACTTCAGCTTCACCACCGCCGAGCGCGACATCCTCCTCAAACTCCTCATCTTCTCATCCCGCACGACCACCTGGCTTCTCGGCCGAAACGACGCCCCGATAGCCTCAATCCAGCGATGGCAGCTCCTGATGAAACAACTAGCACTGACGGCAAAGATTCTCCGGACCGGCAGATTCGTCCAGCAGTTCAATTGCGCCGCCCGAGCACTAACGCGGAAGCACCAGGACTATTTCCTAGCATACGTCACGGTCATTCGACAGCTGCTGATAGCGGTATACCTGACGTTTGATAACGCGACTATCTTCAATAGCATCGGCTTTATCCCCTGGAAAGGTGCAAGACGGTTGGAGATCAGGGCGTTTCGGCTATGGTTTGCCGCTGGCGTCTGCGGGATCGTCGCGCAGATATACTCCCTGTACCAATTGAACCTCCCCAATCAAGTCCCAGAAAAGCAATTGCTCTTGTGAGTATTCATTTACTTTTTTCACGTGTAAATCCTGCGCCGCATCTGACATAAGACCAGTAAGAAACAAGCCAGCAAGCTCCAATTACTAGCTGGTATTTGCGACGTTACCGTGTCTTCAGCAGCTGCGGGCTTGATCAAATTGGACGAAGGAGTCGTGTGCGCGTGCGGCGTGCTAAGCAGTTTGATTGGCATCCACAACCACGTGGTTTTGGGTAGATTAAATTAATTAATCGAGCCAAGTCATGTTGCGTTTGGATATGTAAAAGACCTACGTAAATAGAGTTCTTGGCTTCTGGGCGGCATCATTCCAGAAAAGGGATCTGGGCGACATTTCTGTTCTTGGCCCGGACTAGACCGTGATGGCGCCAAAGTTCATTGCCGAACTCGGAGCGCTATTCGATAGTGCAGGTTAGACAGGTTACCTAGTTAGTGTTGAAGAGGTCGACGAAGAGAGTGAGTGAGTGGAGAGGGGAGGGGGAGGGGAGATCTTAGGTGAGAGTGATAAGGCTGATTTGCGAAATGTTACTGGGTGACAAACCTATCACGTACAGAGAATGACTGGCTCAGAGACGAGACCCCTTCTTGTATCACGCCTGTCACTGTCACGGAGCATTCAAATCGTGGTCCCTCACTCGTCAGGGTCTAGACTTTGACAAACCCCTGACCTTACCTCCTCCCCTCCCCCCTCCCCTCCTCTGCCACGCGGTAGCATGAATCACCTTCCTTCTCTGGCCTCTACCTCTCCCTGAGCCTGTAGTTAGCGATAAAAAAAGCCTCTCGAATGCTGGACTCTGAAGTAGCCAATCCCGACATGTCAAAGTCTTGGCCTGGAGGCACGCCACTTGACGCTGTCGACTCTCAAAGCAGATTAGTCTAGTTAGTTGAAAGCGCCCCGTCAGGCCAGGGGCTGGCCACCACAGTTTCATCGGGCCAGTGCCCAGAAAGAGGATCCTGTCCCCTCATTGCACCCGAAGTGGCCGAAGTTCCCCTTTCGCCTCCCGTGCCTTGCTTGCGCTTTTCATTCCTTCGCCCGTGCTTTTTTTTCTCTTGTGCATTGCATCTGCATCTTGTTTTTATCTAGTGGCCTTCCCCGTCAAATCGTGTCGATCACTTGCTTCTTTCTTCCCTCTTTTTTTGTCTCTCTTAACCGCACGTACAGTACTTTTGCGATGACATGCGGCTCACGGACCAGACCATAATTCCCACGTTATTTGTCTTTTTTTACATAATTGTTACCTGCATCTGATCTGATCTGACTCCACCACATCAATTAAGGCTTGGCGCCTTTTTTGTGTTTTTTCACCCACGATCCTCTCGTTTTCATAACATAATAACCTACCCTCAAAATGTCACATGATCAACCCAAGACCACCGACATCAAAGTCGAAGTGGCACTCACTCGCGATGTCGAGATCATTGAGATGAGAAACATGAGCAATGCCTCGCACAAGGATGAAAGCACAACAACATGGGCCATCTCAGCGCCGAAGCTGGAAGATGACAAGGAGCAGAATGACTGGCTCGATGGATTCAGAAGAGCGGACAGGAGAAAGTTGAAGAAGGGCTGGGATAAGGGCGGGTATCACTCTGAACCGAAGCCTCATGTTCCGGGGGATCGATATTTCGATATTCGTGCGGCCAATGCAAAGACTGCTACGTCCGCGCTGGCGAGGGAATTGAAGGGTAGACATTTGCAGATGATTGCTTTTGGCGGTGCTATCGGTACGTGAAAGTCAGTGGTGATCGTGAGAGGCGTGCTAACATGTGATAGGTACCGGTTTGTTCATCACTTCTGGCAGTGCTCTTCATCAAGGTGGTCCAGGAAGTGTTCTCCTCTCATACATCGTCATCGGCGCACTTCAATACTGCACCATGCAATCGCTCGCCGAGCTCTGTGTCATTTTCCCCATCGCCGGTTCATTCTCTGCCTTCTCGACTCGCTTTCTAGATCCTTCCTGGGGGTTTTCTATGGGATGGAAGTAAGTCTCACTCACTCACTCACTCACTCACTCACAAGAGCATCGCTAACCTGCGTAGCTACTGTCTTCAATGGCTCTTCACTCTTCCTCTTGAGATCATCGCTGGCGCATTCACAATCACTTACTGGAACGAAGACATCTCCAAATCCGTTTTTGTTGCCATTTTCCTAGCAGCCATTTTCATCATCAACTTGTTTGGTGTCAAAGCGTATGGTGAAGCTGAATTCGTCTTCTCCATCATCAAGGTCACTGCGATCGTAGCCTTCATGTAAGCCTTCCCCACTACTCTCTCAGAATCTAAGAAGTCTAGCGACTAACAAATATAGCCTCCTTGGAATTGTTATCAACATAGGAGGTGAACCTACTTCTGGCTACATCGGAGGCCGCTATTGGATCGACCCTGGCTTATTCAACAACGGCTTCAAAGGCTTCTGTTCCGTCCTCGTAACATCATGCTTCTCCTTCACCGGCACCGAACTCATTGGCCTCGCAGCAGCAGAAACAGCCAACCCTCGCAAATCCCTCCCCAGCGCCATCAAGCAGGTCTTCTGGCGCATCACCCTCTTTTACATCGTAGCCCTGATGCTCGTCAGCCTTCTTGTTCCTCACGACGACCCGAGAATCTTGGACGCTAGCTCCTCTAACTCTGCGGCATCACCTTTTGTCGTCGCTATCGAAACTGCTGGAACTACTGTGCTGCCTAGTGTTATGAACGCTGTTATTCTCATCGCTGTTATCAGCGTTGGCAATTCCTCCGTCTTTGGTTCTTCGCGAACACTCGCTGCTCTTGCTGATCAGTCTATGGCACCGGCTATCTTCTCCTATGTTGATAAGCAGGGTCGACCTTTGGCTGCTATTCTCTTTTCTTGCTGTATTGGGCTTTTGGCTTTCATCGCTGATTTGAAGGCTCACGATGTCGTCTTCAACTGGTTGCTATCCATCAGTTCTCTTGCAACGCTCTTCACCTGGGGCAGCATCTGTCTCACTCATATCCGCTTCCGCAACGCATGGGCACATGCGGCACACACCCTCGAGCAACTACCATTCCGCTCACGACCCGGCACATACGGCTCCTGGTTTGCTCTGGCTGGCTACGTTCTTGTCTTGTTGAGTCAAGTCTGGGTAGCCGTCGATCCTGTTGATCACAAGCAGAACGAGAGCACAAACGATATTGTGCAGAATATTTTCCTTAACCTCATGGCTGTTCCCATTGTCCTGATCATGTACCTTGGACACAAGCTTTGGTACAGGACAAACTTTGTGGCTTTGGATGATATTGACATCCAGACTGGACGACGTTATTATCGTGTTCATTTGATGAGTGACCAGGAAAGGGAGGCGCGTGTTACCTGGCCTTTGTGGAAGAGGGCTTACCGGTATTTCTGTTAATGAAGCGTTGTCTTTTTGTATTCTTCTAGTTTAGATATGAGTTACCAGATCAGCTTTTCTGAGAAGGCATAATTAAGGAATTTCATGACATTGACCAACTTGATTCTGACCAACTACTCGCCTTGTGTCTTTGATGATGTTGTAGTTGTAATCATTGCAGCCCATAGCTTAACGAATCATGATCCTTCGAAGCATATTGATTTCCAATGCGGCCCGTACTTACGAGACATCGACTAGATATATAAATCGCCACTGCGGCTCAAATAACCTTACCAACCGGCCAAGCCCATCAACCGTAAGGCTGACTGCCGAATATGAACTCAAGTTCGGTCCGATCAAACGTTTATTACTTTGGTTGCAGTGCACGAAAAGTAATGTATGTAAACCTGCGGCGTTTGCAGGAATGAAGCAGTTCTGTTTCATTCAATGATACCTACTTGGAGTGGGGATAGGACCGAAAAATGCACGACCCCTGTGGAGGTATTGCAGTGGTTACTGAACGACATTTGAGTTTATAGGGCCTTGCTATATTTATCAGATCATGGAAATAGACTTGACTAGGGTTCATGTATCACCGTTTCATTGCGGAGCTGAGATGTCAAAACCGCTGGAGTGTAAGCGATTCGTCTGAACTTGTAAGGCAACAATTGCGAGCTTGAGTCCACTTGGTGATCAATGCGAAAGAGGATGCATTACATTCCCAAGGAGCTGAAGGAGAAGTTGATGTGTTGTTTTGAATATCTGCATCCCCTTCTAGGGTATTTCCTTTCATGTTTTAAATAACTGATATACTGTTATATTCATGGATGCTAAGTTCAAACCCTCCCACCGATGGGAGTCCCTTCTTCCCCGTCTCCCAACGAGCTGTCAATCTTGCGGTTGCACATTTGGGGATAACATCACCCCTTCTTGCTATTGCGTTGGCTATGTTTGTAGCGAGGATATGGCTGAGAGTAAACCCGGTTTGGAGGGTGGGTTGGGAGGACTATAGTATGACGATTGGAGTGGTAAGTTGGTTATTTCTATTCTTTCTGGAGGCCTATGACTGACGGTTATTTGATCCAGTGCGCAGCTGTCGTCGATTTTGGATTCCTCATATCGCAGATGTACACATCACCATGACTCATAATCGAATCTCAAGTGACTTAGTCACGAAAATACACATTTCTTGCGATTTCCATCTGGGGCGTTTCCATGATGTTTATCAAAGTCAGCATCGAATCCAGTCAACTGTATTATGGCGGCGCATCTTTTGCTTCGCATCTTGATAGCCTACGGAGTCGCAAACACATTCTTCATCCTTCTTCAATGCCGACCTCTCGAAGCATCTTGGGATGTATCAGTGCTGGAAACAGTACAAGGAGCAAGCTGCCTTCCCCAACCTGGCATTCACATCATGTTCAACATTGGGTCTGGTATGAACATTGCAACAGACATTATGCTATCGTTAGCACCGACACTCTTCCTCTGGAAGCTTAAAAGCTCGCTGAAGGAGAAGATCCTTGTTGACGCACTTATGGGTCTGGGCATGTTTGCGAGCGTCGGCTTCATCGTGAAAGCAACCCTTGTCAAAGGATTCGGCATGGCGAAGGATGCATGGGCACTCACAAACTCCATCGCGACCCGGACAGCCCTGAGCAAATCCTCATCATGATCGCATCCTCTGCGCCATTTCTCAAGCCCCTCGTTCAAAGCGCTTTGCACAGAATGGGCTGGACGCTATCAGGTACGTCAGCCGGTCGCCCAGGCTACGGAAATCGGTATCACGACGTTAGACAGAGCGCAAGACAGTCACGAGTTTTGAACAAATCAGCGGTAAACTCGAGAAGGAATATCTACAGTGGAGATGAGGATCCTTTCGCTGCGGGTGGCAGCAACGATGCTATTCCTTTGGAGGGAAAGGTCTACGAAATGGGTAAGCCAAGAGACGAACGAAATATCACGACAATGCGCACGGCGCAAGGATCCTTGACGTCGGGATCGTGGACGGAGAGGGGAAGTGAGGAGAGGGAGCTTACGCCAAGCCATGCAGTGTAATTTGACTAACAACAACCCTTTCAATTTACCCAGAACCAACAGGCATATGTGCCTCCAGGCACTTTTGACTTGTAGATGATCATTGACCGTTACAGTATAGTGGAGCTAGCAAAAGAAGAATCGGATCATCAGGGAATCACTCAAACGAAGCTAACTAAACATGCTCCCCTCACGATGCCTTTAACCTGCAGATTGTGTAGATTCTGCGGCGCGGGTCGTGGAAATCCGCCAGCCTTGGGACCAAGTTTATCTCGCAGGTAAGGGTGATCCGCGATGTTCCGAGGCCCCGGATCCATTGCTTAACAGGGAATCTCACAGGGTCTTTTGCCGGGCGTTCAACCAACGGGCATGTAGCAGCATCTGCAATGTCATACTGCAGGTACTCTTCAGTAACGAGATCCAGTCTCGTAAAACCTTTAGATTGAGGCAAAGAAAGTCGTAACATACAAAGGAGCGTTCCTGTTCCTCTCTCTTGTCGATCACTCGTATCGAGCCTTCTGAATGACTAGTTGCATCTGATACTCCCCCTGCATATTGCTGCGCGGTTATCTTGAGGTTTACACCATGGTTAATGTCACGTCTTTTTGGACTGCTTCTCACTCTCATCATCTGCCATGCTTGATGCCCTGACTCTGATAGCCGCTGATCCTTTCTTCTGGGTCCATCATGCCAACGTTGATCGCTTCTGATGGTCATGGCAAATTCGCGATCTGAAGAAGCGCGAGAAAGACATCTTTGTCAACTTCGAGGTTGCTGGCAACTTTACTCTTAACCATGGCATCTTTGTTGGCGAGACCGTCAAGCTCAAGGCCAAGGTCAAAGATGTCATGCATATCAAGAAGGGTCTCCTTTGTTACGAGTATGAGGACACTTATTAGACGATTGCACGAGGTATGAGACCTGTGATGACTTGGACATTCTTGACACTAGCTGTCCGGCAATTTAATATCCATTGGCACTAGTTACCTGTTCAATTGCCGGCGGCCACCTTCGTGCTCTCGTAGTCAGGACACATCTCCGAATCATTTCGGAGCTTAACAATGACATGTCCTGATCAGCGTCATGCAATCCCCTCTTTTGGCGAACCTTTTCGGACACCTTAGTCTAGCCCGCTGACATGCTTGATGCACAGTTTGGAATCACCAGTAAGATGCGCCTCATTGATCACGTAATTGCTTGATTCCAAAACGCTGACTGCAGCCGAGATTCTGCCGACAGAAGGGCGCTGTGATCCATGATGCATTATAAAAAGGGTTGGGAGTCGTCGTGTCACTATTTGCTTCATCACCAACAGTAATAGAGCAGCAATCGATTAAATTCCCATATTACCCCGTTTTACTTGATATACTCAGCCGTAATGTCTTCAGACTCAGTCGTTTACCACTACCTCGCCATTGGCAAGCTTGGCCGCGGAGAAGTTGTCAAGTGAGTATTATGTCGCACATGCCAGCGCGCATTGGAATAACCAGGTGCTCTTGGACTAACCAATTGATAGGCTGTTCTTGAAGGATGCTGGCATTGACTTTGAGGAGAAGCGTTATAAATACCCTGATACCTGGCCAGAGACCAGCCAGAAGCTGAAAGAACAAGGCATTACCCGCACTGGAAGCCTTCCTTCGCTTGAGTACAAGGGCCTCATTCTCACTCAGGTTTATAAACTCCTTCTTCAACTCTAAACAGCATGCTAATATATTTAATAGCATATCCCGACTCTTCGCTTCCTCTCTCGCGATCTCGGCAAGTATGACGGTCAGACGAATGAGGACAAGTACTTGGTAGATGCCGTCTCCGACATCTACGTCGATTGGAGAGTATGAGCACCAATTCCACCATTCATCGTGCAAGCTCTAACTGAAATACAGTCCCAATGGGTTGCCAATCTCAAAGGCGCAACCGACGAGTACAAGAACGAATTCCTCCCCAAGTACTACGATCTCATTGCTAAGTACTACTCTGACCGCGAGGGCCCTTACCTTCTCGGTGATGAAGTCAGCTACACCGACTTTGCAATCTACCAGTCCATTGACAACGATACACGAACCAAAACCATCCCTGTAAGTTGCCTCTCCCTGGACAAATTGGTAATAGTTAACTAAGACTGACGGGATGCTAGTCTAAAATTCCTGATGTGCTTCTCAAGTTCAAGGAGGTTTTTGAGGCTCGACCCAACATTGCTGAGTACATCAAGTCAGAGTAAAACGAGCCATGGTGTCTGAGTGAAGGTATCTTCTGGGGGTACTCGGACCAAATTTACGGTTGAATCACGACTCAATTCTTATCTACGTTCTCGTTCATCACTTGTGACAGCGATAGTAATATGGCCCCAGTCAGTCTCAGCCTTTAAGTCAGCCCTTTGGAGCTACCGCCTTATCTGCTACACTAACGCCAGCTGCGCCACTCAACAACCCCATCTCATCTGCCTGCTGACATTCAGCCCTACAGTATTTCATGCAATTAAATCCCCGCATTGTAAAACAGCCAAAATTAAACGGCCTCTTCTCTTGCATTGATCAACAAGTACAAGACGAGATGAGTGACAAATTCCCCAGGCTTTGCTCGGCCTGCGCCGCCATCGATTTTTACAAGCTCTTCTTTCCAGATCCTGTTCCATTCAATCCCAGCCACAGACCGCCTCCGGATCCTTGCCTGGGGACACTACAGGAAATTCTGGATCGCTCTGTAGAATGCGATGTCTGCAATCTTATCATCGAAGCCCATCGCCAACGATACATACGTGCGCCCTACGGCTGCTCGACGAAACATCCTGACTTCAGAAGTGAAGTCCCCGGCGAGGAGCCTGAAATCCACGAGGAAGTCAAGATACATGGGCTGCGACTTACAGTCAATGATGAGCCGATCAAATGTTATCTTGAATCGCGAAATTTCTCCTCGGACAGAATTCTGCCGGATTCAGAGGATCGCCTTGATCCAGAGACTGGAGGCGTGAATCGTGTTCTGCTCAGGTTAGAACCATGTCCCTGGCTGGCTATACTCGCCAACTCGATCACTTTACAAGCCGTTTGGCCGTCAAAAGAGAGCCAAACTGTAAGCAACGATATTCTACTTGACGGTACTGGTCGGATGATAGGGTCTTTACTAGACCTCACCATTCCTCAGCGCTGGATCAAGCAATGCGAAGACCAGCATGGAGAAGACTGTCGGAAACCAAAGTGGCTAAGCGATAGCGATGCTGAATGGCCTGACAGATGTCGAGTGATCGATGTCAAGGAATGTAGAATCGTTGACCTTCTCCCAACCATGCGCTACGTTGCTCTCAGCTATGTCTGGGGATCTAGCGAACAGGCGAAACAATCGCGCTTTGAGAGACGGTTAACTCGTGAGAACCTATCACGGCTTCAGCAGCCCAACAGTCTGAGCGAGATCTACGTGCCTCAAACCATCAAAGATGCAATGCATTTCACGGAACAGGTCGGCGAGAGGTTCCTCTGGGTTGATGCCCTGTGTATTGTGCAAGATGACCCTGCAGATCTTGGTCATCAGATCGCACGGATGGATCTGATCTACTCCAAGGCGCTCTTTACGATACTAGCTGCCTGTGGTGAAGATTCAACTTCTGGACTCGCAGGACTCCCTAGCAATCCACGGGATGTATTTCAGCGGCAAGTCAAGGTCTCATCAAGTGGGCTGCACATCACGCCGCTCGTCACTCTATCCGAAGAAGATACCCTTCAATTCTCGACATGGAACACCAGAGGCTGGACGTTTCAAGAGCGACTTCTGTCTAGACGCTCACTCATCTTCACCAACAAGCAAGTTTACTGGTGTTGCGATGGTACGACATGGGAGGAAGAATCACTTCTTGACATCCCCGGATCAACAGCCTTTGCAAGATCCTATTCATTTGGATGTTACGATGAATGGGACGACAACGAAGCTAAATTCTCTTTAGAGAGCTTCGATACTTACATCACACAATTCTCTGAGCGAAAGTTCACTTACCCTTCTGATGTCCTACCCGCCTTTCTTGGAATCATTCGTCGGTTTGAGCATTTGAACAATGAGAAGATTCACTGGGGTCTGAACGCTAGCACATTTGATCAAGCGCTTACATGGAAGTATGGGCAGGATAGACGAGATGAGACTTATACTTATGTTTCTGGTGGATCATCGCGCAGCGTGCCATATCCCAGCTGGTCTTGGCTCGGTTGGACAGGGTTCATCGGAGGTAGTTCGAGTCTTCGCATCGGTGAGGATTACAGTAAGAGGGGGGTCGGAGAGATGAAGTCGCTGCTGGCGTTCTACTCGTTGATGAGTGATGGTAGTGTTTCTTTGATCAAGGGCACTTCGCTGAGGAGAGTGAATGATTACGGAAAGAATGACGAAGTCGTGTCTAAGTCTACTGAGAAGTCCGACCACGATTGGATCGGCGATACCAAAGTAGCTGGCCCGATAAAGACGGATCATCTCTCTCTGGCTTCGGAATTGGAATCACTAACAGTCGATAAATCTCACCAACCTGAGCCTTATGACACAGGAAGGATAGTGTTCTACACGAGCCACGCCAACATTTCCATCCAAATCACTAATAGAGACGGCATACATATGGTGACATCCGACGGGCAAGTCAAACTTGAGTTGAAACTTTCATCGCCATTCATGAAGAAATCTTACTATCGTTTTGAAGAAGCCTTGAAGGAAGATAGCGATCCGGCCGAGAGCAAGGTAATGAACTTCTTGAGACGAAAGCCTGTTGCGACAAGTCATACGATCAGTCTCATTGTCATTTCGAGGTACTATGGGTTTTATGAAGGTGATGATGAGGTGGTCAAGCTGAACGTCATGGCTGTTGAGGAAAAGATACCTGGGTCGGGAGTTTGGAGTCGGATTGGCCTTGGTGTAATGAAGGAGGAGGACTGGGTGAAGTTGGATATTGATTGGAGAATGGTGATTCTTGAGTAGGCAGTTCTTCAATTATACCAGATGTAGTTTGTATCGTTATGCCTGACCGGACCCACGGAGGCCCGGGTCCGCAAGCCCGGTGAGCATCGCCACAAATGACCGAAACGGGCATCGCCAGTTCGACTCGTCACGCCAATACCCTACGTAGGACCTAATATATAAACTCACTAACCGCTTCAAACATGTTGTTATTTAGTCTATCCTTTTGTATCAAGCATCTCGAACCCGGCCGAACTAATAGTCCATCCCAAGCACAACTCGCAAGACCAGATAATTGACTATGGCAGACACAAGTGTTGTTGACAGCGATCAGCAGCAGACACTTGGAGTCTCACAGACTCCTTCAGTCTGTAGACTATGCAACATCGACCTGCGAGGACTAGATACATGGAAAGCCCATGTCAAAAGCGACGGGCAGTGAGTATTTCTCCCTCTACCACAGCACATGCGAAAGCTAACCGTCGCTTGAAGTGTTCAAAAGCTACAAGAGAAAGTCCATGGTATTGCAGTGTCGTCGACGCCAAATTCTTCTTCTAAATTGTTTTCGTCTTCAAGACAGACAGGAGGCGAGTTTGAAGTCGATGTCCTGGAGTCCGAAAGTGACGCTGAAGAGGATGATTTGGAGGAAGACCAGGAACTCGTGGCGACGGAGTTCGTCCCCGGTCACTGCCTCTTCTGCACCAAAGACTCTTCAACTTTAGACGAGAGCATGAAACATATTTCCATAGCGCATGGCTTCAATATTCCCTTCCAAGATTTCTTAGCAGTCGATCTCGAAACGCTAGTTTCCTATCTTCACTTCGTCATCAACACGTACAGAGAATGCATCTGCTGCGGTACCCGTCGGAGTACAGTTGAGGGCATCCAGCATCACATGCTAGCCAAAGGCCACTCCCGATTTGACATCTCACCAGAGACAGAAGAATTCTACGAGATACCACGATGCGGAGATGCTTTGGGGGGTAGAAAGCGGGATACAAGTGATCCGGTGAGACTACCTTCTGGAAGAATCATCTCTCATCGTAAACATGAAGAACCTCGCGTTGGTCGTCGGGAGGCAGCAGATCAGAAACGTTTAGACCCTTCAGCGCCTATAGAACTGGGTATGGAGATCGCGCATCGACGAGCGGTCAATGGCAGTCGAGAGGTAGTGCAGGCAAATGAGGCTATTCTCGCTGCGCAGCTCTCGAGGCTCAAAGTCACCAGCGACAGAGCAGCGCAAAGGGAGGAGAAGCGATGGAGAGGGCGACTTGAGCGAGCGAACAATTTCTTTGCGCTGAAGAGATTTAGGTTGGATGCTGCGGATAGTCGAATGGGCCGCCAATTCTGATGCCAGTATCATCAATTGACTGTATTGGACAATGAAATGTTCGCCACGCTGCTTCGCCCTTTGCAATGACACAGCGTAGACATGCAAGTGTCTCTGCATATCAAACGCCTATAATTTCCACCAATAATGCGGTGCTTCAGCAACCCGGGCTCAGCCTACTTCCCTCTGCGTCATCTTACAGCGTTCGGTGGTAAGGCATTCTGTGAGGCCGGCTTACCCCGAATGCGACCAAAGGTAAGACTGCACGCCTAAATACTCTCAAATCCTTTCATCGCCTTCAACTGTCAATAAATCCTTTTGTTCAGTGCCATTTTGATTGCTGGATCTGTGAACATCAGCACCATGTCGCGATCTCAGGTATCGAATCCAGCTGCTGGTCCTAGCAAAGACCTCAGCAGAAAACCCAGACCGACTGCCTTCGCACCCGACATGGACAAACCCAGAGTATACAGCCTTGCGAGAATGCGAGAAATTGACGATTGGAAGAATGAACTATTTTTCACGTATCGGAGCTTTTCCTACAATGGAGTTGGTATGCTCAACTTTATGATGGCACCACGTACGCTTGTTTTCAGGATCCTTTGCTGACTGCAACAGAAGTTGAGATGAAAACTTTCTTCGTGAAGGAATATGACGAAATGGAGACTTTTCTTACCGCCATTGATGATGGGAACATCCATATTCTGTTCGCGCTTATCCCTGATCAATCGTTGGGCCTTTCTTCTAACCGTCTAGCAGCAAAGCAACCGCGCATACTGTCCATCTGTCTATACCAGCGACTTTCGTGAGATATGTCAAAGTCTTGGTTTCGCTCCTTGGATCTCGACAGAGTCAGACTACAACGTCCTCAGAGGACTAGGACGGCGAGTCTATGATTCGCATTACGGTATAACACCATACACTCTAATGGACGTACCATGAGAGAGGGAGGCTGATTTGATGAGATAGATATCTGGTTCAATCTCCCCATAGTAAATCTACGCATGGGCGATGACTATGACCCCGTTATCGAGTACAACCAAGAGCTCCCTACGCTCAGATTCGAGACAGAACTGGGATCTAGCCATATGTTTGCAGACTCAGCCTTTTTCTACCTCAGCCTCAACACCGAGAGTAAACAGGCGCGTATAGTATACTCAAGCACCATACCAGCTGATGAGAGAATAATTGCAACATCAGAGAGTTCAAGGAATTTGGGCCTTCGAGATGATCCCTTCTCTTTTCTCACCTGTGCGCTGAGTTCCATCCTGCAGGAGCAGGGGGCGAACGCACATCCTTTTTCCGCAGCTATCAGTGAAATGGTAGGTCATCTCCTTACTATCATACATATATCTGACATACGTATCTAGGAGCAATATAGCAACTCTCTCAAATACGAGATTGTAGAGGAAGAAGAGACAAAAGTCAAGGAGACGGCGATCCAGCTCAAGATCTGCCTCCCATATATGGAGAAGATCTTGGAGTTCGTCGAAGGCATGATTCAAATTATTGAGGATACCATTAGTGAATACAGAGAGTGCAGAGATTTGCTGCCAATACCTCAACATCACTACCTCCATGTAAAGAAGAATCTCCAGACTCTACGCTCACAAGCAATTTCTTTCAAGAATTATCAAGAGACGCGTATAAGAAGAGTGAACATCTGCTTGTCAACGGTACGACTCGTTATATTTCCCCTTGCTTTTTGACATGCGTGTCGCTAACCAGGCCTTTTGACAAAGCTTTCATCTATGCTGAGCCTCCGAACAAAATGCGCCATCAAGGCTAGCACCGAGGCAACGACGAGGTTGACTAAGGCGAACCGGGAAGATAGCATCAGAATGAATGAGATTGGGGTTGCCATGAAGCTTGATAGTGAGGCCATGATTGCCATTGCCAAGCTGACCATGTTTTATCTCCCCTTGACATTTGTGGCGGTAAGGCCCTTTCGTCGAGAATAGGGACTTGATAAGAGATACTAACGACAGCAACACAGACTATTTTCAGTATGGGAATATTCAACTTTGACTTTGACAACGGCAAGAATGGACGTCTTATCTTGTCCAGCCAGTGGTGGATGTACATCATCTTCGCCATCCCTCTCACTCTGGGAACGTTTTACTGGCTCAGAGCAGTTACTAGATCACATAAACAGGCAAGCCAAAAGGCCGAACGAGAAGCCAGGCAGCCTGAATGAGGCACGTTTTCTCTTCCTCCATGTATAGCGTGTACTTTGGAGTAGCTCGAGAAATAGAACATGCATTGTTTTTACGTACATCAAACTTTTTATACACCAGTGAATGCAAGCCATTCATTCAAGCTGGTGGGTAACTGAGTGGCTCCTCTTCACTTTAACGTCTAGCTTGGTCCCAGGGAGTAAGAAAAACATCTGGCGCCAGACTGAGGCGACATAAATAGCTAGTCCAAGAGTCACTAAACTTGTCCCCACTGTACCTCAGTATTTCTGTCACTAAGAGTAACGGCCCCAAGCTTTCTTCCCTCCCCTCCCCTGGTGCTATCGATCGTGAATTGAGGTTCCACCCATCAGGTCCCCGCCAGTGAAGAAAAAAAAAAGTTTCAAGAAAATTTTGACGCGGTTGAACGAGCAATTGAGTGAAGTACTGTAGAATAATGAATTGAAGATATTCCCAAATGGTTCAGTCAACTGCGTGATTGATGGTGACGACATTGATTGCCTAAGGCACCCCATTCCTCAAAACGGCACAGCTTGTGTAGCTCTTGCCCAATGTAGAGAGCTCTGAGCTGCCTATGACGACACTAAAGCAACCACCACCAAATATTCCTGTGACCCCTCTATTTACCTTCTCCCAACAACAACCACTTCACTTCAATCAACCCATCAAAAACTCAATCAATCAATCCAACTTCATCCCCACGCTCACCGCAATCATGTCCCGCATCCCAACCTCCACCTCGGTCCTCGAGTCCGCCGTCATCGAAGCCCCCTTCAGCGACGTCTGGCACCTGATCAAGCTTCAAGACTTCTCCAAGTTCTACTCCGCCCTCTCCTCCAGCGAGTGGGTGAAGGGCGCATCCCCCGACACCGACATCGTCAAGTGGACCTTCAAGGACGGTACTGTTCTTGAGGTCAAGCAGGAGGAGCACTCGTCCATCGACCACTACATCACCTACAGCGTCATCTCGTCGCAGCCCGCGCTCAGCTACACCTCTGTCGTCAGCACCGTGCGCGCCTACCCCGTCACCTCGGGCAAGTACGAGGGCGCTACTTTCGTCACCTGGAGCGGAAACTTCTCGAGCGATGCTGATGCCGGTGTCATTGAGGATGCCAAGTTCAAGCGCCGTGAGGCTTTGGCTGACCTCGCCAAGGCCGTTGCCAAGAAGTAAATGATGGGAATATGGGAAGTAAGGATTAAAAGAAACGAAGGGTATCATAACAATGTCTTTGGATGGGCGGAGCAGGGTTATCACATGTCGCTGTAACTAATTAGCCCGCCGTCTTCAATCGCATCAATTGTCAAGCTGTGCTCATATGGAAACGCAAACCAAGGCCCAAACTTGACCCTAAACTTAAGCCTAAGCAAGTTTATGATAATAATATTCTAAGCCTCTGGCAAGATCTTCATGATTTATTTCAGTCTTGCAAATGCCTTGACTCTCAAATGGTCTCGGATTGTGCTGAGCTGCGTCGCATGGTACAGTGGTGCACCAACAGCGCTGTACGAAAGACTGCGGCAACCAACCATTGAAATCCGCATGGCACAACCAAAATTCATGGCAAAACATGTGTTCTGATCCACGTCTCACAGCATCTCACCAGGACTGGACCCTGAATATCGCACACAAAAGATTTGCGCTGGATTTTCAGGGTCTGGAGAACGGACCCATTCTTGGCGGAGAGCTTCAGGGTAGACCGATCGGGTACCTGAGATTTTCAACACCATGAATCAGATCATCTTCAATTCTAGAACAATTCGAAACAGCGAATCCGCTTTAGCTACGGAATCAGCGGGATTCATCTGCATGTATCAACTCCGAGTATAGAAAAAAATGGCTCATTTTTAATTCAGCGACGTTGCGCAATCATAGTGACACTCCCCAGAGACCTTTTGCACATGGGATCTCAAACACGAGATAAGAATCTCACCTTGCAGTGCAACCGGCTTCTTCGGATGCAATGTCGTCCATACAAGCAATACAGGGTCCATTGGACAAGTGAGTCTCTACCATAGCGTGATTGGATCAATGAAAATAGAGAGGAATGAATGAAGTGCCCCTTGAGTGAAAATTTGAAGCTTGAAAGTTAATTGAACTCTAAATTCCAACGTCCGAGACCCCGATTCTCGACACTTTGTATTCACCGATGCCGATCAACATTCTGTGAAACCTTCGCGTATTTGGCGTATTCATCTTGCTCGTATCTTATCTACGCGTATTAATTCGTCCGCGCGTTCGCTCAGCCCGTCTCTCGTCAGCCAGAATGAATTTAAATGGTGCCACACAAAGTCGGTCAGATTTTAATCACTCCAACGGCGTTTCATTGATTCTCCGTCTTCCGTCGTGGGATTCGGCACGGTAATCTCGTCGGGTCCGATCCTTCGACAGGTCCCACATTCAATTCCGTCAAGCGCATAAAAGGGGATGGTCAAAACTCCACCACAATTTCACATTCTCCGCACCGCTAGACGAGGCGAGCATGGGTGCAAGCCTTGTTTGGAGGTGAGCACGTGAGCATGTCGTCTTGTGGGATATCGTAAAGTGGGGGGTTCAAGAGGAAGTGTGCGTGTACATGCGTATTGATTGACATTATTCTAGATTAACATTAATTAATTTGTTCATTGCGGTGTGTTGCTATGGGATATCGTTATGTGATGATGGAGTAAAGCATGCTGAGTGTCATTTATTTTCCTCCCCGGTTACCGGTTGTAGGGAAGGGCTTCTCCAGCTTGACACACCAGAGGAACAGATCCTCCAAGGGCAAAAGACCAAGCAAGAGGCGGTTCGACAGCCAAGCAACCAGAACAACTCCCGTAGCAGCAAGAGCATCAAGCCAGTAGTGATTCGCCGTAGCAACAATGATGGTCAACACAAACGCCGGGTACACGATGCTCAGCACCACGAAGAACACCTGCCACGCCTTGCTCATGCGCTTCTCGCGGGGGGCGAGGCGTCGGCGGAAGAGGCCAGAGTGGTACAGGAGGACAGTGCCGATGCAGAACGAGTACCCAAAGTGAAGCGAGGGGAACGCGGCGAGCTGGTTGAAGAACTTGTTGGTGGCGTAAATGGACTCGGCGTCTTCGCGGCGGACCGTGTCGAAGAAACCGTATTCTTCGGGGAGGAGACGAGGCGGCATGCATGGGTACGTTGTGAAGACGACGAAGCTGAAGAGGTTGGTGAGCGTCATCATGCGACGAGCCTCTGCGAACTGGGCGTGTGTTGGTGCGGCGTAGTAATACCATGCCAGGAAGCTGAAGCTTGTTAGCCATGTTTCGTCACACGAGGGGTAGTAGCAGCGACAACGAACCTGACAGTGACGGGGATGTGAATAAGGGAGTAGGCGCGGTTCAAGACGGTCAGCATCGTCTGGTGATCATTCCTGAAGAAGCTCTGGACATCAATCTCACGCAGAGGAAACATCCAGCTGAACGGGCCCTCATGCTCAAACCACAAGACCGCCTTTCCATGGTTCTCCGCCGTCTGCCAAACGCCATCTGTGGCGGCAATAAGCTCACTCGCCGACTTGACGCCGACGTAGAAGAGCAGATTGACAGCCCAGTAGAACATCTCGACGAGGAACGGAAACTTTTGTATGAAGCGCGAGTGATAGTATTTCGCGTACCGGCTCGAGTTGGGCGTGTGAACAACAGTGCCACAGCACGTTCGTTTCTTGGGCGGGTGTGTATCCGTAGGCGACGCTGCGTCGGCGAGGTTCAGACGCTCCGTCTCGTCGTGGACGTCCTCCTCGTCCCATGGCTCCAGCTTCGATTGGCCGAGGAGACCTTGGTCGGCGCTCTTTGACGAAGGGATGATGGAGAAGTTTCGGAGGCGGTTGAAGTAGCATGAGGCGACCATAACACCGACAATAAACTACACGTGCCGGCAAAAAGAGGCCATAACATTAGACTTCTGCCCGCGGTTGGAGTTTATCAAGGGACAGAGATACGTACGATTGGCTCCACGACGGCGTGGTAGGCAAACTGCGGCTCACCCAAATCTTGTTCATTCTGTTGAGTTTGCGCTTGAGCCATGATGTCCTCTACTGCGGCACGTGCCGACCTGCAAAAAAAATAAAGAAAGACTTGGGGAAAAATAGAGTATCTAGAAAAAAGAAGCTTAAAGGTTGTCACGACAAATAGGTTGGGTCGGGTGAGTCGATAGATGTAAATAAGTTTACGTTAAAAGATAAATAAAGAACGAGCTTCGGAAGACGCGGAGAATAATGGACAGGGGGAGGGAAGATTTGCTCCCCAGGTCAAAACAAGGATTTGATTTGAGATCAGGATTTCTGATCACAGCTACCGACCGCTGAATCGCACACACTGGGCTACGGAATTAAAAAAAGACAGAGCGTTACCTTGGGCGTTAGGGGGGGATGGATAAGCTTGGCGGGTTGGAGCGCTGTGTTATTACGTGTCTTGGCTGTGAATCTGGGAGGCAGCCCCTGAAGCGCCAGCATCAATTGGCAATTGATCACTTGGGCCATGCATCTCTGGTGACGTAGATGATCCATTTCCGCAGAGGCTAAATTTTAGATTGGAAGGGGGGCCAGCAGATGACAGAAACTGTAGAGCATGAGGCCACTATAAACTCAGCGCAAAACGTACCCGCTGAAATTGTCAGATGGGGAACGGAGTGGGGTGATGGTCAGCCAATCCCGTCGTCCGCGGACCCCCTAATCATCCTCGGATTTTTCGTTCTCGCTTTTGTTTTTAGGGGGCCTGCTCCACTGATAATGAAAGGGTCACCCCCCTTTGGTGCACTGCAACTGTACTGCCACTGTCCCTGCGGCGTAATCCACCATCTTTTCTGCAGCGTCAGATTTAATCTCAGCCCCAAAACAATTCAATCTTTCTTTCCACTCCTTCAAAAGCGCACGCAACGCCAAGCCGCTTCGCCGGTCCCCATTCCCTCCCTCTCTTTTCTTCTTCTTCAATACTTTTTTTAATATTCACCCCAAACATGTCATCCTCACCGATTCTCGGTCCCGAACGAAAAAACTCCTACGATGAAGAACGTCTCGAATGGGCGACGCCCTCTGTGCCAAAGAAGTACCTCCGCCTGCCACGACTGCGCCGCTCGACCGTGATCCTCCTCCTCATCGATTTCCTCATTGTCGCCGTGCTCGTCCATGCGTTTTACCCGCTCATCACGCTGCTGCGTCGGAATGAGGAGCTGTTTGGTGCGAGATTAACGTTGCCCCTGAATGATACGTCGTTTGGCGAGGATGTCCCCGCGCAGAGGACGATACCGAGGATTTTTCACCAGACGAGCGCGAATGAGACTATCCCTGAGGCTTGGCAGGGTTTGGTAAAGAGTTGTCGGGAGACTTACTCGGAGTTTGAGTACAAGGTTTGTTTGAGTTCCTGGTGGTTTGATTGAGGAGATGGATGCTAACTGTCGCAGCACTGGACGGACGCGAAGGCTCGTGACTTTATCTCGGAAGAGTACCCTTGGTTCCTCGACACTTGGGATACGTTCCCCTTCAACATTCAGCGCGCTGATGCTATTCGATACTTTGTCCTTCACCACTATGGCGGTATCTATCTCGACATGGACACGCTCTGCAACGCGACCATCCCCCTGCACCAAATCGAGGCCGACGGCAGCAAGCACCACGCCGTCTTCAAGAGCACAACACCTACCGGCGTCTCCAACGACATGATGATTACCTCGGCACACCATCCCGCCTTCACAAAAGCCCTCTCCCGAATCCAACTCTACAACGACATAACCCGTCCCTGGGCGCACATCCTCCCCCACGTCGCAGTCATGGTATCAGCCGGACCGCTCTTCCTCACCATGGCGCTGAAGAACTATCTGCTCGAACAACCCTCGTTGCCTGAGACGACGGTGCAGGTGATCAATGCGACCGAGCTTGAACCTTATTTGACTGATTACGAGGGTGCGTCGTGGCACCACGGCGATACGAAGGCGATAATGTGGTTGGGTGATCACCCGTGGGTTTGGTACATGCTCGGTGCGGTTGGGCTGAGCGGAGGGTTGTACTTGATCAACATGCTCATGATGAAGTGCTGGATGCGGTTTTTTGACAAGGCTTCTAGTGATGACGCCAAGGACGCTATTAAACTCACGTAGACGGGGTTATGCTTAATTATATACGACTATAATATTTGTAATGCCAGCGATGTTTCTTCACGTCTGTGATGCCCCTGAATATCGTGCGACTGCTTGTCTGGGCATCAACAATGCTCAATCTCAACATTGAAGCCCATTCTGAGCGCCCCCATTCAAGACACGCCAGCCTCGTGGCTTATCTCAACACGTCAGTGCATTGACAAGTCCCTCAGATTTAAATCTGACGGTCCCCAAAGTCAGTCAGTGCAACACTGCATGAGTTCATCAGCCGACATACGCGCGTCCAAGTTAATCTTTGGTCCAGACCGTTCCGTGCCGCGGAGCAACTTTGTGAGATGACGTCGGCGTAGTCCTCGGAGGAGAGTGACCCCGCAAAGCAGGTTGGGCTAAGCTGTATTGGAGGTTGTGACAGGTTTCTTGCGTGTTATTGGTGTTTTGATGGAGCTTTGTATGCAGTGCTCTCGATTGGTGCGGTTATGAGGAGTGATGGTTGCCTGGACTGGCTGAATTAATGTTGAGTCGGCCTCGATTGCTTGCTTCGTGAAGAACGCCAAGTTGACCACCGTTTGGTGTTGTGAGATGCGGTGCGATGCCAACCTCACTCATTTCGAGATGGACTGACACGCAGAGTACAATACGAGGTCCAACAAATAATGACTTTTATTACCCGCCATGCTTTCTAGCCAACAATTCCGACAGCCAATCGCTGCCATGACTTTCCAACCTTTTACAATACATATCCTACACTGCATCATCTACTGAGACCCAGTCTCCGACGCCTCACCCTCCAATTCCTTCTTCTCCTTCTCCTTCTTCTCAATAGTCGTTTGTTTCTCCCACATAGCATGGTATCGTCCTCCCTGAGCCAAGAGCTCATTGTGTGTTCCGCGCTCGACGATCTTGCCCTTGTGAAGAACGATGATCTGGTCTGATGTTGTGATGGTGGAGAGGCGGTGACTGAAGACTGTTAGTCAATGTTTGGGGAGAGGTTGGAGAGACTTACGCGATTGTGATGGTTGTGCGGCCTTCGGTGACGCGCTCGAGAGCATCTTGGATCTGACGCTCTGTGTGTGAGTCGAGAGAGGCGGTTGCTTCGTCGAGGAGAAGGATGCGGGCGTCTTTGAGAATGGCGCGGGCGATGGCGATCTACAAACGTTAGTGACCAGTCCACAATGCTTATCAATGACTGTAACTTACCCTTTGGCGTTCACCTCCAGACAGCTTCAATCCTCGTTCTCCAACCTTGGTCTCATACCCATCCGGAAAGTTGAGAATGCGCTCATGAATATTCGCAGCCTCACATGCCTTGTAAACATCTTCCTCCGTCGCATCTGGTCTCGCATACAGAAGATTGTACATTATCGTCGCGTTGAACAGAACCGTGTCTTGAGGAACGACACCGATGTTGCTGCGAAGACTCTCAAGCTTGAGATCTCGAAGGTCGTGGCCGTCAATGGTGATAGAGCCATCCGTGACGTCGTAAAAGCGGAAGAGGAGCTTGAGAGAGGTAGACTTTCCACTACCTGATTCTCCGACAATAGCGGTCTTTGTGCCTGGGGCAACAGTGAAGTTGATGCCGTCGAGGACGGGATCGCCTTTCTTAACTTGATACGCGAACTTGACATCGTTGAAGGAGACTTCGCCCTTGGGTGAGGGCAACGGGATAGCATCGGGCTTCTCAACCACACCAGGTGTTTCTTTGAACTATTTCCATTAGTATACCCGATTTTCGCTAAGGAGAGAGTACTCACGATATCAAGCAGACGCTCAGCTTCAATCAAGTTATTCTGAAGCATGGTATAGTATGTTCCAAAAAAGTTCAAAGGACCCTGAAGTTGAACAAAGTAATTGATCAGACTCACAAACTCACCAACGGTCTGCTCCCCGATTGAAATCTTGTACGCCGACACCGAAACAAGCAACGCCGTTCCAAGAGTGAAAATCGAACTCTGTGTGAGATTCAACCCGTTCAACGACCACTGCACCAATCTTTCTGCGCGCTGGAAAACAGTTACATGCTCTCTAAAGCGCGCCGTCTCACGCGCAACAGCACAATTGTGCTGAACCGTCTCATACGCCACGATAGCATCCGTCTTGACGGCTTCCATCTCTCGAGTCTTGATGGTCATGTCTCTTCGTTGTTTTCCTCGGTACTTGGCGACGTAGATTGTCAAAAAGATGTATGACCACATGATGAAGAACACAATGATGGTGTAAAAAGCATCATATTTCACAAAGAAAATCACACCAGCGACGAAAATGTCAAACACCATGGGAAAAACCTGAAAGCAGAAACTCTCAAGGAAGGTGTTGATGGAAGCGCCGCGGCTCAGGGCGCTGGTGACTTCGCCGACTTTCTTGTTGAGGTGGAACTCCATTGATAGGCTGAGGACGTGCTCAAACGCAGCGGAGGAGAGACGACGGAAGAGAGATTGAGATACAGGGAGCCAAAGGAGGGACCGCGCGGCGCCGAGAACGCCTTGGTTACCTTGGAGAGCGCGGTATACGACGTAGAGAATGATTTCTTTGTAGGGAAGTTTGCCTTCGCCGAGGCTGTCGACGAGGGTGCCGAGCTGGAGGGGCCCGAGGACGTTGACGGTGCGTTGGCAGATGAGGAGGATGATGCAGATTAGTACGATGGCTTGGTAGACGGGTGAGCCCTTTGGCCTGTGACTGTTAGTGATTGTGCCGAGTTTGAGGAAAGGGACTTACCAGAGGTAGGGAAACAAGACTCGGAATCCAGCAAAGTAATCCAGCCATCCTGTCCCAGAAACCTGGGTCCTTCTAGGCTCAGCAGCTGTAGGCTGGATGCTTCCATATCCATCCGCTGCCCCATTCCCATTCTCAAGAAGTCCCTGTCTCTCCTCCGGCAAAGACTTTGGTTCTAAGGCCTTAGTCTTGTACTCTCTCAAACCCAACGCTCCGATCATGAGCGCCAGCACAAGAACCCTCGCAGCTCCGAGAATGTTGAGAGTGTCGACAAAGCCAGGTGATACTCGAAGTTTTGGCTCAACGGCTGAAAGAGCAGCTGCGATGACAATCTCTGCAAGCGCACCAACACACCATGCTGAAAGGTGAGCAGAGTTCGGATTCCACGGTCCCTCAGGGTCTGGAAGAAGGCCAGCGACGTAGTAGAGTAGCACTCCAACGAAAGATGCCTGAAATTGGTTAGTTACCCATCATGTAAGAGAGGAACGGGAAACGTACGAGATATGCGCTAAAGGCAAAGACAACACTGCCCTTCACACCATCCTGATCCGCAAAAACCTCCCTCGTAGCATACACCACGCTCGCAATCAACAATCCCGAAAGCACAACCTGCAGAACCCAAATACACCGCGAGTAAAACTTTCGAATCTTGTCGATGTGCTGTTTTAGATCACTGTCCAACGCGACTTTACGCGTCGTGCTGCCATGGCGGGTTATGTAGAACTGAGCGGATTGGACGCCGAGGAGCGTGACGAAGAGGGCGATAGGATAGGCGTAGAAGCCGATCTTCAGTCCGAGCTCTGCCTTTGCCATGGCTGGGTGTGATTTTGTGATGGGTGTGAGCTTGGGGGAGTGAGTTGAGGATGATGTCAAGGGATCGGGGTTTTGATGTTCCGAGGGAGATGGGATTAGTCAGCGGATTTATCAGCGATGGCGAGATTGTTGCTTTGTCTCACTGAACCATTCTTTGGGGTGAGGTTTGTGGTTTGGGTAAAGATTTATTTCAATTTGGTGTTTGTTCTTGCTTGTGCTCTGTGTTATCGTGATTTCTTCGTAGATGGGGCATAAATGTCGACAGCCATCTCCAAGCCTCCCTCGTGATATCCGTTGACACTCTGTGAACGCTCCCCGCTATGCATACCGTTTCTGGATTCATAAATCATCCAGTGGCAGTTCGAGATGGTGGTAAAGTATTGTCTTGTATGAAGCCACATTGATCGCCTCACGTCTTGACTTGTTTAGGCGTGCTGCAAGTAAGGCAACTGCTTGAGGCGGGGTGATGGGAACCAGGCTGTGCTGTTGGTTCCAGATTGTGACAATTGTGCAGCTCGACGTGTCAATCGTTGACTGACCCGTAGGCTTACTGTCTGCCGGAAACAGAAATCCGAGCACACCCACATGTCACAGTGCGTCGATAATCTCGTCCGAAAAGTAGGCTGTGGTGTAGTCTCAAATGACAAGCCATTGTACCGCAAGGCAGAAAGGTTATGTGGGATGATATAAGTTATAGATGCGCCGGGCCCTACTTGGGATTTATTTTGCTCTCTTATCTTGGCCACATGCGTATTCGCAATATTGAAGTCGAATTTATCGAAACAGTTCAATATGGAACCTGTCGGAGCTTTGGCCAGTGCCATCACCATTGTGGGTTTAATCAGGCCAACCGCCAAATTCGTCAAAGCCCTCAGAGGAATCGCCTCGGAAAATGGCACCGTCGCCAGTGAGATCCATAGAATGGCGACTCGTATCCAAACGTCTGCCATCAGCATCGACATTGCATTGGAAGATCTCAAAAGCCATTCCTCGACACTAAGGCGAATCAGCATCACGCCGTCGAAGATCTTGCAGTACATCATCGACACTGACTCAATGCAAACCATTATCTCAGGTACTCAGTCTCTCAGCAATCAGATGAGGGACAAAGAACAGGAGTTGAAGCAACTGAAGAAACAACCGAACTTGTACAAGAAATTAAAGTGGTGTATATGGGATAAAATGGAAGTCGAGTCCTTGTTCCCGGAGATGCAGCTTGTAGCGACGTGTTTATCTATTGTCTGTCCAATCATCAAACTAGAGGTCAACCAGTATATGCTGGAGAAGTCTCCAAGCGAAGTCGCGCAATGTTTAAGACAAGAGATGTAAGTTTGGACTTCTGGTGAACAAGGAAGCAGCTGACGCGAACTAGGTCGCATCTACGTGGCCAGTTGAAGATGGTTGAGAAACAGTGTCAGGCCTTAATGCAGGAGCATCACTTAAGTCTTAATTCAGAGTTAGGCGCGGAATTTTATGCCCCGGCCAAGCCTCTTCTTCGGTTGGCGAGAAGCGTGCGACGGACGGGTACGGTACCTGAAACGAGGAGAGAATCACCAGGTCGCAGGGCGTCTGCCTCAGAAGAGATTCATTTGAGCATACACAGAGAAATACCACCTGTTCTTGACGGCGAAGGCACAAGAGAGGTGCCAAGAAGGACAAGAAGAAAGACGTCGTTGCAGTCAGGCAGAGACAGGCATTTCAACTCAGCTCCTCCATCTCAGACTCCACGGACATCCCCGGGCGTGATACCCTCAAAGCCTCAAAGCCTTTCAGTGCCGCGCGAAGTACCATCAGAGGCATCAAGACATAGCTCCAGCAGCAGAGAATCTTCCAGCCAAGACTCAGTTCCACCATCACCATCATCACAAATTCCGGACACGCCTCTGACTCCACAAAGCCCTGATAGCCTGGAGGTGCCCAAACCATTGAGAATAAACACCTCGACACACGAAAATGAGTCACGCGGAGGAACCGTCCAGGCCATTCGAGGGCATATAATCAACCGCGGGAAAGAAACTCTAGTAGAAAACGCCACAGTGGATAAACTTAGCTGCTGTAATTACATTTCAGTCAAAACAGCGCATCAGCTTCGCCTTGACATTCAGGAGCTGGATTCTGACGAACCAGAGCACACGCATAGCGGTTCACACGAGATTATAATGCCTGGGAAGGTGATTGGTAAGGTTACAGGTGTAGGATGGAGAAAAGAAGGCCGGGCAAAGATTGTCCCCGTTGAGCTTCTGGTCAAAGATTCCTACCTTGGGAGGATGCGAGAACACGTCGCGTTTGGGGTGATATTTGCCGGTGACCTTGACGCGGCTGAGAGAGGCATTTGATGAACAGAGGAGAAAAGTACAGGTGGAAGCTCCTTGCACATTTCTTTTGTTCAATCCAAAGATCAAATCAAAGAGCAATAGTAACTTCCGGAAGAGATACATGGGGGATGTTGTTTGAACAAGCAGGCATAACACCCCGAAGCAAAGGGCGTTAACTTATGAAATACAGTGTCTGACACTTGCTGCCACTTAGTATGACAAAGAGACAGTGCCATCACTCATTTGTTTGGACAGGCTGTGGGACTTTTTGTTGTTGTGTAACCACACCAGCTGCCAACAGATGTCGTCACTCCAGGGAGCAAGACTTCTGACGGCGACTGTCAAAGTCCCTAAAGTAATCTAAGGCCCACTAAATCTTCACTAAGTTATGCTAAATTTACCTAAGTCTTATGGTCCCTTAGAAGAGACATCCTGAGTCTTGGGCTACCTCCTCTTCTTCAATCACAACTTCTGATCTCTCATCTCACAACATCTCTGCATTCCACATCGAACCGCAGCTCCGCCGCCATGGCCTTTCAGAGCGCTCAGAACAAAGCGCTTATTGAGTGAGTATCACTTTCTTCAACTGTGATCGCGCCTCTAACCGCTATCCAGCCTTCTGAAAACGGGCGATTACTCCGATCTCACGATTACGTGTGGCAAAGATCAATACCGCGTCCACAAAGCGATCATTTGCCCACGATCCAAATTCTTCAAGGCCGCGTGCGATGGCAAATTCAAGGTTTGTGCCTTTGCGATAGGCTCGTGGCGAGACCAAAGCTGACTTTCGCAGGAAGCACAAACAGGCACGATCAACCTGCCTGACGACGATCCGGTTGCCGTGCGAATGATGATCGAGTATCTTTATCACGATGCGTATGCTCCGTCGGCTAGGATGTATATCCATAGTGATGGCCTCATCGACGCATATCTTTCTGAGACCGAATACAATGACGAGCACGAAAAGAGCAAGATGGAGCTCTACGGGGCAATATTCGTTGGCAACAAGAGGGTAAAGAGGCTCACTGCACTGCCCGAGGTTTCGATTGTTCCCATCTCTCACCCTTTGCCCTTTCCATTCGGTCCAGCCGCGGCTCCTCCTCCTCCGCCAGCTGCCGCTTCCCAAGAATCAGGGAGAGGACGTGGCCAGAGCCGACGAGGACGTGGTTCCTTCGCAGGTGTCGGCTCCGCCCCAGCACAGAATGGGTTTCAAGGTTCGCCTAATCAATCATCGTCCACACCCAGCTCATTTTCTCTTGGATCACCTGCGCCAGCGCCAACTCCGCCTCCCCCTCAGCAGCCGTCTGCTCCTCAGCGATCTATTCCTGCCGAAAACCTGCATCTCCACGCTAAAGTCTACGCCCTTGGCGAAAAGTACGGCATTCAACCCCTGAAAGCACTAGCTCTTTGCAAATTCAAGTCTGAGGCCCAATTTCATCTCCACAGCGACGACTTCTTGCACGCGATGAGAGAAGCATATTCCTCAACCATTGAAACGGACCGTCCCCTCCGTGATGCCGTCGTTGCGATCTTGAGAAGCAATAAGCATCTGCTGAAAAAGGACTCGGTGAAGGAAGTCCTCAAGGATACTGGTTTGGGCTTGAGTTTTGATCTTGTGATGGAAATGGCGTCGGAATGAAGACGTATGTTAAATGTACTGGTCTAAAGATGGCCCAAGATAAGCTAAATTTACCTAAGTACTGTCATAACCTAGTTAAGGTAGTATAGATGGTTCACATCGAATGCAGTATTTATTCATTTCCAAGCAAACTAGCAACGCGTTCTCTCTGAGCCATGTCTTTCTTATCCTATGCATCTAGCAAAAACGCATCTTGAACCAAAAGACATTGCAATCTTCACTTCACTTCATCAGAGACTCCTACTGGACTGGCAAACCCCCACGCAATTCTTTAATATGTATTGTCATAGAACTAGCCAAGATTGTGCAGCCTAAACAGTCCATCATTCATAGTACAAACTAACTCACAGTTTTGTCGAAACCAGGATATTGCCTATCATGCCTTGTGCAAACATGGCAACAACAACAAAGTATCGAGATTTGGCCAGGCGGTAACAACAACTGTGTATTGTCACCATCGCTGCCTGAATATAACCAAACCTGTGTACTATAAAAGGAACGCCTCCTCCTTCTCACTCTTCATCTTCCACCATCGTCAGTAGATGCTTTCGCGAGTGCTTCCATCTGCCGTCAAGACCTCTACGACAGCACCCCGCATCAAGATCCGGAGAACTCTCTCACACAAACGAAGAACAAGACCCTTGACCCATAATGTCTTTTCGAAACATTACGGTCTTTGACCACGTCGGGGATCAGAGGAGAGCACTTGGAAAGTGAGTATCTCCTATCACATCTGGTCAAAAGCTTCGGTTCTAACGCAGAGCCTAGCCTCCTCAAAACCGGTGAATATTCCGACTTTGTCATCATCTGTGGCAAGGCGCGTCACAGAGTCCACAAGGCAATCATCTGCCCTCGATCTGACTTCTTCAAAGCAGTATGCACGAGTGGATTCAAGGCAACTTTCCACTAATCTACTAGTGAATTCTTACTTACTTGATACAGGAAGCTCAGACTGGCGAGGTGGAGCTGCCCGAGGATGAACGGTTCGCCGTGAGCATGATGATCGAGTATCTCTATCATCAAACATACACTATCCCCTACGACGCGGACTTTGGCCCGGAATACCAGAAGTCGCCTGCAGTTCCTTACAAGCCATCAACAGCACTGTTGAACAGAGCTCGTCCTTCTCTTAGTGGCAACTCCTCTATCTCGCAGTCTCTTCTGCATCCAATCACACTGCAGGCTACTGGTGCCTTCATCCATCATCTAGAAGAATCAGCTGTATGCTTCTTTATCGTCCTTTACGTGAACCTAAGAGTTCACTACAAAGTCTATGCACTAGGCGAAAAGTACGGCATTCCTGGCCTCAAAGCCCTAGCTGCTCATAATTTCGAAACCGAGTGTGAAAAGGAGTTCGGTAGAAGCAGAATTTTTGACCTTGGGGACCTGATACATGAGATGAGGGAGGCATACGCCTGCACCGCCGAAGGTGATCGTCCTCTTCGCGACGCTGTGGTCAGAATACTGAAGTCAAAGCCGATCATATTTGAGAGGGAGGACGTGAAGGAGTTTCTGAAGGAAGAGGGCTTGGCCTATGATATGGTAATGAGCTGTGTGCAGGATATTCTGAGGAGAGGGGAGGACGACTGATCCCAAGTTATATAGATTCCTAGTGAAGTCAAGACCCCCAAACTCTCAGACTTACAGTCTGTGGCGAATCTTTGAACCTTGCCTGACTCCTCAGTCCCTGCGACATGTACAGCAGAACATCCGTCGCAAAGTCAGTAGCCCTCATGACCTCCCGCACTACATCATAATCCAACAGCAAGATATCCTGCTCAATCATCTTGACAACCACATCCCTCAAACCCCTGTCTTCGCTGACTGTCGAAGTGTAAACCTCCACCACCGCCTCCGCAAAGTCGTCGACCCCAGCATTGCCACTCTGGATTTTGCTCTCAAAGGCGCCTTGGACTGCCTTCTTAAGACCTTGCATCCCATACTTCTCCCCCAGCGCATACACTTTCGCATGTAGGCAGAGTTGCGAAGAGATGGGAGACTCCTCGGACTTCCCGCCTCCCCATTCAAGCTCTTTGAGCTGTTTTATTCTTTTCCGTCCGATAAATTCTGCTCCAAAGAGCTTCATTCGATACCGTGCCTCAGCGTCGTATTCTGTATCGGATGGTTCTGCCTCCACATCGTCTTCATAGTCCGGTATCCGGGTCCTTGAAGGGTTGTAGTCGATATTGTATAGATAACGAATCATCTTTCGTACGGCAGCGGGATCATCGTCTGGGAGGTTGATCTCTCCATCGGATTCCTACGATATTGCTGTAAGCTTCCCGACTCACGACCTGCAAATAGTGATTTGAGTCATATTACCTTGTACATGCCAGTGCAAGCGACTTTGAAGAATTTAGACCCGGTGCAAAGGACGAATTTATGCACACGATGCCGGGTGTTGCCGCAAATGATGGTGAGGTCGGAAAGCTCACCGGTCTCGAGCATGCTGTTCCATGAATCAGCCAGAGAAAAGAGTATCAAACAAATATCAAATCTTACCCGGGAAGGCTCTGTACACACTCGTTGCTCCTCTCGCTTGTGTTGAAAAGTGGTGGTTGGCCGCCATTTAGTCTGTAGTCCATAGGGTCCCCCATGGTGGAAAGGTTGACGCATGCACAGTAGATTCGCCCGTGTAATAGGCCCTTAGATATATGTTTTGATAAGACTTCTGCTTACGGAGTCTAAATAATAGACTTTAGGCAAGAAACTGCATTTTGTGATATTACACACTTGAGATTAAAGTCTAATTGGTTGAAGGTTTCGTTTACTTGAGGATGGGCCAAGCTAATTTATGATGTCAGAGTTTATTCATTGGAAGAACTAATCTACAGGCCTAAGCTGTACTAAGCTTACCTAAAATCTTCATCAATGGTCTAAACTCTTCATCTTTTTGGTCGAAGTCTCTGGGGAAAGGGTGACTGTGAGGAAAACTTGTACCAGGTTCGGTGAGTCTGGCAACTCTGTCGTTCCAAATTAATGTGACACCATAGAGGCCACTGTCAAGCCTGGAAGTTCTGTCATATTTCCATGGAAACAGCTGAATATTGAGCTCCTCATCATCCGACGTTTCAAGGACAAGAGGCTGCTAAGGATAGTCGAGATGCAACTCGGAGGTGACGTTGCAAAGTCTGCGATGAAAGACTAGAAGTAAACTCTAAACCCCCCTGAGCGATGGATCGCCGCGGTCTTCATAAGAAGATCGTATCCCAATTCAGTGTTTTTGACGAGATATTCGAAGGCTTCGTCCTCCAACAGGTCCATGTTCTCCTCCACGGTACTGGCAACGACATCTCGCATACCACGATCCTCATCAATCGTGGAGGTGTAGACTTCCTCCACTGCAAGTCGAAAGTCCTCGGTGTGAGCGTATGCTTTGGCGAGTTTCTCAAACTTGGTGAGTGCGATGAGCTTCAACCCCGGGATTCCGTACTTCTCTCCCAGAGCATAGACCTTGGCGAACAGGCAGAGGTTTGAAGAAGGGCCAATCTGCACTCCGAGCTTCGGAACCATGCCCTTGACCCGTCGATTCCCGACGAATCGATGGCCTTGGGATTCTAGGAATTGCTTCAAATCATCGTCGTGCTGAGTTGTTGAGAGCTCTTCTTCGAGAAAGTTTCCGTCTTCTGGGACGAACTCGTATCCAACAAGGTCGAGGTTGTAGAGATAATAGATCATATCACGCACTGCGTGAGGATCATCTTCTGGGAGATCGATTCTATTCTCCAAAGCCTCCTGTACTCATCATCAGTCTTACATACAAGCCACGGAGAGAACTTTGACCAACCTTGAAATGTCCATTACAAGCGACCGTGAAAAAGGTTGATCGCAGGCATATGATAGCCTTATGCACCTTGTGAACGTCGTCACCACAGGTAATAGTGAGGTCGGAGTACATCCCGGTTTCGTAGAGCCTGACATATAGATTAGTAATTTGTTTGAATCATACATTCATGAAGTAACTCACTTCCAAAGAGAAGAGCCGAGCATTTCGTAATGCTGATCTTTAGGGTTGGACGCCATCATGGGTGAGGATTTGATAACCTTGATATGAGGGAGAGTGGTGCTGGGTGCTGGGTGCGATGTGGTTGAAGAAAGGTAAAGAGTTTACCAGGAAGAGTTTGACGGGACAAAACATTAGGGATCAGTTTTCCATGTGGCAGTGGACAGTACCTGGTGAGACAAGCTGAGGTACCATGGCAGTGATGGCCACTGGAGGTTGTTATGCGAATGCGGACACTGGCAGCCTATCTTAAGTGACTTACCTTGGACTTGCCACTGGAAATGAATGCATACATGCTTCAAATCAATGGAACTGGCTATATCACCCTCTCTTATCATAATAAGTTTAGTTTTCCCGACTAGACTCACCCCTTTCATGGATATCCCTCCGCAGGATCCGTGTTAAGCGTGTGTTCTTCAGACTCTGCAGGAGTTCACGACGACGGAATTCAGGCTTCTCTTCCTCCATTGACTTTTTTAGCTGTCCGAACTTGACGGAAATAACATCATATTCATTCATCTCTGTGAGACTTCCCTCGGCATTCATGGTCGCGTTGGTGCTGTTGGGCTGGAATCAGGGAATTGTTGCCACGAGTATGATAATCTTGTATTGCTTGAGGATTTGATGCATGCTTATGTTTGATACAACTTTAAGACAAGAATAGATTGGGATAAAAAAGTGTGAAACTCAAGTCCTGCACCTTTCATTGTTGGGGTCGCTTGGGCATGACTGATGTGTCTTGTTCCTGTGAGTATATTGCATGTTCACCAGAACTGCTACGAATGAACTCATCAATGATCTACCTCAACGATAACCACTGTACCAGATATGGAAGCACTTATGCCGTAAATTTAAATGCTCATCTGTTCCTACTCAATGTAATTTCATGGCATTCCCCCCATCTTGACCTGGCTTTCGCCGTACTCATTCTTACTGCATAATACCCTGTAAGCTCTTTACTACCTTAGCATACGCGAAATCTCTCGCCTGAGCCCTGAAAGTCTTTGGGTTCGTAGTCTTATCGCACCCATGAGCCCCCTCGATCCTGACAATCTCAACATCACGACCAGCCCGCTCCAACTTCTTTCCGAAAACTTCAATCTCAGGCGTGAAGATATCGTCAGAACAAGCAACAAGCATAACATGCTCTGGGAAAGAGGTCCCCTCGGCATACATGGGCGATGCTCTGGGTGACTTGCGGTCTTCAACGCGCGGTACGTACGCCTCAGTGAGAAGGTGCTGAAAAGACACAGGAAGAGGTCGAATGGACTTCGAAACCGTCTTCTCTTCCGGCGGGATGGAGAAGTCAACGCCTGGGTAGAAAGCGTATACCGCTCTGATGTTCATCTTGAACTCACGCCTCAGTTCAGCTGATGCAACAAGCGCTAGGTTTCCTCCAGAACCAAACCCCGACAAGGCAACTCTGTCAAGATCAAACATTTGTGCCTGACTGTCAACCCATCTGAAAGTATCCTCAGCGTCCTCTACAGCTCCAGGAAGGGGATGCTCGGGTGCTTTTCGGTAATCAGCGTCGAGAACTAGGACATTGTTCTCTGTGGCTATTTTCTCGCAGAATTGATGGTCCATGCCGAGATTCGGGAGGGTATAAGCGCCGCCGTGCCAATTGATTACGAGACCGTATTTTTTAGTGTCGGTGTATTTGTTTGGGTAGTAGATCCAAGCGTTGATGAAGCGATTGAGGTCACGAGACGGAATGCGGATAGGCTTGCGAATGCATGTTGGTGAGGGCGTGAAGTGAGGACGCGTGAAGATGTAGTTTATAAGACGGATGAAAGTGACGATTGCTTTGAGGCGGATGTACTGCCAAAGTGTGTGATCTGACATTGTTGTCGTTGAAGCTTCTGGAAATGTGGTGAAGCGATACGACATGGAGGGATCATGAGGCTCTGCGTTCCTCTTATGACGTTGGCTGAGATCACTCTTTTATGATACGGCCGGATTGCCGATCAACCCATGGTGTAACTCCACAGGTGCTGACCGGCAGTGAGTCATCTGGCGAGCGATTCTTAGTACCAATACGCCAATACGACCAGTTCACAACCGCAAACTGTATGCACAGTTTCTTCAAACTAAATAATTATCATATTCTAGTCTCTATAATATTAACATAAATGGTTATACACTCGCTTCCATAAAGGCCATTTCCGCCTTGCCTGCTCCTCCTCCTCATTCCAAACATGGAGATATCTTCTCCCTGTATTAATATCTATATCCTTATCCCTCACCACCTTAGTCCCCACCCATATCTTATGCGTAAAATAGAACAAAAAGATAATAGGGATTGTCAGAATCTGCAGAAAGAAGTTCTTGTACCGTTCCGCCGTTGTGAGGGGATCTGCGCCTTCCGCTTGAATCGGCGATATGGCAACCCATATCTGAAGAACCAGAACAGTTCCGTAAGCTGCGAGTGCGACCCACGATCCCCAAACTCCAACCTGTGACCGAAAGGCAAGCTGGGAAACATTGTATCCTGATAGCTGCCATGCTCTTCGAAAGCGAATATGGCAGACACAAATGGAACTCCATGTAAAGAGGGTGCTGAGCCCGCTGATCGCAAGGAGCCAGTTGAAGATCTCGTTATGGATCTTCGAGTTGGCGGTAAATGCTAGTAAACCTAGCAGGCCGCAGCAAATAATCGCCACGAGAGGTCGTCCAGTTCGGTCAATGTACGCAAACATCTTTGGCGCAAGTGACTGTTCCGCCAACGCCGCCAACGTCCGTGACGCCGCATACACAGCTGTATTCCCAACACTAATTAGCGATATCAGAATAACAGCATTCATGATGTCCGGCAAAACATCCGAACCGCTCATCTCAATGGCTATCACGAACGGACTAGCCGCCGCATCAGAACCATACTTGGCCCCCAGCAATCTCGGCTCATTATACGGCACCAGTAAACCAATGAGTAAAATCGAGAGGATGTAAAACAGGGAGATCCTCCAAAAGACTTGTTTAACCGCTGCGGGGATGGACTTTTTCGGATTGCTTGTTTCGGCCGCTGCGAGCCCGACCATTTCTGTGCCGCCGAAGGAGAAAGTTGCTGTTACTAAAACGCTCGCGAAGCCTTTGAAGCTGTTGTGAAACGCGCCGGGGTTGTGCCACCGTGTGAAACCGATGTAGTCTCCTTCTGGGGAACCTGCGATGTTGATGATTATACCGAGAAGACTAAGTTTGTTAGACGAGATTGAAGGAGTGGTTGAGTTAAGGGGTTGTTACATGAAGCCTACGATGGCTGTGATTTTGACGGCTGAGAAGATAAACTCGGCTTCGCCGTAGGCTTTCACCCCGAGTAGATTGATACCAAGGATGAGAATGAAGAAGAGGACGATAAAAATACTCTTGCTTGCATTGGGGTTCCAGTAATTCGTCGTAAATGCCCCGGCAATGATCTCAAGCGGCAGCACAATAAGATACTGCAGCGTATAACTATGCCAAGTCAGTCTCATCTCATCTCATCTCACTTATTCGCCTTCACTTACTTCCAACCCATTGCAAATCCCCAACTCGGATCCAAAAACCTCGTCGAATAATTCGCAAACGATCCTCCGACCGGAAACGCAACACTCAACTCCCCCAGCGCCTGCATCGTAAAGAACTGCATAGCGCCCATGGTGATAAACGCCAGAAGCAGCGAGACCGGTCCCCCGCGATACAGCGCAACACCCGACGCGACAAAAAGACCCGTTCCGATAGATCCACCGAACGCAATCATCTGCAAGTGCCGATTCTTCAATTCTCGGGCTAGTGCTGTGTTGGCAGAGTTGTAGTTCGCTTTCTTCATGTTGAACAGCCGCCCGTTGAAGGCGTAGCTGTTGTAGCTGCTGAGACTATCATTTTCACCATGTCGCGCTGGGGCACGGGAGAAGCTGGTCATGAGACGGCTCCATGCTGAAGAGTCGTCGACTTGTGGTTCGGGGCTTCGGGATTTCGGCGATGGCGGGAGGGCTTGCATCTCGAACTCGCGTTGGTATGCCATGTTCGAGATGAAGCTGCAAGCTGAGAGACGCAAGCAAGCTCAAACTTGCTGATCATGGAGATTTCCTCCAGGGGATTTGAGCGGCATGCACGTGTCTTGTCGCCACAGGGCGTGCTATTCCCGTGCCGGACTAGATCGGCACTCCAAGACAGGACAGGGGGAGGGATATCGCGGGTCTAGCGAATCGCTGACGTTCCGCTACGCACGACGTAGACGGTGCCTCCGTTTGACGGGCCGCAGGTTCAGGGGCATTGAGCGGTTTTGTGATGGGGGAGAACCAAGAACCCGTAATGATAACGCGTTGGGCGCATGAGTCGTGTCCGCAAGCCACATAAAGTTTATTAAGTTGCATTCCTGGCTTTTGGCCCCTGTTTTATCTGACTAATGGAATTAGCGGGAGCGGAAAGAAGGCCGTGGCAGGGATTGACCTTGGCTGGGAGATAATGACGATGCCGAAAGTTGGGATGATTTGGGGATGCGACGCTGCGGACTTGTGAGTGACTGCCGGTCCGCGAATGCAACGTTTCCTCACTGTGAGATGTTGCAATGATTTAAATGTATCAAGGCAACGCGGAATGTCTAGTCTAGAATGTCTTAAGATTTATAGAGTTAGAGCCCTGGAACTAAGGCTTAGCTGTCACCTAAATAGTTTCAGCCACTGCATAACCGGAAATTCGTGACAGCGCTTTATGCACCAGTAGCTTCGCGTAGAACTTTCACGGCCTGGGACGTTGAGAGAAACGTTATTGAATTGAGAGTAGGCTAATTAAACGTTAATAAGCGAAGGCGCCGGGCCAAGACTCAATCGGCATTCTTGATTCCCATCGCGATTCCGCGGGTCGTTTGAGTGCTGAATCCCGTCTTATTTCCTTCCAGCCCCTGAACCTACCCGGGATCGGACAAGTCTTGGATATTTGACACCGTCTTGGAGAATTACGTGGCACAATGATCTCTATTAAGAGGCTAGACTGCGCAAGCCCAAGCACTGGCGCATTCATCGCAGACTGAACCCTGGCATTTCTCATAACGTATGTCTCTATGGCATGTAATACTCAAAGTCTACTTCAACCTATCCAAGAAAGCGATTAATTGCTTCGTAGACACAACTCCCAGCACCTTCGCTGTATCCTCCTCAGTGACGACCAGATAACTAATACCCAGCTTTCCAAATAGCTCCACAGCATACTCAAGGGGTGCTCTTGAGGAGAGGGTGAGAGGACTTCTATCGATCGCCTCCGCAAGAGTCCCTTCAAGAGCGTTTATCTCATTAGACTCTTCAACACCATCAGTTTTCTCAATCATTTGCAAGGCTTGCTCCAGTTTATAATGCGAGATATAACCGTGACAGAGTCCCTTGTCGTTAACCAACACAAGTCCAGAGTCGCTCAGGCCGCTGTTCTGAAGATAAGAGAGCTTGTGTTGGAGTACTGATGTGAAGACACGATAGTCCGGACCGACAGACACAATAGCGTCGTCCGTGGCATCTCCCGAAGGAAGAAGAGCGTCTACTATCGCACTGCCCTCATCGTCTCTGAACTCTCGAACCTTGCTGATAGCACCCTCAGCCTCCAAGAAGGGATGTCCTTGAAGATGCTGAGCAAGATCGTAAACACCATCGGCACTGATTGCATCAGCCACCCACTTCGCAGTGAGGATGGCGATCATGAAAGGCGGAATGAAGTTGACTTCTCCTGTGAGCTCAAACATGATGACAGCTAGACTGACAGTCATTCTACTGACCCCGGCTAGGAAGGCTGCTGACCCGACCATGGCGAAGACCCCCGGTGAGATGTTGGGGATGAGTTGCCCGATCATTCGACCAAAGAGCGCACCTGCATCCATCGCGGGGATGATAATTCCAGATGGGACCTTGCAGCCGAATGTAATGGTCGTTAGAAATAGCTTGACGAATGTCCCGGAGACCAGCCATGCGTAGTAGGTACCCTTGCCAGTAGCTTGGGCCTCCTGCTGGCAGACCCAGTCCTCGTTAACTTGATTGCAGTCAACAAGTAATCGCTGCATCACAATATCACCAGTTTCCCTAATCAACATATTCGGAAACTGAAGAACTGCAGTGATCAACGTCACAAGGGCCAACTCAAAGACAGGATTGTTCTTGATGAGCGAAATCTTTCGGAACGACTTGGACCACAGGAAGTTGGCTCTGCAGAATACTCCACCAAATACACCACCGCAGACGCCGAGAATGACGAAGACAAAATAGTGAAGAGCATCGTAGTTGACGCCGTAGTTGGTCTCAAATAGAACAAGTTTACCGGTACCTGTAGGGTTGAGTGCCTTGAGAACAGCCGCCGCCACCACTGAACATAGACAGCTTCGCCAAAGTACTCGACGAGGAAAGTAAGTGCTGATCTCCTCGTAGCTGAACAGAACACCTCCAATAGGAGCCCCGAAAGCGACAGATAAACCTGCTGAACATGCGATGCTGAGCATCTCCCTCAATTTCCGTTGGTTACTCGCGTACTTGGGGATGCAGATGGTAACAAGATACCCAACACAAGCTGAGATGTGTACAAACGGACCTTCTTTTCCCAGACACATGCCCGTTGCGACTGCGAAGATTGATCCGATGGCTTTGACGATAAGGACTTTGAGATCGAAGAGATGAGGGATGCAGAAGCCGGACAATACAGTCTTTATCTCAGGGATGCCGCTTCCTGCCGCCATGTACATAACCTTTCCGCTTGCGCTTGCAGACGATCGTTCTTTCTCCGGAGCGACGGCAGTGAGATTCGTCTTCGTAGTCGCGGTGACGCTTCCAGCGATGATACCAAAGGCCAGAGCAAGGCCGACATAGATGGCGTATGCATACACGTAGCTTTCTGTCCACGACTTCCAGTTCTGACAGTTTGTCTCTGACGCACAACAAGCTCGGTGACTCAGAAATATGTTGTTGGTGCAGTAACCATCTTTGAGATCTGCTAAAACCTCAACGCTGACGTCTACGAATGCTGCGATGGAGGCAGTGAAAAGACCGATGACGAAAGCTGCGACCCAGCCCTGAGAAGCGTCCCATAGCTTGGCGATGCGATAGCGTATTCCTCGTCGAGAATAGAGACTTGAGGTGTCGCGTCGATGACTATCTTGCACGAGGTCTTGAAGCCAGTCGATGGTATGGTAGTCATTATATGGTAGACTGTCCTGCTGTGGGGCACTGCTTGTCGATAGGGCGGCCTTGATGCCGCGTTTGTGGGATGGTAGCAAGGGAGTAGTCTCCGTCGCTTTGACAGGCATCGAGTCAGAAGCCATTTCGAGACGGATGGTTAGAACAATACGGATTAGGCGATAGAAAGACTGGGAACGCCATTCTATAAGAGTGATGCACTACCTATCCGTGGAAATACAAACGAGAACTCGATATCAGATTCTGTACATCTACCGGAAAAGTAAAGTACAGATCTCGAACCTGTGACGTCAATGCATTGCATTTCCGGGCTGAACACAACCCTCCAGGGTCTGGTGATAAGGTTGCAGCACTAACTGGCCTATCGCTTCTGTGTCGGGCATGAAGAACAGTGTTCCATTGGTGAAATCCAGGACGGGAAGATGCCCAGATCTACTGTCAGATAATCTTCTCAGGCGGCATAGGCGAGAGCTCAAATTAATTGCAATAACTGCACGGATCCAACTTTTGATGGAGGTGCCATTGCTGATTCGATGCATGTCTGTCGAAGCTGTATGGCAGGAGTCTAGAACATTGAGCAGAGATAAGCAGTCACACCAAAACCGCCACTATCTCCAAGTCTCACATGCAACATAGATAAGAACCCCGGAGATGGTTCAAGATCCCGTCTTTGACAGATGTTCAAAAATCGGTTGGAGAGAAAACTCAAACGGTCAAAAGCCAAAAATTGGGCTCCGCGGAGATATATATAAACATTTATCCTGTGCGACGCTTAGTATAGAACTTTTCGCTGATCGACGTCCTCGTGACCGGAGAGATTGTCGTGCTCACACCGCATAACATGGCACATGGCCTGCTCACAGACACAGCGGCAGATAATGACTAGCGCCAGTGTCAGATAAGCCCAAATGAAAACCAGGCCCTTGAGACATTTGACATTGCCGTCGCAATAAGGCTCCTCTTCCTTCAATTGTCTTAATTCTGGCACTTCAGTTAGACACATGCGAGCGCCTCTCACTTTTGACGGATGATACCTGTTCCGGCAGTCTACAGTTCAACTCTATGGCTCGCAAGCACTTACGCGGTTGTTTGGTCACTGGGACAACACTAGATTGAACAAGTCTCAAGTCTTGATAGACAAAAGGGATGGGATTTTGTGGAATCGCAAGTATTTGCTCTTACTACGATACTCAAGTCAGTGTCTGTCATCTGGGCTGAGTGTTGATGCGCCGGGGTTGCTTCTCGGACGGACCCTCAAGGTTCTAGAATATGGCTTTTATTCTATGACAAGAATTACACCTAAGATGGGGATGTCCAATCGGGCCAACCTGGTCACCAATCGGGATAAGTGTCATGTCTTGCAGATATCTGATGTTGAAGCCCCCAAAGTATACGCGATCTCATGTGAGATTCTCCGGCTGTATCTCTCGATGAAGGTTGAGTGTAGGTAAATGAATTAGAAAATTTAACGTATAGTTAGCTAAATAGATTGATGAATGAGGAATAAAAGAGAGAAATTAGCACTAAATCACAACCTGGGATGAGATCAAATCCGCATCAGGCAAAACGTACACGGCTGTTTTAGCCATGCTGGGAGGTGGCCTATCATCTAAAAACCCTGCTACAATTGATAGTTAGCAGAGAAGATGATTGGATTCCACATAGGGTGACGACTGGAGGAGGATGGCTACAGAGAGGAATGTTCTTATGTTGGATGCCGATGACTAGAGGGAAATCCTGCCACCTCTATGAGCACTGAAGCCCGTACATCTTGCTAGGCCTATCTAATGTAACGACACCACAATAACATCAATCAATTGATATCAGAACCTTCCAGTAGTCTCTAGGTAATTCTTTAATTTATTTATGGAGCTAGTGAGAAGTAATTTCGCGAAGTTTCTAGAAATCTGACATCCTGCCAATCAACCTCACGCTTCTCAGCCTCCAGGGATCAACATCCCAAGGCAGAAGTCCATATTAAGGTTGAGTAAAAACACATAAGAACAATCAACAAGACCATTAACACTTATATTCGAATCCCATTCCCTCTTTCAATCATTATAAGCACCATCACTCCATATTTGACAATGTCTTCCCTTCCCTTTAGCGCTCCGCCCTGGCCCATCCCCGCGTCAGCAAATCTTACATCATCCACTATTTCCGTTGCTGACGGTGAGGTTGAGCGGCTGAAGACACTCCTCAAGCTGTCGCCCATTCCAGAAGCTAACATCTGGAATTCGCGTGATGATGGTGCTTTTGGTCTTCCCAGGGGTACTTTGACAGAATTGGTTGAGTATTGGGCGAATGACTACGATTGGAAAAAGTGGGAGGCTACTCTCAATTCAATTCCGCAGTTTGACATCACTGCCACTGATGACGATTCGAAAGACTACAAGATCAACTTCTTGGCTTTGTTCTCCAAGAACCCATCTGCTGTCCCCATCTTGTTTCTTCATAGCTGGCCTGGCTCTGTTGTTGAATACCTCCCCATCCTTCAGAAACTCAAATCCGAGTACGACCCTGAGTCTCTACCCTATCACATCATCGTTCCTCACCATATCGGCTTCGGTTTCTCTGATACACCGCCACTCGATAAGAAATTTACTCATATCGATAATGCCCGCCTTATGTCCAAGATGATGCAATCCCTGGGCTTTGGCAAGACAGGGTACATGACCCAAGGAGGTGATTTGGGTGGCTGGACCGCACCTGTCATTGCAAACCTCGATCCTGCATGCAAGCTCGTTCATATGAGTATGCTCAACATCTCGCCTCCTGCAGGTGAAGATGTTGAGGAAGGTATCAAGGCCGGCAAATACACTCCCGACGAGTTGGAAGCATTCGGCAGAATGGGAGAATTTCAAAAGAAAGAAACAGCCTTCATCCAGCTCGATGGCACCAAACCAGCTACGGCAGGCTACATCTTCGGCAGCAACCCCATCGCCCTCCTCGCCTGGATCGGCGACAAGATGCACCGCTGGTCCGACGAAACACCCTCCAAAGACCTCATCCTAACAAACTTAGCGCTCTACTGGTTCACAGGCTGTTACCCTACCTCCATCTACCTTCATCTCACAGTTCTTGAGGATCATGAGCTCATGATGAATGCTTGGAAGAGTCTCAAGGTACCGCTTGGGCACTCGGCGTTCAAGAAGGAACTTGTCACGGCGCCGGAGAGATGGATTCAGCAGACGGAGCAGGTCAAGTGGTATAAAATGCATGACAAGGGTGGACACTTTGCTGCGCTTGAGGAGCCGGATGCTCTTTGGAAGGATGTGGAGGATTTTATTGGGGCGTTTTGGGAGAAGTGAAGCGGTTCCAGTCACGATGCGGCGCTTGAGATGGGAACAGGCTGCGACAAGTGCCGAGTCGAGGTGAGTTTAGGTCAATTTAGGGTAAGTTCAGTATTCTATCGGACTAATTATTATCATCCCTTGCGATCAGGTCATATGTTTTCCGCGGTCTTGAGGTCATAGACACCAGACACGAGGATTCACCATCCCTAGTCCCATTAGTCAAAGAGTCTATCAGGTTAGGTCACGACGATCTCAATACCGCCCACATCACGACTCGGCCCTAAATGCATCCCCCACATTCTTCCTCCATTGGCTCTCTTAGCATCGATCAACCTTTTCCAGCATCTAATTTGTCCGCATCAAATTCGGCACGCAAGTGCCGGTTTATGGTTACATCAAGGCCCGGGCCACGGATTCCCCCTGGGGTATTTACCCCAGATGACGATGGCGCCGATCTGCATACCCCGCAGATTTGGAGAAGCGGGCGAATAGCGCTTGGCGCACCAGTCTTTGACGGATTTGTGCACGGAGAAATTTGTGAATAGTTACTCCTTTGGAGAGTGTGAGCGGAATAGGAAGGTGGTTAGCCACTTCGTCTGATGTTGTCGCGATGGGATCTGGGGGAGGGCATCGGAGGGTTGTCGGACAAGAGACCCTCAGTATGGATATATCTATATAAAGAGCTCTTATTCTGTGCCGTAATTTCTATTCCCTCTAACTCAGCAGCTCTTCTTTAATCTCCTGTCAAAGACACTTGGCTCTGGTTCTACCCATCTTATCCTAGTCCCCGGACGCAACATCACAATGCTTCTCCAAAGCGTCTTCGCTCTTGGTCTCGCCACCACCGCCCGCCTTGTCTCAGCAGCACCATGCGACATCTACAAGTCCGGCGGAACACCCTGTATCGCCGCTCACAGCACTACCCGCGCTCTCTTTGACAGCTATACCGGCGGTCTCTACCAGATCAAGCGCGCCTCAGATGGTGCCCTCACCGACATCAAGCCTGTCTCCGCAGGCGGTGTCGCAGCCTCCTCTGCCCAAGACACCTTCTGCAGCGGCACAACCTGTCTCATCACCATCATCTATGATCAGTCTGGCCGAAGCAACCATTTGACCCAGGCTCCTCCTGGCGGTTTCAATGGCCCTGATGTGAACGGCTATGATAACCTTGCCGCTGCTGATGGTGCACCTGTTACGCTGAACGGCAAGAAGGCCTACGGAGTGTTTATCTCCCCTGGTACCGGCTATCGTAACAACCAAGTTGACGGTTCTGCCACTGGTGATGAGCCCGAGGGTATGTATGCTGTCCTCGACGGAACGCATTACAACGGTGCTTGCTGCTTCGACTACGGCAATGCCGAGACCAATAGCAAGGACACTGGTAATGGACACATGGAAGCTATCTACTTCGGTGACAACACCGTCTGGGGCTCTGGTTCCGGCAGCGGCCCTTGGATCATGGCTGATCTTGAAAACGGCCTCTTCTCTGGAAAGGGCGCCAAGCAGAACACTGCCAACCCAAGTATCTCCAATCGCTTCACCAGTGCTGTCGTCAAGGGCAAGCCCGGCACATGGGCCATTCGTGGTGGAAATGCCGCCTCCGGTTCACTATCGACCTTCTACAGCGGTGCGCGCCCTGATGGTGGATACAACCCCATGAGCAAAGAAGGAGCAATCATTCTCGGTATTGGCGGTGACAACAGCAATGGAGCCCAGGGAACTTTCTACGAAGGAGTAATGACTAGCGGATACCCTTCTGACGCGACTGAGAACTCCGTGCAGGCCAACATCGTTGCGGCCAAATACGCTACTACATCTTTGACCAGCGGAACCGCCCTCACCGTCGGATCATCCGTCACCCTCAAAGTCACCACCTCTGGCTACACAGACCGCGTCCTCGCACACAGTTCCTCCAACGTCAACACCCAAGTGATCTCCAGCTCCAGCTCCAGCGCCCTCAAGAAGTCAGCAAGCTGGACCGTCCGCACTGGTCTCGCCAACAGCGGCTGTGTATCTTTCGAGTCTAACGATACTCCTGGTAGTTACATTCGTCACTCTGGCTTCCAGCTCTATGTCAACAGTAATGACGGAAGCAAGATCTTCGGTGAGGATGCAACCTTCTGCCCCCAGAAGGGTATCAGTGGATCAGGAAGTTCGTTCCGATCATGGAGCTATCCAACCAGGTACATTCGACACTACAACAACGTTGGGTATGCTGCTTCAAATGGTGGTGTTCATGACTTTGATGCTGCGAGCAGCTTTGTCAATGATGTTAGCTTTGTTGTTGCCACCGGCTTTGCTTAGATGGAAGTTCAGGTTATGACGGGTTTGAAGTGGAAACCACAGAGCGTTTAGTTGTTAAACACGAGGGGTAAATCTAGTTTCAATATTTATCAATTGATCATTCATTTTACCCAGAAATACGAAGCATGATCTCATGGGCAATGAGTGCAACCTACGGTCTTTACTTTGAATCCTCAAGTTCCTTCTTCTCACTATCTCCCAAAAGACCCAGTGCCTCCCGACGCGTAGGCGCCGATGCGTCAAAGTACGGCTTTTCGGCCAAAGAAGTCACTCGAGTGCCATGTCGCGGTTCTCTTCCACTATAGTCCCAGCTTGCATTATGAATAGTGATACTAAGACCTGTTAGCACTTGACATGTCGGTGAATTCGCTGAAGCTTACCGGTTGTCCCAAAGGGCAGATGTTCTTGGCGTCCACTTGAATCGGACTTGAATGTCAACATTCTGCTCATAAACATCATACAAGTAATTGAGAATGACATCGCTCTCAGCTCGATCAAGACCAACGATCCTATCAGTCATCGCACGGTTCACCCAGAGCGCTTTCCAGCCCGTGGCAGGATGAACACGAACAATAGGATGAATGCGCTCGATGTACTTTGGTCCTTGTTCAGGATGCTCACGGTCGAGATAGGGATGAGCAGAGCGGTAAACAGCCTCCCGGCCATCGATGATCTTGCGGAACTCTGGGGACAGCTTTTCATATGCAGCGTATCCAGACGCCCAGAGGGTATCTCCGCCGACTGATGGGATAGTATCGTTGTGGAGATGGGTGATACCGGCTGGCTGCTTTTCATGGACGAGATCTGTGTGCCAGCGCGATGCACCGCCAGGTTGACGGAAACTAGCTGGGCGCTCTGTGGCCATGAGATCAGGCCAGAGGACGCTCACACCGGGTACGCCAGGGACATGTGGAACTTGAGGCTATCGCGGCGTCAGAATAGGCTATGAAGAGAATTTGAAAAGTATCACTTACATGAACTTCAACTTCACCATACCATTCACCAAGCTCCTTCTGCTGCTGCGGCGAAAGATCCTGATCTCTGAAAAACACAACACTTCTCTCCGCAATCAGCAAAGCAAGTTCATCTCGCTGCTGGTTCGTAAGGTCTTTTAACTGGAGACCTTCAATTTCCGTGCCGATGTAAGCAGTCAGATCAGTAACCTTTGTCGCCGCGGACAGAAGGCTCTTCTTTGACTTGTCAGCTCGAGCACCAGCGTCAATGTGATCGCGAGGCTTGTCTCTAATCTTGTAGACATCATCGAGATACAAAGGGCGAGAAGGACGGTAGGGATAGCCTTTGGAGAGATCTACACCCGATTTCTCGAGACGCTGCTTGGCTGCGTCGGGGATCTTGAGGGTGTCTTTGATGGGTTCGGCGACATCCTTGATGCTGGGGTCAATTGGGGCTGGGACCATTTTGTATTGATTGGGCTTAGGATTCTTATGTGGTGATTCAATTTTGCAACTGGTGATATTGATGTCTCTGGAATTATAGCAGCGTGCAGCATCTTGATATACAACCATCATCCCCTCACTATTGTTGCAGTGACCCCAACTCGGCCAGTCACGCCATGATGGCACACAATGACCAAGACTTACTGCGACAGACCCCATTGGCCAACGTTCGACATGCGATATGCAAACTGATTGCAACATAAATAACTATCCAATCTATTTCGTGAAAGATCACGCAATCGAAAGATGCTGGCCCAAAGCGGAAATAACAGCACCTCGTTTGCCAGTTGGTGGTGTCGTGTAATGGAGGATTTGTAAGACTCGGACGAGATATCGACCCCTCACTTCGTTATTCTGCTGACGAATAAAGATGAGAGTCGCCATTTGCCCGCTCGTAATAGCCGAAAAGAGACGGGTTGGACTGATACTTGCCCCCTTTCTTTCTGTTGGTCGGACGAGTCTCTTCGACCATGGTCGCCCGTCAATTTACCGAGCACATACAGGCAGATATCTGAGATAGTGCTTATAAGTGAAATAGACATCCATATTAGACATATACTCTATACTTCGAGCTCCTACAGCTTCGCCCGAGGAACAGCAGCAAGCTCTTGACTGTCACTACTCCTCCACACAGCCGCTGCCTTAGGTTTACTATCCTTCCACTGCCACTTCGCCTGACTCTGCTTCTCCTCCACAAGCAACTTATGCACAAACTGCCCAAAGATGGGCAACATCTTAAACCCATGTCCACTATCACCACTCAACACCGCCAAAGTCGCATTGGTACCAGGAACATAATCGATGATGAAGTCCGAATCATCCGTGTCAGCGAACCAGCACAGGTGCTGATCAATCAGAGGTCTGTCAGCTAATTGAGGGAAGACTTCTTTGAGAAGAAGGCGGATGTGCGTTTCGTCCTCAAGAGGCATAAATTGTGAATCCGCTAGTTCGGGGAAGGGAATGGAGAGACCGTCTTTGGAGAAGGCGTAGTTTGTGAATGCGCCGCCCATGTGGCAGAATTTGAGTTTCTTGGTCTTCAGGTCGGGTTCGAAGAAGAAGGCGAGGTCACGGACGTTGGTGACTGGGATGCCTTTGAGTTCGGCGGCCTCTTCGTCTGTGAGTTGGATATGCGCGACACCCCATGCTCGACCGGTCATCTGCTTTCCAATGCGTGGAAGAATATTGGCGGCGTCGGCGCCTAGAGCGACGATGGTCTTGTCTGCTGAGTGGATGGTGCCTCCCCGTGTCCTGGCACCTATACACTTCGTGCCCTCTCGACTTGACGCATACAGCAATGACTCAACCTCGCCATCTTTCGCTCCAAGATGGAACTTCACACCGAGCTTGACGCACTGCTCGTACACAGCTCTCAAAGCATTGGCGGAGTGGCCGTAACCAGCGAGCTTATTGTGATATCCGGTGAAGCCGGTAAGAGGGCCGCTGAACTTGGGAACGAGCTTCTTGATCTCCCTGCTGCTGTTCACACGAGTGGTTTGGCCATTGAAAGCTGGGTTCTTCTGGAGTGATTGGAAGTAGCTCTCCACTGCACCCTTTGTGTTCTGTGCGGCCTTGCCGGACGTGACGTTGAGAAAGCCGGTTTGGTGATAGTGAGGAGAATAGAGGGGATCAGATTGCCATTTTCGGATTGCATCCTATGATTAAGACTCAGTAAGTAACTCGAGATGAGTCGCTGTGACATACGAGGGCCAATTGTGTGTAGAAGTCATCGGCGTACTCGGCACGAATGACCTTGTTTAGATCATAAGCAGCGGAGAAGCGACTCGGTACGTCAACATCTTTCTCGAGAATTGTGATGTTCTTGTATCCCTTCTGAGCGAGTTCAAATGCTGTGGCCAGACCGAAACAACCGCCTCCGAGAATGAGGATCGATTGATTTGTGTTTTCTGTCGACATTATGCAAGATTATCAAGGTTTGCTGGCGGGGATGAGGCGGGTTGTTATTCCGGTGAGAGGTCAGCGACTGCAGAGCCCAATCTTGAATACAAGAGATTATAACTATGGAATAGAGTAAGAGAGAAGGAGAAGATGGATGTTGGGTAAGACTGCATTTAAAAAACATCCAAGCCATCAATTGTTCTGGAACAAATGGCTAGGACGCCCGCATCGGGTCGTCATCCGATATCGCCAAAGAAACATCACGGCATCATCTGGTTGGATAAGATAACGAATTTTGGAGACGGGCTCCTCACGAGGACCACAGAATTCGTTAGCGTAGCCGCCGCAAAGATACACTGTCCACCACCAAAAGATAACTCAACCTCCACTTTCTTCCCCGCTTCATCGGTGTCTACTCCGGATTATGGGCATCATGTGGTTGGTCTTGGAACACGGCATTGAGATGCTACACCGGTAGAGGGAATACCGTAGCATTTGGGTTTATTGGTGGCCTCAAATATATGCTGTAACGGGTGAGGAACGGCCTAAATGCCGAGGTCTGGTCTGGAGGCTCAAGGCGTTATCTTTTGCCAATTGCTACATGTTGAAGGTTCATCTCACCGCATGCAATGCAAGCTCAAAATAAATCGAGCTTACGCATTCGGAAACTCTTTGCAGCCTGAGGTCTGTCATCTGCGGTTTCGCTGCCGAGAGCCGGCCAAGACCCAAGCTACAAACCCGGGCTTCATATCACGGAAGCCATCCCGAGTAGTCGCCGCTCGGCCCCACCAGAACATGATGCCTTCATATCTTAATCGTACCATATGTATCGTCGACTGGCGAACTTTATATCTTTAATTTACACAATGAGTGAGAACCTCAAATTCATCATTCGATAAATTTCCAAACTGAGGTCCTAATCTCGGACCTCGCCGATGCAACTGCTTGCTCCCGGGTGACGAGCCTAACTCATGCCGTAACAATGCCGTACCTCAGCAACCCCAACGAAGCACCAAGCAGAATCGCCAACGGTGGTGCGACACCAAAATACCGTCCTCCCACAAAAGCCGTTGCAGTGACAACAACCCACCAAGGATCGTCAGCGAGACTCTTGCCAGATTGGAAGCCTTGATCTATGTATCCAACCTGCCAGATTCTATAGACAGCCGTGTAGATCAGCCCGACTGCACCAGCATTGATACCCCGTACGGCCGACTTGACCCAGCGGCGACTTCTCAGAACTCCCCAAACGCCCATCGTTCCGTGAACGAGAACCATGCCCGGGACAAAGATACCGAGGTAAGCAATCAGCGCTCCTGCAATGGCAGGATATCCGTTATTCGCAGCAGTAAGACCACCAAGGAACACGGCAAAGTTGAAGTTTGGTCCTGGGAAGGATTGGGCTATCGCTAGACCGATGAGAAAGTCACGCGGTGTAACCCAACCCTCAGCGACGACGTATTCACGAAGTAGGGGAATGACCACAGGCCCGCCTCCAAAGATGATGGTGCCGGCGAGATACAAGTTTGCGAAGAGTTTATAGAGGAGTGGTGCATCCTTCAGTGTGGCTCGCAGGGCGATGACGACAATGAAGCTCGCCAGGAACACTCCGATTATCGCTGTACCGGATCTCCACGAGAAGTTGAGGCGATATCCCTGGGGCACGACCCTTGGTTCGTCATCCCTCGACTCGGTGGGTTCCTGTTCGCGAAGGGCGATTGTCGAACTATTGGCGTTGTCCGTTCCGTTCTCAGCGCCCCGGATGTTTTCATCGCCAGTTGATCCCCCTCTCCTCATCCGAACAAGAGTGTTCTTCACAGCTCGTACCGGACGATGCACCCAGCGGTAGTCGAAGATGACAATGCAACATCCGCCCGCAACAATGAGGACAGGGAAGTACCAGAGAGCGTTGTACAACATTCCAGCAGCCGCAGTGATGGACAAGACCAGTCTCGTAGGCTGATCCGTGATTGCTTTGTCCGAGAGCTCAACTGCTGCTAGAGCGATGATTCCGACTGTTGCAGCGTTGAGGCCTGATAGAAGAGCGTATACAGCGCGAGGTAGGGTGTCACCGATGTTGGAGACGCCGATCGAGAGGCCAAACATGCCAAAGCAACCGGGTAAGCTGTTGATGAAGATTAGTTTTAGTTCCAGGTCTTGTGACTTTGGTCGAGGTTTTACCTCCAAATAAGAAATGCAAGGATAGCTTCGAATACTCCTCCGTGGATCAAGTTGATGCAGTACAGCATCTTGGTGCTTGCTGGACCAGAAAGGGCCTGAGAGACGCTGAACAGCTCTTGGAACTAAGCGCGCTTGTCAGTCTTTTGTTCAATTTTTAGTGCGTGAAATCTCACGATTTGCTCATCGATCCATTGCAATTTAGTGACAAACTTGTCATGAAACTTTGTCCATTGTTAGCGATACTGTAAAACAACCATGGGAGGTTTTGCTGACGATTTTGAAGTGGACGGGCGGTCCACCGAACGCAGTGAAGCCGAGATGCCAATTGACCTTGAGCGTCTGCAGTCCGCGATCTGCGGCTCTACGCACCGCGTTTTCCCAGCCGCCGACGACCATTTTAAACCCTTAAGTTATTGACAGATACTCAATTGATGTTTTTGGAGGATGCAAGGCGATAAGTGACTCATGCACTGGAGATTTAAGCTTCATTTTACTCCTGGCTGTCACGTCATTGGATCTAAACCTCTTTCAACTCTTGGCCGCGGTTGACCAATTATCGTGCGGGGGTGCCAGATACCTGTTCTCTCACCGTGACAATAATTGACCTTGCGAATTTTACTTGATGTCGGTGAATGAATCACATTTTACTCCATGTTGGTTTCTTGGCGATGGTCAGTCAATGCTAACCAACCAATTCGGCACATGTCGACTAACGCTGGGCAAGATTACGCGGTAATTCTGCCGACGTAGGTGATGGCATACTGAATCTATCTAGTAGTACTATAATATTCAAGAAACTGTTTACCATCTCCCCTCTATCGCAAATAATTAGATAACAGCCAGGGTTATTGTACTGCTCGGTGCCTAAATATATTATGTCAAGATCCACTTTTAGATCAGTCGAAATCTCTCTATTGGGACTCCCCTGCTCCTCAACGAGTTCTCCGACATCCGAGGATCGAAAGACGTCTCGTAAGTGCACCCATATGGATCCTTGTATATCCAAATCGGACATTCATGACCGCTCTCCTCCAAAGTCCCTTCAGTGAAACTCTCGCTCGAAGGAACATCATCTAGCCTCGGGTCTGTCAATCGATCAGGATGCCCGTCTTTAAAGAAGCGAAGCATCGATGGAACCAAATTCCATACGTAGCCCCAGCCGTGGAAGTCATCGCCCAGCAACGCTTCACTATTGGCGAAGTCGGGGTGATAGCAAGGCCCCACGACGTGAAAATACCCAGGAGTCTCTTGCGGTCGTAGCACGAGGGGGTTGCACAAACCAAGGAGCACTACTATTACATCACCGGCGCGACTCGCTGCTGGGACGCGAGCGAAACTACCGCTGCTGGTTCTGCAACACCCGATTGCTGGCTCGACTGGGACGATGGAGCGTAGATACGCGGAGTCGCTTTCTCGCCAGGGGACTTTTGGATTATCATCGTTGAAAATACCGCTCATCCAGTCTCTTATTCTTGTTTGCCAGTCTTGCAAAGATTTCAGCCGCCTTTTGCCGGGAGGGTCAAATCTCTGCTGGTCAAAATCCCACAGGGCTCCTGACATAATCATCATGATGAACCTGTCGAGACATTTGCCTTCAAGAACAAGATCGCTTCCCACGAGATATTGAATCATGTCAAGAAATACGTCGATATGCTCCTTCTTTGATGTTGACGAGTTTCCCTTTGACAGGAGGTATGGATCGCAGGATACTTGGTCGCAAAATACTCCTGGAACCTCTAGTATATCAGGTTCCACCAACAGGGCTGAAGTGCAAGACCTCGCAGCTGAGTCGCAACTGAGAGCAAGACTGGTAAGAGGTCTGTCCAAGTCTGCTACCCAACTTGGCCGTTTGTCCATGTTGCAATAGTTCAAGAACTGTAATTGCAACTCGTGGTGAAGTTGATCCAAACAGATCAAAGTGAAAACCTCCTTGGCAGACTTGGTGTAGTCCACCATCATCCTTTCAGCCACAGCAGGTTTGAGTAACCCCCGAAGAGCAAAGACTTTATCGCGAAAGTCAGAGCATTGATACTGCTTCGTGGTATCTAGAAGAGGTATGCAACTATAGCCATTCTTGGTCCACGGTATTTGGCATGCTATCACCTTGCGAAGGAAGAGCTCCCAGTTATCCCGAAACCTGTTGACATCAACGAACCATTCACCCAAAAGCTCCAGATAACACGTATAAGTTACCAAGCACTTCAACCTGGTCCATAATATCTCTCTGCCACCTATTCTGACTATAGACGCTTCTTGATTGGCCAAGATAATCTCCTGATAAGTCCAGAGGCGTCTATGCCAGTCCAGAGCTAGGAAGCTCTCTAAAGCGTGCCATTGTTCTCTTCTCAGCACTCCAGGGTCAGGATCAGATGTTACGGGAGACCCCGCTGTTGTCACTGTGTTGAAAGCGAAGACGAAAGTGCCTCGAACTTCGTCCCAGTGACCAGACTTGACATGCGTTCCCACCTGCTGAAGTGTGTCCATAAAGAGGTCGCTCCAGGATGTCGCTGGGCCGAGCCATACAACGACTCTCAGGGCAAAGGTGTATACCAAGTACATGCGTTGAACCTGAGACGAGCGTTCATCGCGGTCTTTTTGATTGATGCAGATAGAGTCGCACCAGAGTATTCGCTTCTCAGAAGGGTATCGAAGAGAACGCAGCGCTGCAGCCAGATTCGGTCCAATACCAATGTCTCCAGACTCTAAGCTCCCAGTTGGTAGCAATTCCTCACTAGAGTGTCTCGTCGTAAGTGTAATGGGTTCCAACTGAGATTGGTCACCCCAACAGTAAGACAGTGCTTCGAACTCTGGGACTTCGGAGTCTTCAGGTGATAGCTTTCTATGCACCAAAGTGCCAGAGAGAGGGTCTTCTGGTGAACCTGAGCTCAACTCAAGAATACGAAGTTCTTGGGGACGCAAAGGCTGGTAGGCAAAGGGAGCCATGGTGCCGTTTTGTCGCTGTACTTGTTGGATGTAGATCGCAAACTGCGTTGAACTGTTGGCTAGGCTATTGGCTCCTACTCAATCGTTAAATTATTCGTCCAGGTGAGGCGCCTGAATGAAGATAGATCAAAGGAACAGAGGGACGTGGAGAATGTCGAGATATGAAATGTGCTATCACCACATGAGCGGGGAGCTGTCAGCCTAGCAGGGCTGTGCATGCACAGCGCCGCATTGTTATATACAGTTCATTCTTTGTGCGCAATTGCGCACTGAGATCTTTAGCGATTGGCTACGTGGCGGGGAGTATGCATGCAGGACAAGAATAATCAGACTGATTCACGAACTGCACTAGATCTCAAGTAAGTGTAACTGATACAGCAAAGTACAGCATAAACAGTCAAAATAAAATGTAAGACAGTAGATTGGAAAGACCGTACTAAGCCCCACCCATTTTTGTGTCATCTAGCTCGAGGCAACCAAGACCTAGAAAGCGATCCAGCACAAGTCTCTTGGCTGGTGTTATTTTTTAACTAGAGTATATATATTTTATTATAATATTAAGCTCCCGAACTACATTGAGCAACCCAATAGACACCCTTCTAAGTAAATCTACTTCCTTAATGACTTGTTCATACTCTTCATCATCGATCTAAGTTTCGAGTCCCTTTTGATAAATTTAGGCCGGTTCAAAATTTTCTTTCTGTTGAAGGGAGGTTCTGCTCACCCAAGAGATTAGTCGATGTTTACTTCCATCCAAACTTGCGTGTGGAGACTACAGTCATCTATGTCTCAAAAACATACCTTCCAAAGACACAGCATCGACAAGACTTGCTATCTTTCGATTGAGCCGTGCATAGGGACTGCGTCTTTTCTGAGCATAGTTGTCGATGACCGCTGCGACTTGGATGCCAGCCAATGTCACACCAACAGCTGCAATGGCTATTTCGGCAGCCATGGCTAAAACTGCGGACTGAAGAAGTTGAATGGAAATGAGATAAAGTGACTCAAGGTGGAACGATGAGCGAAAAACTTGAGATCTCGATCAGGTTAAAGTTGAAAGGTTTGAACGAGTTCCACAGAAAATAAGAACTGGGGGAGACTGAGACCCTGAAGGTCCAGGTACCAGAAATACGAATGGAGTCAATGGTTACACAATGATATCATACTCCTAGTAGGTGGATGGCACTGTCCAGTCACGCTTACCCACTGATCGTCATGAGACATTACTAAACGGTGAGGCTTAACACTGCCCCAAAACTTGAGATCTTATTGGTTTCTAAGAACTTACGGTGGTGGCGCAGAGTAGCCAGCTGAAACAGAAGTCCTTATACTACCTATAGGCAGGCCTTAGGCTGATTCACAGCAGGAAGACGCCTCTAGCAACTTATTATCCTAAAGGTAAAGTAATGTAAAATGAAAGATTGCAGATTAATTTTACGCAATGGGGCCAACCTCATAAAAAGACGTGGCTTTCAGCCGCAGCGGCTGCATGGATCGTGATTTGAGAATAATGAGCACCTGGAATTTTGGATGGCTTACACAACATTTCAGTTTTTACAAAGTTGGCGCCAATCAAGATGACGATAAGCACTGCCAGGACGTTGGTAGGTTGTCAGACACACCCTTAAGCACCATAGCAAATCAATACAATTACACCTACAGCCAACATGTAGCCAATATTTGATGCACTACGTTTTCACGCAGACATAGTGTGCACACTAATAGCGTAAAGTTCAAAGAGAAAAAAGTTGAGTTCAAACTGAGCTCAGTATGTAAGAAAGTCATAAAGTGAGTCGAGGAAAAAGACCGTACCCAGTACTAAGCCAACCCCCATTTTAATGCCATTTAACTAGACGCAACCAAGACCTCAGGCTCACCGTTCGTGTAGCTAACGCAAACCTGTCCATTGCCATCAGAGGTAACAGTTCCACTTCCGAAGACCCTGTCCCAAGTCTTGTTGTTTTTTCCAGTGTTGAAGCAGTACTGTCCCGAGTATCCCTGCCCGCGGTTCAAAGTAAGAACAATGAGATTACCGTCCGCACGACTCCAAGCATATGCACTATCCTGAGAGTAAAGATGCTTGTGATCATTTCCGCCAAGGCCACCGACCGCTGAGCGAGCCTTGGAGAGTCGTGAGATGTGTTGGTAGAGATCGGCATTGGTGCTGAAGCTGCTTCGCCAGAGATCCTCACGGTTAGCGGGATCATTGCCGCCAGCGTAGCCTTGCTCTGTTCCGTAGTAGACGATGGGAATGCCTCGGGCGAGAATGACGTATGCGAGGGCGTTCTTGAGGAGAGCTTTATCGTTCTTTTGGCTTAGCCAACGAGGGTTATCGTGGTTGTCGATAAAGGTGCCGAGGATAGTGGGGTCGGGGAACTTGTTGCTAATCTCATCGTGCATGGCGACAACATCTGAAGGGTCGCCCTTCTGTTGGTAGAACCGGTTCATGGGGTAGTACATGGCATAGTTTAAAAGACCAGGCATGACCTGTGCATAACCAGCAAGATAGTCAGGCCCTCCATCCCAAACCTCACCGATGGCGTAAACACCAGCAGCGTCTTGGAAACCAGGCCAGAACGGCTTTTCGACATGCTTTACGGTGTCGATGCGGATACCGTCGAAGCTGTACTCAGAAACGAGCCACTTGATCCAGTCGTAGAGGAGCTGCTTGACAGTGTCGCTGCCGGTATTCAGGTCAGGGAGACCAGCGATTTCGCATACTTCAATGCTGGTCTGATTGTTGTAGTCGATGTCGCAGGGAGTGTGATATGAGCTTTGTTCGTTGAGAGGTGAGGGTTTGTGGTCTGAGATGCCTTTGCCCATGTGGTTTGCGACGACGTCGCACATGACGTACATGTTCTGGAACAGTCAGCACGGGATCACGAGGCCAGACCAAGGTGGTCACAGCGGAACAGCATGGGAAGAGGAATTTGGCTTACCTTATCATGAGCAGACTGGACAAGACTCTTCAAGTCATCTGCAGTACCATACTTGGAGTTGACCGCATACAGATCCTTAGCCCAGTATCCATGGTATCCCCCATCAGTATCTATCGCACTCGTCAGTCACATTCTCGCACAGTTTTTCGCAGCACTTACTGTCAACGACAGGAGTAATCCAAATGGCATCAAATCCCATGCCCTTGATATAATCAAGCTTCGACTCCAAACCCTTAAAAGTTCCACCACAGTAATCTCCGAGGTTTCCGCATGCACTACCGCCAGTATCATCAGCGCTACGCGCAACACGATCAGTAAGTGCGAAATAGATATTTCGCGACTTCCAAGCGTTTGCATCCGCTGCGCGTGCAAGCGGGCTGATGCTGGCGACGATGGTTGCAAGGAGAGAGAACTTCATGCTGAACTGTGAATGAGAGGGAGAAGGTTGAGCGTGCTGATGAATCTCAAGACATGGCGGGACAAAGCCCTTTTATCATAATATTGTAAATGATTTAAGACAAGACGAATAGTATGTTTCGGATGAGAAGGATTTAATTACAGTGTTAGAGCATTGTTCAGCTATAGCACCAAGGACCGAAGGATTCGTTAACAGTGGGTTAACAGCCGACCCAAAGCCCAAAAACCTCCGGAGCTGACTTCTCGCGTCTGATTGGGTGCGCCTGCGGGGTCATGTCATTAAACATTATAGTGCACGAGCGTTTGAGGTTGAGACGGTAGCTCCAATGGTGATCATCGTGACAGGGGTACACCTGCCTGATGACCTCTTTAACTTGGTATCGGCCCGAAACTCGATCTCCTTGGTGTCACGTTGACAGGCGGAGTTTCCGCGTGTTCCCTGCGCGTATCATGCACCACGTTGTCTGTCTAACTTCTCTGCATGGGTATCAAAGTGGTTCACCTCCCTATTCCATCACGGAGCTTTTACAGCTAGTACCAACTAGGTAACAGTTCCTGTTGTTCGTTTGGAAAAACATCTTGAAAGCCTTCAGCACTTTTACCGTTTTTAGCATTGTTTCCCGTTTATTCGGACCGCCCCCGCAAGTGTGAGTGGACTTGCAGATGTCTAGCATACATCCTCGGCTCTCAACCCCGGATTTCTGCATGTGTAGTATCCCTCTTTGAGCCTATGATTTCATTGACTAATAATGCCCTACCGGCAGTTTTCGGTCCTACTCTCTTGATCTCACTAGGCCAAGAATGTTTCTCCGTGGTGGAATTAATCTCGACTTCTTCTTTCGTATCTTACCCTATGAGTATGATGGGCACTGCGGATGATAGATCATTGGACTATTCAGCTGGTGATTGCTTCATCACCGCCGGTGAAGAGCCGAGCCTTGGATGAACTGACATCAGATGTTGATTTTAGTCATTGCATGAGTATCGTGAAGAGTTTTTTTTCTAGAGGTGCTGGGTCCATATATGGTGTTTATGCTGTCGATCGCCGTGCTCGATTGCCGAGGTTACCTCCCAATCCCAACACTGTGGCCGTGCGACGTAGCAATGCAGCTCAATCTTGCCGCAAGCGAGCTTGCTCACTTCTTCCGAAAAGCATGAAGAGCGGTGTATTCTGACCGACTAGCATCAATATTCAGTCTATTCGGCTTTGAGGCCATCCGTGACTATCCGCTGGCCCGATAAAGATGTGAAGGCGCAGTTATGAGTTCGGTGCTATTCACATCGTTACTGGCCATTGACGACATCAGAATAGTACGAGGTCTTTTCCTGTTTGCTTGGCGAACAAATCCCATCTCATCTCGCCGCCATTCTTCCAATAATCCCTCATGAACTCAAGGACATTTTCGTAGCTGCCCATTCCACGTGCAGTCATGCTCTCCATTGTCTCCACGACAATAGTGCGCTCGGCATGAGTCGTTGAGTCGCAGCCTGCTGCAAGAAGTGGCCACAAAAGTTGAGCGTGAACAGGGGACTGTTTGTGAATGTTCTGTAATGAGTTGATAATCGATTTCACTGCTGCTTGAACTTTGGGATTGTTCTTGGATAGTTCGTCAACCCGTCTGTATAGACATAGCAGTGTTGCATCAGTGAACAGTCTATGGGTGGTCTCTAGTTCTGCCCGGAGCACCACGTCTGTCACCGTTGAAGCGGTCTTATTCCGAAGGTCGATCAATCGCAGTTCGAGTTCGTGAGAATGTGCACTGCGTGCTAGATCATTTCCATACAATTCACCACTTGCATCGACATTTGTGCAACGTGGCTCAGATAGCTCGCAAACCATATTCAGAGTAATCACCAGCTCTCTAGAAAAGCCAGAAGTGAGATCGATGCGCCCTAAATCAGGCATACATGTCAAAAGGTAGTCCCAGTCGATGAACCCCTTTGTCTGCCGTGATGGTAAGGGCAGGCCTGAAAGTCTGTTCATCAGAAGGCAGTGAACAAGCCACTTGAGACTCATCCACCATAAAGGATCCAGGCTATACTTCGATTTATCGCGTTGAACGATATGAAGAGCCCCGTTGAGATGCTTCCGAAAGGTCGTAGTATCCCCTGCGCAGACACATGTCGTAGCCAGCATTAACGTCGTCGGCAAGATAGTCACACCAAAGTCGCCGAATCGTGGTGTAGTAAGTGCTTCTCGGAGGTTTCCCAAACATTCCACAGTCGCCGATATTGCTGCATTCTTCGATTCTGGGTTTCGCGCCATCCTGAAGAGTTGGCTGCTGCTGGCGGCGATCATTGCCCCCATTATGCAAGGGCTAAGATCAGCGGCTGGTAGAAGCAAGCTTAGGGCCATGTCCGGTTGTAGTGGCCAGTATACTATTGCTGTATGGGCTACAAAGTGCTGGAAGTAGATCCGCCGAGGGTCAGACCGGATTGGAGGGCTGGACGGAAGAGAGAGGGAGACGCTGAGCCTTGGTGGACTCAATGCATGGAAGTAAAACAAGAATTCAGAAGAATCGTCTGGAATTGGTGATGAAAGAAAGTTGCTCTCGAATGTGTCGGATGTATCGGTATAAGAAATGAGTTGGTTGGAAGTGATAACTGAGCTTGGTGCTAGGCACATTTGTTGTTCGCCGGCCGTCTCCTCGGTTGAAGATGGCTGTGTCGTGATCTGTTAAAGTGTAATTAGGTGAGTCTGTATTCAATTGAATCATTCCAGTTGAAGGTAAATGAACCATACCTGAGCATTAGTAGCTGATTTCCGTTTCGCCACTCTGAAGCTCTTGACGCTCAACTCATATGAGCATAGGTGAGGGTACTTGTAACATCGTGAACACGACGGCCTCTTCTCGTCGCACTTGTCTAATGTCAATATATATAACCTACAAGAGATGATGGCGAGCATACCTTTGCCTTCTTCCTCTTGCACTCAGTGCATCCTGCACGTCGTCTTTGGGACGGCTCCATTGCGTCATATACTTAGTACGTGAGACGGGAGACAAAGTTAATGAGAGTTGTGCTTGAGATGTGACTCAGAGCTATGTTCAGGGTTATAGAGTGAGATTCTTGACGGTTTCTCATCATGAGGATGAGAATTGATGTGAGACAAAGTGAGGACCCCGCATATCGACAGGCAGACAGGGTTGAAAAAATCGGCAGAAGCCCAACAGCCAATTACAGTCCATCTTAGCCTCCTTGCCGGGACGCGATCAATCTTTGGCGCCGGCATCGAAAACGCGACTAAATCCTCCAAAACCATGACTGGATAACGACACACAATAATGCAAACTCCATCATGCCCCGCCACTCCATAAGCACAAGCCCAGCACCATGTTAAACGCGTCATAATGCCAATCAACCCAGAGATCTTCGCTATCGGCCAAGAAGCCCTTGAACAATGGAGTGCCAACAAACTCTACGTCCGCCGCACGCCTCTCATCCCAGCCAAAGTCGTCAGTAGAAAATACGGTTCAAAACTTTGGTTCAAACTTGATCACACTCAGTTCACTGGTTCTTACCACTTCCGAGGCGCCATAGCAAGAATGAAGAACAATCCTACCAAAAAGCCATTCGTGACAGCGTCGACGGGGAATCATGCCATGGGTGCTGCTCTTGCGGCGCATGCATTAGGAACCAAAGTCACTATTGTCATGCCAATGGCTGTTGAGAAACATCTGCTTGAGAAGGTGATGCAGTACGGTCCTGAGATTGTGCGATATGGACATGATCTTAACGAAGCGAGGGCCTTTGCGAAAGACCTTGCTAAAAGATCGGGCCATATTTACTTCTCACCCTGCGATGACATGATGGTTCTCGCAGGTCTAGGCACCGTCTGCGTCGAAGTCCTCCAACAATTCGAAGCCTACGAGAGGGATATCCACCATATCTTCGCGCCCATGAGTGACATTGCACTCATAAGCGCCATAGGCTGCTTCGCCACAGATGCAAAAAGGCAAGCTGGCGATTTACGACCCAAAGTCAAAGTTTGGGGCGTTACAGCACTAAACTCAATGACACTTGCAGCTTCACTATCTGCTGGATTCCCCATCGAGACGGAAACATCGCCTACGCTTGCTGCGTGCGAATCAGATAAGGATGTTGTACGGCATGGGATTGACTTCCGGTCGGCGAGGGCGACTGTTAATCATGTTGTAACGTGTACGGAAGCAGAGATCTTGATGGCGTTGAGACAGCTTCATTTGCAGGAGAAGCAGTATGTTGATGGGTTTTCGGCATTGGCGCTTGCTGGGTTTAATAAAGTTGCGGACAAGGTTAAACATCAGACGAGTACGGTTATCTTGTGTAGTGGGAACTATGATAGGGATTGGATGAGGAAGTTGGTTTATGGTTTGGGATAATTTGCGAAGCATGCACTTCACATCGTCAAATTGATTTCTTCTGGTGATTTGGCTCGTGTCATTTCGGCTTATGTGAGGCTGTGCTATATATCAACGCTCTTTGCCAATTCCTCCCATTCACGGCAAATCTCCAGCGTTTCTTCACACTTGGCCTTCACTCTCGACCAACTATCCGACCCCAAGGGTATCCGTAAAGGCACTTTCATTCCCTCTGCCATGCCGGTGCCCTTGACTAGCTCAACCATCCTCGCAACAACCTTCTCAGGATCTCCCGGTGAACTTTCTGTCAAAGTTGCCTCGGCCTGTCGAACTGCTTCGTTGAACTGAGCATACTCTGGAACACGAGCCTCGACGTGCTGTATCTTGTTAAAGACTGGAGTGCGGCAGTATCCTGGCTCGACGATGAGAACTTTTAGGCCTGGAGCGAAGATGGCGAGTTCTTTGGATAGACACTCGACGGCGCCTGAAGCTGTCAGTGAGTGAGAGCTGGAAGCGTGGACGCGGCCTACCTTCTAGGGCAAATTTGCTGGCGCAGTATCCTGATGCACTGGGGTCAGCGTGCCAGCCAGCTTGGGATCCGACGAAGAGCAAAGTTCCAGATCCCTTCTCCCTCAAGTACGGCAAGACGGCGCGGGTGATATTCATAGGTCCGTGAAAGTTGACCTGGAAAGACTTTTCCATATCCTCCTGACTTCTATCATCAGCTACAATCAACTTAAATCAGAACGCATAATACTCACGTCAGCTCTTCCACTGCCCCGCTAAGGATATACCCCGCGTTATTGACGACAACATCGATTCCATCGTAGATACTCCAAGCCTTGTCTATCTTAGACTTGATGACCTCGGGAGAGGACGAAACATCAAGGTCTAGGATAGCTGCGCCAGTTTCTTTGAGATGTGAGAGCTTTGTTTCGGCGTTGCGGCCAGTAGCTATGACGTTATCACCTGCAGATCGAAGTTGACGAGTGAGGGCTTCGCCGAACCCGCTGGAGCAGCCGGTAATGAGCCAAGTCAATCCCATGATAAGAATTGAATATCTTTGGCTTTCCAAGGATCTTAGAGATGCCTGACGGTGAGAGGCGTAAGAAAAACCTTTTGTACTTGCGGTGTGAATCAGGTTCGGGTTTTCCATGGTGGATTGAGTAAGCATCAGTGGGACCAGTCTGGCAGCTAACGTTATTTAATCTTGACTATGTTTGCTTGAAAGGGATATCTAGCTTAGAGATGATATGATTCCTGATTATAATTCAGCAATAAATAAACTATCAAATGATCCAGGGGCCGATTCCAGCATGTTCAAGTGATAGTGACATACGAGAGCCAAGAGACAAATAATCGTCAATCTTATACCTCCCCTTTACTACGTATTTCCCGTAAACCAAATCGATGGTATCACCATGGATTTACACCTTGAACTCCAATAACCTTCCCAACATCTTCATTCTTCTCACCCTTAACAACACACGCGATCCGTTCACCTCCTTCCGCCGGCTCAGCTGCTCCTCGGTGCTTAAGAGACTCAACGTCACTCGTAAAGTTCGTCGCACACAACCCCGGATCCACACCAAACACCAAGAAACCCTCTGATTTAAGCCGAATGTTATACATCGTCATCAGCATGTTCAGCCCAGCCTTACTAGTCCGGTATTCTACCGCACCAGCGCTATGAAGCGGCGATTCAGGGTTGGACGTAAGGGTGATGGATCCAGTGCTTGAAGTGACAAAGATGAGACGAGGAGGCTTATGCTCCGACTTGCCAAGAAGAGGGAGAAACGCCTCGGTGACGCTTAGTGCACCAACGAGGTTCGTCTCGAGAACCCCGCGGAAAGCTTCGCGCGTTGGGGGGCTAGCCATGGAGATGATACCAGCGTTGTTGACCAGAATATCCAATCTGCCCCATTCAGAGGCTAGAGTCTGGGCAGCAGCATCAACGGAGTTATCATCTGTAACATCAATCTGAATGCTGGAGACTGTTCCTTTGATGTCGTCGAGTGACTGGAGTGACCGTGCTGCTATCTCCCCCTTGGCCTCATCTCGACTTCCAATGATGACATGGTATTTGACCGAAGAAAGAACTAGGTTCTTGGCGGTTTCGAAGCCGACGCCTTGATTGGCGCCTAGTTGGGTATCTCAATGGAGAGCCTGTGTGTCTTTGTGTGCGGCAACTCACCGGTAATAAGGACCAGCTGCTTATATTTAGACATACTGCATACGGTTCACGAGATGCCGTGGCAAATTCTTTAGTATGAAGGGGAAATCCACGAAATGTAGTGACATATGTAGCAAAAGCGTTGTGCCGTATACTCATGCCGCTACCGGCGGACTTAAGGCAAAGTCTAGCTTAAAATCCGCCCACGGGCATCTTGTATCGGAACGATCGGAGATACCTCCACGGAGATATCAAGGCGAGCCCATTGGCCAACCGTCTCTTTTTTGTCTGGGTTTAGTTCCTCCAAGATTCGTTGAGGCTGGGTTTATCTCGTTTCTTGGCCCTACGCAATCAGAGTCAGTTGCCGCCCCCAATCCGAATTCAAGCCACCATGTTGATGCATTGCATCTCAGTAACCTCGCCAGACGATCGCTTGATGGGACCTGGACGACCATGTAAGTAAGGAGCTGTCAAATTGGCGGGAACTCCAGGCTACCTGAACTTTGTGTATGGAGCATAAGCCTGCCAGCCCTCGACTACCATCGCTAGCTGAGCTAACATCTTAAGAGAGCTCCCTGTCGTGAAATACATATTGCCCGACTGAGCTTCTTTTTTGCATAAATCATGTCTATATTTCAGTCTGTCCTGCTTGCAGGATGTGGCAAGGCATAAGCCATGAAGTCCTGAATTGGCTGTAACTACAGCACGCAAAAGACGAAATTCCCCTGCATTTAAGCTAGGATAGATTATGTACTACGATAACGACCGTCAACTATCTACCCTCAAATAATGGCTTGTTATAGCGTATTCGTTGTAGGAAACCTGGATTTGACGTTGCGAGGGATTTCCAGTTGTCCGACCTTCATCCTTGAAAGGTTGAACCAACAACTAAATCCTAGCAATGCTGCCTAAGCAACATGCTCTCACCTCATCATCAGATACATAACTTCCAAGATGCGAAGCTCGCTGCCTGTTTCATTCTGTCTCCAAGAGTTCCAGAGTTGTATTGAAAGACTCTACGTTCTTCACACACAATGGACCCGGGGCATCTTTCCCATCTGCTGATCAGGTCCGAGCCAAGAGTGAAGCTGGCGATCACGTCCTATATAGAAAGAGTACTATTTTCTTCGGTCACTTGGTTGGCTCGTCAGATTTGGTAAAGAGCCCCGAGTCACTGTTGCGGAAGGTCAGTATCTTTGGTGGTTGTGTCGACATCTCCCAAGCCTTCCATTGCCTGAGATATATGGCTGGACAGAGAGGATGAAGGAGAATTCTTCTTGTATATGCAGTTGGTCGAGGGCTTGACCTTGAAGAAAAGGCGGTACTGCTTGAGTAGGGCAGATAAAGTTGGACTCTGCGAATAACTGCAAAATATGGACATTGGGCTACGTCGGGTAAAGCGCGATCCAGAGGACGAGTTTCTTGGTACATGAGAGCCCGGCTCCCATGGGAATTATTATGTTGATCAATCAACAGGACAAATCAACCGCGGACCACTGCAAGATGCGGTATTCGCCGACGGAATCCGACTAAGAGCAGGACTGTTTTCATTTGTGGGGGAATTTAATGATTGGTTTCCTTTCCTGATAAGACGACAAGCCGCAAGTGGTCCCAGTGGAAGTCCCAGTCGGTACCGGAATACATCTCGATGTTCTTGAACAAACCGAGAGAAACGTTTCTTAACGATATTGAGAGATACACAACCTCATGGGGTTTTTATATAGCCTCGAGAACAATTATTACTAAAGCAAGGTATTGTTCAAGATTGTGAACGATCTCGCCAGAAAGGTAATGGTGCCGCACTTCTCGGGGGCTCAGAGAACAGTACTCAATGCAACTGGCAAAAAAGACATCACGGTCTTCACATCGTCTACCAAGGGCAAAAAACATACAACAGCGGGGATTCGCTGGTCGTCACCGACCCAACTACTAATCCGCCCCTTACAGGCTTGACGATGGGAGAGCGGACGGGATCCCGTATTTTCCTATAGGTATGGTCGTATGTGCTTGGTCAAGGTCAAAATTTCGTACAACAGCAAATGCGGATGAAGCGTGATGACATTGTTCCAAGGCCTTGACATCTCGCGAGTCAGACAGACAATCGAAGTTGAGTTAAAGCGTTAGTCAGGGGCTGACATGAAAGGTGTAAAGTGGAGTTCTTTCATAGATTCCTCTATCTATTATGTATCATCTGGTCATATAGAGAAGTGTACTAAAGACTCTTTTTATACCCCCTCTGAGTGCTATTCTACAAACCGTATTACGCATGGCCTGCCAAGAAGTCCAGACTGTCTAAAAACGTCCGAACTACCCTGGAATAGTTTCACATGCAACGGCTCCCAGTTTTCCGTGACGCTATGATGCTCGTTGCTGTTCTTTATACGGAGAAACCAATCAGAACAAGTTTCTGCCAGGCTGAGGGGATCGCCAAGCAAGCTAGACCATGAAGGTATAGCTAGGCGAAAACCTAATAGCTAGACGAGGCTGAGCGGTGGATTTACTGTGGATGCTTGCGCCATGGCTGCGGATCCGGCATGATCTTTATAGAGTCGAGATCCCATGCGGTTGAATATTCGCATTTACTGTGTAGTTATCTCACTTTTGATCATAATGGCGGGGCAGTACTACGCTGTACCGTCAAACGGCCAGCACGACATCCAGCTCGAATTCCAGAACCCACCAACTACACCGAACCCACCATCGCAACCACCCAGACCCTTCCAAGGTCTTCCAGCTCATCGCCGATCAAAAGTAAAACTCTGGTTCGGCCTCATCGGAAAATGGTTCATCACAGTCATCTTCATCATAGTAGTCTACGGGATCTTGATCGCGTATGCTCTCTACGATGTCATATCAGAGAAACAGAAGAAATATTTCAATGCGCTCATCACGGGGTTCCTTATTGCTCTGGGACTGTCAACTATGAGTCAGTTGACGCATGCGGTACAAGATTTGAGATGGTGGATTTTGAGTAAACGGCCAAGGTCCCGTCAAAAAGTAGGTTTAGAACCAGGTCTGGAAGCGGGCAGTTTACTAATGATGGAAAATAGGTCAAGGCGATTTTGCATGTTCACAGCATGAGTCAAGTATTAGTCTTGGCATTTAAATCGAGTCGGTGGACAATTCATGTTGGGGTCGCAACCTGGGTAGCACTATTTCTCGTGGGTTCACATCTGGTCTCTCTCAAACCCTGACTAACCACAATCAGGCAACTCAAATCGGCTATGCCTCTCTAGGTCTATGTTACTCGGTCGAAAAAACCGAAGATCAGGCCCTCTTGGTTCCCGGGAGCGTCTCCATCGCGAATCTAAGCACCATCTCAACCTCGAGTATTGTCAACGCATCTAGTTCGCCCAAGAGCGAGGAGTACGCGGCAAACAGCTACGGGATCATGTCCCTGGCTTTAAACGAAGGGAGTCCCGATGATATTCTTTCCCCCGGCACTTTATTCTTTGCAGACAATAAGTTTCTGTTTTGTGACGGCGGGTCTTGTGTCTATGTCTTTCGCGAGACGAATACGCTTAGTTTGGATAATCCGCAAAGGGCTCCTGTCTCAGCGGTCACGGACAGGAAGGTGAATATCACGACGCATTGCGACGCGTTGAAGGTCCTTCAAGGCGGCAATGGGACCGGGGAGCTAATTACCGTCGACAATGGGAGCAGAGAAACAAACATCACGGTACCTAGGACGGAGGTTCTTAGTGAGAAGGTTTACATGACATCTGCGTCTCGCAACTGCGGCAGAGATTGCAGCATTGTGTCGGTGTTTGAGCCATCGTCGACAGATCCGTGGCTTTACAACTGCACCGTCAAAATGAGCCCTGTTGAAAACGCCAAGAGGCCAGAGCACGAAGTTGGCGAGAGACTGATGCGCTTGGCAACATCAGCCATAGCCCTAGGAGGCCCCGACGGCCCAAACGACACCCGATCAAACAGCTACCCCACTGCGTCGTGTTCGGAATACCACGCAATGGCTCGACGGAACCAGTGGAATACCTTTTATCACGCTTCGCAGCGGGTATGCTGGCAGCTGTCATCGAATCAAACACAGATATTGTACTCGATGGCCAAATGCCTACAATCGGACAGAAACTCAACGTTTCGCACTGGGGAATCATCACTTTGATCTTATGGATCACGGCATTTCTTCAGTTATTGGTGGCTGTTGTGGCGACCAAGGTGTCGGAACGCGTTGTTGTGCCAGAAGGAGATTCCCTTTCCGAGGCTAGAGTCTTGAGAGGCATGGTTGAGGAAGATGTAATTGATGGGGAGATGGGAGGCAATTTGGGAGGGAAGGGAAAGCGTTTATGGATCTACAGGAATCGACACGTTGGTGACGGGTTGTATGACTTGTATATGGAGGAGGTTAGAACGTGATGTGCTGACATTACATGACTTAAATTGATGATGGCGCCCCATGCAATGAGCGTTCAAATGATCCCAACTTTTTCTTAACTTACGGCGCGGAGCAATAGAGTCTTATCCTCGTATCCCCTCATCTTGTTTTGAGGCCCTCTGTCTATTATTAAATATCCCATACCTCTGTCTTCTTGTGATATTAATGTCAGCTCAGGGTAGGTAGCTTCCATTAGGAACGGGTCCAGCTCGGGTAATGAGTGTCTTACCGAACTTCATTTGGTATCGATTGGCGGGTTTAGCTCAGTTGGGAGAGCGTCAGACTGAAGTCAAACTTCAATCAATTGATATCTGAAGGTCATGTGTTCGATCCACATAAACCGCAATTTGATCTTTTTGAAACTTCTCTCTTTTGCTATTTTCTTTTTACTTGAGAAGTTAAGCTTTCATTCTACTCTTTTATTTCTTTGGGTCAGCGTCCCTGTCTCAATTCACCTGGCTGCCTTCCTTTACATTGCCCTTAGTTCCTATCTCTCCACTTATCCCCGACTCCTCGGTCTCAATCCTATTACAAACCTCCGTGACGTTGCATAGAAGTTCGAAACTTTAGTATTTGGCACGCAGTTTCTTCCAAAGCTTATGCATGCGCTCGGCTTGCCCAGGCGTAAACCTCTTGGGACCGCATTCGCTGCTCCTCGTTAGTCGTGTTCCCAGCCTCAAGATATGAACAACTTACGGCTCAACATAGTCCATGAAGTTATCCGTTGGATCGAAACCAGGCCTATCAGGGCAGCTGTTGAGGTCAGGCGGGGGGCACACTCCATACTCCGGAGGCGATGCCTCATAAGGAGTATCATCAACATAGTCACCTGGCTCTTCGCAACCATTCTCAAAGGTATGCTCCAGACCAAGCCAGTGCCCAACCTCATGGACAGTTACGTAATTGAACTTGGGAGGGACCTCGCCAGGGTTGTCGGGCCTCATGATGCAGCCATCGAAGAGGATGTCGTCCTTGGTGGGGTTGGGAACAGGGAGCTCGCACTTTCCACCAGGGGGCATACTTGCAATGAAGAACAGGTTGAGGTCTTTGTAGGTTCCTTGTCTCAATGCTGCTCGGAGCTCCTCTTCAAATTCTCCGACAGGACTGATGGGATAAGCCCAGTCGGAATTGACGGTTCTGGTTGTGTTCATCAGTTTGAACGAGAAATTCCAGGGCTTGAACTTCTCGTTGAGAAGCTTCATCTGGTCATTGACTGTAGCTTGCTGGGAATAGTTAGTACAGCGGCAGTAAGGTTATATTTGAGCTTACTTTCAGGTAGTTGTCTTCTTCCTTCTTGCTCGCTGCGAGGATATGCACGTAGGTCTTGACCTCTACGTTCTTATGCTGTCCTCTGATCTCCAGGTGCTCATTTTCAAGGTCTTTTGAGACGGCTTTCAAGCCACTGCTGGATCCCGAAGTACCGCAGTCAAAGCCAGCGGCTGACACAGACTTGGCCAAGAGGCCGAGAGCAAGAGCAGATTGAAGATGCATACCGAGTGATGAGAGATAGATAACGCACTGAGTACTTCAAGACAAGAGGCATCAAATGCATCAGATCTTACTGACTTATATACATCTAAGCTTTTCGTATTGCCAGCTTGTAATTGGGACTTTCGAGTTCTTTGCAATCCTTCCTACACTGCGCCACGTTGACCAATGCTGGTAAGATTCTTGGCGCTACCCCTCACGAAGGCGAAACACAAGGTCGAACCATGCTAGTGTTGCCTTAAGAACGATTGAATAGGAAATAAGAATCTTTTACCAGGGTGTTTTGGAGATGCAGGCAGGCTGACATCTTTCCCATTGGCTGGGAAAGTGTGAGGATCGCGGGGTTACGTGGACTTTCTCTCTTCTGGGCAGAGAATCAGGCAAAGGGACACAGTTGTAGGATTGGAATCGTAATACTCGGACTTCAATAAGCCGTTTATTTTATGCGGTGAAGAATAGACTACTCTGAATTTGCTCACGACGCGCGGTCTCTTTATCGCCTACCTGGCATTGGCGGCCATCATGACTGCAGGCTTCCATGACGGAGCGAGGAGCCAATGCAGAACAGTACATTGCAAGAGAATACCGGCAGAGGGTGGTAATTCTCGTATAACCTGTTGTATTTGTACATTCTTGTCGATTTGGGGAAAGAGGTTGCTACGAAGATGTCAACAAATCATGTCTTTAGGCTAAAATCTGCTTACCCGGGTCTTGAGCCCCTGAGCCAAAGCCAATTCAATACGCTTGATCGATACTGCCAGGCGATACACGAGTTGCCCTGCGAGCATATATGGCATTGACTGATACACGCCGTTCTACAGTGCCTTTCTATCTGGATAGGTGAGTTTAGGGCTTCTTAGGATAGGGATTTTCGGCAATTAAACTATAGAGGATGATGTACTGTTCTCTTACTACTACGAACACGGTCTTTCAATAGTCAACAATGAGGAGCGACGTGCTGAAAGATATCATGTATATATTAGACAAATTGCGCTGCATACCTCAATGCAAAACGTCGAGGTGACTGTGCTAAAGATATTTCTGACTCATGGTTCTTAGGTTTAGAATGCTATAGGAATTTCCAGGTCGGGGACAGAATGGAAGCTTGATCAAAATCATCATCACCTACAAAGCAAGCTCGCTATCTGGCTTTATAAGCCAGTGGCTATTCAGGTGGTGCTGGGATGTCTGCTTTTGCGTCCAGGCCCAAGCTTATTTCATCCCACAGCCAAATAGTATATTTGGTAGCTGATCTAGGTTGAGGTCAAATATTTGAGTTCGTGTGTCTTATCATAGATGCTAATGACAAACCTTGTAAGAGTCATGAATAAGCCTTTTCATCCAGGCCGTGACCAATGAAAAGATATTTAGACTTTCGTAAATGACATAAAAGCGACCCGTGTCTCCCTGGTTCCATGCCATAGTTTTCACTCCTTTAACAATACCCCTTCGAGTTACCCAACACGTACTACCGTCACGTACTCAGGCGAACATCACCACATTCTATCTCATCATGGAGGCTTCCGAAGTACCATACGCAAACGAAGGCTTGCCAACATTCACGTGCTTCTCACGTCTCCCCCTCGAGTTACGAGAAATGATATCGGAGCGCCGGATCTCTGTGCAGCGACACCTGAGGATAGAAGGCCGCTGGGGAAAGCCAGCCACGATTGGGTCTTTCTCAATCTCTGAGGGAATGGATCTCTCTCGAGTCTGCTCTGAGAGCCGAAAAGTCCTTTCTCGGATTATCGCTTATCAGACCGCGGAAGATGGAGATGGAGCTTCCATTAAGCAACAGTTCAGCATTGTTCTTCTGACAATACTCGATACGCCCTCACTGGAGATCCTTGCCTCCCTTAAAAACGATATCTATTGCATTGCTGTACCAAGGCTCGCCGTAGGACAGTTGAAAAAGCTCCATCTATCTTTAAAAAAGAGGGTAGCAGCTGGCAGTCGACAGATAAAAGTCATCTACACTGGTACAAGGCCTTACCTTCAGGACCAGTGGCAGTGCCGACCCCCAGGAAATTACCTCGTGAAACCACTCGCTGATTTCTACGTCATGGCCGACGATGCTGTATCATCCCTGGGCTGCGATAAGAGCTTCACTGTTAGAACAACCGAGGAAGAAAAGGAGTTCCGATTCTTCAACAGCCCATTCTGGTCAGCTTACCAGTCTCCAAAAGAGCTATGCTTGACCTGGATGAGACTTACTTCGAAGGACGGAGTCCCAGCACCCGTGATAAGGCCAAGCTTAATCACGATCCCCCGGAGCTAGAGAGCACTGACTCGACTGGTATGGCCCAAATAAAATGTCCAACGGCTAGAGAATTTCCTGTGAAACGCTACCTAATAGAGAGATAAACTGACCGGGCCTGAGACATATTGATAGAGACTGGCAGAAACCTGATGCTAGTGGGGAGCTTTTGGGGGGCAAAAAAGATTATTCAACGAAGGAAAAGGCCGACAAGAGAACAAGTCAGCAATGCCACGATGCCATTACGATATCTTTCGCTATACTAGTTACAAGACAAGTGATAGAATCAACATCGAATTAGTAAATGGACTTGAAAATCGTACATGGTTGGAAAACATAATGGCACGGCATCAATGCATGGCACTCAGAATGTTGATTTTGACTGTTTGTCCATGTTCGATGCGATGATCATCTCGTCTGGAGAACATCATGCTGGGAACGCCAGTAAGAACCTTCCAAATCCAGTGCTGACCCGAAAATTAAGGGCCCGCTATTTGCCTCCGCCACCGCCCTGTTTCGAGAACGCTAGTGCTTATATACAATGGATACCAGAAATGAAGCATAACAATCTGTGTTCCTTCATAAAAGTCTCAAACAGACTAAAATCCTAAGATAGAAAATACAAATCACTCAGCCACAGAGGTTCGGCCCGCTAGAAATCAACAGGACTAAGCTCAGACATTTGCAATGCTGTCTGGTATGCTGAGAAAGCCAAGTCTACAGGGGACCCCTGGAATGCTCAGCCTTGATATCCACCGCTAGACCAGGACCGACATAACACATTCCTCTCAGTACGGTCTAGACAGAAATCCTACGATCCTTCGAGGTCATGGGTTTGGTATATAATAAGCGTGCCAAGTCGCGATGGACTCAGGCCAAGATACTCCCCTTGGCTTCACCATGCATATCGCTTCCTACGTCTCCTTCGCATTTACCGTGCTTGGCCTGGCGGCTGCCTCGCCCAAGGGATGCGCTACCAAGCGATCCCCTGAGCCAAAGTTGGAGAACGGTCATTACATCGTCGACCGCGCGACCAAGTTCGCTAACAAGAAGGTCTGGACCTTCAATGGAAAGAGTCTTCCTGAGGGTCTTTACTCGAGCGATTACGAAGTTGGGAATACCCATGTTTTCACACCGTCGGGCGTGAAAGTCCGCAATGGATACCTCGAGTTGACGGTCCCTGGTGGGCAAAAGTCGAAGCCTTACAAGGCTGCTGAGGTTGCGACTGAGATTGAGAACATCAAATACGCTTCTGTCCGAACGACAGCTATTCTTAGCGAACCTGCAGGTGTTTGCAACGGTGCGTTTACCCCGCCGTCAGAATTATTGATATACTGATGTTTTCAGGAATGTTCTTCTACCAATCCGACAGCCAAGAGACCGACATCGAGTGGCTTTCCGACCCCAAATCCGAGTCTAACTACGACGGTATTCGTAGATTATGGTTCACGAACCAAGACAATAACGGCGACGGAAAACCTACTAATAAACCTGTCCTTCCGCCTGCGAACCCTACAACCACTGAGCACGAGTACCGGATTGACTGGACCAAGGGTCTTGTTGAGTTTTATGTTGATGGTGTGAAGCAGTGGTCTACCAAGAAGGATGTTCCCAACGTGCCAGGACCCTGGATCTGGAATAACTGGTCTAATGGCGATAAGGGTTGGAGTGCTGGACCTCCTAAGCAGAATGCTGTGTTCAAGATTAAGAAGATTGAGATGTACTACAACACTGCTTAGAGGGTGTTTGGATAGATGCTGGGTCGGTGTCGGTGAAGAGGTCTGAGTCCTGTAGAATATTTACATTTAGGTAGGTAGCATTGGATTGGAGAAAATAACACAATAAAGTCAAGATATAATTCTGTGTAGGGAAACCAATCGTCTTACAATTACTGTCCTTTTCCTCCAAGTTGAACCTCAATCATAAGCAAGCTCGGTGCTTCAATGGGTTTCGATTCGATAGCTACACCGGAGAGGCATCTTAGTCCCGAGCCATAGATGAGTCGAAATTGGCCTATCATCAAAGTGTCGACAGTTGAAGTGTTGACAGTCGAAGCGTCCAGCAGTGATACAATTCCCGTATGACCTAAATCTCCAAAGCTCCATGGCCATCCATCGTTGAAAGACAGGAGGGAAGGCTTAGACTGTTTGGGAAAAAAGCGTGCGATGCGTCACTTGCCACGATAAGGTACCCAGAATTACAACGTTTCAATATCAACCTTTCAGTAAATGACATGAAAGTCATGACTTATGCAAGGATCCCTCACTCGCAAAGTCCAAGTATCAAGCGAGACACTATTCCGCCGCCGGGCTACTCTCCTTCGGCCTCTCCGGCTTCTGCCCATAAACACTAAACCTACACATCATTAGCATCCCAACCCACTCATCACACAATATCAAACTTACACATGACCAAAAGCCTGCGTCTTAGGATTCATAAGAACCTTTCTCATCTCCGCCGCAAACAGCTGCATCTCCTCCGGCGACCACTTAAGAATCTCACAGAGCGGCAACTTGACGAAACCATCGAGGGCCTGGCTAAACGAGAGTCCCACGAAAGTTCCGAGCTCTTTCTTCTTCTTGTCCTTTGGCCAGCGCCCAACGGGGATTTTGTGCGTTTGCGGTGTTACGGATACGAAGCCGGCGTCTTTGGCGAGGGTTGAGAGCTTGCCGTTGGAAAAGTCGAATGTGCAGCCGATTGTTTCGCCGACTTGGGTGAAGATCTTTGCCCAGCGCGTGAAGATGCTAAGTTTGTTAAAATGGTGGTAAAGAGGTTGGGAATAGATTCGTACTGCTCGTCGTCGACTTTGATCTCTGGGTTTTGAGACAGCATTTGCAGATCAGGTTCGATGTGCTGGAACCAACCACCTGGCTTGAGAGCCTTGTACATCTGATCATACAACCTATCCCAATTTGCAATGGTACCCTGAAGATATCGAATGTGGATGAAATCAAAAGACTCGGGTTCAAAGGTCCATTCGAGTTGAGCATCGTCGATCTGAAACTCAACGTTTGGAGGTACGAAGCTTGGTTGGGTCGGAGTTATATCTGTAGCAATAACGCTGGCTGACGGGTATTCGTCTGCTACGTTTATAGCCCAGATGCCAGTTCCTGTACCGATGTCCAAGATTTTCTAGACCGCGTGAGGATGGGAGTCTATGGTGATGAAGAGACGTACCTGAGGGTGGTCGCCGATGGGAGCAAGGAAGAGTTTATCGTCGAGCATCAATTTCAACCAATGATGGCTACCGTAGTTAGCCAACACGTATACCTAAGACGTTTGGCAATAAACTTACATGAGATCGAGTGCTTCGAGTTGCTCCTCGTCATTGGGGGCCCTGTTCATTAGCGACGCTTGCTATTTAACGCGAAATGACCTACCAATGCTTTCCATATTTGGGATTAGCATAAGTCCTCCCCTGAAAGTACTTATTCTCAAAGATACTCGACGTAATCGAAGCAGTTGACTCGGTTTCACTACCCCGTCAGCTATTGCATTCCCAACAAACAGCTTCATGAATATACCTATCAGCACTAAAGTTGCTCTCCGTGTCGTTCCCTACGTCCAACTCAGGTTCCTACCAAGATTAGCACTCGCTGATCAAATCACAGTACGTAGATAACATACAGCCTCAATTTGAGCCATCTTTTCGTTAATGTCTTGTACAAAGAGATGAAATAAACTCACGCGTGCGGGGTCGGTGGTATCTTTATGTCTTTTAGGCTTGGAAGGTTACATGACATGACATGTCGAATTGCTTCTGTGCCGCAGGCGCTGAAATGCATGAACGGAGGACGCTATCCACTGTTGGGAAAGTGACAGGTGGGGCTGGTTGCATTGCAGTTGGGGGTCAACGGGGGTGTTTGCCTCTGTTTTGTCTGTTGGAAGGGATATTATGCAGGTAATCGTAGATTGGCGAGTACTGTCTATATCTGTAACACCCATAACCCTATTCCGGAACATCTCGAGACGTTTCTACATCTCGAAAGATGATTAAGAACAGGTTGATCAAGAAGCTGTTATCTCTTGTCTCTTTTCTAGCTTGCGGGGCCAACCACGCTAATGCGGCCACGGCTTGACAAGACCCTTGTTCTGTCTTCACAACAAGCTTTTCAACTGTGGCATGCTTGGACATTGGTTGTGAAAGATCTTTAACCTTTTGAGGCTGGGAGGGCTATTGTAACGTGTTCACTTGGTAGCCACTCATACTGTCGTGATGCGATTGGAGGCGCTTGACACCGCACCAGCTGCATGTACGCCATGAAACGTTGGAGACGGTTGCATGTACGACAATGCGACGGTGCACAATTCATACTCTTTTACTAAGTTACTTCATTAGTACTAAAGCTATAATTAAAGGCTAAAAGCGAACAATCTCGCTCCAGTAATTCCAATCCAACAGGTCATCGCCGACATTAAAATCCCATGCACCGAGTGCACTCCCTGCCATCTCAGCATCACCCTGCCCAACACGTCTCTTACTCCAAAGCAAGTCAATACAAGCCGGTACAGTCTCACTCTCAGGCAACGCCTTCCGCCTCGCCTCCCAGGCTTCCAACGTCAAGTTCCCAAAAGCAATGTACAACGAATTATCAACACTCTCCACAAGTTCAGGATGGTCAGTGTATAAACTGTCTACCAGTTTCCAAGCAAGATTGATTCTTGGACCTGAAGGTCGTCGGCGGAGTTCGCTGATGACATAGATCCAAGCGTCGATTTGGTAAAGTGATGTTAGATGGGTAAACATCTGAGATGAGAATTTACTCTCAAAACCGACGTTGACGAGTTCCAAGAATGACAGCGCTGCGTTGAAGAGAATATCGCTATCCTCCTTCGTCATGTAAACATCCGTATCACCGGGTGCTGCTCTAGCTCTTGGGTGATGTAACCTAAAGCGCATTCTCGCAATAGCCAGTTTGGCCATTGCATACGTCAAGTCATGAAACGGAACCGCTCTATCAAGCTTGACGAGATATTTCTCTGTGTAGATAGCTTCAAGCTCGTTGATGGCTTCGTCTTCAGCCTTGGTCGATCCTCCAGGCCTTCCGAAGCCGGGCGCTATGCAGTCAAACACCTTTGCTGCTTTGGGAGATGAGCGGAGCCATTGTGTTACTTCGAACTTCATCAGAACGCAGACCATTTCTGTGGGGCCGGTGTGCTGGGCTGGAGGTTCAAGCATGTCTGGATGGAGATCTGCGTCGTTGATGTTGAAGGGGAGTCGAACATCGCCGAATTCTGATCTTGCGAGTTTAATCCCTGGGGTAGAACAAGCGCGTACCCGAGAGTCGAGACCCTTTATCTGCCACCACAGTCTGATGCGCATTTCTTTCTCGAAGAAGGATAGCTTGGCGTCAGTATCAGATTTGTGTAGACCCATCATCTGTCCAGCTCTTATGGCAACAGCTGTCATGGTACTAGCCAGGTCTGTTTCTGGATTCGAAAAGGTAAACAGGACCATGGCCTGAAGAGTCTCAAGATCCTTTGTCGTCATGAAATCAGCTGCTGTGAGTGCCCGTATCGTGGCGGTGCGATAGCGCGTGAGTAATGCTCCTCTGTCCTCCCCCAAGGACGACTGACACGCTTCCGAGGATAGTGAGGTAACCGAAAGAAGATAAATGGAGAACATTAGTGCTGATAGGGGCTTTGGTATGTTCGCTGTATCCCAGCTTGCTTCTAGAATGCGCTTCTGGAGACTTGGGACGTGAACAATCTTGATAAGAGGATTGACACATTCGACAAAGGTCTGCCAGAAGAAGAAGATCTGCTTTGGTTCTGGATGAGTTTCGTAGGTTTTTGATTCGGGGTCCAGAATCATGGAGTGGAATGATGGTGAGGAATGGAGAAAAGGGTCGTCTTTGTTTCGTAGTGTGAGCGTGGGAGGATACTTGAGCTATAGCGATGTCAGTCGAAGCGCTACATCATTATCAAAGCTACTCACCTCATGGCTCAATTTGGACCAAAGACACCTACATAAGTCAGTATCAGTGCATGCAACTCATGGACAGGATGACTTACAACTCCGTGGCAGCATCCGGGCCTGTCGACGTATCCTCCTTCTTCGTTTCAAAACCCGATTTCACCCAAACATTAGCATGCTGACTATAATCCACACCACTCTTTTGCATCAACTGCTCATACTGCGCCAACCTCGCGAGCAAATCCTCATCAGCAGCTCTTTTTCGAGGTTTCGGTGGAGGAGGCGCTTCGTAGGTACATTCTATTTCTGCTCTACCTTTCTGACAGTTTGAGCAGGGATGTTGGCGATCGCACTTCACTTTTCGTCGGGCGCACATTGAGCATGCGAATTTCCGTAGTTCGGCCATGATGATATGATGATGGGGATTGTAAGGTAGAAGAAGGGAGAGCGTCGGTGGTTTTGGTGACTTCGGGGGCGCGGAGGACTCGGGGATCTCGGGGCTGGGAGGGGTTTAGCGTCGGTGTTGAGAAGTCCGAGGTGAGGCCATAAAGTGAAACTTATCCTAGGTGACAGAGAAAGCCTTGGGTCAATTTGGGTAAATTTGATTAATCTAGTATAGATTTAGAGGGTCTTAGAATAAATATTCTTAGTACCTCAGTTTAATATTAGGAGTTTTCTTGTACCCTGGGGCGAGGGTTAGTTCGTTTGTTCTGTCAGATGATCAACTATACTGCGCAACGGGTGAACATGAGTGAGGGTTGATTGAGTAAACAGAGTCTTTCGTGTATACGTATATTATTGGCAAATCTGAATGGCTGTCGCGAGCATCATGCCAGACGTACAGCACGGATCTTCCCAACGAATCACATGCACGTTAATCAATTGCGTATTCCCTCTCAGCCTCGACCGCGCTAGTTCTCCAACGAACCAAGATAGACTTTCTCGTGTCCCGAGGCACGCTCGGATACGAACGACCTAGCGGGGCACGCGAGACTACTTATTATCCCAAACCACACATCTTTCTAGTCAAAGACTCTGTTCTCAGGCGTTCCACTCAATTAATCACCATGCCAGCCAACAAGATCACCCTCGAAGAAGCCCATCGGCGCTTCAAAGAGCCTCTTCCCAAACTAACCGCCATCAAATGCTCAGTCATAGCCTATGCGATGCGAGCATTTATCGTTGTTGCGAATTATGGTCTTTCGCTGAAAGAAAAGATCGTCACGCCTGCTACCGCGCCGAGTCTTACCAAGACATACGCGTGTCGACCAAAGTTATCCCTACGGTACGTCTTCAACTCACAGCTCTGACAAGATCTAACTGTCATAGAATATTCTTCCCGAAAACCTTTGATGAGACCACTGAAGAAAAACTCCCTACGCTGTTTACCATCCATGGCGGCGGTTTTGTAATGGGCGATCCTCGTGATGACGACCACTTTAACTACACTTTCGCCAACATGCACTCTGTTCTCGTCGTCGCGCTGGATTACTCCAAATCACCACGTGTACACTTCCCAACCCCAATATACGACCTCGAAGCGCTCATTTTAGCCGCTCTCTCCGACCCATCTCTCCCAATCGACCAAGACCGCGTTGCAATCATGGGCTCCTCAGCTGGTGGAAACCTAGCACTCTCTGTATCCCTCCTCCCGAGCATGGGCGGTAGTGGCGATGGCGTGCGCCGTATCAAGACCGCTGTGCCGATGTATCCAGTCGTCGACATGTCTGTGAGGCGAGAGTACAAGATACAAACTCGGCAGTGGAAGCCTTCATTTGGAGGTTTTCGAGCAAAGAAGACGGATATGCTGTTTCCGCTTTCGCCTGTTTTCGAAGCTGCGTACACTCTACCTGGCCAAGATCACCATGATCCATTGTTGAATCCTTTTTACGCGGATAAGGATCAGCTACCGCCCAATATCTTCTTCCTTGCGTGTGAGCTGGACATGCTGGCAGGAGAGTCATGGAGAATGATTTGTGAACTGACGGGACGGGAGATTGGAGATGAGACTGTGGGGAGAGAAGCAATTGGGCCCAAGGGGGAGTTGATACTGGATGATGAGAGGTATTCGTTTGAGACGAAGACGAAAGAAGGAAGTTATAGATGGTTGTTGATTCCGGATCAGATTCATGCATATGATAAGTATGAGAATCTGGTGAAGCTTCATGGGGATAAAGAGTTGTCGAGGGATGCTGAGTTGAAGTTGATAGAGGCTCAGAAGGTGATTGGGAAGTGGTTGTTTGAGGGGCCATTTGCTTGAGGGATAGATCGGGATAGACACGGAAAGGAGACATGATTGTTGCAAGAATTGGGCAGTCTAGTGAGTAACAGGTCAAATTAGCTATCTAAAGGGGCATCGCTCAAGACATTCTTCACCGCATCAAGTTCCATCCACTGATAGACCAATGAACTGTCCGCTTAGGAACCTCCTCCTCCACCACAACCACCACCTCCTCCTCCGCATCCACCGCCACCGCCGCATCCTCCCCCTCCCCCTCCACAACCTCCCCCTCCAGAACAAGCAGCGCCAGCACATCCACCACCACCATCTCCACCACCCGCACATCCTCCGCCCGCTGCATTACCTCCACAACTTCCCGCCGCACAACCAGGCGCAGCTCCATACGCGTACGCCACAGGAACAAACACAACCGGCGCCATAAAGGGTCCGTACACTAGACATATCAGTCAGCATTCAATCTTCACAAGGAGAGCTAAACTCACTCCAGTAGGAATAACCCCAGTGATCGTAGTACTGATCCTTGGGAGGAAGCTTGCGGCCCTTCTTCTCAGCGCGCTTACACGCTTTTTGGTAGTTTTCTTCAAGACGCTTGTTCTGAACCTCTCGAAGTCTGTTTTGTACTTTTTCAACGTGGCTTGCTGCGACGAGGCCTTCGTTTGATGTGCGGACGGCGTTGTGGGAGGAGATATGGGCTGAGTTGTCGGGAGGACACATATCTGCTGCCCCAGACTCGTAAAACTTGTCGGCAACTAGATTTGTTAGTCACGCTTCTCATACAAAGAGGGGGGTTGCGTACTCTTTTCGCTGTGGGAGAGCTTGAGAACGCGGCCGATTGATGTGACGTGTGCGGCTCGTACGCTCTCGCAGTACCAGCATGTGCACTCTGAGTAGACCTCATCAAACATCTCTTGATAAATCTTGCTCGTCCACTCAAACCCATCGTTTAACTTCCCATCCTCGATCTTGTCATCGTGTCGCACGTATTTGAAGACTCGTTTGGTGGTGTACATATAGTACGACAAAGGCATGAGTTGGTGGGTATGCCAGCCAAGATCGACATCAAGCGTAGGAACGGCAGTCTTCTTGGGATTCTTGGCGATGATCCTCATGAAGCGATTGTACTTCAAGCAACATCTTTCCATGGTCTCTCGTGCGGTGGGGGAGTGCAGCCAGTCAAGCTTGCACATCTTCTCAGCAAAGATACCCTGTCGCATCACAGCGCCGCAGAGATCAAGAGCAAAAGGGCTGAAGTTCTCCCAGTATCGAGACATCATCTTCCGAATACAGACCTTTGAGAAAGCGGGCACGAGGCCCGCTCGTGCACTTGCGACCTTGCCGTTGATTGTAGCGAGAGCACTCGGTTTGAGAAGCGCCTCAGACTCGATCAGCTTGCGCACAGTCTCCATGGTTGGCGGATCCTCAGGGTCCGGTGAATCAAGAAGATTCTGGATCTGAATGCGCAAAACATGCTGAATCATGCGATTGGGAAACATGCGCTGATCCAATGGTGCGTTGACAAATGAATTTCCGTAGCGAACGGTGATGGGAACGGGGGTTCCGCTGTTAGGCCAGAGAATTGTGCCAGGCATAGGATAGCTCTTTAAAACGACGTTCTCAGTATCCTTGCAGAACTTGACAACGCTGAGGGTCTCTTTTGTCACGCGGGTATTGCATTTTGGACAGCGCGCCTCAAACCTGATGTCGCCGTAGCCTGCGCCCATCAAGCCAGGTCGATCTGGGGACTTTGGTGTTTCCTCGAGACCGCAGGTAGTCCAGGGGACATCGAATGGTTGCGCACAGTTCTTGTTAGGGCATGAGATGGCCTTGGTGAGGGGATCGTCGACATTGTCCCACTGACGGCCTGTTTGGGCGACCCAGCGAGCCTTGTCGTCGTCGGAGACGTTGTAGCTAAAGGAGCCATCGACGGCGGCGTTGACGAGACTCCATGGCATACCAGACTGCCAAAATTGACGATGGCCTTGGCGGATGCAGTCTTCAAGAAAGTTGTAGGGATTCAGCATATGAGAGTGATATACCATCAACACGTCTGCAGTTTGTTAGTGCTTGCCTTGTTTAGTAGTTAGAGTGGCTCACCAAGAGGCGGAAGGGCCTTCTTCTCCCACCAGCGAGGTGCATCTCCAACTGGAAACTGCGCAAAAGATGGAGAGTCCTTATCAGTCATGGCACCCTCCGTCAACCGGCTCAGTTCCCTCGGGAGTGAATCCCACCACGCCTCATACCGATCAACAGCCCTCGCGACAAACAGCGCCCATCGCTTCTCACGGATTTTGCTCAGCGACTTCTTCTTATCTTCTAGTTCACGGTTGAAATTCCCCGCAGCGGGATGTTCATCAACGTCGCCGTTCTCATGGACTACTATGTTTCCATCGGCGCGCGTATCCCATAATCCCCAGAGACCGTCTGTGTAGCCAATATCCTCCTTCAACGCTTCGAATGCGAAGAGGAGACGGAGATGGGCGAGGCAGGTGCTGGAGTCTGGCTCGTGGGGGAGGGAGTTGATTTGGAGATCTGTGAAAGGTGCTGGGAGGTCATCTGGGACGGGGGCGGGTGTATCGTCCACGGCTTGATAAGCCGGAGGGGCGGCCATTTTAACAAAGTGAAAATAATATGCAAGTAATGGTATCCTTGTTTGAATGAATGAGGTTGATTGTTGTTGATAATTGTCTTGTTATTTATTGTTTGTTGAGATGGAAACTTGGCAGTTTATATCACGGAACTGTGCCGCGGTGCAGGACCCCTCGATCTTGCCATCTTCTCTGCGTTTACATCATTTGTGGACAAGCGAGGCAGTGCAGGCGCGTGTGTGACTGGTTGGATAAACAAAGCCAGCGGAATTGATCACAAGGGTAAATCAGAATCATGCCGATGATCCGATTGACTCTGAAGCCCGTTTGCTGGTGCACTAACAAGTCTGCGGGGTCATGCACGTTATTGGGGTAATTGCTGTTAGGCTAATAACTAACGTTACAGCGCCACCGCCCGGCTACATACACCTAACTCACACTGCATACAGCAGGCAACAGAATTCTTAGAGCTAAGCCTCGGGGAGATCGACTCGGGCGGCGATTTTTATGCAATCGCTGCAGGACTGGGCGTAATGATCCACGCCAAGATGGAGCATCTGATTGAATGCGAAAATGGAAGGATTCTTTCCTTCCTTCTAGAAGGCCTTGGGCTATGCCTTGCATGTTATGGTTTGGGGCTGTGATGTCGCGCTGCATGCCTATCACGTCTGTCTGTTCTGGACCGTCATGGATTGGGGGCCGAGGACTAACACAACACACAACACGTCAGCGATAAGAAATCAGGTCATTGGAATTTGGCAATGACAATTACGTACCAGGCCTGATGCTTGAAGTGTTGGCTGCAGATGAGTCTACGTGCATCTCGCCTCAACATCCTCGATTGGGAATGCGAAAATTGCGAGACGGCCCGCGATGCCTACGCAACGAGAGAATCCTCTAATCTACACGCGGAAATCAAGCCTTAGATCCAACAACAAAATTAACGGGTCAAAAGCCCCGATCTTATAATTCGTGGCTGGATTGAGTGGCTTTTTTGCGACGAACCATTGCGTGTTGGCTGCACCATCATCTCGGTGTTTTGGCGTAAGACGGGCCATTCACCTCAAATAAGCCGGTGCAAATCACCGATATCACTTTGTATTTAGACTCATCTCGCAAATAAAGTTATCAGATCAATTCTTCATCATTCATTCATACCCGACTATTTCCCTAAAAATGTCCACACTCAAAGTTCTCGTTGTAGGCGGAGGCATCGCCGGCCCCTCAGTAGCCCACTGGCTCTCCCGTACTGGCGCAGAAATCACCCTCATCGAGCGCTCCCCCAAACCCAGAACAAACGGCCAGCAGCTTGATCTTCGTCATCAAGGTGTAGCGGTAATGAAGAAAATGGGTATTGAGCCTGCGATTCGCGCTAAGCATGTTCATGAAGTCGGAACGCAGATGATTGACACGAATGGCCGGACCAAAGTGTTCTTCCCGACGATTGAGAGCGGGACTGGGCATCAGAGTGTCACGACCGAGTATGAGATTATGCGTGGTGATCTCGTCAATATCCTGTTGGGGCTTACGCGGGATAAGAAGAATGTGAAGCATCGCTTTGGAACAAGTGTTGCGAGCCTGACGCAGGATGATGAGAGTGATCCGAATGGCAAGGTCCATGTCGGGTTTGATGATGGTCAAAAAGGCGATTTTGATCTCGTCGTCGCTGCTGATGGCACGGGTTCGAGGACGCGACAGCTCATGCTTGGACCTGATGCTCCAGATCCACGACATTTCCTCGGTGGCTACATCGGCTTCTTCAGTGTCTTGTCCAAACCACACGACACAAATCGCTTCACGTTCTGCCATATGCCTGGCTCACGCTGGCTCGGCACAAGAAAGGACAGTCCAGACATGACACGCGTGTACATGAACATACAGAGTCAGAACGAGGGTCTCGCAGCGGCGCACAAGTCGGGAAAGCTAGATGATCTCAAGGCTGCTTGGGCGGATGTCTTCGCAGATGGAAAATGGGAGAGTGCTCGGTTCATGGAGGCCTTGAAGAATTCATCAGAGGTAGATGATCTCTATTCCACGCCCTGCCAAGAAGTTCGACTCCCGCCTGGATCATGGTCCAAAGGCCGTGTCGTAGCCCTCGGCGACGCAGCGCATGCTCAGACTGCAAATGGCTTCGGAACAACATGGGGTATGGTCGGATCATACATCCTCGCTGGCGAAGTAGCGACTCTGTACAAGCAAGATCCCAGCAAGGGAGTTGTGCAGGGCGTCAAGCGATATGAGGAGGTCTTTCGACCGATAGCGACGTCTCTGCAGGGCGACCAAAGCGCATTTGCTAAAGCGATGTTTGCGCCAAAGACGCAACTTGGGGTGCTGATGCTTCACACGCTGGGAAAACTGGCATTGTGGTTCAAGCTAGATCAAGGAATGGGCCTTGACTCCAAGATCGCAAACTGGCAACTTCCAGAATATCCAGTACTAAACGCTGAAAAATAAAATTGGGGTATCAATCAACAAAGCTGTATAATAGTTAGACACGCAATTCATCTCTTCTCAATGATTACAAAACTCACCTCAAGATGAGTCAAAACACACACAGAGGTATATACACAACGAAAAGGCCCGAGGTATCAATATCACAGATCACAAGGAAAATTTCATCGTCGGACACTATTCTGCGACGACAGGGAACCTCTACCGCCAGACTCAGTCATGCTAGGTGTATGTTGTTCACGCTCCTGCAGCCGCGAGATGGAGTTGACGTCTTTGGCGCCTGGTAAGCTGATTGCGTCGTAGTCCAGATAGGCGTACGCACGCTGTCCCTCAATGACCTCCTCGACGTCCCGTGGGCTACGGGAGCGGCGGAGGGCGACAGAGTTGGTGTAGGTGTTGGAGGCGTGACTGAGGCCGTTGGCTGGATAGGTGGTGTTGCCGGAGGAGAGGCCTGGGATGAACTTGCGGAATATGGGGCGGAGAAGAGCGAGGCAGCCTGGGAGGGTTAGTGGGATGTTGAAAGGGAGGACTGAGGGGAGGCTTACTGGTGAAGACGGCGAGGTGGACTTCGACGTTGGCCCAGACCATGGCGAGGGAGAAGTCGTAGGGGAATTCTCGTGAGTTGGAGGTGTATTTCTGGGCCTCGACGATCTGAAAGATGGAAGCAATGCCGACCCTGAGAGTGTAAGCGATGGATATGCTCATGATCGAGAGTGAACTTACAATGAACCCAGACTGAAAATACCAATGACAGCAATCTTTTGCCCCAGTATCAACTTCATCCTCACAACCTCAAACAAGGGCAAAGCCAGGATGATAAAATCCATCAAACAATGCGTCAAATCAGTGCCGAGATAATACTGTCCGATATTATTCATGCACTTCCCATCAATCGACTTATCCCAATACGCCTGCACAGGCATGCAGTGGAAGATGGTCATGAAGGTCCGGATGGTGATCCAGCATCCACAGCATACCATCAAGATCATGATCGGTACGCGTATAGACGAGAACTGAAAGATGCGACGGTAAAAGGTGAGTACGGACATCTTGCTGAGAAAGATGGACCACGAGTAGAGAATCTCGCTGGCGAAGAGAATCTCGTGAGATTTCTCGAGGATGTGATCGATTTTATCTTCGGGGAAGTGGCCGATTTTGCGACCCATGTAGAAACATGTAGTCCCTTGATTTTGTCAATTAAATTCATAAGATGAAATGAGAGGGACGTCACTCACACACGATGAGAAGAATTGCATAACCAAGAGCCACAAACTACACGAAGCATGAGCATGAGCATTTATTAATCACGTCTTGTTAACTTTAGGGTGAAAGGCGTACCCAAGCTGCGATTGACAAGGCATCGTCATAACCAACACCCATCTTAGTCATGCGCCGCGCCTTGATCCTAAGAATCAGCGCGAGCGCACTCGCAGGCACGGGGATGATGATGGCGGCCCAGACATTGGGAACCCGGCCCGTCATGATTGAAGCGGCAGCGAAGACACGCTGCTAGGAGTCATTGAATTGCGTAAAAGCGAGAAAAATGAAGGATGAGAGAGAGCTGGGGGGGGGAAGACGAGAGGATGGGGGGGAAATAGAGGGGCGACGAGGGAGCCTTTATGCCCAAGATACGAGCGGTAGGATTTGCCTTGGATTACTGTGAGTGATAGGGTGTCGGTGCTGGTAGGGGCCAAGCAATTAGCATTGCCACGACGTTGACAGGCCAAGCCGCCTTTTCTGTGCAACCCTCCCCCCAGGGCCAGTACCAAAAGCTGAAAAGAGAGAGAGCAGCCACTGGTAAATTAAAACACACACAGACAGACAGATTACGCCCCGTCAGCTTGGCCCTTCCATAAAACGGCTGCCTTATTTTCAACCCTTGTCTGCATCACCCAAGCATTCGCTCAATGGGGGGAAAAGTCGCGCAGTCATGCCCACTCACACTAAAGATTGCCCTGTTGGGTGAATCAAAGGGCCCAGGCTCACGGCGCTGATCAAGTGACCCCAAGATAAGGAAGGGTTCAATTGGCCCAAGCTGAAAAACGCGGTCGTTATCTCTCCTGCTCAAGGGTTACAGTACGTAGAGATAGGCTTTTTGCACCTTCTTGATGGGGGCTAGTCGTATGTCGGTGAGATTTGTTCTACAAGCCTTCTTTTTGTTCTTTTTCATGGTTTTTGATAAGAAAAGAATTGGAATTTGCAAGGAATTGGGTTTTATTTTTTTGGTATACGTCACAAGGGCCGGGGCCGGTAGAAGTAGTGGATGTTCTACCCCAGGTTTGCAGTCCCCACTTGGGCCAGCGTTAGCCGTTGGAATCTGCCGCTCGCCGTTAAAATGAGGCTTTCTTTTGAAACTGGGTGCTTATCGCACGCTTCTTTAATTGAAAGGAACGACGAAGTGGTGTGAACAACTCCCCAGCAGCCTCGTGAGGTAGGCTGTGAGCACATGCATTTCAGATGACTCATTTAAATACAAAATTGTTTGCTTGCTCTGATAAAGAGAATAAAGGAATACAGCATGCACTGGCCTGGACCGTGCTGTGAGGCTTGGTTTGGGGAGCAAACTTGGTTATTGAGCGACGCATTGGTAATTACTGCGATAAGCTGTCCTCGAGAGTTGAATCGGCAATCGATCAATCGATCCTTCGCTTGTTTGTCGAGGCCACCGTCATCTCCATCCGCATCGTCAGTAGGGAATTGTTTCTGCACGGTCCATGATCTCCTGGCAATTATTCCAAATCTTCCTCCTGTTTCTCAGCCCCGGCAGTTCTGCCCACCGTCGGGTCAACTCCCCCCGCAAATGCGTCCAATTCGTACTCCTGCGGTCCAGCATCCTCACAGGCGTAGTAGCGTATCCCTGCCTCTGTCTCTCCTCAAGCTGGGCTGCCAATCCGACCAATCTACTAATCTCTGCTGCATCATCTTCAGATCCATTGTCGTCTTCACGACGCTCCCACAGTTGCTCCTGGATGTCGTACAACGGCTTGCCGAGTCTTCGCTGCTCAGCTGCTGTTGTCGTGACGAAGAATGAGAGCGGGAGGGAGCTCCACGCTTCGTAGAGCCAGGGGAGCTCGCGGAGGGTTAGGTGGTAGAAGAGCGATTGGGGCAGATGGCGGAACGTTCGTGATGAGAGGCGCAGGTTGGCGATGTCCCAGGAATCTAGCTGCAGTAGAATCTCGAGCTTGATCTCTTGCGGAAACTTGGAGAATATGTCTGTAGAGTTCGGCGCTGGGTAAGTCGCTTCCGAGCAAATATCTCCAGGAGTGCAGACGTCCTGTACTGAATCGAGAATATCCTGTAGCCCTGGAATAAAGCACGGATTCGCGGCAAGAAACTCGTCGCCGGCGTGATGTACCCAGTGCGTCCGACTTGCCCTCTTCACAGCGGCATGTTCTGGCAGCTTGAACTTGGGCCCCTTTCTCAGTTGTCCCCAACTCACGAGAGCATTGGTATTCACAAAGCCATATCGATATATCGACGCTCGCTTATACACCTCAAAGCATGCCGGATGAAATGCCATGTCCAGAAACCGAATGTCGCTGCGACTATAGTGGACGTTGTTGCGTGCTGGAAAGACTTGTGCATCGTACCGTCTGCGATCAGATTCCATGGCATCGCCCAAGCCGCTAAGTGCATAACGGCCCTGCTTCTCAAAATCTTCAAGTTCGCTCTCCGGTGGGTTCCACGACTTCTTGCGGATCAAGAGGCATTGGTATGTGCTGCACTCTCTCATTGCCTCGACTGAGATGCGGCTTCCGTGGTATGCATTTGTTGATCTGCAACTGGGTCCGGAAATGTGTTCAGAGCCCAGATTTCTCGGGGAGGGGATGGAATGGCAGTCTGGCTGGACGCATTTCTGGCTTCCAGGATATTCTCCAGGGCCAACTCTTGCATGGCTGAAGAATGCTGCAGAAGAGGGTTCCCCAGCTGCTCGGTGACGACGAATGTTGAAGCTCACGCCGCAAATCATGCAAGGAGGATCTACAAGTGGCGCATCTGTGTGGTGATAGTAACCTACGCTCTGCATCACTTCGTCATCATACTCGCTGTGGTCGACCCAGATCATAGACATTGCTTCGTTCAGGTTTACCGGGAGGTCTGTGCCTGTTTGATAGTACCTAGGCTTAGTTTAAGACGGATCGACGGACTTGTGCTCGTTTGATGCTAGCGGAGGTAGAATGGGAATGGTTCGAAGAATTGTGGGTGCGGGGTTGAAACATGTCTTCAGAATTTCTCCCCTCTTAAGTTGATAGTTGATAGTGTATACTTCCCCTCGCAGGTAATTTAGCCCATACTTATGTAGACGCTATCTGCTGTCATCTCCACAACCGAGCTCTTATCGATAAGCACGAGTCTTTGGCGCGAGATGAACACGAAGTTGACGTGGGTCCACTGAACCGCGTTCCTCTCCATCACTGTACAAGCAGCTAACCAAATACATAGTATGCTACACCATTGAAACCTACCTTCAATTGAGATTAATTTCCAAGCAAACCCTACGCAATGCCAGAACTTCTCGCGCCCCTCCAGTCGGAAGCCTTGAACGCTAAGAAAGCGGTTGGATTCGCGTTGATGCCCTGACTCAGGTTCCTCACTGACCATTCCAAGCTCAATGAAAGTATCATCAAAGGCAAGCAAGCCGAAGCAGCTACACTCAAAGAAAATTCCACGCAAAGGTCTTCACCTGCGAAAAATACTACCCCAGCTTCTGGTAAGCAGCGCAAGGCTGAACTGTCCCTCGATGAAGAAATCGCTGCATGCAAGCCTTGCAAGGCGGACCTTAACGACACCATAGACTACGCCACTTTTGAGAACGATAGCCTTCCCAGCTGCAATGTCATCCGTACCAAGTTAAACAAGCTTTTTGACTCGGGCGTCATGAACAAGGCTGAGTTCTGCAGAGCCACCGGTACCAACTCAAACTCCCTTAACAAATTCCTCAAGCAGAAAGGTCCCTTTGGCGGATCCAAAAGTGCCGTTTGGCGTAGTGCATATGTATGGTTCCAACAGCGTGAAGTCATGGGTCTCCAAATGCCAGATACCAAGAAACGCCAGCGCGAGGAGAGTAAGAAGGACACTGCCGATAGAACTCCTTCCAAGGCTTCAACCACAAAAGCCCTTCCTGACATCAGTGACATTCACCTCGAAGGCGAAGAAACAGACGATGTTTCCATCTACGATGACTGCGATGAGATTCGCCGCAAGATAAACGCACACATGAAGATCCCCAGCGTGACGCAAGCCCAATTCTGCCGAGACATACGCATAGTTCAAGGCACCCACGTGCAAGGGTATACAGCCGAAGCAACTTTCAGACTTTCGAAAGGCAAAGGGCAGTGATGCGGGTGCAAAGAGTTCGGTGTTTTATGGAGCGTACGTTTACTTTGAGAAGATGAGGATTGCGCAGAAGAAGCCGGTTACGAAACAAGGGATGAGATGACCGTTATGTATCCTGGGGGCATTCCGAGAGATAGGGATGATAGGACTACTTGGATCATCGCTGCGGCTTAGCCAGGTTTGTTGGTCGGTCTGGGGAAATGTTGGATGTGTTCTGTTTGGATGTTTGAACCCGTGGGCTCAGTAGGGATCGTGCTTGGTTGATATCTGCTGGTCAGCATGTAGAAATAGCTGTACCACTTGGCTATTTGTTTAATGAGATCCCGTTTGTGCGTCTGAAGTGTAGCTGCTACCTGTAACGAATAAAATTGCAACTCTCACCAGGCAGTTCTCGAGGACATGAGAGGAGCACTAACAACGCCCCCAATATAAAGCAGCGCTTGCTCTTGTATGTTTACACAAAGAGATGCGAGCCAGACCTCCACTGCAACAGAATAAATCGATCCGCTCAGAGATATCTTGCGCGCACCGAGGAGAGGCATTGTTATAAATTGGACAAGACATTCAATGGTGTCTTGTCAAAGCCGAGCCCGCGACATAACTGGTCCAGGGTAAGCGCATATCGAGAGGTCATAGTAAGCAAACAACAGACAACATCACGACCAGCAAAAACAAAAATACAACGCAACAGGATAGGCAATTTGAGAAGGCAAAAATGGCAAAAGATACATACAACAGCGGGGATTCGCTGGTCGTCACCGACCCAACTACTAGTCCGCCGGTTAGTGGCTTGACTATGGGAGAGCGGACGGGATCCCGTATTTTCCACTACCTTTGGTCGTATGTGTTAGACTGCCAGCGAGTTACGCCCTATAGTCATACAGACCCAGTGGGTTCTTGAAGGAGTTTTAGTGGGTCGGTGCGCTGTTGCGGCCCAGAACTCCTACAGTCTGTAATTCCTATTGAAATGTATAGAATTTGTTATGCTTGGCTATTGCTGTATCTAAAACTGTTACCGAAAGTTACTTCGACTCTCCATAAGCTTTGGTTATCCTTTGGTGCTGTATTATTCGACGTCACGATCCCCATTGTAGATGAGTATACGGATATCCAATTCATGAAACAATTTAGAACCCCGATTGCAGCACGGAAAGTTGAGCAGATATCCGAATTAAATCATGGTCTGTTGTCTCGAGCATTACTCCAAGCGAACGATACTTCAGCTAAGAAGCTTTTGCTTATATTTCCCCCTCATCGACCCTTTGCCAACGCAATGCGCACCATCCAGCAAACGAAGAGCTACCCTACAGAACTGGTGGATGAGATGCACAGCGATATTGTCCAGTCTCAAGCCGTAGTAGCGCCCTAGCTTCGTCAATCCTTCTCCAACATTCACCGCTGAGAAATCTCTGTTCTGATCGACCCTTTGCAGTGTTTCTATAGCAATAGAATTGAACATTACTTGGCAGCCTCATCTATTTGCAGAATTCTCATTCAATCATGATGTTATTTGCTCAAGTCTCCGCGATACCCACTGAACCTGGTCGCATTTCTCCAGTAGCGAAATGAGGCTGACAAAAAAAAGTGGCTGGGCCAAAATCAGAGTTTTCACTCTGCCTCAGGCGCAACCCCCCAAGCCCCACTGTACCTCTCTATAAAAAACCAATCCTCCTCCGACCTTTGGGATTTTTTTCTTTTCTTCTTCATGTCGACAATACTTCAGTACGTCCCCCCTACCTACTATCATCACTCACCTCGCCGAACGGTCGCTAACAACGCCTCCAGGAGAATCATTTCTATAGTATTCGACCTTCTCTTGGTTCCCTAAAAGAGCCACAGATCCCACCCTGGTTGATGAATGTATATCCTCGACACCCTAGAGTGAATACCCTCTTGGTCCTCTCGCTCTGTCCGCAAGGATGGCGGTGGTTGTACTCGTGCAGCTGCTGTATAGAGATGGTTTGCTTGATGATCTCGACCCCAGCTGTGGTCTTGCCTTTGGGCGCGTGGCTGGGGTGGGTGTTGATGGACGTCTGACAGGCGTGTTTTCTGTTTTATTCTTTTCATTGCTTTCTGGGGCTTGTCTCCGGGAGTGAGGAAGATGGCCTGAGGCGCGATGATTGGTATCGCAGTTTCGGCATCGTGATGTGAATGTGAATGTGAACGTGACCCTTGTCTCACTCTGAGATCTGCCATCTTACTCCGTGGCTTATTTCTATTTTTGTTCAAGGAAGATTAAATGTAGCCCAATACTCACCGCGATATACTAGCTGGAAAGCTCCTGTGGATATAGCGGTCCATCATCATGGCCACATCCCGTAACGTACTCTTGGAAGTGCTATTTGTAGACCATATCTCCTGTCCAATCCTGAATCGACAAAGGCTCTTGAGTCAAAATTTGGATCACGTAGACATTTGGTGCAAGGGTGAGGATAACGTCGCTGATTCGAGCCACGATGTTTTCACCACGTTACTGTCTGGTACTGTTCACTGACCATGCCTTGTTTCCCAATGCCCGAAGTTCTTTGTTGGCACAGGTCAACTTCTTTCATGGTGCTGGGCCGTAACATTGAGTCACAATGTCCCTTTGTTTCTTGGTTCCTTGTTCACAGCCAGCGCTGCTGGAGCGACGGCCCGTCACGCATGAGAACGACAAAGAGGATAGTATTTATACCTGCTGCAACTTCTACTCTCGATTCTCCCAGTTACCAATCAACAACACCAAAAGCTACGAGAGCAACAATATTCACCATGTGTATCATCAAATCTACCCCCAGAACCTGCGGCAACTGCGAAGCCGAGGACACCGCGCTTACTAAGAAAGAAGAATGCGAAGCCGTCAAAGAGGGCAAGGCCTGCTCGGGAGAGAAAACGATCGTGGGCAACGATGGATGGCTGTGTCCAGCATGCTATGCCAATACAGCTCGCGGCTCGTGCTACAGGGTACCAGACGACTATCAGCCGAAAATTCGACAGGAAGTCGCCAAGAAAGATACTGGTTCCTTCACGGATAAGGTCAAGAAGGTGTTCGGCAAGAAGTAGACAACATGCTTCTATATCAGCACCGAGTACACTGTCAAGCCGACAACTAACACAAAACACCGAGTAAGGTTTCTGCACTGTAAGATGATGAAGGTCTAGAATCGTATCAGAGCTTAATTTTAGGAGGCTCGAGAAGGCAATACAGCGGCTCATACATATCATTCGCAAGTGTAGCAAATAAATACATCGCTGGTAAATACCGAGCCTCTGGTCTCTATTGCACGCCATGTACCTGTGAAGCAAAACGAGTGTGACTTTTGAGTGTTCAGTAAGCTACAAGGTTAATGAACTCACTTGAAGTGAAGCAGTGAGGATGTAAAGCGAGACTGCCGTGAACGTTGACCCAAGCAAGGCGTATGATGCAAACACCATCTGTCAGGTCTATCAACTCAAAGTTAGTCCAAAGGGGCCACTGCAGCTCTGCTTCACTGGGCGTTCGCGTGGACAGCTGAGCCATTACTCAGAGTGCTGATGTTGAAGCAACTGCAGTTCAACATGAACCAAGTTCTGTGTGCTGATCTAATATATTTGCCATGAAAACTGAGTTTGTCTAAGCTGTGACCGCCGTAACATGTGTAGTCTGAATCATTAGCTTGTTATACTGACTCACCACCAACATCTGCACCTGTTCACACCGGTCATATCAAAAATCCAATCAAAACTATTATATATAATCCCGCAAGCACTCCCACTCTCCAAGTAGCTCAACTCAACCCCAAGCATTTCATCCAACCAACCAAGTCTACAAGAACTCCCAATAACACCTTCAATCATGTGCAAAGACCTATATTGCCGTAACCTTTGTGGTGCCTGCGAGAAAGAGCCTAACGTTCGAGAAAGACTCACATACGTGAGTCTAGGAAGAGAGGAATGCGAAACTGCCAAGAGAAGGGGGCAGAAATGTCGACATGAGATTAAAGAAGAGAGGGACGGCTATTGCCAGGTATGCGGGGAGCACACGATGTATGGACTGTATGAGGTTGGACGATATTGGTAGGGAACCGTACGGTTGAGGACTTCTTGAAGTTGGAAGTTTAAAGCATAATTCTTGCCTTATTAGATTGACTCAGTTGAACTGTTAAGAAGACTCAAAAGAATTAAATTATCTGCCCCGAAGTCCCTAGAACAGTCTCAACCAGAACTTCATTCGTGAATAAGTAGAACATTCTATCAGAGAATAAACTAAAGCTGAATTGGTTTCAGTTTCATTCACTCACATTCCGTCTATGAGTGCTCATGCTTTCGTCCTGCAACTGAGTGAAATATGATGTCGTTATTTGTAACTACAAGCTTGTGCCAAGCTCTTCAAGAACAGTTCTCCGATTTTGGTCTGATGGAGAGCAAAGTTACCACAGGTCGGTGAGCTGCATTTGTAAGTCCAATTGGGGATCAATGTGACACAGCTTCATCAAAGTCCAACCCAGGAAACAGGATTGATTTTCTCGTTGAAGTTCCTCTCGAGAACAACGTTTCGTACCTCACTCCTTCTCATGGTCGGACCCCGAAGACTCCCTGTCCTCTGCACACTGCCTGTAGCTTGTGGCACGATCTTTGATACAACCTCTCTCTGCCCTCTTCAGCTTCATCGGGGAGAAAGTTGTGGAGTTCAAGGACAAGTAGCCGATCCTGATTGATTAGGCTTCCGCCGGCTGTTCAGAAAGGCTATGCCTGTTAGCTGTAGCTTGTTCTTGTGTTCGACGAACGGAAACACCTCTCACTGAACCAACAGCTCGTTCTTCAGTCTGATCTCATCGCTGTCTGGTACCGTGTAGTCTAGAGGGTTACATACGAAGACGGTAGACATATCGTAATTGTTGAGAGCAATACCAAGAACCGTCTTGATCTAAGCCCCTGGCGTTGTAAATATACCTCGGAGAGCGTGGCGAGGTCATTTGGGTGTTGACTTTACGTAAGTTTGGTCACAATGTCTAAAAGTTCAGCATCAACATAGTGGAACTGTCCATCTAGTAAGCGCGTCAGCGTCCAATAGTCTTTGCCATCGTCATCACAGCAAACATCACCGATGTCGCTGGGCGATCTTGCTAACTAAGGGACAGAAGTTATCATAATTACGACCGATCTCGGATAATGCATCGAATATAGCGTTGGAGACGGAAGAACTGAATGTTTGGTGAAGTCTTAAAGGCATACGGATGGAAATCAGCTCGCGGCGGGCGTCGTACTCGATGTTGCTTGAAAATTTGGGTGGAAGCTGGTGTAGTCTTCATAGTTAAGGCGGAGACTCGCTAGCTTTAAGACGTTGCCTTTTGTCTCATGTTCTCGCTTTGCTTCGACCAAGTCTTTGGGATGGCCTATTAGCAGTAGAAGTAGACGCTGGCGGTGAAGCTAGCTGGAGATACTTGCACTGGGCTTGAAACAAGGCCATAGAGGATTCTTTCATAATGTATTGGGGAAGGGAGATGTTGGGCGCGTAGTCTCAGTACTTATACGCGCGTCGAAAGTGATCTGCTTTGTTGATGTTGTTGTTTTGTCTTGGGTTGGACTCAATCGTGACGGCAGGGCCTACAAGCAATAGGGGCTCAATCTAACACGGCAACTCATCAAATATCATGACAGTTAACCTGATTTATTTATAGCTTACCTGATTTCTTCTTTACTTTTTAATCTTATCCTGGGGCTTAGAATACCCGGACTCCTCTCCCCTCTTCTATATTAATTTGTTGCACCATAGCCAGGACTTTTCAGTGCCTGGAGTTCTCTGATTATACTAATCTCATCGTGATATGAAGAATCTTAAAGCTGAATCACTCTGTGCCGCTTCTCGTCAGGGGTGAGTGGCTATGACCTAGGAACAGTGCAAACCTGCAAGACATGACAAGGAAGTTAGATTACTCTAGTTCAAGAGATTACTAAACTCTCTTACGAACATGCCCAGTTTCAATTTTCTTTGTGCTATATTCCAAGTGCTGCTTTTGTACGTGTTGTTCTTGACTAGAACTTGAAGACTTCATTCCATGTTCACTGATGTCCATATAGATTCTTAAGAGCTTATCCTTTATTCGAATATCTAGTGTTCATACTCTAGCAATAAAAGAGAATCCAATAAGGGAAGTTCAACATGAACAAGTTCCAAGTCCATTCCTGAGTCAAGTCGTTAAATACGAGATATGGCCGCATACGAAGCTCAATTCTCATCCACAGCAGTGTAAGTCACCAACTTCCAACACTACATCTTCTCATCACCGCTCTTCAAACTCTTTACTATACACAAACTTCCAGTATCTCTACATTCACGATGTCACAAACTTTGGAAGAGACTATGGAGGATCTCAAGAAACAGCTCATGCAGAACCAGCTGGACAGCCTCCGTATTTCTATCGAGAATCTTGCCAACAGTTTGGGCCGCGTTCCTGCAGGTACCATCGCCAGATCTTGTCTGGCTATCCTGAAAAGCATGATCAGCCTCAGTTACTGCGGTATGATAGTATACATTAACCGAAGTCACGAAGCTGTTATTCAGCACAAACTGGAGCAAATTCAGGAATTTCAGGCCTTGACTTGTTCCTTCGCAGATGATGGGAAAGACGATCGTCGTGGTAGCCATGACCGCAAAGAAAATTTGCTGCATCTCGCATCAAGCATAATGCCTGCGACGTGGTATTTCCACTCATATGACCCTTCGGATTTGTTTATCAAGCAGGCAGAGAACATAAGAGCCATTTGTCTCGATGAGCTAAGGAACCATTATGGGAATTCTTTGATGGTTTCTTCTGATGATGACGAGATGTCTTCTGATGTTGATGCGCCGTTTAAGAGGTGGATGGAAAAAGAAGACGCCAAGTTTGAAAAACACTTCCGATTGCCAGTAATCGACGATGTGGTTTCTGTTACTCTACGGACGTATAAAGACTGCCGGGACCTCAAGTCTCCAAGTCCAGAAGGGATGGCTATACATGCCTTATGCCCCTTAGGTAATGGGGAAGAATGGTCGGTTCGGGAGATTGAAATTTCATCAGAACCAAGCTCATACCCCCGTGGAACAACAATCGAGGCCATCACAATGACGCGCAACCAGCTGGCAGAACATTACGGGGGGAGAGTAGAATATAAGAAAGAGATTCCCGCGACTCACCCTTCGCTTGGTCACCTCGACCTTGACTTTGACAAGGAAATCCCCAAGGAATACGGAATTGTAATTACTTGGAGGTTTGTTGGAAGTGAAGCTTGGAGGGACCGTTATGGTCATATCATTCAGCAGGACCCCTTCCTGTGAGGCTATCTGGGTCATGCTCGACAGTTAAATGGAACTTACTCAAGTGAGTAGGTAGGAATAATCTTTCCCTTTGCTACTTTGACTGTCTGGATGGGAAGCCTGTACAAGTGTATGGGCTCGTTGGGGCTCAGGAGATGTGTTGGAATGTGTTGGTCAGCGCTAAAGTGAGAGATCTACCTGGAAATACCATCTCTGTGTAGATTTACTATACGAGGCTGCTCAAGTGAGCAAAGGAACGAGTGTCAAGGGCATGGTCATCATTTGTGGCAAGTTTACTCAAGTGAGTAGTGTTGGGATGACCAGGACGGGCGCTGTTATATCGAGAGGCACCTAAGTGAGTACATGGGATAGGAAGCTTTTGAATAGACTGAAAATTGGTGGCGTAGCGGTTGTGTTTATTTATTGATATTGACATCGGCGTGAATTGACTTACATTTGGGTTATTACTTACTGTGAACCAGGTGGCATGGCTGACATCAGCGACTCCCAATGAGGAGAGAGAGATTTGAGTGCAGCTCAACTAATACAAAGCCATGCAGAAAGCATTGTCTGCGCTAGACCCCAGAAACATGACCGTGATTTGCTACAGCATTGACTTGCCTAGAGATGGCGAGATCGAGCAGATAAGATCTTGGTCAGGCTAAGAGGAACTTCAGTTTACTTCGGGGACAAGCGTATGCTTAACGGTCTATGACTTCATCTCGTGGATATGCTGGCCGAATGGCCGTCTCATACTGAACGGCTGCATATTTCTTACAGTAGCGCTTCTTACTGACAGTGCAGTTTACGGAGGATTTATTGGAAGGTCCAAGATATTGCGAATTCGCTCATCACAGTCCAGCTTCTCACCGGGGTTCTCAGTTCATGAAATAAGGCGGTGGGAGAACAAAGCTCTCATTATTATGCAAAGCAAGGAGCTGAGCAGAAGAACCATGACCAAGGAAGGTGATCAATTGACTTGAAGAGCGCATGGCCGTTGTATGGGATATTGGGTCTGGGGAAAGGGTAAGGCAAGGATTTTGTCTCTCAATTGCAGTTTCTTGTTCGACATGAGGAGAAGTGAATGCATTTCTGGTGTCGTTAGGTGACTGAATTGAGTTCTCGATGGCCTGGCGTTGCATGCATTTTGGAGCATGGACGGAGTTTAGGTCTGGGGTTGGGCATTGTTGCAGGGGGCTTGAGGGAGTGACTACAGGGGTTGCGCTGATGTATGCACTAACGGTAGCTAGCAGTGGCCAGCTACAGGAGGGGCTATGGTGGGGACGCGCTACCGAAAATGATTTTGGCGACGCATCTCGTCTCGTGTTTTTACACTCAATGGATCATTCACTCGAGTCGAAGCATGTTCATCAAGACATTTCCTTATCTGTTCCTGGCTCCCTGGGTCTAGTTGTATGAGAATTGATAGCCAACCACAAATATGTATTGTTCTCATGGACTGATTACACCAAACTCCATTCCAGAATGAGACAACTTGGAAAAAGCTCTAACGGCGGGTAATCGGGATCGCGCCAATCGCCCGGAAGAAGTCAGCTCGCTTCTGCTCAGCATTTCTAGCACTGCGCAGGTTGAGGGCTCGCAGAAGACCGCCAAGCTCACGAGCTGCAATAGAGAAATCAGAATTGAGCAGCGACCGGGTGATGAATGTTTATGTACATACCGTTGAGTCGCTGGACCTCGCCATAGGTGCGTGGGAAATCGGGGATAGCTTCGCCAGTTACGGGGTTGACCAGAGGGGTGAGGGCCGAGCTAGGCTCAAGAGCTGCGATATTGAGGAGTCTAGCACGGAAGTTGATCATTCTAGAGTCCCTAAGTGTTTGTCAGTAACTATAGGTAGCATGGTCGAGTTCATTGTATTTGTAGGTACTAACTGGCTGGTGAGACGCTGATCATTACGGGCTAATTGCTGGCCATGGTCTACCTTTTTGGGTGACTCTTTTACCATCGCGATCAGTCGGCTTTGAGATGAAAGTTGAGACGAAAGCTGAGATGTTGTTGCTCGTACTGCGAAGGAGGAAAACCGTGGCCCAGCAACCCCACCTCGCGATGTAGCGATCCCTCCTCGCGCGAGAAGCTCGCCCTAGCACGTGACACTGACGCAGGTCAGCGAGGAGACCTTTACTTGCCTAAATTACAATAACTAATCTAAAGCCTCCCAAATCTATCCGAGTTACCTAACTAGGTTTATTACTTGGGATAGAACAAATATGCGTAAAGATATAATGTTGGCCATGACGCTCAATGTACAGGTATTGGGTTGGAGAGGGAGCTCAGGATTAACGAGAGTTAACTGCCTCCCCGTTCCTATCGTTAATCTCTGAGTAGCAAGAGGCGCATATACGGCTTGAGGAAGGGGTGTCTCCCTCTCCGGAAGGATGCAAAGAGCGAGAGATAGCCATTAAGCATCGCCTCAGCGCCATTATTTACAGACCCTGAACTTGACATTGAGTTCGGAGAGTCTTCCTGTGACAGTATCCCGTTTGAATCAGGGTTGTTCAAGTCTGTAGGGATGGGATACTCTTGGGTAGGCGAGAAGGTAGCGTGAGATTCGTTGATTTGAAGTGCGGCACAAGTTGCTAGATCGGAGAGTTTCTCAACCTGTTGCTTTTGATCAGTTTCGGTGTTTATCAGCAGAAATCTCCGGTATACATACAAGTCCAATGCCATGTACTTCGAGGCTAGTCATTTGGAACTGTAAACAGGTGTCAAGAGCCTCACTGGCAATGATCACGGCGTATTCATGACGGAACTCCTCATCGTCAGAAAGAGCTTCGACATAGCCGTGGCTACTAGCCAAAGACCACAGCTTTATCCTGATCCAGTGTCTAGTAACAAGGATATCTGCATGCTGAGCATGAGTATCAATACCAGAAGATCCAGAAAACTGTGGTGGAATCCGGTAACGTCGTAGCAGAGAGAGTATCGTGCTTCTGGTGACGTGTGTCGGGGCCTCTTCTTCCCAGCAGAAACCTTTCCAGCATTTTATTATATCGGGGTCAATAAAGTCCACTTGCTCGAGCATGTTGCTGATACATTCCATGGCAATGATGTTCTCGCTTTCACCCCTGTCATGCGAAGATGCGATGGCGTTCTGTAGCTCTTGCAGCTTGTTCCGGCTTAGTGATTTCGTGCCAGGGATGTAGTCTCTTTGAACCGAGTAGATCCTCTCAATAATTGTGAGGCTGATCAATGTTCGGAGTCTTCGCTGTTTCTCAGTGTCTCCAATCCGGCCGTACGATTCAGGCTTGTCGAGATTCATCACCTCCGCTAGAGCTGCAGCCTCTCTCAGCCGAAATCGGGCTGCATCGAAATTTCCCTTGCAGAATTGACACGCGAACAAAAAGACGCTCGTCATGATTGTTTCTAGAGTCGGACTCTGACCTAGATCAGACTGTGAGTGTAAGTTTACAGCCAGAGCCAAGTGAGCGTCGGCTCTCGCTTCACGATTTGGCCATGAGTGTTTCTCCTGGCTCTGGACTGGCTGCAGAAGGACCAGAGAGCAAATGGCCTGCACCAAAGAGCCGAAAGACCGATCTTGAAGATGTCGTTGACGCGCGATGTTTTGATGCAGATATGAACGGGTGAAGAAGGGCATGGATTGTTGTAGGCGCTCTAGAAACACATCGATGAGCTGCGGGATGGTGCTGTCATCGGCGAGACGATCAAGCACTCCGTTTTGACTGGAGAGATTCTGGAGTGGAGGTGAGAGGTATATTCCGGGACTTTGAGGCACGCTGAATGGTAGTGAGGGCACATAAGGAGGAAGATCTACCACTCCGAGAAGGTTCGTTGGGTAGAAGAAGCACTCCCCCATACCAAGGTCCCAGTATTCTGTTTCCAGCTGCACGGGAGGGACTGTAGTAAGTTGCGTCTCCGCAGAATTGTCCACACGCACTGAATCTAGTTGCTGTGCCTCTGTAGGGGTGCTCACGTCAACGGTTTCAGCAGGTAACCAATCCGCACTCTCTTCATACAAGACGTTAGGCCTCTCGGGGGATACTCTTGAGTTAACGTGTAAGTCACTTGACGCCGGTCGAATGTACCGACGTCTCTTTCGAGGCCGCTCGTATTGGCATTCTGCATTATTCTCTTGACAAGGCGCACATGGGGTACGGCGGTCACACTGTGAGTCGGAGAGTCAGATTCATGAGACCAACAGGAAGTACGGAGTAACTAGGTAGTTAACCGACCTTGATCTTGCGATGAAAACAGTGATCACATGATCTAGTTTGAACAGCACAACCCAAAGATGAATCGAAGACCACTTGGTTCATGTCGAACTGGAATCTCCTTTTCGTGACACAGGGGAGACGGTCCATCTGCAGCAAGAGGGTTTTATGACGGATAAGGAATAAAACCGACGCAGAATTCCCCTGGTCCGACATATGAGCACGGGGGAGACTGCGGGGAACCATGTCTGAACTCTCGGTCCGACAAAGGCCTGGGCCATAAGTCAAGCCATGCAGTTCCCCACGAAGCAGAACTCGGGCTAGTGTCACCCGGTGCTGAAATGCGTTGCCAAATGTGACATGGAGCCTTAAGCCCAATTGGGAATATTCCCACTGCAGACGACAACAGTCAGAAACATGAGTTACAACTGCCGATTTGCAACGCCGTGATATTCAACAGGCCATGTTTGCAGGGATGAAAACGCGCCGAATGCCGTCGTCAAAATCCATCATGTGATTCATCTAGTCTGCTAACGGTGGTTCCGCACCTTCATGGTCTCTCCAAGGCTTCTTTTGCTAATTACCCACGGTGAAATTGTCAACGCAGTCACTCAACAGCCATCATGGCAACCCTCGATTCACCCATCCTTGTCCAGCTTCCATCCAAACGCCACATCTACGAGACTGCTGTCTATGAGGCTCCGTGGAACGCCCCTTCGACGACGTCTCATAGTGGAGTACTCCAGGGCCAAGATCCCCTTGCCACTGCCAAAGCATCAGAAACCCAAAACGAAAATGCTCATCGTCGCTGGAGACCGCGTTATCACCTCATGCCGCCAACCGGCTGGCTGAACGACCCTTGTGCACCAGGCTATGATGCCGTGCATGATGTCTACCACGTTGGATTCCAGTGGAACCCCAAGAAGCCAGAATGGGGCGATATTTCATGGGGAAGCGCACTATCAAAGGACCTTGTTTCCTGGGAGGTCAATGATTTTCCTTCTATTCAACCGTCCAAGAAGCATGATGGAGAAGCTGGGGTCTTCACAGGGTGTTGGAGTCCAGTATCCTCAGTACCAGGCCGGAGCACTGCATTCTATACGTCAGCGCGGATTCTTCCGATACACCATACACTTCCTTACAACTGGGGCTCTGAAGCAATTTGCATTGCTACGTCGGACGATGCTGCTCGTACATGGCAAAGAGGCAATGCACCGACTGTCTTGGATGGCCCTCCACGTCACCTCAATGTCACAGGCTGGCGTGATCCATATGTTGCTAAGTGGCCTTCACTCAGCCGGCTCCTAGGAGACAAGATAGACCAGGGACTGTTTGGGATCGTATCTGGTGGTATTCGCGGTATTGGCCCTGCAGTTTTTGTCTACTCTCTCGAACAGTACGATTTGGCGGCCTGGAACTTCATCTCTGTGCTGACTATAGCACCAACCTCGCAGAGGGAACATCCTTCCCAATGGGAGCCCGACTATGGCGCAAACTGGGAAGTGGTCAACTTCCTTTCACTCCCTGACCCCGACGACCAAGAAATAAGTCATGAGGTATTAATGGTTGGCGTCGAGGGGCGTAGGCAATCTAATGTCGAGCCTCCGGGACGCCACCGCCATTCAGAGTTCAGACGGGATCATGGCCAGATGTGGGTTTCGGGCCCCTTGGTGAAGACTTCAGCGGGGATAGAGATGCAATTCCGTTCTGGCGGCGCTCTGGACTATGGAGCAATTTATGCTGTCAACTCCTTCCATGATCCAAAATCTAACCAGCAAGTAGCGTTTGGCTGGATTGTTGAGGAAGATCTCTCTACAGAACTGAAGGGGGCACAAGGATGGGCCGGACTGTTATCTATCCCGAGAGTCGTCCGGCTGAGCAGGATACGCCATGTTGTCCATGCATTGAAGTCAGATCTGACATCGATAAAGTCACTTGACGTGGTACCAGAAGATAAGCCGCACCAGAAGTTACTCTTTCCAGAAAGCTCTCCTCAGATCTACACGATTACGACCTTATGTGCTTTGCCAGACCCTAGACTCCGCAAGCTTCGCCAAAGTCAGCGATTTCTGGGTCCCGCCACATATAGCACCTTGCCTGACTCTCTGGGAAGCTTGGAATTCGCTCACGGATGCTCATGTTGGGAACTAAATGTATCTTTCGATATTGGCAACGGCGTACATAGTATTGGCTTCATAATAGGCCACACAAAAGGTATGACTACCAGTTGAAGTTCACAAAAGGCGTTTAGAGATTACTGACATTCTTCATTTAAGACTCAGAACTGCGTACTGTGGTCTCGTTCAGTCCTGACTTGGAGAAGCTTACAATCACACGAGCTAAATCCACCAACATGACAGGCATATGCGTGGCGGATGAAGAGGCACCACATACCCTCTTCTCGACCTTGTCTCCTGGAACTGCTGAACCATCTCTGTCCCAAGAGCCCTTGCGGCTCAACGCATTCTTTGACGTGAGCTGTCTCGAGCTTTTCGCCAATGAAAGGACGGCAATTAGTACGCGAGTCTACCCGGAAAGTATGACCTGCTATAGCATTCAGCCGTTTGTGGTAAAGAAGAGTGAACACTCGTGGTCGGGTCAGTTGCTTGAGTGTACAGCGTGGGAGCTCAAGACATCGTGTTGTGAGATTTAGATAGACGCAAATATAGGCCTAAGGGGATTTGTTGATGGGAACGATATCTAAGACTGTTTGAGAATTATTGTGGAAGTTCTTTGCTTTTTCTTTAGCGGCGTTATTTGCAACCCAGAATTACTCAATGTCGGTCAAAGCCTAGGTAATGGTCAAGAAAAGACCCACGTCAGTGATTTGACAGAACCGAAAGGAACTCAAGGCTTGAATATAACGGAGAAAGGACCCCTAGTCGAAGGTCTGCTAACTTTATCCTCACCTTGCCCATCTCTTCTATCCTGTGAGATAGACTTCTCAAGCTCTCTAACCCCTTGGTTTGTGTCACTAAGTGCAGTAGAGCTAACCGTGCTGTTATTGCTACACAATGTCGATCAACAGAGTAGCATAGGCAAGGGAAGGCATGTACTAGCTGGCTACGCTTCAGCGCCAAGCTTGAAATGAGAGGGAATAATGCGATTCCTGATGTTAATGAGATAGAAAGAGACTATGTGATTAAATAACTACTTTGAGCACACGTCTATACTCGACTGGAAATCACGAACATCGATATTATGGGCACATATGTCCAACTAACTCCCCATTGCCTCTTCCAACCTCACTAAGACCCTACTCCATCAGTTTAAACCTTAGCTTCGTGGTGGGCGATCTCGGCATCAATTTTCTCCTCATTCATGTAGCTCTCCATAGACAGGTTGCACTGATAGTCTGAATTATGAAACATATTAGCAATGCTCTGATGAACAGAATGTCCTGTTTACCTTTAAACTTGCGGGCAGGGACGCGGGCTTCGAACATGGCATCCAGCTCAGCAGGGGTTCTTCCCTTGGTCTCGGGGAGGTACAGGTATGTAATAATGATGCAGCCGGCCATCCAACCAGCAAAAATAAGGTACGTCTTCGGACCAAGGTTACCTCTACAATGGTAGTCTTGTTAGCATGTGGGCAGATAAAAAACAGAGAGTTGAACTTACGCATCGGGTTGTGAGATATATGGCAGCACATAGACTACGACAGTGGAGAAAGCAGCCAGAGTCAAGAATGAGAAAGAGCTGGTCTTGTTGCGCAGACGGGCAGTCGGTATCTCAGCAGAGACTACATATGTCAAAGGGCCGAATCCAGCTGCGAAGAAAAACGAGAAGAGCATGCACATGCTCGCGATGGCCTTGGCGATGCTTGGATTTCCTGTATAGTCCATGAAGCCAAGGACCCCGACGACAAGATCAATACAGAAGACCATGGTGAAGGTGCTGAGGGCGAGGGTCCGGCGTCCGACTCTGTCGACAAGGTAGATTCCAGTGACAGCGCCGGCGAACGCGAGGATGGCGCCAACCATGGTGAGAAGGAAAGGAGACACGTTTCCGCTAACTGTGGCGAGGAAGATGGTAGCGTAGTTCGTGGCGAAAGCAATGCCTGAGAGTTGCTGCATATTTCCAATGGACATGGCCAAGAGAGATCGACGGAGATTTGTTCCGCGGAAGATATCGATCCACGGAACCTTGGCTTCATCCTCACGAATAGACGCTTGGGCTTTGAGAGCTTCGAACTCAGCCAAAATCTCAGTCTCTGGGTAGCCACTGCGGACGCTTCTGAGAGACCTGAGGGCGTCGCTGTCACGAGACTTGGTAAGATACCAGGTTGGTGAATCATCGACGAAGAAGAGTCCGACGAAGAGGATGAGAGGGAAGAGGATGCCGAGGCCAAGAGGGAGACGAAATGACATGGCGGAAATTTCTGTACTCATTGCCCAGTTGACGCCGCTCGCGACGATGGCTGCTGTGTTGATGAGAACGATGGATGTTCCGACGATGGCGCCACGGACGTTTTCGGGTGCAATCTCAGCCATGTAGGTTGAGCCAAGCACGATGAAGAGCCAAATGGCAACATCTGAGAGAGAACGTCAGCGAACGCGAACAACCTGGAGCTGGTTGATCAAGACTTACTCGCAATCCAACGACCGACGACTATCTCGGCCAGCCCAAATGCAGCAGTCTGGATGGCGCTTCCAACAGCACTAAAGATGCAGCCTACAAGTATCATCTTCTTACGGCCGTATTTGTCAGCAAACTGGGCTGCGAGTGGCAGTCCTAGAACGCAGCCAGTGACGGGGAGAGCTGTCATGACGGAGATGTCGGTCGACGTCAGGTATGGGGTGCCATTGGGAAGACGGGTGTGAGAGATTTGGTTGACAAAAGGAACCATGGCCAGAAGACCGCCGCTGATGGCACCGTCATAGCCAAAGGTGAAGAAGGCCATGGCCATGAGGAAGGCTGGGGGGTGATGTCAGTTCGGTACACCTCGAGACAGTGATGAAGGGATGAACTGACTGGAATAGACTAATTTTGGACTTCGGAAGAAGTTTGCCAACGAATTAGTTCGCGCCGATGCATGGTGAACGTCGGCAGTCATCGTGAAAGTGGAAGTGGGTGTTGAGTAGAAGAATTGAAGAAAGGAAACAAGGAGGAGAAGTATGATGCGACCAAGTACGGATCAATTGATCTTAAGAGATAAGAGTCTGGATGCCAATTGCAAGATAATGGGGTCTAAACGATGGGCTCAACAAGAAGTTATATACATATCCTAGCTCCGAGAATCTAAGCCCGGTACGAAAACATGGAGGTAGTGCCGTAGCTTGGAGAAAGTGGGGAGAGACGCTGGGGCAAGTTTTCTGGGGCCGAAATCTGGGGAATGGGGAGACTCGACGCGATCAAACGATACAATAGAGACTTCAATTTGCAATGTCGTACCGATAAATCCCCCGCGTTAAGTGCTCTATCACTCTTTGGGCCAAAACCCGCGACGTCGGGTCATGTGAGGGGGAAGAGAAGGGTTGCCGCGATGCGCAGCCGAGGGAGACGGGGATATTCCCAAAATGGCCAAGTACGACGCCACTAACTTTGGTTGCAACCTGTAATTATAAGACGAAACTTAACCGCAAAGTTCAAGCGGCTAATTCCCTATTGGCAAGCTTGAAAACGGTATTTCAGCTCACATTGTGTATTTGTTATTGCCTGCAGTCTGTGTTGGAAGCAAATATGACTGTGTCGGACTATACCCTCAACCACCCTGAGCTGGGTAGCATCATCGGCTTAGCCAGAGACGACGATGTTGTTCAGTTTCGCGGTATCCCATTCGCGTCGGTTCCTGGACGCTTTCGCCAGAGCATCTTGAGAGCAGGACCATTGCCTTCGCAGCCATTCTCTGCTCGCCAACCAGGGTAAGTGCACAGAAACTAAGACTCCATACACGAATTGACTTACTAATGTCTCCTAGTCCTGAATGTCCCCAATTGGTCCTGCCCTTCCCTTCATACTGGACGGCGCCACCTCCCAGTGGATATCCCGCCCTAGAAAAGCCCATCCAAGATGAGTTCAACTGCCTGAACCTATCCATCACCGCACCACGCAAAGTCCTTGAATCAGGCGAGAACGTGCCAGTGCTGGTCTTCATCCACGGCGGCGCTTTCATGGGCGGCAGTCAGTCGATCCAGCTATCTGGACGTGAAATCTACGATGCTACCGACCTAGTAAGGGCAAGTATCGCCCGGGAGAAGCCGATCGTGGTGGTCACCATCAACTACCGCGTGGGACTTCTTGGATTCCTCACGTCGGAAAAGCTGGCAGAGCGGAGTCGTGCTCATGGCGAGGCAGTTGGCAACTACGGACTTCATGATCAGCGACAGGCGCTGGAATGGGTGTCTCGTTTCATTGGTGGGTTCGGAGGTGCTTCTGACCGCATCACCATTCATGGAACTAGCGCGGGCGGCGCTTCGTGTCATTACCAGGTTAACTTTCCCAATCGCAAGTTTCAGAACGCCATCCTATCCAGTGGGACATCTGTCGGTATCGCGTCGAGGCCTATGCCCTGGCATCAGGAGCGCTTCGACTATGTGCTATCTCAAATACCAAGCCTGCAAGCGGATGGTTCTCTTCTTGATTCATTGGTAGATCTTCCTCTGGATCAGCTATTGCCAGCGTCGCCGCCATCACTCTACAGCCCACTTGTTGATGGAGAATGGGTTCCCGAGGCAGGTCTCAAACCGACCCTGGAAAAGTTGGGCAAGGCTGGTGGACCCTTGCCGAACTTGATGATTGGTGCAACAGAGTACGAGCGAGATCTTACACTGATGCTATTGTCTGATCTCTCAAAGCCTCTGCCGCCTCCGCCTCGACCAGAGGCAGAGATACTCCCCATTGCGCAGGAGGTACTTGCAGGCAGCGCCATGATTCCCCAATTGAACTCTGGCGACAGTCCCTTCTGTGTCCCAGAAGTTGCACAAGCGTATAACCTGAGTCGAGAAAAGTCTTGCTTGGACTCCTTTGAGGACCTAGCCGGCCTGATGGCGGACGTGGCATTCCGTACTCCACCACTGTACTCAGCAGCGGTTATCAAGAAGCACCAGACTGCGCACGGCCATGCTTCACACGTGCTTCTCTACGAGATTCAAGCTACAAACCCCTACAAGAACTGGTCACTGGGCTATAAGAGAGCCAATCATGGTATCAATGACATTTTTCTCTTCAATCCAGCGGAAGACCAGGTCGCGGCTGAACACCTTAAGAACTGGGTGTCTACCGTAGGCCAGATCCGAGCTGCGTGGCTTGACTTTTGTTATGGAAAGATGCTCTGGGCTCCGTTCCAGTTGCCAGAGGATATTGATTCGCTAGGGGGCATTTATGTGTTCCCAGATGGTGGCGAGGGTAGATTGTGTAAGACGTTGGATGAGGTTGATGGCAATGCTACAGCTGCGCGATGGCGTGCACTTCTGAAGACTTCTTTGGAGTCTATTTAGATATCTTTAATTGGTTATGCGGGGTTAAATTTAATAGAACCTTTGTTTCATTCTGAAGTCTCTTTCTTCTCTGGTGTCTAAAAAGAGTGCATCAATGGCTAGATTCTGTAGGCATGCCAGACAGCCTCAGGCTTCCCTAATGAAGGTAAAATCTGGCATTACAGGAGAGGCATTTCCACCATAACTAGAAAGAAATCGGGAAACCTTATCTAAGTATTTTCCTCCAGTATTTGAAGATATTTCGGTGGCTTTCGCCTGCACAAATAGCTATCTATGTATATTGAACGTGCTGGTAGGCGAGTCTCTTGTCTTAGCTAAGGTTGCTATAGTCAGAACCCTATATACAATTCCACTTGTCTCTGTTATATCTTTTCTAGATTGAATAGGTGAGAAATCGTGTCAATTCGGATGTCCAACTGCGCACAGGGTCATCAAGAGCCAATCCGAGACCATGCGGGCCATCTGGTAAAATCAAAACCTGAGCTTTTCTCTTATGTCCTGCCATAGCTTCAGCAAACATGAGAGTGTTTTGCACTGGAACAGCTTGATCGTCAAAGGTATGGAACAAGAATGTCGGGGGCGTTGTATCAGAGACCAAATTCTGCGCTGATAGATCGTGCAGCTCCTCGGCCGTTGCGTTAGGCCCCACCAAATTGTCGCGAGAGCCGGCGTGTGTATAGTTTCCTTCCAAGGTAATTACAGGATATGCGAGAATGCCGAAATCCAGACCAGCCTTGGGGTTAGTGAGGGTTGTGGATGCAAGGTGACCGCCCGCTGAGAAGCCCCAAATACCAAGCTTCTCTATTTTGGGGTTGTCATGGCGTATTCTCTTAAGAGCAGCGAAGACTTCGTTCTCGGGTTTAGGATAGATAGGTGCAGTTGCATTGAGTGTCGTGGTGTAATCGAGAACCCACGCATCAATACCAAGCTTATTGAGGTATGCAGCTGGATTGTAACCTTCCTTGACGATAGAGACATGGCTATAACCGCCACCAGGACAAATGAGTACACCAGTGCCTGTGGAATTGGCTGCTAGGAAAGCCGTGAGCTTTGCGATATCGAGCCTATCGAGTTGGTGAGCTTTAGTGACATGAGGCTATTATGACAAGGTGCTTAACTAACTTCATAGTGTCTCCGTCTGGGTCAAAAGCGGCTGTATCAGAAAGCTTAACAGACTCCTTGGACATCATCTTTAATAGCAGAACACGTCAAGATATGTGTTCTATTCTCTGCAGATCACTTTGGGGGCGGGACGTCTTTGGGGTTTCGTTGTGAGTTACCCCGCGATGTCGAAACTCAAGTTACCTAGAACCCTTGTAATAACCTTCACTTCTATTCGTCCGGCTATTCTTTTAAAGCATGCATCATTATATAATAGCAAAAGTCCATTAACGGAACACTAACTTATGATAATCTTTGGATCATTGGCGGAAAATTGTGGGGTAGAAACTCCCTTTTTTTAATACCAACATTATGCATCAGTTCATAGCTTGCCCTTCATTAAGTAGGATACTGGACTCGCGATTCAACTATCGAGCTATTATTCAGTACTGGAGCCCAGCTTCCAGTATTCGAAGCGTTGAAAATGAAGAAGCACGTATTGGAAATCAGATAATTCGGCGCTCCCGACAGGGTTTATTTCACCCCACTGTTAACTATTGTACGGCATATGCAGCGCCAGTAACTCATCCCTGCCAGTGGTATTCATTTCGTCGAGGCCTTGTTATGTACTCTGATAACAATAAGATCAATATTCAGGGTAGGTAGCAAACAGAAATATGCACAACTTTGATCGAAAGATGACAATATGTTAGAACTATATGCAAGCCAGGATACGCCTCTGTAGGCTGAAGCGAATATATACAATGAATAAAAGACCCATCATCGACATCCCACCCGCATAATAAGCAGCAGGCCTGAATACCGAAAGACTGTTATTACTACTGTCTGCAAGCGAGTAGATTCCCGAAGCAATAGGGGTACCCTGAGATTCTGGTCAGTAAAGAGTATATGTAGGACATATATATGCAACATACGAAGAAGAATCCACAGAACCAAGTAGTCCAAACAATAGGTAGGATGCCGAGAGTATTCTCCGGACCCATTGTGGCACCGAGCATGGGAGGAACCAGACTGAAAAAAGCTCCACAGCCAATGCCGTTGAACACGAGGAAGACAGAGAAGATTCCAACCGAAGACGCCAATGGCCACACGACGAGTGAGCTGAGACCAATAAAGAGAAGGCAGACAATCAAGCTATTCAAGGGGCCGAGCAAGTGGTCTGCAGTGTACCCCCCTAGAACCCGGCCAACGGTCGAAGCCAAGTTCCAAGCCGCCAGTATGATGATGGCAATCTGGTTAGAGTAACCCATGGATCGGGTGAAGATGGGAATGAAGTAAGGTGGGATAAATAAGGGGAAGCATGACAAAGCTGTCCCGGCGATAATAAGGAGGAACCGAGGTTCCCGGAAACGATGCCTAATCACACAATCAGCAGGCCGTTGAGACAACAAGGTAATAGAGATACTCACCACTGAAGCTTCAGACCAGCACTCATGGACCCCTCAGGCTGTTGGATGAAGTATGAAGCCGGGATACAGACTCCCCAGAGCATGAAGCCTAGGATGCGGAAAGTCCACGCGACATCGACTTGTCTCACGAGAAGGTTCGTCGCAATGCTCATGACAGCTGCGCCAAGGCTGCCTCCGCCGAACACGATACCCATGGCCAGGCCGCGATGTCTCTTGAACCACCTGAGCGGAGCAGTCGAGCATGCCTACCAATATTAGTAAACCCCAAAATCCTCATTCAGAAAAAACTTACAAAGATGGATAGTCCACCTCCAATACCAAATATCACACCGTGGAAGACAAAGAGAGCTCCAACATGTTTTGTTGTCCAACTTGCAAGGAATTCACCTAGACCCATCAGGACACCACCGGCTAGAGCAGTCTTCTGGTAGCCGAGCTTTCGAACAGCGATGCCAGAGAGGATACTGAGCGAGATCATGAACGATGTTGCGAGTGATCCGACGAATGTCAAGGTTGTGAGGTTTGTTCCTGTCACTTCAACAAGTCTGACTTGCATGATACCCCAGGAGTAGATCACCCCGAGATAAACGAAGAGAGAACATGCTGCGGCTGCTACAGCTATCCATCCCTTGGGGTTATCGAACTCAACCGCTGGTGGTGTCGTGTTGGGCGATTCAATGTCGGGTTGTGAGATGTCGGTATCATTGCCTTTTTCGTTGTCCGACGAGTTCGACGAGGATGGCCACTCCGGACCTGGGCTGTCTTGCTGTGTTGACATGCTTTCACAATACACAAGCAGAAATCATAAAAACAGTAATCTGTGTATGTTTGTAAAGTTGTTGTTCGAGAAAGTTCTTTAGTTAAATATCTGGTCCGGCATCTGACCTCGGTTCTCACAACGTCGAAACCGACGACGAGAACCGACGCCCTGAACCTGTCAACCCATCCCAGTGGGTCTTAGCGTATGATAGTGTTTGTCATGAGAATTCTGTGACACAGCGACGGCCCGGAATGAGTCGGCTCGTCGGCGTTCGGCTGAAAATCTGTCTTTCCCGAGTTCCGGTGAAGATAATCGGTTTTCGGGTTTGACGTTTTATAAATGGACCAGAGGAATTCTTTAAGTAAATTAAAAAGAATTCTAACAAAAAGAAAAGACTATTCACTTCAGAAATCAAATATACAGAATTTCGCATTTTTTCTGCTTCAATCCTCTATTCAACGACATGGCGCCTTCAACGATTGAGGACTTCGCTGAAGTCTCCACCTACCAACCATCCATGCCCGTCAAACCCATGCATCAAGAAGGATGTTTGATGCATAGATCTCTTGTTCAACACCCTTACATGGTTGAGTCCGCCAGTGGCGTTGAGCTCAAGTTATCAAGCGGTCAAACCATTATCGACGCTTGTGCCGGTGCAGCAGTTGCGCTCATCGGCCACGGCAACGAGGAGGTCATCCAAGCCATCACCGACCAAGCTCGCAAAGTCAGCTACGTCCACACACAATCCTACACAACGGCACCAGCTGAAGAGCTTGCCAATACTATACTAGAGGGTAATCCATATGGTCTTGAGAAAGCCTTCTTTGTTGGTAGTGGCAGTGAAGCTGTTGAGTCCGCTCTGAAGCTAGCTCGTCAATATCACTACGAGAAGGGAGAGCTTGATAGAGTGCACATTGTGTCTAGACGCCAGTGCTACCATGGAAATACAATGGCTACCATGTCTATCTCGACGAATAAAGCGCGCCGAGCTCCATACCACGGCTTCCTGTACCCTCATGTCTCTCACGTCTCGCCTGCTTTCGCTTATCACTATAAAGACGACTCCGAGAGTGAAGAGCACTTCACAGCGAGGCTTCTAATCGAACTTGAGGAAGAGTTTCTACGAGTTGGACCCGAGAACGTCGCTGCTTTCATCGCGGAAACAGTCGTTGGCGCGACGACGGGTTGTGTTGCTGCGCCAGCCGGCTACTTCAAGGGCGTCAGAGCTATCTGTGACAAGTACGGAGTGATCATGATTCTTGATGAGATCATGTGCGGCGTTGGTCGAACAGGCACGTTTTTTGCTTTTGAGCAAGAGGGCGTTGTACCTGACATCACCACGATCGCGAAAGGTCTTGGTGGTGGCTATGCTGCTATTGCTGGTGTTCTCATTCACAAGAAGGTCGTTGATGTCCTTAGACAAGGCTCGGCAGCTTTCAACCACGGACATACGTATCAAGCTCATCCTATTTCATGCGCTGCGGCATTAGCGGTGCAGAAAGTCCTAAGACGCGAGAAATTGGTTGAGCGATGTCGCCAGATGGGGCTTGTTTTGGAAAGATTACTTCGACATGAGCTGAAGGATTGCAAGTCGGTTGGTGATATCCGAGGTCGAGGTCTTTTCTGGGGCGTTGAGTTTGTCAAAGACGTGACATCCAAGGAGCCCTTTGATCCTTCGGCTAAGTTTGGTCTGTTGGTGCAGCAAATCGCTTTTGAGAAAGGTGTTGCGTTGTATCCGGGCGGTGCTACGATTGATGGTGTTAATGGTGATCATATTCTGCTTGCGCCACCATTCACAATCACAGAAGATCAACTGGCCACTATTTGTCGGGTATTGAAGGAAGCAGTGGTAGAGGCCGAGACAATGATGCCCTCTCCATAGGTAGGACTGGCCCTGAATTGCCTATATAGAGATGCGATGGGAAAAGTATATTAGACAGTCTTTTAGACCATGAATTTATAGAATTGATACATCTTCTTATAGTAACCTTTGTCTTGGATCTTGCCCTTCTCAGCAATACACATATGGCCCTTGAGATAATTACGAATAGCTTTCCGCGCCTCAGCATTTGCCATTATAACTGCACCGCTTCTCTGTGTATTTCTGCAGTCTCAATATCATGGCATCTATAAGTCTTCGAAGTGGCGGACATGGAGTGGACTGGATATTGTATGAGTGTCAATTAATATAAATTCAGATTTACATAAGTAAGCCATAAGAGCCCCTTGTACATATGACAAATGCGAAACCTAACGCAGTGCAACACAGCGATATTAGAAGGTGCGAAGATAGTCACCAATGTAGCCGCCACCAAGCTTGTGTACCTTCTCAGCAATTTCCCCAGCACCAATCTCCCCAGCCAAGTGTTTGGCAACCGCTGAAAGATGCTGTGCTAGAGTAGTAACGACCATAAATCGGTGCTTTGAAGCTCAGCAAGAGTTCTGTGAGGAGTCGCCACGGTATACATACCTGGAAGGGCTTGTTGTCCTTATCGTGAAGAGCAACCCAGCGACCATCTCCATTTCTGTTCTTCTCACCATACTGGAAGCGATCGGTGATGCTCACGACCCAGGAGTCTAATGCAGATCTCAGTAATTATTCAATCATTTGTCCTTGGTTACTTACTGCCCTCCTGTCGAGCACCAGGAAGCTTTCCAATATACTCATTACTGTTGGAATCCTTGTAGTAGCGGTCCTGAATGTACATCAAAACATCGGCATTGCCCTTAGATTGATTCTGGGCGTTGACGACGTAGTAGCGAGCAGTACGAGTGCGGAACATCTGGGACCATGAGATCTCTACAGTGTTCTGCTCAGCATCCGAAGTGTAGGCGGGCACAGAGAGGATATCTCCTTTGGTAGGGATAGACATGATCGAGAAAGTCGACTTGATGTTTTTGGATATAAGAGGTTGCGATGAGATGATGATTGAGAGGCTTGTAGTAGTAATGAAAAATATTACAATATACAGAAGGTAAGGTAGTTTAAATAGTCGAATTGCCTATGATGAGGACTGAAGAGTTAGTCCCAGCTCTCGCTGCAATACTATTTATCGCAAACAGAGCTGAAAAGAAACTCTAGATTCATGCTGGCCAGTAATCGTCACTGATTCAGAAGAGCACTAATCAATAGTGCCCCTAATTCCTGGGCTATTGGCAATTGATGGACGCTAGCAAGCACTCACAGATGCCCTGAAGCTGGAATTGCTGCATTCGCTCACCAATGAACCCTGCCAAAATCGGGCTCTGGGTAAGTTCGACGCGCGACTTGACTATCTGCGAGAGGCCAATATTGGAACATATTCTCCCTCGCCTCCGCTGTTTTTGACTGCTATTTACTTTTCTGGAACAATGAGGCTAGCTGAGCTGCACAGCCCGCCACAAACAACAGGGGCGCTGTTAAGCTAGTGGTCTGGGCTATGCGTGTCTCGGCCCGCCCTAACCCATATGAATCCACGAATTGGTTGTGGCTTGCCTGAGCAGTTGAACTATTGACATTAGCGGCGCTGGAATAAGACATCGCACGTCTTACGTAGCCACAACGGCGAATCCGCATGTCAGTAGGATTCGCGTCCCACTACATGTTGCATGAAATTCGAGTAGCCGACCAAAGGCTTCTCCAGCACCCTGTAGAGAAAATATCACTATGGCCACGTCTGGATCTCATGGGATGCCCATCATGGGATATTTGACTGGACTAGGCACAACTGAAGGTAAGAAAGCTCAGAAATTAATGCTAACAAGGGTCAAGACTGTTGAAAGGAGTATTAACAGACGTGATCCATGGATTCATGTTTGTTGTCATACACGATTCCAAGAGATGAAAGAAACACCTTCACGAAGATAATTTAAGTACAAGATCTCAAGTGTTTCTCTCTTGACCATTCAGCATCACTCACCTTCACTACTCACCTCTCTACTATGCTCCTGTCATTTAATATTCCGTCTTGCCAAACGTTGCATTATCTGATCTACCTTCAACGCGTCCAGCCGCCTATATGTATGGACCCCTGGCCAGTCGATCACCTTCCCAAAGGCTGAAGTCACATTAAACTCATGCGAGTTTCAGCAATCCGAATTATACGCTACCACGTTCGCCGCCACTTATTTCTCCTCTACTGGCCCCCGGAGGGTCTCTGGGTCCAGCGATGACAAGACTTTGCTTACTTTCCCGGACACTACCATGTGCCTCGGTTTCGGAAAGGCTTGCTGTAAGCGCTCGCAGGAAGTCTCTCGCATCAGAAAATTAACGCTCCCAGTTTGCGGCCGTTGTCAAGAATGAACAGTGTTTCGCTGACAAGATGAATGGCTACTCAATCTGGGTGATTTACGTCGAATTATGTGTCAGTCATTGCCTGACTCTCGCTAGAAGCGAAGGTGTCTACGATGCCGAGTGTCAGACCGGTACAGTGACGCAAGCTAAGTGCTATATTGGACACTTCAGACATTTCAGCATGTCGTTATCTCTGCACATTGGACAGAGGATTTTGAGGGGTACTCACAAGATATGACTTCCATTTAGATCCCTAAGCCTTGCACTTCGAGTGCTCGGACTTTTCGTTTTTTGAAAACGTTGGAACCGATTGCTCTCCTGTCTTACTCCACTGGCGAAATTACATCTGCAGACTCGTTGAGCAACCTCTCATATGATAAGGCGCAAAGTACTTCCATTCAAGAAGAGGCTATTCCTTCCAAGACTATATCACACACAGCTCGTCACCCAGACCGAGATTTCTTCGAGTGGCGGTGTTGGTCAGGTTGCCAATGTCAGTTGCTAGATTTCTTATCAAACCCGTCGTTGGCATAGTCACTATCTGTATCGCGATAATGCAAGTAATCTCTCAAAAATTAAATTGCATAAGATGCATAATGTTGAGTTCCACTTTGGGAATGGTGCTAGATTACCGCGAAAAGTCGGAAAACTCCGTGCTAGGTCTTAGCTAATAATAATTAACGCTTTAAGGCTGAACGACAAAATGGCGGAGGCGCAGTCGTAGGTAAGTTTCTTAAACTCTTCTAGTATCGCTCTAAAATGTACACATTATACTTACAATTCATTTTCAACTTGATTTCTCTTAAATAGGAGACGGTTTATATGTCAGAAAGTGCATACGTTAATTATATAATCTCACCCCCCTGGTTAGAGTATACCCACGGTACCTATCCGCCGAATCTTGAGCCATAAAAGCCCGTCCATGGCCCTGTCCGCTCTGAGCTCGCAATCACTTACTAGTGATATGAACTCTGTGCCTGCTTCTTTGCCATCTGAAGAGTCTCAAGTTGCTGCCGGCGCTCGACGTAACCTGCCCACGGTTCCAGCTGCGTGTCTTGTTTGCGTGAGTTCTGCCCCGTCTCTACACCGCCTAGTACTACTTGTATTTTCATGGCCTCGTCTTGACGATGATGCTCAAAAAGAAACGAAGGCTAACATTGCTCTTGCCTGCAGCGCAGAAGGCACCTTAAATGCGATGGACAACGTCCTTGTTCCCGCTGTAGATCTGTCGATCTTGATTGCGTCTATGCAGCTTCCCGTCGAGGATATAACGGCCGTAAGCGCACAGCTACCCAATCCTCTGGTCACCATGCAGGATCGGGGGCTCTTGTCCCTATTGTTGGCGCCGTAGTCACGGTAGTCGGTCCTGCTCCGTCGGTGCCTGCGCTGGAATGCCCTTCTGTCTTTGATCCTACCATGTTCTTTGGTAATGTCACAAGTCACTCGAGCGTCGACACAAGCTTTCCAATTACCGCGTTCTCTCAAACTATTGCATCCGCTACTCTACCTGGCTTTTCTTCTCAGACTCTAGTTGACGGCACTGGTAACAGAGTACCCCGAGCACTCCCTGTGAGAGAACGTTATATCGACTCGTTCTATCTGAACTTCTATGCCGCTCATCCCTTTATACCGCCAAAGGAGCTTCTTCTCACCTTAGCACCGCAGATCTCCCTGGAGCCCCTGCTTGCAGCGATACGTTGGATTGGTTCTCTATACATCGAGCAAGACAGCTCTCGCAGCCTTTTTACAGATGCATCCCGCCTAATAGACGGTGCACCTCTCAGAAACGGCTTCTTAGTTCAGGCGATGTTGCTTGTTATTATCGGACTTGACGGCAACCGTCAAGAGAAAAAGGCCAAAAGGCTGATGGCAGATGCCCGGGATATCTCAATTCAGATTAAATTAAATTCTTGTCCCTTTGCAGCCACCAACGGACAGGGAATTCCGATACTTGAGGAAAGCTGGCGAAGAACATGGTGGGAGCTTTATGTTGTGGATGCCCTTATGTCGGGCGTGCATCAAACCAACACCTTTGTACTGTATGATGTACCTACGGATGTCGGTCTGCCTTGCGAAGAGCACCAATATCTTACGGGAGTAAGTCTCCTAATAAAGCCCGGTGTTCGCTGTATGTTTACAAGATCTAGCAAATCCCGCCCCCTATCCGGCCATATGATACGGAAACCCTGGGACTGTTTGATGCCAGGCCGTATTCGTCTTACACCTACCGGATCCAATGTGCCTGCATCTTGGGTGCCCTTCAAAAAGCGCCATCAGAGGTCGACCATATAGCTAGGCTCCTCGCTAACTGGATGCTCCGCTTACCCCCTTCAAAATATGACGCTTACTGCAATGGCGAGTTAGACGAGATGATGTTCCAGGCCATGATGATGTGGCACGCCATTTCTATTCTCTTATACCAGCCTCTCTCACAGCTGGATTCATCGTTGACTTACTATATCAAAGCTTCCAACACACCAGCTGCGTCTAGCGATGCCTTCGATTCGCACACCAAACATACAATTCGCGCTGCAAGGGAGCTTAGCAAGTTGATCAGCTACCGCGGTCCTCTCCTCAAACATACTCACTTCTTTGCTTACATGGTGACACTCTCGTCTACAATCCACCTAAGCAGATGGTCATTAGCCTTTGTAGCCCAAGATGATGAGGATCTTCGTCAAAATATGGGCCAGAATATCGGGGCACTTGTCAAGTACGCCGAGATATGGCCTATGGCGCAGCATTTGGGGTTGCAAGTTAAAAGAATGGCAAAGGAGGTATACATAAAAAAGAAGCGACAGGAACAACAGCCTTGAGATAGGTAGTTCTCTAACTCAAATTAAACAACTTCAGATAGAAACCTTGAATAAACTTCAACAGATAAAGCTAGCTCGCTACCCTTCTACTTACCATTATTAAATCTGGTACTTGTGTCCTTATGCCCTCTATGAGCCTACTTACGTTCCTTATTCCTCTCAGTATTCTTCTAATTATCCTTCTCGGGGTGCCACTTTCCATCTTCATAACCAGTACAGTCACCCTCATATTTCCCAGGGCGCCAGCTCCCATCGTCGCTGCGCTTACCATACTTCTCAGATGTCAACTCGGAATCTTCAAAATTTGCACCCTTAGCCTCGTACTTTGGGGGCTCCCTCGAGTCATCATCAATCGTGCCAACCTTTTCCCTCTTGCTCTTGGACTTCTTGACAGGGTACTTGGTAGGTGTCCACTTGCCATCATCGTGGCCAGTACCCTTGCCTTCATACTTCCCGGGGTACCAGGACCCATCATCATTCCTCTTTTCATATTTTTCGGAGGCCCACTTCCCGTGGTCAAAATTGTCTCTCTTGCCTTCGTACCAAGCAGAAGCCTGCCTGCCAGTATTGGCAGGCTTCTCGGTAGGGAGTGCTAGAGGTGTGGCGGCAAAGGCGGCAAATACAAGAACAGAATAGTTGTAGCGCATTGTAGGTAGTGTAGATAGTACAAGGAAAGGCTGAAAAAGCTCGAAGTAAAGGCAAGGATTAATTGAGGATGGAAGAACCAAAGGTTGAAGGCTTGTTAACAACTATGTTTGTTATTGATGTGTCAATGATGGTAATAACAATAGACAGAACAGCAAGATACTAGAAGCTTTTATAATTGAACCCCCGACAAACATAACATCATGATACTTAGTGTAATCACTCTCCACCATCACTTGGAAGGGTTGCATCCCTACAATTCCAGGCATTCTCGACATCCTCACCGCCGTTTCCTCGAGGTGGTGAGATTATAATGGCCGAGGCCATTTCGAGCCATTTCGTATTCCTGACAGCATAAGCCAGCAGCTGCTTACTGCTAATTGCACAATAGTGTAACAGAAGCTTTTAGTTGAGGATATGTCACCCCAGATGAACTCAGGTCGTCTAATCGAAAGCTGACAGCAATAAGGGTATAGCCTCGGTTAGCTTCGCTAAGCGTCAAGGGAGACCTGAGCTGAAGGGGCTGTGCCTGAATAGCCCTAAGGTGTTGCAGGGGAAACGAAATTCTTTTATTTTGATAATTGATGATGGAGAATCTAGACCCTGTGATAAGCCCCATGATAACCAATAAGAGACGTCGACATCGGAGAAGGCGACTGACCCGCTGACGTGAGCACCTCGGTCCGCTGACAGTGGCTGCCCAAGCTGAAGGGAGCTGGCGATTCAATTGGGACGTTGCATATGGTCAATCTCGAGTCATTGGCAATGCTGGCAAGATATCAATCTGGCTGTGCACGATAGGCCTCGCAGGTTGGCAGAGCGTAAAGCATAAAAGATGTCCCAGTGTACGCCAGAGAATTGCTTTCTCATCACTCATCACCTCACATTCTGCTTCTAATCAAGCTTCATCACCATGAACTTTCTGTTTTTCTCTATGCTTTGGCCTGCTGTAGCCAGCGCTGCTGCTTGCAAGCCAACACCTCCTAAATCGAAAGCTGCTTGCAAGTTGCCTGCCAATGACACCGTGGAGATGAGTGTCGGCTTCAACTACAATGGGGACTGTGCCCCAAGCACCGGAACTCTCAAAGGCTTCATGATCTTTGTTGACTTTTCCGATGCCGAACCTGCTCAAGACGAGACCCCCCAGTCGCTCTATGATGCTATAGTCCCTCAAACGGCCGAATGGTACAGGCAAGCCTCTTATGGGGCTCTGTCCCTGAATATTTCGGCCGATATGTCCAAGTTCTACCGCATGCCCAAATCTGCTGTATCATATGGCTGGGAACGAGGTCTCACAGGGCCAGAACATCAAGAATACATCCAAGATGCCCTCGACGCCTACACAGCCAGCGGAACTCGCCCTCCACCTCCCGAATCAGACGTCCTCTATGTTGTTCCCGTAAAGAGCGTCGGCGGCAAAGGCATCTCTCGGTCCATCACTTATGTTTCACGAATCAAGACTAGACAGGGCGATGATGTTGCCCGGAAGACCGTCACCGTTGGAACCGACGCATTTACTGGTTGGGGAACAAAGAGCTGGAAGGTATTGGCTCACGAAACCGGACATACTATGTGCTTGGCGGATTTGTACCCATTCGAAGATCTTGGCTTGGGCTACTACGTTGGTGGCTGGAGTGCCATGGGAGACCTTTCTGGCATTGCCCCTGATTTCTTCGCCTGGGACAAGTGGCGCCTGGGGTGGCTCAACGACGGGTCTGTCGACTGTGTTTCGGAGCGAGGAACTACTCAACACATTCTTAACCCACTAGAACTGAACATTTCCGACAATGGCGTCAAAGCGGTTGTCGCCGCCGTCAACCAAACCTCCGCACTTGTCGTAGAGGCCCGTACATCCGAGGGTCTTGACTCAGGCGTGTGCGCCCCTGGCGTCCTGCTCTACACAGTTGACACCTCTGTGAAGACAGGTTACGGCCCCATCCGTGTTGTAGATGTTACCCCAGGATCAGGTGGCTGCGGCGACGGTAGTGTCTATGACCAGAACGACGGAACGTTGTTACAGGGCGGAGAGAGCACGTATAAGGTTCCTGGCTGGGGAGTGCAGATAACTGTAGTAAAACAGACAGAGAAGGGCTATAGTATCAAAGTTGATACTGTGTTGTAGGATCTATAGTTCTTATTCAAGTATACGAGTCTTATTATGTTAGTTAGTGTAGATACAAGATTTATTCTTATAGGATAAATGATTTAAAGTTTGAATTAATGGTTTCTTTCTCGTATTACATTACATGCAAAGAGCTACATAGTTGACTTAAACTTGAGCAGGCACTCTAAACTTGTACAGTCTACTTCAGAAGCCTTCCTCCGCGATGCACTATAAATCATACTCAAGAGCATGATGACAACCAAAAAAGGGGGTATGGCAAAGCATAGAGACGATCGTTGTCCGTTGCCAACCCTTGTTGCTTCCACAAAAGCCGTACTCGTAATGGAGTTCATCCGTGTTGTCACCATTGCTGGTCCCAGACCAAAAACATCCTCCATAGTATTCGTTGACTTTAGGAAGCCGAACGGGGCTTATCGCGGGCCATTGGCAGAAGCTTCCCAAACGAAATCCCACCAGCCCGAGCCCGCATTTTCTTGAAGAAGGGTCTGCCAATTTACGGACGCAGCTGGCGCAATGATACCTCTAATAATATTTGGTTCTCTATATCTATTCCTGGTGCTTCCAGGTAACGCATATAACGGCTCTGCTTCGCACCGGTGCTTACTTTAAAATTCCGAGAATCCTCTCAAGACAAAGGATACCCAGTTTGTTGAGGTCTCTCCATATACATCCAGTATGTCTAATGTCGCTTGCTGGGATGCTCGTGCTAGATCAATCTTGCCTCTCATCTGCCTATTGGCGCCTTTGTCAAGACTATGTTGATAGAATGACTCTGAGAACCTCTGACCTACAGTGCTAGGAATTGGCCATAGAGTTGCAAGAACAAAACAAGCTGCAGCGATCGGAAATACCGGAACTATACCAAGAGTTTCATTTACAAGGGCTAAGTGTTGTTTTTCAGACTGACAGGCTATCAGGGTGACATGAGCGCCTTCTTGCAACTGCAGGTCAGCAGCATCCTTCGGTGTCAGGACATCGTCACCAGCTAGCACTAAACCAGCTTCTGCAGTAGAGTCAAACTTGTACTTAGCATGTCCGTGATACCGAAGATTGCAGCCCCTTCTACCGCATTACAAAAGTCACTGTTTCGCATCCGGCGCGTTGGACTGCTAAAATCAGTTCCCGTCTAGAGCTGCTTCGCTACAGCCCGACTTGACTTATTCATGCCTGCCACAGCCATGGTCTTGAGGCTGTCGTCCTTCGAATTGCTGATTACAACTGACTTGCCGGCTCGATAAGCGTTCGAGTTCTTGCGCCGCTCAGCACAACTAGCCATCAAAAAGGCGCTGTAGCTGTACACGACGGGGTTGCGTTTGACCAGTGGTTCCCCGTGAGTTTTGGTGCTTGTTAGAGTGGATATTGCTCTTGAACTGAGTGCATCCTGTAATGCAATATCAGTTTTTGATGAAGCTGAAAGATGAGTTTATAAGATGCTGGCTGTGCAAGGATGAAGAACAGTGACTTGAGCCAGTATATGGTATAGGTAGACTTGGTAAGTTTTGTTAATATGATGACTAAGAGGAATTGGGGTTTGTTACTATGTAGGCTGGAGAGTCGCTCTTCAATCTGAGACCAGCACGGCGAATTAAACCAGGAAAGTAAGCAAGGCAAGTAACAGGGTCTTAACATGGCTTCGCGAGAAGAACATGACGAAACTTTCGGCACGAATATAATGGTCTATAACGCTAAAGAAATAATATATCCAACACGGCACCTAATAAGTCCTTTCCTAAGTATTGGAATCCTAGCCCCAAAATTGCAATCAGTAACACACAGACTGTTATATAAAATCACATGGCAATTACTCCTGAATGAATAAGCTGAGAAGAAGATAAAAAGTCGAGAAGGGCTTGTCCCAGAGTAATAACTTAATTCATCTTACATAAAAGACCACAGTAGCTAATAGATTCTATGGACTTGTTCTATCAATCCCACGGGATAGAAGCTCCATATATAACGTCCTGAAACACGCGTTTAACAATTTGAATTAACGATTAGGGTAGAGTTGGCTTGATGTCGACGGGTTTCATCTACATTCAGTCAGTACCTCAACATCTTAACAGAGGAATTTGAATGCTACTTACGCAAACTCCGACCTGGCCAAGAATTCTAGTACATGCAAAATCGCCACAGCACTTCGCGGTCTGGACATGGCAGAGCATTCCTGTTGCAACGCACATCTGGTCGGCAACGCATCTCGAGCCTGATCCAGGTATCGTCTTGCAAGTATAGCCTTTACAGCAATCGTTGGCCATGATGCATGGTCCTGCATCCTTTTCGCATGTAGCTGCCATGGCAGCCACAATCGCAGGGTAAAGAGTCGAGAGAACAGCTGAGGCCTTCATTTTTGTTTTATATTAAGAGACGATGGAGTTGGGGTTTTGATAAGGCTGGGAATTGGTGAAGATGGGGATTCGAGAAACTCTTGTCCTTGGACTTAGAGAGTATTTGTAGTTGGATTGAATAACGAAAAGATATGTGAATCTGCCTTGTGGCGCTTGAATATTATTATATTGAGGCCGATGTAGAGCCGTGCCGTGCCATGGTGAGACCTCGACGTCGACCTACTGCTTCTTTTTACCTATCTAGGGGTCCTAAATTACTGTCAGTATCCCGCCCTTTCAATCCTAATCTAAAACATTTTTATTCCAGTCCCTTAATGATAAGCTGTAGTCTTACATTAGCGCGATCAGTAATTAATAAAGTTATAAGATATCTGGCTATCCCTTACTTTTAGTAAATACAAAGGGCTATGTATCAAATACTAGTGTAGGTTATAATTTATTTTATTACACAGCAGCTGTTTAAATTCATTTTTCCTGCTAATTTACTATTTTTCTTCTATATTACGAAAGTGCTGCTACCTGGGATCTTTAAATCTACTGCCCTTCTTTAAATTTTGTGAGGGACAGTAACCCTTAGCAATCTCTAAGTAATGTTCTCTATTCAGAAAAAGGCAACACCTGATGAATTGGCTCTCAAATGCATCTTCTACATTTGCTGAGACGTGTTACTAAGCGCCCTTTACTATGTAAATACCAACGCGCTCCTTGCCAGGTAACCCAATTCCTTCAATTCTGACTTTGATAGAATTTCTTGTATAATGCGCCAAGGGACAGTGAAGGACTGAGCTTCCCTGGTATTGGAACCGGTCGCAACTATAAACATCCTTTAGTATTTATACATCGTGTTATGATTTTATGCTTCTGTATTTAGTTCTTTCTACTCATATTGAAACGTCAGCCGTTACAATATTAGGTCAGACCGATCCTGAGGCTTAGTGAGCTTGTTACAGATGGCAATTCCCGTGTTTGTAAGGTAAGATCAGCTGAATTCGGCATGTTCCACAGTCATCGTCTCCAAATGTGGGAGCCTATCATGTTGTTTCCCGCGTATTCACGTATCGTTTATATCCGCGCACCGGAATACCCTCTCCACTTTGATGCGGGGGGGGACCAAAGTCCCATTCTCGTTTAGTCGTTCAACAGAGGATCACTCAGAAGAGGTAGATCTCCATATGAAGCAGTCTCCTTCTCGGTCCTGTTCAGAAGTAGATTACATCCCCCCCTCGCCAGTCCATCAGCCTGTGGCCATTGCTCTGCATTCGCTGGCATCACAACGTCATTTCTGTCTGTGGCTTAGCTTGTGCCGAATGTTCCGAGCTGAGACACAGCCTCCACAACGGGTTCCAAAAAAACCGAAACTCTCTCGGCCAAAGAAGCCGTCGGTGGATCTCAACCTTTTTTATCCTCGCTGTCCACGGAACGAACTAGCCACTCAAGCCGCGTCACTCCCTGCAACCAGTCAAAAGCATTAATCACCGTAAAACTCTAGCATGTGCTTAGACCCAGTGAGATCATACCCGTTGGCTAGTCCGTAAATTGCGCCCCTTGGCTGAAGGGCTTTACTCAAACTTATTTATCTGGCCTCGCACTTTGTAATCCTCCATTTTGAGTTCTCATCTTCTTTCGTTATATTGACCATATTTAATTATTCTACCGTTGTTTTTTGTCAGGATGCTCGGCTTTGTGGCTCTCACCCTCTGGCTCGGCACAGCGATTGCTGCTCCGGATGACACGGCTTTGATCCCCAGGGTCAATTCAGTCGAGATCCGAGCCCTACCAAATTCTCCGAGTGGCGGATATGCTCCGAAGGTAGTTGATTGCCCTTCAACGCGTCCAAAAGTTCGTCTCGCCGGTGAACTGTCCAGCGAGGAGGAATCCTGGGTTCGGCGTCGCAGAAACAACACAATCGATGATCTCAAGACATTCTTGTCGCGAGCCAACATTTCTGGCTTCGATGCCGAGAGCTTCGTTGAGAAGCACAAGAACAATGCGACTGGCTTACCCAACATCGCCATTGCCGCGTCGGGCGGCGGTTATCGCGCTTTGATGAACGGCGCAGGATTCCTCTCAGCTGCTGATTCACGCAACAACAAGACCGGCCCCATCAGCGGCCTTCTCCAATCGGCGACGTATCTAGCTGGTCTTTCTGGCGGTGGCTGGCTCGTGGGTTCCATCTTCGCCAACAACTTCTCAACAGTCCCAGACTTGCAGTCCGGAGACAAAGTCTGGCGTTTTGACCGCTCTATCTTCCAGGGCCCCAAGAGCTCTGGAATCAGCCTTCTCAACACTGCCGAGTACTGGGATGAGATGAAGGATGCCGTTGACGACAAGGACAAGGGCTGGAATACTACTCTCACTGATTGGTGGGGCCGCGCATTGTCGTATCAGCTCGTCAATGCGCCTGAGGGTGGACCTTCTTACACTTTCTCTTCCATTGCCGATACCTCCAACTTCAAGGACGCAGACACGCCCTTCCCCATCCTCGTTGCTGATGGTCGTGCTCCTGGTGAGCGCGTCATCTCCTTGAACGCTACTGTATACGAGTTCAACCCCTACGAGTTTGGTACATGGGATCCTACCACCTTTGGCTTCGTACCTACTGAGTATCTCGCCTCCAACTTCACCAACGGAACCATCGACTCCAAGGGCGAATGCGTTCGCGGCTTTGACCAGATCGGCTTTGTGATGGGAACGTCATCTTCACTATTCAACCAATTCCTTCTCAACAACATCACCCAGGTCGGCAAAGAGAATGATATTCCAGATATTGTCGTAAAAGCGATCGAAGGTGTCTTGGTCGGCTTGGATAAGGATGATGAGGATATCGCCCAGTATGCACCCAACCCCTTCTTTGGATGGAACCCTACCGACAAGAGCGTCAATTCCAAGGACCGCCAGTTGACTCTTGTCGATGGTGGAGAGGATCTGCAGAACATCCCCCTTCACCCGTTGATCCAGCCCGTTCGTGGCGTTGATATTATTTTTGCCATTGATTCGTCTGCTGATACGAACAACAACTGGCCCAACGGCACTGCCCTTCGAGCTACATATGACCGTGTTGGTTCCAGCATTGGCAACGGCACACAATTCCCCTCGGTCCCGTCCGCCGAGACCTTTGTCAACGAGAAATTGAACCAGCGCCCCACGCTCTTTGGCTGTGACGCCAACAACTTCACTCTTTCAGACGGCGAAGTTCCACCTCCGCTGATCTTCTACATCCCCAACGCTCCCTACACCTACCATAGCAACGTCTCAACCTTCGACATGTCGTATACCACTGCCGAGCGCGACAACATCATCCTCAATGCTCTCAACGGAGCTACTCAAGGCAATGCTACCATTGACAAGGAGTGGCCTACTTGCGTGGTGTGTGCGGTCATGAGCAGAAGCTGGTGGAAGGCGAACGAGACTGTTCCCGATGCTTGCAAAACCTGCTTCGATCGCTACTGCTGGGACGGAAAGTCCAACGACACTGCTGTCAAGAGCTACGAGCCCGAGTACATCATTGGAGGAAATGCGACGGCGGATGCGGCAGACAGCGCAGCTGGAGCAAGGCTTGGCCCAAGCTGGTTTGTCTCGGCTGGTGTCGGAGCTGCTGCTTTGTTTGCTCTCATGTGATAGTGGGAATTCATTTGTAATATTTGATAGATTTTAATTGTCATACTTGTTTAACTTCACTGGTCCTTGTGTAATAATTATGTAACAGTGCCTGTCTTCTAATAATAGTGCCAGCCTATTGATAACCTGAGCCTCTGCACTCATTTCCCTTTCAATCAACGGAGCAAAGCCGTCTCTTCCACTGCCTGATCAACACTGCCGGGCGCCTTATACTCGTCCTGGAGCCGCTGAACGAGGTAAACTGGCAAAGATATGGAGGTATCTGGTCATCTGGTGAACAGGTCTATTTTTATGTTCACTCTATCTATTACCGTCTGCAATAGCCTCCTCACATCTTCAGCGAACCAAGAAGTTCAGTCAGCTGCGGCACGTCAGCCGGAATATTCTCCCACGTTATTAGCTTGTTCGTCTTTGCGTTGATCATGTTCGTGTAAATATCCGCCATCGTCCTACTATCCCAAACACCCTCCCGTCTCCCGAGGCACCGTAGAAGCCTCACCGCCTCCCACTGCACGCTTGTGTCCTGACATGATATGATAACGTAAGATATTGGAGGGACGAGATTAGCCTGAAATGTAAAGATCTGGCCCTTGTCGCTTTGGGTCATCTTGATGATCTCTTCTGCCTTTTTTAATATCTCGATGCAATCGGCTGTTTCCAGGTCGTCGTCGATATGGTTGAGTTTGAAAGTGGCCTGCCATGTAATCTCTTCGCACTCAAGTACTTTGAACCGAAATAACTCTGACTCTGAGGCCTTGGATGGATCAAATGTCTTTTTGAAAGCTTGATATCGTGCGCTCCAATGATGGTAAAAGGCTTCCGACACCAACCCTTTATCTCGTCGATTGCATGAAACCCCACCGTCGCCGCATAGGACACCATCGTCTGAGCAGTCTGGGCAATCGGCGTACAGCTCCACATCGCATAGCGCCTCGACTCGTGTCAGTGCCGCAGCTGCAGCTTGTGCAGAAGTGAAGGGTTCGCCGGGTTCTTCTAGATCAATCGGGTCTTGCTTGTCAACCCATTCTCTAATCCCCGCGACAAGTTTGGAGGAATAGTTGTTGCCCACGTAGAAGAATAGATCAGAGGCCAGCCCGCATAATGAAGGGCCAATGTTTTCCATAAACTTTGCCAGTTCCCATCGATCGCAGGCGTTCAACAGAGAGAATGCGGCTTCTAAATGCCGTGTAACGTTCTTGTAACGTCCATAAAGATTCTCCGTGCAGATAAATATTAAACAACAAGTTAGAATAACCTGAAAGTCTTTGTCGGGTGAGTTCATGTATTCTTGCATCACCCGAATAGCATTGTTGTACTGCTGGATAGATGCGATCTCGTAAGACTGGGCAAGGGATTGCGTTAATGAGTCAGTCTGGGTCTGAAGCTTGAAAGCCTTGTGCGCCCCTCCCAACGCTCCAATAGCAGCCTTGACGGGTTTTGAAGTCTGGCTGAGTGGTAAAGCATACGCGTGCCAGAAGCTCATCGCGTTGAGAGAGCTCGCGAGTTCTGATACTGTGTATGTTCGGAAGTGGTGGCAGAGATCCAACTCTATCGTCGAACCGAATGTCTCTGGTGATAGCGCGGCTGGGACAAGAAGTTTTGAGGCTGTCGCGAGGCGGCGAGACATGAGGTCATACTGTTTTCTGTGGAGGGCGAGAGATTTTGTCTTTGGTTTGCTTTCTGGGGGGGCAAAGTAGCCGTCGCACTTCCGTTTGTCCTTTTCACATCTGAAACACGTGGGTTTTCGTTCATCGCATTTGAGATGCCGGATTCTAGACTACGATCAGCAAAGATTCATTTCATCGTATGATAATAGGCTACAAACTTGCTGCGTCAATTAGCATGCAGTAAGCAAGGTCTGAGTGCTCGACTTACCAAGTTCTACAGCCAGATCTCACTTTGGGCGCCCTCGCCCTCCTCCACTTGACCTTCTCACCAAAGTCTGACATTCTGGCGTGAGGTGAGATCAGCTTCAAGGGACGACGATCCCCACGTAGTGATAAGCGGGCGTGCAAGGCCTAGTATATGATAATACAAGCACAGGCCCTTTATTCCAGGGATGTCTCCTTACATGGCGTAAGTCATGAGGGATGTTGAGTTGAGTTGAACTGTTGAACAGGGAGAAGTGACAGATTCTTTGGCAGGGCCGGGGGCTCCCCTTGATCGAAGCGATCTACGACCGAAAAGGTCAAGAGGCTGGCCCTTGGAGGTGGGGTCATGAACTTTGTGCGCCCTGATCTTTGGTGAGCACTGCCTGAAGCGACCCAATTTCACAGCAACCACCTTCTAAATCCGTTCGTCGCGGTGACGAGTTTATAGGGCTTAGATGGGGCTCTCCATAGGTTATTTTATCCTCATGTCTGCCTTGCAAAACAAGGTTATTTAAACGGAGCGGCCGCTTCCGGCACTGGAAATTGCCCACTGTGACTCGGAGTATCTTTCCGCCGCTTCATGCAACACTCGTAAAGGAGTTGCTATAAATAGGTATACCCTATACATGCCTCGGCAAGTCCAAGATTGGGCAAAGTTATTCACTTCGCCCCTTACTGAAACTCTATAAAAGTCTTAGGTTTGTTCTAAGTTCAATAGATAAGATCTTTCTACCTAATATACGGTTTGGAGAAGTTCTCTACTTTGTGTACTCGGGCTAAAATTAAACGGCGAGAAAGCAGGAAAGATCAACCTTTCACTGCAGCAATCGCATACTCATGATGACACAGACGAACATCAAGCTTACACTTGTCATAAACACAGCTACTTAATTCCAATAACTTAGGGATCACGTCAGCTGATGGCTTACGACTTCGCTGATTGTAAGCAAGGAATCCATATAAATACACATACTATGACCCAAGTGCTTGGTACTCGTGATAGAAGCATCTTACAGCAATCAAAAACTTACGCGACATATCAAGATTTATCACCGCAAGCATGGCTTCACAACAAGAACTTAGGGAGGCTATCGAGAACACAACAAGACAGTTCTTGGGTGCCTACAAAGACGCCGGCGAACAAAACAACCCAGCAATCATCAACCGTGACGTCACCGACTCTTGCAAAAGATACTTCAAGCCAGCCGGTGTTCTTCAGTTATTCGGATCGCCCCCGGAAGATGGCTTGAGTAACGCCGACTACGAAGCCGCCATGGCGCTCGATCTCAAGAAATACGTAGTCACCCACAGCGACATCTCTGACTTGACTATCGACACAGAGTCAGGCAAATCAGCGGCAACGACTGTAACGGGCATGAAATACAAGAATGGCGAGGAGGATGTCATAGAGCACTCGTGGGTCTTGGACTTCAATGAGGATGGGTCCAAGGTCACAAAGGTGATCGAGTTTTGTGATATGGATGGGTTAAGAAGGATGTTTGCCAAGGTGTACAGCAACAAGGAAGGTAGTGAGTAGCCTAGAAGCTAGAGTATATGTATGCGAGACAATTCTAGGATAACACTGCATGGTGTGCATACGCATTGGTCAGAGTCCGTAATAGCCGATCTATTAAGCAAGGTTGCTTATCTAGGATAAATTCTTTCCTGCAAAGCGCCATTATAGCACAAGACTGTGCTCGTACAACATCGCCTACAGCCTAGAGCCCAATTAATAGATGTAACGGAACTGGGGGATCTCTCTATCTGTCTTGTCGCTGAGATTGATGCCTTCCAAAGATTCCTCTATAGCATCTGCAGCATCGTCCCGCCTCTTGTTCTCCCAGATGAGATAGAACCGAAGGACAATGCAGAGAACAGCAGAAACCGCCAGGCAGATCATAATAGCTAGGAATCCCGACTTGTAACCTGGGGCCTCGGAAGGGAGGAATAGATGAGGGCCGACAATATTTCCAGCACAATATGCGATAAAGACCTAGGTTCAAGTCAGCGTGCTGAGGATAGGTACTGTTCAATCCGGGATTAACAAACCATAGCACTAACTGTCGTCTTCTTAGTAAAGCCAGCGAAATTGCTGGATACCATAGCCATTGTCATGGGGAAATTGGCCGTAAAGGCAACGCCGAGAGCACAGCCCATGACGCGAGTCCACTGATGGGCTGGGTCAACCTCACGCACCATCACAGCCCCAACGATGCTGACAACGACATTGAAAGTCATGAACAGAAGTCGGGTGTTTGGAAGATAGGTACTTCCAATGACAGAGATGAGAACAAAGACCAACTGAAAAACAGATGGTAGAATATTAATAAGGAGTGTGTTTAAGACAGAGAAGCCAAGGCCCTGGATAACAATAGTGTTGAACTGTAAAGCTGTGAGTCGCCATGCGTAAACACGAAAAGGTACGGCTTACCGTAAGAAGTCCATTATTAGGGATAATCGAAGCGAGATAAGCGACTGAGAGAAGCCAGGCGTTTGGGTCGCAGAGTGCCTCCTTAACCTGCTCCCTCTTCCACTTGTCATTCTTGATCCCGGTCATGTTTGTCTCGACTCTAGCAACGGCTTGAGCTCTCTCATCCTTGGTCAAAAAACGGGCATTTGCAGGCGTATCGGCGAGGAAAAATAGAATCATGATGGAAACAGCTATCGTGAAAGCTCCAAAGCAGATGAAGATGGCCTCGAAGAAGTTAGCACAAGCAATTCGCCCCATGATTTTGTCGCCTTACCTTCCAAGGAGAAAATGTTTTAATTTCACCAAAGCCATAACTGACGAGGCCACCAAGAATGCCTACAGACGTGTTTCCGAGAAACCAAGCACCTTGACGTAAAGGCTGCTCTGATCTCTTGTACCACATCGCGACAATCATAGACAAGCCTGGGGCAATTGCCGTCTCAGCTATGCCGAGAAAGAAACGAGTTGCAAGTAGATCTTTAGCGTTGTGGCAAAGAGCCGTGAACATTAGAATAGCTCCCCAGATAAACCTAAGAGTGACAGTCAGAGGTTGGTAGCGCTGAGTAGGGCGAACAAAGACGCTTACATGGTAACAGCGATGACCTTTGCAATGGGCAATCGAACGAGCAATACACCGTCAATGGGGTATGTTGCGACGAGGTACCCAAAGTAGTAGATTGCAGATGCCCAACCATATTCTTCTCCCTTGAGGCGCAGATCTTCGCGAAGACCGAGGATAGCTGTATAGCTAAGTGCAGTCTTGTCTAGGAACTGGAAGAGGTAGGCAAATGCCATGATAGGAAGCAGACTGTTTTATTAGTTAAGATCTCATCTGGGTAGTTGGTTCCATCTGCCGTGGGTACATACTGGAGGTCTGCTTTCTGCAGGATTCTTCGATCCTCCTCTGGTGTGAGTTCGCGGCCCAAGATGGCTCCATTGGCAACTGAGGCAAGGTCTGCTTTTTCGAACTCCTTGTCTTCGAGCTTGATGTCAACAGTGTCTGATGCGTCCTTGGTGGCCATATTGATTGCCTAGTGTAGAAGCTAGACTTGGTATTGAGATGGTTTGATGTCGATGACTTGTTGAATGATGTTGGACGGAAAGGGGGGAAAGACCCTTCTTAAGTGCTCCATATCGAACTTATCCAACGGTGAGCTGGCGTTTACAAAGCATGGAGAAGTCATTCGCAACAGAAACAACCGAATACTCCACGAGCTATCAACATGGCTTGGGGAGCTACGATGAACTAGCCACATTGGTTCTGATAGCCGACGAGAAAGCGCGGGGTAGCCGATGAGAGATCTGGGCTATACTTTATTGATAGAGTTTTATCACTAGGGAGGATCCGCGGAACGAGACGAAGGGGTTCCGGAGGGGATACTATCAACAGGAGATAAGGTAGGGAGTGTACGTGGGTAGCATGTAATCGATCAGGTACACAATAGCGAGCTTGCTGCCTTCACTGATAGGTAAATGCCCGGTACAGTGATAAGAGTATGCTTCGGAAACAAGGTATACAGACATATGGTGAAATATGGAATGTAACAAGCGTTTCTGCATTTCAAAATACCCAAGCTTAGATATACTCCTTTCATGACCCTTACATCAGGCACAAGCATATCGAAGTGGCTTGATTTGAAAACACAGTCCGTAAATCTATGCTCGTTCTTAACTCTAGTTTCATTTTCGAGGCCCTCTCCAGGAAATCACCCGCGCGCGCAAAATGCTCTCCAAACTGGGCCAACCCTCTAAATCTCTCAAGAATCCACGAAACATGGAGCTCCTCATCAGTCTCTTACGCCACCATGAATAGCGGACGGGCAATCCGAACCATGGCCACATCTCCTCCGTGTTGGTAAGCTTGGAAAGCGAGATTCATGATATTACGGATTGTTTTACTGTTGTCTAGTGCTATCGCTAGCGGAGGGTGTATGGTTCTGGCGATGCGGAGAAAATCGAGTACCTCGGTGTAGTATATAGGTACTATCCAGCGTATAGTTGGTACCTTGGAGTGAGAGTTATCAGTGGCTGAAGTGAGCCGTGATGCAAAGGCAAGGATGTTCATGTAGCCCTCGCTCGTTTCTTGAATCGTTGCCTCAACCTTCCTGGAAGCTTCAGCCAGTGCCGAACCACCAATGGGCTAAAGGCTCGTCATCTCGGATATAAGATACCGCAGCTGAACACTAGCTTCGAGCAGTTCAAAGACCTGCTGATTCTCTAGATCATGCACCAGCTCTACTGCGGGGTAGTCATCGCCCCAGACCAAACGGTAAAGCGGTCCAGAATAAGCGTGGAGACTAGATAGTCTTCCGATTGGGCCCGTCGGCAAACTGCTCTTGTCGTTACCTTCTGGCAAGGTTCTGCAGAGCACCTTGGTGACCTGGCCGCCGAGTCCAAAAGATGAGGCGGTGGCGTCCATCCTGCAAATTCTTGTTATCAGCCGAGCGCAAAATTGAGATAGATGCCGAGGACTTCCTGATTCAGCTGTCGTCATTAAAGGCACTGACTGGCTGGTATCTCTGGCTCGTTGTAGGATATCAGCATAGTGATGCTTGAAGATAAGTGCTGCTCCGTTCAGATGACTGGCAAGTCCCTTGCATCTGGTGTCGCCACGGAGTTGTTCATACATAATCATGAGGACCAATCCACTCGTCAGTGAATCGAGATTGGCTGACTTGGCTGCTTCTTTATCGTCCAGTATGATGTGTAGTTCTTTCAATGCCTCGGAATAGTGCTTGAGCCCGAGTGTTCGGTATTTTGAGCGCCCATCTTCTGTCGATAGACAGTACTGTCCCTCATGTCATTGGTGCCGGTAGTCAATACCACAGCCTCCAATCGCAAGGATCATATGTAGCACAAGGGGTTCATTCGTAGCAAGGCGTAGCATAATCGCAAATGCAGAGTACTGTGGCTTCTTTATGATGTACAGCGACGAAAATGACTCCCGAAAGTACTGTATCGCTTCAATCTCTTCACTGCCGAGTTCCATCCCGTAAGTGCCCCATTGGAGAGGTGTGCTCAATGAGGGGGATATCCCCTCACTTTCAGGCCGAGGACTGCCACAAAGAGACTTGTATGGTGCATCTTTACGACGTTTCGGCTCAACGCAAGAGAAGTCCAGACTTGAGTGGACAAACGTTCCAGCTGGAGACCCTTTGGGAAAGGTACGGAGCCGGGGTGCGTAATCGCAGCTGAGCTTGAGGCGTAGGCACCGTCGGCAAACAGGACGTATCTCGTCACATTTGACCTTCTTAGTTCGGCATGTCCAGCAGCCGCTCCGGGATCTCGGGGCTGATCGACCTAGTGGCGTTGGTGAAGTTGCATTGGAGGGAGATAACGACATTATTGTTTCCGCTCTTGGCGTGATAGCCGACAGCCGACGATAATAACTAAATAAGCAATATCGAACGAGATAAGAGGAATCGTAAGATGAACAAACAAGTCAGGGGATGTGTGATTGAAGTTGCAGAGTGAGGGGATCCGTACTTATGAGACTGGTCGGCAATTTCAGTGGAGCCCGCTATCTTTCGTCGGCTACACGTCCAGAAAGAGTTTGGGTCCTTACCCCAGGTCTGGAGATCCCCTCCGCTAACCAGCCTGATAACAGTTTGGGGTTGCCTTAGGTGGCTTTGCTACACTTGCCGTAGCGGTATCGGTGGTCCACTAAGTCCACGCACACCAGGTCGAGATAATCAAGGCTGCCCCGGAGCATATCAATGCGTATATGGTATATAATAATGCGCGTCATGCGCGAAGCACCCAACGGTGTCCTGTAGCTTAGAACATACCTATACCTCCTCAGACAAAATGATGGCCATTGATTCAACTTCCTCCCCTGGCCGTTCCGCACCAACACAATACGATACAGTGCCTCTCGAGAAGTTAGATATCATCGACCGATCCAGCTCAATCATCGCTTCAACACTCGATGTCCTCAATCCCGCCTTTCAAGAAGTCAATTTCAGTATTCACTCCCATCCCGAACTCGCATACCAAGAAGTGTTTGCACACGACAAACTGACCGACTTCCTTGAGCATCACGGCTTCCAAGTCAAACGCCATGCATGGGGTCTCGACACAGCCTTTGAAGCAACATTCGGCTCTGGAGGTCGTCAAATCGTCTTCTGTGCTGAATACGATGCACTTCCAGGTGTTGGCCATGGCTGCGGCCATAACCTCATCGCTACATCCTCTCTTGCGGCCTTTGTCAGCGCCGCCCGCGCTCTACAGATGACCAAGCTTCCTGGGCGCTTGCGCATCATTGGAACACCTGCTGAAGAAGGTGGAGGCGGCAAGATCAAGCTCCTTGAGGCTGGTGCTTTTGATCCTCCCCAGGACATCGCGGCAGCGTTGATGTCGCATCCGACAACCTCGGGACCAAGCTCCGATGGTCTGGTGTACGATGGAATAGCTGGGACGAGAAGCATTGCTGCGTACAAGACCAAGGTCATCTTCAAGGGTCGAGCGTCGCATGCGGGCGCGGAACCATGGAATGGAATCAACGCGTTAGACGCTGCTGTTGCTGCATACGTTAACGTTTCCATGTTGCGACAGCAAATCAGACCGGATGAGAGAGTGCACGGTGTATTCGAAGATGGCGGCACAGTCCCCAATATTATCCCGCAGTATACTCGAATGAACTGGTGCATTCGCAGTCCTACGCTGGCGGGATGCCAAACCCTCGTCAAGCGTGTGCATGCTTGCTTTGAAGCAGGCGCTGCTGCAGCGAATTGCAAGGTCGAATATGAAACGTGAGCTTCACCGCTTCTATCTCGTATTGCCCTACTGACATTTCAACCTAGAGCACCATTATACAATGACCTTCTAGTTAACAACACCCTTTCAAACACCTATGTCGAGGAAATGGCCAATTTAGGGCTGAAGGTCAAACCACAAGAGAATGTTCCTGCTTCGACGGACATGGGTAACGTTTCTTACCATGTTCCGGGTTTCCATGGTGGATTTGCTATTCCAACTACCCCAGATGTGTCTATTCACCATCCAGACTTTGCTACATGTGCTGGACAGGAGAGTGCTCACAAAGCAGCTATGAATTGTGCAAGGGGGCTTGCGATGACAGCAATTAGGGTGTTGGCAGACGAAGAACTGTCACGGCGTGTCAGAAATGACTTTGAAAGAGCTACATAGAGAACCACTGGTATTTGCAAATCTTTAAATATGTCTAACATAACTTCATTTCAAGAAAATCTTTCCATCAATAAGGTAGTTTACATTATTCTTATAGTACACTTCTCAACGAGAATAAGACCCAATTGGCGTGATTCATGATGCCTGACTGGCGGGTTGTTTCGCTAAACAGTGTTGATCTCACGATTATTGCTTCGTCGCAGCAGTTCGTATTGCGCTTGGGCATTTCTCCCTGAGTTCCCTCGGCTCGGAAGTCGGCATGTCTAAACTAGCCCTATGTTCCAGACTGACGCTTGTTCGCCCTATCACCGACTGGCATGCGTTTGACGATCAACGTGACTCGATGGGTGATCTATAAATGGAATGAAGGTTCCGGTTGCCCAAGGGATGACTTAGTTAGGAATTAAGCTCTCAACTGTATCAGAAATCTTATTTGTAGTTTAACTGTTTAGTAAATACTCGACGCTGCAGATCAACTGTGTAGCTTTCCCGTCTATGATTCTAAGTACAGCTCAAAATAAGACATCCCTCCATTCTCAGGATTTATTTCAACGTAACTATACCTCCAGGTCCAGGGAGATCATGGCACTTGGCTGGGCGTCCCTGAGACACTACATATTAGTGGCTAACGCCACAAAGCCTACAGCCCTCCCTTTGTTATCCTTGCCCCGTGATTGGCTAAATGTCTCATCTCCTTGAGCTAGAGGAATGCGTCTTGCCTAGCCACTTCGTATCAATACGAACAAGATCTATACGACAAAAGGACCTTGGTGACTGAGAATGCGGGGGGAGTAATTATGATGACACGGATGTTTATTTTAAATCACCTACACAAGAGACACTAACAATGAGACACGGCGCGTTCTTTTATAAGTACCAAAGACCTCTATAAACCCGCCGAGTATTCCCTCTCTTCACTCTCACCATAATCCTTTTCAAGCACGCAAACACGACCGTTCGTTTCTTTATCAAAATGGTTTCCAACACTCGTTCCGTCTTCTTCGGCCTGATGCTCAGCGCCGCACAGCTCTCGAGCGCTTCACCAGCCGCTTCGGCCGACACAGCCTTCATAGCTCCCATCTACCCAACTGCCACTGTCTCCATCCCTGCTCTTCCCTCCTCCACCGACGCGTGCCTTGCGAAATGTAACGCTGCTCACGACAAGTGCAACACTGCGCCGAACGCCAACCACGCAACTTGCGCTGCTGAGTATGCCGAGTGTATTGGCTACAACCCTTATGGCGGCGCATCGTACGTTGCGCCTACTGCTTGCTCCCACTCTTCCAAGCCTACTGCCATCGAGACAGCCAAGGCTGATAAGTGTGTCATGAAATGTGACAAGGCTCACGATGCGTGCAATACGGCGCCTAATGCCAACCATGCGCAATGCTCTGCTGAGTACGCTGAGTGTCTCGGTTACAACCCTTATGGCAGCGGATCTCTCGTTGCCCCTACAGCCTGCTCTCACTCCGCCAAGCCCACTGCTACCGAGACAGCCAAGGCTGGTGACTGCCTCAAGAAGTGCAACAAGGCTCATGACGCTTGCAACGTCGCCCCTAATGCCAACCACGCTACTTGTGCCGCCGAGTGGGCTGAGTGCCTGGGCTACAACCCTTACAACGGTCCCGGTGGTTCTCTCGTTGAGCCCACTGCTTGCGCTGCCCATACCACTATGGCTTCCGCTACTGGCAAGCATACCAGCATGGAGACCTCCAAGCCTGCTAGCACTGAGGCTTCCAAGCCTGCCAAGTCCTCGGAGCCTGCTGTTGTTGTCAACGGAGCTGGAAGCCTGTCGGGCAAGGTCGCTGGCTTGGCTGGTGCCATTGGTGCTGCTGCTGTTGCCCTTCTCTAAGTTCTGATTGCTTTGTTTGGACTCATTAATACTGTGCATGACCATTTAATAACTGGGGCCTGTCTTGTTCAAGCCATGGCCAAGCTGGAGTAGCTGTGTACAGCCATGTCGAGGAGATACTACCTGGCTCTATGTCAGACGGAGGAAAGTCTTTAATATTAGCTTAGACAGTTATAAATATAATTCAATTTTTATTTGCTCGTATCGTTACTCCCTTGACACCATCCGAACTTTATGTATTTAAGAAAAGAAACGGCATTGAGCAATACTGTCAAGGCGACAAAGGCCTATTATTTTCCCTTGGATAACAGGGTGAACGTCATATAGAACTAGCAAAAGACCAATAACATCTGAAATGGTTGACGAAAATTGCTGCTTATGTCGCTGTTACAATCTTTTTCGATAGCCTATGTAAGTTCCGAAGTTGACTGTTTGCGATCATTATACCTTCGCAGCTCGGCCACTAGAGCCCTCCGATGCGAGCAACCCCAGAACGGCAATAACAAACGAGCAACATACTATCTGATTGACTATGCAAGATAGCATGCTCATGCTGTATGCTAACGTCTTTGATTGGCGTATTGTTCAACCTCCATCAAAATACCCTACATTGACTCGGAACGCGGAACGCCTCGAAGGTGATAATTCCGAGGTGGGCCTTGTCTTGTCAAAAGAAGGGCGGAGACTGGCTGTCCATCACAAATGTGGCGACATTCTCATGCCATTTTCTGGAGAGAGAGTTCAAACAGACTTTTCCTGAAGCGGAATTTCCATACGGTGACTGGATCCGATCATGCTCCCCCACCTTTTATGGCAATATTGGAAACAAGCGCGATATTTGACAGTCTCTCTGTTGGATGATATATAAATGCAACATCATAAAGACATAACGAACGCTTGACATTCAATTCCAAGACAACACTTCATACATACAAAATTCAGCACCATGGACTCTGCAGAGTTTCGCGAGGCAGCTCGTACAGCCATTGACGAGAGTAAGTTTCTTATGACTGGATCAATGAACATTGAAGTTAACCATGCACAGTCACTGACTATTACGACAATGTCTCCTCGCAGCGTGTCGTATCCGATGTGAAGCCAGGATACCTCCGCCCTCTGCTCCCATCCTCAGCTCCCCTTGAAGGAGAGTCCTGGAGCGACATCCATGCCGACATCGAGTCAAAAATTCTTCCCGGCATCACCCATTGGGCCAACCCCCGGTTCATGGCCTTCTTTCCCTGCTCAAGCAGTTACCCTGCTGCCCTAGCTGAGATGTACTCGAATACCTTCAACGGCGCCCATTTCAACTGGATCTGCAGCCCAGCAGTTACAGAGCTGGAAACTATTGTCATGGACTGGCTCGCCAAAGCTCTCGGTCTCCCGGAATGCTATTTGAGCGGCGGTAGCACCCATGGAGGAGGCGTCATTCACGGCAGTGCTAGCGAGGCTATCCTCACTGTTATGTGTGCTGCTCGCGACAAGTATCTCGCTGCGGTCACCAAGGGCATGGATGAAGATGCTGTCTGGACTGTACGAAGCAAACTCGTCGCGTTGGGAAGTGCTGGATCCCACTCAAGTACCAAGAAGGCTGCCCAGGTTCTCGGTGTTCGCTTCGTGGCTATCCCTGTCACTGAAGAAGACGGATTCGCTATGACTGGTCGTGCTGTTGCCAAGACGGTAGCTGAGTTGCGGGCCCGCGGGCTGGAGCCCTTTTACTTGACTGCTACAATGGGCACTACTGATGTATGTGCGGTTGATGACTTTGCCGGCATCGTTGAGGCGTTGTCCCCTACCGCTGGAACAGAGAAAGATATCTGGGTCCACGTCGATGCTGCGTATGCAGGATCTGCACTTCTTCTCGAGGAGAATCAGCCTTTGACTACACCCATGGCCGACTTTCACTCTTTCAACTTCAACCCACACAAGTGGATGCTCACTACTTTTGACTGCTCTGCAGTTTGGGTCCGATCCCGAGCCTGGCTTATCCAGTCCCTAAGCATCAAGCCGCCGTACCTGCGTAACCAATTTTCCGACAATGAACTGGTCACTGATTATCGCGACTGGCAAATTCCTCTTGGACGTCGCTTCCGATCGCTCAAGCTATGGTTCGTTCTTCGCAGCTATGGTATCCGAGGACTGCAAGCGCACATTCGAAACGGAGTTACGCTCGGTGAATCCCTGCAGAACAAGCTGGCCAGTCGGCCTGATCTATTCACTATCTTCACCCCTGCGCGCTTTGGCCTGGTGACCTTCCGTGTCAAGGGAGCTGATGAAGCAGAGATCAACGCTCGAACGGAAGAGCTGTACGAATGGGTCAACAGAACCGGAGAGTTTTACCTTACCAGCACCGTTGTCAATGACAAGTTTGCGATTCGTGCATGTACAGGCGTTGAGAGGGTTCGAGAGGAGCATGTCCAGCGGATCTTTGATGTTTTGGTTGAGAGGACAGAGGCAGACCTGGGTAAAACTACCAAGCAGTGAAGGATGGTGTAAGGGTAGAATGAACCAAGAGAGCAGCATATGACAACAAAGAATTGCTGCTAAATACAAAATGTGAACAGTATCTGGAATTTGTGACTGAGAGCCCTTATTGTCACAGTATTTGACGATTTGCTATAAAGCGACCCAAAGAATAAAGCTTCTCTTTAATTTTCACCCATAGAGCCTATCTTCTCGTCTACTTATCGTGCCACTTTGATAGCCCATCCGAACTAGGCACCACTTTTCTGGTAAGCATACATCAAGAATACCCGGTAAGGCTGAACAACCCAGGAGTAGTGAAAACACAAAGACCCCTTGTTACGGAAATCTGACCCTCGCCATGCCATTACCCTTCTTGCAAGATAAACAGCGCATTATCCAGAGGAAACCACTGGTCATGAGGCCTCCTGCGACTCACATATCCGCTGACCAAAGGCCATTTCCAGCCACAAGCCTGATACTGCCCATTCATATCATTAGGCAGCAAGGTTAGTTGGCCCAATTCTCTGGAAAGGCCCCGAACTTAATTTAAAGTTGCAATTTTATGCAATGCGACTCCGCGGGGCCCGCGCATGAAAGCCTCAATATTTCGACACTCTCATTGAACCTTAGAGAAGCCCCGTGGTCATGCATCTGATGGTCCTACATATGCGATGAAAAGGGGGCTGTCGATGTGACAGCTAAGCCACGTACGTGGCTGTTCACTGACGACGTGATTTGGACCAGGTCCATCCATCAGCTTCTCGTCTGCCTCACCCCTCTACACGTTTTAATTGGCCATCCCGTATTTGTCGAGCCACTCTTTTCCGCGGACGCGTTTGAGTGAGTTTTCGGTTATTTCCGTCTTTGGAACTAGCCGAAAATTACAGGAGCGAGCCGTGACCACGTAATTGTGCCGCTTATCCGAGTAAATTAACAGAGCAACAGGGGCTGAAATTAATGTGGCCATTCTAGCCAGGGAAAATTGAATTTTTTATTTGTCTTGAAAAAAGCAGTCGCTGTGTGTTGTATTATAATAGCTTACGGTAAAGAGTCATGGATGTTCGTGATAGCACGCAATTAAAGGTGTATATGCCCGCGATGACCCCAATGATTCCTAGACTGAACCATGTCCATGGCCTGTCGCCGAGCCACTTGAGGACCTGAGCGTCGCTCTGATGCCAGGTCGCGGTTTCGAAATCTACCATGTAATGGTCTAGCACCGCGGGGTCCATGATGTGTATGGTAGGCGATGGTAGAATTGGCTGGCCGAGCAGATATTGCTGCACCGCCAATGTCAAGAAGAGAGGCCCTGTAGACAGCATGATAGCTGCGTAGGGTTGAAGACGGGCCCAGAGTCGGGTTGTTTGGTGAAAGCTGGCCAGTCTTGATACTGCTGATGCGAAAGCTGGATGTCTCGCGGTCGCGATTAAGAAATCATTCGTGATACCAGTCGGTAATGTCGATTTGAATAAGGCATGGTCCTTGCCTGGTAGTGATTCGATCTGATCCACGGGGAAGGACGAGTTGCAATATGTGTCCATGTCCATATAAATTCCGCCAAAATGATACAGCACGAAATACCGAATGGCGTCTGCGCGCTGGATAGGGAAAGGATAATTATCCCAAGTGTCGAGATACCACGGAAATTCCTCCTTAAGAAACTCTCGCGCCCCCTCATCAGTCCAGAGCTTATATTCAAACTCAGAATACGCTTCTTTGCAGCTCTGCTGCGACGTTGCCCAAATCTCCGGAATCGAGCTGTTTGGCGCTGTCTGATGCAAAATCCGCGGTATCTTCTTCCCATCTGGCCTTTGGAATGCGTCTGGTTGTGCTGCATGGTCGACAGAAAAGTTGATTGCGAATAGTTCGTTATTCCGTATGAGGAGGGTGATGAGCGGGCGGATGGAATGAATTAACACGCCGAGAATAATAAGGTTGCTCAGGATTAAATAGACTGTGAGTTTCCTGAACCTCGGGAATCCAAATCGTTTGGGGACGCATCGTTTGTAAGATGGCGATTCTAACTCAATGTGCTCCTCGTCGTAAAGTCGTTCATATTTCCCAAAGCGCGCGCGCAAGTGTTGAATGATATTTTGTAGTGCCATTGTCCGAAAACATTCCCCAGCGCAGGAGTTGAGAAAATCTGGTCCGTCTCCGGTATTTATACGTCGCGTGCGTAAATTTTCGTGTAAAAACACTAAAAAAAACTCCTTTTACCTTGCCCGCCTTATATAGATAGTAATTAAATTTAAATTCATTGAAGTGGGCAACGGCCGGTAAATAAAAAGACGCGTCGTCATCTGCAACCCCCTGCGCCAACTCAACTCAGCCTCGAGGCTTTTTTGTTCTCGACTCACTTGTGATTGGCGGCAGCGGGACCGTATGATGTTCCCAAACGACCGCCACGTGCTAAGGGTGACAGTGATGACCCGAGCATTTTTTGTTGGTGCTGATCGTCTGTGTCCCGCGGGCGTCCCCTGAATCAGGCATGGGTGCGGCAGAAACGGCATTCGTTGATGGTTGAGTGGCTATTCCTGTTCTGGGGTGGTGTAATTTGGGGGATACGAATAAACACGTTGGGTGGCTCATTGGGGCTGGGATACACGGATGAGCCCGTATCACTCAACGTCATCTATAAATACGCGAGGCAGACACGGTCGAGTTTCATATGCTGTAAGATAAGATCAATGCATAAATCGAATGTGGACCTTCAGCATTGGAGCTAACCCTCATCAAGATTCGTGGCTGAAGCTTACCCTCAGCCCTGAAATAATCCACGATGCCATGTTTTAGCGACATTTAGCATCGTCCTCATAAGATCTTCGTTGATGCCTCGTTCAGTAAACGACTTTCGCTTTCGCTACATGGCATGTCGTTCATTCTCGTTCATGGGAGCTTCCTCGTTGCGTTGAATGGCTCAGACTTTAGCTAACGGGACCCCGCGGCAACCCGCGGAATCTCGGCTCCCGAAGCCCAAAAGCAAGGGTCCATCATCTCATCAGCTCAAATCTACGCGATTGCCTGACATTGATAAGGTTAACCCGACTCAAGGATGCCAGCACGTGAACCACGCAAAATGACTAAGCGGTGTTTCTAACAACTCGTCTCGTCATCAGGACCACTGGGTTTCTACCACAAAGTATGATCGTAGGCAGCAGAAAAGTGTATTTTCAACGCTGTCGAATCGTATGCTTTTCTCTTGTACGGGTGCTCGAAGCTTATTTCGACCCCTCGCCAACTTTATATCTGCCGTAGAGTAAGTCCCGGAAAGCATTAAAAACCCTACTATCACGGCGTGCCTGAGAAGCTCCTCCCATCGGTGTTGTAGCTACAAGGCTTCCCTGATCTCACTCTTCGTCAACAAAATACCCTTGCTCGGCATACCCTCTTTATCCAGCAACCTCAAAAAGCGATATCCAAGCCTCAACCTATCCAAACGAACACAAGCCCAAGCTGTCATGACATCGGGCCCAGGTACATCATTCATGACCCTGAATGAAAGGAAAGCCAATTCCGGAACAACACCATCGACGTTGAGGAACTCAATCGTCTCACCTCCAAAGTCTGGACTGGTGCCTTTGCTTTTACCTGTTTCGCCGCTGTACCCAATCTGCTTGACTTCCTCGGGAGTAGCATTCTCATCTACTATCGCTGAGAGGGCATCTGGCTCCGTGTGAAGGCCAATTTTGACGTACGGAATAAACTTGGCGGGATCATCATGTCGGTCGAGTAAAGGGAGGTTCTGTGCTGCGATGATTGTGATAGCTAGCCTTTCCAACGTCTTGCTAGGAATGTGAAACTCCTCGATGCCGTGCTGTTGGCTCGGGTCATGACGATATCCCTTGGGCTTAAGAACATATCCATCTGAGCCCATAAACATGCCTTCATTAAGCACCATCCCCAGATCCCATGATTGCCAGTTGAGAGCCACGACCTGGACACCAGCTCGCCAGAAAATGACGGGATCGTAGTTGGACGAGTCAAACCGCATACCATGAGGATAAGTCCGCATGAGAAACTGTCTGTTATGGGAGAACAGAGCCTTTGGCATGCGTCTCTGAATCGCAAAGGCTGCATTCTCCGAGAGTGAGAAAATATGATTCGGCATCGACGCTTCGGGCTCCTCAAGTGACTTGAAACTAATCCCTCGAGTATGAATACCAAGGCGACTCAGTCGAGGAATGATCTTTGGGTGGCTTGATCTTCTTGACCTTCTTCTCGTCCCCCTCCACAACAACCTCAAGCATGCTCTCTTCATCCGTGCTATCAGGCGTGTCCTTGCGATTTCCTTTGCCATCCTCCGGGACATATTTGACCTTGATCAGAATCTTGTTCCTCAATTCCTGAGGTGATGGCAGATAATCAGACTCAAACTCAGGTACAGGGAGAAGATACTCAGCCCAGACCTCATCCATGATGTTGACCATGGCGCCTTGCTGTAGCGGAGAGCAGTGGACTTCTAGACTGACGATAAGTGGAAGGTCAGACGTGGAGAACGCGTAATCTTTTACAGTTTCGCATACGTCGCGGAAGAGAACCTCTTTAGTAAGAGTGAAGCCGTGAAGAACTCGTGGCTCGGCATCAATAACATCCAAGAGTCTGTCATCAACTGTTTTGCCGTCAGGATCAACAGGTTCAAACTTATTCATAGCCCAGCGCCCAATCTTGATCATGGCTCGATCAGCAAAGCCCATTTTCCTAGGCGCAGCTTCACGAGAAGTATCCTTCATTTCCCTGTCAACTTCATCCTCTAAGCCGAATCCTGGCTTCCACTGTTCTTTGCCATCCCAGACATCGATCTCAATGCATCGGCATCCATGTAGCAAGGCGTCTTTGTACGCTTCAGTGCTTGAGTCGCTGGAAAGTTGGTTGCCAGTAAGATACGTGTTGTGGCTTGAGCTGATGAAGTAGTTGTTCAGTGGCCAGGTCAAGTCTTGCGGAGCTGCCATTTCGAGAATGTTGCCGCATGGTGAGGTGAGATACTTGATGAGTTCAGGCAGGTTTAGCTCATCTTGATCGACAAGGTAACTGGCCAGACCTTCCGGGTTTTCGACTTGGACGTGGTGCATGAAGAGGCCGATTTGGTCTCGATGCCAGGTGCCGTTTGGCCCGGCATATTTGTTGAATAATTGAGTGAAATGACTGACGAAGGACTCCTCCAGATTCTCCTCTATGCCGTTGCGTTGACCAGTCGGATGTCCGCCGCCAGCCCTATATCTGGCGAGCGGGAAGTTTTCAGTCACTGATTTGACAGACATATTGATATCACACACAAGGAAAGAAGATGAAATTAAGTCTCTACACGACACGGTCTATGAGCTTAGACTTTATATCACCAAGCCAAGACATAGCCTCATTCTTAATTTACGCCATCTAATCGAGACTCAATATGACGGGCTCGCCGTTGTAGATGCGGAAACAAGGCCGTGACATCGGTGGACCAATTTGCTGTCAAGCTCATGAAGCATTGTGCTTGGCAAGCGAATAATTGTTCAAGTCGGTTGTTCGGCATTGGGCTTTGCCTTGGCCCGCGCCTTGACCCTATACCAATATGTGCTTTTTTACGGGCCGACGAATCAAAGCGCGTGCTTTGGCACCATCTGTCACTCAGCACCAAACTCGGTGGACGGCATATAATTTGCGCTGAGATGTAGCTTGCGGTTACTGTTTTCTTGGCCAGAGGTATGGTCAACCAGGTCAGGGGCAGCCAATCAGGTTATGTCGTGTCACATTGGAGAAATATTGTGAAGTTCATCTTGGTTCCAAGATTGTGGATCTACCTTATAGGGCTAGATAAGCCAGCTGATTCTCTAATCAGTCTTGATGGGAATAAGAGAATACTCCTCGGCGTATCACTAAAATAAATAAGAAATGCAAATTATATTTATTGCATTTTATAAAAATTAATTGAATCATCGTGACCCCAATTTGGTGACTTGTCATGAAGCGTTTTTGTGAGACATCGTAACCAAGCCAATCATCAACGAGCCACGTATCAATTTTCGTATCGTGACCCATCTAACAGCCAACAACAACAACAACAACAAGAGCGTCATCTTCGGATTTCCATCACCATCATGTCCGAGTCTTCAGAGAAAATCGTCTTCTACGACATCGCCGCCCGCCCGCCGGTGGAAAAGAACTGCTTCTCCCCGAATCCATGGAAAAGCAGATTCGCTCTCAACTTCAAGGGCGTTCCCTACTCGACGTCATGGGTAGCCCTGCCAGACATCACCAAAGTCCGCACCGGCCTCAATGTCCCCGCCTGTCGCAAATTCAACGACGGCAAAGACTTTTACACTCTACCCATCATTCAAGACCCCTCAACTGGGTCTGTGGTCGGCGATTCCTTCGACATTGCTATTTACCTACAGAAAACCTACCCAACCTCTGGTGGAGGCGATCTCTTCCCCACTCAGACGCTCAACTTTGACTTTGAGCATCCCTACATTCTCGTGCCCCTCTCCGAGTGGCGCGACAAGGAAAATTCCGAGTACGCCAAGTTTAACCTAAACATAGACGCAGCGTTTACTGCACATGTTCAACTGGGCGTCCAGGGAATGCCATTCGATCCAGCTTCTGAGGAGGAGAGCAAGGCTGAGTTTGTGCGGCGTGCGGGGGTGAAACAGTGGGACGACTTTGCGCTAGTTGGCGAGGCGCGGGATAAGGTGATGCAGTCTCTGAGAGAAATGCTCGGTGACCTTGCGAAATTGTTCACGAGGGATATGAGTGGTCCGTTTTTGCTTGGGGAGAAGGTTAGCTATGCGGATATGCTTGTTGGTGCGTGGCTAAGGATGCTGCATGCAACTCTGCCTGGGGATGAATGGGCTCAGATTGCGGGCTGGCATGATGGGACCTTTGGGAAGTTGCACGAGGCTCTGGATCCCTTTGCAGAGGTGAAATAGATCTGATACAGTTTGAGGCTCTATCAAATAAACTTGTCTCCGCCCCGCGGGCCCCGATACCCCACATATCGAGTGCAATCCCTCGGGTATCCATCTTGAATGTAACTCAAAGCACCATATCTTTCTTGCATCGTCGGAACTGATCTAGAGACATTCCCATCACACTCAAAACGTAAGCTCTAACGCTCAGCAACGCGCCATTGCGCTGCTATCATGGTGTCATGTCGCGTGGCACGCCTGCGTCTTGATCTGTCACATCCTTCTACTTGTCCCATCTGCTCTCTACTACATCATCCCTTCCAATCGTCCCCATAAGACCTGGACTCTACACCAAACATTGGGTCGTAAGCTCATGTTTAACCTTATGTAATTCTACACAAGTATTCGCCTCATAACCCGGATGCCAACGGAGCGCAAAGATCTGGGATTGCGGTTTATATCCATTGCACCAGCAACGGACCGAGATGTCTACCGTGGACCCTTGAAAGATGAGGTCATACAGCCGGGCACGGTTCGGGCCGTATGGTACCCTGAAGCTCATGACTCGTCTTCACTATCCAACATGGAATCAGGGGAGTATTTTCTTCTCCACTTCCATGGGGGCGGTTATGTTCTCGGAAGCCCTCTGCCACTCGACAGCGGATATTTCGCCGGCGTGTTCTCAAAATACACCACTCCAAAGGTCCTGTTTGCTGGATACAGATTAACATGCGTGCCAGAGGGGCGTTTCCCGGCAGCCCTTCAGGATGCCGTCACTGCTTATCTACATGTCTTGTCCTTGGGGGTTTCAGCAGAAAACATCATCGTCAGTGGTGACAGCGCAGGTGGCCATCTTGTCATCTCCTTGGTGAGATATATCAGCGAGTACTTGCCAGACACTCCAAGCCCCAAGGCTGCTTTGCTCTGGTCTCCGTGGATCGATATTCGGGCGGCGACACCAGCACATCACGTTCGACAGCGAAAGAACTACAGCACAGATTATCTACCAGCCGACTTTGCCGAATGGGCAACCGAGTCTTTTGCCCCAGAAGGCATCGTCGATAGGAGCGGGCCGTATGTTACTTTGAAGAGAAAACCGTTCAGAACCAGGACGAAGATGTGGGCCCACGTCGGAGATGCAGAATTGCTCTACGATGAGGTTGTTGAATTGGGTTCGGGATATGAGAGAGGTTTGGAACGACATGGCTATACGCATTGAACACGGTGCACCACATGATATTGTTGAGAGCGGCCATATTAACGGATTTCGAAAGGAAGGGGAGCAAGCTGCCAAAGCTGCGGCGGAATGGCTGTGAAGTTGCCAGACTTGCATGGCCTCCAATTGATACCACTTGTCGTTTGTCAAACAGCCGCATATGATTTAAAGCTTCTACCATATACACATTAAATTCGTACTCACTATCCTACCTCCGTGGTTCTCAGCTCGACATTGCCTCCTTTATCGAGGAACTTCACCTTCAGTCGGTGCATTGACAGAGTGAGCATCCGCCGAATGGGCGTCCGTCGTCTTCGTCCCATCGTGCCGTAATATGCTTTCCTGTGAGTCAAGCTCCGCGGCCCCAGACCCAAGATACTTTACGTTTGTCATATTCCCTCGGTCATCGCTTCGCAGTTTCCTACTGTCGCTAAGCTCAATGTTTGGGCCGGTTCGGGAGTTGCCGTAGTTTTGGTATCCGGAGGAGTTGTAGTTCTTGTATCCAGGGGAGGATCCGAAGGCTCGGCGACCTAAGAGGGCGTCTACGAGGGGTTGGAGGACTGGGATGCAGCAGGCGATGATGATGGTGCTCGCTTCGATGCTGGGAGACGTGACGTTAGTGGGCGTTTCATATGTCAGGGCATATCATGTTACTTACACAGTCCAGATCACAAGGTCAGAGGTCTCATCTACCAATTGTTAGTACAAGGACGCGAAGAAGTTCAAATAGTGCATACAAGAGAAGTCTTTACTGGCGAGTGATGGCAGGCGGGTGCATTTGTAAATGGCTACGATAGTAGCGCTAGAGATGGAGGTTAGCATCTTTTCTAATCAATGAGACAACACGGCACCAACATTGAACCGATGCCCAATGCAAAGGACAAGGCAATCTTCTTTCGTTTGTTCATTTGTAGATGGAACAGAACCACGGCGGGATACACAGCAAGATACAAGTCCGTAAATGCAGACAAAGCTAGTCAAATGTCAACAAGGCGTTCATGACATCAACGCAATCGACTTACCGCCGGCAAAAATGGCAAAGTTGACAAGAACATAAGGACTCCAACACTTCTTATCAGTGATCGAGAATGTCCATTGAGACTCGACAGGCGAGCATTGAGCAAAGAGAATGATGATACACCCAAGCAAACCCATCATGCAACATCCAGCCAGCACCCAAAGAAATATCTTGTGTAACCGTCCGGGGTTCATAAGTCGTGTAATGAGCGCGACGACGGCGAGCTTGGGAAACCCAAAGGCCATGACGCCAAATGGGAACCCCAATATGGTGTATAGAATGACATTCTGCTGTTGTGTCACATTTAGAAGATCGAAGTGTCTGCCATTACCGTTCTTAACAGCCACAACTGTAACACCGACTTGGCACCATTCGAAGATCTAAAGCTAATTAGCGTCACACAGACAAGGAAAGCGAGGGAACAAACCACTGCAATGATTGTGAACCAGTCATCAAGGTGCAATGCCCCTATGATCCTCTTTCGAGTGTACACGCGACCAGCCACAAAGATTGTACTCAGGATAGAGACGGCGATGACTAGCCCAAGAATAGTCGGACCTTTATCAGCGTCAAGATACGCCTGCGTGTGATGAGGAGAAGACATTGTGTGCCAAGCGCAAACGTATACGAAAAATAACTCGAGAGAGAGAAAAGAGTCTCATTCACTCATGTTGGTTGGGTCGAATCCAGAGGATTGGGTCTTATGTCCTGCAGGAACAAGAGACATACATGTTTGCAGAAAGGGGGGGGGGGCATGACTGCTTGGTCTGAGGCACAAGAGCCCAACCATGCTATACTTGTTTGGGCCATGAATCATCGAACCTTTTGTTACGAGAAGCCAGGGTCAAGTTTTGTTCAACGTGGAAAGGATTTTTGTTAATACGACGCTGTTGAAGGATTGGCAACCATGATGCCGCATTCCCCGAAACAGTGCTTTTTCTATCCCTAAACGTGTCGACATATTACATCTAGGCAAAGGTTGAAGTGGTTAAATCTCGCAAGGTGGGCAGACTTGAAGTAAAAGGACAAGGTTGTCGGTGGAGTGATGTTGCAGATGTCGACGCGCGTAACCAACAACCAACAACCGTTACTGATACTGATAGTGGGGTCCATTTTCCCTTCCCCGAATTCGACTGAGACTCAGGGGTTCATGTCGATCCAAACCCTCCGAAGGATGCGTCGCCAAGGATTGTTCCCTTGCTTGCAGAACCACCTGGTATGACAATTGAGCTGTTTTGAACCCTGCCGAGCAAGATAATTCCTGGCATGCTCCTCTCAGGCCACTGTCGTCGTGAAGAGAGCGAGGGTGTTGTCTATTAGAATAGCGATATACCAGTATTGAGTGTCTGCGATTTGCCGCGTACTTATGATACGTTCCTCGTATATTCGGCTATTCCCAGTGGTCATTTTGCTTGGCACACTGGGACCCAAAGCAGCTTAATTGGCGAAGCGGGCCAAAATCCCGGTGCTAGTTGCCAACTGTTGGCTCCGCTCTTGGTGACTACATTTCTCCATGACATGCTTTCTGAATTCTGATATTTGAGTCTCTTCTCTATCACATGTAAATAGGCGATAAAGAGGCCTGCTCTTCTATCATGCTTGAAAATATGATATCCATTTCAATAACGAGAATTCATTGCTTTCAGGTGAACCAAGTTTCTTTCCAAGGTCCGTTCCGACTTCTCGCTCTATCCTCGCTTCGGTTGGGCATGGTGTCGTCTCTTTCCCCTCGAGCAAGGGTTTGAGAAACTATGTTGGTCCGACGTAGCACTCGGCGAAGCCCCTGATCAGGATCATAACCATGCTGTTGGTTCAACTTTGCAACTGCTAGCTTCGCAACGGAGCTTTGTCCCAGATACCCGTTCACTTGACGCAGATCGTTCTCTGTGGCCTGGCAAACGTATCAATGTCGTCGTATGATCCAGTGATCAGCACTGGTAGACGAATCAGTGCATCTTGTCATATCCTTGGCATGCACAAGGGTTACCAGGAAGGTGGTGTCAGGCTGTTTCGAAGATCTTCTGAATGCAACCCGAACGACTGGACTCTCTGGCAAGATCTCCAATTGGTCGACTTCACAGCCACATGCATGAGGATGGACCTGTAACGGTTGGAGGATCGGGGGTCGACCAACAGCCAAGCTATCATGCCATGCATTGACGAGCTCTGGGCACTTCTGCTTCTTTCCTTTCTTTTTTATTGCTGTTGATCCCTCCTGAATCACTCCCTCACTGATATTAACTTGCTCTTCTTTTCTCAAGTGGATCATAAGTTTTATACACAAGGCATTTCTTTTCACAGCCCTTCATTATGGCTGACACAACTGTTTCTCACACAAACGGGCATACCGTCCCAGAAACAGAATACCATGGAACAGAGAAGAAGCTCGAAAGTTCTGTCTCAGCCTTGAGTTCCTCTGGATCTTCAGACGGCACCCCAGATGCCACCAAGTCGGAAGAGCCCGATGTATCAATCGCTCTGAACGCCGCCAACATTGGCGCTGTTCCCTCTCTGATCAAGGAGATCAATGCTCTTAGTGGCGATCTAGATAGTGATGACCCGACAGCGCGACTCAAGCTTATGGCTAAGGCTAAGAGCCTGTGGCAGTCACTCGAGACTCCCAGAGAGACTATGCTTCGCCATGTTTGGGCTGAACCATCGCTTCACTGCGCTTTGACGGCTGGTACCGTTAAGGAAGTCTGGACTCATGTCGCCAAGATCAATGGGCCTTTCAAGGTCGCCGATGTCGCGAAGGAGAAGAACATTGAGCCTGCTCTTCTTGGTGAGTGCATTACTATCTCATCTCTTGTACTATTGTGACTAATAATATGAAGCTCGTCTTGTAAGACATGTCTCTTCAATGGGATACATCACCGAGATTGATCAGGATACATACCAAGCCACAAACTTCATCAAGTCGATGGCTTTCCCATTCATCAACGCTGGATACCCTTGCATGTAAGAACACCCAGACTCTAGCATATGTCCTGCGCTGACGCGGCCTCTAGTTCTGGAGCCTGTCTCAACGCTCTAGGTCAATTCCACGAATGGGCCGACGTCAACTCATGGAAGGACGCCACTGACATAAGCAACTCTCCCCTACAACTTGGTTACAAGACAGAAAAGACCTTCTTTGAGCATCTTCACACCAACCCACCATACGGCCAGCTGTTCCATCTTCACATGGGCGGCTACCGTCAAGGTCGACCGTCTTGGATGGACCCGGGTTTCTTCCCTGTTCAAGAGAAACTTATCGATGGCTTTGAGAAGTCAGGTGACTCTGCTCTATTGGTCGATATCGGTGGCTCTTTTGGTCATGATATTGGAGAGTTCTGCCGCAAGTTCCCTGACGCTCCAGGTCGTCTCGTCCTCCAGGACCTTCCCGTCGTGATTGATCAGATCACTTCGTTAGACACCAAGATTGAGCGAATGAAGTATGACTTCTATACCGAGCAACCTATCAAAGGTACTTAACCCTGTATCCCTTATCGTGATGCTTTCTAACCTGACTCTAGGCGCCCGTGCATACTACATGCACTCCGTCCTCCATGATTGGTCAGATGAGACTTGTCTTAAGATCCTGGGTCAAGTCAAGGCTGCCATGAAGCCCGGATATAGCAAGCTTTTGATCAACGAGAACGTCATCCCGAATACTGGTGCCCAGTGGGAGGCTACAGCGTTGGATATCATGATGCTTACTCTGCTTGCCTCGCGAGAACGTACGCAACAAAACTGGGAGAAGCTACTAGGAGAGGCTGGACTGAAGATTTGCAACATTTGGACTGTCGCGAATGGAGTTGAGAGTCTGATCGAATGCGAACTGGTTTGAACAGATAGGATCCGCGGAGGCAGCTATTGCCAATGATGGTGGCTTTCGACTGATGTAGAGCACGATAGATCATAAATACACGGCATCATGAAGAAGACGGAAGATTATTAGTATTTCAAAGGATTTTAGCACTACCAAGTTCGTTAAATCGTCCGTAGTGACAAGCGTATGTCTCGAATAGAAGCAACCAGCTATTTCACTCCTTATCCATTACTCCTCCCCGGAACATCATTCTTGAAGTGCGTCATCATAGTCCTGTTACTCAATCTCTCCGTCTTCAGCCTCATCTTTCTTTCCGACCGACGAACTGCATCCAATTCCTTCTTCCTCTGCAGGAGGAAACTCCTCTGTTCCGATGATGTCAGATGTATCAGACTCTGCTGATCCTTGACACTGAGTCGCGCTAATTGAGACGCAAGTGCGGCATCTTTTTCATCTCTGGCTGTAAGTGCATGAGAAGCCGCTTGGCTGGGAAGAGGTGCCCTCTTCTCCTCAGTGTCTTCTTGCGGCGACGTTCGGCGCGGTTTTGTGACGGGAGCATCACGATGTGAAAGGATCTTGCCTGATGATAGCCGAAGACTCTCGTTATCAACTGAAACCGCGTTCTCTCGACCATGAGCCTTTAGACCTTCGAGGTCATAAAACTCCTGCATCTCGTCTGACAACTCAACCCTGCAGTGGCCTTTATCTCTCATGTGCTGCTGAATCCCCTCTACCGTCCGTCTTCGTGTTCCGCAGTAGATGCACTCGCGGTATGTGGCCACTAGGAAGTAGAGATACCATGTCACTGTCTCCAAGTCCACGATTAGACGGTCCCGGAACGGTATACGTAGTCCGTGAGCGGTTTCCATGTGAAGAAGGGTGTGATCAAAGCTTTCGTCGCTGTGCGTGCAGATGATGCATTTTGTGGGATCAAATTCAGGGATCGCACTGCTCGAACTCTCGCCTCCGGTTTCATCGTCGCTACTTGAGAGCTCTTCTGCATCATTGCTTGTATGCGAAAATGTATCGCTGTCCTCGGTTAGCTGCTCGATTAGACCCGAAGCAGCCGCACGATTCCTCAAGGCTTGGACACTGAGAATGTGTCAGTATGCACGTGTTTGGCATTAATGCATGTGCTTTGTAAAACTTACTGAGCCTCACTCTTGGCATGCACTCGATGCTCCAGACTGTTGTCAAAGGAGACATCGCAAAGTGAACAAGTTGGTTTCGTTGATGTCATGATGTAGATGGGCGTAATTTATATTTGCAACAAGTACTCAACGGAATATTTGAGAATATTTGAGAGCGAGTCTTGCATTTAAATAAGCATCTCGAATTATGCTTCAGAAGCGATAAGCTGCTGATGATGGCGTGACTCACTGCCGGGTGGGGCTGTCTCGATCAGGAAGCTGTTCAAATATTTGCTGACACTGGGTAAACTGAACCTTGTCAGTCATTATGATTCATCCGTGGTCAGCCAAATTCAGAGAGTCAGGTATTTAGCAGCAGAAAGTCACTGACTGTCAGAAATTACTGTCCAACACCCGCGTTCACTGCGACATGATGCTATGAAAGAAGAGCATCCAACACCTGGATCACCAAACAAATTTTTGGCTGTAGCCATGAGCCTCAGTATGGAACCTTACTGTAATGAGGCACCAAATAGAGAGATATAAGACGTGAGAGCGATGGAAATTAAAAAGAGAAGGTGAAATTATTAAATACTTTTAAGCGCTATTACAAGACTAATATTTGCCACTATGGGACCAATCTGAGATGCAAAACTGACTCCTGTCAAGAAAACAAGTATGATATGACCATTAACTCATTGTAACCTCAAGCCTTCTTCTTCTTTCCAAAGTTCCACTTCTTAACTCGGAACATGTAATAAGTTGCGACAGCAACGAAGATGTTGAAGCCAATATACGCCCAAACAATGCCAAAGTTGCGCCATCTCTCGGTGTAGTAGATCCTGTTCCCAGCCATAAACTGGTCGGCGTTGGACAAAGAACAGTACTGACAGCCCGATGTAGCATCAGGATTCTGCAGCTGGCCGGGAGCCTGCTTCAGATAGTCTGCCATGTAATCGCCACAAGTCTGGCCTGATGGAGGATTGAAGATCGAGACCTCAGATCGTGAACACTCCACAAGACGTCCACCCAGTTCAGTAGATACAACACCTGCAACCCAGTAGGTGAAAGGACTAACGCGATACATGAAGATCCAGAAACCTGGAAGAGCATCAGGAGACTGCAAAACACCATTAAAGGTCAAGCTCATGAGTACCAAGAGAGTGACAATGGACGAGGCAGTGAGAGCATCAGGAAGAGCAGCGATGGTCATCTGAGCAAACGAGCTGGCGTAGAGCATGAGCTGGATCATGAAGAGAAGGACGAGGCCCTGGCGGGCTGAGCTCTGGACGCCCATGACAGGGTAGTAGAAGCAGGCATACATGAGAATGCCAGTAAGAGCCTGCCAAGGGATCTCGACAATGACGTTGGCAATGATGAAGGCCTTCCAAGAGTAGGCCTTGCTGGGTCGTTCTCGGACTTCGTACAGGTCGCGCTGGGTGATGAAGTGAGGTTGGATCTAAAAAGGGTCAGTATACAGTAAGGCCAACGGTGATGGGGGGCTTACCTGTTGAACAATAGTAGAGAAGACTGTGATAATCATGAAGACGGAGAAGATGACATTCTGCATGCCAGCAGACGAGTTATCAGGCTGGTAGAAAGAGAAGCCAACAAAAAGACCAGAGATCGTGCCAAGAATGAGCTTCGACATGATATACGTGGGCATTCTCCAGTACTGCTGGAAGACTCGCGTAGTAACCTCTCGGAGCTGTGTACGGAACGGCATGGCGAACTCGGACTGGCTGGCAGAATCGTCCTGGGGATTCTTTGACGACATCTCAGATGCAATCCTACCGACTTCCGCTTCGACAGCGACACGCTCTTGGCTGCGTTGCCAAACAGTGTGCCAATCTTCACCCTGGGAGCTAGTAGCGTTGTTGACGATCTCGAGCATCCATTCAGCTGGGTTCTCATCATCACCGCAAGCCCGAGCACCCTCCTTCTCAAAGTAGTCAAGAAGCGTGCGCGAGTTCTGGCCGATATCGCCGAAGTACACAGTCTTACCACCACGGGCAAGGAACAGAAGACGATCGAACTCCTGGAACAGAATGGCGCTGGGCTGATGGACAGTGCAGAGGATGGCTTGTCCTGCGTCGGCGAGCTTGCGAAGGAATGCGACGATAGCCCATGAGCTCTGTGAGTCAAGACCGCTGGTAGGTTCATCGAGGAAGAGCAGGAGTTTGGGCTTAGCGGCGAGTTCGACACCGATGGTGAGAAGCTTGCGTTGCTCCACGTTGAGACCTTCACCGGGGACACCGACGACGGCGCTGGCAAAATCTCGCATGTTGAGCATGTCAATGACCTTCTCGACCCATTCGTGCTTCTCCTCGTTGCTCACGGTTGAGGGTTGACGAAGCATGGCGCTGAAGCGGAGACTCTCGCGAACGGTGGAGGTTTCGAGATGAAGATCTGAGGCGTGTTAGTAATTTTCAAAGGTCAGTTAACGCAGGAATGTCACTCACCTTGCTGCTGGACGTATCCTGTCTTGCGTTGGAAGCTGGCATCGAGAGGTTTTCCGTTGACAAGCATGTCTCCAGTGATGACACCCATGGTAGTTCGCTGAGCCAAAACATCAAGAAGAGTAGTCTTTCCGGCACCACTGACACCCATCAGAGCGGTGAGAGTACCAGGCTTGACCCAACCAGTGACGTGATCCAGAAGACGTCTGGGCTCACCCTTGATCTCAATATCATAGACAACATCCTTCCAAGTGAAGATATCAGTCTGTGGCTCAAGCCCAGCCGTAGAATCCTGGCCCTCGTTGGTCTTCTCAGGCACAGCGAGCTGCTCATTGTTCACGCTCCTGTCAACACCATCCTGAAGATGAGCGGGGACCTGGCCACGCTGGAAGACGAGGACCTCAGCCTTGCTCGCGGTCTTGGAGTTGAGCTCTGTGGCGGTGAAGTAGATAAGCATAAAGCCGACGAGGAAGGCAATGAGGATGCCAAAGTTGCGCCAGACATGGGAGTAGGAGTATCGGTAGTTGGTCTCGATGAAGGCATCTCCACTGACTGTCCGCTGTCCTGCTACAGCTCCGACGGCTGAGCAGATGAATGTATCGCCGCTGAGGCCGGAGTAGGATGGGATGAACTGGGAGCAGTCAAACTCGCGACCGTGGAATTCGTTGGCGACCAGGATCTCAAAGGCGTAGAAAATCGGGTTAATCCATCTGTAACTGTTAGCAGGTCCTCAGGAACAAGTAAGAAGCCACTCACCTAATCCAGCCAAACCAATCAACCATCTGCGGAACACGAATCATGAAACCAGTATAGATAACAAGCGCAAGGACCATAACACCAGCCAACATCATAGCCTGAGAAACCGTCTTGGTCACAGCAGCCATCGTCCTGAAGATCGCAGACATGACAAAAGTCGAGATATACGTGATGAGGAAGAACAGGAAGAAGTTACCAGGCTCACGACGCAGACCAGCCAAGAAGTACAAGATGATGTTGAAGACAGTCGCCGAGATGAACTTGATGGGTATGTCCGCCACGATACCGGAGATGGCTTCAGCTGCGGGGTGGTAGAAGGCGTAGGAGGCATGTTTCTCGACGATGGGGCGCTGGGAGTAGAGATTGTTGATCTCGGAGATGGCGGCGAGTGCGTTCATGAGAATACCCATGAAGAGAACTGCGCCTTTGGAGTAGAAGCTTGCGGATCCGTTGCCAGTGCCGTAGTAGACTGAACCGATGATGAGAGACATGATTACATCGATTGCAACGTGTGTTGCTGTCGCTGAAAGATCGTTCCAGATTCGCTGGTAGGCTCGCTTGGTCGTCAGGCGGATCTGAGTTACGAAGCTGATGAGGTATGGAGACTTGGGTCGAGCATGCTTATCCTGACTATACACATCATCAGTATGCCGTTGACCCACGGGGTGAAGTACTTACACAAGAGCCTTGCGCTCCCTCAAAGGCGCAATAGCCTCAGAGCGGTTATGTGAAGGATAATCCTGCTGATACACCTCAATCTCCTCCCGTAGCCTCTTACACTCAGGCGAGTTATGCCAGTAGAGCTCAAACTCCTCCGCCGTACGAGGAACCTTGTTCTCCATACCTGGTCTGGCCTTTCGCTCCTGCGGGTTCGTCACGGAAGTGAGGAAATCGCCCGCGGTCTGACGAGCAGGGCATTCCCAGCCCATTTTCTCAAAGTAGGCCTTGGCCTTGCTCGCGGGGCCGAAGTAGATCTGGCGACCTTCGTACAAGACTACTGCTTTGTCGAAGAGGTCGTAGATGGCTTGGCTGGCTTGATAGATTGCTAAGGCGTTGGCAGAGCCAGTGTAGTCGGAGGCTAGACGAATAGCTTGGGCGAACTTGAGAGCTGTCGCGGAGTCTAGACCTCGTGTACTGTATCCAAGTCAGTTTCATAAACTCGTACCTCTCAGTGGTACTCACCTGTTATCCCACGCAGCCATTGGCGACTGAGCAAGCATCATCTCAGCAATACTAACTCGCTTTCGCTCACCACCAGAGACACCGCGGATAAAATCATTGCCGACCTTGGTGTTGTATGTATGGCTCAAGCCGCAAATCGCCATGACGATCTTGGTGGCGTTCTTGACCGTTTCTTCGCGTGTTCCATCGAGGCCGAGCTTTTCGGGGTCGGAGGGGAGACGGCATGCAGCGGCGAACTCTAGCGTTTGGCCGACGGTGAGATGAGGGAAATGCTTATCGACCTGTTCAAAAAAAAACTGTTAGTAAACGCCAGAGTGAATTGGTGAGATGCATACCTCTTGGTTGTAACCGGTCTCGCCCTTGAACTCCTTCATCATATCCTTCTGTGAGATACCATTATACGTAATCATCGACTCCTCTCCGAGGTGCAGTCCCTCAAGCTCACCCGTCATAGTCTTGAGCAGCGTCGAGCATCCTGAGCCAGGCCGACCGAGAACAATAAGCGTCTCACCACCTCTTAGCAACCCATCGAATTGATGAAGAATCCTCTTCGGCTCTTTCTTGCCCGACTTGAAATGCTCACCAATCCTCAACGGCGCCTGGATAACATCCGCCACCGTCTTCTGCAGCTGCAGCGCCGCTCCCGTGCCGTAGACACTCAGATTCTTGAAGGCGACACCAGCGCTCTTGGGACCGACGCCTGCTTCCTGCAGTTGGTGCATGAAAGCCGGTAGCCATTTCGACAAGTCGAAGGCTTTGTTTGTAGGGTCCAATGCGGGGTCTTCTTCGTTGATGGTGGCGATTCTGGAGGGGACTGTGGCGAAGCTCTGTCTGCGGCGTTGGGAAATGCCAGTTGCGATTCTTTGGAGCTCTTGTTGGTCTTGCTCGTCCATTATCATGGTGTTGCTTCGTGTGAGGGGCGATGGGCGGGTGTATGTGCCCTCGCTTCCTGTTGAATGCTCCATTTCAATTGAGTCTGGTGGACTCTCAATTGAGTGTCGCGGCGTCATTTTGAAGTTGTTTGTCCAAGAAAAGTGATGTCCTTGGATGCTGTTGTTTGTTGTGTTTTTGTGTAAATCGGACTGGAATGTGACTGTCGGAAAACAGAGTCAAGCACCTCTGACCCGATATCAGGCAATTGACGAGACCAGCCAAATTAAGATTAAAAAAGAAGTAGTGAATTGTCTATGGAATGATTTGACTTTCTGGGCGGAAATGAACTGGGCTTTAAGTTAGATAACAGCAACCTCACAAACTTCAACTCCCCCAAGTGACGGGCCCGACAGCACCCCGACGATGCTGTCATCAGAGCCAAACGACGTGGTCGGAGCTTCGGTAGCCTCAAAGCATGCGTCTCACATACTTCAGCCACGCTGACACTCTATTCCATTTAGTCCATAGAGTCGGGCTGCCTGCGTCCCCGCTAGTCCGACAACAGCGGCCGTCGATGCTTGGGCTGGACGGGGATTTGCTGTGCTGCTGTGCGAAAAACTAAGGGAGTAATTAGGTTTATGCCGGTCTCTTAGTGCTGTGGACTTGTCGATCTGCGGGCGGAATGTCGGGGGTTATGGCAAACCCCTGCTCCGTCCGCCCTTTGCGGCCTCATCCGCGGAGGCCGGCAGCTACGTTTACCCGTAAGGCGCTGAGTCACACTCTCTCGTTCTCGTTCAAATTTTTCAGATCTTGCATGGTGACGTCACCAAGATCGTAGATAACGGTGTCTGAGGGACCCGAAAAGTCCATCTGCGGTGTTTCCGTCGGGTTGTTTTTCTTATTCGCGAGTCTCGGCACATGCAATGAGATCATAGCTCAGCGTTTCAGTCGTGTCTGCGAATTGACTTTACCTGCGCCTCTGCTGTCACGGCCTCAAAAGGTTAATTTCTCGGGACTTGTGTCAACGCATTGTTGCATTGGCAGGTAAGATTGCAATGGCGCAGCAACGTTCTTTGTTTTCCTTCCGAAGAAAAACACATTGGATCTTCACACCAATTGGCAGATTTGGCAAAGTCAGTTTGAAGCAATTGTAAGCTTCAAGATAAATACCAGCTATGACACTTTGGCGAACAGCGTTGGAGTAAATTATATATAGTTACTTGGTAAATCTTAGAAGCCTAGCTATCTTATCTTTTGCCAGCATCAATTATCTATTTTATTGCAGCATGGAGGCTAATTAGAACAAACTTTTAGAACAACATCTAGTATAGAAATCTATATATAGGGTAGACTCAATGCCTCGAAGTACGGAGTAGCGGATACAAAAAAACTCCACAAGCTAAAAATTGTTAGCCCTGACTAGATCTTATGTCTCGGATAAATCAAAGCCCACCTCTCTCGGTAGTTCATTTAATCCGCAACCTCCGATGCTCTAGTCTAGCCCATCTTGATTGTCGATCGTCATCGTCCAGTCTTGTGCTTGTCTAGCTTCAGGTTAGCTATGTACAGTCTCGTCATCACTATTATTGGTCTGGTTATCGGTCAGTCGTTTGGCCTGGCCGTCTTTGATTAAACTTTAAAGGCTTAGAATTGCTTATATTTTATTTCTTGCGGGATAATCACTGATCCCGACAGTGGTCGAATGCCAGCGTGGCTGGTAGAAGTTCGGATAACATTTGTCAGACTTGTCCAAGATCGAGTTGGCGATCAAGGGCGATTGGGTAAATTGGTGGATCTTCAAGTAAGACAGTTTAGCTTTGGAATTCAGGTAAGTGAACGCTAACAGGAGAGCCACTCCACGAATTGGGTGTCAGCGTCACAATGCAATTATGAAGAGTCTGGCAGCTTCAGTTATGCTTATGGGGTCGTTGAGGCTTGTTAGTTGTTACACGCGCCCCAAGCAGTGTTATATGACTTAAAAGGATAAGCAGCATTAATTGCCAACCATTTTACCTAAGATGCGCCTCTGAAATATTGAAACCCGACATCCTATCATACAGGCAAGGCTATACAGTAAGAGAAATACAATAAGGCTCTTTTTCAGACATAACATCAGGCCCAGGGTGCCAAAGCTTTTATCAACCTTCCATCAGCATTCTAAACATATCCCAAAGCTGCTGCCTTTTTTCATTTATACTTAGTAAACAAGCCGCCAAAGCGGGTCTTTTCTTTTGGACGATGTCTTTGATCCTCATGGCTAAGCGACCCGTCCTTTATAGACTCTATTAAGATATGAGACCTAGGAAATATTCCGTACTCTCTCTTGGCATTTGAGCCACTCCAGAACCACGCATGTGGATCCTCCCCTGTAGATAGTGTAAGTGTTAATACTGGATGAGTTTCTGACGATAGAGAACCTACAAGCAAGGTTATAGATAATATCGCCTTTCTTGAGTGCCAGCCAGCCAGGCTGCCTTTGCTTCTCGAACTTCCACCTTGCTACTCCAGTTCGTGGCGTGTTTGGTAAGGAAGCGATCTTGACATGCCGCGGCATATCCAGGCTGATTAATTTACTTGGAAATGTTCCAAATACTCCGTCGTGCCAGCCTTGGCACCATTTCCCGTCCCATTTCTCCGGGAACTCGATGCCAACTATCCTCGCTCCTGAAACGAACTGTAAAATCTCCGAGGTTGTATCAGGTCTTGCTTGTGGCTTCTCATTACTCCGCCTAACATGGTCTTTCACGGCCCGGGCGACCGGCATCGATGCGAGTCGGTTTGATTCGTTGGCTCGGGACACGCCATGCAATGCGGCCATGGTGGAATTTGGGAAATATAAATCGCAGTCTTGGCGCCCTCGTGAATTTATATCGCTGTGCTCGTAGACTACTTCCACGCCCGGAACATGCGGCAAGGGATGACCATGCCGGGAAATGTGACGAAAGAGGAGATCGATTGACTGAAAAACGGTGGCGTCGTCTTCCTGGAGAGTAGACTTGGTCTTGTCACAAAGAGACAACCAAAGTAGACCGAGTTGACGTTTCGGACTGCAATATGAGATTTGAATAGAAAGCGAGGACGGTGAAGAATACCTCTCGTCTGCTGGCTGGCCAATGCTAGAATTACCCCTAAGCTTCGGTTCTCACAGCGATTGTGGTTGAGTGAATAACTTACGATCTTGATCCATGTCCTGGCGCAAATGGGAGTAGGGAGTCTTGTACTCACAATGAAGACACTGCGCAGTTGGTTCTGTCAAGGTCTCAGCTGGATTATCCAGCATTTGCCCGAATAATGTTTCTTGAGAATACTCTCTGGGTCTTATTGCACCGTCTGAACCGCCACCAATCCTTTTGATGGCTTGTCCGGGACCTCCAGAGGCAAAAGCTCGAGCTCCTTTACATAGTCCACCCAGTAGGGCTAGAGAGCTGTCTGCTCCGATCTCATAGGTCTGTAGAGAGTGCACGCTCTTCACAGAGGTACAATCATTCCTGATCGAGCTGGAAGATGTTGATATTGCTTTGGCCCCTGACGCGCCGCTTCCGTCTGATCGTATGGATGGCGCTAACCCTTGGGTGACAATGAATAATTGTTGATATTCAGGCGACGCTGTAGATGGTATGTATGACCCAGAATTCCGGTATTCTGTAAGCTTTGGGCTGGTGTATTGGGACGCTGTTACAGATACAGGGCGTGGGACAGCAGCTGATTGTTGGTCAACGACTGTGGACCAATCCGGTTGCGAAACTGGCTCAGTAGTCACGGATGGTGGAGGAGTATCCTGATGTTCATAACCGAAGGAGCCTCTTGTGTTTTGGTCGATTGCGTTCTGGTAGCCTGTTGACTTGGGTGACAATGCAACTGAGCTTGGGGGAGTGATGGCTCCAATATCCAGACCTTGCAAACTGTTTAGAATCGCGTCTGAATCGCTCTCTTGTCGTCGATGAGCCTGGACATAGCGGTAGGTTTGGGCGTCTTTCTCTGGAATCGCGTATTTGCTTGACAAAGGCAAGGAGACTGGGGAAGCGAGCCCACCTGGCGTAATTGGTGACCGTGTCGTAGAATAATCAGAAGTTCTCAAAGAACGTCCCGCAGAGTAAGATCTATCGCGCTGTTCGGAACCACCGATGAAGGACGGTCGTTGCTGATGTGTACCAAGACTAGACCCAGCTCTCGGCGCGTTGGTCGGAGGCCGCATGGACATTTGGGAGCTCGATCTGGCCACATCATGAGGACTGGTCAATTGTGGAATAGGCGGAAGAGGTGGAAATTTTGAGGGGGGCGGTGACGATTCCAGAGCCGACTTTGTTGTAAATCGCGTAATCTCTTCTACGAGAGTAATAGCCAATTCCTTCGTCGCAGCTTGGAGCTCGTCAAACTTGGCCTTGTCAAAGGTCTGCGGCTCAATAAAATCCTCAAAATCATAAAGCAAGATGTCAATCGATCGAACTTGACAAGTGACATCTTCTACTCGCCTGTCAGCGTTCGCTGTGACTCGGGTGCTGGTTCTACTTGTCCTTACCGTGGCGCAAGGTCAGATGTCTTAGGAATTCAGTCAATTGAGGAGAAGACACCGCAAGTAAAGGCACCAGGCGTCGCAAAGCTCGCTCTCCTTCTCTCAATAGCGACTGGGACGACTGGCTAAGTGACGTCTGTTGGTAGTCATGGTCCAAAGCCTGTGAAAGCGCAAACTTGGCCCATTTTGTCACATCATTGAAAGGACGGAGTAACACGTGATCAGATGGAGTCGCCATTTTGGAAACGATAATAATAGGGGAAAAGCAGCGATAAAGCTGTCTCGTAGAGTATCGAGACAAAAGTCTGCAAAGGGTAGGATGAGACCTGCTGGGCATGTACTCCGTATATGCAATAAAATTAGCACCTCTTCCCAGTCTTATCATATCAATACGAAGTTAATATCTAATGAACAAGCCCCTCTGTTTCAAGGCTAGGATGGGGGGGAGTTATTTCAACTTGTGAAGAATAATTGCAACAGACAGGGATCTGAAGGAGGATGGGATCATTTCCAGATAAGCCTTTTCGGTTCAATGGCCCGGATTTGCACACTTCCTCGTAACCGAACCAACCAGAATGCTTGCCACTAGATTAGAATAAAGCTCAACAATGAGCTTAGATGCTTGTACAAGCTAGAGTTGGACGTTTATAGCGAGTCACCGAGCATATCTTAACTCCCACGCAGAGCTGAGACTCGCCGAAACCGCCACTAAACTCAATCTCCCGGTGTTGTTATTAGCCAAATAAGGTATCCTTCACTTTGCATTATCATAGCCCGCGATTAGTTAACGCCAAGCCGACGCGACCTCCCTAAATAGTTCCCATAATCCGTGCGCTTGGCCGTTCCAAGACGTTAACTAATGCATGTTGCCTCCGCGCCAACCTCCCGCCTCCCAACACTGTTGCTACACGGGGGACGGGAAAGGTTCTAGAGGTTTCAAATGTGCTAGATGGAGGGGATCAGACATCCTTCCTGTTTGGATTGATACGCCGAAGGTCATCCGCCCCTTGTCGCTTTGCCATCTTTCTTCAGTTGCTTCTTATTTATAAATCACCACTGCTGACAGAATCTTCTTGGTCTTAGTCGGGCCTGTTCTGTTCACTTTTTCCTTTTCCTCCCCTAATCTTTTGTTTTTCTTCTCCCATTGTATCGCGTCATTTCTGCTCAAGAGCCTCACCACCATGGGGTGGATTGGTCGTATCAACGATGGCGTGGCCAACAGTCGCGTAGGCCACTGGTTTCAATTGGAGGGATCTGGCCATGTGAGCAAACGCCACCAAAGAAGTATTGCACAGAGAATCGCACTGACCCAAGGCTTTAGCCCCGCGAGCGACCTGGCTCCCGGTTTACGACTGAGATCCGAGCAGGCATCATCTCCTTCTTCGCAATGGCATATATCTTGGCTGTCAACTCCAGCATTGTCGCTGACAGTGGAGGCACTTGTGTCTGTGACTCGACTCCCGATGACCCCATCTGTGCCGCCAACTCGGACTATCTCCTTTGCAAGAATGAGGTCAAGCGTGATCTAGTCACGGCCACTGCCGCTATCTCTGCTCTGGCCACCTTCTTCCTTGGTGCCCTCGCCAACATGTTAGTCTCGATAGGTAGTGGGGTTGGCCTTGACTATTGGCTGCTAACCTTATGCACAGGCCCGTCGGTATCAGCTGCGGAATGGGCTTGAACGCTTATCTCGCATACGATGTACGTATTACTACCTCGATGTCCTGGATAAACTCTAACGTGGTTTCTACCTAGGTCGTCGGCTTCCATGGCTCTGGATCTGTCCCTTATGAGGTGGCCATGACGGCCATCTTTGTCGAGGGCCTCATCTTCTTCGGCCTCACAATCCTCGGTCTTCGACAATGGCTTGCTCGAGCTATCCCGCGTTCAATCAAGCTGGCTACTGGTGCTGGTATCGGTCTCTTCTTGACACTTATCGGCCTTACATACAGTGAAGGCATAGGCCTGATTACTGGCGCTGTTTCGACCCCTGTCGAGCTGGCTGGCTGTTCTCCTGCGGATAAATTGGAGGATGGCACCTGTCCTGGCTCGCACAAGATGCAGAACCCGACTCTTTGGCTTGCTATTTTCTGCGGTGGTATCCTGACGGTCGTTCTCACCATGTTCCGCGTCAAGGGTGCTATTCTCATAGGCATTATTCTCGTGTCTATTTGTTCTTGGCCGCGCGGTACCTCTATCACAGCCTTCCCTGATACCCCGGTCGGCGATGACTCTTTCAACTTTTTCAAAAAGGTTGTGGACTTTCATCCTATTACCAGAATTCTTGCCGTGCAAAAGTGGGATATCAGTGCATATAGTGGCCAATTTGGTCGCGCCCTTATCACGTTCCTCTACGTTGATATTCTTGACTGCACAGGTACCCTTTACTCAATGGCCAGATTCTCTAATCTGATTGATGAGAAAACTCAGGATTTTGAAGGATCTGCTACAGCATATCTTGTCGATTCCATCAGCATCACTATCGGGGCTGTCTTTGGTACATCACCTGTGACAGCCTTCATCGAGAGTGGAGCAGGTATCGGTGAAGGAGGGCGAACAGGAATCACAGCTATGATGACTGGCTTTTGCTTCTTTGTCTCGTTATTCTTTGCACCTATCTTTGCCTCTATACCGTCTTGGGCAACTGGCTGTGTCTTGATTCTAATTGGCTCTATGATGATGCAAGCCGTCGTCAATATTAATTGGCGATATATGGGAGATGCTATCCCGGCGTTCTTGACTATCGCCATTATGCCTTTTACGTTTTCAATTGCCGATGGCCTCATTGCCGGTATTTGCAGCTACATCGTTATCCAAGTTCTTGTATGGGCTGTGGAGACAGCTTCTATGGGCAAGCTGACTGCTACTAATAAGAAGGACAAAGACCCTTGGACATGGCGTATTCCTGGAGGCATCCTACCAGGGTGGCTTACACGTTTGTTCCAGGGCAAGAAGGACTTTTGGCGCCCCTATGCGGACGAGACCATCGATGGCAATGTAGGTGTCAATTCTCATGAGATGAGCCCTATTAGACACAATGCTGACTGGGTCAAGCCTGGTGAGCCTTTACCTCATGTGGTAACTGAAATTTACGCTGGAAATAATAAGGAATAAGCCGGGGCATATTTCGTGGGCTGAAGCTGGATTATTGACCTGGGAAGGCGGTATTCTTTATATACATGTTAGGTGCGACAGATGCACGGAAATCACACAGCGTTGCCACATTCGACCCCGTTTTCTGGCTGCGTCATTGCAGCATCGACAGACTGCTTCACTCGTGGCATTGCTCCGACCCAGGCAACTGGTTTCACCAGAAACCATGGTAAGTATTGAAGGACAGCCCTCAGAAAGATCTTGTTCCCTTCCATGCCTCAGCTGAACCCGATGAGTACTTCAATTCGTTTAATTCCAACTTGAACAATTTCAACGAATTCTGGCCTCCAAATAATAGTTGCTCGAAGGTTGTTAGACAGAACGCCCGGATTGGACGATGCTGATAAAAGCTTGCGAAGGCAGAGCAGATGAGCCTGCAATAGGCTAAGTGGCTTCGATTTTCAACCAGTTGGCCAATAGTATGTGCCCACGATACGTCGGATGTAGATTATAGGCGCAATATTGGCTGCTTACTCACTGTAATTACGGGGCAAAATCGACTGATCACAGCTGGCTGAGCTGGGGCTATGTCTGATTTCACAATCCCCTCCTCATTTATGGATGTATACTTTTTGTAGCTACAATAATTACCTTTTCTCCATCGAGCAATAAAATTCTACGTAGGTGCCATCGTGTTAAAAATTATTATATATTAATCTTATAAACTTAATTAGCTTGTATTCTCTTAGCTTTTAAAGCTTCTAGTTACCTAGATATAACTTACTTTAGTAAAAGTATTAATACTTTAACTTTTCTAGCTAGCCTAGATAACTTAGTTAATAGAACCTTTAATAGTTTAACCTTTTTACTATAGTATATATATAATCTTTCTTAGAGTTATTTAATAATTTTAATTATTAACTTTCTAATTACTAAATTATACTTTATTTCTTTACTATAATAATCTATAGAGTTATAAGCTTTATTATCTAGTTAATATTACCCTTTAATACTAATATATATATTTTTTTTTCTTTCCTTTACTAGCTTTTTTAGTATCTTAACTTTATTATAAGTAAA